TATAAAGGTAGTATTAGTGTTTTTATCTAATGTAATTTTAGAAGTTTTATCTAGTACTTTAATTATATTAGGCTAGATTACTAGTAGTTCTTCTTTATTTTTAGGGTCTTATATAGGTTTAGGGAGGATAGTAGATATTCTAGTAGAGGCTATATAAATTCTTACTAGTAGGTAGAGGTATCTATTTAAGCTAAAGATTAAGATTATACTACTTTAGTACTATTTAAGACTAGCTTTTTAAAGAGTTACTTTCCTTTTTAATAGAGAAATCTCTAGACTAATAAGTTAGAGTATTTATAATTATACTTAGACTACCCTTCTAGTGCATAATCTTATAGTTAAATTAAGAGAGAAATTCGCTCTAGTAGACCTAATAATAGTTAAGAGAACTTATAAATACAAAATACTTAAGGTTTTTGTAGTTTAAACCAATATTAACTAGTCTCTTAATTTTTTAATTTAAAGTACTAGGCTTTAAAGACCTTAGTAATAGCTAGAAGCTTCTTATTATTAATCTTATAATTATACTTAGTAATAATATTTTAGTAGAGTAATAGACTATTAGCTAAAGCTAATACTTTATATCTATTTAATATAGTATACTAGCTATCCTATAGTCTAAGATATTAACTTCTATAGTTACTAGCTTATTCTAGCTAAAGTATTATAGAACTAATACTATAGTTTAGAGCCTATAGAAAAAGCTAGTTTCTATATATAGAACCTATAAAAATAGTAATAATCTTAAAGAAATTACAGATAAAATAGTAATAAAAGTTTAAGGAGCTAAGAAAGTCTTAAGTCTTCTCTAAATTCTATAGTTAAGGCTAATTTTATATAATAAAGACCTTAGTCTAGTCTATTTTAATACTCTCTATTAAAATAATTAGGTCTAGATACTTAACTTTCTAAATATAGGATTTATATTTCTTAGTATTAACTTATAGGCCTATTTCTTATAGGTAAAGAAAAATCTTATAGATATATCTCTAGTATTTAGTTAAGATTTTACTATAAGTTGAAATATTATTAATATAGTTAGCATAGAACTAGTTTAAGTATTTTTTTAGAATATTATTAATATAGTATTAGAAAAACAAGAGTGTATTAGATAAACTAAAGAGCATTACTAGACAATTATAGAGACTATAGTAGATATAGAATACTATTAGCTACTTATTCCTCTTAGTAGAATAAAGCTTATTAAATACTATAATAATATTAAGCTTAGTAAAGTACTTTACTAATAATAGTTAATTAAGGGTTTTCTAGATAAGAGAGATTAGATACTTATTCTTAACTATAACTATACTAAGATCCTAATAGTCTATATAGAAGTAGAGGCGTTCTCTAGATTTTTAAATAGAATAATAAAAAAACTATAGAGCTACTAATAAAATAGATAAAGCTCTTTATAAAATAATTCTCTAGATACTTTTTTAAAATAAGTAGCTTATTTTAAAATATTCTATAAAAGAGGCTAGTATGTAGCTTAGTTTCTAGTTATAGTTAAAAATATAGTAGTTATAAATTTAATATAGAAGTAGCTAGTCTAAGAGATACTTTAAGAAAATATTTAGAAATTTATAGTATTTAAAAAATAAGATAGTAGTAGAGTCTAGAGCTTTCTTAAGTGTAAAAGCCTTTTTTATATTTTTTATTATATTAGTAAAGAGTTAGTAGTTAGTCTTCTTAGTATTCATTAGATAGTTAAGGAGTACTATACTAATTATATAGATATCTAGAGTCTTTTATAGAGGTATATTAAGATCAAGTAGCTTTTTAGCTCTCTTTTAAAGAGGAATAATAGAGTTTAAATAAATATAGAGAATAGTCTTTTTACTAAGAAGTACTAATAACTATTAGTCAGTATTAAGTATAGTATAGTAAGCTAGTAGCTAAGATCTAAAATGAACTAAAAAAACAACTAAGATAAATAATAAAAAGAGTAAGAATTTATTTAATTAAGTCTACTAAAAGCTTAATTTAGATAAAATAGATAATATTACTAGTAGTAGCTAGACGCCTATTAATAACATTAAGAATAATAGAGAAATCAAACGAAAAAAAAATAAAGGCTATATTAGAAAAAAAATTTAGCCGCTTGGAGCCGCTTAGAGCGCTTAGAGCCTTTAAGCAACTCTACCCGCTTGCAAGTTACTCGCGAGCGGCCTAAGCGCTTAGAGCGAGTCTTAGCGCCAAGCCTACTTAGTTATTACTAAAAATAATAATTGGAAAAAGCTCTAAGTCTAATTTAACTAGTAGGATGGGGGGGGGTATATAATAGAGCTAGCTTAGGGTGTAAACTTTTTAAAAAAAAAAATTATTATCCACTTAACTTTTAAAAACGTGGATATATTACCTATTTTTATAGGGGAGTAAAACTTAAGCAAGAAAGAGAACTTAAAGGTTTTTTACGTAATTTATGTTTTTTATGCTTACTAAGTAATTTACACCCGCCCCAATCGCTTAGAGCGCTTAGAGTACTCCAAGTATCTCTATAAGCTCTCTAAGCGCTCGGAGCGCGCTCTAAGCGCCTTAGATATCTTAGACTAATACTAATTTCACAAGCGCCCAAATTTTTCCTAATATTAGGTTTTATATATAAGCTTAGCTCATAAAAGTAGTACTAGAGACTCTAGTATTAACATAAGGAATAGACTTTTATTTATATAAACTAGTAAATAAAGTATAGATAATTATAAGATATTTATTTTTAATAATATCTTACTAAAGTAGATAGATAACTATAAAAAAAAACTCTTAATTTTCTTAAATATAGGTCTCTATAAGTAACTTTAAGTAAAAATTCCTTATTTGTTTTTTAAATAAGTTAAGTTACTAAATAGAGTTATAGGATCTAGAGTATTAAAAGTAAATTTAAAGTTAATAGTATATATAGTAGTATAATTTTAGGAAAAATTTAGGCGCTTGTAAGATTAATATTAATTTAAGATATTTAAGGTGCTTAGAGCGTATTTAGAGTACTTATAATCGCTTATAAGCACTCTAGATATTTTAGATATTTAAAATATCTAAAATATCTAAAATAATAGAAATATATAGAGTATTAAAAATAGTTAGTGCCGCTTAGTAAGTAAGAAATCTTAGAGTTTCTAATCCTACTTAACTTTTACTCTCTAGTAAAAATAGCTAAAATATTAATGAATTTAAAAAGTAAGAAGATAATAATTGTTTTTTTTAAAATTTACCCTCTAAACTAGCTCTATTATATACTCCCTCTATTCTACTTATTAAATTAGACTTAGAGCTTTATTTAATTTTTTTGGGTAATAACTAAGTAGAACTTAGTGTACTAAGACCTACTATAAGTACTTAAAGTGCTTATATATACTCACAAGCCGCTTATAAGTAGGTAGAGTTACTTAAAGACTTCAAGTACTTAAAGTAGGCTCTAAGCACTCTAAGTAGCTCTAAGTAGCTAAATTTTTTTCCTAATAATACTATTAGATAGTATTTTTAAGCTACTTTTTAAAGATATTACTAGAGTTATATATTTTATTAAACTAGTTTAAGAGATTAGTAAGAAACTTGAATTACTAAAGATTAGAATTTTTTAGAACTTTTATAGTAAGTACTATAAGTATATTAATATTTATAAAAGTTTATAGAGTATTAGAAGCACTATTTATAAATATAAATATATTAAAAAAAGTGAAGAATTATATAGTAAACTATAGTAAAACTATAATAAAAAATAATAAATAAATATAATATAATACTATAATATAAAAAGGCTTAATACTAAAGCCTAACTTATTAAAGTAATATATAGGATATTATATAAAGTTAGAAGATATAGTAAAAATAATAAAAAGAAAACTCTTTAAGTAAAATATATAACTTAGTTATATAACTCTAGAATAACTAAAGATCTAAATACTAAGAATTAGTAAATCTAAATTATTATAGTTAGCTATATAATTTACTATTAAGATACTTTTAGTAATAGTAAATTAGTTATTAAATTGCTTATTACTACTAGGACTAAACTAAGTAAGTTTATATTTTGTATAATAGTAATATTAAGCGCTATCTATACTCTTTCTATTATAAAGTATACTATAATAGGCTTTCTCTAGATAGTAGATTCTATAAAGCTAGAACTTATTATTACTATTAGTAATAAGCTTAGTACTATAGTTCTAGATTGCAGAGTAGTCTACTTTAGAGTTAAGTGTGCGCTTGTAAACTAGCTAATAGTAAAAATTAGTAATTCTCTTTCTCTTTTGATAGATTTAGTTCTATTTAATATCGAAAATGCATCATAATATTGTTAGCGGCTTCCGAGCTTCACTAAGGCTCTTAGGTGCGCGCAGATACTGAAGTTGGTGTTTCGACTAGATCGATAGAGGCTTACAAATCAGCCAGAGTCGAAGGAGTAGGAGAGAGAGTAGCTGGAGAAGGTGAGCCAGCAGGCCTGCAAGCCGCCTGAGCTCTAAGAAAGAGATGCTGAGGCATAGTGTAGGTGTTAGATAGTACGCGACGCGACAGCTACACTATGTTGCTACGCCTTGTTTACGGCAAATACCGGCCGGAATTGACCACTAGATAAGCTTTGATAAACGGATGAATGATTTCTCTGGTGCCGGAGGACAGCTACTGTAACGAACGTCACAAACATCGGTTATTTCCTGGCTGGAGCCAACCAAGGTCTTGATAAGAGCACGGGGAGACTAGCGCCAAGATACTACACTTCAATGGATCTGCGCTTCTGCACCTCGACAGGGACCTGCCTGCGCTGTACCTTAACCTCCTGCCAGGAACGGCGGCAGATCTCCATTGACATGCTGCTGGACCCGCTGAAGATGGGAGCGTGGCTGATTGATCGCAGTTCGCCGGTGGCGTCGCGGGTTTGGCGTGCCTCCGACGCATCAGGTGGGTATATATCCAATGGCCTCGGTGCCCGTAGCATATTTCCATCGTGCTTCACTCGGCAGAGTAGAGTTCTCTGAGCCTTATTCCTTCGCCGCTTCACCATGAGGTTGAGTCTTGCTGCCGTTTACGCTGGTGCGCTCTCGTTGCCTGCAGCATTTGCTGTCTCCATCTCCGAGATCAATGGCAACAAGTTCCTCTCGCCATATATCGGCCAAGCGGTAACTCAAGTCACCGGTCTCATCACCGCCAAAGGACCCGATGGTCTCTGGCTTCGGTCTACGACACCGGACAACGATAAGACCACCTCCGATTCAATCTATGTCTTCGGCAGGACCATTCTTGCAAACCGCACAGTAGGAGACATCATCACACTGGATGGCAGAGTCACAGAATTCCGGTCCTCATCCGGGTTCCTCTACTTAACTCAGATAAGCAGTTCTTCGAATGTCGTAACCGTATCAACCGGCAATGAAGTCACGCCTTTGGTACTCGGGAAGGGCAAGCTAAATCCCCCCACCGGGCAGTATACCTCCCTGGATACCGGCAACATCTTCGGAGTACCGAACAATGTCAGCTTGGTCTCCAGAGTAAACCCAATCTTAGAGCCCGAAAAGTACGGCCTGGACTTCTGGGAGAGCCTTATAGGAGAGCTGGTGACCATCGAGAAACCGAGGGCTGTTGCCAAGCCCAACAACTTCCGTGATACGTGGGTCGTAGGAAAGTGGAAGACCAGCGGAGATAATAAGAGGGGCGGCCTGACAATGACTGACAGAGGTATAGGCTGTCTTCCTCCTGCAGCAGTGTAGACTGCACACTAACCTCAATGTCCAGATGCCAACCCAGAAGCCATTCTCATCGGAACACCCTTGGACGGCACTAGGAACCCCACTAACACGAAGCTGGGTGATGGTCTGGCGGACATCACTGGCATCGTCTACCAGGCATTTGGATTTTACCGCATCTTGCCCCTCACAGCCCTACAAATTACCGATTCAGCCAGGCCGGAGCTACCACCTGCCACTGAACTCAGGTACAAGGGTGATTGCAAGAGCGTTACGTTCGGGGTATACAACGTTGAAAATCTGGAACCAAACTCGGTTCATCTGCCTGCGATTGCTGCCCATATTACCAACTATCTTGGCAGCCCCTCCGTTATCTTCTTGCAGGAGATTCAAGACAACAACGGCGCAACGAACGATGCTAGTAAGCCTTTACTCGTTGTGATCGACGTGCCAGCTCCCACATACTGATATTGCACAGTCGTCGACGCAAATCTGACGCTCTCAACCCTCGTCACGGAGATATCCAAGCTCTCCTCAGTCCCATACTCATTCGTAGACATCGACCCAGTAGACGACCGTGACGGCGGCCAGCCAGGCGGCAACATCCGCGTCGCCTACCTCTACGACACCTCAGTTGTGCGTCTGCACAACCCGAACCCAGGCTTCAGCACCGATGCCAATGAAGTCCTTCTCGGCCCCAAGTTGAAGTACAATCCAGGAAGAATTGACCCGCAGAACACTGCCGCATGGACCGCGAGCCGCAAACCGCTAGCTGCGGCGTTCGAGACTCTGGATGGCAAGAACCTCTTCTTTACCGTAAATGTTCACTTCGGCAGCAAAGGCGGGAGCTCCTCGCTGCATGGCGACGCGCGGCCGCCCGTTAATGGTGGGGTGAACGATAGGCAGCGACAGGCTGAAGTCACTGCAGTAAGTACCCCTTCGTCTTCCCGCTCCATCCTACCCCTCAACCCGCACAGGCGATGCTAACGACACTCAGTCCTTTATCGCATCTATTCTCGAACAGGACGCCAACGCCAAAGTAATTGCCGCAGGCGACTTCAACGAGTTCGCCTTCGTCGCCCCGCTCGAGACCTTCGTCGCCAAGTCCGGTCTGCGCGATCTTGACGAGGTGGCCGGCATCAAGGAGACGGAACGCTACACGTATCTCTTCGACATGAACAGCCAGCAGCTCGATCACATGTATATCAGCCCCGCGCTGACCAAGGGTGCGGAGTTCGAGCACGTCCATGTGAATACATGGGCTACGACGGATGCCCCGAGTGATCACGATCCGAGTGTTGCGAGGTTGAATGTTTGTGGGAAATAGATCGCATGTAGATGCTAGGGTAGATCGGCATTCTGTAAAATATTGACTATAGAGCTGTGATGAAAGCGTAGTTGCATACAAATGGCGGCGAGCATAAAGTTTTGATCTTATATGGTAAAAAGTACTGAGACGCGCGGTAGTCAAAGATTTCATGCATTAGTGAGCGAAGGCATCGTGGCCGTGGATTCAGAAGCTAGATGCTCCGTATTGACTGAGCTATAAGCCCCGAGCTTACAGCTCCAGCTCCATTGCTGTTTCATGTCGAACACATTGAATTACTTACCACTAAGCATCTCTGCGTTCTCTCGGTTGATGGCTGAGTCAACGTCTCTCAAGTTATCCTCCATACCCCGCATACCTCTTCGAAAACCTCCTTGCAGGAGTGCTTTCGGTCACGTTGCCCACCACAGTCCCATTCTCATTCTCATACTGCTGCCACGCGCTCTCAATCGCATACACCGCAACACTAACCCCCGTATCCGGCGGCAGGTCCACGGTGCTCAACGCCATGACCGTGAGCGGCTGCGTGGGGAAGAACGTGATAGTCGCGGAATGCTCGCCGCCATTGATGAAGACCTCGAGGATAGAGCGATCGATGACACCAGAGAGCGACCAGGTGCCATTGGGGATGCTGACGGTGCTGAACTTGTCCGTATAGAAGACGTTGTCGAACCCGCGCGTGTTCCCGCGGTCGAGGAAGAACGGGTTGTCGCCTCCGAAGTAGAAGCCGCCTAGCACAGACTCTCCGGTGTCGAGCGATAGAAATGTGAAATTGAGGGTGGCGGACCCGGAGACGTTGGCCCGGGGGATATCGGTCACGTTTACCTCGAAATAGACCGCGTTGCTGTAAACCGAGGAGTAGTCCACTAGAACAGTACCATTGCCGAGGGAGTCGTTGGCGGCTAGCTCACGGCCCAGAACGGGGGTGAGGTCGTACGGCTCCGAGACTAGCACCCAGCCAATGCGGGTGGCGTTCGCGAGGTAGTTACGCCGGGGAAGGGACATGCTGCTCCTCCAACCTTCAGAGGAGCCAGAGGGCGTGAGTCCGGTGTATTGCCAGTTGCTCGCCCACGCGATGCTGACCGCTTCGTTCGCGGGCGTGCCGTAAAAGAATTGGCCGGCGTAGTTGTCTTTGCCGAAGTCGGCAATGCGGGCCACGGGGTCGACGGCCTCAAAGTGCGTGCCGTTGAAATAGCCTGGGAAGTACTGGGAGATGGAGCCGCCGAGAGGTGCCCCAGGATTGATAGAAAGGAACATGAGCCACATGACCTCGTCTGTGCCCTCCATGGGCACCGTCTGTAGACTGGGGCATTCGTATTGGTAGCCTAGCAGGCCGTGGTATGAAAAATTGGATGCGAATGTCCAGTTTATCAGATTAGGCGAGGTGTAGATCCCGATGGAGAATTCCGTGGCGAACGCAACCACCTGTCCCACAGTTCAGCGTTGGGCGGAGGGGTAGCAGTATATAGAAAGGAGTTCGCGCTCACCATCACCCAGTGATCCTCATACCAAATTACTTTTGGATCACGAAAATGAGGAAGATTGCTTGGGATGACCGGGTTTCCTTCGTATGGAGTGAACGTGTATCCGCCGTCTCGGCTATATGCAATGTTCTGCGTCTGTATGGCCCCTGTATACGGGTAGGACGCAAGGGTGTAGATAGCGACTACGCCGTTGTCTTGATCAGGGAAGAAGCCGGACGTGTTGTTGAGGTCTATAACGGCGGAGCCACTGTAGACGTATTCAGCGTCGTTGGGTCGGTAAATAGCAATCGGCTGGTTGACCCAATGATACAGGTCCTCGCTCGTTGCATGGCCCCAGTGTTGATCACCCGGGACCGGCGAACTAGGGTTATCTGCCATGAAATGTCAGTTCCGAGCGGTCGACAGTGGAGACTGGGAGGCCAAAAAAAGAGCAGGCGAATGAGCGTACACTGGTAATATAGGTGCCATGTTCCATTGGCATCCACGAACAAGCCATTGGGATCGTTCATGAAGTTCTGCGGAGGGGAGAAGTGAATCTGTGGCCGTAAGGGGCCCGTGTAATTTCCGGGAATGGGAGTGCCCGTTGGCACATCAGGTCGGGCATAAACTGAGGTGCTGCTCTGCGGGGAGACAGAGCTGGTACCTTGAGCAGACACGGAGCAGAGAAGCACCGACGCCGCTGCTGTTATGAGTGAAAAGAACATCATGCTGGAAACGATACCAAAGTTGATGCTAGATATCCAAGAAGCAGGAGCTGTAGGGAAGAGCTCTGTCGAGCGAGCGGAGGTGCGGCCATGCCTGCTTTATGTTCCTGCAGAAGGGCCTTGGTCTGCTGGCATCAGAGCTCACGCAGTGCTGAGTACCTAGGCTTAGGGTTGCCATGCAGTCAGGGAGCCGGCGTTGGGACGGCATGGTGGAGCAGCATGGTGCTGTCAAGGTCGGCGGTGCTCTGGGGAAAAGGTGCTCGGGATCGAGCATGCAGAGTAGCGTCCAAGTCTCTCGTGCGGGGCTCGGTTTCCCCACCATGATGCGTGCCGCCCCGGTTCGCCTGCCCTGCATGCACCTCTGCTGACCGATCTGAAAGGGAGATCGAGTCCCTTCTCTTGCACCAAGATTCACCAAGGCATGCCCTGCCCTGGCGCTGGGCGTGATCATTGTAAGAGGCCACTCTAACGTCTGAAGGGGCTGTATTCTGGTGCAATGTGGAAGTTGTAGCCAGCGTTGATAGAGGACCAACTCTTGGATGACCTCTCGTCGGTTTGTGTGGAACCGTTGAAGATGCTGACAGGAACAGAAAACAACTGCCGGCAAGGCTGGAGCCGCGCACGTCATGGCGCGCAATGACTCGCTTGGCTCATCCTTGCCCTATCTTAGTGTACGGTCCGCCCGCAGAAAGAGCTGCGCTGGGGGTGATCAATAACACTGGTTTCACCCCGCTTGTCCTGTTTGACCCTGTCGAATTCGAGTCCTCCCGAGCTTCGTCCCGCCAAAAGATCTCAGGCATCTTGTCTCCTGCAGGGGATCCCGGCAATGATTCGAGCCGCAGGCATGACAAAATCTATAAGGACCCGAGAGCGAGTATCAAGACAGAACGACTCTTCTCGCCTCGGCGGGCGTACCGCATTAGAAGCTCGTCCGAGGTTCGTCGATAGCTTAATGCGGACCAATTCTCGGAAGGTTAATATCGGTAGGCGCATCGTCCGATGCGGAGTGCCAAAGCCACCAAGGCCGAGGATTTGGCCGGTGGATTAGTTGAGCGTAAGATACGTCTGACTTTAGCTTCACAATGGGGGGAGTATTCGAGTACTGCCTCACAATCTTCCCGCTGCTTGCCAGTCCGAGGAATCGTAAGGGCACTAGAGAGTAACATGTGAAAGAGTCACAGAGTCTGGCGTCTGTAAAAGTCTTTCTCCCCCAGACCGCCCCCATTAGTTCGCCTGCAGAAGTTCCAACAGACTACCCTCCTAAGACAGGCTGAACCGTCGAGGATACAATACTGGCTTGGGAGGATTCTCGACTCTGTCTTTGCAAGAGCAAGTGCGTCTGAGAAGTAACCCCCTTTGTGGGGAATATGTTCATGCTTATACAACTGACTTGATGAGTTCCGGAAGCCCTCTTATGGTCCATGGAAGGCTATTTCTCATGTCTTGTAATCGATTGTTGTATAACAGGCTGCATTGTAGATGATTTAGACGCCTTGCTACCGAAAACAAATCTCATCCAGAACCTGTATCACGATCAAGAATCAATGGTTGATTAGCTACTAGCATGGGACAATAGCCGTATGATCATTAGCTGCTGTGATAAATCCATGCACTTGACACTTTCTGGTGTTGGTGCTAGACGAGTGTCGCCACCGTAGACGAGAAAGGTCCGTTGTTATGTGCTTTTCAATGAAACGCGACAAGTATTGGGGCTGACTTTGGTAGGTCTTTGACATCTTTGGGCTTGTACTGCGCCCTAAGCTTCATGACCACAGAATCCCTCAATGACTTCATGGCAGCGATGTCTCTGTAAGGAACGGCTGTATGCCAATCTGTGGTATGTAGCTGGCAGGTTAAAGATCTATACAAAGCATCCACCGGTTGAACAACAAGTATGCAGTCGGACCGGGATTTGGCGACTCGACCGAGGACCATGCTAGTCGAATAGCAGTTCATAAGGTAGCTCTCTTCATGCTATATAGCGTTCCGCCTTCCCTATCTCCAACGGCTACACAGCTTCGGAAGCCCCCGGCGAGATTGCATGCGGCGCAGCTTGTCTTGCAGGTATTCCCGGCGGCGATGTCATTGAGGGTGTATCGCTGGAGGGCAGCACCCCATACACTCCAGCATGACTTGCCGCCGTCGGCGAGTACTCATGTGTTCTTTGCGTTTCTGTAGTCCGCACTGTCGCCGGTGGGACTTCCCGGAATACAGGCCCATCCATCGGCGTCCGCACCCGCGGTTGTCTCTCCACACCTTGGTCGTAAGCCTCACTGTGATGCAGTCCCAAGTGGTCAAGACCAAGAGACTGCAAGACACGAGCTGTCGAATGGCGCTGCTTCTCCCGGACCTCATGGTTTGGGTTCTTGGTCGGGTCGTTTAGATCGTCGCCGTCCTGTCCGGGATTTGCCATCTCGTATTCGAGGACTTTGATGAATCTATAAAAGGCTACGGCAATGAGAACGCCGATAAATGGACCGACCCCTGTGCAGAGACCGTCTGTTAGTGGTCGCATCTCAAGAGAGGAGAGGTGAGCGTATCTTACAGTAGATCCAGAGCTCCTTGTCATACGTATTGGTGACGATGCACGGTCCAAGGCTCCGCGCTGGATTCGCGGATCCTCCGGTGTAGAATACTCCAACAAGGTGAACAATGAACAACGCCAAACCGATGCCCACAGGAGCGATGAAGTTGGCTTTGTGTTTCTCCTTGGCGAGCATGAGGACACTATTGCGACGTCAGCAATTACTCTCACAACCGTGTCTTGGTTTCGACTTACGTGAAAACAAGCTCAGCCGTCAGCAGAGCCTCGATAGAGACACCGCGGACAAGAGATACACCGTCACTTAGGGTGGTGTTGACACTAAGACGAGCAGGGAAGATGGCCATCACTAAGGCTGATGCAGCTATAGCGCCAGCAATCTGGGCTAGAAAGAGGCAGAGAGCTCGCACTAGACCGATGGCGCCAACAAGGAGCATAGCCAAGGTGACCTGCGGATGTGCGTTAGTAACAATCGGACCTTGAAGGTATAGCCACGGTCGGTATATGCTTACCGCTGGATTGAACAGACCGCCGGATATCCGAAAGAAGACCCAGACGTTCACCATAAGACTGAATCCAAAGGACAAAGAGACATAGAGAATTATGATAGGCCTGATAGCCATCAACTGGTTCGTCATGGCAGTGTTCGGTTCCTTGGCTATAGCCACTTGCGTGCCAGCAAATGCGAAGAATAGAAATAGAATCGTGCCAATAAATTCTCCAAGGGCGGCCACAAAGTGGTTTTTGGCTGTGCTATTCATCCAGAGCGTCCATGGGAGTCGAAGCGGAACGGTCTCCTTCTCGCTTGCCAGGCGCGCCCGCCGTAGCTGCTGCGCTATGCTTGGTGGACTGTGTTGGTACTGATCCACCCCGGACATACCCGCATAGGTGTGCGGATAATCGTTGTTGCTGGCGCATGACTGTCGCTGGGAGCTCTTGCCATTCGGACCACGCTGTTCTCTCGCTTCTCGAATATCATAAAATGATATCGGTCGACCTCTGTTACAGAGATACTGTTCCGGTGGCGGTTGCAGCCCCCCCTGAGAACCTGGCTCGGAGGACATTGGACTCTGGCCGGGGCGCCACTGCTCGCTGGCCGCTTCTGGATAGTAGGGGCCCTCGTGCTTCTTTTCACCACCACCAGAGAATGTCATAGAGTTAAGCAAACCGGATGTACCCAAGATGCGCCTCGCATGGGAACCGTCGGAAGGCGGCCTGTTAGCAGGCTTGCCAGAAATCGAGATATGCTCGCCGCCCTCATCTTGAGGCCCCAGGTCTTCGATAAACTGCGACACACGCCGGCTCGTTGGAGGCCTCAATGAGGATTGTTTGACGCCCGGAGTAAGCTGGTTTTTTGACTCAAAAGACTCCGCGGGATGACTTCCAGCAGAATCTTGCTCCGGCAATGATGGTGATCCGTTTGATGTGTTATCAATCGGAAGTTGGCTGCCGATTGACGGACGTTCCACTATCTCGCCTGTCGACGTTTTCTCCCCGTAGTGTAAGGGCAGTTCAGGGACAGTAGCGGAAGCCATACCAGTGGAGTCTCTCAAACTCTATTACGGATTTCCCTATGATCCTAGTTGATGGCTTCCCTCCCAATATCCGTCAAGGAATAGCTCTTTCAGAGTACGATCCGTCCAGTCCGGCTCGATTGTCCGGATTTGAGCAGTCAAGGTGGACGCAGAAAGAAAGTTGTGATCGGTTGCGCTCTTGCGGTGGTCAGCTGGGGTCTTGTGTGGCCTGTACGAGATACCCAAGCGGTTGAGGGACTTTTTGACGACGTCAGTTACTAACGTGAGTCTTCTTCACAGTATTCGACACTGTTTTAGTCGATCCAAAGATGTGGAATCTAAAGTTTACAAGGAAGATACCAGAAGGTTTGCCCGGTAGCTAGAAACCAAAGACGACCAGGGTAACTTAAACGATCAGACGTAGGTCCGGTAAAACCTGCACACCAAGAAGACTCCAAAGACAAGATGCTCGAGGCACTCAATGGCCTTACACAATTCGCTTACATTGAGGATGGTTCCACAAAGCGTGTCACACCATGAAGTCGAAGAAATTCCTTCAGTTATTACCTAAGAACGGGCTGAAAGCGTCAAGGCCATGCGGCCAGAACCTACTATGTCATTACCTACTGCAGAGTAGAGTTCCACGGAAGGAAGACGCGCGGTGAGAGGTTCATGCGATGACCATGGCGACCGGGTCTTTGTTCATCGCGACGGTTGCAGCCCTCAAAGGCTTCGGCCAGAATCCGACAATACGGGCTGCCGAAATACTGTTTCCGGCCCGAAAATGACCTACCGTGTTCCTACCGTATTCCTGCCGTGAACTAATAGGAAGGCAAAGAAGGTAGAAGTTGAGGCCGAGGTTCATTCGATACCACCATCTCGTGGTTGCTCGTATCTCCGCTGGTGTATGTTGTAGCGTAGCTGGCAAGGTCGTACCCAGGATGGAGCCAGGCCATCAATGGCATAGCTGTGAGTCGTCGTCTACTAATCATCAGGATACTGTAAGGTAGATGGAGTTTTTGTCATTCTCGTCCTCCGCTTCGTTGTTTGAGGTCGAGCGCGCATACGAAAAACAAACCACGTGCACGTCACGTGCCGGCATCATCATCCTTCATGATTTTGTAACGAAATCTATCTGATACTTTGGCCGCGTGTAAGTTAATGATGATACTGTAGTGCTTGTTGGCCAACACTGGACTACAAACACACATCCAAAAGTGCCTCAAGGTTGCCGTAGACATCAAGTGGCCAACTAGAAAGCCTGTTGCCGCATCAATAGCTACTCGCAACTCTGAAAATAGATAGCGTCCGCAGATCAAAGACACCCTAAGCGATCGATGCATCAAAGAGCTACTCATGCCGCCGGAAAGTTTAATCGGTTGTCAAGCGGTAGCGGAACGCTTCAAGTCCGCTTCGAAGCTGTCGCAACCACGCAGGTTGAGAAGTTCAATTCTCCAAACCCCCTGAACAACCAAAGATTGAGCGACCAGATAAAGCTTTATACCAAAGCGCAATCTATTACGAGTTCTTCTGATATCTAACAGTAATTATTTATAATATGGTTGATGAGTGCAGCTGGTTGAACGACCTCACCACCAAAAAGCTGGTGTTTTGACCCCTAGCGATTAAACTTTCCGGCCGCATGAGTAAATTGATGAACATCTTTTACTATCTATCGCAAGCAACTGGTCCAGTTGCTCTACGAATGACAAGATCATGAGTCCAGTTCGATCGTGAGTCTGGTATTGAATAAGCTGGAGCATAGATGCCGCAACGCGCTTTTCAAATGACCCTTCCATCTTGCCAAGTCGGCCCTGGAACGCACGTCACGAGTATACCGACAATCGAGCAGCTGCAATAGTTTCTCACTACATGGCGCGCTTCAAGGTGCTGAGCCGCAGACAACGACCTCAGCACTAAGCCTGCAAGCCTACAAGAAACCAATGGTCCGAACTTCAATCAGCACTGTCATCCGGTACCGCTCGGTGCAACCTCCGTTCCATTTACCCTTGCGGGGTATATCCAGGGATATGGGGTGCCCCTCCTCCATCGACGAAGCTATCATAAAGCTTCTCTACCTCACTTGACACTGGTCTGGAGACATCATTGAAATATATTCAGCAGTAACCTCTTCTAAACCACCTGCCGGAGTCCCACCCCTCATTAAACGCACCTAACCGTCTACCCAAACATCTCCCGCGCCGCAATCACCACAATGGCCGACGCCCTCCGCGCAAAGCAAAGGCCCCTAAAAGACAACTACCGCGTCGATCCCTCCAGCGCACTCGTAACCCTCCGCTCAAGCGGAACCCTCGACGCCAGCTCCATAACTTGTAAACTCTCCACCGGCGCTGCCATCCGCGACGCAAAAGCCAAGCTCTCCTCGGACGCTCACTCCCACTCCTGTTCCCGCGATCACGACCACGATCATAACCACGACCATTCGCATTCCCATGACAACGGCAACGACGGTCCCCAAAAAGTCGCCGGCCTCCACCAAATGGCTGGGGGCGACGATCCCACGCTGTCGGGGGAGCTTTGCAGCGGCGACATGCTCCTCGAAGCGCTCGTGGCCTGCGCAGGGGTAACCCTCAAAGCCGTCGCGACCGCTTTAGGTATCCCCATAAAATCCGGCGTCGTGCGCGCGGAGGGGGATCTCGATTTCCGGGGCACGATGGGTGTGGACAAGGAGGCGCCGGTCGGGTTCACGGATATCCGGCTCGGATTTGAGCTAAAGACTGCGGAAGAGGTGGATGACGATAAGATTGAGAGGCTGGGGAAGCTCACGGAGAGGTATTGTGTGGTGCTGCAGACGCTGGTGCATAAGCCGAAGTTGACGGTTAGGTTGGCGGGCGGGGCGGAGACTGAAGATGGGGTTGATAGGGGGTTTGTTTGGGGGCAGAAGTTGTGAGGTTGGATGACTATGGATGCTGGGCATAGAAAGGAGCATAAGCACAGGCGTTGCGTAGTAGCGTTCACACTGAATAGCTATGGTGACATAGGTACAGCAAGACATCTCTATTATGTACCGCACCTGTACTGCTCTATCTGCTCTGCTAAACGCATTGTTGACCAAGCTACGGCTGGCCACAAACGATGAACAAGAATGCACCCCAGACTCGCTTTCAGACCAGCATGCTAGAAAGCCCCCTACGGTACTTAAAGCATTAGGAGTGCAGGCAGAACTCCACCCAAGATCCCAAAGCCACCAAAGCCAACTCTGCCAGCAGCACCGGTGAACTGCGCCGGGAAAGAAGACGTAGGCGAAGCAACAATGCGGGTAGTCGTGCCAACAACGGGTGTCACAGCAGGCACGGAGGGCTTTCCGGTAGCCGTGAGAATACCAGTTGCGGTAGGGCCGACGTCTACAGCAACGGAGCTGGCTGCGGTGGGGAGGGTGTAGAATCCACTGGCAGACTTAGACGTGCTGGTCGCCGGGACGTTCTCGATCGGCACGGGATTGGCCACTGAGGAATTTCCGCCATAGCGAGCGGGAGTCGAGAAGGCAAGGGGAGTGGAATTGCCCGAAACAACAGTAGTACGAACGTTGCCAGTTGTCGAGGCGTCGGTGGAGCAAACGGTGGTGCTGCCAGGAACAACAACGGTGACTGTGCCGTCTGCGCCGCCAATCGTCGTGATCGGGGTTGGGGCAGATTCGTCGTCGCTCTCAGAGTCGCCAGAGTCAATCGGCTGGGTGGCGTTTCCTGGAGCAGGGGAGTTGCTAGAACCGCCCGGCGCCGTTGTGTTTCCAGGAGCAGTGGAGCTTCCAGGAGCGACGGGCGTAGTGGTATCCGGAGTGGTTGAGTTTCCAGCAGCGCTGTCGCCACCATTGACAGGTCCGCCTGATGGAGCAGACAAGATCTGGATGCTCTTCCAATCTCCGCTCATGTCTCCGTATTTGTACTCTGCAGCCGGGTTGTAGTTCGTAATCTTGATAGACTCAACGTATTGGGTGAACGGGCCCTTGGTGTAGTCAGTCTTGCCACCAGCCCACCCGATGACTCCTGGGTGGTTGTCTTCATCACCGGCGGGCCAGATGCCGAGGCGGATGTCACATGGCGATTGAGGGTAGTTCTTTCCGCGAAGCGCATTGGCATCTCCGTAGTTCACTGTGCGGACAAGAGTGTCGTCGATGAAGAACTTGATGGTTTCCGGCGTCCAGTCAACAGTATAGGTATGGAAGACCGTCATGGGTGAAGCAACCGCATGGTAACCGCCGCGGTCATAGGTGGTAGTGTTGCCTTTGCCGAAAAAGTTGGTCTGGACCTTGGTGTTGTCGCCGCCAATAAATTCCTGGGACGGAGTTAGCGGATGTTTTCATAAGATTTTAGGCAGGGCATTACCCAATCGATCTCGTCAAGGTCATCCGACTGTAATACTATACTGCTGATGATACCTTGCCCGGGTGCCGCTTTCATCTTCACTTCGACTCTGCCGAAGAAGATGTAAAAGTTGGATCGGATCGTTGGCGACTGCCTCTTCGTCACAACAGAGAACTCCGCACCGCTTGGTCCATAGTTGATCGGGCCGGCGGTAGTCCTCCATCCAGCACTTGCGGAAGCTCCCTTGGTGAAATCGGAGAAGAAGGTTGCCGTCTCAAGAGCCTTGTCATTAGGGCAAGTCTTCTGAAGAGGGTTGCAGTCTGTCCACGTCTGGGCGGAAGCGAAAGGAAGGGCTGCGGCCGCCAGGGCTACGGCCGTGCCAAGAACAGAGCGCATGATGATGGTCTTGATATCGGGACTGAGATCTGAGTTGGATATGGTGCAGACGCGGTAGATTGCAGATAACGAACGTGAGTATACGCGAAAAGTGATGAAAAGGAATGTGCACACAGCTTCCAGGCCGTGAAAAGCAGACTGTCAAAGGTAAAGAAAGTGCCAAAGCGTAGCAATGCGACGGAGAACAAAGAAACGCGGCGGGAGAGCCCACTTAACAAAAGCCATCCGGTGTCGTTATGAAAGGACGGCCGTGAGCGACTGCTCCTGTTTCATGAGACGGCCGGCGGGCCGCTCGAAGGCTGTCGTCGTCATTCGCAAACAATGAAGGCGCTCGTCGTTGAAACACGATGCATCCTTTGGACGTCTCCCATCACCAATGGCAAGTGGCAGATATGGCGCATGCACTGGGTGCAGAGCCTCAGAGTGATCTTGCTGGATTTCTCTGAAACGACGTCCCTCGGTCCATCTCTGCCAACCAAGGGGGCCCTGCAAGTGGCCGCGGGCTAAGTCCGATTGAGGATGGCCAGCCGCCCGACGACCTGCCAGTTCCTCGAGCAGCGCGTCGCACCACCGCCCAGGGCCTTTGTTCGACACCGGACGTCCAGTGGCTGCCCTCGCTCACTTGAAACAGAGCCCAGCTCGGCCCTCGTGGGCTTAGAGAGTAGGTGTGCAAGTCTGTTTGCATAAATATATATATGACGTGCACAGAGGAAAGTAGAAGAGCGGTTAAGCATCCGATTAAATCTCTAACTGATACCCAACCGCTGCAATGCATGCTACCGCCAAGATCCTGTGAGCATTCTATGCAATGAAAACATCTCGCCCGTTGTCTCCCAAACATGTGTCCACCTGCGACCGACCCAGCCAGCACCGTGCACAAACACAGGAACCCATACAGCGATGAACAACTGCGCCATCCCGTCACCGACCAGATACTAAATAGCATTGCATCTACGCCGAAGCCTTGTGAGCCTTGAGGCCCCTCTCGAACTCCTCAATCAGCTCCTCCATCTCCTCAGTAACGAAGTCCTCAATCTTCTCGCTGAGCTTCTCGACCTGGGATGCGAGGTGCTTGGAGCCAGAGGCAACCTCGTGACCGACGCTTGTAAGCGACTCCTCAACGGACTCAACAGAGGGGATTGTGATGGTGACGGTATTGTCGGACGACTCTCTCTTGATAGAGTAGCTGCCCTTGTGCACGATGTCGGTGTAATTAGAGGACCCGCCGCCGTTCCAAGCGAGGATCTGCGACTGTGTTAGCACTGCTCATGTTTGTTAAGGACGTTGGAGAGGTTAGCTCACGTTCTTGGTGTTGCTGGGCACGTTGTCAAGCACGCCCTCGGTGGCGATGGAGATGAGGTTCTCCTTCAGCTTCTTGGGCGTGATGTCCGCAACGGCGAAGGCAGAATCCTTGGCAGGCTGGAGGGAGAGCAGGTAGGCCAGGAGACCAGCAATGTGCGGCGAGGCCATGGAGGTACCAGAGATGGTGTTGATGGCGTGATCGCTGCCAATCCAAGTGGACTGGATGTTCAAGCCAGGAGCAAAGATGTCGTTGCACTTGCCGAAGTTGGAGAAGTAGGCGCGCTCGTCAGCGAGGGTGGAAGCGCCGACAGTAACGGCCTTGGCAGCGGCAGCGGGAGAGTAGTTGCAGGAGTCGGCGTTGTCGTTGCCAGCAGCGACGGCGAAGTGAATGCCGACGTCAACGGCGGCGTTGACGGCCTGGTCGAGAGTGGGAGACTTACCGCCGCCCAAGCTCATGTTGGCGGCGCTGCCCTTGAAGCCCTTCTTCTTGCCCTTCTTAGCGTCATCGACGGCCTTGATGTGTGCCTCCGCTGCCCATTCGACACCCTTGACGACGTCCGACATGGTGCCGGAGCCGTTCGAGCGGAGGACCTTGACGGCGTAGACGTTGGCCTTCTTGGCGACACCGTACTTCTTGCCAGCAACAGTACCGGAGCAGTGGGTGCCGTGGCCGTTGCCATCCTCATCGGCGTCGCCTGATGGGATGGTCTTGCCCCAGTGGGCACGGCCGCCAAAGTCGACGTGCTTGACGTTGGTGCCGGTATCGATGACATAGACATCAACGCCCTCACCGCCGTCGGCAGAGTATAAGTATTTGTTGAAGGTGCCGAAGCTCAGGCTGTTGCGGTGGGAGATACGGGCAAGGCCCCAGGGAGCGTTCTTCTCCAGCTCGGCCTCCTTGTCGCCTTCGAGGGTGTGTACTTCGGAGTCTTTCTCGATGTACTCGACCTGTGTAGGCAAAGGATGGTCAGCAGTCTGTTTGGACAAAGATACCACGTCTTCGGCATGGAGCACGTGCTCCGCAGTATACAGGGTGTGTACCACATGACCCGAATCTGGAACAAGGCTCGTGGGCAGAACAGGCCATCACGCCGTCCTCCGAGGACACCGCGACATGCTCGCGTGGTCTCTCGTGGTCCCCCTGAGAGATGGAAAGCTGGGCGCTTAATGAAAGTGACTCACATCTGGGTGTCTCCGGACCTGCTCGATGGTCTCGTCGTCAAAGTGACCCGAGTAGCCCAACAGCGCGCCGGCGATGTTGTAGGTGTGCTTCAAGCCCTCGAACTCATCTGCCGCCATGGGGAGCTGAGACCGCTTGCGGAGCTCAGTCCTGGCATCTTGGCTAGACAGGTGTAGCGTCTGCACCCAATCATGGTGCTTGGCGGCGTCGGTGTGCTTTACGTGCTTCTTGAACACGACGATATACGAGTTCGGCACCTCCTTGGAGTTCACCGACGACAGGATGGGCGCTGCGTCCTTGTGGATGGTCCCAACGGAGACGGGCGACGCTGACGCAAGCAGCGGCAGCAGCGATAAGCACCAGGCAGCTTTCATGATTGCGGGCTGTCCAAGGGGAGCTCAGTGATGGAAGATGAAGTGTCAAAGCAAGTTTGCGAGAGGGTGAAATAGTGGCAGAAGTGTTGGGGAGGGAAGAGGAAGATGGATGGGAGGTTGGTGACAGCTGCGCGTGGAGGTGGCCGTGGAGCTATCGGGGGTTCCGTGGCCCTTATCTGGGGGGGGCGCATGACCGCCGAGGCTGGGGCTGGGGAAGCGGCACGTGACGTGGCGTGCGTATGACCGTTCTAATCGCTACCTAGGTAACGTTAGTTAGTTAGGCAGCAGCTGGACACTGGACACTGGATACTGGACCTGGACACCTGGACACCTGGACAGACAAGGGAAAGACGGGCGCGGCTCTCCAACTACCACGTGACTACCTGCCTAGATGCCTAGGTACGAGTAGAGTCCGCTGTGTGTATCACGTCAACCGTGGCTGCATTCTCAAGATGCGGATAAACTACCTGCGCTACGGGTCGTCTGATGCGCGATGGGTCACGAGTTTCCAGGCTGACTCCACCGCTGTCTGGCGTCAACCGGCTGAGAGGAGAGCCCTCAATCGGATCACCATATCACACCCTCGTTACACCGTACACGTCGGATGGACATGGTCCTTATCCGGAGCGTGCAACAGTGAGGCTCGTCGTCTGCGTGTAAGTTGTTGGCTGTACTGCTGAAGAAAGTACCTTCCACAATGCCGTCGTCGTGGTGCCTTCCCCCCAAGGTTAATACGAAGCCCGCCTTGCTGATAAGCTGTGACTTCCACCGTGCTTGTCGCCACGGCCTCTGCTGTAACTCTCCGTCTGTGTCTTCCTGCGTCAGTATCCCAGCGCAACTTCTTGCAATGTCAAGAACAACGCAATGGGGAATGGTACTTCCTTCTCCACGTGCTCTGCCCTATGCATGAACGGCTCATTCGTTTCCTTCCTCTCTGTTCTCTTTCGTCCGTTCATCTCTTTTGCTGTCAAGGTCTGGTTAGCCAGCAGCTACACTCTTTTGGACGTTGCTTCATTCACTCCTTTCTCTCGCAAGAATACGTGCACCTTTATCATCCACAGGAGACCGCCCTGAGCAATGCTGTCCAAAGCCTCAAGCGATGCTGGTACACGACTTCGACGGGCCAAGTCAACATCCTCTGCTCGTAGTCGTGCCAACTCAGTGGTGCCCGAGTTCGCAGATCCACAGTTAACCCGCCAGCATGCCTTAGCAGCCGCCACCGCAGCCTTCGATCGAGCTCAGCTGGGTGCGTCCAGTACCAGGCATGTCGACGGAGGATCAGGTCTCCCAAGACACAAGAGCAATTCAGCCGCAAAGTCCGAGGGAAGCCATCTCCGACGAAGCCGCTCAAACACTCGCTTTTCAGACCAGGAAGGGCTCCCCAGAGCTCGATCACACCGGCACAGTATGCCTAGCAACCATGATCGGTTCCAGAGATCGACATTACAGGACACACCTGAATACGAAGCGACGCGGCTTCCTCTGGCGCACCTCGGAAGCCACCAGCGAGACCCCTCTGACGCCGCAACTCCACCATTCCCCATCCCTCCCAAGCGCTTGTCCAAGGCTCGCTCCCTCCAGATCATGAACAGTTCTCCAGGAGCGTCTCCAGTAGAGAGACGAGCCGGTCCACATTACGCCACGCCACATTCGGCAAACGTAGCCCTTGAGGATACCACACTAGACCTACATACCGAGCCCGCTGGTCCTACTCGCATCTTATTCGATACAGAGGCCTCTATCCCGGTGCCACCACAACCAGACCCGATCTTGCTTGCAGCAGCTCGCGACAAACACTTACAGAATGTGAACCAACAAAGACTACGCTCCAAACCCTCATTCATCATGGCCCCTTTCAAGAAGCGCCAGGACAAAGCTGTCCGTAGATCTGCAGAGACCGCACCAAGCAAGGTGACATACGAAAGCATCGAAGACTGGGTTGAGCAGGGTATCAATGCTGGCATGAGCGAGCCGCACCCAGAGGTAAAAGCTCGCTCGTCGTCCAACTCGCTCAAGAACAAGATCAAGCGGGTTTTCCGGAAATCATCGAATTCTATACCAGCACTTCCTGTCCAGCACCTTGATGCTACACGAGATCATTTTGGGGACGATTTCATCCGTGAACCTACGGTAGCCTCCACGATAGATGGTGCACCATCGCAGGCGCCAGCTGAAGATGTCGCTTACCCAGCCGAGCCTCCCGATTGCACTTCACAGCCTCAGCTTTCTGAGACTCGCCAAAGGTCATACTCGGCTGGCTCTGCTGCAAGTGAAGGCCGCGCAAGCGATGGCAAGTCCCGAGTCACCAGCTGGTCCAACTCATCTGCCGCCGGCACCGTTATCACGCGAGAGCCTGCCAAGCGGCTTACGGCCATCCCTGAAAACGCTGCACCGTCTCCAACAAGATTTCTAGGAGGACTGCCGGAGACCAAGCATTGCGACGTTTTCAAAAAGCCAATGCGTAGACGACGAGGATCAAGCGAGGAAGAGCGCGTGTCTGTGGATAGTCAGCGAGTCTATTCTGCTTTGATGAAGAGGATCGACGAAGCAGGCCTCAACACAGCAAACAACCTGCCTGTACCAGAGGCTGCGGCATCTCAGAAAGCCCCTGCGGCCTATGATATCCTTCCTTCTCAGAGTCGAAAAAGCTCTATATCCTCCGGGATTAGTCGCTTGACAAGAGCCACCGTCCGGACTGTCACCCAGGACCGTCGGCCTTCGAAGAAAGCGGAGACAGCTGATGTAACGGCGGACTCGATCGGCTACCCGTCCGCGGGTCAAGACCATGATGGGCCGCCTGCAGTTCATAGTGAGGATACCGGCAGTAGCAGGAGTCGAGCAGGCGCGAAGGGAGGACGAAATAAATCTCTTGGTAGAGCAGCGAAAACAATGCCTCCAAGCTCGCGGCAGCCGACCAATCGCTTCGATAAAGCTGAAAACATATGGAAAGACCCACTCGTGGAAGGCGATTCTCCTATCTTTCAGCCACGCATAGCGACGCATACAATGCCTAGCGAAGACACTTTCGCACATATCCGGCGTAGATCGCCAGCTAGTGAAGAGGCACTACTGTCGACGCCAAATGCCCACGAACTAGCTGGACCGGCCAGAGAATGCGCTGGTCCCAAGCAGCAGATTGAGTCCAATGTTTACAACGTTGTCTCACCCAGTGTCTACTCTCGAAATACTGACGGCCAATCGCCCTGCAGTAACGACAGCGCGATTTCCCTAGTCTGCGGCGAGAATGACGGTACAGGGACAGCAGTTATCATTACCAGTCACCCAGTCAAGAGCTACGCTTTGGGTTCTAGTCGAGCACCCACGAGAGTACATTCAGGAAAGTCGAGCAAAGAGTGGAAGGCATGGCTCTCCAAAGAGATCTCTGAGCTTGAAATCGAGAACCAGGAAGACGTTACCATCAACAATTTCACGGACATGCGCGGTCGAGCGGAGTTCCCACAAGACACTGCAGCGAAGGGAATCAACTATACACCTTCTTTGTTCAAGGGTGCCCAGCGGCCGACCTTGGAAGAACGGCCATCGAGTGTGATGAATGACCGTTTCCCGATGCTACCAATCAAGCCAAAAGCAAAGCGTGAATCCACGCCTCCGAAAGATGTCGATGTGGCATCCGTCGCCACTGTTGAACCATCAAAGGCTTGTCTGCCAGCCAGTTTTCTCCGTCCGAAACTGGAAGAGCGGTCGTCCAGTCGTATGAATGACCGGTTTCCGATGATTTCTACCGTCCGGAAAGGTAGCAAGGAAAACATCAAAGTTGACACGAAGGCTCAGCGCCAGAGAACCCCCGAGGCTGAAGCACAGCCATCTAAGCCTACCGCCAAAGAGAACGTCTCCAATATGCTCCAAGTGCCACCCCGCCGCGATCTCCTCAAAGCCCGCTCGATGCAAGCGATGGATCGGTCTCCCTCCCCCCGCAGCCAGACTAGTCTTTCCCACTACACCACTACAGGTGAAGCAAACAGGATAGAAGCAGTCCGATCACCGACGCCGAACCTCCTCCGCAAAAGGCAAGACCGCACCGTCCTCCGCGCGAAGTCCGCTCTCGACATGCGCGGCTACACGCCCATGCACCTGACGCCGCCCCAGTCGAAGCGCAAGCCGATTGCGGGACCAGTGATGGAAGGCGACACGCTGAAGATGGTTTTGAAGGGGCCATACTCGCCGAAGTTGCCAACACCGGGGGTCAACAACGAAAACAGTCCGGGAACTTCAAGCTTTGCTCATACTGACTCTGGTGCGGAGTGCCAACGCCCGGGCAGTCGGTTGAGTGAGGTCGCGCCTAGTGGTGGGCATAGAATGGCTGATGTCTTCCTCAGCTATCGGCGGAATGGTGTGGCGATGAAGGAAGCAAGTGAATCGCCGGCTTTCTTGTGAGCAAGTAGCTTCCGTGGCTTGGTCGTGCGTTACTCCGTCTTAGAGGGAACATTGACACGGGGTAGTGCTATGGAAGGAGTGTTTCGGTGATTCACTTGGATCATCTGCGCTTAGTTTCTATGCCGACTCGAGATAGTAGTTTCACTGTTCGTGTATGCTGTTGTTTCGTCTTTGAGTGAGGGCCTCTTCTTGGAGCCTGGAAGCGGGCAAGCCTGTATGTGTCTGGGGCATGTCTTCGTAGCATTACCAAAGAATACAATAGACAACTAATTTCGCATCACGGTCCCGACCATTCCTGCTCGTGTATTGAGACCACATCAGTGACACGATCCCTTGATCGCCTGCCATTAGAACGTATGTAACTCTACCCTTTGCCTACCTCAGCGATGCAATACCGGACAGATTTTGTGCCATGAAGCGGAGGCTCTGCTCCCGTTGTGATTAATAAAGATCAGATTCGCAATCAACCAACCGGATGACAGGACTCCCCGCTTCCGTGATGGCGGGAACCCAGACACCAGAAAGCTTCGCAAAACCCCAACCTTTTGCAGCCACTGGATTCTCGTAAGCATGAAGCCAATACAATGAGCAACGGAGCCGAGACAGCAGCGAAGTACAACAGAACCCACTGTCGTACGCCTGTGCTTACGGCGTCTGGCAGCATGCTTCCTAATATTCCAACCCGCTGCGGAAGTCTTCCGTTACCTTATCAATTACACCCGGATGACGCCTGACATCCGAGCCGCATTTTTCTGTGCCTTAGTAGCAACTGCCGTAGCACTAGTCTTACTAGTCCACACGCAATACCAGATCTTGCCTATCATGCCTGGCTCCCTTCTTAGAAATACATTACTAACCCTCGAGCGGGCCCCACTGAAGGTGCGGTCTCATATATCACACCAGGCGCTCTTTCCTGAAGCCATACCTTCGATCCACTCTACCCACCAGCAGATCCTCTCCATAACTCACAGACGAAGCTTCACTTCCTCAGCAACAATGGCATCCACCAAACCATTCATGGAGGCGGTCAAGGAGCGCCGCACCTACTACCAGATCAACAACAAAGCCACCGTCTCCGATGATCGCATCGAAGAGCTCGTCAAGGAGGCCGTTCTCCACGTTCCCAGTTCCTTCAACTCGCAGTCCGCGCGCCTAGTCGTGCTCCTGAAGAAAGAGCATGAGACATTCTGGGAGATGGTTAAGGAAGTCCTGAAGCCGCAGGTGCCAGAAGAGCAGTTCCCCAAGACCGAGCAGAAGCTCGACGGTTTTAAAGCCGGCTACGGAACCGTATGTCCACCCCTTCCTCTGCTCCCCACTGCCCCACCATTCAACCGGCCCAACTGAACTCCCCACTAACCCCCCACCTCCCCCAGATCCTCTTCTTCGAAGACCCCAAACCCGTCAACAACCTTCAAACCGCCTTCCCCCTCTACGCTCAGCATTTCCCGCAATGGTCCGAGCACACCTCGGCGATGCACCAGTTCACGCTGTGGACGGCGCTCGAGGCCGAGGGCATGGGCGCCAATCTGCAGCATTACAACCCGATCATTGACCAGAAGGCGCAGAACCACTGGAACGTGCCGCAGGAGTGGAGCTTGAAGGCGCAGTTGGTGTTTGGAGGCCGCGCGGGCGAGCCGGGCAAGAAGGAGTTCCAGCCCGTGGAGGAGAGGATGTTTGTTTATGGGAAGTAGAAGACGATGAGCGGAAAAGGTTGAACAGATTGGGGTTTATGAGGAGATGCCAGCAGCGTGAGCGATGACCCCTCGGACTGCACAGAATACTTCCGGACAAAACGAACATCTAGAAGATAGAGTACCTTAGATTAATGTCTTTCGCGAACCAAAAATAAAACCGTAGCGCGAGAGCTCTATTAAGCTGGACTGAGAGTGAGGAATCACAATCCCGAATGCTCTCGGACGGTTGTTCAATGGGCTGGGGAGCAAGCCTGCGCAGTTATGCCTTTGCTCAGTGGCTTGCAATCATGCTCTGTCCTCTTCTCGAGCCAGGGAATACTGTGCCACAAAACAAAGCTGTATCGAGTCTTGGAGCTGCAGTCCGCAAATAGATATAGGATACCTGCGGGTATGAACATCCAGACGCTAAGTACATGGTCGTGATATTTATCCACCCAGGTCATGCTTCGAGGTCGCTCCACCACATTTTGCATCCCAGCAACACCCTGCCTAGCCCAACCTGCCAAAAGTCAGCAGAGCATGCTGCAGTGCCTGCAACACTCCAAAACAAATGCAAAAAGTAAGTCCTAGTCCTGGAGGGGGTCTGGATGATTTGTTAGACATTGATCGATCTTGCTCCGAATTGAATCGGTGACTTACCGAACCCTCGACTTTCGCATAACCCAGAGGCCATATTGATCCCGCAAGGGGAATAATATAAGAACGACACGCTAGCCACTGCGTCACAGGACTTTACCCCGCTCTTTCTCGGCTGTACAATTCATGTACCAACACAAACGACGCCATGCCGCGGATTGGATATCGGTGTCCAGCGTGCACGTCCACATGGAGTATCTTCTCAGTCAAATACTCAGATAGTCGCTTCATCGCACTCAGCTCGGGACATGGATTCTCCGTCCGGAATCGAGGTCGTTTGAGACAGTTGGAGCCATCGCTCCATCAATGCTCAAGGGGCATCAGCTGTTTGAAGGGACGGCCAGGCCTCTTGAAGACCACGAAGCCCCTTTTCCACCTAACCGCCAAGAATGTCAATTAAACCACCGTGTTGAACAAGCTTCCTTCGCTCATGACACCCATCCGGCTATCTGGAGCATCCAGTGTTCATGATCAATGGGACACTTGGTGCAGACGGCCCAAAGGCGGCAACATCTCGCCGTGAGTGGCCATGGCCACAACCTCGACAGTCGGGTACATGAAGCGGGATACCAGTCTCATCCGCTATGAGCTTCGCAGAACGCACGACACCGCATGTCCCCACTCCTTACAATGCGTCGGTATGTGTCTCAATTCTCTTCGATGTTTACGAAAATGATCAAGTTATGGATCCCCTGGCCGGCCCCTGAACTCCGAACTGACCAGATCGCCGCCCAAACCATTCTTTCGAAGCCCCTGACTTCAAAACGCCCCCAAAATCTGTCACAGCCTGTCACAAGATTCCAGCAACCCATACATCTACGCCCTACGCCATGTTCGTGAAACCGCCAACTTCCAACACTAACGCAAATACCGTCTCCATCCGTCCCTAAACACAACCCTCTGCCCATCATCACCAAAGCCAACTCTAAACCTCTCCCACCGATTGTCCTGACCCGCTCCAATAACGATGAGCTCACTGTCGCTCCGCCACCCAATGACGCCCTTTGGCGGTCTCTGTGCATAGGAGGATGAGGAGGCCACCTGACTCAGCAGCGCAGGCTCATCCCCCATCTCAAACCTCGTTGACGCAGAGGAGTACGTATCCGAAAACACGCGCGGCATCATGGGTATATTCGCCAGCCCACCCCATCGCGGCCTTGACTCGGCGGGCTGCTCCGCGTCGACGGTCTCCCACTCGCTGGGCGAACCACCCAGGTGGCCGGGAGAGACGGTGCGGCCGCCTGCTGGTGCGGCTTCAGCGGGACGCGACGCATGCTGCAGCTCGAAGATGTGCAGGGTCGATTTGTCGGACGTGACGGCGAGCAAGCTACTCGAGGGTGAGATGGCGACGGAGAAGATAGTCGCTGGATCGATGCCGCGGCGGAACTCATGCATCTTGGCGCAGTTGGCTGTCGCGAAGACGCGGATGATGGTGCCCTTGTCGCTAGCGGTGGCGAGGAGCGTGCCGTCGGGCGAGAGGGCCAGGGCGCGCAGAGGAGAGGTGTGTGCGGGGATTATGCTGACGGCGCGGGTGGCGAGGTCGACGATCTGGACCTGGCCTGCGGTGCGGCCGGGGAAGGCGATGATGCGGTCGCCCAGCCAGCAGAGGCCGCAGGGGTTGGCGGCTGTTTCCCATTGCCCGATCTTACGTGGGGGGACGGCGAAGGTGAAGAGATGGACGCGGTTGTGGAGGATTATGGCGGTATGGGTCTTTGTTAGGCAGACTGAATGGACGTGAGACGGGTATGTGAAGAGGAAGGCGGCGGTTTGTTGCTTGTCGTCCCAGATGACGACCTTGTTCGGTGCGGCTTTCGGACGCTGGCCGCCGCCGACGAGGGCGAGATAGCGCGTCGTGTTCAACAATGCTACGCTTCCAACGCCGCCCCCTATTGACCGTTCCTTGACAGGCTTCCCATCCGCAGAATCGTAGACTGTAAGACACGGTAAGAGAATGATAACTAGGCAAGCTTGATTCACGTACTGCGGTAGCCCGACTCCAAAGCGACAGCAAAGTGGGAGGCTCCTGTATTGAATGAAGCCGACAAAGCAACGGGCCGCCGCCGCTCGTTGATAGCTTGGCGGGTATTCATAGTGGATGATAGCAATTTGAAGATTCTTAGGGTGACTGGAGTGTTTGAACGGGAGGGAAAAGGGTACTAGAGAAAATGTTTGGAGAGACTTTCGATCGCAACACAAGACCACGGTGATCCATGTGGCTTGGAGCTTCTTGGAGCGCGGCACTCAAGCTGTCACCTGCGTCTCTACCTAGACAAGATCGCGGCCTAACCAGCCGCTTTGTCTGAGCCAGATATAGTGGTAACAACAACCAAAGAAACCATAGAAGACTCGACCCGCGGGGACACAATGTCTACGGTCGGCTCGTCCATAACACGCAACAAGTATCTGCGCGCTGGCTTGCTGGATGGACGCGCACTATGTAACTGACGATGGAGGTGCGGCTGTCCCTCGGTCCAGCTGCACGCGGCCGCGGCTTATCAGTCTTATCGTAGCTAAGCCTATCTTGGGATCGAAGCACGTGGTCATCGGCTGGGAAGAATAGATCCTCCGCTCCGCCCGTCCCCCTGCTCTCATCCTTGCTCGCACCTGTCCAAGTCGAGGCTAGAGGATTTCCCCGGGCCGCTTCACAGGCTGTCAGGCCCGCAGGACCCCTTTTCAAATCCCCGATCGGCCTGGGCAGGAGCAACTCGCGCAGCCTCAACTTCTCGACCAGCACAGCAACACCGACTACACACACCTCTCTCTCCCTCCACCGACTCTGCCGCTCATTCGCCTCACTACTCCTGGAGCGCTTGCTTCGCCGACTGCACAACCTAGCCAACCTTGTACTGTGACACGTCCTCGCCCTCCATGAACGCAGTACGCCTCAACCAAGTATTTCCCCTACATTTCAGTATTTATTATACACCGAGCACGCGACACACAATTGCGCGTCGAACACGCAACCAGACGGCTTGCTGACGTGTTACTAACACAGATCAAGATTCGCCGCAAGAAGAATGTCAAGAAGGGCATTCAGTTCTGCCTGATGGTCTGTGGTGCCTCAGGGACCGGTACATACTCCCACCACTTCCAAACAGCGCGATTGCAGCAGCTCACCCGCGCTCCCATTAGGCCGGACCACTTTCGTCAACACACTCTGCGGAAAGAAGGTTCTTCACCACAAGGAGGCTGACGATCCTCACAATGCCCACATTGAGGAAGGCGTGCGGATAAAACCCATCACCGTCGGTACGCTGCGTCTACAGTATTAACAATCGGTCGTGTTGCTCGCACTGACCTTCTACGACAGAGCTGGAGCTGGACGAGGAGGGTACCCGCATCTCACTCACGATTGTCGACACACCCGGCTTCGGTGATCAGATTGATAATGAGGCTAGGTGAGGACAGGAGGACAGGAGGACCGTCGCACAACAACGGCAAGTTCTGACATGATACTGCAGCTTCTCAGAAATCGTCGGTTACCTCGAGCGACAATACGACGACATCCTCGCAGAAGAATCACGTATCAAGCGTAACCCCCGTTTCCGTGACAATCGTGTTCACGTCCTCCTTTACTTCATCACTCCCACCGGTCATGGGTTCGTCTCGCTCCGTTACACACCTGTCCTGCTTTGCACAGTAGGATACTCTCTGACATCGTTGACACAGCCTCCGCGAGCTCGATATCGAACTCATGAGACGTCTCTCCCCCCGCGTGAACGTCATCCCCGTGATTGGCAAGGCCGACTCCCTCACTCCGGCCGAGCTGGCCGAATCCAAGAAGCTCGTCATGGAAGACATTGAGCACTACCGCATCCCTGTTTACAACTTCCCCTACGATATTGAGGAGGACGACGAGGATACCGTCGAGGAGAACGCCGAGCTCCGCGGGCTAATGCCGTTCGCCATAGTGGGGAGCGAAGAGGTGGTTGAGGTGAATGGACGCAGAGTCAGGGCGAGACAGTATCCGTGGGGAGTTGTCGAAGTGGATAATCCACGGCACTCAGATTTCCTGGCCGTCAGGTCCGCGCTCCTGCATTCGCATCTGGCGGACCTGAAAGAGATCACGCACGATTTCCTGTATGAGAACTACCGGACGGAGAAGTTGAGCAAGAGTGTGGAGGGCGGTGCTGCTGCGTAAGTTTTCCAATCTTCATTCTCAACCCTCCGGCAGCGAAACTGACCACCCACACCGCTCCAGCGACTCCTCAATGCACCCCGAAGATCTGGCTTCACAATCCGTGCGTCTGAAGGAGGAGCAGCTACGCCGCGAGGAAGAGAAGTTGCGCGAGATTGAAGTCAAGGTGCAGCGCGAGATCAACGAGAAGAGGCAGGAGCTCCTAGCGCGTGAGAGCCAGCTGAAGGAGATTGAGGCTAGAATGCACCGCGAGCACAGTACCGTAGCAACGGAGAACGACTTGGACGAGCGTGATTGAGTCATCTCGAAATTGGAGAAGGGCGAAGCATAGGCGATGGGCCTATCACTGTGCGAGCGTGTATTGTTGGTCTGACAAGGTGGATCGTGTTAGACGGGACTGATTTCCGGGAAGAAAAGATCATCAGTCATGGGCTGGGTACCTAGGTATATCTGCGTTGTTATTAGGTGTCGTTTCTGGTATGGTGGGCTTGCTTTTGGAACATTCTAGCTGACATGCTGGCCGTATTCGTGTCTCATTTGTTGGCCTTCTCTTTCCGCTTCTGCCTTTCAATACTAGTACCCCTTGTTTCATAGGTAGCAACTTCGTAATCAGCTCCAGAGCTTGTGCAAGATTTCTTACAACATGCTTGACATGAACTTTGTGCTGGCACTCGTCGACGATGTTCCCATGCCCTGATGACTCCCAGCCCAAGAGCCTCATATCTAGCGGCCTGCGAGGCTGCGAGGTTGTATTTTGTCAGCTGATGGAAAGCCGCTGCAGCCGCCCGCGGCGAGGTCAACGTGAACCATCCATCCTCTTCGGACCCGCGGCCGGACCACTTTTCGCCCCTCTACGGCAGCACACTCTTTGCTGTATTAGGCAATGGTTGGCTTTGGATGTCCACCATCACAACCGTAGCTCGACCAGTCAAGGACCAATCATGACGCCAAAGCCGCTTGCAGGAGGGCGTTCACCTCGACCTCACGGCGGGTTTGCCTGCTTCCGCCCGCCACTGCAGGGCGTTTGGATCATCTGGCAGGCTCACACGGCTAACGGCTCTGCCATTTCTGCGTCAAATGCGCTTCTCAAGAATATGCAGCATTACCAGAACCACACTTGAGGGCCTCCAAGACGATGGAACTCACGCCAACTGGGTCGGTTCCATCGTTGATCATGCGCGGCATGCTTATCGTGTCCGCGCCGTCCATCTAGCGATCCACTTCATTACAGCTTGATACTCGTTTCGGAAAACTCTTACTAGGTAAGCTCGGCTTTATGTGGATACAGAACGGCCATCACCGTGGCTCGATCGTGGTCACCGTAAGTACCAGTTCGGCGGCTGAACCAGACATGAATTTTGCCTTGTCTACCGTCCCCTTCTACCTGCTCTCTACTACCGGGTTCCTCTTATAACGTGTGCTCTATTTTTCGTCTGAGTATACGTTATTGCATCTGAGAATACGTTCTACACATGGCGCCTCAGGAAGACATCCCTCTGGTCGGTGGTTCTACGCCCAGGTCACCTCCGTGTTACTGATCTTAGCATTCTCTCCCAGTCGGCAACTGTTCTGGGGGTAGGAAGTTCCCTCATCAGCTCTTAGATTGGCAGTGACTTACTGAACCGCATTCTGTGTTTTACAGCTCATCGGCACAAGTACAGCAGCCAAGATCAGCTTGTCAAAGTTCCTGTCCATGCTGACCTGGAGCAGTGTATGTCTTTATACCTGAGCCATGGCTATATGGGTAATTTACTTATACCATGACGACATCAGACTCTGGTGCATTCAGGTTGGTAGCCCCGTCTTCAGCGGTTCCAAGCCGTCTAGGGAGCTGGCTGACGTTTGCCTTCCGCAGCTCATACCTCAGTATGTTCGACGACACTGGTCTTTTCAGCCGGTTGACCAATTGCCTGCAGGATATGGCAAAACTGGCGTCGGAAGAAGACTGACGGTCTGCCGGCACTGATGCTGTTCCTCTGGGTGATGGGTGGGTGCATATTTTGCTATCTATAAAGGGCTATTGTAACTGTTTTGTTGACTCATTTAGCTGTGCCGCCCCTGGGTATATATGCAATCGTTCAAGTAAGCTCGAAAAGCGGCTTCTTAGCCACGGAGGTCTCTAATCGACAGCAGAACTTCAACATCCCGTTGCAGTTGCAGCCGCAGATATTCGGCCTCGAGGCTCTATTCTGCTGGGCTCAGACGCTCATATATGCCCAGTAGGTCTCGCTCTCCGTGCCCCTCACGCTCGTCATGCTAATAGTCAGATAGCGGTTGGAGAACATGGACTGCATCCCTGGTGGCTGTCATCACTGGCATCGCCTGCGCTGGCGTTCAGGTGTTGCTGGTCTTCACGCTTCGAGTACAACCCTTGCCCATTCTAGACCTGTAGGACACCGTTGACGCGAAGGCCCAGGGTCCATATGCAAACGGTATCTCTTGGCCCATCACGACTATTGGCATCATCGCCGCCGTCGTCCTTGCCGCTGGCTTGATACCGCCATACTTCGAGCTGTGGAAAAGGGACTTCCGAGTCATTGGAATTAGTGGGAGACGAAGCTACCCCTTGTGAAGAGAGGAAGCTAACCTGCACTGTCAGACTTTATTTTTCTGACTACGGACTGGTTCGGCGCATTCTTCTCCGCGATGGCTTTGGGTTCGTATTCATTTTACGAGATATTGATGCCGGCTCTTACTGACTCGAGAAAAGTCGCCCAACATACATTTGATGTCATTGGCGGAAGTTCTTATACTATTTGGTAAGTCTTTGTCCCCGCAGTATCACTCCGCGCAGCGTACGAAGGGATGCGGCTTGGCAGCACACCGCATGTGCTAAGGCTACCTCTCAGCATGATCCTCGAGCTTGGGATATTCCTTTCCCACATTCTTTGGCGCTTCCGCACCCGCAAAATCCACCGCGAAGCAAAGCTGGCTGATCTCAGCTACGACGACTACATTGACGAAAAGCGCGGCCTGCCGGCCGCCGATTCGAGCGCTTCATTGGAAAAACTTCCGATACCATCCAATGCAAACGGGGCGGAGACGGATTTGGAAAAAGGGCCGACACAAGTTGTGGCTGTATCAACATCGGAGCAAAAAACGACGCCGTAGATGAAAGAAGAGATCCGTAACAAGGTTGATCATGTTCGCATCCGCGAGGGTTCTACCACAAGCGAGATACTGTGGACCCAGGCAAAGTTCAGGTTCGGTTTCATTGGATAAGAGGATGCGACTCCAATGTGTCATGTCATGCTGTCGGCGTTGGTCTATTTGCATTTGGGTGGTCATCTGAAGCATTTTGTGTCGCGCTGGAAAAGCATACTAGAGTGTCTTCGATGTGGAGTCATCCATCTGAGTATTACGATGGCGGCCTGTGGCCTATACGCATAGTTTCGCGCCGTTGTGTTTTCTGTACAGTTATCTGCCAATCCACTGTGTATCTCATGTCTCTCAAATTTTGTCTTCGATCACCTGCTTTCCCACAGCGCCTCATCAAGCAAGATAGCCATATCGTCGAAACGCGGCTTTAGTACCTCAGTGAACCGGCATCGTTGCTGGGAGAAAGGGCAAGCAGGCTGAAACAGCACAGTTGAGGTCGCCCAAGCACAACTCTAGCCACCAATCCATTTTCAACCGGCTCAAGCGCAGCATGTTCGCCCCACATCTACCCGCCCGAGATACTGGGGCGGCCGGACATGGCAATGTTTTCCCGGTATGGTCAGCTGGGTATCTGGTAGTGGATTGTCTCGCAGCTGACTATCGAAAGACTGCCTAAGCCTCCGGATATCACCTTGACCTGAGGGCTTGGCATCTTACCGCCTAAGCCAGGGTCTTGAGACAACGAGCCTCGGCTGGCAGAATCATCTGTTGTCGGTCCTCAACCATTATCACATTCACTCCGTACACAAGTATCCTCGCTCTCCACACCGCAAACATGTCCTCCCTCCCAAGCCCCTTCATCCCCATCCCCAACCTGCACAACCTCCGCGACATAGGCGGCTACCCCCTCCCCACCGCCCCACCCACTACCGTCCGCAAACGCATCCTCTACCGCTCCGCCGACCGCTCCGCCTGCGCCGCTTCGCCCGAAGGTTCCCAGCAGCTCCACTCGCTCGGCATAACCACCGTCTTCGACCTGCGGAGCAAGCCAGAGCTCGACCGCGCCGGCGGGCCGAAGGAGTTTGAGGGTATACAGCGGATATGGTGCCCTGTGTTCGAGGAAGAGGATTACTCGCCCGAAAACGTCGCGCTTAGGTATCGGGAATATGCGAAACGGGGATCTGAGGTAGACACTGCTCCCCGTTACCTCTACCTGCGCTATTGCTCGCGTCCGATAGCCGTGAGGGAGGGAGAGAGGGAGAGGGGGAGGATAAGCTGACGCCCCAGCGCTAGTAGGGCTTCGTGGCCGCCTACGGCGATATCCTCTCCCACGGCGGGCCAGCCTTCACACGCATTCTGCGCCACCTCGCCGCCCTCCCCACTGACGCGCCGCCAGCCTGCCTCGTCCACTGCACGGCGGGCAAAGACCGCACAGGCGTCTTCTGCGCGCTGCTGCTCTCGCTGCTCGGCGTATCCACCGAAGATGTGGCCGAGGAGTACGCGCTCACGGACGTGGGGCTCGCGGCGCTGAAACCTGTGTTTGTGGAGCGCCTGTTGCAGAGTGAGGCGTTTAGGCAGCTGGGCGAGGAGGCGAGGGAGGGGGTTGAGAGGATGGTAACTGCGAGGAAGGAGAATATGGAGGCGACGCTGGAAATGATACGCGAGAGGTATGGGGAAGCGGAGGGGTATGTTAGGGCTGTGTGTGGGTTGAATGGGGAGGAGGTTGGGAGGTTGCGGGAGGTGATGATGGTGGGTGTTGATGGAGCCGAGGTGGAGAAGCCGGTGCTCTAGGCTTCTCAGCACAAAAGAGAGCGCCCGGTGCAGTACACTAGGGAAGCCCTACTGGAGAACTGTAAGGGTCGAACTTGTTCCTCGGTTGGCATTGACAGTAGCGAGTCGCAGTATAGAACTCTTAGATACAGTATGGAGGATCGACATGGCGCAGTTAGAGTAGACGAGAAGACCCCTTTATTCCTAGAATATACAGTAACAGATGAATCAAAGGGTATCTATGCGTAGGCAAAGACAGCAGCGTTTTTGAACTCCAAACACCCGGCAACATCCAAGCAACCTTTACCAGCTCTACCAATCAGAAAGCGACCTCGAGATCGTAATGCGTACACTGCAGCACCGCCCCCAACCAACTCGATGGCAACACAGCGCGTTTGACGTGCAAGGAGCCAGCTCAAGACGGCTTATCACATCCGATACGCCCCAACAACTCCTTCCTGTCACTGTGGCCAGTAATACTGATTCCGCTCGCTCGTCCCGAGCTTCGCCTATACAGCCTCGTCGACGGACTCATCCTCCTCGCAAAATGCAGCTCCTCCACCCCGACCTCCTCTTCGAGCGGTTGGGCGTACTTCAGCTGCACCGAGGCAGAAGTAGGATGATCGACCTCAAGCTCCTCGATCTCGTCCTCGGACGCCTCGCCCTCGTCGTCGCTCCTCGAGTCGTCGGCGCTAGATCCCTTGAGGACCTTGTACGCGACCCGGACGATCATCCCGAACCAGATAAGCGTGATGACTTGTAGCGCTAGCAGCAGTCCCAGGAACGCCCATCGGATGTTCTCGTTGAAGCAGGTTTCGCCACCGGGGTCGCGGAAGGGCTGCAGCACGTGGCGCAGAACGTCGGAGCCGCCGTCGGAGGAGAGCTTCTCGCCGGTAAGAGAGGAGTAGCAACCGGATGGCATGGTGGCCGGAACGTCGGTGTGGATGGACCAGCAGACGAGGAGGTAGAAGACGTGGCGCGCGACGAACCAGGTGATCATGAAGACGCCGAAAGCGATGTCGCAGGCGGTGGAATAGCTGAGATATTTGAGCATCTTTGCGGCCTAATATAGCATACGATATCAGCAGGCTTCCTCTCTTCAGCAGAATATGTAGGGACAGACTGACCGGTAGGATGATATCCACGACATCCATGATGCACAGTATCACATTTCCGACTTTTGTCTGGTAGAACCCGTAGCTCATAAACATGAGAGCGCTCGTAACGATATGATGCGTAAACATCTGCGCGTAGTCTTTCCGCCGCTCCTCGATGTTGACCACGACGATTTGCTGCAGCCAGAAGGCGAACTGGACAAGGTAATACCACTTGAGTAAGCCGCTCATGCCGCGCGTTGGAAAGTGGGTCCACATCTCGCGCAGATTGAACCAGTATGGAGAGTTGTACATTATGTACTGCCACCATAGTGTCAGCGAATGACTCCAACGCAGCAATTGCCGCCTTTTAAGCCTCGAGTCCGGTTGCCGGGCCGGAAAAGGATCAACATACCATGCCTAACGTCCAGAAGATGGAGTAGTATAGAAACAGCCAAGCCTGCTCGGCGAACCTGACTCTTGCCTTCGGCTTGTCGACGCCGCCCCATCTCGCATATGGCTTCAGGATGTAGTCCATAACCGCGGCGCGGAGGCCTGTAAAGATGACGATCCAGAACGACACAAGCGACAGATCGTCCCAACCTTGCGTGTATTGGCCGGTGGACGGATCGTGGTAGGATAAGGTGAAGAACTTTTGGGTACGTCGTCGCGCGCGAGGGAAGCAGAGGTGTGTTAGGGCGAGGAGTAGAACGAGGTTGATTGAGAGGCCTGGTCTCAAGGTTAGCTCGCTGCTCCTGTGGAGTTTCGCATCTCCCTATGCACCTATCTGATGTTCTACAACCCAGGCGCAGAGCGTGCCCATGAGGGTCTCGCCCTTCCCCTTCCTCTTCTTCGTGGCGCACTCATGTGCGCTACCGTTGGCAGCAAGACTTTCCTGGTATTTCAAGAAACCGTCCTGCGACTGGTAGACACAATTGGCATGTCCATTCTGTAGGTTCTCCTTGCCGTCAAATGGAGAGTCTTGCCGTGCGGCCATGGTTGGAAAGTGTTGAGTGGACAAGGAGCGAACGTCAGTACAATGTGAGCTCAAGCAGCCATTGGTGTTCCCCGTTAAGCGTCAGTAGAGGTCGAAGAGAGCGAACGGGGATCACAGCGAAAGCAACGGCCGCGGTCGTAGGCGTTGTGTGGGTCAAGTCAGGCGGTGTACTTTTGTGTTGTGGGGGAGTCCGCGGCAGAAAGATAGGCAAGAGGATGCAACTCCGGCGGGCAGAAGCGCCAGCGGCTCACCAGGAGCTTTCAATTCCCCCGTAGAACCGGATTGAGTTGCTCTGGTTAGGCAATGGCAGGTTTGAAGGCTGATTGACGGCGGGCGGAGCGCTGGCACTTCCGCTTCTCTTTGTCAACCAAAATTCTTTAAAGACCCTGACAGCTAGCAGGGCCTCTGCCGCTTGGCAGGAGTCGGAGACACTTCGCACTTTGACATCCTTGGCCGAACCGCCTTTCTGGACGGTTGCTCCGATTAAGGTTTCGGCCAGAGTCACAGCATATCATCATGAAGCAGGCTGTCCGAGTCAAGAACTGTTGGAAACCTTGCTAATTTATCTCGCGGCTACAACAATCCCAAAACGCCATTGATTAGCTTTCTGATACCTAAAGCGCCCCTTCGGTCTGAGCTGACCTTGGCGCCATCTCCTATTGCAGTGAACCAGCTTCAGCTCGATTTAGAATGCATCCTAGTTGTTGTTCTGGCTATTGAGAATCCTGAGAATAGCCAGGAACAGGTTGATAATGTCGAGGTAGAGCGAGATAGCCGCGGCGATCTCTTCCTCAACGTGATAGTGTCTCATCACCAGCTGTGTGTCGACCAAGATATATCCGCTGAAGATGAGCGCGGCAATTATGCCGTATCCGAGCTCCACCTTGCTGTTGTGCGGGAAGAACGCAGCCATGAAGCCGAAGATGATCAGGATCCACAGTGCACCGAACAGGTATGGGATCCAGTTGGTGAAGTCATACTTCGTCTGGCAGGCGAAGAGCGTAAGGGCTACGAAGATGGCGAGCGTGAAGACGAGCGCTTCAAGTACGATGCGCGATTCGTAGAAGGACGTGATGACCGAGATGGAGTAGGCTTCAAGCGCCGTGAAGCCGCTGAGGAAGAGTAGGTTCGTGGGATATGACTTGCGCTTCCAGAAGGTGAGGAGCATGAATCCGATCGCTCCGAAGAGCGACACCCACATCAACCATGCGTTTGTCTGAATCCAGTTGCGGTAGCCGTCGCTGAAGAACGAGACAGAGCTGAGGACAGCCGTGGCGAGTAACTGAACGGTCCTGGGAGTTGTTAGCTTCCGCAATGAGGTGAGTCAGTAAGAAGTTGGACATACAGGATGGCGTAGACCTTGCGGATGAACTGCATCCGAATATCGAGTGTAGCCTCAGCTACAACGCCACCAAACTTGAAGTCATCGGGAAGGTTGTCGTCTTCGCTACGCGGTGCTCCAAGCAAGCTGGCACTCGCCGCCTCCGCCTGGTAAGCTGGTGGCGCTTGACTGAAGCTGCTGTCCTCGAAGGAATCACGCTGCGGCACCGGCTGGAACTTGGTATGTGCAGCCATCGTGGAGTAGTCCTTTGGGGGCATACGAGGATGAGTCGGTCGGATGAGTCGGTCGGCTGAGTGTGTGGTAGAAAGAGGGTGTGTAGATTGCGCGGTCGTTTGAGGAGGTGGAGGATGGCAGTCGCGAGTAGTTTTTAAAGCGACGGTAGGTAAGGCGACTGTGTTAATGGTGACGATGATTTGGTGAGGACTGTGAGGCGCGGGGCGTCATGTCACATGATCACATGGAATGCTCCTGAAGACCACCAGACGTCCAAGCCACCGCCACAGCGACAGACCTTGATATCACGAGACATCGCATTCTTTGCCTGTGGCTTTGGTCAAATCCGCTGAGGACGACTCATTCGGGAATCGGATCTCGCACCAAGTTTCAAGTGTTGAGCTGTGTTGACTCGAGGACCAGCCTTTGTGCAGGTACATGGGATAAAAGCGAGGTTGTGTACTCTGAGGCATTGCCCAAGCTTTCCATGAATTCCTTAGATAGGGTATCTTAACATCCGATGAACATGACCCTGCCGGTGCATTGCGAGGGCTTCTCATCCGCTCTCCAAGTACCTCAAGGATGTGAACTACTCGGGGCTGAACCTCGACCCGTTTTACTAATAAGATTCGCGAAGAAGGACGCAAAGTACTCGTTCTCGGCTCTTGGGTCCGTCGGGGAGGTGATGGGCGCCGCTTCTCCTGCAGAGAATCGATTTGCTTCTCGGTCCTGCCGAGGGAGTTCAGTACGTGTAGAAGATTGGGGCGCCCAGTCAATCTCACCTTGAGTCTCTGCAGCATGTCATCGGCGTCCACCTGGATGCCGCCCATATTGAACTGTACAGGACCGATGTGCTCATCCATGGCTCCACTCGCGGTGTCAACGTTCGTAATGAGTGCAGCTGCACCTTTTCGTGCCTCCCGGCCGGTTTTGGATTTGATTTGTTCGTCGTCGGCGCGCAGCTTCTCCAGCACCTCCATCTGGCCAGCCAGAAACGCTTGGTTATCGGTGCACTCCACTTCTATGCCATTGCCATTTCGGGAGTACAGTCCGTCAGCTGGAACACCACCCTGCTCAGGGTCGCGCATGGTGTCTTCGTACATCGCTACGGCGCTTCCTTGTGCGCTCGCATTAGTTTGACCCGCAAGAGCAACTTCTTCGCCGCCATCCTCACCAATGCTGTCAGTCCCAGTCGTCCGTGAATCCTGTATCTGAATTGACCACGCCCTGCTGATGCCCTCTACGTCAAAGCCTTCTCTGCCGGGAAGCGCCCTGATCTTTCCCCAAGAGTCCCAGTTCGGCGGCACCAACACTCTGTCACGGTCGATGATGTTATATTGCAGCCGCTTCTTCTCAAGCGTGCCTTGAATGCCCAGCGACGAATGTATAAGTGTTTGTAGCGAACCAGGCTGCGACAGCATCGTGTATATCAATCCAGCCCCGTGCTTCAGTAAGATCGTTCGTATGTACTGCAGGACAAAGTCGAACTCGTCATCCTTCCAGTTTCGTTCTCTCTCGAGCGTCTCGATTCTGTCTGCGTTCTGACAGACAACGCAGAGAGGTATGCCGAGCGGCTCGTCCCATTCGCCTGGCCCGAGGGGGATCGGTACATTGCCGTAAGCTGTGGCTAATGCAGTGTCAACACCACGGCTGCGTCCTCGCTCCCGACAAATCGCGATATTTTCTTCGAGTGCGTCTTTGCACTTGTCGTCTAGCGAGCTCATGAGAGAGCGCAGAGCCCGTATCCAATCGCGCAGCTGACGTACCCATGCCCACGGCTGGCTCCAGTCAAGCAGTATGACGGCCAGCATGTTCGGTAAGGTGCGAGTGGTAAGCAGAGGCTTGAGGAGTGGTGTAAATGAAGGTGACGAGTCGGTGAGGAGATAGAGTGACAGGCGGGCGAGAGTATCTGTATAGCGTGTCAGAACTCTAGCTGCATGAGCGCTAAGCGATGTCCATACCTTCTTGGTCGGTGTCAAGGACGTCTTGATATGTGTAGCCTAGAGCGAATTGGTTTGCAATGGGGGGTTTCCGGCCACGATCTGGGGGCCGTCGCCGCTTCTCGGGATCTGTGCGTATGGAATCGAGAAAGTCTTTCTGTGTTTCTGGCGTCCCTCCGAGCACGAGTACGCTCTTCTCTGGTAACCTCTTGCCGCTCGAAACGCCATCAAGCATTGAAGACCATAGCTCTTTCTTCGGGGCGTCGCTGCTCTTTGGTCGATCATCGTTCCCTGTTCCTCGATGGGTATATGTGGATGCTCGGGCCATTCTTGCGGGGAATTCACCAAGGCGATTCGCGAGCGGTAAGTGGCGTCGCAACCCTTCAGTAAAGACGGATTTCCTCAGGCGCAGATATCAGCATGTAGAGAACACAGCCTCTTCACGGTGTCTTCACAGTTGACTGGAACTGCTTCGTGTGTTGATGATGGTTTTGGGGTCCGGCTGCCCCAAGCTCTTCGTCGCGTTCGCGTAGGCACGTGAGCGCTCTCTGAAGCGCGACCGGCTGCTCCAGTGCAGGCAGAGCCTCAAATTATCATCAACTGCACAGAATTCAACCATCTCGCAGACTGCACGACTGATTGGCTGACCCTGTCAATGAGAGCCTGCTGGACTGTAATGCGGGACCCATGAAGCAGTTTGAGAAGAATTCCCAACCACCAGCTTCAAATAAACCGCCGGCATGAACACCATCCGCCAAGTTCAAGCGCTGAACAAGCGCGAGCTCGAGGCCGTCGTCAGCCCAGAGGCATCCTGGCACGCCGACTACCGGGACACAGCCTACATCTACATTGGCGGCTTGCCCTTCGATCTCTCAGAAGGCGACATCATCACCATTTTTTCGCAGTTCGGCGAGCCTGTCTTTGTCAACCTGGTGCGGGACAAGGAAACAGGGAAGAGCAAGGGCTTCGCCTTCCTCAAATACGAGGACCAGAGGAGCTGCGACCTGGCCGTCGACAACTTGGGGGGTGCGACGGTGATGGGACGGATATTGAGGGTGGACCACACAAGGTACAAGAAGAAGGACGATGAGGATCTGGGCGACAACACACAAGGTGGGACTGTGAACGGGGACGAGGAAGACAGCCGGAGAAAGAGGAGATCGGACGATGTGGAGAGCGAGAGCGAAGAAGAACAGAGACCCTCGCTCAAGGAAGAGCGGGAACTAGCAGAGCTTATGCGCAACCATGATGACGACGACCCGATGAAGGCATACTTGATCGAGCAGAAGAAGGAGGAGGTGCAAGTGGCATTACAGGCCATCAAGAGGAGGGATCATAAGCGGAAGGACGACAAGCACGGGAAACACCGCCACAAGCACAAGATCAGATCAGATTCGAGAGAGCACCATCGGTGCCGGCGACGTTCGCACTCTAGCGCTGCATCGGATGACCGGAAACGCTCGAGGTCTCGCGACAGAAGGCACCGTGAGAGATCGCGATCTCGGGATAGAGACCGGCGTCACAAGCGGTCAGCGAGTCCGGCCAGGTCTCGTAGGAGATGAGATTTGAGACTCCACGACGAGTAAGCCACTCTACAACATCTCTCTACTGTGTTCACAGGCTCCAGAGAGTTGTTGAATAGAAAATCATTGGTGCAACCATCTTAGTTAGCGATCGACCCACTACCTCACACATAGCTACATGTGCTCTCGATTTAATATTACTCCGGCAGCAATTAGGACTCAGCATGGATTGTCGCACGACGGACGCTTAGCACATCGACCTAAAGAACCGAAAGGTTTGATCTTAAAGAGGCGATCTGGTTGATCTTTGTCTTGACCCGACCGAGCTCCCAGTCAGCACTTGCACATTCTCAGGGTGAAGTATCAGGCCACCCTGATTCACGTCAGCAGTAGGCACTCATGGCTACGAAGAATGTTTGCTTTAGGCAGAACTGCAGCCGTACTGGAGTGTTTCTTGTGTTTCTGGTCGGGAACAGACGCCTAGTCTTCCACTACTGGCACTCAAGGATTGCGCCTGTGACTGTCTCTTACATGCTGGCATTGTTGCCATGCGAAGACCAGACCATGTCACCATGTCGGCTCGGTAGCTTTTATTGTGTGGTACGATTTCACATACCTTCATGCTCACAACAGTAGCAAGGCAGTGGTTAGATATAAGTTAGAGTATTGATCGACATGCTTAAACGCTCCTCTAGTTCCCTCTATGCGTGATATTGCGTTCACTGAGCTCATCACTGTCTCTGTGAACACTCCCACTGGAACTAATCTCGACGTCAGCCACCATCATTCTGCAACTAAACACAAACAACTTACCACTCTTCCCTCTTCATCACCAGTATACAGGACCATCGGCAGAGGCAAGATACACGTCGCTGGCGCGGCAAAATTCTGCGCACCTTCTCTCACCGGATCAACGTGGTCAAGTCTCTTGACGAGCTCGAGCTTCCACTCGCCGAAGCTCCCGATGGTCTTGTTCCAGATCTGTGCGGTGTCAGCGTTCTGTCCTGATCCACATCCACGTGCCGCCGACGGAAAGGACTGAAGAAGAAGCGACCTACATTCACGACGCCCCTCCTATGCCCTGTAAACATCAGCTCCCGCGCCACCCACTCATTTCCCACACCCTCATAAAACGCACACGAATTCACCACATCGTCCGGCTCCTCCGTCTCACAAACCCTCTGGTCGAGCAGCAGCCGTCCATTGAGTGTATACAGCAGAACCCGCGGCCCAGCACACAACATCACATGTCCTGTAACCCCATTAATCCGCGCGCACTGCACCGCCGTGCTCCCATCCCCCCTCTCGAGCTCCCGGATATACTCCGAGCGGTTCAGGTCCCACAGGTAGACCCTCCCATCGGTCGAAGCGGAGAGGAACGTGCTGAAAGAGCGACAGGCCGCGAGCGTAGTAGCGGGGGTGCGATGCCCGAAGAGGCAGATCCGGGGCTGCAGATCGACGGCCTTGCCGGCGGCGGAAATGGTCCAGACGGAAATGACGCAGTCGGTGCCGGCTGTGATGAGAGTTTTGCTGTCGACGAAGGTGGCGCAGGAAATTTGGGATTGGTGGAGGTGCTCGAAGAGGCCAAGGAGCTGGAGTGAGTCGAGTTAGTCGGATGCTGCGGGCAGTGTTGAGATTAGGCACGGGGGGGTTAGATGAGACACACCTTTTTGGAGTCGGCGGCGTAGAACCTCACGCTGCCGTCTGCGAAGCCCCATTCCATGTACCGTTCGTAGTTGGGTGGGATATTGAGCCTGAAGGCTCCGGAGACTAACACTTTGTCATGCTTGGGAGAGTACAGCAGGGATGAGACGCGGTCCTGGCTCTCCGTGAACGATGGTAGTTGGGTCAACGACTCGGCCGCATCGTCAAGCCGTTTGGATCTGATTGGAACATCCTTGCGCTGCGGATGCGATCGTTGAAAGACCTGGTGAGGCGTCTGCCCGAAATTGTGGATGATGCCAATGGTAGCCAGCCGCTCCATCGGGTCATCGATCTGGTCAAGATCCTTAGCACCATGGTAGGAAAGATGATGGAACACGTTCGTTGCCTCGATAGCAGCCTCACCGCTCTGCTTGAACCCAAAGACGAGGTCGATCCACTGGTGCAGATTCTTGCTGACGTACGGGCTCTCGAGCGCCTCCCTGTTCTTCGCGATGAAGATCTCCGGGTCACCTTTAGCCCATGGCGGTAGCTCCACGTCGTCGACCTTACCGCCGGACTGTCTGTTGCCGAAGTTGTAGCCGTTGATGTTCTTCAGAAACTCGGGAAGGTAGAAGAACTCTGGAGTCAGCTCGCGAACGTCAGTCATGCTCTCTCGCGAAGCGAGAAGCCATGTTTTCTCGATGGAGGAGAAAAGTCTATCCGCGTGGTCAAAGTTTCCACCCTGCAGCAGCAGATACGATTGCACAAAAGGCTGAAGTCGAATGAGGTAGGACGTGACAATCATCGCCGAGGAGTAGTGCGTCCCGTAGTGGAAAGGCGGAGAATTGTGGTCGCCCATTTCCGCGAAAGACTTGTAGCGATCCCGGAAATCTGACTCTCTCGATGCAGTTTGACAGCCCATTGGCTTTGACAGATCTCGGAAGGTCCGCTCATTGCTCAGGTCCAGCTCGTCGCTGGTGTAGTCAGCGATTATCCACGGGAAGACAGGATACTGAGTCAGGTCATTGAACGTTCTTCCAGCCATCGTATTGATCAGCATGAGGTAGTGGAAGTTTGAGATCTCCCCCTTGAGCCATTTTCGTGTCGCGGGATTTGAGGACGCTGAGCTGAACACGTTGGCCCACTTGGAGCTAAGCGACTGAGGTGCCTCCTCAGGGTGCCGCAAACTCTCCAACCGCCAGGAGTCCTCCGAGTGCGAGGCAGGTGCCACGCTATTGACGTGCGGCGCTCTATTGATGAGCTTGGCGTAGAGGTCGTTGCGAGTCTGCGGATTGAGTGCCGTAAGCAGATAGCTTCGGCCGTCCGTGAAGAACACCTCGAGAGCCACATCCCGGAACAGAAAGCGGCGTTTCGATATGCTGATGACCTCTGCCCACTTCCAGTGCCTATTGCTCTGTTCATGGTCGGCGACTTGCGGCTTCTTGTTGTTCATCTCTCGACCTGAAATCATCCGGAGATATGGGTCTCGCTCTTCGTTAGGCGCTTGCCATACTCTGACAATCTCACCGTCGGATCGTTGGAAGAAACTATCGAGTAGATACAAAGAGCCCTTGCCTACTATGAGCAGACCTTCAATAGCTTCGAGGCCTACGATCCGAGACATATTACAGACGAGCTGTACTGGATCGTTCGGCTCTAAACTTCTCATGACTTTTCGGTATTTGTCTTCAAAGCCGTCATCATCTACCTGTGGGTCATCAACCATTTCGAAGTCCTCCTCTCCGGCTGACTTGGCAGACAACTGGCTGTTGGAACGCTGTCGGCCTGACTCTAGCACGGTTGCACCCTCGGCATTTTGTGTAGCGACGGGGGTTGCACTGATACCGTTGTTTGACGAAACCCTTTTGATATTGGTATCGAGCTTTGGCTGAGGCTTTGCCGGCACCTCCGAAGTCTTCCGCTTGGGCTGATAATCGGCTTCATCGTGCGAACTATCATCAGGCATTATCCGCATTCTCATCCGGTTGCGCCCTTCTGTCTCGTCTAGTTGCCACCTCGATGGTTCATCCTTGCCAAACAGACCGCAAGGGGCTTGCAGGATCTTGTCAAGCCGTTCGGACCGCGATGCAATGAAGCTCAAGTTGTCCTGCTGGTCTTGAAGCGCACGCTGATGCTTGAGGCGTTCCGAGGTGTGTATGTTCACTCGCCAATGGTTCGTTGAGATCTCGTGACGATGCCATACGTTGTCTACGTTGGCTTCGTCTGCCTGCCATTGCTTCAATCGTTCCCTTCTCCTTGCGACTCTGTCTCGTGCTGTCTCCGAGGTCTTGCGGTTCTCCTGCTCTACAAAGTCCTCCCAAGACTTCGATAGGGTGCCAAAGAAGAGAGCATCAAGATCTTCGCGATGCTCGTCTACCCATCCAAGGAATGTCTCGTTATCAAGCTCTGTCAGCTTCATGAAGCCGAGCGACAGCTTCTTATAATGGCTATTCATCGCCTGGTTGAGGATCTGTGACGTTTCTTCCGGTTTCTGGACAAGGATCATCCGCCAAAAACTGGCGGCAGCGAGTCGAATGCGCTCTTGGGGAACAACAAGCTGTGTATAAAGAAGATAACACAGCAGCCTCAGCAACGTCTCGTCGGCATTGTCCGGTGCGAGAACAATCGTCTGCCAGTAGACTAGTTTGTCCATGAAGGCAACAGTGTCTTGCTCCTGGCCCAGTTCGCCAAGTTCCGACAGGCGCAGAAGCAGGACCCGAAGAAATACAGTACGAATAGACGATATAGCCTGTGTGCAAAGACGCACACCCTTCGTTCGTGCGATATCAGGCCGTTGCAGAAAGTCTAGTAAAGTGCCAATGAAGTCGAGGAGAGGCTCCGCTCCGTCAATGAACCAGCCTTCAAAGACTGCTTCTGCCATGTGTACAGTGTACCGTGCGAGATTGAGGATGATTCTCGGCTCACAAAGCAGATTTTGGTGCAGCTGCATGTAGCTAGTCACTGCCGACATAGCGTGACGAAGGACGTACGTTTCGAAGTGGGCTTGATGTGACTGAGAGCCTGGTGGTACCTTCAAGAAAAGGCCAAATCCGGGGAAATCCTTCCTGTGAAATATCTGGTCCAGGAACACAGCGGTGATGGTTGCTAAGACAGCTTCAGACAGCGGGTCCTCGGTTTGCGAAGAGATTCTACCCGATGCATGCGTCGATATGGCATGCTTTATTCGTGCAGTTGAAGGTGCATGATTGGCTTCTTGCGACGAAATCAGGATGAAAGACGAGCCACGGAGTAGGGGCCCTGGTTTCCGGGATGCTTGGTCTGAATCGCGTTCTACTGTTCTTGTTCGTACTAAAGAGGGCCGATCATCGGCAGGTTCCGATTGTGATGGATGTTTAATGTCTTGCCCTTCGGACGAGGATACCGGACCTCTTGAGTGGAGCTCTGTTGTTGCATTGGTAGGGTCAGAAGCTACGATGACAGGAAACAGGACAAACAGAAGCTCCTGAACATAGCTAGACGAGACCGCAAAGTCGCGAAACTCTTGCGATCGCAAGTGCAGATTAGCGAACACCTCAAGGACAATGTGCAATATCCCGGCATACCCGACGATTTGCTCCTTTGGAAGCGGTTGAAATCCTGCTATATGTGAGCATGTGAAGGTTGTAGAGGCCGAGGCATGCCTACCTGGTGTTAGTCGCTCGATTTTGAGTGACACCGAGCGTAGTCTGCGATGCGTCAATGACGAGTTGTCTGGATGGGCTGGCTGGATGTTCTCTGTACTTCTAGGAACTGTAATGTTCCTCGGCTCTGCTTGATACCTTACAACGACCCTTAGCCCAGTTTCAAGCATGGCCATGAGTGTAGGAACGATCTCCGGGTTTGCCACGCTGGTTTTTCCCTCTTCAAACAACGAGGCCATCAGATTCGGCAAATCGAGATCACGCTCGATCTCGATGGTCGCAACATCAACGCCTATCATTATTGCAAAGCATATTGTCCAGATTGCGGGAATGCTCCACCATGTCTTGAGGCGTTGCTTCATGACGATGAATCCGCCGGTTTTCTCGGCAAACTTCTTAACATAGCTGCTGCCAAGGACCACAAGAAGACGAGCGAGGATCTTGGTACCCAGGACAACAACACGCGGTTCATTCTCAGCGAGCAGATATAGCAACCACTGGCCCTTGGTTAGCATCGCTATCATGAATTCATTAGACGACTCACTTTATTGGTCACTGCTTTGGCAAACTTCCTCAGGTTATTGGTGTTACTACTTTCGCAAAGAAGATCCGTATACATGCCGAGAACTTTGACGCCAAGCTCCTCTCGGGAGTCCTGGGAGATCCCATTGTTTTGATTAGGGCTTTGTGACCGTGGTGAAAGTAGTACAGGGCTGAGTTGAGGTGGTGTCGGTCTATTGCCTATACGAAGGGTGCTGCTCTTCGGGCGTACTGTCCGCCTACCGAAAGCACGACTATCATGTAGAGCGTACGTGACGAATAGCGCAAGTGAGCGGAGAATATCCCCTGAAACGTTACATTCAACAAGAACCTTAAAAGCTTCCAGGAAGTGAGGTAAGACATCCGGTGCGAACGACTCGCCCTTCAGAGCATCCAAGAATCGCTTCACAACACCTGTAGAACTTATTAGCTTTATATTGCCCGGTGAGGACGCACCGAAGGCAAGACCTACGCATCCTTGTCAGTCTTCTTGAGTTGAACAGATGGTGCTTGCTGCCCTTAGCGAAGCTGACGAATTGGCTGTAGTACAACTCCTGAGTATCGGTGGAGGTTCTCCTCCACATGTCAAAGTCAACAAGAAGAACACGGTACGCAAGCGGATTGATGATGGTGGACTCTTCCGGTCTTGCCTCGCAGTACCCGACGAAGCGTAGGATGTCTCTCAACAGCTCGTAGGCAAGTACATCGCGCTCCGCATCGTCCATCTGGGGCTGACCTGGTCTCGGAATCTGCTTGTTGCTGAACATGGACCCGAGTCCTATCTTTTCACTAAGCAGACCAGCCAGAACCGCGTAGCCAGTCTCTTTCTCCATCGCTTCACTGTTCCTCCAGCTACCCTCAACAGACTGGAAGAGCAGATTCACCGCTCGGAGGATCGCATCTTTGCCCTGAGCAACCTTGACCAGCTTCAAGCCAACAGCCGCACACCCTGCTATACGCCAAGATGCGTCATCGAGCGATTGAGGCATGGCAACAACAGGATCACCAAGAAGCAGAGCAACACCACGACTGTGTGTTAGTGCATCGTTGATTGAGGGTACAGCACCGTTGATAACTAGCGGGGAAGCTTTTGTGAGATGTTGTAGGTTCTTAGCGGCCTCTTTCGATAGCGATTTAATCAGCTGCGACTCGTCGATGTTATTACGGTCGTCGTCGTCCATGACCATGCTCGGAGATATGCTAAGAAGTATCCGGTTTTCTGGAACTATGAAGCCAGCTTTGGAATGAATAGCAGAGATAATCTCCGACTTCTCCTCCTTTCCGGGATGCAGAGATTCGTTGAGGATGTTGAGTTGAGCGGAGTCACGGTATGTCTGAAACGACCCAAGACAGTCCTGGAAGTTCCCGTAGTACCGTGGCCCCAGCTTCTGGTGGACAGCAATCACCTCATCAGACAAGGCGTCTTGGAACAAGTGAAAAGAAGCGAGCGACAGCTTCGACGAAACCACGTTGCTTCCGATCCTGGGTGCAAGATCCTGAGGCGTACCAAGAAAGGCCTGAACTGGGGGATACTTGTAGTTAGGGGAGGAGAGAGAAGCAAAACTTTCAGTGCTGCTGTTTGGAATGGGTGGACTAGCAGGATACTGGCACTTCAGCTGCTCAGTAAACTCCCCATTGACGAAGAGAGTTGCACGACTGGAGTTGGTGGCTCTCGCACGTCGATGGACTACAGCGATATGGTACCAGATGCCCGCTTGGAAGACGGTTGACTTGAAGCGGACGCTTGGCCGTTGGGCTGTTATAGACGTCTGAAGGATGAAGTGATGACTATCTTTCTCCAAATAGGCCAGCACGAAGCAGCTTTGAGTGGCATCACATGCTCCGAAGATGGTTGTGTGGCAAGTCAGATCGAACTGATCAATACGGATCCAAGCAGTCATGGTGTATCCTGTACTGGAAGAACCCGGCGGGAATGGCCGTCCAAGATCTCGAAGCTCAATGGAACTGTGCCCATGTAGCGACAGGTCGAATTGTACAAACGGTGGTTGTCGCGATGTCTCTATGTTTTTGAGTAAGAATTCGGCAGCGGCTGCCGATGTACTGGCCTTTCTGAATAATTTATAACCGTCTTCAAGGTTGTTGACTCCGTACGCAGCGAGTGTGTTCGCAACCCCATGAAGGACGGTTTTCTCACTGCTAGGCAACTCTTGATCGAAAACAACCGGTAGTATGCTACTCAGAATGCCTGTTCTGTGGATCATAACCTGATTGTAGGTCGAATGGGAGAGCACTTGCTCGATCGCAACGAGTATAGCTAGGCGCAGCCAACTCGGTGTTGCTGACACTGACTCGGAGCTTACAGCCAGCGTCTGCCAGAAGTTGAAGATCATCGGAATAGTCTCAGGATTCTGCACGACCTCAGTGCCTGAAAGGAACATTCGCAGCCGGGAACGAATCGCGGCTAGTGGATCAGCAATGGCATCATTCTTCTCTGACAAGCTGCTGTTACTCTTGGTAACCTCGTTTCTTGGAGGTACATTCTCACGTTTGCTGTCTAGATTCGAGCTCTCGACACTCTGCCGTATTCTACTGAAGCTGCGGAATATCCGTGATATAGCCTCCTCACCGAGCGCAAGAGCAAGTAGGCAGCTGAAAAACTGCTCTCGGCTGGTTTCATAGTCATCTTCTCCGGAGTGGCTGGTGCCATTGACACCGGTATTCGCCAAACTCTTTTCCAGAGCCAGCCAGCCATTGCCCTCCACTCTTCGCGCAAAGTATCTCCGATTTCCAGGTTGATTGTGCAGCGCTTCTGAAAGTACATCAAGTGTAGCCTTCAGTAGCTCGAAGAACTCTTCCTCCTCGTCCTTGGTCAGAGTCGTGGGGCTGTAGTAGCCCGAGAGGGACTTAAGTACACCTAGTAAAGCCTGGAAACCGTGGAGGCGTCGGAAGGCATTTCTGGCGTGCGAGCGGTTCTCAGAGTCGACTAGACATTGCCGTATCCCGTGAAGACTGTCACAAAGTGACCGTAGCCCATCCTTAGTCGGGCGCTTGTCGGTGGTAATGTGTATATGTGCGGATGTGAGCTTGGCTAGGCACTCGCGAAGCTCCGAATGGGCGGCTTCATCTATTGGAGAGCCGTTGGAGGCTGTGGTTGTCGACCGCTGGCGGCGAGCCTTGTTTTCCATGGCGAACAGCTATCCCAGAGGACGCTACTTGGGAGTAATGCGGACGTGAGCCGTTCATGTCTCGCGAGAGATCAGTCAGCTCAGCAAATGAGGCAGGGAGCTCCTTTACTCGACAAACTTCATGTGTACCCCGTGAGGAAGGAATACTGCGGGGAGGAACGCGGTCATGAAGCGTCGCCTACAGGCGCTAGTCTGTGAGAGAGGGCATATATTTTGGAAGAGCGTAACTAGTGAATGGAGCGCAGCTGTTGCACGTCACGCGGGACACAACAGGCAGCCTGTTCAGGGTGGCTATACAGTGAGAGAGCCCGCGGCATCTACAGACTGTGTTGATAACCTGGTCAGCAGCTCTCGTGTCTCGGTGTCTGGATCCCTGCATCTGATATTCGCTTAGCGCCTAATGACGGGCGCTCACCTCAACTCACCAGATAGAACGCCCGTACGAGTAAGTTCAGTAGGTAAAGTCAAAAGGAATTTGTTAAGCGTGTATTTGTGAAATAAGCATGAGCAAAAGAGAAAAAACATGTCGTTTTGCGCCGTCCGGGAATCTTCAGATTGTCAGCAAGTCGTTCGACTTCTGGCAAGCTCGAATTGAGAACTTACCGAACCCGGTCCTCATGCTTGCACGTTGCCTTAAAGAGACAATTTGTAGTGGAAGGCGTAAATCCTACCAATGGACCAACGGCGCCAATTGGAAAGCTTAGCCAAGTTTGGCAAATAATAACTTTGATCTTGCTTACTGGAAGTCTTTCGAATCACAACGTTGGCTTTCCATGCCTTCGTATAACCATCAGATATCTTACTACTAAGCTGCAGCAACAGGATCTTTTAGCTGAACTGGAACGTAGTATACTTCTCTTTACACTATCATGTTCTATTTCAGTCAGGGTAATCCCTTAGATCTTGAATGTAAGGTCTAGACGGCTCATTCTATCACTAAACACCTTTAAACTGTGTAGAACTTATAGCGAAGGCTAGCTTCCCAATTGGCGCCGTTGGTCCATTGGTAGGATTTACGCCTTCCACTACAAATTGTCTCTTTAAGGCAACGTGCAAGCAAATGCGAAAGCGCTTCGCGCTTTTCGGATCAATTGTCGTGGAGTGAGAGCCATCTGCATCACACCGGATCGTAAAGGGACGGAATCTCACTCTACAAATATCCTTGATACGTTACCTGCTTATAGAAACAGTATAAAATATGGCTGCCCAGTTTGTGGAAGAAAAAGCTGGGCGTACGGATTAGCAACGACCATTCCTGATGTCCATTACTCGTACCTCGAAAGCCTTGGCGAAATACAATTTGGGTCACTAAGCAACGTCTATGTACCTGGTAGGTGTAGCAACTACACAACCGCCCGGTGAGACACGAAGGTAGCTGTTGAGATAGTAGCATCTTTCTTGCTTGACAGTCAATCGCAAGTCCGCGTTTGGCTGAAGAAAATCTCACGATCATACCTACCTCAAGCATCTCCTTTCGCTTCTCAGAGCGTGTGCATAGCGGTTGCTTAGGTTTTGGCTTGATTTTTTGGCTTTACGAGTAAAAACCTTGTAAGGGTTAGTCTTTGAGCCGAACGACTCTCACGTGCGTCTCCATGGGGGTCTTTCGTGTGTGAAGAGCCATTTTGAGTGAAAAAAAATAAGCCAGAGAGTTGGCTTGAGCAAGGCAACTCTGTGGCGTCAGAAATACTAAACGGTGACAGAGCGCCCACTGTGGACCCACCAGGTATACCCACCAGGTATACCCAAACCACTGAGCAAGTTTTTCAGGCCACCCCTCAAGCCAGCGCTAAGCGTACGCCCTACGTTCTCCTAGATCCTGCAACACGCCATTCTGCATCCTCTCCGCTACAACTAGCCATAAACTCATAGCCAGCTCTCACTTCCAAATCACCATCTCATCCTCTTATTAATACCCTCCTCTCCCCAGCCAGCCTTTCTCTTCAAAAAAACCCCGGCAGCGCGATTGAGTACTGTATACACAACCAGAACAGCACCAAGTCCGCGGCATCCCCTTATCTACCCCCCTACCAGGCTGTGTAAAAAAGACCTCAACCCTCGACCTACCGTTCTACCCAACCCGACCATGGCGAACCCACCAGTCAACTACGGCGTAGTCCTCTACCCCGGCTTCCACGCCCTCGACGTCTTCGGCCCGCTCGACATCCTAAATCTGCTCGCGCTACAGCGTCCTCTGAATCTGTATCTGCTCTCGTCTTCGCTCGAGCCCGTTAGCACCAAGCCACCTGCCACGATGAAGCCGTCCAGCACCGGTCCCAATTCCGACTTCGGCGAGGCCATCGTGCCAAGCCACACCTTCTCTGCCCCGCCGCCCGAGCTGGACGTCCTGCTTGTGCCCGGCGGGCTGGGGACCAGGGATGAGGCCAACACCGCGCCGGCGATGGACTTCATCAAGGAGGTGTTTCCGAGGCTGAAGTACCTCATCACTGTGTGCACTGGGTCCGCTTTGGTAGCCAGGACGGGCCTCTTGGATGGGAAGCGCGCTACTACCAACAAACGGGCATGGGGCTGGGTATGACCTTCTTTTCTCCCCACTCACCATCTATGGCGAGACTGTAAGTTCGGGCTGAACAGCTACCAGGCAACATCGCAAGGCCCGGCGGTCAACTGGGTCCCGAAAGCGCGCTGGGTCGTTGATGGGAATGTGTGGACTAGCTCGGGCATCTCCGCTGGCATTGATGCTGCCTATGCGTTCGTTGCGGATATGTATGGCGAGGATGTTGCGAGGGGGATTGCGGACGCGAGTGAGTATACAAGATGTATGGATCCGGAGGCTGATCCGTTTGCGGAGCGGTGGGGGGTTGTGTAGGAGGGGCTTAGTGTATTGGGAAGTTGGAGTGGTGGATGGAAGGGAGATATCTCTTGTGGCCGAGAAAGTACTCCAGCCAATATCGACTTGGGTCTTGTAAGATCACGGGAGAGGTCCAAGAACAACATGTTTGGTACAGATATCGAGCCTAGCTGTAGAGATCACGCGCCCTGAATGGTGTTAGACTTAGCAAAACTACACTAGCAACGAACGCGGTGCACAAAAGCTTAGCCTCAAAGACGCTACATGAGTGTCAACGTGTTTTATGTGTGACCAAATTGACAGACCGTTGAAAGAGACCCCCACTCGGAACAATGGTTTTGACGCATACGATCACCCGGAAGCACCGAGCTACAAGTGACTGAAAGAAAACGAGAGGCCCTATCCATGCCAAAGAAGAGCCAGCCATGATCAAGACCAGAAAGCAGCCGTGAACGCTAAGATAACGGGAATACATTATCGAGGCAAAGACACACGATTAAAGAGGTACAGAACGCCGACAGAGCTCAGCCAAGCGGGACCAGACCTCAACGCCACAAACCGCGTTGCCAGCCTACTCCTACTCCTTTTCCAAACTATTCGAAGCCTTCCGCACCCGACCCCTGAATCGGTGTTCCACATCGTGCGGCTCCTTCGTCGGCAACCGCTTCGATGTATCCCACTTGACCTGCCACCCCTCCTGATTGCAATCACCAGTCAGACACGGACACTCATACCTTCTCGCCTTGTCGCTCCCCTTACACGTCCCGAAAGCCCTATCCGCAATAGAGCAGTGGATGCTCTCGTTCGTGCCGTTCTCTTTCAGGGGCTGCCTATCAACGCTGAGGACCGGCGCAGCGCGCCAAATCTTATCTGCGATCGAACTGATCCACCCCTTGGAGCCGCTGCCGGTGGCGCCATGGCATGTATCCCAGGCGGCCGCTTTCACCTTCTGCTTGTCAAGCAGGTAGTCGTCGTCGAATGCGAGCTTGTTGTCTCGCTTGCACTGCGCGATCATCCACACGAGCGGGATATCCGAGAGGGTGGGTTTAACGTGCCCACCGCCGACGTCGGTGTGGTTTCCCGAGAACCACACCTGCTCCATCTCCTTGGTCGTGGTGCCATCTTCGCGTGGTTTGGCCTCGTCCGAACCGGTCTTCGGGTAGTGCCAGAGAGTAGGGAGGAAGGCCTTGCGGCGCTCGTCGAGTGCAAGGGCGTGGTACCCATACTTGACCTTGTTGCTGAGCATCGCGTTCCTGAATTCGATCCGCTCGCTCCCCATACCCAGGAGGCGACCCAGTGGGCCCTTGCCGAACCATGATTGGTGGAAGGCGACCGTGTCCCAGACGCCCACCACTTCGACCGCATCAGCCGCTTTCCGCTGCAGCAGGCCCGCGTCGACCAGTTTCTGCACGAAGCGGGCTTCCTCTGCGTCGTTGGCATTGGTCTTGTCCTGCTTCCGGTAGTACAGGTTGTACAGCGTGGGGAAGCAGTCCATGCCCCTCTTGGTCAGCAGGCCGTGCGCGTTGACGAGGCCGGCGATGGAGCGAGCCGTGTAGGCGCCTCGACTGAAGCCGAAGAAGAAGATTTCGTCTTCGGGGTCGTAGTTGTGCGAGAGAAAAGCATAGGCCGCGCGCACGTTTGCTGATACGCCTAGCCCGACTGCACCGCCGATTAGGCCGTCGAGCGTGCCGGTGCCGACGCCCTTCTGGTAGTAGACTATCTGCTCGACCTCTTCTAGGTCGCCACTCTCGTCTTTCTTGGGCACCCAGGTTGAGGATTTGAGAGCGCGTGAGAACCGCGTGACATTGGAGGGGTAGTCGGATGCGTTGTCGGCGGTTGAATCTTGCCAGGTACCGTCGCAGAGCACTATAAGACGCTTGCGGTTCTTGGACTTTATGGACTTGATCGAAGCGGCGGAGGTAGGTGTTTCCGTCTCCGTGGCCGTGAAGGCCGGTTTTGTGGTAGACATGTTGACTTTGATCAATGTGAGGGGAGACACTCGGAGAGGACGCGTAAATGAATGTACGATTGGAGACAAAGGAAGAACGCGCATATAGAGCTTGGACTTGGTGCTAGAAGGGGATGAGACAATTGAGAAGACTGTAAAACGCGAGCCGCCCGATGGCTTCAAATACTGGGCTCCTGAACTCAGCCTCACCCCTCAGGCAGCCGCCAATGTAAGCGGCCTCTTCGCCTGGTGAATTGCCTAGCACAGTGGCCATTGCCTACTTTCAATGACTCAAGCCCGCGCATCATAGCTGATTCGCATGGCGCTCGGACAGGCATGCTGCGGATGCTGCTGATGCTGCTGATGCTGCTGCTGACGGCCAGGGCTGCACAGACTGGTTGATTTGGGAGGCGGCGCTTGCCGTAGGGGTTCTGTGGTCCCCTAGGCGGTTCGCTGCGGCTCGATGCAGCCCACCGCTCCTCAGCCCTGCTCTCAGCCCCAATGTCTCCTTGGGGGTTGACAGCCGAGCACATGCTCCTGTGGAAGCGGCGAGTCCGTTGCATGGATAACTTTATGCTTCTGCGCACTCAGGTTGTGCTTACTTCACGATTTGATCGCGTGTGTGTGTGGCATGTGATCATAGACATGCTGCAGTCTGGCTACAAACTTCAAACGCATAGCATCATTCAGGCAAGATGGAAGCTTTTATGTCTACCTGACTCTCTCTGAATGCGCCCTTAATCATAAGAACCTCATCCGTGTAACGAGTTTACTCCTACATCCGTCACGGCCCTCTCACCCGCGACAAAGCAAAATGCAACCAACCTGTCATTCATCGCTTGAAACTCTCAAAGAAACCTACAAATGAGACGCCAAACGAACGCCTGCACCAGAAAGAACCCGTTCAAACAGCCGTGGATATACCCTTACATGTGGCCGCGGGGCCGGGAATGAAGTAGAAGACAACACGAAAACGGTTGATGCTCGTATTCGCGGGCTAGTGGAATATTTCTGTTCTGGTATGCTGTTACCACAGCCCCCCGATCCGTACCTAGCCAGCGGTCGTAGGAAGGGTGAAAGTCGTGAGATGAGATAGGGCGGTGATAGAGCCAGCAAGCAGTAGAGCCTCCAATGTATCGCTTTCCAGCCATCAGGGTATCGGGGCATCAGGTGGGCTATAGCAGAATGAGGTAGTTGCTTGGAGCAATACCCGTCTCGCCCGTGCTCTTCTTGGCCTGCCACCATCGTCCACTGACATCTGACACCTCTAATATCTCGTGCTTTGTGAAGCTGATCTCGTTCTGGTCATCAGGGTTGGCTTCGTAGCTGTATATCGCTTTGGCCTTGTATGGGTATTCAGTCGGTGGGCTCATGTCCATTTCCGGCGCATTCGTAGCGTTGTGGTTGTGTGCCTCGGGGCTGCTGAGAGGTGCGCCGCCAAAGCGGGGCTGCGAACTGCGCGAATCCATACCAACAGGGCCTCCTGGATACCCTGAAACCGGCGAGGATGTCTCGAAGCCGCTCAGCTGTGCTGAAGTGTACATCTGCGGGGCTTGTGTGACAGTCGTTTCTGGGCGGGCGCCGTAGTGATTGGACACTGGTCGCGAGCTCCTCGGCGAATGTCTTCCTTTGTTGAGAGCGAACTGATCAACGAAGCGATGGGGGCTGGCGCTTGGCTGCGAGCCGAAGTAGAATATCCACACGACCTGCGAGGCGTCAGCGTGCGATCGCGCCTCTAGATTCGACACAGGCTTACCGTAACCATGGAGAGAAGAATAAAGCCAGCTGCGGCGGCTTCCTTCGCGCCGTCGCTGGAGTATACCAAGGCGTGGACGCAAGACGAATTGAAGGTCAAGCCGGCAGCGAGATACGCAGCGATCTGAAAGATCTTAGCAAGTGATTAATCTACACCCATCGTGGAATACTCACAGCTACGTGGTATGTGTGCTCCGACTCGGTAATGATCGCAATTGGTATGCCCACAACGCAGAAGAACATGTATACGATGGCCCACCAGGAAAAATTGGGGAAGTCCCCTCGGATGTCTGCGATCAGGGATGAGACGAAGGTGATTATCCATGCGAGCTGCGTTCACACCCAACATCAGTCCTCACTCAAAATCTCAGCCGCACGTTCGGACTCACCATCGCAATCGAGCATGTCGCCAGGGCGAAGGGATCCCCAACGAGGTTGCTGAAGTTGAGCCTGCGGCCGTTGCCGGTGTTGTATCTGCTGTTCTCCATTTTGCGTAGTGATGGTGAATTAATGGATCCGTAGGGTGGCATAGAGAACGTGGGTCGGGCGCGGTTGAATGAGTGGACTTCTCGTCGAGAGAGAGTATTGCGTGTTTACCAGTACAGGCCGATGTTCATCCGAGGCGCCGTGCAGAGGTAGTAGTGAGGTACTGGCGAGTGGAGGACGTGTACCAGCGCCTGGCCGGACGGGGAGCAGCAGGTCGGGTTTGAGGTGAGCAGAGGTGGTGGGAAGTCGGCCGGCAGCAGGCCTGAAACGGCAGCTTCTCGGAAGATTGCTGAAACTCGGTAGAAGCCAAAAATAATGGCAGGCGGCGCGAAGCTGGCGACCCTCCGCAGGCGCCGAGAGTCGTTTGGGAAGAGGCGGCGGCGAGGTCACGGCTGGCGGTGGAGGTTGAGGTGTAAGGTGGACTTTGGGGACGTGGAAAGGAGCGATCCCGGGGGGCGTGCAACACTGCGCGGCAAGAAAACGATGCGCCCGCCGGATGCAGGGTTCCGATTGGGGATTGCACTTCTGCGGCGAAACTGCTAACAATGTCGGGTGCTGAGACGGCCGCTACGAGTACCTAGGTATGCATGTTTCTGATTTGCAGGCCGCCGCTCGAGGGGAGGAGAGCAGTGTCTCGAGGAGTTGCGCGGCTCTCTTGTTTCTTTGTTCTCCGAGACCACGCGCGCTCTGCCTTGTTCCTGCACCGCTTGGCCTCACGGATGCATCAAAGGATCCACCCTCGCACCATGGATCGGCTCTGTGCGGGGGTGGTGGTGCCCGCCGCTTGACAGAAAGCAGGGAAATCACCGAACTTCGACCCTGCATGTCACTTGTCTTTAGTGCTCGCCATACTGACCTCACGTGACCTCGCTCTGAGACAGTCAGTTGCAATTGTGGATCATGCTTCTAAGCGACAAGGTTCTACCACTCTGCACTAGAAGACCCAAGGTGGGAGTTTTGCTCTTTTCCTATTCATATCGCACCGGCAGCTCCTCAACAGAGCACCGCCCCCTGGCGGACCCCTCGTTCGATATCTTGCGTGTCCCAAAGGCTTCTTGGTAAAATTCCCAGGCCTCACACAGCCCACTACTGGAGGTGCATCAAGCACGGGGATGCCACATGCTGGCCCATCGTCCAGGCATGCAACCCGCGAAGCACACTATATGCGATCTGGCGCAGCTCGTCGCTTTTCCCAACGGATCGCATGATGAGCGGGCTGTTGCGACTGCCTGTACGCGTCAGGAGATGTTTTTGTGAGGAAAGGCAGCAAGTCACTCACTGTAAAGGAATCAAACGAGCGATCCTCTTTGTCATTCCTCTTGCCTCCCAGGAGTGTCTTGCACATCGTTGTACCGAATCCTACATCCAGATGGCTCCCTTCGGACCGGGATGTGTCAACTGGCTTCTTCCACCCAGACTTTTCCTTGATGTATTACAGCTCCCCTTCTCCTCCCCTTCTCACTTCCACCCTCCCGACCTCCCTCGCCGCCTTCCTCAGCCTGTTGTCCCACTCAACCCAGCACCTCCCCTGCCCGATGATGAAGATCTTCTGCCACTTCAATACCAGCTGCGCGCTCTTCTTCGAAAGAAATGCAATCTGCCTCGCATGCTGGTTCTGTCTACGTGCCACGGCCGCAATGCGTGGATGTAGCGCGATGAGCGAGGCGAAGGATTCCGTTGGTGGGATTGGGATATCATTAAGAGACGTCAGCTGTGAGGCTGTTGCTGGGTATAAGGGCGCTTCCGCTAGGACCGTTGCGAGCTTGTGCGGTGCTTCGAGCCCGGGCTGAGCCTCTGGGGCCTCCAAGGGTTCCGGGGGATTCAAGAGGTCAGCATGTCGAGATTCTGTTGCTGGTCAGCTGCTGGTGTAGACCGGCTTGCGTCAAGTGATACGAACGGACAAGCACAACATCCGCGATGACACTTGATCCGGATGTCAGTTTGTGCAAGGACTCCTCGAGCTTTTGGAGGCGCTTCACAACTGGGTCCTGGGTTTGTTGTTGTTGTTCATCCTTTATATCTCCATCGAGCACGAACTCGAGGCGGCGCATGCGCTCTTCAAGGAGTCGAAGCGTCTGGAGCACGACAATATCGCATCCTTCTTCTATCTTGTCCATATCTCGTTGTGCGGCACCTGTTGCCGTCATGACGATTGTTCTGGTGGAGTGATTCGTGACGCGCTCGCTCTTCCTACGTGGCTCGCGGCGCATTCCCGCAGGTGCTTGGCAACGCCGAAACCCGCTGGCAGTGACAGGACACGAGGCACGACTTCGAATCCCCTTATCGCACCAACAAACCGCCCTGCATACGCCCCTCACCAGCCTCTCCACATTCTATCGACATTGCGACCGCTTTCGCACCGTCCTGGCGACCAGCCTACCGACCGCAACGACCTCCTCGGACCGCTCGCATGCCCAACTTCAATTCAACCACATAGTGTAGCATCAACGTACCAGTACATCTGCGTGCCATGGCGAGCTATTCCGCCATCCGCACCGATCTCGATGAGCCCGGCCAAGGCAGTCGACCAGCGAGCGCAGCATCTTCGCGAGGCCCTCGGTAGGCCGCTCAACCTCACCCACCACACACTTCGCCACAGCACATGCTGACACCGCTCTCTAGCTCACGGCGGAATAGCCGCGCAAAGAAAGATGTTGGGATTGTGGGCAACGCCAGCTGGCTCAGCAGCGTCATCAACCTGGTCAATACCAGTACGGCTCCCTCCCCAGCCGGCAGCACCATCACAAGAGCACCAACTGATCTAACATGAACACCAGTCATCGGCGCCGGCATGCTGGCCATGCCACATGCGATGCGCCAGATGGGTATCGTCCTCGGCTGCTTCATCATCGCCTGGGCAGGCGTCACGGCAGGCTTCGGCCTCTACCTCCAGGCACGTTGCGCCAAATACCTCGACCGCGGCAGCGCGTCTTTCGCAGCACTATCGCAGATAACATACCCGAACGCATCGGTCGTGTTCGACGCGGCAATCGCCTTGAAGTGCTTCGGGGTCGGCGTTAGCTATCTGATTATAATCGGAGATTTGATGCCAGGAGTAGTAAGAGGGTTCAGCAGCGGCGGAGGCGTCAGCGCTGGGTTCCTGCTAGAGAGGCAGTTTTGGATAACGGCGTTCATGTGGGTTTCCCCTATGTGCTAAGATCGGTCTTGTTATGCTTAGCATGGGGAGCATGCTTCCCATCTCCGAAAGCGAACTAACATCGGTTGGCAGGCTCATCGTCATTCCCTTGTCATTCTTGCGGCGACTGGACTCGCTCAAATACACGAGTGTTATCGCCCTGGTTTCCATCGGCTACTTGGTCATTCTCGTTCTTTATCATTTCTTCAAAGGGGACACCCTAGAGGAGCGCGGCGATGTGCGAGTGTTCAAATGGGCTGGACCTGTTGAGACTCTCGCTGCGTTTCCCGTCATTGTGTTTGCGTATACTTGCCACCAGAATGTACGTCGAGCCCTTCAATTCATTTGGGTAGTAAGTGCAGTACTTACACGGCTCAGATGTTCTCCATTCTCAACGAAATCAACAACAACTCTCACTTCCGCACCGCTTTGGTCGTCGTCTTCAGCGTTGGCATTTCTGGTCTGCTCTACATCCTTGTCGCAATAACCGGATACTTGTCTTACGGCGATAATATCGGCGGAAACATTGTGAACATGTGTACGTCACCCAGACACTTCCCCTTCTGCGTAAAGACCACTAGGCTAAGCCAATACTAGACCCACCTTCTGCAGCCGCTACCATAGGCCGCTTCGCAATCGTGATTCTAGTCATGTTCTCCTACCCCCTTCAAGTCCACCCATGCCGCGCCTCCGTCGACGCGGTCCTCAACTGGCGGCCGAGGCGCAGTTCATCACCATCAAGCACCGGCAGCTCGTCGTCATCGCGCAGCGCTCCTTTACTGGGCGCTAAGAAGCCTGGATCTGCACCTCAAGCAGTGCCGATGAGCGACATCCGCTTCGCGGTGCTCACGACCCTCATAATAATCGCCAGCTTCATCGTCGCCATGACGGTTTCGTCTTTGGAGAAGGTTCTCGCGTACGTCGGGTCGACAGGTAGCACGACTATCAGTTTCATTCTTCCCGGCTTGTTCTACTATAAGATATCCTCGCCGGACTCGCCACATCATCAGCGCCTCCTCAAAGAGGACGACGATGAGGAGTATGGTGATGACGACAACGATGACTCGACTATTACGGGCAGTCCTGGATCGAAATTCAGTTCAAGGAGTTGGCGATTGAAGCTGTTAAGAAGGTTGAGTATGGCACTCGCTGTATATGGGATAGTAGTCATGATTGTTTGTTTGGGCACGAACACGTTTTTGGTTGCGGCGCATTAGATTTGAGCGTTGAAGCGAGTTGGCGTTTGGATAGACGTTCTTTAGAAACGGGGTGGATGGAAGGTCCATGACGGCCAGGCGCTCCTGACGAGACTCTTGTATATAGACGATATGTATACAGCTGTTTGGACATGTCATAGGAAAAGACTGCAGACTCCAAAAATGCAACAGACGCAGCATTGCCCCCTTTGAACGCCTGTACAGAAACCAATGCCTGGAATTACGCTTCTGCTGCTGCAGCGGGAGTCTTGACAGCAGCGGAACCTTCTAACTTCGCCTTCTCCTCCTGTATCTGCGCGACCCGATACCGCGGTTCAAGTAGCCCTGCCTGTATGCCAAACGTCAGCAAGTCGTCCTCATCATCTTGTCTCCCACAATTTGCCTCCGAGCGCTGGCTTTCATCCCCAACCGGCCTTCATCCCTCCGCTACCCATTCGCCTCATACCCTGCGCTCCTTCCTCGTTCCTCTCTCCTCAAGGTCCCCTCTAGTCCACCATCATGTCCCTCTCACAAGCAAACCTACCATACTTAACAGCCTCCACGCAGGATCACTCGGCTGCGCCCCAACACCCAACCAATACTTCGCCCTCGACGTGTCGAGCTTGATGTCCTTCCACGGCCTGCCTCCCTCGTCGCCTGGGCGCGGCGGCTTCGGTATCGGATCGTAGGTTCCAAGGACTTCGAGGGGCTTCGAGTTGCGTGCTGTTCTGTAGAGCAGAGGGTGAACGTTAGCTTGTCAATAGACTGAGATCTCTCGGGGGAGATGGAGTGTCTTGGGGGGGATTTATGGGTGGAAAGTTGCGATTGCGAGAAGAGGGGGGAGTAGGGAGCGTACCGGGCGTGCGCGACGACGATGTTGTAGAAGGGTGCGTTGCGCTTGCCGAAGCGGGCGAGCCGGATGCGCACGACCATTGCTGGGGAGCAGCGCGTTTGAAAATGCTGGGTGGTGCTACCGTCGAAGATCCGTTTTGGCGATGGAGATGCGGCCTGGAGGTTTTTGGCCGCGGGATGCGGGTGGAGCGGAAGGGCCCCGCTGTAGGGCTGTACTCGGTAGGGCTGAGATAGTTAAGCACCTGTGGTACAATTTGACCGTCTTAACAATAGGAGTTTTTGGGTGTAGAACGATAGGCTTAGGTGTTTGTAACGAGCCAGTCAGGTACTGGTATTTAGAAAATCATTCTATCTCATCTCCGACAATTCGTACGCTTCATCAATTGCCGACGCTGTGGTTGTGATGTAATCGACCACCACCTTCCCTCATCCTCGCCCACGGTTAACAGCAGTTGACACATGTTTCGTGCAACAAGACGATTCATGATGGCTCTAAGAGTATGCCCCTTCAGTCTGTGCTACCACACCACTTAATCATGGCTGCAGACTTTAGACTCGAAAAATGCCGCTGAGCTTGATAAAGAGCTGATGAGCACGGGGGCCTTCTCCATCGATCAGTTGATGGAATTGGCGGGCCTCTCAGTATCCCAAGCCGGTACCCCTCCAACTATGTCGTCTTCATATATGACTACGATATCTCATATGTCTGCCCAGTCTTCAAAATGCAACCGCCGAGTAAAGGCAAGCGGGTCTTGATTGCGTGCGGACCCGGCAATAACGGTAACCTCAAACCAAAATCACATTCGTGGTGTCCATGCAGTGGCTCACACCACTCTAGGCGGAGACGGCCTTGTCGCGGGCCGCCATCTGTGGCACTATGGCTACGAGCCAACCGTGTACTACCCGAAGCATACGAAGAACGAGCTCTACGAAGTATAGTCGCCTACTATGAAGGCTCCGACACACCGCAGCTTACAACGACGATAGCGCCTCTCTCAACAGCTGAAAGACCTCGACATCCCCTTCACAGAAGACTTCTCCTCCGCCATTGGCCAGACCGACCTAATCGTCGACTCTATCTTCGGTACCTAACATTCCCCCTGCTCCATTGCTAACTTTCCCCCTCCTACCCCATCTTGCGCCGTCCCCCCCCCCTCCCCTTCCAGTACAACTCGCCCGCCTAACCATCCACCAGGTTTCTCCTTCTCCGGCGAAGTCCGCGAGCCCTTCCCCGCCGTCATTACAGCGCTCCGCGACACCACCAAGCCCGTCCTCGCCGTCGACGCGCCCAGCTCCTGGAACATCGAGGATGGACCCCCCGACTCCGGGCCCGGCAAGGGCTTCATGCCCGACGCGCTGATCAGCCTTACGGCGCCGAAGCCGCTGGTCAAGTGGTTCAAGGGAAGGCATTTTGTTGGAGGGCGGTAAGTTCTTGTCTTTTCTCTCTGAGTGCTAGATAGGATGGATGGGCGATGGGGTTATCAGTAAATGGAGAACTAGATGGCTGATGGTGAAAGCAGGTTTCTGAGCAAGAAGATTGCAGAGAAGTACGGGCTTGATATGCCGCCGTATGAGGGTGTTGATCAGATCGTTGAGATGCCGGTTGAGGGGCAGGGAGAGAAGCTGTGAGACTGCGATCGCAAATGACAGACGAGGTTTCCGGTTCTCGTGAATGAGGTACGTGTGGCTGGAATATTAGATGCGCCGGAAGTTGGATGCGTTCGCTTGTTCCTGGAGGTCGGCATTGCTTGCCTTGGGCACTAGTATGTTCGTACGTTGAGCAGCAGCGGATCGTGGTATTGCGTCATGGCAAAACCGTCAGCGTTGTGGCAATTCATACACCGACGTCCATATCCGCTTGTTCAGCTCTTGAAGCGAACCGCAATAATGTAGGAATGCTGAGTATTTACCAACTCACTCAGCTAGCTCGAGGTAGTATCATTGTGCGGCCATATACGGCTGGAAACCGGTAGCACACCATGAGTAGTCTCCATCTCACTCGCTTGATCCGTACAGTAGTACATCTGCGAAGACCGTTGGTTACAGTATTCCAGATACATCAGGACCAGTTTTGAGACGGCCCTAGCCTTGAAGCCGTAGAAAGCACAGATTTACCCTCTGCCCAGCATATACAGAGAGAAGGCGACGCCAACCAAGACGAGCACTAGAACCACCGGGTTGCCGCGCCGCAGCCTCAAGCCCGTGGTAGGCTGTGGCTCTAAGCCGAAGCGGATAGAGTTGGAGGGCGCAGTATACACCTCACTCATGTTCCTTGACAGAGGTGCCGGTTCAGCGGCTTCATACTTAGACGATGAACTTCTTCGGAGCACTCACAGCTTCGAGCTCTTTTCCTCTTTGTTCTTCGCCATCTTATAGAAATCCTTCGACTGGTTGCCAATAGTGCCTTCTCTCTCCGCAACAGCGACTGTAGGCAGTTGTCTGGCATCCCGGATCCTCTTGTCCGAGATGAGATAGCCGCGCGGTAAATCACCGTTCTGCACCAACTCTTCCTGCAGCGCCGAGAGGCTGGTGCCCTCTTCCTCGGCCAACATCATATCGACGACAGCTTTGCCGCAGAGTGTCCCATTCGGCATGCCATGGCCTACAACACACTTTTGTCAGCTTCACCAAGTCTGACGGCTTTATAGCGGTTCACAATGCTGCACTTGCCTGTATATCCCCCGCACAGCCAAACCCCCTTCCCGCCCGGCACCTTTCCCACCCAAGGCATATTATCCCTCGAGAAGCCCATAATCCCCGTCCACTGATAATCAGCCTTAAGCTCCCCCTCCCCACCCTCCCCACCATCCCCGCCAAGCTTCAGCATCTTTGGCAAACTCTGCCTCAAATACCTCGCCGAGTCCTCATCGATGACCGAATCATCCGACACCCCAACCCGCTCCAACGTCCCCGCTCCGCCCCCACCCCCGAACATCAGATGTCCCTTCGGGTTCGGCACTCCGCTGAAGGGCCGCTGGATGAGATAGTCATCCTGGTTCGCGCCCTGCCCCCCTGCGCCGACGAAGCCGTACGAGTCCGCGAGGCGAGCCATTCCGGGCGGCGGGAGCTGCGCGCTCATTTCGCCGCGGACAGGGACGATGAGGTCGGCGAAGGAGGGGAGGAGGTGCGACGTATAGCCGTTCGTGGCCAGGATAGTTTGCGTGGCTGCAATCTTGCCGCGAGGCGTGTGGATGAGCGTACTTTTGCCATCTGAATCCGGCGAGAGCGATGTGACGGGTGTGTTCGTGTGGAGTGCCAACCGCCCGGATTGAACCAACGTCTCGAGGATGTAGGTCACGTATTTGTAGGGCCAGAGTTGGCCGGCTCCGCGCGTGAGTGTCGCCCCGGCTGCGGAGGGCCGGACGCGGTGCTTGGCTAGCTCAGCTCTATCTGTTATAAGAGTGACGCGTTTAGCGAGCTCAGGGGCGGAATCGTGGAGGCGGGACACTTCGGCTTTGGCGGCGTCGAGCAGAGCGTCTGTCCAGAATGTCCGGCAGCCTGTCACGGTGCGCCATTCGCAAGGGACGTTGTGGGATTCGATATACGATCTGACGGCTGCGACGTTGCGGAGTTCGAAGGCCGCGACGTCGGGGCCGCGGTCGAAGAGGAGGGGTTGGCAGTGGCCGCCGTTCTGTTATGTGTACTCGTGTTGGCGACTCTGGTTACACCTCTATAATGCCCTTGACCAAGTCTGGACGACATGGTAAGAGCTTGCTGTGGCTCACCCTGCCTGTAGCTCCCCAGCATGCTTCTCGCGCCTCCAGTAGGACTATACTCTTTCCACTCGCCCTGTCGTCCTCGGCCAGGAAACGAGCAACCGACGCGCCGGTGATGCCGCTCCCTATCACCACGATATCGGCTTCACGAGGAAGGTCTGGCGTCGTTCGATGGCCGATCAGGAACTTGTTAGGTTCGCTGTGCCAGAAGGAGTGGGTGGAGTTGGGAACTGGCAAGGAGGCTGGCTTGTCGTCTTGTGCGGTCATGATGGAGGAAATGAATCGTAATCTGGTTTCGAGGTTTAACGACGCCTCATGCTACTTGGTTCAGTTCGGACCCACATCTATATACAACTCTCATCGATCGGTGTTTGCAGCTCAAACGCGTGTTGTCGGTTGCGGGGCTCAAGCTGCCCCACCACGAGCTCGGGGCTCTTGGGCCATCGGAAACATCCTCGAAAGATGTTAACAGCCTTGACTAGTCCTTTCAAAAGGGAGTAGTAGTGGAGCTGCTGAAGAGATTTGGACTTGCTAGGACAGCCAGCTGATAACAAAGACGACCCACGACAGGATTCTTGTCAGCAGCTTTGCAGTACCAGAACCTCGCAACGCCTGCCCAAGTCTCCCGGTCACAGGTATTTTCATCTTCCACTGCCGTACGATATCTAGCCAAATTGCCCAAGCATTCGACCCAAGTGTTCTCGAGATTCGGAGCCGTCTTGTACAACAGAGCGACCGTTTGGTATGCAGTATAGATAAAACATAGTAATCCATGATAGACGGGTTGTGTATGACGCATAGCGGTCGCGATTAGGAGACCCAAAATTCTAGTATAGATCGTAGCTCAGAACTATACCCTTCCCGTCGATCAGAATGAGGAAAGACCCCTCGAAAGCGGCCGAAGAGATAACGTCAGAAACGACCAATTATAACCTATAAGTTCCTTCTCTGTCTCGTTGGCAGACTACCTCATAGTGCATAGCATCTTAGACGCAGGAACCAGTCTGCATGCGTCTGGTGAGCCGCCCTTGAGATCCTCCTCTTCCTACCCATTATGTTGTTCCTAAATGAGAGCATCGCAGCCTCGAATTCCCGACAATCCAAGCAGGAAGAAGACCTCATCACCAAGACGTGTCCGGCACAATCAAACGCCAGCGCCAATCGAACTCATAACTCATTTCAACCGACTATGACCCAGGCTCCTTCTTGCTCACCAGCCCCTTAACCGTAGCCGTGACACTGATGCCCCCAAACAACCAGTCGTTGCTGTGTCTGCCGTAATAATACCTCTCGCTCTCAGTCCTGCTCCCAAAGCTCGTCTGCCTTTGGCTTAGACCCGGCTGATTGGAGCCAGACGCCTGCCTTTGCTGCTGCCGCGTCGCGGCACTCTGCTCATGCACATAACCATTCGCGACCAACGTAGACGCCGAGTCGGTGGCATCGATTTGCGTGGGAGGAAGCGGGGAGCGCGAGCGGTCGCGTCGGATCCGGCTGCGAGAGCGGCTCCGGGAGCGACCGCGGACTTTTTCTGCGATGGCGCCGAAGAAGGACTGTTCGGTCGGCGAGGAGACGCGGCGCGTGGCGAAGTAGGACGTTGGCGCTGCTGCCACATCGGGAGAGGTGGGCGCGGAGGGCGTTTCGGCTAGAGTGGAGGACTCGCTCAGGGTGCGGACGGATTGGGTGGGGCGGATGGGATTCATCTTTCGTGAAGAGGTAGGTGGTGATGCGATTGAGTTGGAAGCTGGATGTGAGGTGGTGTTGTAGTTGGCTTTGGTTAGAAGTGTGTAACGATCTTTGATGCTTGCAAAAACTTGAGATGACTGAGAGGGTGTAGCTTGGACTTGACAGGTATCGATGAATAGATAATTGGAGCAACTTTGAGAGGAATCTCAGCTGCTTAAATAAAAGTCCAGAGCGTCCGAAACCCTTGTCAATTTGGGTCAATGCCAGTTACCTTGCTGTATCGTGATCACGGTGTCCGCTTGGCGCAAAGCTCCCTTCCACGTTCCCCGCTCCACGGTGAGTTTGAGATCTATGCCTGCCAGCTAGCCAATGATAAGGCGAATTGGCAGCAGCAGCTCGCCCAGCAGGGCTGAAAGGACAGGCAAGCTCACCGCTCAAGCGTGACCGTTCGGTACGGCTCTTGGGAGGCTACTGCAGCCCCGTGCATTGCCAGCACATCGAGCCAGGACCGGGATCAGGATACTGTCCATGAATCTGTTCTGAAATCGACGCCATTGGCGAATCAATGGAGGAAATGGTCCCGGGAACATGCCATTTCGTCCATGCGGCTCCGCGTCCATCTCCTCTCCGGCTTTCCGAGGTGTTGAAAGTCAGTCCCGGTGGACGCTCTTGTCAGACGGACTGTCGTTCAGCCGCACCTTGGCGTGACACTTGGGAGGACACACAAACCGTTGCTCTCCCACTCGTGCCCAGTGGATCATCCACGAACCGTATCCTTGCATTGTTCCGTTTATGACGATCCAGTGGCAGCCACAGCGGACGAGTCTTATGTGTTCGCAGGACAGATCATGTGTTCTGTCCGAGGCACACAGGCACCCACTGGCACTCCATTAGTGGTCAGATCGTTCGCGCTAGAAGCCTTCCAGAAGCCCTACGGCAAGGATTCATGCTGTCGCGGCCGGTGAACTTCGTGTCCTGGATGATCAACGCGTTCCACATATACATATCACGCGCAAGCCGCCGTCGTTCTGTTCGATGACGGTCTACCTGCAGCAACATGAGTCCTTGGTGGTTGGTGAGACAAGTCCTGCGCTTCGTTTGGGAATCCTGATGTCCTGCGGTGGAAGGCTTCCTCAAGGAGCCCCACCTGCAGGAACTCGTCTGTGGAGCCCCATCGCGAGGCAGCAAGCCGGCTTGGCCGGTTGACTCGGTTCCTGGAGGACAAGTGGACAAGCCGTTGCCGTTCCATGCAACACGCGCAAACCGCCATCTCGCTGTTTGATGACGACGCAGGCGCGGCAATATGAGTCCTCGGCGTGTGTCCTGTTTGGCAGGACAGGTCATGTGCTATGGAAACCGACTGATGTTGCAGGGTTTGGAATCCTGCGGCGCTAGAAGGCTTCCAGAAGATCGCCTGATCGGCGTGGAGAAATGGCATGCGTTCAGCTTGGCGAAATAGTCGCCTTGTTTGCCTTGTCTACGCAGGAAACGGTCTGTACTCTCCGTGCATAGCAGCTTTGCTTGGTCATTGCAGAGAATTCTCATGTAGTACTCATGCTCGCGAAATCTCAACAAATCTGACTAGACCAAAACTCTATTGCAACCGAACATTGCCAGAGCTTCTTGCCATATGTACACATTGCGAACTAGGTTAGTAGAAAAACCCTGTTTTGAAGCGAAGAAAAGGAGAAAACCGCAAGGTAAACACTAATGCGTGGATTGAACCATTTGGGTAGAATGAGTCCCAGTCCTGACTGGAGAGCGTTCCTGATGGTTATTGCTCATGCTAGAACTACAAGCCGACACTGTGGAAATGTAGCATCCCAGGATTTTTGTGGTATGTCCGCGCACAGCTGAACGCGCCGCGCAATACCGTCTTCCCAGTCAACCACAAGCGCGTGGATGCTGTCTCCCAAAAAGCCATGACTTGTTGCAATAGCCACGAAATCGAGCTTGTCTGAACGACTGGCTCGCCAACGACCGTCCAAGAGGACGCCTGCAATGACATCTCCCACAGACTCTACGCGTACGTTGTGGAGGTGACGACAAGCTGGCTGGTTGTCCCCTGCCCCAGGCAAGAACTGCGGTCGATCCACATGGAGACTTGCGCATTCAGTCCAGAAGCCGAGGAGCTGATCAAGGGCGACGTCCTGCCGGGGCACCAGTTTTAGAGCAGGCGGATCGCTTCGCAGCAGTCGTCTCAGACTGAGAAAACGCGAGAGTTGCATTGTTGGCCCTGCATGTGACTCTGTTTCTGCCCGCTCTCGCCCGACTGTCAGGCGGGGTACGGCCTTTGGTGTCCTCTTCACAGGGCTCTGTGGGGCCTCAAACAGGACGCGGATCTTCACCGGAGTACCGTCTGGTTGGAACCTGTAGTATGTCGCAAGAGGGACTAGTGTCTGATCGGAGGCTTGGAAGACAGTAGAGTCAGACGCTGAATCGATTCTCTGGCTTAGCCACGACCAAGTCGGAAAGCTGCTTCTTGCGTGAAGAAGCGGGAACCAACTATCCAGGCTCCTAAGAGCGGTGGGAGATGATGCGGCATCAGTGCTGCCTCGAGTACCGTCGAGCCAGCGCCAGGCGATGCAAACGCCAAACTCCGCTTCAGGCATACCCCAGAAGAAGGGACCAAGATCCTCCTCGAGAGTATTCAGAATTCCCCGGAAGGCGTTGACTGCATCATCATCTCGAGAAAGGCTCCTCGTAATATAGCCACCAACAGCAGCCCTGTACTGCTTGAGACGGTCCCTGTCGCCGGGTCTCGGTTTGGTTAAATACTTGAGGTGACGATCCAAGTCCAGGTACTGGTCTTCCATTAGCTCAGCTGACACATCAAATTGGTCGTTGCGATAAGGGGGTTTCTCCGGATGAGAACAAAAATAGTCCGATTCCGTATATGCATCCTCGTAGTATGTTGCGCTGTTGCAGTGATAGAAACACTGAGTCTTGTCGAAAATGAGCAGTCTTCTTGATAGCATCTTCTCTTGGAAAGTCCATCCTCTCTTATTCCACACACATTCTTCTTGCGATGTGAGGAACCAGGGACCCGTTGTCACAAGATCAACGCCGTTGATACGAGTTGCGTGCTGGGGTACGCGGGGTGAGCTGATACCAGGTAGACCGGCGTCTGCGCTACCCCCACTGGCCGCCTAGGAGATATTTAGACCGAGGCAAACACGATATGAGAATCTGCGGTGTGGTTTCTTACAACGATAGTCAGAACGGCGGAGCTGTAGATATTGTCCATCATTTGAATCAGAGCTGCCTTATCGGTCTCGTCATCTTGCCGTATGCACAATGCATCGACCCACAAGTATGGTATTCGAAGCTCACTACAAACCACCATGGCGTCTACGATGGTTTGCGGAGTGTTTCCAACGAGTCCTCCATCGCTGAAGAGCGCGTCTGCAGTTTCCCGGCACAGCTTGAGATGCCGGCCTTGACCCCAGACGTATGATAGTGCAGCGAATTCTGGGACTGCTTGTGGCCAATCGTAGATCCATTGAGAAGGCGCTGCATCACTCTCGTGTTGTGGTCGATTGTGGATCCATTGAGAAGGCGCTATACAGCTCTCGCTCACACATCGCCTGCTCACGTCGATCAGCCTGAAGCATCTGTTTTTCACGATCCACGTGTTAAGTTCTGCTTTCACGGGCTGACATGATGAGCCGTGATTATCAGAGCATCCATACAGCCAGCCGCGAGCTCTTCCGATGTCAAATCGATCGGGCAGCTGCCGTCCTCGAAGCAAGTAAACATCTTGACGACGTGCCGGGTCGCCCTGCAGCTGGATTCCATGTCGAAGATTGGGGATAGGGGTTCCACGCATATTGTGCGGACCATCAACCCGCGGTTGGGGCTGCGGCGAACCTTCTGCGTAGCGGGTCTTAGGTGCAAGTCTGACACCGAGTCTTGAGACCGCGTTTGCGTAATTCTTGAAGCCACTACTCCACCGGAGATATCTTAGGTAACCGAACAACTGCGGCTCTGCTACCACCGTTGTGTCCGGTCCCCACGGCGGATCCGCCAGTCCAGGATCTTTTTCGAGAGCCAGGAGTATGAATCTACACATAGGGCATGAGCCATACCGCATCGTGTCGAGAAACCAGACATATCGCGTATAGGCGCGCGAGAACCTGGAGTCATGCTCTCGCCAAGCAGTCAGCTCTTTTACGAGATCTATCTGGCAGCACACAGAGCACAATCGCTCGGAGGGTTCCGTAACCGCTGGAGCTGCGGGAACTTCATCCACGCAATCATTTGCATTCCAACTGGACGGCCTTGAATCTACAATGAGACCGATGTCCTCGGCGAGAAAGTCATGGCGTCGTGATTCCATGCTTGCTCCAAGCATCAACGGCTCGGCACAAGTCACCTTGGCGATTCAGACCGCGAGGGGTCGAATCGTCTTGCGTCCGCATTGGTGTTGTGAGGACGTACACTGGCGGCCATCTACAATGCGATCTTGATGGATTCGTACATGCTTCTCTTCTTGCGCTTGGAGCGTAAGTCTGCAGCGTGTGGGAATGAATGGCTGTCTCTGTTTAGGTACAGTGAGGTGGAGTGAGACGATGGCCGGTCGGAGCAAGTTCTCCGCCGAAGCACGCGCAACCGCCCAAGGTTCCATCTCAAAGGGTGCTGGACGGAGCGGCCCGCAAGGAGGGTTCGGCCGCTTGGCCCCCAGTTTGCTGCACATCCGCAGGACTGTCATGACCGCATCTCCAACCACAAGTTCTCCTGGTGCGCGCTAGAATCACATTCCTTGTTCCCCGCCGTGGCACATTGGCTGACAAGATCGAGGCGCTTCCAAGTTCAACCTTAGAGACATGCTTATCCTTGTATGCGTGGTTGGCTGGGCTGAGAACGTGCATTCAGGACGCTTTGATTAGGGGAGCGGAAGATGCGGATGCAAGCCCTAAGGCTCCAAGAGCTGGGGACATGTCGCTAGAGGCCTCTTATCTACCGCGCTAGCGGAGTCAACATGATAAATTTCTGCAGAAGCATGTACGAAGGATTGAACAAGCATAGGCGTGGGCGGGTCCCCGCTTGCAAGTAGAGCACTTCTTCTTCTGGCCTCCAGATCAACAGTCCCTCCTCGCAGAGGTCTTACCTTCCCTCAACTCAATTCTTCTCCTTGACGGATCCATCGCCATGTCTAAGTCTCCGTTATTCGAAGGCAAGAGCCTTCAGTCGGACGATGCGCCTGTGACCTATGTCAGAGACCTGGGGAATGAGTTTGCAATGGATTCGATGGGCAGGAGAGCGGTGGCCGAGCAGTACCAAGGCACAGAGGAAGATCAATACACCATGAAGGTCCTGGGCAGAACGCAGGAATTACGCGTAAGAGAATCTTCGTCTCGGTTTTGGATGTATGGTCGAACCATACTGATGCCGCTTCGCAGCGCAACTTCGGTTTCTTGCCTACCCTCGGCTTCGCTTCCACGCTGATTGCTACTTGGGAGTTCATCCTCGCGTATGTTCCGCTTCCCTGGAAAGACACATACTGTTACTCATGTACATGAACAGAACGCTTCTAAGTGGCCTTACCAATGGAGGCACTGCCGGTCTGTTCTGGGGCTACTTAGTGGTCGCGACAGGGTTCTTTCTCGTTTACTTAAGCGTGGCCGAATTGGCGTCTATGTAGGCATCTGTCTCTTCCTATTCCTTCAGGACCGGACAGCAGCTCACACATGATCCCAAGGGCTCCGACGTCCGGCGGCCAATACCACTGGGTATCTGAGTTTGCGCCACGGAGCTGTCAGAAGTACCTGAGCTATCTTACCGGTATCTCGAACTTTCAAATAGCAGTGACTGCTTATACTGACTCTCACAGGCTGGCTTACCTTTATTGGTTGGCAATCGGGCGTCGCCGGGACCTCGTTCATGGTTGGAACAATTATCCAAGGCTTAATAGTCTTAAACTACGAGTCTTACGCATACCGAAGCTGGCATGGAACATTACTTGTCATCGGGGTTACCTCGTTCGGTATCGCCTTCAACACGATCTTTGCCCGGAGGCTACCACTTGTCGAAAACATCCTAATGGTCCTTCACGTCCTGGGATTCTTTGTCGTGGGTTTCGTGCTGTGGATCTTGGGCCCGCGTGCCAATGCAAAGGCTGTCTTCACCGAGTTCAGGAACAACGGCGGCTGGTCTACCGATGGAACATCCTTTCTGGTAGGACTGAACCCGCTAGTAGTCTCGTTGTTAGGTTTCGACTGTGTTGCCCACATGTGTAGGTTGAAGATATCTTTTTACCTCTCAGTGTCAGCCTTTGGAAATCTTTCACTTACGAGACCGACACTATAGCCGAAGAAGTTAACGACGCCTCACGGACCGTACCGCTGGCGATAATCTGGGGGAAGCTAGTGAACGCAGTGTTTGGGTTTGGAATGATCATTACCGTCATTTTTATTTGGGGCGACATGGATGAAATCGCACTGTCGCCAACCGGGTACCCGTTCATCCAGATTTTCTACAACATCACGCACAGCTACGCTGGCACGAACATCATGACAGCAATCATCGTTGTAACTTTGACCGCCTGTGTTATTGCAACCGTGGCCACCGCTTCCCGCCAGATTTGGTCTTTCGCGAGAGACAATGGACCGCCCTTCTCCGCGACACTATCACGCGTAAGTCTGCGACCGTACGTCTAGGCACCGTAGAACTGACATGGTCAGGTCAAACCTGGCTGGGATATTCCGCTGAACGCGGTGCTCATCTCGCTCGCTGTGACTATCTTACTCTCCCTCATCAATCTTGGCTCGAGCGTTGCCCTTACCGCGATGTTCTCTCTAAGCTTAGCTAGTGGCATGACCTCGTACACCTTGTGTATCGGCTGTGTGCTACTCAAACGCTTCCGTGGCGAAAAACTTCCGGAACGGCGGTGGACGCTGGGCCGCGTCGGTGGGCCTGTGAACGTCGCATCGCTTGTCTTTCTCTTTGTGATGTACATCTTCAGCTTTTTCCCTACCGTTACGCCTGTCAAACCGAGTACTATGAACTGGGCGGTCGTCATGTATGGATCCGTGGTTTTGTTTGCCACAGGGTACTACTTTGTGATTGGAAAGAAGGTGTACATATCGCCCGCCGAAAGGGTAAGGAGAGACGCTAGTTTTTGACTTCCAGGCGTAGATATTTCTCTTAAGTGTATACAGCCGCTCTCTTCCTGCTAAGATACTGGCCCGCGTTGATTTGCATCCCATAGCCAGGGAATTCAGTAACACAAACGCATACCAAACTCGTTGGGGTTGCAGTTCTGCGCCTGAGTACTATACTCGCCGAGCAATTCGTATCCCTGGGCTGAGATGATCCACGTCCAGCCCGGATGTTCCGATGCAGGCTTCAGATCCACCTCTTGTTTTCGTCTCCTAGCCGCGCCATGTCCTCCTCAGTAAGCTCATCCTCTTCTTCTGTCTCAGCTTTTCGGTCAAAAGTTGGACGAGGAAGCGTGAGATACTCTAGAGCCGGATCAGGACCGGGTGGTACCATTGCAGTGCTTTCTATGGTGGATGCGCTGGACTTTGGGCTTCTCTCTTTGATGGTGGCTCAGTGTTTACAGATGAGCTCGGCTTATCAGAACTCGGACGTTTCTGTGCTACGGATTGTGGCTCCCAGCGCGCGTCTTCTTCTCTCGCTGTCGGCCTTCCCCCTACTGGTCCGCCAGTTTGAGCATCCTCTACCTCTTCTTGGTTCACAGATACCACCCGTGATCTCAAGTTCCTCGTTGCTGCCGGCATAGGTAGGTTCGGCAGTTCCGGGCTTTATCCGCGGTTACTAGATTCTGTCTTCGCCGAGGCATTACCTAAAACCAATCCGCCGCACACCTTGTTTAGAAGCTTTCAAGATGATGCAAAGAGACTTCCCTTCAAGTGAATGTCAATGGAAATGCAGAGGTGCGAGGAAATCCAGCGGAGACACGATGACGTTACATAACAAGGGTAGCTGAGGTACGTTACCCGCTTCTAGCGTGGCACGATTCGAACACCAACACACGTGCGATTAGCTGCATATCACACCACCCTGTTGGCCAACGGGAGCTCGACCTCACTGCATCTTATAAGGCAGATAACTTCTCCACGTTTGTTCGTTGAACTAGAGTCTTCGTGTCTTTTGCTAGCTACTAAGAGCCTGCTACCTCTCAGCCTGTCATCTGTTCCCACGTCTCGCCCGTTGGAGTTCTACGCATATCATGCGTCTATCCGTGAACCTGCGCCTCTAGACGTCTATCCCTTCCACAGTAACGCCCTTATTCCAGTTGTACTGCGAACGCCGTGCGACCTCAATCGCAGATTCATGAGACACCAGCGCCGCAACGAGATACAAGGCCGCATCCATACCCGCCGTGACTCCGCCAGCCGTGATGACCCTCAAACCTCCCAAAGGCAGCGCAGTCCTCCTAGCAAGTGACTCGCGTCTCCTTGACAGCTTCCACGCATCGCTGCCCTTGCGCGCAATCGACTTGCGCCTTCCATCAGGCCGCTTCTCCAGAATGAAAGGGTTTTCCTCCAACTTCTCCCCCAGCTCAAAGCGTGCATTGTTGACAACGTATCTCTCCTCCATCACGTCGGTCCGCTGCCCGGTACCATTCATCGCAACGTCTCTGCATATGATCTCAAGCTTGGTGTAGTAGTCCGGATGAGTGGTCGCAGCCAGACCCTGGAGGACACCCTGCTGAGCCAAGAACAAGGCGCCAGTGCACACGGAGAAGAGGGTCCGTTCACGGCTAGGATCTTTCTGCTGCAGCTCGGTGAAGGCGGTGATGAGGTCGAGGGGCTCTGCCTTCGTCTTAAGCACCTCGGCGGTGCCGCCGCCGGGGATGACAAGCACGTCGAACTCGTCGAGACGGTCGTGGGCTTCTTCGAAGTCCATATGGGCTTTGAAGGTGCAGCCTTGCGAGGAGGTGATATATTCCTTCGCGGCGACAGTGCTGCATTGGAAGGCTTTGGTTGCTAGTCGTCCGGCGTGTTAGTACTGACATGAGTGAATAGTGGCACCTCCTACCAGGATTCTTGATGTCTTGCAAAGCTTCGGTCAACATTTCGAGCGGGCCGCAGAAGTCCAGCGTGTCAAACGATGATTGGAGAGCGAAGAGAACCTGGATAGGTTCGTTTCTATCACCGCTCTCCTCGATTGCACTCATCTTGCTATCTGGTTGATGGATGTCTGGGAGAAAACGTCTTGGATGACTGTTTGTCGAGTTTCAAGTCAGTTCAGCTCAATGTTGAGGTGGGAGAAGTGGGCAAGAATTTCCCCGGATCTCACTTCCCCGGGTTAACCCCGCATTAGCCCCACCATATTAGAAAACACCTGGGCAGTCACGTGCGGATCAAGTCGCAACCTGAGGCAGTGACAAAGCCCAGCTATGCTCACGAGCGTGACGAGTGCTGAGCTTTCTACAGGCGTTGCACGGTTCGGCGCTTCTTCCCAGCTGAACATGAGCAAAAAATATTTCGCCGTCCTTCAAACACATCACTTATAATCTTTGAAGTATCGCTTTTTTATGGTTGCATATTATAATATTATATGTTAACATAATATCTTAGCAGCCTTAGCTTACTCATAGCTTATTATGGTGGTGGTATTGCGGATTAAACGTGTTTGAAAGTGCTCTATAATGAAGTTCCTCACGTGCTCGTCTATCCTGCAACAAAGTCCTGCGAAAGATCAAGGGTTTGGCAATTTTGGGAGCGCAGAGTTTCTTTCGCAAAGAAGCGCCGAACCGTGCAACGCCTGTAGCTCCGCATGCAAAGCTGAGCAGCACTTTCGCACCGCACTTCGATCATGTAGAGCTGGAACGGGGAATAGCCGCAATGCTTCAGCGATCAACCGCTGGGGTGAGGCGCGCGTTCCATGCTCAAAGAGTCGGTCAAATGGCAGCTCAGGCAAAGGCTTGTCGACTTCGGCGAGTTGAGAAGAACAGGTTTTCATGATTCCTTGTTCATCTGTTCTATCACATCTCGGTCTGTCCGTCAGGATTCAGTCATGGGAGCTCATGGTGCTGGACAGCTTGGCCCATGGCGTTTCATCGGCGCTGTTTCCCAGCATGCCGGTCCGTTGGCATGGCTATGCCCGGGCAGTTCTGCATGCACTTGAGGACCAAGATAGAGTACGGAGGTACCATTATATGACTGAAGCCTTGGAAGTCTTCCTGTTTCGACGGAGCTGCCCATAGAGGCAGCTCGGAGATCTGTCGGCAATCGCAATGGCGCGCAGCTAGGCGCAAAGAGGCAAGTGCTAACAAAGAACAGGTACTTGGTTGCGGCTCGAAACACCTAATCTCAACGCCGTCCATCAGCAGCGCAGGACGGCGCCTTTTACAGCTCTTACTCCACGTCACGCCGCGATGTTTACCGCTACCCATCCCCTCTTGGGAAGCTAACGCCGGGCGCAGAGGTTGAAGCATGTGGGAGTGTTGGGAATTCCCCGAACCTGGGGAGGCCATAAGAACAATGAATATCCTTCCATGGGAGACTTTGCTGGACCGTCCCTCCGTGCGCACCCTCTCGGTTTCTCATAGTCAGTAAGGGTCGCCAAGTCAAGGCTTCTAGCGATGCGCAACTTCTTCGCGACCGCATGCCTCATTGGCAGCCTGTTTACCCAGCTCGGTTATGCCGCGCCTCAGGACCAAGTCAAGGAGAAGCAGGCGAAAGTTGATAAGTTTGTCAAAGATGAAAGCACCGTAGCAATCCAAGGTGTTTTGGCCAACATCGGCCCGGACGGATCGAAAGTCTCTGGAGCTGCCGCCGGTATTGTGGTTGCGAGCCCATCGAAAGTAGACCCGGACTGTAGGTAAACATCCGCTTACTCAATAGGATACATACTGACTCAACTCCCTAGACTTCTTTACCTGGACTCGGGACGCTGCATTGGTCTTCAAGGCACTCGTCGACCGGTTCATTGCTGGTGACCAGTCTCTCAAGGCCAAGATTGACGACTATGTCTCAGCTCAGGCGTATCTACAAACCGTATCCAACCCTTCTGGGAGGCCAGAGACTGGCGGCCTCGGTGAGCCAAAGTTCAACGTCGACCGGACAGCATTCACGGGCTCGTGGGGAAGACCTCAACGTGATGGCCCGGCACTGCGAGCCACAGCGCTCATTGTATATGCGCAGTGGCTCGTTGCTAATGGCGACACTGCTAGAGCAGCGAACACTGTCTGGCCGGTGATTAGCAAAGACTTGTTCTACGTCAGTCGGAACTGGAATCAGACAGGCTTCGATCTGTGGGAGGAGATCAACGGTTCATCCTTCTTTACGCTTGCTGCCTCGCATCGAGCACTCGTCGAGGGCAATGCCTTGGCCGGGAAGCTTGGAAAGCCATGCGACCAGTGTACCGCACAGGCCCCGGAGGTGTTGTGCTTCCTTCAGACCTTCTGGACTGGCAGCTACATTGACTCAAACATCAACACCAACGACGGCAGGACCGGAAAAGATGCAAACTCAATTCTGACATCTATCCATGTTTTCGATCCTACCGCCGGCTGCACTGACTCTACGTTCCAACCATGCTCGCCGCGTGCGCTGGCAAACCACAAAGCGGTGACGGACTCGTTCCGCTTCTATGCAATTAACGCTGGAATCCCGCAAGGCGTGGCCGTGGCTGTCGGCCGTTATTCAGAGGACGTCTACTACGGTGGACATCCTTGGTACCTCGCCACCCTGGCCGCCGCTGAGCAGCTGTACGATGCGCTCTACCAGTGGAACCGACGGGGCTCGATCACTGTGGACGCAGTCTCACTCGCCTTCTTCCGAGACCTAGTCCCCAACGTTGCGACCGGAACTTACGCATCAAACTCCGCTACGTACAAATCGCTCACCACCGCTGTCAAGAACTACGCAGATGGCTATATGGCTGTCGTGCAGAAGTACACGCCGGCCAACGGCGCACTTGCCGAGCAGTTCTCCAAGACGGACGGCAAGCCCCTGTCGGCCGCCGACCTTACATGGTCGTACGCTGCCTTCTTGACCGCCGCCGCTCGTCGAAATGGCGTCGTGCCCGCCTCGTGGGGCGAGCCCACCGCGAACCGGGCGCCTGGTGTCTGCAAGGGCGGCATCCCGCCGTGCACTGTCTCAGTCACTTTCAACGAGGTTGCGGGGACGTCGTTCGGCCAGAATGTCTTCATCGTGGGTTCTATCTCGCAGCTCGCAAGCTGGAATCCCGGCTCTGCAGTCGCGCTAGCTTCGGACCGTTACACGAACGAGAACCCGCTATGGTATGTGACGCTTCAGCTGCCGGCGAGCACAAGCTTTGAGTACAAGTACATCAAGAAGACGGCGGATGGGAGCGTCACTTGGGAGAGTGATCCGAACAGGCGCTACACTGTACCGGACTGTGGAAGTGGTGCGGCGACGCAGAACGATGTATGGCGCTGAGCGTGAGCATATGAGGGGTTAGTAGGTCGTCTAACGGCGCTGTTTTTGGTGGCGGTTGCTCTTTTGTCAAGAGAATACATTGTTTGACACGGCCACTTCCACGGTCAAATCGCCTAGCACTGCCACTTCAAAGTATCACAGTCTTAGTATATCATTAATACCCACTTCATACTATTCGGTCGGCTACGAGACCTCTGCTAAGTGCTCCACCGCCGACTTGTGTTGTGAAATGCCAAGTACGCAGGTTCTCTGGTTTCCTGATACAAAGAAGAGCATATCCTTTGAGGTGAACTACGAGTTCCACTCAGAGTAAATCCTAGCCGGTTGCAGGACTGGATAGTATTTCTTTGTTCGCATTTCAGATCTCACCCCAAACTAAGAGTGTACACAACAACCGCCGCGCTCTGACGCGCTTAATGTTGTGCCGTCACTAACATTTCCAAGCATGTCGACCGGGGCTGGTGTGCATTACCAAGGACGGCGGTTGTTGCTGTTCCCACCCGTCTCTCCACCAGCCGATGCCCGCCCAAGGAGACTCGCACCAGCATCACCGTCGCAGGCCTCAACAGTAACAACGACAGCTGCAGCCACACCGTCACTGTCACCAACAGCAGTATCGGGTTCTCCTCTTCCTCCACCCCCTTCTTTTCGCTCCCTATTTTTCTCCTCCGCTTCTTCAGCCTCATATGTCCCTTCTAACTCCGGCTCTTCATCTCCGTCCCTCTCCTCCGCTTCTTCTCTAATATCAAGTGCTCCCTCTGACCCTGGTTCTTCCATTCCCTCTTTAGGTACCTACCCTTATCCCTTCGGGTCTGCTTAAACGAAAGCCATACTGACAATGGGAAGAGAGCGACTGCGGACCTGCCCCCGAGGAAAACGGCCACGCTCCACCCCGCCGAGGGCATCCGCCTACCTTGTTGCTTGTATTTGTCGCCGGCCTGATACTGTCTAAGTTTACAAGTAAGGCGCTCACCGATCCGTCCGCATCCGTTCCAATAGATCTCCCGCCTCCACTGCCGGAGCCCGAACCAGAGTTCAAGGAGGGCTTTTCTCCACTGTCTCGTTGCGGCTATAGCGCAAAGGACTTTAGCTTCGTCTATTCCCCAAACGCTCGTGCAGTCCTTGGCTTAGACGGAAGGCCGTATGGTAGCGGTAGTAAAACTGTCGCCAAGCGTCACCGACGGCAGCTACTGCGCCTATGGCACCCGGACAAGGTGGGAGTTACTGGGTTAGAAATCTGGCAGCACGAGAGCATCATCCACATAATCGACGAGATGTACAAACAGCTAGAGCCACAGCTCGAGCGAGACGACATCGAGGATCCTGATCCCGATTTTCACACCAAAAATTGGCCGCCTCGGCTACTCAAGCCGGCATCGACACAACCACCAACACCCGAGTCCAAGTCTGAACGTAGCCTCTTTCCACTCTCGCGTTGCGGCTATGGTCCACAGAACTTCACCTTCCTAGCCTACCCAGATCCTTATATAGGTCTCGGCTTCGAGTGGGGCAAGGTTACCAAGGCTGAACTTGAGACCGAATCCGAGCAGCGTTACCAGCAGCTGATGCTCATCTGGCACCCGGACAATGCAAACGTCACTGGATTGGATAGCTGGCAACACCTCCATATTGAGACGAAGATCACAAGGATGTACAACTCATTGAAGCGTGATATCAAATACATGGAATTGGTTCAATATCATCGACCGGCATAAATGGATTTACATCTCCTGGCTTTGGCAGCAGATGGCTCCATGAGTCACCTCACATAGTCAGATCTGTACCTGCCCAGGGTTCCTTCGTTGCAAGGGGTTACGCGAGCGAAGCAGTTTGCAAGAATCAAACCGGCACCGACCGCGCCTTCGTTCCATTCAATAAGGACCACCGCTACTCCATCATCGCAAATGTTCTTTCGTAAGGAAGTAGGGCATGACTAGAGGGAGGAACATGTGAATGCGACGCCTTTTCATAGTTGTACCGTTGGAGACTTCCAAGTCGAGGACCTGAGAGCGCTTGATAGGATCATACATCACAGTTCTGTAATGTTCCGTTAATCTCTGCTCATGTGCTTGTATTCAGGCAAGCATCGCCAGTGTGAATGATTATCATTCTACCTTCCTATCACCGTCTGTACAGGTGGCTTTGTCACAAATGCTCAAATGTCAAGCAGGATGTGACAAACCGCATCGTCAGCTTTTGCGAATAGAGAGTTTGAATTTCACTTAAAAGGGCTGCAACGTGTTACGACTGCCAGCAAGAGATCCGCAAGCAGCTGCCGCGCCAATAATCACCCCAGCTTTCGTCTGTTGACAGATTCATGGATCCCACCCCCGGGTCAGATTCGCCGCCTGGAGCCGCCAGCGATCAAGCTTTGCAAATTCTCTGCACGACGCGTTCGAGAGATCAACCTGAAGCAAATGCGGTAATTGAGCAATGGCTCGCAACAGCAGATTCTGAAGATCAAGAGGCGGCCGACGAGCTGCTTGGTCAGCTCCCCCTCGATGACCGGAGAGGGCGACCAAGAGACTACGCTTCTACTGAGCGTACTGCCACGCGTGCACAACCTGCTGAACATATTGACGAAGAGCCAGGTAGGCGAAGGGTGAGAGACGAAGGTGTTGTAGCCCGTACGGCTCAATCATCAGCCACTGATGCACGACAGCAGCAAAAACCAGCGACTGGCGGGTCTCAAGCCAGCCAAATCTTCCAGCCAGTCGACGAGGTCCAAGACCTACTCGCAGACCTGAATGCCCTTTTGCCGGATGCCTCGCCTCTCAGAATGCTCCAACATCGAGTAGAAGCCTTCTTCAAGCAGGGAACTCGCATGGCGTCATTTGCGTTCGCGGCGCTTGAAAACGTCGCGATGGAGGGCATCTATGAACTTAATGAAGAGCGCGTCAAGATCGAACTGAGCACCACCGAGCCGAAACCAGAGTCTGAGTACATTAAGAACTATCCCTGGACCTCATGCAAGCTCGCTGCAACACTGGTCATGATACTGGCCGCCTCGAAAGAAGGCATGTACGACGCGATCAAGTCTCAATCGAGACACATGGGCGGAATGCCGGAATTGAAGGACATCCGCGAAACACCGTCTGCATCCTTTATAAAGGAATTTCGGACTGCGAGAGATGCGGCTCTGGGGAAGGAGAAGTCGACGACGGTGATGCAAGTCACACTTACCGACGTGTGCATCTTCGAACTTGAGGAACTGGGTCAGTTCCAGGAGTACTTCGAATTTTCACATGTCTTCGTCGTCGGCGTTGGGCCGGAAGGTGTCATCGTCTGGCAGGCTTGGGGAAAGCATGGATACAGGCTCGACGAATACCTTGGGCGCAATGGAACGCGTGTTCGTAGCTGGAAAGAGGCAGAACAGTTTGTCGATGATTTTGAGAAGCTGATTCTTGGGCAGGTAAGCATGAGAGGAGGGATTGCCGTACTGTCATTGAACACTCCGGACTGACTTCTGCAGGGCATGTGGACTGCTAAACGGAACAAGCTCTACAAGAAGCTATTCGAGGTGGATATCAAGCAGATATGTGGCCCCAATGGGCCGGAGCGGCCGATTACGCCGGAGTACGAAGCCTGGGTCCGCATTCATGTCCTCAAGGATGTCAAGTATGAGGATGTAGCAAAGTTGAGCTGGGTTTGATGCAGGAGCTCGCCGCCTCTTGCAGTTTAATAAGAAGGCTGAATGCGCTATGGATGGCATGTGGCACATTTTCTAGTCTCGAGTACCTAGCATGTCTGTACGTTGTAGAGATGGAGGGCTTGTTGTCCTGAGAGGGAGTGAACATAATGTTCTCAATCACGTGAGCTGGTATGCCGCAGAACCCCTACGAAACTTCCAAGCCGAACCAGTCCTTTTATTCAGACACGCATTTCCAGCAGCGCCACTACTCAAACGATGTATATTGAAAAACCTCCAACGCTAACTTAGCTCCTTCTCCCCACAAGAGGCATTCAAACCGGTCCTCAGTGGGCGGTTGCTGGGAGCACATAGATCCCTCCAAGTAGTTCGTGATGCGGCTTATTTAGGGGCATCTGCTCAACGTCTGGAATCTCACTGGCTTGTGATGGGGTATGCACTGTAGAATCCCAGCTGCCTTAAGCGGCTGTCAACAGAAGTTAGTCCGAATACCAATCTGCGCTCTCCTCTGTTCGATCCAATACTAGCGACGGTTTCTCTTCACGTCTCAATTCATGGAATCTGTCACATTTCACCACAGCCTTGACAAGCCCAATCGGCTGTGCTCGAGTCCGGAGTATCTCTTGAAGTTTTCCTTCTTTGCGTCGTCAAGAGCAGGACCGTTCGTTCATCAAGCTGCACCTTCCATCTCGCCAAATGGGCACACCCCGCGTTTTGGGGCTGTGGCTGAAACTCCGCCATCTTCAATGTGAATGGCCCGATCCCGTACTTTTGGCACTTCGCTCGATTGGGACATTTTTTCAAGATAGTTCAGAACCGTCTCCCATGTTTACTCCCCTTGGCGCAATTTTGTTACCTATCGGGACAAGTCCAGCCCTTGGAGTACTCACATGGCAATAGCGGGACGACGCGATGGTATGCAGGTGGCAGATGCAGCATTGGCAACCAACCGCCCGAATACATGATGTCCTTGTCGCTGCAGGGGAATGGGGAAGTGGTATAAATGAATCTGGCCCGCTGGGATATACCGGAATACTGGTCCTTGACACAGCAGACGCATTCTGAGCCGCCCTTAGCATCGATTCTTCAATCTAAGATAGAGCTTCGCCTATACTCACTACAAACATGTGGAAGCAAAACCTCTTTTCCCTGGTTCTAGCAACCTTGGCCAGCGTATCCTGGGCAGCGCCCGGCGACGTCTGCCGCTCATCACTCGGCAGCGGCACCTGCAAATCTACAGGCAGCTGTCCAACAGGTGAGAGCAGTCTAGCCAGACCTCTATGATAGACCACAACCGCAAGATGACTGATACATCCTAGGCTTCACCGTCCGCGGCGCCTGCCCGAACGACCCGGCCGACATCCGCTGCTGCATCCAAACCGCCTGCAAAACCAACACAGGCACCTGCCTCGACAAATCCATCACGCCCTGCAGAGGCGGCCGCTTCGAAGCCGGCCACTGCCCCGGCTCGACCAACATCCAATGCTGCATCCGCGATACGGCTCCAACCCCCACTCCCACGCCCAAGTGCCCGACCTCCTGGGTGATCGGCGTGCGCGGCTCCGGCGAGTCCCTCACCGGCGCGAACGAGATCGAAAAGATGCGCGCGACCGTCTCGGCCTATGTCCGTGAGGCAGCTGCTGCCTTGCCCACAGATACGGAGTACCTGTCGCTGCGGTACGCTGCTGCGCCGGTTGGGCCGGACCATCTTACCTCGCAGCAGGCGGGCGCGGAGCTGCTGCGGACTGTTATTCGCGCGTGCGTGAGCGCGTGCCCGAATATACGGATTGGAGTCATGGGATACTCCCAGGGCGCCCACGTCGTCAATGATGCGCTGAGCTACCTAAGTCGCAACACGCCCTCGGCCCTTGAGAGGGTGCGCGCGGGGTATTACAGATTGCGGACCCCTGGGCCGATTCTTCGAAGTCTTATCATTTGGGTATTACGCTGAACGGCTCGCCAGCCCTAGTGAAGCAGTCTGGCAGAGTGCTGGTACCACAGGCGCTGCCGGCGGCGGTGGCGGGCCGAGCGACGTCGGTTCGTATCAGTGGAGATATTGTGTGCGATGCGCCGAAGAAGGGATTAGCGTTGTTAGTGTCGGCGGTGACGGTGGGATTTCATCAGGCGTACAAACCCTGCTGTACGCAGTTATTGTTCACTAGGATTTTAGGGGGCGCGTTGGCGAGCAGGTTGCAGGCATGAAGACGGGGTTGACTTATGAGGCTACCATATGTAGGGCTCGTACAAAACGCTGGTATCGCTGCGATGACCGAAGAACAACGCTCCGCTTATGAGACCTCTTGACTCTATACTGCCGGAACTCACATGCTGCTGTACGTGACTGCTTAGATAACGCATAGCTGCGCTGTAGTGGGAAGTTGGATCAGTTCATCCTACCGTGGATAGTTAGACTCTGTGACAGGCTTTCTGTGACAATTTCACCAGGGTGAGTGTATATAAGATATTAGATATTCGAGCATGTGCTATTGGCCATTCCCTATTCATCCGCCGGCACGCTGGGTGCAGAAGCCGCTAGGGACACCAGCATCCAATGGACAGAATCAGCTGTATTGTCGATAGTGAGCTGGAGCTGATTATTGAAGCGCCTTGGGCGCAGATGTGATACGCGGCCAGTATCCTGTCCGGTATGTGGCGCCTCAGCACTTCGCTTCAATAAGCGTGAGAGAGGAGTACTATCATCGCCCATGGAAGCGTGTATCCGAATTTCGAAGGTCTCAAGTCGTGTAAGTGAGTCCAGTCTGCTCATGAGACAGCCTTATGCACTCGCGATGCAGCAGAGCTGATCCCCGACTTCTCCATTGCCCACGAAAGCCTGCTCTGCTCGTTCTTCTCCTCCACTTCCTTCTCCATATCTTTCGCCTCCTGGTCGGCATCTTTGCCCGTCTCCTCCTTCTTTCTTCGCTCCTCCTCTTCCTGTTCCTCCGCTATCCTCAGCTCCTGCTCCTCCTTTGCTACTTCCTCAAGATCAATGTCCTCGAAGCCGATCTTCTTCAGGATGCTGCCGGTAATGTAGCGGTACTTCGTGTGACCGCTGACCAGATCACTAACGTCGACGTTTTCAACGCCTTTAACACCTTCGATTGCCTGGAGCCCGGCAACGCCGAGCTGGATACTACTGCTACGGTAGAGAAACGCAAGAACATAGTCGTTCGTTGAATAAACATTCACGACTCGGCCAGAGACAACACTGCGGAGCTTTCTCCAGTCGGCAGCCGTAGACGGAGTTGGAGCACCAACGAGCACGACGGACTCAACTAGGCCGAATGCTTTCCTCTCGGCGAGCGTTTGTAGGCAGGTATAGATAACTCGAGCGCCGAGAGAGTATCCAATTAGCGTTACTGGTCGCTCACCCTGCGCCTTGTTGATGAGCGCGTCCGCCAGCACCTCGCCAGCTTTCTCGCTCCTCGTCTTCGCAATGCTGAAGGGATTGTCGACGATCTTCCCAACCTTGAGCAATCCCAGTGGCCAGAGCGCCGCCGACAATGCCGCAAACACCGTCCGCTTGATAATCTCTTTCTTCGCATAGTTCCATGCATAGCTAGATACCATGGTCTTGATTGCGTTCCCCAGGTTCATCAGCGCCTCGAGCTCCCATCTCAGCGCAAACCCCTCGGTGCTCTGACTAATGACGCGCCACGGCTTGACCACATCCTGCGGATCGGTGATCCAGCCGCTGATACCGATAGCCACGCGCAGGCGACGGTATTCCTTCTCAATCTTGCGGGGCTTGTGCCAGTCCCTGACAGGTATAAACCCGAAGTCATCGACTTCTTTCGCGTACTGATCCATCATCTGGCCCGTCATACGTCCGCCGTAGGCACCGAAAAGTCCACCAACGAGTACTGTGCTACCGGCGAGCGTGCCCAAGTATCCTGCTGCAGCCGTTGCGCCGAGGCCCAGACCGCCCATAACAGAGCCCACGCCTGCGGCGACAAGAGGTGCGGCAAGGCCACCAGTGACGCCGATGATGGCGGCGCCGGCGACCGACGCGAGGCCCACCTTCCACTTGCGGCTGCTCGAGTTCTCTTCGGCCTTTTTCTTGGTCTCTTCGTCCGCGTTCATTTGCTCGGCGGCTTTGAGCAGGCCGCGTGCTACTTTGCTCTCGTCGTCTGCTAGGAAGTTGATCGAGAGCTTGAGGCTACTCGTCAGGTACAGTAGCAAGATTCGTGAGTGAGCGGAGTAATGTTCTAGACTCAGGAGTAGGAGCAACACTGAGTGTAGAATGAGCGCTCTGTGCTCCTCCTCCAGCCTCGCCAAGGGCGTTTCAACAGGCGGATACAGCTCGTGCAGAGTTGCAGCGGCGCTTGCGTCCTGCTTGTGAGATGTGACCTTGTGCGTTTGGGACCGTGACGAGGAGGTCCTAGCGTGGGCATTGTGCTTCTGCGCAGTAGCATCGTGCTTCGAGTTCACAACCTCGCCCACCCGCTGCAGAACGTTGTCCCTCCACTCATCGAAGTATGCCAGCGCCGCGTTTTTCAGTTCCTGCAGCTTTGGCGCCGAAAGCTCTTTCTCGCGCCTCTCCTGCTCGCTGCGCTGCTTGTCGTGCGCTTCAACGTCGGCGTTTCCGACATCGAGGTTGGGATTCTGGAGCGCGTCGTCGCCGGTGAGGTCTGAGATTAAGTCGGAGGGCTGGCCGGTCTTGCTTGGATCGAAGGCGTCGAGGATGGTCTTGCGCATTGAGGCCGTGCAGTTGGCGATTAATAAGGTAAGGTCGCTGCGCTGTTCGGGCGTGGAGAGGATGGATGTGAGCGATTGTTCGTCTTCGCTGGGTTTCTCGTCCTCGTGAGAGGAGCCGAGGAAGTTGGAAAACATCGTGGTGGTGTCTCGAATTGTCTAATTGTACTGAGTGCCAGGGAATTGGTGTGTTGTGAGGGACTCAAAGGGAGGGGGGTCCTGCGGTATTGACACACACTTCCAAGCGCAAGGGCATCGACTGATGACGTAGTGTGGCATGGATCTTGGCACGGTGGCTAGAATCTTCACGTGCAATATACCATTGCGAGTGTCGAAAGGATACGACAAGCTCACGTAGTCTACGTCGGCGACAGTTGCTCCCTTCGCCATCTTGATAGTCCAAAACGCTGCTACCACCAACGCCACGAATGTAGTAAGAAGCCCATCAGATGGCTGCCGCCACTCTAGCGTGACAATTTATGAGAAATCCTCCTCCTTCTGTTCGATCTGGTTCTTGACTCGGAGGAGGATCGCTGGGAAATTTGTCAGTTAAAACGATGGTTACAAGGGGCAAACAGACTGACTGGTTTTCCACTTGTCCAGTTTACTCATCTACAACTGTCAGAGATTCTGGTCGCAAAGAGACACCGGCTTGATGCGACAGCTTACCTGGTCAAACTTGAATAGTTCATCAGCGAACGCTTCAGGATCCCCATGCTCTACTGCTTCCGCAAGAGACGAGAGGAGCTGGCATTCTCGAGTTGCTGAGAAGCTAGGATCAAGATCGCGATACTTTTCGAGAGCTTGATTTGTCCCAACGGAGTCCTGTTATAGGATTCAGCAAAGCTACAAAGCAACAGCTGCTGCAGAGCTTACGCCGGTAGCCAGCTGACATATTCCTGCCTTGAGCAGATACTCTTTTACCGACCACTTCATGAGATTATTCTGCGGGCGTCAGTAAGGGACCGGAAAGTCTACAGGCCAGGACGCTTACGTTGATGGAGCTCTTCGCTACTTGCTCATACATCTGGATTCTGGCGGAGTGTTAGCAGCTCTTACAAGTTAATGCTGGCCACGATCAGAGCATGATGTTCAGCCAGAACATGGCCTGACACCGTTTCAGCAGCCCAACGTAATGGTGGATTGAATCCTAGTTTTCTCCGCCCGTGCCGAGTTGTGCCTTCTCTTTTGGGGGTATTCTTACGCTTTGTAATAGTCGCCCTCAAGCGCGGCAAGATCCCCGACTTTCAGGAAGATCTTGTTCGCAAGCCTGCCATCGGAGATCAGCTCATCTCTATCGAGCACTATTCCAGGTCAAGAAGTGACTGACGCCTCAGCATTGTCGCTCTCAAACCACGCGCCGCAAGTCTCATAGGCCTCCAATGCCCGCTTCTGATCCCCTATCTCGACCTCGTAAAGCTCGGCCAGGTTCTGCTGGTGTGTAGCTGCTCTCCGAAGGTTGCCCTTGCTTGTCCAGTGGTTGATGGCTTGTTGCAGCGCCTTGGCTGCCTCCTCCGGATCAGACTTGCGGTATACTTTGAAGGCCTCGACGTATGTGTTTGCGGCGTCATCGGGCTCGGAGAGTTTAGAAGTCATTATTTCTGCGGCTCGCATGAATGTGTCGCCTGCTTCGCGGTCTGTGGAGGTTTAACTTTGACATCTGGGGTGAGGGGATATCGAGAGGTCTGTGAGGCATACTCATCTTCTGCATCCGGAATGCATTCGCAGCTTGTGTGTAGAGCTTCACGCGATCAGTCGGGCTCTAGCCTGTTGGTGTGGAACCGACCTCAACTGCCTGCTCTAACTTCTCTGTCCGCCCTCCGAAGAAGGAGAAGCCTCCAGTCGCCGATGCTGCCGTCTTGTCTGCCTGTTGAGATTGTTAGGCATGGAGAGATAGCAGGGACAGCGACATTGACCTTCTGTAGCAGACCGCGCGGGTCTTGCGCCATGCTTGCTGAGAGTGGTGGGGCTTAGTGGTCGTGCCGAGTGGTTGTTGTTTCTGAGTGTTCGGTATGCTGGGCGTCTCGTAAAGGGATATAAGAAGGAGTATAGTAGCGGTTATGGGGCTGGAGCGTCTAGGTTGTGTAGTTGTACGAGTGTCTGCGGCTTGTGGTTGCGTAGCGGGCAGCACGGACAAGGATGCCGCGGCAGCGCTGCCAATCGATACCAGCCTTACAATGTGCACGAGCCAATGATTCTTCGAACCCCTGTATCAACCTCACTTCATCAACCAGCAGTGCCAGAACCTTAACTACTCTGCACGTCTAGTAAGCCAAGTATACGGGAGACGTTGCCCTCACTGTCCCGGGTGAGCTCTCTAGAACTCAAAGATCATGCTGTTGCGGTAAATCGTCATCCTATGGATATCGGTTTCTATACAGCTAACTGGGCAATAGATGTGGGCTTGTGCAGCCACTTGCATGTTGTTCCAGGCCCTTTATTCGAGCACCTCCACCGAAATCGACGCTGTCATACGTTCTTTTGCGTTCTACGACTAGGTTTACATCCTCGAACTCGACGTCCGACGTTGAGGAAATGCTCTCGAAGCCTACCTGGTCTGTTCAATCACTCCTCCCATCGGAAGAACAAGCAACGGACAGTCCCAGAATATCGTCGAGGCAGCTGCATCATCTACTCCGTCTCTCTGCCCTGCCAGCGCCAAAGAGCCCAGAGGAAGAAGCGAAGATGCTTAAGACGCTCTCCTCCCAGCTACACTTCGTCAAGGAGATACAGCGAGTGGATACCGCCGGGGTCGCACCCCTACGCGCTATACGCGACGAGACCGCTGCTGCGGAGAAGGAGATTGAGATCAACATGGCCTCAATGGCAGATGCGCTTGCGCAAGAGGAGGTTCTGGGAAAGCATCATAAGCGCATCAGGCGGAAGGAGAAGGCCCTAGTGAACATGAAGGGCGCGGAAGACTGGGACGTCTTAGGCTATGCACAATGCAGATCCGGGAAGTACTTCGTCGTGGATAGCGGAAGCGAGTAAGGTTCCGCGTCGAGACGTCATGCCATCGCATGTCATTCATTAAAATCATCTGAGGCCATCACCTGGGACCCCGCAAAAAAAATCCCGTCAGAGCCCTGCAATTCACCGTATCCACAACGCCATTAAAGCCCGCAATATATCAATGGCGTACATAAAGACCCACAGCCAAGGACAAGACCGGGTTGACCCATAAGAACGCGGACTGACAGAGAAGAAAATCTCCCTCATAATGGGACACGACGAATGCGTAAAGGCTCGTTTTTTAAAAGCAGCCGGTTGGAGTTGGTCAAGACCTCAGATCGGCCGCCCAGGATGCTCGACACAGAAAGCCTGTCAGCCTATTAAAGCCGTCGCATCTCGTCCGCAATCCTTGCAGACCTCTCTCTCGTGGATTCCATGCAACATTCGCAAAAGAGCTCCGTTTTCAGCGGTAGCAGGTCCGGCGTCGGTAATCGCTCGAACCGCAGCGTACGCGGCGGTGACAGTGGCTCTTGACCGACTGCAGAGTTGCTCTTGAGCCCTCGTGCTGGCACAACGGAGGAAGTGTGACTCTTCTGATGGATTACTACAGCCGTCCGCTTCCCTGTCGACATTTCCCTTTTCGGACATGGCCCGTGCACCGTCGAGGCACCCACTTTCTCCGCCTTCACGCCAGCGGTCGGAGCGCGAGAGGGGCCTGCAACTCGGACATCGCGTGTTGCAGATAATTCGGTATCGGATCTGAAGAGCTGAAAGTCTCCTCTGAATTGGTTCTTGGACGCTCGGGCTGTCTCTTCGATGAGGACGGCGGGACCGTCAACCCAGTAGCGGCGCCGGTAATCTCTGCCGATTGGAGAAGTCTGAGGTTGACGGAAAGAGATGAAGGATGATGATTCTGCAGGGATTGACCGGACTCCAGCAACAGTCTCACGGATCGAGTTGTCGAAGCTTTCTGGCATCGTGATCAGGTGACTGGGAGATGCCAGGGTCTCTTCAGCACAGGTCAAGGAAAAGGAGTCGAAAACTACTGTTGGTTGTTGGTCCTGGCGGATGGAAAGAGTGTGTTGGAGAAGGGATGAGTAACTTTGAAGAGGGGCGGGGATGGGAGGGCTTATATGGGTGGGTAGCGAGTCCATGCCTTGGCACGCTCCTTCGGGCATGGGGGGTCATGCAATCGGCACGGCTAGACTCTCTCAACGTATTAACCATCGTACAGCAGCTATCTCATACAGAGTACCGCTCACTTCCCGGACTTGCACCGTTGGCGCAATTACAAAGAGCTTTCAACCCTGGACGATAATACCAGCATTGGTGATATGAAAGGCCGGCCAGGGCCGTATGGCCTGTGGCTGTATTGCCTCCTAGGTATCTTCTTCTTGTTGTTCTGCAGTGGATGGATTTGTAGTTGTCCTCGGCATTGGTAAACACTCAAGTCTGTAATCGTTTACTTCTGCTCCTGGTAGTTTGTTACTCTTTGCAATGACTGCTGAGTTACTCTTCTTGTGTGCCCAAGTGGCCTCCGTTGTCATCTTGGAGAAACTAGCGATCATGCTGAAAGAGGATCATGACGGAGCAACTGACTGAAAGACTTGTATGCAAGCCTTTCTCTGGCAATTAACAGTAACGCAGGCTGCCAGTGACAAATGACCGTCTTTGGACCATTCATAGGAAGAATCCCGGCGCTTCGGATTATTTCTTCTTGTTTTCGGATGCCCTGGTCGCTCAACCTCGATAAGCTGGGACTTTGAGGATAACATATGCCCACTTGATCTTAACCCGAACTCAATACCTTACCACGGTCGTCCCATCGCCTTCCCACTAGTCTAGGGACCGCGAGGTGGCGCCCAGAGAAGTGAACACTCATGCTGATGGTACTCTCTGATCCGCGTCTTGTACTGGTACGTCCGGTGTCGAACTGAGTTGGCTCTCCTTAACTTTGCCACTTTCGGCCAGCGCCTTTGCTGGTTCTACATCGTATACTGCCGGTCCAGTTGGTTTTTCATCTGGAGCAGTTGCTCCTACCTCCAACTCGCGTCTGACTAAAATCAGCGATGAACTCTCGCTGCGAAGTGAGCAACTTTGTACTTCGCCTGCGCCTTCGCCTGCCTCTCCTGCTGCTGCTCCTGAAATGCCGGACGGAAAACCCATATGCCTGTGACTGGTATAAGCACAGCCCCAAACTTTGGCTTCGCTCAACACTACCGTTGATAACGCCAAAGACAGTGGCAAGTGCAAGCCCAGCGAGCGCCCCTCTACTCATTACTTGTCGGTGCTCTGTTAGACAAAAGTGATGATGGTGCTCATCGACGCCAAGGATTTGAAGACTATGAGGTTAAGTCACGTGCGATAAGATAAGCGACGCGTGCCACTTCCCTCGGGTCGCGTCGACCGCAACGCCAGCAGTTTGATATCACGCAAATACAGTCTTCCCCCCACAACCAAGGAACGGCATGTGTGGTCTCGATGCGAGGATGGCGAGATAGAGGGTTCGTCCAGGACTCTGACGAAGAAGAGGAGTTGGACAGCATTGACACGCAGAGCCCACCACAACCACCTAGCGCTCTTGACACAGTCGACGCGTGTTCTGATGGGATTGCAGTTGCGGAGCTTCCGCCTGCTGGGCTATCCGAGGTCGCGGATCAAAAAGAAGACGACAGCGAGCACAATGCGTTCATTGAAGTTAGAGAGGAGGGCATTGGAGGAGGCGGAGTGCAGGATATTCTAGAAGGGGAGATTCAGCAGCCGGGCTTACAAGGGGATATCTCAACCTCCGAGGGCAAGACAGTGCTTGAAGATCCACCAGCACTATCAGACAACGATGATTTGAGCGAGTCCCGGCAGGAGCCTCCTCAAGATTCACCAGGACAAATTCCCCGATCGGCGCCTCCGGAGCGGATTATGCCGATCATTGAGAGCTGTGGAGCCTCACACCAAGAGATATTCCAAAGAGACAGGCCGGCCTCCAAGGTCACGGCTAAGGCAGGGGACTATATTGAGGAGTATACGCCCAATGGAGCCGGAGACGGGAGCATCGAAGGAGCTAGAGTGGCAGACGCTATTGAAGAGGGAATTCAGCAGCCTGGGGCGCAGGAAAATGTTTCGCCGCTTGAGGAGGAGAAGTGGGTGGAAGCTCTGCCGGCAGTTCGAGAGCCCGGCTATCTGAGCGAGTCTCAGCAGGCGCTTCGTCAGGATGAACAAGAAGTAGTACAAAACTCGCCGGAGCGGACCACATCTGTCAGTGAAAGTCGGCGAAGCTCCTCTCAACAGATGTCTCAAGGCGACAATCTAGGACTATCGGCACCAGCACAGCCGGCATCACACGCTGCTGTAGGCTCACTGGGGACAGTAGCTGGGGATGCATCTGAAGAGGAAACATCAGGTAGCCCGTGGAGGCCGGCTGTTCAAGTTGTGATCACCAAACGGGCTGCTAGCGGACAGAATCCGAAGAACCAGGAAGGGACACCAAACAACAACCGTCGAACATTCCGGCCAAGGAACCCTATACAACTTCATCCATACCTACTCGAAGGGGAGCACTACCGACGGACATTGAAGGCGAGGGGTCTGAAGCCAATCCGCATCGCAACTCCCGCTCTTCAGCAAGATCCGGATACGCAAGCTGCGGAGACACAGGATCAGGAGTTCAATGCGGAGGAAGAAAGTCAGTCCGCAAGCCTGGGTTTGAGCTCACCACCAACACAGTCCACCTCGCCGCCCCCGACCGCACGCCCACCTGTCTCTGCGCCTTCCGGTCTACTTCCCGCGGCAAGACTGAGCGATGGTGGTGATAGCTCCGACGATTTGCCCGGCCTTGACACACTTCTTCACCGAGGCGCAGTCGGACCTGTTCAACAGGGCCACAAGCGTCGAAAGATCGGACATACATTCAGTAAGAAGGAAGCAGCTTCACGAAATGGATTACCTTCCGGCAATACACCGAGAACGGACGTAGTACGAGACGTTTACGATGTTCCGCCCTCACCTCCGACCTCCCATAGTTCTCCTGCTGGCGTGCCCAACCCTGCTGATACAACTGCGTTCCGCATCCCAAGAGGGTTATCACCTAACGTTGGTATGCCGACACCGACCACCTCCTCTATAACGCGGCCTCATCGGCAGCTCGTGGTATCGGAAGAGTCTGAGGACGATACCCCGCCACTTAGCACCATTCGACGGCGTTTACGGTCCCCTTCGGCTCAAGCCGTCACTGTTGGCTCATCACAGACGTCCCAGTCAGAGTCAGAGGACAACGAAGATCCGTCGGAGATTAAACAAGTGCAGAAGCGCATCAAGGGTGTTCTGCCAGCGTCGTGGTTGCGGCTCGATCAGCAAGCCCGGAAGCAGGGACCTGCAGTGCAGCATGGCCGGGAGCATCGAGCCGCGTCTCTCGAGCATGTGGCACCCCAGCGGGGTGTTGCACGGAGGATAACGGCTACTGGCCGCACGAGGACGACCTCTCCAGAACAACAGCAGCACAGCGAGACGATATTGATCATGGACGAGTCTAACATGTCATCCGGATCTCCTTCCCCGCAGAAGCCGCGTCCGTCCATGACCGCAAAAAGTTCAACAACGCCCAGGTTCAAGCGTGTCACAAGTTCCGCCCTAGAGTTTGGTGATATCGAAGAAGACGATACGATCGACTTCATGTTGCCTCCAACCTCCCGTAAAAGAGTATTTGGCAAGGGGCCTCGCAAGCGACAGACGAACATCACCGATTCTTTAGGTCATTCAAGGAAACGCTCAAGAACAAGCCTGAATAGCTACACCGACCTGCCTCCTATGACTGCTCGATCGGCGGCCAACAGGACATCGGGTAAATCAACCGTACCGCTACAAAGACCACGATCCCGAAAACCTCGAGTGCCTAACCTTGGTGTCCTCGATGCACGGGACTTGAGCCCTAGCCACGGCAGCGCGGCACCGCATTTCTTGCGCCTGGCAGCTAGGCAGGCGCGGCGACGTCCAGACTACGGTAGACATAGTCCCTCCGGTAAGGCCATACGACTTCAGACTTATGGAGATAGCGAAGAAGCAAACCGGCCGCTTCGTGACTGGCGAGCAGGCACGCTGGCTCCTTGTTCAGTGCCAGACGTGTCTGCTAGCAGAATGAGAATACGGCTGCCGCTGCACGACATCTCTGACAACAAACAGCAGCAGAGGTTTCCGTCACCCGTCAAGCTTCCAGCCCTTACCGACTCAGAAACAACTGATCGAGTTCAGTATTGGAGTATCCCTTCTGCACGCCGCCAGAGTCCAAAGCTGCAGCAACAGAGGCTGCAGCCAGTCCTACTCAATTCCGTTGATACACGCCCCACTGCTCTACCAACCAAAAGCAATCTAGTTCGTTCAATCACGACGAGGAACTTGCCATCGAACCGTCGAGATCAACAACCTCTGTACAGAGCGGCGCAGCTTGAAGGTCTGGAAACGGACTTCAGTCAGCACCATCATCGACGCAGTTTCCGAACAAGTCCATCTCGAACAAACCACGGTATCTTTGATCGTCTCCACAGCGAAAGCACTACAACCATTCTCCGACTCGAGAGGTTCCTGGCTGATGATGATGCGGTCGCGCCCGAAACAATACGACAACACCATGAGGACGAGGCCGTTCAATCGGGTATCGGACAAGCTGAAGCCATCGTTGGGCCCCGAGCTCAAAAACAGTCCAAGAGGAAGCCGCGGAAGCGCCCGCCCATGCGGATAGACGCCGAGGCTCGAGAGTTCAGACAGCCTGAAGATCCGCTTCCGCCTGAAGACACTGCTAGTGTTGTATCATCGACGGTGGTAGACGCTGAGCAAAACACACTTCGTGGACTCGGCCCCTATGGTACTCGGTATCCCATAGACTTCGATATATGCCCTCTTGGTGTGGGCACTTTCTTCCATGATACTACTTTTGTTGGCAGTGGCGAGTTTCTTCAGAGCTTGACGCTGCTCGAACGTGATCTTGACATGGCTGCTGGACACGCTTCCATCAACTATTGTGGAAGGCACGTCTGCTGGAGCTTCTGGACTGAAGAGGTGGCTTCTGAGATGGCGGAGTTCTTTCTACTAGCTACGGAAAGAATTAAGGCTATGCGCATGCCCGAGCCCGACGAACCAGACAGCAGCATTCACCAGCACGTTGGCGCAGCGACGGACATCAACGTCTTCCTCAGAGCATTGACAAGATACTTTAGGGGTAGCCTCAGTTTCCTCGACCCGATTGACCGCCGGTCGTTCGTCAGCAGAATGCTGGTAACTCTGCAACAGTTCCAAATCGCTATCGATCACAAGCTTACGACCCTGCCGGCTGCACGAGAGTTGCAACAGCCGCTTGGGGGTCACCTGCGTCGAAGCCAGCTCTACCTACTAGTCATGACCTATCAGCTGCTGCAGATAGGAAAGCATCCCGTAGTCGATAACGCTACCCTGGCCGAAGTGCAGGATAGCATTCGCCTCCTTGCTCGAACTCTTACCAAGGATCTATGGAAAAACGGAATGAATGAGACGAGGGCCTTCCTTGAAGGGAACAGAAGACATGCGCAACGCGAAGCCGGAATTCGCAATGATGGTTCAAGCGTAGGGACGATCGTAATTCTCATGCATGTAATGGACCACGCTCAGATATCGGCTGCCTCGTTCTGGGAGATCTGGAACGATGAAGTCTCGTCAGGCATGGCGTGCATGAACCGCTTGCAGCAGTTCGAGCGCATCTGGTACGATCTCTTCACCGTCTTGCCAATCGGAGAATTTGACGCAAATGGATTGCTTAGAGTTGGGAAACGGTTCCAGGGTTCGGCGGAGCATTGGGGCCTCGTAAGGGCGCTACTCGGTCGGCTGTTTACGCTCTACCCCGAGACTTGCAGTAACAGAAGCGCTTCTGTCAACGACTATTTACGAGCTATACTTGCAAGGTGCCATCGATTGATTCACGATTGGGGTTGGCGCAGGTGCGAGTCGGTCCTCGGCACCATGTTCGACTTCTTCGCCCGCAACAACCTCTCCCCACTATTCAATGAAGAGAGTCGAGGCTCACCGCTGTTCCTCGAGTCCCTCCGTGAGGAACCGGCACTGGATGTTCAACAGGGGGATCGAGCTTTCCACATCTTCCTCAAGACTCTTGCGGTCGGCTTAAAGAGTATGCGCTCACTATACACCGAGAAGCGAATTGGTGGCATAGTGTGGCGCTTCATCCCAAATCACGGTCGCACCTATCGCAAGGATGAGGAGCTCAAGCGGGCGGACGTTGATGCACTTCGGAATCATCATGATCTACTCTGCACGTTGTATTGGGTTTCGCCGGCTGGCTGCAGACCGCGGCCCGATCTACTCCGTAACCTCGTCGACCATAACCTGTCACACACAGAGGCTTGCCGGGTCAACATCAGAGCATGGACGGATCTTACAAGGTATCAGATCTCCACGGATGAGCCAGCCGCGGCGATGGACCCCTTCGCAACGTGGTTCAGGGATATAGTAGATCAAACCGTTGCTCAGTATCGCTGGGCAAGGACCGAAGCGGAGGGTCATTACGAGAAGGCCAGGATCCAGGGTAACGGAGTCATCTCCACCGAGTTGCTTCAGCGGACGATTAGCAACAATCAGGAGCAGGTGCTCGCGATTCTGAGTCATGCTGTCATTGGCATGAGAAGCGCGATATCGATCGCCCAAAAAGAAACTGCTGCCACGGCGTTGCTTCTGAACTCTTCGGTAACTGCGGTCTTCGGCCTATTCGACCCCAAGAATGCCAAGGTTGATCAGGTCGTTGTCGAAGCACTGGGTGTGATTCGGGCGCATGCGGCGCTACTCAACCGCCGGCAAGCGAAAGACCAGAGCCAGCAACCGAGCGAGGAGAGTCAGGATTACGGGGAATGGCCGGACCTTGAGGACGATGCGACGACAAAGCAGTGCGATGAAGCGGCAAAGCCAGCCGTTGAGTTCATACATGAGCCCCTGGCGCATCTGCTGTCCAATTGTTTTGGAGCCGAGCCTGCTCCATCTGATAGACTGCTCACTGAAGTCATCGATACATGGGCAACAGTAGCAGCCTTGCAAGTGCGGTACAACACCAAGACCTGGGATGACTATATTAGCGCGTATGGCCAGGCGTCGTGGCATCAACTCCGAGATACAGAGCAGACTCGCAAATTTACAGCGTACTTCTTGTCAGCTATCGTCGAAAGCGATCCTACAGCCTATCAGGACCATTGTTCGACGTTCGTTTCCTCGTGGATCCTCTCACTCATGGAGCGGGAGTCAATGCTCAAGTATCAGCATCGCCTCACTACGGTTTTGATAAACAACGATCCCACGAACCCACTTCTGCGTAACCTGCCGTTCCTGGCTGGTCCTCGAACTGGACGCTACGAGATTTCCGCAGGCGAGCTACGCGAACGCCGTCTCAGTTTGGTCTCCGGCATTCTGGCGAACATGCGCGAAGAGTATGAAGCGGCGATGCACGACAGGCCCGACGAGCTCGTGGAGCTGCGAAGAGACTATTCCGATATTCTCAAGCAGGTTATGATGGCAACGAAGAAACACTATCAAGAGCTACAGCAAGGCACGGCCGTTCGAGGCGCGTATGTCGAATTCGTGCAGAAGGTGGTTGGATTTTTGCAGCAGTACACCGCCGACATATGCCCAGTTGACAAGTTTTTCACCGACTCCGCTGCTTTTCCACTGCCGGCTACGGATCCAACCTACGTTGTTGGAAGACTAAAAGGCTATGCATCGAAGCTCTCAGACCCTCGAATGGTCAAGCAGCTTGCAGTGTTCATACAGACAGTATCTGAGCGCGCCGCTGTCGATGATCAGCAGGCGTATCTGGTCGATCAGATGTACACGGCCGTGTCTGGAACGTTCGAATCGGGCAACCTGGAGCGGCCTTCTTTGCGATACGTGCTCGTGCAAGCCGTCTTCCCAGCATACATCGAGCAGTGTTTCAAATCCGCGACTGGTTGGATCCTAGCGAAGCCGGTTCTGCAAGCTTTAACGCAGATGCTCAGTAACTTACAATTCGACACTGACGTTACCGATCAGTCGAGTCGTAGCGCTGTGGTACAGATGATTACAGGGACTCTGAAAGTCCTCCGTCTTACTGTGGAGCTGCTGGTCGACCACTCTGGTCTCCTCGAGCAACCATACATCCTTCACATGCTTGGAGTTGTCTTCCAGACCATCACGGCCCCGGTTCTGCTACTAGATTACATAATTCGGCGAACGCGGCATTCGGGAAGCGCACTACAACACATCAAATTCTTCCGATCGTTTGGCGCATTTACTGCCCAAATGATACGCGGTCAGGAGGATGGTCCTGCTCCCGAGCTTGAAGTGAATTCATCGGAAGAGAGCAACGAGAGGTCACCAGAAAAGACGGATGAAGGTTTCGATGGTGTCCGCCAGTTTTGCGCTCGCGAGCTCGACCAGGTCATCACGGCGAACTGGGCTAAGTACGGGGATCAGTACTACTTGATCCGAGGCAACATTAGGAAGGAGGTCAGAGTAGACCTAAGAACGGTGGATGAGGAGCGCGTCAAGGTCCTCGCTGCTATCGACGACTTCAACATGACTGTTGGTAGGATGAGCTCATTCGGCGACCGGGCGGTGCACCAGAAAAGGGAGCTGCATCAGTGGATGAAGGGGCTAGTGTTCTGATTGATAGCAGGTTCGTGTTCGTGCAGTACTTTAGCGGCATCGTAGGCGTCTGGGTTGTGTTGGATAGCTGTGAGCTGTTTGTACCCATCGACTATACCCTTAGCGACACAGCAATGTCCATCCAAGAACTTTGTCATCTACTCATCTAATAACTGTCTTGTCTGCTTTTCAGCACGTGGCTCATGCTATATTAAGCCTTCCCCGGATTGACGCGGCTCTGCCGACGCACGCGCCAGCACCATGGCCCTGCTTTGCGCGAGTAAGGTTGGTGACGTGACTTCCGATGTGGCTGTCGAACCTGCCAATTCCTGCCAATCCTGCTGGCATTACTAAACTAATCTGCCCAGCCCCCCAATCTGATCTGATGAGGTTGGAGCTTCTCTTCTGCATATCAATTATCTCTCTGCCGTATGATCCTCCTGCACACGCTTAGCATCAATACACGATAGTCTAGTGCCACAGCATTTCGCCCACTTAACAAGTGAGGACGGGCCTGCGCTCTCTCCACTCTCATGCGCCACCGTTGGTCGTTGAGCCTCTTAACCAACAAGACTGATACCCCCAGCATGGACAACCAAACCGCTTCCCACGAAGCCCGCCGTATCCTCTCCGACAAAGTCCGCGACGACTGGGACTGGCCCGCCGAACCCACTGAGCCCGAAGATCCAGTGCGCCAAGCCACGGACTACAGAGAGCGCTTCTACAGCACCACCTCGCCTTCAGGTTCGGAGGCTGAGGAAAGCTCACCAAGCAAGAGCAGAAGTAGTGGCAGTAACAAGAATTCTACGGACCCGTACAAGTACGATTCCCCGGACAGCATAGCTACGAGCTTGTCGGAGAGGCGGGCAGAGCGGAGAAGGAGGAGAAGCAGCAAGCTGCAAGAAGAGATGAGCTGGAATCAGGGCCTCGTGTGCTTCATGCAGCGGCGAGATGCCTGGACCGGTGTTACTACTGCCAGGAGGCTGCGAGCTCAAGAAGGTGGCCCATCCGCCGTGCCACAAGACACCAGTACGCAGTCGAACGGCACCACACATGCAGCCCCCGCCCCACCGACAACCGACTCTCCCAATCCCGCTACAGCAGCCTCATCGATATCGCCCTCAGCTTCCATCCCCGACCCCGTCCCCCTAGTTCCTGTAGCCCCGCCGCTGATCCCGGCTTCAAACCCCCTCCGCGCCTCCATCGGCGCCTCCACCTACCCCGAGATCTTTTCCAAAGTCGTCCTCTCAGCCCGGACGCCAACCGTGCCCATCAACCTCGCCGACATGACTGCCGCGCTCGTGCAAGGCTGGAAGAGCGCGGGGGAGTGGCCGCCCAAGGCTAGCGTGCCGGATCCGCTGGTCGGGGCCAGGAGGAAGAGAGATATCATTGCTCGAACGCCGAGGATAATACCGGGAGAGGGTGGAGCGGCGGAGGTGAACGGGGCGACGAGACATCCGCATCTCAAGAAGGGGGTCGAGAGTGTGAAGAAGGTGCTCAGGCTTAGTGGGAGTCATTCGGGGACGCCGGCTGACGCTGGGTGAGGGCCAGAGGAGAGAAGTTGTGCTCATCTGATAAGAACGATGCCGCAGGTGCTGGCCGTAGCGGCGCGCTCGAGTGTCGAACGGTGTACCGATACCTCAGTATTCTGAATGACCTCGATTTTCGATCAATCAACCCGGGACTGGAACGAACAGGGAGGACTGTCACCCGGTCACTTATTACCCTAAGCGAGCCATGTCGAGCATCTCATCGAGTTGGCCGTAAAGACAGCAGAGGACTCCGCGCACAGTGGCCGCCACATTCGCATCTTCACGACCTTTAAACGGCGTTAGCAGGGTCTGGGTCGTTTTCACCGCGGTATTTATCTCTGTCAAAGACTGCTTGTAGACTGTAATAAGCCATCTCATTAACCACCACGATGGTACCTATATCTGGTTGTCCCGCGGCCAATCAGGCCAAGGGTTTCAAGCGGTGGGTAGTCGGGATGACCCGCTTCCCCGACATCAGCATCAACATGTACATTCGTTCCTCGTCCCGTGTCTACCGTTTCTGCTCACTCTCCCTCTCCAACCAACTTCCTCACGACCACCGTCTCTGGCCGATGGTATCTCAGCGGTTTGGCTCGCTCATCACCACTGTCACCAACTCCACCACCCTTCCATCCGCCAACATCGTAGTCGCCGTACTCGTCGCCACCGCCGCCACCACCGCGGACGTCGCCGTCGCGTATCCCGTCGCCATGTCGTGGACCGGCGCCAGGGCCGCGCTCTGCGATGCCCGCACCCTCTCCAGCTCGTCGGCTCTCGCCCCGTGTGCCGACTTAGAGACAAATAAGAGGATCAATCCGGCGATCCCAAGCAGAACCAACAGGACTCCACAACGATGCCGGGCACTGAATGGCGGCCTAACCGGCCGTCCCTGCACCCTGGGCACGGCGCGGTTGTTGGCAATGTCGAGAAGCGCGCCTGGCCGCCCTGCTGCTATGGCTGCGGCTGGCGCCGCGAGCGCTGGCATCCGCAGCCGTGCCTGCAGTCTCCTGACTTCCGTCTTCAGCGCCTCGGGATCCTGGATCTGCGCCAGCCGCACCATCTCGACGTACGTGATATCAGCGACCGTCAACCCCACGGTCGCGAGCTCGACACGCACGGCTTCGTCCGCCCCGGCGCGGAAGAGCGGGCTCGGTTTGCTGGTGTATGCGGGCGCGGGGCCGCGCGGGGCGAAGGCGTAGGCCGGGGGCGCATCGGTGTCGGTGGCTGCTGAGGCGCCGCTGGTGTATGCTGGTGGAGGTGCTGTGGGGAGCGGGTTGGTGGTGTCGGTGGGGAGGCCCGCTTCGAGGTCGAGGTTGAGGTCGAGGGGAGGGATGGACTCGAGGGTAGGAATCGAATCGGAGCTGGAAGTAGAGGGATGGTGCGAGCGGGTCGGGCCGCTGGTGCTCGGTCCACAGGGCGGCAGGGACATGACGAGGCGCGCTGTGAGTGGGTAGCGGGACAAGAGTGGAGGTCGAGAAGGAGTTATGGATCTGATGGGTGGGCGTGGGTGTTGTCTGCTTTGTAGCATGCGTGCGCCAGAGGTATAGCAGCTAAATTGCTGCCCAGATTAGAGATGGGGATTGCAGAGAAGGAGGGTAAAGAGCTGGGGGATGCGGAGGAATTATCTATGACAGGCACTGCCATCGTGTGCAGAGTTCTGTGTGGGGGAATGGAGTTCGACCCACGGCTTTGAGTGTATAGTCTAGTTCATGGACCAGGTTTAGCTCTGGAAGCGACCCAAGGTGAGCGCAGCCTTCGGTGGGCCTCCACGAACATTGAAGGCAAAACTCTACTCATGGCCGCTGTGCGGCCAATCCGCGCAGTTGTAATTATGAATCGCGCGATTCGAGCAACTGCTAGCAAAGACACTGACATCGTATACCCAAGAACGTATACTGGAAGTGCGATTGTGTTGGATGTGAAGCGGTGTCGAGGCAAACGCACCACACTGATGCCGCGCGGAAACGAAGACTCATCTGGCATTTCAGCTTTTTCATCTATCATTACTCTAAGAGCCCCTGCATACAGGGTTGACGTCGTGTATATCCTGTCTCATTATCTCACGCCCATTATACCACCCCTTCTATCATCGTGAACGGCGAGCTACTCATAGCGATCCTTCCGGGACGTCCACCCCAACGAGCTCTTGAACATGAACAAGAGAACAATAAGCGCCAAAATCCCCACCATGAGGCCGACACCAACCAACCACTTCAGAAACGACGGCAGATCCCTAACCCATCCCCTGATCCCAGTCTTAGCCTTCTTCGACTCCTGCGCCTCCGCATCCGGCATCGGCGTCCCAACGCGCGTGAGGTGCGCAGAGCCTGGCAGGTTTGTGGTGGACGCATTCCCCAGTTTGCCCTCGACGCTGGTGTGCGAGAAGTGGCGCGCAGGCCTCGGCCTAGCCTCCCCGAATGCAGCGGCCTGGTCGTCGAACTGCACGACGCGCTGCGGGCGCAGCGGGGTGCTGGTGCCCGAGATGCTGGGAGACAGGGACTCGTTGTAGCGAGCCACGCGGGCGGTCTTGGGGTTCGGGCGGCGGTTAACACCTGTGATGTCGCCGTTGTAGCTGTACGGGTTTAAGTTAACCGGTGTGGCGCGGAACGAAGTCGTCGGGCTTATGGCGTCAGGGGTGGTGAGAACGGGGGTGTTGACGTTGACGGTGCCGACCGTTGGGGCGGGTTCGTGGGTCGTGAGGTGCAGGGTCGGCGGTAAGGCGCGCGTGAAGGCGCGGAAGGAGAAGTTCGCGGATGAGGAGGGGAGGATGGATGGAGGAGCACGCGGCTCGAAGGGCGAGACGATGTCGGCGGCGTGGTCAAAGGGCGATGTTGTGCGGATTGCGGTCCGCTCTGCGAAGCCGATCGAGCGGGGGCCTGCTTCGGGGATACTCTCGGTCTCATCCTCGCCGATGGTTGGAAGGGGAGCATGCTTTGTGACCTCGAAGGGAATCGGATCAAAAGAGTCCTCTCTGATCGACTTAGAAAGGCCATCCACTGAAGCCATCTTGACCCAGTTGCTGATCTCGCGATCTTTGCCCGTTGCTTCGTAGACCGACTCCATGGCGTCGCTGGCACTTTGTGTGACAGGCAAGGTGGTGCGAAGAGTTCAGGTGGGATAAAGACGACAAGCAGGCTTCTCGACAGAGGTCTGAAGACCGATGACGAGTCGAGAATCTGCTAGCATGCAGGTGGGTTGATCGTACAGAGGAGTGTTAATAGTCGATGAGCGACATGAGGGCGAGAGGTTGCTTGCAGGCAGTGGCGAGTGTTTCTGGGAAGAAGAGGGCCCGCGAAGCTACAAAGCTTGCTCGAGCTGTAAGTAAAAATAGCAATTCCGGTGTATGGCATTGTGCGCGCGTCCAAAATGTTGGGTAGCCTGACAACCAACCGAGTTTGTCGGTGGGTAAGGGCGGGGTCGTGGTGGTAATGGATGATATTATACCGTTGTTCGTTGGAGTACGCTGACGACCATACGTCACCGTTAGAATGTTTGGGTCGAACACGTGCGGCGGCTGCATCTACATTTTCTCGTGGAGTTTGGCATTTTTTGTGTTGGACTGATAGTCTGCATCGTGGTCTTGCATGGAGGGATACTGGGTAATCTCTTGCCGCGCAGTTCTAGTGTCGACCGGTGAATTGCATAAGCCATTGGAGGATTTCCCCTAGATATGGCCGAGCAGCGACCGAGCCAAGTGTGGAAGTCGCTACAGAATGCGACCTGAGTTTTTGAGAGCTGCACCACAGGGAACCGCGGAGTACGCCTTCGCTGAGAGCAGATGTTTCCGGGGGCGGTTTTTGCATGCTACGCCGAGTCCGGATTTGTGAACCTGTTGAGCACGAAGCCATCGTAAGAGTGGCGGAGGGAAAGGCCTAGAAACGAGGCTCGAGGGCTGCGGCATTACGACGTCCGACACGACTACCTCTCTTGCAGTAAATCCTTCGCATCAGCGACAGCAAGCCTTGCTATCCTCTTCAGCACCGCCTTGTGATCCGCCTCTCGGAACTCCCCCCACTGATCCAAGCCTTCTCTGGCCTGGATCGACAAAGTCTCGTATCCCTGCTTGATGATCTGGTTGACCTCGTTAGGGCTCAGATTCTTGCTCCTCGCCTTGCCTTTCCCCTCCTCAAGCAACGCATGGTAGTGGCTGGATACACTGATGAGCGTGTCGATCGAACTGGCGCTTGCTTGCTTCGACAGGTCATAGGCATCCCGGAACTTGGTCAGTATGTCGCCTGTCTCGACGAGCTTGTAAAATAGGTCGTCGTATGACGCCGGGTCTGGCAGGAAGGCCTCGCCAGTGGACATCGATAGCGCGATGAGATTCACTAGATCGTTTATCAATTCCTGCGCACCGGGCAGTAATCTCAGGTCTTCTGCGTATGTTGTCAAGAAGCGGATGCAAGAGAGAAGGGAGCGCCAGAGTTCGGACCAGTGATATGCTAATAGATATATCAGCGGCAAACATGGCATTAAATAGTCGCAAGAGTAATACCTAAGCGGACTCGAGTTCTACTAAGGAACGATATGTTTCGAAGCAGGATACCAATACAGAGTCTGCTTAAGCATCAGCTGCAGCAGCGGAGTCTTGGCGAGGCACATACCTGTAGAGTTCTACGTCCAGACGCCGTCGTAAATTGTGGTTGATACCATCGATCATAATATCCAGGATGACTGAAGCCAAGACACGTTCGCTCTTGATGTAAGGCAAGTATGGCTGCCTCTGCCGGCAGAGGCGTACGCTAGTCTTGCTCTCATCGCTGCATACTCGCTTCGCCAGCGCTTGGTCTTCGACGAGTATCTGCAAGATGGAGAGGCTAAGGTAGGTATACAGCGAGGCTCTCGTAGTCCGGTGCGCATGCTGGATTAGATAGGAGACAAAAGAAAGGAAAGAGCTGATTGGTGAAGGCTCAGTCTTGATATCTGGTGATAATGTCACTAGTGTAAAGCAGAACAGTTTGTTTGCATTCGCAAAGTCGTATGTCGGAAGTAGGATGGCGACTTCCGGCCCTGGCCTGATTGGGTCAGCCAGTCACCCAAATCAGAACTAACGAGGAAGGAGCGTACATGGCTGCAAAGGATTTGGACGCTTCCTCAACAGGAGGCGTAGGCGTGGTCGGCCGTGACTTCGGAGTAAGCGCACCAAGGCCGAAGTAGCTCAGCGTACTCCCAATGCTCCACTCTGCGGGCGAGTCGTCCTGAATGGTGACGTACTTATCCCGCATTGAAGAGCAAGTAGACCCGACGCACAGCACCATCTTCTGGATAGCGGCATCGTTGACGAAATCGTTCAGCCGTGACCGATATGGATTCTGAAACTCGAACTTGTTGTAATTGGTCAGGAGACCGAGGAGGACGAACGGATCCAGTATGTCTGAACCGGAGACGGACTCCTGAACGAGCTACATAAGGTCAACGCGACTCTTCCTAGTTGCATGTGGCAATCTCACCTTCATCAACGAAGGGAATAGGTCCCGGTGGATGAAGTACGAGACCAAGCCAGTCTGATATGCGCCGGAGGTCATGGCCAGAGCTGCTCTTACAGCCTTCAGCCGTATCTGCACTGTACATGGTCAGCATGCAGTCAGGCTTGGAATCACAGGAAGAGCATACGACTTCGGCCATTGCGCATGACCCCATCCAGGGTGCTAACAAAGTCCGAAAGCACTGCATCCGCTGCATGCAGTCCGGCTAGAACCGACATCACATCAGAACTGGGGTTGGTGTATCTCTTGCTCAGCACGGCGCCTAGGAAGACTGTCAAAGTCTGGTTCGTAAGTCGGCCGGAATGCGATAGCTGGCGACGGATGGCTTACATCGAGAGCTACTTCGTCCGAAGGCGAGGTATGGGATTTGATGCGGTCAATGGCCCGCAGAAGTAGTTGCTGAGAGATTGACTGGAGATAGGTGTTAGCTTGTACCTCAGAAGACAATAGCTGGCCATGGACTGGGTCTTACTTGTTGGTGCAGCAGGTCGTCCGCGCTCAAGTCCGCGAGTGCGTTCCGGAGGCTTGCTGCGTCGGGCTTGAGCAGGAACAGCTCATGCCAGAACCCTTCTGGTTTCTCGACTGCCTCCTCGAACAGCTGCTCGTACAGCTGGACAACCTTTGGCTTGAACACGGCAGGCCTCGTCTGCTGCGTAAGGGGCGAGGGCTCCATTGCTGGTGAACTCTCCCGGATCAAGCTATCCTGATATAACCTCAGAGTGCCCGACATGTTGGCGCATGAACGATGTCTCAAATGTCACGATGCATAAACGGAGCCGCCAAACAGCTTTCCCCTAGTGGACACATGCTGATCCACGCGTCGGCGTTTCCGCCGCAAACCGCCGACGACCAAAAACACCATGCCAAGCATCACCAAATCCCCCCTTCCACAAACACAAAATCAAACATCTCCACCGTCACCGGTTCTCCAAACTAAGAACACCAATCACACTATGCACAACCCGATCCTCAGCGCCTCCCGCCCATGACAATGCCCCCACCCGCCCCCCACACCCTCCTCCTCGGCCTCTCCGGCCCCTCCTCCTCCGGCAAAACAACCCTAGCCCGCCTCCTCCGCGACATCCTCAACTCCGCCTCTCCGTCCAGCACCTCTAGCACCTCCTACCCGCCAGCCTTCATCCTCCACCTCGACGACTTCTATAAGACCGACTCCCAGATCCCGCTCACGCCTGCCGGCATCCAAGACTGGGACTGTCTCGACTCCCTAGATTTACCGAGCTTTCTGTCCGCGCTGCGATACATCAAGGCGCATGGTGCGCCTCCGCCCGACCTCGTGAGCATCCAGGACGGCAACGCCGTCGGCCCGTCTGGCGTCGCTGATGCGGTGGTCGAGCGGTTGAAGGCGTCGCTGGGCGAGGGCGGGGGTATGGAGGCCGTAGGACGCGCGTTGAGGCACGGGACGAGGATCTGCATCATCGACGGCTTCCTGCTGTTTTCTGAGGAGATGCAGCAGGCAGGCGTGCGGGAGATGTTTGATGTGCGGCTCTTCCTGCGCGCGCCCTACGCGGTTGCGAAGAAGCGGCGGGAGGAGCGGCAGGGATACGTGACCATTGAGGGCTTCTGGGCCGACCCGCCGGGCTACGTCGATGATGTGGTTTGGCCGAATTACGTCAAGGATCATGGATTCTTGTTTCGGGGCGGGGACGTGGATGGTGAGTTTGATGAGGAGGTACTTACGAGGTGCGGGATTAGGGGCATGCCCGCGGAGGCGGAGGGGGATATGGGGAAGTGTTTGGAGTGGGCGTGGGCGGTTGTGGGGGAGGAGGTTAAGAAGAGGGTGAGCAGTAGTGGAGATGAAGCTGGGTGAAGATGAAGCTGGGTGAAGATGATACGGGAGAGGTGGCAATATAGGAGGGTCACTGAGAGCGGTGCTGGGAGGATGCGGGCCGCGTAGTGATGAAAAGGTGGGTTAATGAAGCAGACGGCTGGCTAGGAGAGCGTGGCTGCGAAGACTGCGGCTCTCGTTGCAGGCCTGGCAGTTATGCCGTTTAGTTTCGACTCCGTGTTCAGGTGGGTACGTTTGGCCAGGAGTGAGGGAAGGTTTAGCAAACGCGCAAGACAGTACGACAGCGCAAGACTTGGGTTCTTAGTGTTGGATACAGAGTGCTTGAGAATGTTTTCGTTTTATGATTTGTCCGGTATCTCAGTTAACGGCAAAAGAAGACAGATATAGACATAGAAACAACCAAAACGCGCTCCATGCGCTGAAGAAAGCCGTAGCAACCATAAGCCGGCCTCGGGTATCTCATCTCAAATGCGCCTCGAAGAAGAACCCCCAAAAGTGCGTCATTAACATCATCCCGCATCCCACATAATTCATCGCAACGGCATCAACGAATCCACACGCCCAGACACCGAACTCCGCAGACTGACAGCGCACAAATCGCTCTCCCACGGCTCCAGGTGCCTCGTCCTCTCCGGTGCAAGATGCGCGCGCTCCATCCCCATCTCGATATCTTCGCAGTAATCCCACGGCTCGAGCGCCTCGGCGTCCGCCCTGCCGAACAAATTCTGGTCTCGCCATGTTCGTCCGGACGCAGCCACCGCCGACGGCCTCCTGTTCTGATCCGCCACGCTGCCGCTCGTGCTTGTCCCCCCGCTCGTGCTCCCATTGCTGCACTTCCTGCTCCCGCTTCCTGCGTCGGTTTCTGTGCCCTCAGCCTGCGACGGCCGGTGCCAGCTTCTCCTGCTCCGCGCGGTCCGCGATGTGTGGTATCTCACCGATGGCGGTCCGGTCGCGCTGTTGTTCCGGCTGCTGTTCTCGAAGGCGTTGAGCTTGAAGACGCGCCGCAGTAGCGTCCAGGTGAAGGGAAGGTTGCCGACGAGGAGAGCGGTGCTGGCTTCGCGGACGTACCAGAAGGTCCACATGCTGCCGAAGGGTTGGGAGAAGGAGTAGTATTTGTTGAGGACTGCGGAGAGGATCTGAAGTGTTGTTAACGGTGCTCGTGCTTACAATGCTTTATGGGCAAAGGTTGACATACAACGAAGATGCCGAGGCCGAACACGCAGCACAGGATCAGCTTCCGACGGAGGGGCAGGCGACTGCGGATCAGCATCTGGAGCGCCATGGTGAGGAGGATAAGGTCGGAGGAGAGGTTGAAGACGGCATTGGTGATGAGGTGGTTGGTCGCGGCGTTGCATTGGACGTTTGGCGTTGGCACAGCCCAGTAGTCGCTAAAGGGTCTGCACCAGACGCCGAGATAGAGGATCTCCATAAGCACGAAGGCAAAGGCGACGTAGCCAGCAAGGATCTTTATGGTGAGGTTTTCCTTCAGCGCTACACTACGGAACCATTAGACAAGCAGGAACCGGTCGTCGCATTGGGCAGTTGACATACGTGAGACGGTAGTACATGATCAGCAGACACGCCTTGACGGCCCAGATAGTCACTATTTGGCATTGTTCGACTACTAAGATCATCTTGCTTCCGTACTCCCGCTCGTCGATGTCCTCGTTCGTGAGGGTGCTCGCGTCAAAGTCGGGAGGTAGCAGATTGCTATTGTAGTCGGCCACGATGTTAATCGAGACAATCATGGTGGTGTAGGTGATCAGAGCAAAGATCATGACCCAGTCGTCCACTTGAAGCTTCTTAGGAGACCCGAGTAGGAGGGTTCGTGAGACGAAGCGGGCGATGGCAACGGCCATGACGAAGGCGAACCATATCCATGATTCAACTGCCAGCTCAAGCATTTTGAGGGTCAATTGCTGGAAGTCTGACGCGAGAGACTGGGCTGGTAAGAAGACGTCGGCGCGGTTAGGATATCGAGGGCGGAGTCATGGTGAAATGCAGTTCGGCGTGAGACCACTGCGACGGCACGCCTCGGAGGGCGGTGACGGTGACGGTGACGGCGACGGTGATGGTTAGAGCAATGCTGGACAATAACGGCGATAATTGAGGAAGTAAGGGGGAGAGTCAACGCATGAAGAGGAAGGCTGAGGAGGGCGTTCAGCTTATCTGGACGTGGGTGAGTGAGGCGGGTAAGGCCGCCAGGCAAATCAGGTCGAAGATCTCCGGGGCTACTAGGACTCGAGCGCTCTTCCGTCCAGTGCGGTGTGTGCCTCGACCGGATTGCGCACACCACATCACGGCTGAACGGACCGTCCGCCAGGCGAAGAAGTTGGAAAGCCTCGACCGCCGACGTCAGAGCGGGAACAAGCCAGTGCTGACAGAAGACAGAAGGAAAGGTGATCTTCAATACAGACGCCGTTCATACGCGTTGCGTACGGAGCATGAGCAGGAAGTACAACATGTGTGAGCGGTCAAGCTCCCCACGCTGTCTGTCTGTCTGTCTGTCAGTCTGGCTGGCTCGCTGGATGAGTTGACGGATGCACGGCGCTGCTCCTTTGCCGCTTCGAGTCGGGCCACATGCGGGCCCTCCATGCGCGCTAAGATTGGAGTCTGGCCCAGCTCAACGCGATGCCTCCTTTTGGCGTTGTTTAGGCAATGCGAAGGAGCACTCCCATATACCTCGGTGGACAGGTAAGTATGCAGAGCAGCGTTTGCAACAGTCGATGCCTCGACCAGTGCTCCATCACAAGCCAAGACCGACCTCTTCAGGGATCTGCCCATACCCTCAGCAGGCGCGTCAGCTGATTGACATGCTACGCTGCATGGGCGATGACACGAGTATTGGGAGCAACGACAACGCAGCTTCAATCTGCACGCTGGCTGTACCGGTACACTTACCGCTTCGACAAAGTTACCCTCTACCACTGACAGCGCTCCTTACCGCAACCTAGGTAGGAGAGTCGCAGAGGCTTCGTCCTGTTTCACCAGCTAGGTTGGTCGTTGTTTTGTGTTGTCTTTGTCATTGCTGCCAATTCCATTGCAGGCCCATTGGCACTTTCCACGTGACCGCTCTCGTATCCTCTCCTCAACCTGAACTCTCGAACCGTCCAGCTTCTACTTCCGGCTGTGTCAATCCGAGTCATAGAGTAGCTCGCGTCCTGAATCTCCGTCATGGCGCCGCGTCCGAGACAAATCTCTATCGGCCTCGTCGAGAAGATTGGGCTTGTCTTGATCTTCTCAGCTGGTAGTAAGCTCATGCGTTGGTCCAGCCGCACGACAGAGGCATTTACACTAAGATGATTCTTGAGTCTGCGAATCGCTGGTAGCGCTGTTCACTGGTGTTTTCGCGAGCAAGCAACATCGGCCGGCGTCCTACTTCAGACATGTTGTTTACACCGCCATGCGCAGCGCAAGTGGATTGGCCACCACTAGACAGGAGCAGTGCGAGTCATTCTTTCGCCCATTTTGTATGCTCATAAGGCGCACTAATACATTGAACCGTAGATGGTCATACATCGACACCACTAAGACATACATCCGGTTGTGCAAGTCCAAAAGCGTGGAGCCGTCCACCGAAACGCTGCCGGACGGCACCAAAGCGCACTGGATCGGGAGGAGCAGAGATGCAAGCATCGTTTCACTATACTTCCACGGTAGGTAATTTCCCCTCTAAATCCTTGTCCCGGATCATTAACATCGCACCCAGGCGGCGGGTTCAACACAACCGGCAGGCCAGAATATCTCGACTTCTTGTCTTCCGCAATTCAATCCCTCAACCAGTCCAGCGACTCCCCCAGGCTCGCCGCGCTATTTCTGCCCTATGACGTCGCGCCCTACGCCACCTATCCCGCTCAGCTTCGCCAAGCTGCCTCCTACTCATCCACGTCCTGCAGACCCTCCGATTCCGCCCCGGCAACATCTTCCTCGGGGGCGATTCGGCGGGGGCCAATCTGACTCTAGCGCTCCTGGGCCACATCCTGCATCCGCACCCCGACGCGACTATCTCCAGGATCGAGCTCAGCGAGGGGGAGGCGTTGAAGGGGGCGTTGCTCATCTCTCCCTGGGTCGATTTCTCGCATTCTGCGCCGTCGTTTAAGAGGAATAGGGGTAAGGACTGCATCTCAGTCGGCACGCTTGACCGCTGGGCGGGCAACTACCTCAGCGGCGCGCCGGCGGACCCGTGGAACCAGCCTTTAACTGCGCCGCGGGGCTGGTGGAGCGGGCTGGGTGCATGTGTGCGAAATGTGCTGGTGGTGGGTGGGAGCGATGAAATCATGATTGATGACATCGTGCGGCTTGGCGAGGTGCTGGGGCGGGAGTGGAGGGGTAGGAGAGGGGATCTGGAGGTTGTTGTTGCGGAGGGGGAGGCGCATGATGTTGTGTTGATTGATCGCGCGATTGGGTATAGACCTGAGGAGTTGCGCATGGATAGGGAGGTTAGGAGGTGGTTAAAGGAGAACTCGTAGGAGAACTTGTGTGGAGGATATTATTCGCTCCCACCAGTATGAAGAGGGAAGACATACCCCCTCTAAGGTTTACCCACACCATAGTAGGCGCGTTAGCTAGCCACATACGTTAAAGATATCTCGGAGTCACAGCATTATACCTACTTCACTTTACATGAACCAGCTAGAGCCTTGCCGCTTTAAGGGAGTTTTCTCTATCACTAAGAGCACCCCTTACCGCGAGCTACTTAGGCGGCCACTCAGCATCCTCCCACGGCCTCCCACCCGTTTCCCTTGCTAAATCACTCACCGTTCTCCACCTCCAATACTTCTCCCCCGGATTAACCAGCTCATTATCATTACCAATGCCACCATCACTATGATCAATCTTCCCCTCCCCCATCAGGAACCTCAGGTACTGCGACGGATCCTCCGTCCCCCCCTCCTCAACCGTCTTTTTCTTAAACGCCCCCAAATCCACCTCCGTGACCACAATTTTCCCTGCCCCCGCCTCGCCCATTACCTCCGCAATCCCAGCCATCGACACCGTATCCCCGGCGATATGCACCTCCTCGGGAACATCCTTAGGCTTCAGTCCCGCCAGCCTCGCAACCGCACGCCCCACATCCCCCAGCGCCGTGAACGACACCGGCGTCCCCTTCGGCCCAACACTCTCGTACCAGCCTCGCCTCGTATCGAACCCGAACCACGGGCCAACACTATCCTCAAGAAACAAGCCGATGAAGACCCTGCAGATCTTCACATCCGGGACGAGGCGCCGCGCGAGCGCAAAATGTGCCCTCTTGTGATCCCACTCCGGGTGCGGGAAGTCGTGCACGTAGTGGTCGACGCCGAACTCGGAGGGGAGGTACAGCTTCACGGGCGAGTCGGGCAGGGCGCGTAAGAGGCCGTCTTTGAAGTCGTGGCCGGAGGGGCCGATGGCGTTGATGAGAACGTCGACACCCGCGAGACAGGCGGCGAGGTTGGTCTCGGTGTAGGTGCGGAGAGTTGCGGAGGCGGGATCTTGCCATTGGGAGAGTTGCGGGGAGGAGGGCTGGTGCCGTGAGAGTAGGACTACTTGCGAGAAGAGGGGACGGGTGGAGGGGGAGAGGAGCGCGGAGGTGATGTGTTGGCCTAGGTGGCCTGTGGCTCCCAGGATAGCGACGGTGGGGAGGTGCGGTTTTGGCGATTGTTCTGCCATGTTTTACGTTGTGGAAGCTTGCAGACTCACTTGTCCTTTTTGGTGTAATAAGGAGGTCGTTGACTACCTGGTAGTAAAACCTGTCTCGATTGCGGGATAACAATCAACATCACAAGCCCTAGGCACGTGATCTCACTCTGCCCAGTGGACAATAGCCTAGTTTTTGGCAGCGATGGGCTCCGTGAAGCTCTGGATTGACAGCATATCAGCAGCTGAAAGCGGGGACAGCGAGAGCCCACACCAATCTAACAGGATAGCTCCACTCTTGGACGCCACATACGCATTACCGATACAAAGATCCAAGTCCTCTGCCCCGATACAGAGCCCCAAACACCGCGCGCGAACGCCCTAGCACACGCCCAAGCTTTCGTCCTATGCTTAGTCCTCCGGCAGCGTCCCCTTCGACTTCTCCTGATACTCTGTGCTGGAGTTCTCGTATTCGACCGAAAAGTACCTGCTCACGGAGGCGTCTCGCGCAAGCCACATTGTCATCTTGGAGAGCTCCTCTCGCAGGCGATTCACAGACTGCTGATCCATGTTCGTCTGGGCGATTAGTTCCGGCATCGATACTGCGGCGCACATTAGCCGCGGCCCCAAACCTTCACAACGAAACAGCAGAGAGCTTACCGAACAGGCGCAGAAGGTGCTCTCCACCATAAATATCCGCATTCTCCTTCCCCGCCAGATCTCCCGTCGGATTCTCCTCCATCTGATGATAGAACTGGTAGAACTGCTCCCTCTCGAACCGGTACAGCAGCATGCGCGACAGGCACTTGTTGAAGTACTCCTTGACGCCCGCGACGACCTCTTCGAGGATGTCCCAGTCGGCGGAGCCCTCGCGGCGCTTCGCTCTCTCCTCGGCTGCGTACTCGTCCAGGATCAGGCTCGTCGGCGTCTTGGAGGGCAGCGTCACAAGCTGTAAGTTCTTGGTGATATTTTCCCAGTCGTCGACGAGGAGGGATTTCAGCCGGTCTGGCATGACGATGCGCACGGAGGGGCGCGCGAGGAAAGTCTCCTCCTGTGGCGGGGTGATTAGCTGGATTCGCTTTCGAGGGCGGCCTTTTTTCAATCCTGGTTGTGTAGCCATGGTACGAAATTTGCAGTCTTGGTATAAGTGATACACTGGATAGTGAGAGACGAATGGAAGATGACGATGAGCCGGCGGCGTGAAAGGGAGACAAGCAAGACATTTGCGTGCACAGCTTAAGTTGGTGCTTGCGAATGGCAAGCGCTGAACAAACACACCATATGACCGGATGGAGAAGCCATGACTGGCAAACGTTCACTGGCCCTGCCGCAGAAACCTTCGCATAGCGCGAAAAGGGCAGGCGCTGAGCACGCGACGGGAACATAGTAAAGGTCAAGACTTACCGATTCCACTTGATACTCTCGTCCTCTCTTCTGCCCACGCGGTCCAGCCGCTACTGCGATCGAAGAGTGTCGCTCTTCGCTATCACGCGCCGAACTGGCAAGGTCCGCCTTCTTCTTGTGTGAAGTTGATGACGGCTTCTTTGTAGTGAGATTGCGGACCGCGTCCATGTCGTGCTTGAGGTTTCTTGCTAGCTCCCTGTTCTCTTCTGTGTTCTTGCGGAGCCGGTCCTGCGGGACCCAGTCATCCCAGCTGTTCCCCGCCAGCGGGTTAGCTTTCCGCTGTGAACGTAGTCGCATGCCGATTTGAGGAGAAGTGAGAATTTTAGACTAAGAGACAGAAAAGGCACAGAATGACAGGATGGCATAAAGAATGCGGTTGGTAGGCTGAAGCAGCGAGTATCGCGAGAGTTGAGGTTCAAGGAGCCGATTGCCGTGCAAGGGAACAATAGCGTTCAGCGCCCTTTTGAGCTCGACAATAACGCTCCGGAGAAGCGGACAGAGACGCTCTACGCCCGCACCCTTCACTTTGACGCGACCACAGTCTCCAAATATTATTCACAGGTGCAGGAGTGTCCGTGATCCTTCTGCTGACTGCGGCTTGATGACTTGTCTGAGATACCAGGTGAAATGCACTTACGTATTCTTCCACCCCTTGTAATGGACTTTGTATTCGAAGCCGCTCTTCTTGTCATCGGCCTCTTTCTGCCTGACGTCAAGTATTTTGGCTTCATATAGCAGCTCATGATGGAAACATAGCGCTTTCTCATCCTTGGAAAACAGAGGGCTAAATGCTGAAGGCATGATGGGCGGTTTGACGATGCGCAGGTCAACTTGGTCAATAACTCCGGTTCAGGTCCGCGGGAGGAGGCGAGTTTATGTAGGAATCGCAAGAGTTTGAGCTGCGTGAAACTGCGGCACGTGGTTTTTCTTTAAGAAGTGGTTCAGCGGCGCGTTTCTCTGGGAAGCGAGACGCGCTTTCGCGATGTCTTGGCTTTGAGTCTATCGATTGGATGCTTGATCACGACGCAACGACAACAACAATCTTGAACAAGCACAACTCTTTCGGCTGGTGGAAGACATTTCAGAATGGCGCCGACAGAAGCCTCGATCCTTAGTAACTTCCTTCTTCCGCCAGCTCCACTTCCAGTCATCATATCCCTTCGCCAGTTCACAGATTTATTCCCGCGTTCTCAGCAGTCGAACCCGCAGATACCGGTCCTCTACCGCGAACTACAGCATCAGAGAGCAATCGACATAGACGATGTCAAGCGTAATATTGCCGCCGAAGTGAAGAGAGGGGAGAAGCAACAGCGCGAAGTCATCAGAGCTCGGCGGCGAACAGACACCGCATCCATGGAAGGGCTGGATGCGCGAGACATGCTAATGGAGGCAGAGGTGGGTGTTACGCTAACGATCTAAGTCACAGCTTGCTTGCTAATGGCAATACAGCTCTTTAGCTCGTCCAGCAAGGAACCCGCAAGCAAGCCCCATACGCTGGAGACTATCACGCCTGAGATGGAACAGGCCTGCGCCGACTTGGAAGCAGAGCTTGCAGCTATGGAGGCAGAGGCGGCGGCCCTACTAGCAGATGTCCAGACTACTATCGGCGACCTGAGTGATCTGCGCTACGGCCGCTTCAACAAGCCTGCTGGCACTGGCGATGAATTGGGATCGGAAGCCCTCGAGAGTCTCAAGAGGCTTGAAACAGTCTGCAATGAGCACGGCAATGGCTGAAGCACGGGCAAGCTCGCGGTTTTCATATGGGGCTCTATGCACGACGACGAATCTGTTCCATGATCACGCGCCTGTCGAGGACTAACAGGCACACCACCAGGACTAAGGAGCTCCTGGATGGGCTTCAGCTTGGGGACAGAACGCAGATTCAAGTCCTGTTACGAGCGGCGAAACAGACTTAATGACAGGGATTGCCAGTACTGGAACCAATCCCAACCGCTCTCATGCCTAGACTAGCAGTCAGCACCCACCATAGTTGCGGTGGATTTCGCACAAGCCACGGCCCTCTTACTTGGGGGGTATACAAGAGCTACCTAGGTATACCTCGAGGCCTTGTTAGACCCGGAGGGCATGTACAGATAGAATATGTAGACTGGGAGAGCTTTGATAGAGCAGACGAGTTCTCTAGAAGCAATGCGTGATTCCACGCGCCGTAGGAAGCATCGGACCTCGTGTCTATTCAAACAAAATGTTGTTGAAGCGCCTAGGAAGCAACAGTATCTTGCACCTCTCCGCTTGAATGTAGTCGATGTTGATGTTGAAGTGCTGGGGTGCTTATGAACGCCGATTGATAAGCCGGCCTGTGATTGGCCCACAACCCGCCGCTCGAAACAGCACCGCAGCCAAGGATGACGGAGACGGCTCTTGTCTCTCTCAGAACTTCTCTCAACGCAAACAGTAGCAGCAAAACCACCACAGCCATTCCCTATACCCTTCCCTAACCGCAAGAATCCTGTCTATAAGCATACGCCAGGCGCAATGTCATTCCCCCGAGCATGCGCCTCCCTTGCGCCCGCAGTATTCAAGCTCGCCTCTCCCGCAGCATTACCTTTGGCCCGCCGATGTCCCCAATGCCTGCGCGGCTTCTCCTCCTATCGACCGATACACCAGTCTTCAAAGCGCCAACTACAGACCGCGACCGCATACCATCCCGCGTCACTTGATCCCCCGCCACCACCTCCGCGCAATGTCGGCGTCCCGGACTCATCGATAGCGGGCGGAAAGCCACAGGTCAATGAGGCACGGCCGCCACGGCTGACGGAGCAGCATGGCAGCAGTTCGGCGTTCACGCAAGAAGAGCGGCCTAGCGTGAGCGTCACAGAGGCCGAGGCGCAGAAGTCGAAACCAGTAGCTGCCGCGACGGCAACCGCCACATCTACGGCAGCGGCACCTTCTCAGCGACCCAGACGGTCGAAGCTACGGCCCCGGAAAGCGGCAATGACGCTCTCGAGTGCGGCCGTTGAGCAGCTGAAGGGGCTGCTAGACCAGCCCGAGCCGAAGCTCATCCGGGTCGGGGTCAAGAACAGAGGGTGCTCAGGGCTGGCATATCATCTCGAGTATGTGGATAAGCCGGGGGCATTTGACGAGGCGGTGGAGCAGGATGGCGTCAAGGTGTTGGTAGATTCAAAGGCGCTGTTTAGCATTATCGGGAGCGAGATGGATTGGATGGAGGATAAGCTGAGTGCGCGGTTTGTGTTTAAGAATCCGAATATCAGTAAGTGGCACGTCTGGCTATGATGAGTAGTGCTAACGGATTGTAGCGGAGCAATGCGGTTGTGGAGAGTCCTTCAGCATTAGTTAGACTATCGCATTGACACCTCTATGTAAATGATAGCCGCAACGAAGGCCGGGCATAGCATCGGCGTTTGGGCTATAGATAACAGGTCGCAGCTTGTCAATTATTTTTGCATCTCAGAATACACCCGGCGTGAAATCAACAACGCATACATTCTGGACAACCGGCCCAAGACTCTCCACGAAACTTAGATGCGCCGGGTCCTTCTCGAGGTAGTACTTCCTATCCTCTTCGTTTTCGAACTCGGACACGAACGCATGCGTCAACCCGCGCTATCCGAAACAAGGTCAGCGACCTGACGCTGGATCACTGGAAAAAGGTGTTGAGCATTACCGCGTGTCCCTCAGGGCTGTTGTTCCTTCCGCCAATGGACGATTTTACATACGGCTTGTTGGTTGTCGGGTGTAGACAATCGTTTTTGAGAGCGAGCATACGCTTGCATGCCTAGGGTCTGCGTCAAAGAGAGGCTCCTAAAGTCATGTAGAGGGAACGAGCTGCGCTTACATCTTGCACTTCGTCTTGGCTTGCCGTTTGCTTGAATTCGAATATGACTACGTGGATGATGCCCATCTTTACGACCAGCTATCGATACAGTGATTTATCTGCCTAAATCGTGCCTGAACATTACAGTGTGAGATCTTCTTTAAGGAAAGAGGTGCAAGTGCTTGAAGCATGCCGGATGACGTGAACCGCAGAGCGAGGACCGGAGTTAAGAAATGGTCACCTCCGTCCTCGACAGTTACTACCCAGGTACCTAGCCATCACCCTTCGACCAGGACGCAGCACTGAGAGCCGCAGTTATGCTGGCCACAGTATCTAAGAGTTAACGCCGAGCCTGTATGATATACTCACTAGTTACGATCCCGCGACTGAGCCCTGGTCAGGCGCCTCGAGCTCCGCGAGCGACTCCACCAATTCCCTCGTCCAGCAATGGCAAACAGCCAGCTACCAGAGCAGCTCCTGTATCTCATCGTCCGCTTCACGGCCGCGATCCCCGATCTCTCACTCACCATCTCCGCGCCCCACACCACCACGACGCTCTCGCTCAAACGTCTAATCCGCACCCACCTCCCACCGACCCTCTCCTCCAACCGCCTCCGGATCATATACGCCGGCAAAGTCCTCGCAGATACCGCCCCGCTCTCGACATCGCTGAACCTCCCTCCACCGCCTCCAGCATGGAGACTCGCACCGGACAAGCGCAGCAAAGACGACGCGGTAGCGCACAGTAAGGGCAAGGGCAAAGGACCCGCCCGTTCTTCGCCCAATGGGGACGACGATGCCCCTTCTCCTCTGCCGCAACGGCGTGTCTACATCCACTGCTCGATCGGCGACGTCCTCTCCGCCTCCGACCTCGCCGCCGAAGCCTCCGCCGCCGCGGCCGCAGAAAACGCCCTTACAGCCACCTCCAACTCGCCTCCCGTGAGCCCAACATCCACGACCGCAGCGCCCAAGACCTCTCCAAGTCACACAGGCACTACCAACACAGCCGCAGCCTCCAATAGCAGCACCAGCACAGCCCCCGCACCCCAAGGCTTCGACCGCCTCCTAACCGCCGGCTTCACCCCCGCCGAAATCTCCGCTCTGCGCTCCCAGTTCCTCTCCAACCTGCGCTTCACACATACGCCCGACACCCTCCCCACGGGCGCCGCGCTCCGCCGCCTCGAGAACAGCTGGCTGGATTCCAGCGCGCAGGACCAGGGCTCCGCCTCCGCTGCAGAACCGGGCGAGCTGGACCAGGCGGGTGGAGGGGAGGGCTGGGGCGCGGGGTTCGGTGCTGAGGAGGGCGGACTCGATGATATGCTGTGGGGCAATGTGGTGGGGTTCTTTTGGCCGCTTGGGGCTGTGGTGTGGGGGTGTCGGGAGGAGGGGGTGTGGACTAGACGGAGGCAGATTGCGGTTGCGACGGGAGTGCTTGTTAATTTGGTGTTTGGATTTTTGAGGTTGACGAGTTGATTGGGTTTAAAGGCTTAGGGCGTTTTGGCATCTAACTTCCCTGAGGGGAAGGCTCGGGAATTGGGAGCGGGCGTTGGAAGAAGAAGAGGGGCAACGATATCCCATCTAGTTCTAGCATCTACGGCGCAGGTCATGTATACAGTCCACATCCACACCACGCAGCCATCTACCTAAACCTCCTTCTTTCCCTCTCCCTCACCACTCCCCCAAACCACCCCTAACACAATCCCCACCGCCCTTATCACCGCCATGATAATCATCACCACAGCTCTAACAGCATAATCCCCGGCCCCCAACACCGGCCTCCGGCCCCTCGAAAACTTCGCATCCGCCCTCCGCCACGGCACCGCCCCGCCCAACTCACACGCGACCTTAACCCCACTCGCGAACCCATCCTCATGGAACCCATATCCCGTCCACGCGCCAGCATACCAAACCCCCCTCCTCCCCTGAATCTCGCCTAACCTCCCCTGCGCGCGCACCGCGGCCGCGTTGTACAGCGGATGCGTGTACTCGTACTTGCCTTGCGTAAGGTGCGGGGAGGGTGGGTGGGGCGGGTTCAGCGTTACGAGGATATGGCCGAAGCGGGAGACGGGGAGGTGTTGCAGGGTGTTCATGTTGTAGGTTAGGGTTACAGTGGCGAGGGCGCCGGACGGGGTGGACGAGGAGGGGAGGGTGGAGGTTGAGGGGGCGGAAGGGAGGGGGGCGCTGGGAGAGGAGGCGGTGAGGTAGTTCCACGAGGACCAGGCGAGGGGGCGGTGGGGCATGAGCTGGGTGTGGTTAGCTGGGATTCTGGTTTCTGGTGGGGTGAGGTGGCAGAGGGAGACTTACAGAGAGGTCGGAGTGTAGGTACGCGGTGTTTGGCGTCGTCTTGAAGGAACTCATGACCTCTTTTTCTGTCGCGGTTACGGAGTTCGAGATGATGTCGTATGCTTGGTCCCCATGACAGGCGAGTATAACGTCGTCGAAGACCTCTTGCTCTCCGTTCGGTAGGTCCAGCACAACTCTGCCGCTGCTGTCGTTGGTGACGGAGTGGATGGGCGTGGACAGATGCACCCTACTAGCGGGAAAGTCACTCATCACAGCATTGATGTACTTCTTCGCGCCACCCTTGATAGTTCTCCACTCCGGTCGCGTCGCTATCGTGCTTAGAAGATGGTGATTCCACATGAACCGCACGAGCGTCACGGCCGGAAACTCAAGCGCGCACTTGTCGGGCCCCGTGCTCCAGACAGCGGCCGTCATGGGGATGAGATAGTCGTCTCTGAAAGCGGATGAGTACCCTTCTCGGTCAAGATATTCGCCGATGCTAAGGTCGGTCGCGGACTGTGACGTCTCATCCTCGGAGGAGAGCAAATCCAGTGCGAACTGGTTGAAGCGGATGATGTCGAAGATCATACGCCACATGCTCAGGCGAAACAGATTGGCGCGCTGCGCGAAGACGGCGTTGACTGATGTGCCGGCCCATTCGAAGGCACCGTTATCGCGGGAGATGCCAAAGGTCATTTCCGTTGGTACGGTCTCCACGCCGACCTCATTTAGAAAGGGGATGAAGTTCGCTAGATCCGTCAGTCCCGCGATGCTCGGGAAGTCTTAGAGGGCGGTTGGCATACTGACGATACGTTGCTGCGTTCATGACGATGAAGCCGGTGTCGACCATGGTCTTGTTGCCATTGTGCTCGAACGGCACGGTGTTTGTGTGGCCACCGAGACGATCTGCTGCCTCGTAGAGGTGCACTTCGTGTGGAGTGTCTCGTAGGCCGTACAGGGCGCCGATACCAGAGACGCCGCTGCCGACGATTGCTATTCTCTTTTTCTCCATGTTGACTGCGATAAAATTACTGACTAGACCCAGTGGAAAGAATCTTCGAGATTGCGTTGCGAGAACAGCACTACTGAACCCTGGCGAGACTACGAGACGGATGATTGAAATGAACTGGTTCCACAAGATGAAAGATAGATATTGTTTGCCAGCTAACTACTACGAGACTCACCCGCAATGTTTCTTTGCCGATACTTGGAGCGCAGCACTTTCCGTTGATGAGGTGGAGTTTCTTTCGAGTCGTAAGGTAGTTTTTATGTCGTGACGCTAACTAACGCCCGAAGCAGTAATTCCGGAGGGATGCCCCATTTCTCAAGCAACTTACCTGGCACGTCGTGGCCAAAAATACCCCGACTCCAACCATGAACATCACCCTTCGACACGGGTTTGAAGTTTTTCTGGATCAATGCCAGCTCATACGTGTACTTGATTAGTATAAGAAACACACTTTGAGATCTGCACTCTACTATGCAGACTATTTTTCAATATGTTTACCCTGTGGTAACGGGTTGATCTTCAATGCTCACAAGCCTGGAGTCGGCGTTATTTTGGCCACGACGTGCCTGGATAGTTTGTTTCCACTCTCGTCTATTGCCTATTTCCATGCCTTTAGCGGGAGACAAGTGCGAAACCAGATCTCTTAACATGCAAGTTACTACTGATTTCGACCTCGCGACAAGACACCGTAATTACAAGCGCCGGATAGACCACTAGGAGTGAAATAACCGTATATAAATTTCGCAAGGTCCAACCTAAGCCAACCTATGAGATTCTATTGTGATACCTTCCACTCTATACTTGATATACATCTAAATTATAGCCGTAATCTGTTTACAAATATGCAGGGTGTAAGTACCATAGGATAAGCGTACTCAACCGCGCAACGCGCACGCAAATCGCCAAAGTCCAAGCGCAACAGGCAACAAACAGTACACCAGATCAAGATACAGCGACCCTTTCAAGCAGTACACCTCGACCAGTGTGATTTTCAGAAAGCTCGCCCAGAGCACCCAACTGAATATATACGCCAGGACCGAAGCCATTCCCAGGGACAGCCAGATAACCCACAGGTGGCCGAGCGCTGACTTCATCTCCTTTCTGGCGGAAAAGTTGTAGCTCCTGCGGCTCGAAGACGACCCAGGAACCCGCCTGCAACAGTGCGTTGCAACGCAGAACACAAAAAACAATCCCATTGCCAAAAAGCCGAAGCTTGTTTTGATAGCGGTGAGCAATGCGACTGCACTCCTCTGCATGCCGGGGTAGTTCTTCGGAATCCCTCCGTAACCCAAATCGGAGAAGTCGACATCAGGGCCATACTCGTTCGCCGGCGTTTGAACTTGTTTAAGCAGAAACTTCAGTCCCAGAGCACCGACGAATATATCGCTCAGCATTGTGGTTACGCATGTGATCAGCGCGCTGCTGGGTCGCATCTCAGTCTTTCCCTACTTCATCCGGTCACGGAACCAAGGCATTTGGGCAGCTAACAGAAGACATGTGGCACGGGGTCTTGTGGACCACTGCTGAATTAGGGTTTAGAGGTCGGCTTGACGGCCGTGACGGAGGTAGATTGCGAGACCGGCGAACATTGGCGCGGATAGTGAGATAATGATTGACCCAATTGTGCACATGACAATGGAGCGGAGAGAGAACTCCTCCCAGGTGGATCTGGTGGGCCGGGTGGAGGGCGATGAGTCCACTCCCGTATAGCTTGGTGATTGACTCTTTCTTCTCATGCGTCGCCAGGTATTGCGTAGCAAAGCAAACGAGCCGTGTTGTAGTTTCTGGAATTGTGCAAAGAAGAACGGTGTCGCGAGCGTGTACGAAATGATGGCGGAGACCACGTTGTACATAGCCAGCATGCCCAATGTCTCCGCGTGAGGACGGCAATCCATCCCAGGCTCATTGTGGATCAGCCACTGGGGCCTGATGAAGGTAGTGTTGGTCGACATAACGAAGCAATATACGCAGCAAAAATGTGCCGCAACCCGTTTTTCGAACAGAAGATTAATATCAAGAGGTTATTGTGGGGCGTTAACATCCAAATGTACCTGTATTTATCGGCTGTGACAGCTCACCGTGCTAAGAGGCCAACCACTGCGCCCCCAAGGCTGCGGCTGAGAAACCTTGACGCCTTCATCCTATCTTGAGGCATGACAGCAGTCTCATTGGCAGGTGGATGATGTACGCATAAGTAGGCAGGTTCTGGCATCAATCAAAGTCCTGAAAATCTTATGACGGTGGCAAGGTCTATGAACCGATCATCTAAGTATTCCTGAGGCATTGGAGCGAACTTGTGAGGTTGCGTGTTGCGAGGCATCCGCATCCCAATGAGTCAAGCAGGGATGAGCCAAGCCGCGCGAGGCGTCATCACAGCCACGAAGAGCGACAAAGCAGCAACCATTCGACTCCAACCCATCCTCCAACTTCACCATACAACGAGACTCTACAGCACCAAGTCAGCATACGGATAGCACTCATACAACCACGCAACAGCGACTACCAGCGACCGCCATACCGACTACATACGCAGCACCCCAGGGCGCATCCCTACCTAGGCACCTCCGCGCCGCGCCTACAGCTACAGGCAGCATCAATTGAGTGCACTCAGCATTTCCTCCATAAACTCCCCAACCGCCCGCCATGTCGAACATCCTAGACTCCGAAGCCGGCTCAGAGCTCTTCGGCAGCTACGAAGCCGAGCTGAAGCTCGTCCAGGCCGACCTGAACCAGAAGCTAGATCAGATACCCGAACTTGCGGGCGAGCCGCGAAAAGCAGCGGTCCGACAAGCAGAGCGAGCACTGGAAGAAGCAAATGAATTGGTGCGTATAATGCTGGGCCTGAGTCCACAACCATAGACACCCGCGCGGCAAGCGCTGACAGCAATCACGTCTCAACCAGCTCGACCAAATGCGCATCGAGAAGCAAAACATCCCCGCGCCTGCCAAATCAAAAGTGAACCAGCGCTTTCGCAACTTCGAGTCTGACGTCGACGCGCTAAAGCGGCGCCTCAAATCGCTGTCAGACGACCGCGAAGCGCTGTTCGGTAGCCGCTACACCGACAATCCGACCGCAGACGACCAACTCGAGCAGCGACAGCAGCTGCTATCGGGCACAGACCGGCTTGAGCGGAGCAGTGGCCGGCTGCGGGAGAGCCAGCGGATCGCGCTCGAGACGGAGGATATCGGGCGGAACACACTGGCGGATCTGAGCAGGCAGAGGGAGACGATTGTGCATACGAGGGATACGCTGGGGGAGAGCGAGGGGTATACAGATAGAAGTATCAAGACGTTGAGGGGGATGGCGCGTAGGTACTGGCTTCCTCGATTCTCAGTGGTTGGCGAGATTATGGTAGGGAAGGCACTGACAGCTTCACAGGATGGCTACGAATCGGATAATCACCATCGCCATCATCACTGTTCTTGTTCTTCTCATCATCGCAGTCATCGTCAGCAAGTTCAGGTGATTGGTAAGAGTGGACAATTTCGGGCGTTCATGGCGTTTACAAGGTGGCAGCGCTACTGATGCGTCTCCATATTGGCGCGCTCGCCGATGTTCGGCGTGCCAGGCCTCGATGGCTCGTATGTGTGGTACTTTCCAACGAAGTTAATCAGGTTCTGATCGACCTCCTTCGGATGCGAGAAGCTCAAGAAGTGCTGGCCGTTCTCGACTGTCTCGAGGCGTGCGTCGGGCGAGTTGACGAAGAGCTTGATCTCCTCTTCTGCATTGGGGACGGTGTAGACGACGTCGCTCGTGCCCTGCAGCGCAATTAGCAGGCCGCACTGACCAAGTCCCCGAAAATGTAACCATTCCGAAGACAGAAAACTTACATGCAGCCACAGCACCGGACACCTAACATCAAACAGCCGTCCATGCAGCCCATCCCTCTCTCTGAGATTAATCGCTGCCATCCTAGCCCTCCGCCTCCCGTCATCGCCCTGGTAGTTCGCCTTGATCTCCTTGATCCAGAAGTCGCGCGTCTCCTTGTCGCAGTCCTTGCCGAAGCCGATGTCGATCAGGAAGTTGCAGTAGTCCTCGGACGGCTCGAAGTCATCTGTTTTTTGGTTGGTCGTCCACTCGTTGATCGGGCCCGTGCAGGCAGCGACGCCGTCCCAGCAGCCGTGGGCGCGGGTGCGCTCGGATTCGTAGTCCATGGAGGTGCCGAGGGGAATGATGCCTTGGATCTTGGGGGGTGGTTAGCTCTGCTTACTACTGCTGTACCATGCCTGTTGCTCGAAGACACGCCTCCCCTTGTTTGCTGGACCGTTTCAAAGGTAAAGGACTCACCCTATCAGGCGCCAGCAACGCCATCCGCACCGTGATCCAACCTCCCTGACTCGTCCCAAGCACAAACGCCTTGTCGATCCCAAGCGCATCCATGACCTGAATGTTCATGACCGCAGTATCCCAGTACGTGAAGTTCTCGCTCTTGGTCCGCGTCTGGCCGTGGCCGAGCAGCTCGATGGCTACAAGGTTCATCTTGTCTAGTGGGATTGTTTGTTAGCCAGTTGATGTGAGGTCGAAGGGGGTAAGGAAAGGGGGCTGGAGGGGGTGGTACCGGTAAGCTCTTTGTTGGCATACTGGCTGCGGTATAGCTCCGAGGAGGTGGTGAAGCTGTTCACGAGGATGAGGGTCGGCTTCGAGGAATCGTAGGGTTGGGGCATCTGGTAGGCGGCGTCGATGCCGCCTAGGTGCTTGACGTGGACGGTCTTGGTGTTTGGCATTTTGGAGTATGTCAACAATGAAGTGAGAAGGAATAATGGGTTAACTGACTATGAGACAGCTACTCGTACAAGCTGATGACGAACAGAAAGTGTGTTTATATACAGCTACCAAGGCCCTGAGCCCCACTGCGGGGAAAACCCTAGAACTCTGCCATTGCTAAACAGGTGAAGTCATGGGTGCGGACCGGAACGAGCATTCTAAAAGAGCTTGCCGGTTGTAAGGTACTTGTAAGACCTATGTACCCTAGCAGGAGTGTTTACCGTCACAAACACTATTGACGGTAGCCCAGATACGAGCATTGAAGCTGCAAGTACTTCCATGTCGAGCCGATGTGAATGTTCCGTTGCAGCAGTGACACAGAAGACTTTAACATTGTGCCTGAGAAGTGACTTCCTCCCGTCCTCGGCATGATGTCGTGGAGATGGAGGCTGCCTGTCTCCTGAACTCGATCCGAAAGCCGCCCCCGCATTCGGGAATAACATGACACTTTCGGATGAGCGTAGTCACGGGATTTCATTTGAGTACACGCAGTGCCGGCGAGTCCACTGCAACGCTTGAACAGTTTCAACCCAAGAGCGATTCAAGTATGACGGTCCTGTAGATGGTGTCGAAGGTGCAGCTCAGTTCACTTCTCTGAAGCGCGCGCTTCTACCCAGTAGAGGCGTATCAGAAGGCCATACAGTCTGATATTTTGCCTGCAGCTGCGACATCCTTCCTGGAAGACACCACGAGGTGTAAGATCAATCCGATGAAGGCATGCCAACAGGTCCTGGGACGGAGGTTGTATCCGGGACCTGTATGTCTTTAGGGGTTGGTTAATAGTTGTTTTCGAGACAGACGTTCCCGACGAGGTAGAGACGACCTGTCCCAGACAAGCTGGCATGCGGACACTCAAATGAGTTATCCCGGGGCATGTGCTCCTTGAAATTTGGATTAGCAGCATAAAGTATTGTACTTCTAGATGAAAGCGTTCGGGAGTGGCCTTCGTATGATACCAGTTTGATGTCAAGTTAAAGAGTTGACGCAAATTTGTTTTCTCCGCTTTCCAGCCCTACAACGATCCTTCCTCCAATCTTCCGCTGCCGTTCCTCAAATGCAAACAGTTAGGTCTTTCTCGTTCGTCCTTGGGTTAGCCATGTTAGCTTCCACTCCTTCATCTCTACAAGCCCTCGTCAAACACCTATTGCTCCAATCTCAATAGCCGCCAGTCTCGTTTAAGTAGTGGTCTGGCTCACACACGGCTGCTGGTCTCGCAGCTCACTGCACTTCTGCTTGACTTCTTATAACACGACACTCAGAGTTTGAGTCTGGATGCTGCGCAATAGTGAAATGAAACCCCTTCTCTCGCTTGAAGGCAATTGGGGCTTTCAAAAAGACGCAGGAGTAAGAACGAGCCCATCGTCCCAATAAGCGGTCCTTCTCTAGTGGTTTGAATTCAAAGTTGCAGAACGCATCTTGTCCATTTGTGTTTAGCCCAAATGTAGCTACTCTGTGGTCCCAGAAGCAAGACACCTCTACGGCCGTTGATCGACGAGGGCTCTCTTGGGATTAGTGTATGCCGCGCATCTCGAACTACTTAGCCGTGACGGCTCTGAGTGGGTGGTCCGCTTCATCTAGATTGTCTCCTGCAAATCCCGGATACTAAGCACTTGAGCCGTGTCCGCTCGGCTCTTGTAACAGTTTCCTTTTCCGCTTGAGGTCTATTTGCTTCAAGCTAGGCTTGGTAAAGGCCAAGGTAGAGATCGTAATATCAGCCATACTCGTCCAGTTGAAGCCACTTACGAACGTAAAAGCAGAGCCATAGTCCTAAGTCCTTATCAAGTTCCATCGCATGGCCTTAAACTCCGCTCTAAGCACGACCAACGGTATACCAGGGCCCCTCTTTCTCGCTAAGCTTTTCCAAGTTCGCTCGACCCAGCCGCGCCTCGCATCCAAGGGCTATCCAGAGAATGCGTGACCGCTCTTGGCACGGTTTTGGGCGTGGACAGGGGTCATGGATTTTCCGGGTAGCCCTTGACCCGTCCCGCGTGTACGCTCGCACGTCGTTGCCAAAATGCCCCGACTCCAACCATAGACATTACCCTTCGACACGGGTTTGAAGTTTTTCTGAACTTATGCCAGTTCATTTGTGTACTTGATAGATACAAGAAACACATTTTAAGATTTGTACTCTGCTATGCAGACTATTTTACTTACGTTTACTCGGTGGTAACGGGTTGATTTTCCATGCTTATAAGCCTTGGAGTCGGCGTGATTTTGGCGACAACGTGGCTCGCTTCAAGGGTCATCCATGATGAAGCTTGCCGGTCCGCGAACGGGTTTGGGGCGAGAGGTCAGCAACCTCCATTCTGAATGGCCCTTGGTCGGAGCCAAGCCTGCACGTGGTCGGACCGAGGGGCCGGCTTCCGCAGGGCCTAGAGTCAACCACAACCTTACAACCACGAGCCGCAGGCTCTCTTTCACCACTAGGCATACAACCGATCAGCATCTTCAGATACGCCCTGAAACGTTCCCCAAGCCCAACAACGGCTCATGCTACCGTGCATGAGCCCACAGTCCACCAATGCAGGCGGGCGAAGCACACCTCCTCGTCCCGTCTCTCTTAACCATGCTCTACTTTGACAGCCTTGCAGCTGCCTCATCAGTGATCATGCAGATGAGCATCACCACTGGTTGCGCCTTAGCAGCCATTACGCCACCGGGCCGTTTCTTGCCTCCCGGGGCATCAGATTGATTTTCGATACGAGGCGGTATGCGAAGTGCTTACAAGCCAAGCGCTCCTGAACCCTGATCTTATCGAGCTCAATCTTGCACAACTCGGCAGAAGCCTTGTTAGGCGTACCAAAGATTGTAGATCAGGATTTGGGCTGATAGTAATACATTTTCTTGCGCTCAACCAATCCGTCGCGGGATCATGTTTTTAGTTGCCGGAAGTGGAACAAGGTCGCGACTGTGGCTAAGCCACGTTTTCTGCTGCCGTTTCCAAGATGTAGGTGCCTGAGATCTCTGCCTGGTCTACTGCATGTTCGCTTGTCTGCCGTTCATCGTTGTCTTGCATTCCGCTCTCTACTACACTTGTATGGCCAACAAGCTGACGGGGCTGCCGCAAGGCCAGCCACTCCGAGACACTCTCCAACTCTGGTCCATGGCATACCGTTTCACTTGGATGCCGCTCTTGCTTTTCCCATCACAGTCGACGGCATCTCTTCCCACTTACGCTGCAATATGCTAGGGTGGAAGATGTTTAAAGCAGCCACTCAATATATCCCTCAACCCTTTACAAGGCATCCCCTCCCACTGAGACGGCACTTTCGCTATACCCAGTACCATCAACTGCATCTTCTTCCGCTTAAGTTGCATGACGGGTCTAGGCATGTTGGTTCCGAACAGCTACCACATGTCGCGAAAGCTACACATGCAGCGGGCCTGACCCGGGTGCCCGAGATGCATCATGCCACCATTCTACTCTCCACGTGCTTCTGCAAGTCCGTGTGGTACGAAGCAAGGCTGTCGAGCTTCGAGCCGCCCCTTGTCGGTGTTCTCAATGAGATGAGCGGGGAAGAGGCCGAGAGCGACGGCACGATGTGGTAGAATTGAGATAAAGGAGTGCTCAGTTTCCTCAGAATTCCAACGTTCTCCTTCGTAAGAGGCCGGCTGTTGCCATCTACTTTCGTTGAATTTCTTCTTGGAAGCCTCCACCAAGAGCCACACGTCCATTCAGAATGAAACTTGCATCTTGCCTCACTGCCACTCGCGCTCTTCTCCTCAGTTCGCTCCTAGCACAACGAGGCTACGCGTCTCCAGTCAAGCGTACGACGCCGCCGCACAATGGGACGAGCTCGGAGGCAGGGACAGTGCTGACTTACGACTTTGTCATTGTTGGGGGTAAGCCATTGATCAAGGCTGCTCGCGAGGTTCTGTACATAACTGTCGTATAGGAGGACTAGCAGGTTTGACGCTAGCCGCCCGCTTGAGCGAAGTTCCGGACCAGACGGTTCTCGTCTTGGAAGCGGGATTGAGTCCGGAGGTCGTTGGCGCATACGTAGTCCCCGGCCTCAATGAGCAAGTCCTAGGCAAGTTCAGTTCCCATATGTAAGGGTAACTCATACGTTTCTGACCTGAATAAGGCACCGTCATCGACTGGTCGTTCGTTACACCCCCTCAAGAGTCGCTCAACAACCGTACGATCCTGTACCACCGTCAGTCTCCTTTCATCCGTAACCCAATTCATATCAAATCGTCACTAAACCCCTTTAGGTGGACGTGGCTTAGGCGGTAGCACTACAATCAACGGCATGGCATACGGTCGGGGCTCGGCCAGCATCTATGATCTCTGGGAGAGCTTAGGCAATGAGGGCTGGAGCTGGAACGATCTGTTCCCGTACTTCCGCAAGGTATGATGTGCTGTCCGAGAGATTCAAGCCATAGAAACTGATGCTTAGGATACAGAGCACGAGATTCAACCCCGGCCCTGACCCTGGACCTTATGAGACTTTCGATGCTTCGGCTTACAGCAGCGATGGCCCGGTTCAGCTTGCTTTTCCGAACTCAATCAACGAAGAGTTCCCGGCCACAGTCGACTTCGTTGAAGCCTTGAGCTCGATTGGTGTCGAGCCAGCCATCGATCTCAACCTAGGCGTCAACCTTGGCGCTCAGCAAGAGGTTCTTACGATTGACGCAAACATGGCGCGTTCGTCTTCGTACGACGCCTACTACGTGCCGATTAGGGATCGCCCCAACTTGACTGTCATGACCTCGGCCTTGGTCCAAGCTATTACCAGCGAACAGCGAGACGGAGCCTTGACTGCAACGGGAGTGGTCTTCACCGAAGGTTCCCGGGGGAATGCACTGAACGTTACCGCAAGAAAGGAGGTCATCCTCAGTTGTGGTGCTTTCCAGACCCCTCAGCTCCTTATGCTTTCAGTAAGTAAGACCAAGGTACGACCTGACGAGAGGCTAGTGACTAATCATAGCCTCTTGCGGCGTAGGGTATCGGTCCTGCAGAGACACTTGATGTCTTCGGCATTCCTGCCGTTTTAGTGAACGAGAATGTAGGCCAGCAGTGAGTAATCCAAGGGCCATCAAGCTGGTGGAGGCTGAGACTAACGGTATTCAGCATGCAAGACCACACCTATTTCAGCGTGACGGCGAGAGTGACGCCTGAAACCGGAGGTGATGTGTTCAACCGGATTGATCTTCTTCAAGCGGCTCAAAGGGAGTATTGGGCCAACAGAACAGGCCCGCTGACTGTCGCGGGAGGAAACACCTACTCGTTCCAGAAGATCCCCGACGACATTCTTGAGTCTCTGAATGCTACAGAGCTCATCGGCGACCGCTCCAACCAAGCTCACGTCGAGTATGTGTTCGAGTCCGTCTACTACCCGAACAACCCGAACGTGGAGCGTTATCCGCCGAACTTGGATGAGACCTTTTTCTCTGTCACTGGTGTGATTCTCGCGCCTGTCTCCAGGGGAGAGGTGACGCTCCAAGTATGATGGTTCTGGCAACACAAAGCTCTTTCGGATTGCTAATTGAATTAGTCCAACTCTATCACGGACCCACCGTCGATCAATGTCAACGTAAGCTCTCTCACGTCTGCTTGACACAGCTTACGTATCTTGAGCACCGTATGCTGATGCTATGGTCGTTACAGTACTACTCCGCTGAGGCGGACCAGAACATCGCCGTTTGGATCCTACGTAACCTTCGCACAGTTCTCGCGCAAGCCGGCCTGTCGCGCTGGACAATCGGTCCCAACAACGGTGAGATAGCTCCAGGTGTGGAAATTGAGAGCGACGAGGACATCCTTGACTTCATCAAGAACACCGCGCTGCCGGTGTGGCACGCTTCTGGCACGGCCCAGATGCTGCCCGAGGATCAGGGCGGTGTGGTCGATAGCCGCTTGCGGGTGTACGGCATGCAGGGCTTGCGCGTCGTGGACGCCAGCATCATGCCGATCATTCCAGATCAACACATCCTCGCCGCGGTCTATGCAGTCGCAGAGAAAGCAGGTGATCTAATCAAGGAAGACTGGGGCTTCTTGTGATTGTAGCTGGGATGAGGTGCCTTCCACCTTATAGTCGAGATCGGGGCTGGGAGCTGAGCCGTCGAAGGTTTGGTAACAAACAGTTGACTGTGGCATGGAATTGGGAACGGGCTACCGTACACTGGCTCTTAGGACACCTTCTCTTCATTCCTTCCGTAGCATTGAGACGAAAGATGATATGACTTGTTCTTCCGAGGGTTCTCAACCCAATGTCCACTTTGAAAGCTCCATGGCTAGTGTCCAACCAGCCCTCCTAGGCTGGCGGCCAGAAACACTTCCTATTGAGTCCGACATTGTTGTAGGCGACTTTTTGATCTCCTACTGCAAGGAATTGGCTCCGCATAGCAAAAGTGTGGGCCCTCATGGTCAAGATACAAGATCACTGCGCCAGACACTGTCAGCTTAGAGCAACAATTGCTTGTCTCTCAGTTATACGTCATCGTTTCTTTCTCGTGTGCTTCGTTGTGTAGTTACATCAAGGCCGCCGTGATATGCATTATACGTCAGCGCAATGCAGGGTTTCATCGTATATAATGATACTGCATTTCATCTCCCCGTTGCTTTTATCTGCATTCCTCGCACACTCCGTGCACATACCGCCCAAGCTAGCACCGTTGGAATCGTGTTCCATTGAGCGGGCCGAAGCTGGAAATAACAAACTTCCGGCAGCCTTTGTCGTCAGCCGGTCGCTAATAAAGACCAGGCCTCCCCGATAGAGGGCTCGCCCATTCCTTCGTTTGAGGCTGTACGTGCAGCTCAAGAACCTCCATAGCACTCTATTCAGAAGAAAGACGCTGCCAAGTTGCGTTGGCAAATCTTGCGTCGTCTTTTGCCCTAGGGCCAAAGCCCGCCCAGCGGGGCCTCCGGCCGCTTGTGTTGTCCGTACTGCGAATTGGTGCATCCTCTCTCCGGATATCAATCAAGGCGCCTTCCTAGCAAATCTCGCCAACGCAGGTCCGTATTCCTCCCTCTGCCTCTTCAAGCTGGTCATATCCCTGCTATTCTGCGCCTTCTTTGCGGCCTCCAACCTCATTCTCGTCTCATCCACAACATTCCTCTGCCCCCTCTTCCTCAGATGCTTCCTCAATGCGCTATTCTTGCCACGCCCCCTGTTCTTCAACTTCTCGACTATATCCTCCGGCTTGCGATCTAGATTCCTCTCCCGCATCCGCGTCTCGTGGCTCGCAAGGTCGATGTTGCCGATGAAGTTCGGGTCCAGCGAGATCATCTCCGGCTGCAGCTTGTGCAGCAGTGTTCTGACTTCCGCTTCCTGGCGCTGCTTGACCGTCTCGTACGGATTCACTTCCAGGGCATCGTAGTTCGGTTCTCCCGCGCCAGGCACCAGCAAGCTCGAGAAACCCTGGTCATGGCTCACGCCCAGCACGTCCTCCAACGGACACCACCTTACACGCTCAATAGCCCTCCCCTCGCCTCCCCAAGCCATATACGGCGCCTGCGCCTTCTCCTGATCCGCGGCCGCTTTATCGAACAGCCCACGCCACACAGATACCTGCGTGCCCCACCCCACAGCCGCCGAGCCCCTGTCGCTGATCGCGACCGAAGACCCGGGCCGCCGCAGGAAGTAGTTGTGCACAGCCTTGTACATGCGCAGGTCCCAGACGGCCATGCGGCTGTCGGCACCCGCGGAGACCATGTAGCGGCCCTCGCGGTCGATACCCATTGCGCGGACGGGGCCACGGTGCGCAAGGATCTTGACGAGGGGTTCAGTTGTGTTGGGCGACCAGAGTGTTACGGTGCCGTTTTGGTGCCCGATGTTGATGATGGAGTTGTAGGGGTTTTGCGTCATGGAGGTTGGTTGGCCCAGGTGGGTGGGGGTCTCGGCGACTGTGGCGCCGGTTGAGGTGTCGGTGTATTTGAGATAGCCGGCGTTGCCCTGAGCGCGGTTAGTTGTTAGTCTGTTGTAGTTCCCTTTAGATACTGCAGCTGGGGACGTCGGATCGCGAAACGTGCGAAAGACTTACCACCGTAGCTAGCAAATAGAAATACGGCAAGAACTCCATATGCCTGACTTCGACATGCTTCTGCAAATTATGCAACTCCACGCCATCTCTCCCATAAATGTAAACGCTCTTCTTCTGCGCAACCGCAAAGTACTGGTTGTTGTGCAGCCACTTCGCATCCCTGACCGTCTCCCCGAGATGCAGTTCACAGCCCAGTTTCCCATCCCTCCAGTCCATCGTCGCCACATGTCCCTTTCTGCCCGCAAGCAGCAACTCCCTCCCGTTCCGCGTGTAGTCGCTCACATACGGCCCTAGGCCTTCAAGCCTCAACTCAAAGCCTTTCTTCGCTGTTTCGACGCCCACAGCCTCTCGGACATCTTCTTGTCGCACCTTGTATGTCCGCTCTAGCTCACCCTCGGGCTGTATGAAGCCTGAGTCGTGCTCGTTGAGGATCTCGGCATCCTTGGCTTTGAGCGAGGCATTGCGGTATTTGGCTTCTAGCGCCCGCAGGTTCGAGCGTAGCTTCCTATCTTTGACGCTGCGTGTACGAATGGGGGCCCCGCGGCCATAGGTTGCTGAAGCTTCGAGGGCACGCCGTTGGAGTGCGATGGCTTCGGCGGACGACGCAGCGTCTGGAGGGGCGAGGGCGGCGGTGGGGTGTTTGCGCGTGGAAGATTTTGAGGATGCGCGTCGCGAGAGCGTAGTCGGTGTTTCTGTGTCGTCGCTCATGTTTACCGCGTTTAATGTCGAATGACGAGCGCACAAATGTTCTGGTAGGTATGGGCGCGAGCAAAAAAGTTTCTAGATGTCGGCTTGTCGCTTCAGGACGGGCCGAAGGCGGGTAGGGCTGAGACAGGGTTATTATTCAGCATCTTAAACTGACTGCATGTGGAACTCTTCAATATTCAATTTTATATGCAAGTGTTAGGTTTGAATAGACGCGGTGATCTTTGCGGGATAAAAGAGTTCTAGCTCCACTACTATGTACATTCAACCTCTACTAAGAAAACTTCACCCAATACACATACCACAGTATTCATTCCCAGAATCACTTTCATCCCTATCCACCAAGGTGAACTCATCGGAAGAGTCGACGTCTTGAGGATGCGACACGACTGAGAAACCCTCTCCGCAGGAGTCTTTGCGTGCAGCCTGGTCATCAGTAAGCTCCTGCAGCTGTGCGTTCAGGATCTTGTTACGGGCGAAGGCCTGGCTCGCAACTGCTTCAACAGCTCGAAGCCTTATCTGGTCCAGCTTCCTCGCGCGCTCGAGGCCAGCAACACACCCCTGCAGATGATTGGCCCTCGTATCCACCGCCTCGGATGAACTCTGCATTTGTGCGAAGGTGACATTCATCCCGAAAGCGCTGCTGGCGATCCGGGCATTGGTAGTCAGCAGCATCTCCACCTCGACTTCTCGCGTAACGAGCTGCTGCTTAAGTTGCCGGTAGGTTTCGCACAGTTCAAGGTTGCAGTCCTCGAGCGACTTATTCACCGCATCGTTATCCGCGCACTCCGCGCGGAGGAGCTTGAGCTCCTGCTCCTGGGTCTTGAAGCGCCTCGCCACCTCGATGCAGTTGCCCCCAATTTGCTGGAGGCTCGCGATGGCAGCTTGGGCCTGGTTCCTCTCGGCCAGAAGCTGTCCGACAAGTCTGCGAAGCTCCTGGTTGGCTCTCGCATACTCTTTGTTTTGCCGCTCCAGCTTCTGGTTTGCCTCCGTGAGGTTGTCGAAGAGCAGCCGGGAGCCCCATTTCTCGTGGTGATCGGCCTTCCGTCCATCGGCGGTGCCGGTTCCGCTGGTGGTTTTTGCGGCGGAGATGGACTCATGCGTTCCGCCATGCGTCGGCAAGGCGTGCATGCTAGAGCCAGGAACCTCTATGCTCCTGGCGATGAACTCCTCGACCTGGCGAACGGAGGGGAAGTTTGCAGCAGACATGCTAGTGGTGAGTGGTTGTTGTGTTGGATTGTGATTGATCTTAGGAAGAGTAGCTGAGGTGGGGGTGGTTGGAGTAGAGGTTGATAGATAGGGAGGACTTTGGGTAGTTGATGGTGGATAGAAGTAGCTGAGGATGCAGTGCAAGTAGTGCTTGATAGCAATCGTGCGATGTATAGTGCGGATTGGAGTTGAAACCGAGCAGGAAATGCGAATACTTATGCATTTCTCTCGTATGCAAACTGAGGACGCACATCATGCGAACTTACTTTCTCATTCCGCTCTGACAGTAGAATCCATGGTTTGGAAGTCTGGGCGATGCTAGCGACTAGGTTCGCCATAGAAGCTTGGAACTCAAAACTCAACTTGCAACCAGAGTGCACAGTTGCTTAGATTCCCAACCGTGAAACAGCTTGAACGTTATACTTTAGCGCTCGAACAATGGTTTGCGATATTTTAATCATAGATCAATCCGTCATCAAGGCAGTGACATAGAATGAGCATGACAGCCATGGTCGCTTCTCCCCAGATGCAACCGTCTCCCACCATCTTCTGTGCATGTAGTCGCCATGGCTCTGGTTACAATCGACGGGTGAAGCACTAGAGAATTGGGACATCCTTCCACAGGCGAATAGTTTGTGGAAACTTGGCGCCAAGATTTCACTCAGTATCGATAAGCCTTGAATTTTTGACGTCCCACACCATCGCCGCCAGCACCCGAACGTACCCATACGAACATTAATACGAACTCACGCTGGCGGCAATACCATTTCGTTTCAAGGCCGGCGGTAGCGGCACCATGGCACCCATTGCCGAGCATCACCACCGCAGCACAAACAAAGTATCTCACAAGCCATTCAAGTCACGCCACGCATCGAAGAGCACGCTGAAGGAGATATCAAAGGGTAATCATGGCGCTTTCCATGCAGCCTCTGTATACCTTGGCTAATGCGTTGGCTAGGCAAGATCGAAACCCGCGAAAGAGGCTCCCGTAAGACGCCCCACCAACAAGTCATGTCCAAGTTCGACCGGCGGAACCAGGCGAAGCAGAAGCGGCTGCTGAATCACGAGCAGCATGAGAAAGCGACAGGCCTATTTGGGGGCAAAGATGGTGCGCCGAGGATCGTGGCTGTGGTGCCCTTATGTGAGGACGTCTCGGCTTCGGCGGCTATAGAGAGTCTGAACACGAGTGTGGATGTGGAAGACGAGGTTCCAGAACAGGGATGGCTTCGCGTGGGTCTCGGGAGGTTCAAGCAGAACATTGGATATGTGCCGGTCAGGAGGGATCTTATGGCTGCGCTGGACGCGTGTAGGGCAGCTGATTACGTCCTCTTGTGAGTCCTGCGGCTGCAAGAGCGCCTCAAAGGGGTTTGTAGTTGGCCGCTGACCGCCATGCAGTGTTCTCTCAGCCGAACAGGAAGTGGATGAGCTCGGCGAGCTGATCCTTAGGAGTGTGGAGAGTCAAGGTATCTCGACTGTCTTCACAGTAGTGCAAGGGCTGGACAAGATAGAGCCACCGAAACGCAGGCCGCAGGTGGCGACTTCGCTCAAGAGCTTGTAGGTTTGTGACACCCTTGTACTTCTGGCGATCGCTAACCGGTTGCTAGCATCACACACTTCTTCCCGACTCAAGAAAAGGTGTTCAGCCTAGATTCGAGACAAGAATGCGCGAATCTTATTAGATCACTATGTACGACGACGCCGAAAGGGATAAGGTGGCGAGAAGATAGAAGCTGGATGATGGTAGAAGAAGTTCGGTGGCCATCCGGAAAGAACGCAATGGCAGAGGAGGATGCGGTTGGGGAGGCGGTGCTCACGGGAGTGGTCAGAGGGAAGGGACTCAATGCGAACAGGCTGGTACAATTTGGGGACTATGGAGCTTTCCAGATTTACAAGATTACGGCGGCACCGCTGGAGTCACATAAGAAGAGAAGAGGGGATACCATGGCGGTAGACGCCGAGGGCCAGGGCCAGATCCTTGAGCAGCCGACGGAAGATCAAGACGACTTGAACGAGCTTGCTCCTGAAGAGGTGGCTATGGAAGACGTGGACGAGTACCCAGTTTCAGTTGCCCCCTCGGAGCGAAAAGGCGTTCTCCTAGACGATCATCATTACTTCTCTGAGGAAGAAGATCACGAGCCGAAAAGGACGAAGCGACTGCCCAAGGGAACGTCAAAATATCAGTCAGCTTGGTACCTGGAGGATGTATCGGACTCCGACTCCGACGTTGAGGGTGTAGAAGAGGACGCTGACGTCGATATGGGTGGGCCAATCCAGCCAGCAGACGGTACCGGAGCTCTGGACGAAGACGATTTGATGCGAGAACCAACGGAAGCCGGCCCATCGGAGTATCCTCAATCAGAGATGTTTCCGGATGCATCTCCTGATGAGGAAGCGGAACAGCTCGCCGCGTTTCGGTCTCAACGTAGGAACGATGCCAAAGAAGACCTGGAGTTTCCGGATGAGGTCGAGCTTCATCCAAACGTTCTGGCGAGAGGTTAGTGTTGCTAAATCATCAGTCAAACGGTTTAGATATCGTATCGCTAACACGGCTCATAGAACGATATGCTCGCTACAGGGGACTCAAGAGCTTACGCACAAGTGCCTGGGAAATCGAGGAAGATGCACCCTACGAGCCAGCAGAATTTCGGCGCCTACTATCCGTAGCGAACTACGGGCGAGCGAAGCGGAAGGCCGTTGACGAAGCCCTGGTCGGCGGTGTCCCAGCCGGTACGCGCGTGAACGTTCACCTTCGTGGCGTACCGCTTTCCATGCAGCAAACCTACGACCCAGCGCAACCCCTTGCGCTCTTCTCTTTACTCCGTCACGAGCACAAGCGCACAGCCGTCAACTTCTCAATAACTCTCAACTCAGATGTTGAAAAGCCCATCAAGTCTAAGGAGGAGCTGATCATGGTCTGCGGCCCACGTCGGTTTGTTATCAACCCAGTCTTCTCGCAAGCAGGCAACACACCCAACGACGTTCACAAGTTCGACCGATATCTCCACCCCGGCCGAAGCGCCGTAGCGTCCTTCACGGCGCCGCTGACCTGGGGTTCTGTGCCCGCGCTGTTTTTCAAGCGGTCCACGCCTTCCACGGAAGACTCCGAGGCCGTGGCTCCAGAAGACAGCATGAACGTAGAAGACACAGCACCAGCAGCCTCCAAACCCTCACTCGCGCTCATCGCCACCGGCACGTCCCTCCCACCATCCCAATCCCGCGTCATAGCCAAGCGCATAATCCTGACAGGCCATCCGTACAAGATCCATAAGAAGCTCGTCACCGTGCGGTACATGTTCTTCAACGCGGAGGACGTGCAGTGGTTTAAAGCGTTGCAGCTGTGGACCAAGCGTGGGAGAAGCGGATTCATTAAGGAAAGCTTGGGCACGCATGGGTATTTCAAGGCTACGTTTGATGGGAGGATCAACCCGATGGACTCGATTGGTATGTCGTTGTACAAGAGGGTCTTCCCGAGGAGTGCGAGGGCTTTGAGGCCGGGAGAGGTGTAAGGGTTGGCGGGAAGGGCGAAGATGGTTGTGTGGAGTTTTGAGGGTTCGTGTTGCTTGGGGGATAGATGGGGAGAAGGCTCGGAGCTAGCTAGCTAGATACCAATGCAGCCTCACGCGGCTTTGATGCTACTCCAGCACTGGAAGATCCGTACATGATTGATGCTGGTGGTTGGGAGGGTCTAAGCTCGTATCTACGGCGCCGATTCTGATCCATTGGTGCGGTCACCTATCACAAGCGGTGCGAAACAGGAATGTACAACGGCGGGGTGAAGAAGAGCTGTGACAAGATTTGTATACATTACGATTTGCGCTCAAAGGTTTTAGGGCCTGGTGCGTCGATGGAGCGAACTGATCACGATGACATACGAAACTTCATGTTTGTTGGACGTGTAGTTCTCCAAGAGCACAATGCATGTCTATCTCTTACTGCTCTGGCGGCGCATAGAGAGGCTAGTCTCATGTTTAGAAGGCGGAGAGAAAGTGTGTGATCTTGACAAGTGTAGATTGCAAGGACTGTTATGCCGCGCTACACTCACATGATCATAAATTGCTATGGGCCCATTAGCAAGCAAGATTGTAGCCTTTTGAAGATAAGTGAGAATGTTTCTCCTAGCTATGCAAGCAATGACGCCGCCAGCTGCAATCTGTCGCCCCTTGTCTTGAGATATTGATGATGAAAATCATATGGTCATGACGCTAACCATCGCTTCGAGCTCGCAAACAACATCACTGTATACTGCGCTCTGCAGCTCCGTCTTACTTAGATCATCCCCAAAGCCGAAGTCACACTGCAGACATTTCCGAACAATGCGCTGGAATTTGGTTGACCCCAAAGGAGGACGACCGCTGGCTGCAAGCCTTCGAGCGGTGACGATATCGTCGACATCTCCGGCGCGCCGGAGATCTTGCAGCGTTCTCCAATGTCCGAGTTCCAGAAGCGCGACGCCTAGGCAGAACAAAGCCATGTTGCTGATCCCGTACCGCAGCTGCGCTTCCTGAGCGGAGATAACTGCGTCCACCTCCGGCTTCGAAATATCCATCTGCTCAATGGGTGCAGCGGAAGCCCGAGAGCTACCATCAGGAAAAGTACTTCTGAGGTGAAGGGTACGTAAGGCGTCTTGTGTGACTTCGTCTCGAGTGCCAAACAGCGACAAGTCTTGGAGATGCCATCTATCGCTCAACCAGGGCGTGGAATGAAACTGCAGTATAGCTGTGGCAATTCGGTGGGCGAGCTTAAGCTGATCAACGAGCGTCAATTCGTCCTGCATAGACTTGTGCAACAGAAGGTCCAGCGTGATGGTCTCTATAGAAGACCGAATCTGTGCTTGATTGTTCCTTGGTGACTTTGGGTCCGAAGCATAGATCGTGTGCTTGTAGAAATTTGGACTTTCCAGATAGCCGATGCATCGCTCGACCGGACCTGCATCTTGTATACAGAGGTTCCGCTTCAGCAAACTGCACATATTCTTAGCTCGGTAAAGGTTGAACATAGTAACTTCGAGCGGCACGTCGTCATCTGCGAAACGGACCCTTCTTTTCTTAACAATCTTCCTAAAAGGGTTACTCGTAAGATCTGGTGTTGAGTCGCTTCGGGCACGTTTGGATGCGTTAATAGAATTTGAGTCCGCAGACACCTTTGCAGTGCCTATGCGAGGTAGTTTCTCGCCATTTAGAAGGTTCGTTGTAGTAGCGTCAACGGTCGTTGACCTCACGTAAAGCCATGTCGGAGCGTCATCTGGAGTACTGGCGTTGGATGCATTAGCGGATGATCACAGCGTTGAAAGAACCTGATAACATACGTGGAGAGCTCCACTGTATAGTTACGGTGATACGAGATGGCTAGATCAAACCGTACACCGTCCGTTACTTCTACATCGAGGCAGAGTCTGGCACAGTGTCCGGAATGCTCAGCATCGGCACAACACCAAGAACTCGTCAGAGCTTCGTGTAGCTTCTGTGAAGCGTGTTGCATATCACTAAATCGCGGGGGTATCGACGATCTCTTAGCGATGCATGAGATGTTAGAGCATGATGGTGGTCGCTTGATGGCTCCCAGCTGCTCACGCAGCGTCCCGAGATCGTCATTGTATTCTCGTAAACAGGATAGCCTCCGTTCGTATCTCGATTTCTGAAATGTGACGGTGACGGAGTGCCGGATGCGCCGGATTGTCTTCTTTATAGACTCGTCCTGAATGTACGTAAGCAGTTTTACCAGGAGGTGCACGTCTCGGTGAGGGAACGCGCCAACTAACCCTGAGCCGACGTGCTGTCACTTCATTGAAACAATCCAGATCGGTGTCAAGCTCTTGCAGCACTTTCAATGCCTCGTTTATCAAGCTCCGGCACAAATCAACATTCGTGTCCAAACACCTGTGCATCCGATTGTTGAGCTCTTGGTCCTTCCACAGTATGTCACCAAGGTCTTCGAGCATCGCCTGACTGCGATCACTATGAACCACCAGCCGCAGGAGTAATTGACACTCATTGAAAAAGAAGTGCTTCTGCGCATTTAGCCGAGCTTGCAGTCTCTCTACCTCTCTGGACCAGTCACGGAAGGTCCGGATTTTGTCGTAAGTGGTTCGGTAGGCCTCTGCGGTAAGAACGATAACCGGCAGCACGCCCACAGCGAGGCCCGCAATCTCAACACCAGCCATTACACTAAACTCGATATATAGAAACGTCAAGCAGATATAGCGGCAAGCGTTTTGTAGCGGTAAGAAAGGTTGCTGATTTGAAGTCAATCTGAGGCGTAGTTGGTTTTCGATGGATATTTACGGCCTCGCACTTGCATCGACCGTGGAGGAGCACAGCCCTCGCCGCAGCCTTGATCTCATGCGTAGTGCAAGCACAGCCCAGGCATAGCCTTCTTCACCGGATGGTGTAAAGTTCGTCGTCATCTTTGTTTCTTCTCGTCGTTTTCCAAAATTCACACGTCGTTCATTGTTGCTACAACACAAGCACGAGCTGCGTACACCACGCGTGACATCTCTGCTTGTCCACCTACTCACCGCGATATGGCACTAGACGCTGTTCAAAACGAGAAGACGCAACTGTTCATTAAGCAATGGCAAAAAAAGACCCCACTCTCATCTTCACCAGCCGAGCTGGGAGCAGCGGGGCGTTTGTATGGGGGTTGCATCCAACTTGGCAAGCTTCTGGCATCAGCAGCACAGAAGCAATCCACTTTCTCCTCACATGAGCAGATTAGCCTAAGACGATACATCCAACGACTTTGTCTGTGGGGTAATGATCATGGCGCTTCTGACGGCCAACTCGACGCTATCCTTCAATGTAGCAAGGGACTCCGGCAAACCGTACTAGAGTACTTGATTGCAATCGGGGAAATCCTTTCTCGAAGTAGTTATACTGCCCTTGATCACTTCAGAAGCTACTTTACTGACCGCTTGGATAGGACTCTCAACCCGAGCCGTGTCCATAGCTGAAGCGCAGAGTCTATGTGCCAAGACCGACATCCTGAAACTGATTGAGGAGTCCCAATATACTATTGCGGATGACGATGACAACGGATCAACCTCATCATCCGGTGACGGCGGCAGTGATACTGACTTTGATCCCACCAGGCTTGATGTGAAGGACATCTTGGAAGACCTTGACACGTACACACAATGTCTTGTCGACATGAGCCCCTCACTAGCGTGCCCAGCCATGGATTATACAGACCCTCATGGTGCCCCGGTTAATATGGTTTTCCACAGCAAAGACGCACATCAATATTATGCAGACCTTATCCGCGAGCGCTTTCTGGAAGCAGCTGCAGACATCGTGGACCAACTTGGCAGATCCAACTGGGAACGCTACAAACGTATCTCAGCTGAGAGGTCTGCAAACGTACAAGATTCGAAATTTCCTGGGGACGCATCTGCTGAGGATTTCCTTGTAGCTGGAAAGGCTTTATCGGAGGTGACAGCATCACGGTTTCAAGACTCGGGCCTTGGTAGTTCTTTGCCTACTAAAACAGACTATGCTCCAAGCATGACCTCCTATTTCTCCAGCTTGGCAGACGGAGATCGTCCGGATATCCCGGCCCTGCCGGATGAGGCCAGACGAGGAATGCCCTTCGAATGCGATGCCTGTGGAAGGATGATTCGAGTGACGAACAAGAGAGATTGGAAGTGGGTAATACAATTCGTATCGCACTACGGACGATCTGACAACGCTAGGAAACACATCTACCAGGATCTAAAACCCTACGTCTGTTTCTATCCTCGCTGCGCTTACAACGTGACTCCATTCGAAAATCGCGAGCTGTGGGTGGATCATCTACGTCTGGAGCATAGTCTCGTGTCGACAGATGCGCCTTTTGAATGTGTACTCTGCCCACAAGTACATACGACAGGTAGAGGCGCAATCTCTACCCACCTCGCAAGGCACATGGAGGAGATATCGCTTGCAGCACTGCCCCGTGGTACGGACTCCGAAGTCGGTTCCGAGGATGGGTCTTTGGAGTCGCAGAAATATTCGGTAACCAGCGGTGCTTCTGGTGCCTTGGATCCGACTTACGAATGGTCAGTATACGGATGGGGCAATGTGGGCGACGGCTTTACAGAACATCTGCCCGAGTCTGCTCACTTCGTTGGAGAAGGCTCTGGCGCGCTCACGTCAGCGGCCTCCTCCTACGAAGCAATGCTGAAGCAAGACGACCTCTACTATGACTCCGTTGAAGGTGAAGATGGATCTTTACATAACCCAACTACAACCATGGAGCCGAGCTGGACTAACGTCTCGGATGACGAGAATGGCGAGGACTCGCTCATTACGGACGCTCGTTCTCTGAATCACAAGACAGGGCACGTCATGTTTACTTGTTATCAATGTCAAGCGAAGTTCCCCGCCGCCTCAGAATTAGACGAGCATGCGCGGACCGAGGCCCACGCAGCGTATGCATGCTCAGAGACGGGATGTACATCAACCTTCTCTAGGCACGATGTGTACGAACGCCATGAGACAAACCACTTACGCGAAACTCCACGCTTTCCGTGTCCCCACTGTAAGAAACACCGCGGTATGAAGGGGTTTAAGCGGAAGGACTATCTTAAACGGCATTTACGTCATTATCACCACATCGGCGAAAAAGAGACCCAGGTTGCGTATCGGAGGTCTTGCGGACACAAAGACTGTTCAGGGAATGACGATCTCGAAGCTTCCGAGTATACCACGCATATGCGGAAGGTTCACGACGAGTCTGATTTTCCCTGCCTGATACCGGGTTGCAATCGCGTAAAGAGTAAGGGCTACTTTAGGCGCCGTGACCTCGACAAGCATCAGCGCAAGGAACACCCGCAAATATTTGAGGGAGAACATAGCACAACTGACGGGGGTGATGTCATGGGGCCTTTTTTCATTGTTTGAGAAGATGTCGTATAAAGCACGGGAATGCGTTTCCACATTATTCAGTTTTTCGCATACCGGGTAGAATCTAAGACCAACTCGGGCGTCGGAGATTACCCTGTCGGATATACATTTATCACGAACTCCAAATCAAAGGAGTCAACGTGGAATACTGTACACTATACACAACAGGCGCACGCCACAGCAAGGCTCACTACACCCTAACCCTCGCCGCTTCTTCTCTTCTATCCTCCATTCCCGTTCCGAAACCCCATCCACCCTTCTTCCTCCTCCCTTTCCGATCCCCAAACTGCTCGTCAAACTTCCTGATCGCACTCAAGCTGCCCATATCCTCACTGATACTCGCGCTAATCTCCTGCAACGCCTTGTCGAAATGCCTCTTCATCAGCGTCCGTTTCTCCGGATACTTCTTTCCATCAATCTCTTCAGCTTCCAAGGACGCCCCAGCAACCGTCTCCATCTCCTCCCTCACACAAGCCAACGCGGCCGCAACAGCCAAATTCTTCAAGTCGCTCCCCGAATACAACGGCGTCTGCCTCGCTAGCTCCCCAACATCCACATCCCCATCCACGACCTCATCCTTAAGATGGATCTTTAAAATCGCCTCCCTATCCTTCTCAACCGGCAAATCCACCAATAGCCTCCTCGGCAAGCGCCTCAGTACCGCATCATCCAGATCAAACGGCCGATTCGTCGCCACCATAATGAACACACTAAGATCATTCATGCCATCCCACTCCTTCAGGAACTGATTAATGATCTCCCGATGCGACGTCCGATTCCCCGGCCCGCCCCGTGAGCCGAAAATCGCATCCGCCTCGTCGATGAACACGACGCATGGGCTGAGTTTCCGCGCTAGGGAAAAAATGGCGCGGACGTTCTTCTCGCCTTCGCCGACGTACATGTCGTACACCTCTGCGCCCGCGACCTCGAGCACGGTTGCGCCGCTCTCCTTCGCGACGGCTTTGGCGAGCAGCGTCTTGCCTGTGCCGGGGGGGCCGTAGAGGAGCAGGCCGGGGATCTTGTCAGTGGCGAGGACGCCGTATTTGAAGGCGTCCGGGCGGATGAGAGAGAGTGAGGTTAGGGATTTGAGAGCTTCGATTGTGGTTGCGGGCGCGTGGACGGTGGAGAAGGTGGTGGAGATCGAGGACGGGTTGATGACGCCGCTGAGGAGCCGCTTTTCGTATTTGGTGGCGCTGCGCCGGATCGCGTCGAGGCGGTCGGCGGCTGCTTTGGAGGATTTGGATTGTTTTGGGGTGGTGGGGTCTTTGTAGACGGCACCTTTGGGGTCGTCATCGAGGGACATTTTGGTCGTGAGCCAGGCGGATTTGATGGCGTCGCTTCTGGATAACACTGTCATGGCCAAAGCGAGATGGATCGGCTCGAGCTCGCTGCTGTCGGTGTGCACGATTCTTAGCCCGAGGGCTGTTATCACGATGCGATGTACTTCGTCAAACGAGAGGATCCGCTTCTTCAGCGGAGATTGACTCGCATCGAGGTATGCTGGTATGCGTAAAGGCTGGGCAGAATCGGTCAATGGGGAGCCAGCCGGACAAAGTCGTCTAATCATGTCTTGTATGTTGCCAATATTGATTTCCTGAGTCCGTTCTTGCTCCGCCCGCTCCCACGGATCCAGAGACTCCTCGGAGTCCAGTGTGGGATTTTTGGAAGCCTTGGGCTCATCGGGTGAAGCGCGATCAGCGCCTAGAGGCACCACAATGGTCCTAAACAAACGTTCCGAAAAGTCCGACTGCAGCCCCTTGAGAGCTGTCGCTGCAGAAGAATCAGGTAATAGATGTTCTGCAGACGTTGTACCCACAACCATCACCTGCTGTCCGCCTCGACGTCTTTCTCGGACGACTTGGAGTAGTCTCTGCACTACCTGGGAGCCGTGTCTAGTCGCGTTGAGCTCCTTAAAGTCTTGAATGTGGACGATGAGCCTCCGCTGTGATGGAGCAGAGTGCACTTGCCGCGCTCCAACTGCGGTTGGGTTGAAGCGGATACTGTGAATGACACCCGAATCACCGTCATTGAGGCTCGGGAAATCTATCTCGTCTGACAAGGCTTCCGAGCTGACTGGTTGTGGCACTACTTTCGGAGCAGGCTCAGGCTCTCCGAAAGAAGGGGACGCTGTTGTGTTGGATGCATTATGCGCACCTTCACCCGCAGGAGCAGAGCTATTCTCGGTGACTCGCTGCTCTAACGCGGAGCTTCGCTTCGCTGCGTCCGTGTCGAGAAGCGCCTCAAGCAAAGTCAAAAGCTCTATTTCTCCTGGCTGTAAAGCGTTTGCGGACTGCGACTGATACCGCTGTTCAGGATATTGGCCTTGGCCCAGCGAATCTGTTCCTTCTGGCTCGAGGCTGACCACTTTGATTAGAGGCATCATGTTCTTCATATTGGAGAACAGGTCTGTTAAGCTCCGCCCTGCAAAGGCCTGGGCGCGGGCGTTGCGGGATTTGCCCCGTGGAGTCTCTCGCGCTGGAAAGCTGGCCGTAGAAACGTCTTCTGCTTCGTCGTCCTGCTCGTCCTCCTCAGCTTCCTCGACTCCCTGTTCTAACTCTTGCGCTTCAGACCTTGCCTGGTATGTCTCATAGCTCAGGTTCCGAAAGGACCGTATTGCTGGATCTGATCCGGCAGGATAGCAGTCTTCGATCAGGCGTGTGAGAATCTGCGCATTCAGTTGCAAAACATCAGCCCCAAGGGTAGAAGCAGTCCGTTGAACAATTGCATCTAAAGCTTTTATGCCCCCATTGGAAGGACAGAACAAGGAGACGTTGGTCTTCCCAGCTGCCAAAATACGACCCAGCTCCGGCCGAGCTGTCGCAAAACCTGCTGCAATCGCGGCCTGAAACTCAGCGAGGACATACATGGGCAGGTCGGAGGTTTCAGGAGGAGTTCGTCTGTTCGTGTCTTTTTCAGCCTTCCCTTCGGGGTCTCCTCCCTCGGTCATGAACTCTTTCGAACGAGCATCCCTTCCTCCTATCTCCTTTTCAAGTATACCAAGTCTCTTGTTGATTGACGATATAAGCTTTTCAAGTAACTCCCGCTCAGGGCCGCTCACGTTGGTTGCGCTACCAGCGATAGAGGCTCCCCCGGAGTTGGAAGCTTCCTGGGTATAACTAGAGATGAGGTGCTTGAGCCCACTTGTGCCGAGCGGCAAGCTCACGAAAGGCTCCCTGGTCGCCTTGCTTCTGATTACATAGGTGAACGGGTCGTACGAGGAGTCTTTAGAATGCGCTTCTTGAAGTTCTTCCTGTAAGCGGATATGGCGGTGGAGGAACCAATCCGGTATTCGTATCGGGTCAACCTGCTTCGGCTTTCTATTCCGCATCGACCTGTTCAAGGCCGATCCATAGAAGTTCGGGCCATCCTTTGCCTTCTGAAGCTTGTCCGCAACTGCCGCCGTGCTATCATCCTCTGCGACTCCTGGCTTAGTATCGGCTTCTTGCGACTTCGGCGCAGAAGTTCCTCGTTCGTTGCGCGCATCGTGATCGAGTGCGGAACCAGGTGAGTTAGAAGGACTGTTCGGGCCGTCCGAAGGCCGTGAGAGCTTGGAAGAGTTGTGGAAGGAGCGCGCTCGGGAAGGATACCGACGGCCTGCGACTTTCCTAGCGGGGAATCTACAGGCAGACCATAGAGTCCGTCGTGCTATGGCTTGCATCCGGACTCGAGCGGGGCGAGAGAGCTCAAAGGCGAGGAGTGCCTTTAGCTGGCGCGTTTAACAAGTGTTCGTATGGGAGTGTTGCGGCTCTGCCAAATTTCTGAGGCTTGCAGAGAACTGGGCCCGAGCTCAATCGACGCGGTTCCTGCCAAGACACGCAGCCAACACAACTGGAGCGTTCGGAGCTGGTGCGAACACTACCTTTGGCAATCAGGCTCAGAACAATAGAAAGCCGATTCAGCTTCTATATGCTGCTCAACCAAGCACATGCTGCTCGACGGCAGACAGTGCCTGCCGCAGAATGTACCACACCTGTAAGCCACACGCTGCACGGGTCGGGCATAAGATACCGCCAGAGCAACAAGGCTATAGAAAGAAGCTTTCTTACTAGTTGCCTTCCAGTCACTCGACTTATCCTCCCAGCAGTTCGTTATAAAGAGTGACCTACATATCCCACACAGTCAGTTAGTCGAGATTTATGCTCTCTTAAACTTCGTACTATTCTAGTCACATCGTGCGTTTCTTCTTTAGCCGCTACATATCCGCGATGGTCCATTCTATCTCTAGCGCTTCCGCCTCCCGCTTCCGAGCAGATGCTTGGAGGTTCCATGCAGCTGCTTCTATTTCTTGGCTGCAGATTCGCATTGGCGAAGGGCGTTGCCTCCGCCCTCGATAGAGAAAACCCCCATCACCCCTTAAGTCTCCACAAACCTCGAACTCATCAACCCATCCATCTCCGCCCTCTCCCTCGGCGCTCCCTTCTCCTGCTCCCTCATCAACATAGCCAGTACCTTGAGGTTGGTGGAGACGATGGATTCGAGCAGGGTGGGATCTTGCTTCGTCTTGTTGGCGGTGCCCTTGATGCCTTTAGCCGCTGCCGCTGCTGCGGACGTGGACTTGGTGACTTTGGAGGGGCTTGCCGTGGAATGAGAGCGTGGATTGAGAGTTTGCTTGGGAGGAGGTGCGGCGGGCGGCTGTAGGGCCGGTGGACGGCCGCGTTTGGGCAGCGGGAGCTGCAAATAGAGATGGGGATTTTTGAAAATTCTGTGACGAAATATGTGAGGTTGATGAAGTGAAAACTCTGACGAGGTGATTATCCGGTGGTGTGATGACTGACCTGTGCTCGATTCCTTCTCGATGTGAGGCTGAAAGGGGATGGCGGCAGTTCCATTGTTCTGAGCCTGGTTGCCGAATGTAGTGCTTGCGCCAGCACCAAAGGCCCCAGTCGAGGTCGTGTTGCTGCCGAAGCCGGTTGTGGCAATGGTCTGAAAGCGCTGTAAGTAATAGCAGATGAAGTGGTGGTCCAAACTCGAATAGAGGACCTTTGCGGCTTCGTAAGAAGGGACAAGGAAAAACGAATGGAAGAAGTGAACACGCTCAGATGCAGCCAGTACACATGAACGCAGCGCTCACAGCGAATAAACTAGTAGAGTAAATAGTAATAGTCGTATATCTAAGGCTAGATACTCTAAGTGGAGGGTACAAAGAAAAAAGAATAAGGAAAAAGGTAAGAAGAGGGTATTGTGACGGCTCCGAACCGCGGTGAGGCGGTTTGGACAGCAAGAACGAGCCCATCGAGTTTATATCAGTCGTTCGCAACCAATCCTCACTTTAGCAACAATTTCAATTCTATAACTTCTCTGCCAACGTTGATAGGTACGGCTAAGCGGACGCTTCCTCAGTAAATATGAGTATTAGATCGTTAGTAGTGAGTGAACGCCGACCGCCAACCGCGCCCATCATGTCATGATGCAGGTACGCGCGCATAGAGTATAAAACCACGACCTCGCTCTTCGCATTTCAGACCAAATCCGGCACACTCGTGGCTATTGTCGGGCACACTTGATTGCCGTGATCTCCACGACGAACTACAGACAGGCATTGTACCTTCTATATTAGGGGTTTCGAAGCATGTTGCACCTACTCAGAGTAACAGCTACAAGCTGCCGGTTTATTGAGCAATACTTGGTGCTACTTAGTGCCCTGTCTGTATGCCGCTCTGTGAGAGATACCTGTGGAACACCCCTCGCTGATTCGCACGTCATCTCCGAAGATTCGACAATTGCGAACCGTCTCGTTTCCATCTGCTCATATTCTGTGCCCCTGACGATGCAACTGCTGCGCCTATCGTGTTGTGGTGGCCCTGAACTGCTTGTACCCACGTACGTGTACTCAGGTACTTGTACTTGCCGTATCCGCAAGCTCAATAATCGAGGGTCTTGTGCTCACTCCGCTTATCGTCGGGCGGCTGAATGGCCGAGAGCTTGGCCCAGCCAGGGACAACGAGATATGCAAGGTACAGAGAGTTGTACCTTCTGTTTTGAGGTGCTTGGAAGCCGTAGCACCTTCCCCACAGTTCCAAGTTGCTGATCTCCAACCGGCGCTTGGCCGAATATGTCAGGTGGAAGCTCCGATATAAACTTGATCAAAGCGACCCCACAACTCCACTCCCGCGGACGGAAACCTGATTGCAGAAATAGCGGTAGATCCTATCAAATACCTGCCTACTGCAGTATACCCTCCTCCGGAATCAACATGGAGCCGCCCTCGCCAGCTCGCGTATCACGCCGTGCCGAGGAGGATTTGGCCGTGACCTCACCTGCTGCCGTGCCTTCGTTACGCAAGGTTTACAAACATCCCAGGCTTGCGGTGATATAAGGATGGATGCAGCCCCCAGCATGCTGTGCTGCAGCGGCTCACCTTGTCTTTCTGGTTACTTGCGCCGTCCATCAGCTCACCATGAAGATCGTCGAATACACAGCCGCGCTGGCCTCAGTGGCTGCAATTGCTTCAGCCAGCTCGCCGTCTCCTCAAGGATGGCGAGGCGGGGAGACCAAATTTCCTAAGCCCTGGTTTCCGCCAAAGTCATGGCCGCAATTCCCACGCCTCCCGCATCCTTTCCATCCTCCGCGTGGGCCCCGGGAGAAGCCCCTAGTTAAATCGGTATGTCAAAGTCTCGAAACAAGAAGCATGGCACAGAGTCTAACAACTAGTTCAGGAGCCACTCCAAGCCTCCATCAAAGAGGACGCTATCCGGAAGCACGCCGAGAATCTTCAGGCCATCGCCTACGCAACCGAAGGCCGCAACCGCGTCTTTGGTAGCGCTGGCCATAACTTCACTGCCAAGTATATCTATGACCTGATCAAGGAGCTGGATGATTACTACACCGTCGAATACCAGCCCTTCGTTGAGCTGTATTCCGGTGGTAGCGCCGAGCTTGTGGTGAATGGCCAGGAGCAGGGCGCGAGGTTGATGACTTATGCGCCTAACGGAAGAGCGGAGGCCAAAATAGTTGTTGTGAACAACTTCGGATGCAACCGCGTAAGTTGACTCCCGATCTCGCCTATCGCTGAAAGGGTGAAGATAGCTGACTCTACGCGTGCAGACCGATTTCCCGGCCGAAGTAACCGGCAGCATTGCGCTGATTTCCCGTGGTTCGTGTGAGTTCGGACTGAAGGCCGCCCTTGCTGGCGCCGCCGGTGCTGCCGGTGCTGTCATCCACAACAATATCAATGGTACTCTCAGTGGCACCCTAGGTGCGCCTGAACGTCCGGAGGGCAGGTATCCCCCAACTGCGGCCATTCCGCAGGACAGCGGACTGGCAATCAGACAATTGGTCGCTGCTGGTGAGGTGATCGGCCGCTTGAATGTCAACTCCATCCTGGAGAACCGCACAACGTAAGTTCAAGACACCATACTCAGCCATTACCGTGGAACACTGCCTAAGTGGTTGATAGGATCAACGTTATCGCCCAAACCAAAGGCGGTGATCAGAACAACGTCCTTATGGTCGGAGCACACTCTGACTCCGTCGATGCTGGACCAGGCATCAACGATGACGGCTCCGGCACCGTCGGCATCCTAGAAGTCGCCCTCCAGCTCGCCAAGTATAAGACAAACAACGCGATTCGCTTCGGCTGGTGGTCCGCGGTAATAACCCCCTCCGGACCAATCAAGCCCTGCTTATTAAGTCTAAATAGGAAGAATTTGGCCTGCTCGGAAGCGAGTTCTACGTCAATACTACCGCGCCTGCAGAGCTTGACAAGATCCGGCTCTACCTCAACTTCGATATGATTGCGTCGCCAAACTACATCTACGGTATCTACGACGGTGACGGGTCAGCGTTCAACCTAAGCGGCCCACCCGGTTCGGCGCAGGCGGAGAAGCTCTTCGAAGACTTCTATGCTCAGAAGGGTCTCCGCTCTCAGCCGACGGAGTTCAGCGGCCGCTCAGATTATGGCCCCTTCCTTGCCGTCGGTATTGCGGCGGGAGGCCTGTTCACGGGTGCTGAGAACATCAAAACTGCGCAGGAGGCGGAATGGTACGGCGGCGAGGCTGGAGTAGCTTACGATAAGAACTATCATGCAGTAGGGGATACCGTCGACAATCTCAACATGCAGGCATTTTTGGTCAACACGAAGGCTATTGCGCACTCGATCGCGACATATGGAAGGTCGTTCGAGACTCTGCCGGCGCCCACGCGCAAGAGGTTCATCAAGAGGGACGTCGCGCCCGCGAAGAAGTCGGGATGTCATCACAAGCACGTGGAGCATGTGGAATTGTAAATGTTAGCGGGTGTGAGTGTAGTTCTGATGCAGCCTTTGCGTCCTCTTTAGCTTCGATTTGGGCCTGAACAGAAAGCTAGGGCTTAGAAAGTGCCGCTTCAAGGAATTCACCCATCATCAGGACATCGATGTAAACAGCACTTTTACGGCAGCATCAAATCCCTTTAGAGTGGGAGGATAATGATCATGCCTGAAGATGTATACGAAATATCCGATCTCGAGTCAGATGAGATAGTTCCCACATGACACTTCTTTGGGGCCTTCCATGAGGATAGCTGTTGTGTAAAACAGCGGCAACTACATGTACACAAAAGCAAATACCAAAAGTGCAGAGTCTTTTTTCCAGAGCTTCGCCAGGTTTGAGACGACAAGACTTGAAAGGTTGCACCATTTTGTATCCGCCCGAGCATCCCGTCATGCACCCCTTAACCACTCGGTCTCATTCTGCCCAGCCATCTGCGCAACAGCTCAACGCCTCTCACCAGCTCAAGAAAACCACACACACCGACTCGAACTCAACACACGATACCATTCGGCCCCGGTGCCACTCCCCAACAGCAACCATACGACTCCGGATCACCAGTCACGCAGCAGCGCGGCACTCCGCCTTTGCTCACACACCTCACGCTCTGCGTATCGGCGAACTTCGACCACTGGCCCCTCGTAATCCGCGTGCCGCGGTAGTAGTAGTCGCGGTCCGCGTAGCAGAAGCCGTCGACGTCGGCGTTGGTCTTGGACCCTTTGGAGCCGAGGTTCACCTGGGTGCAGCTGCACATCTGCCCGCGGGGGGAGGCGTTGTTCCAGTTCCAGAAGTAGCAGCAGGAGCTGCAGCCGTTGTTTGGAGATGGGTTGGTTGTGTATCTGAGGGTCCAGGGGGATTGGTTGTAGATTTTGCCGGCAGCTTGGACTGTGGAGATGTAGAGGAGGAGGCCCAGAGCGAGCAGGAAAAGCTTGGATGGGCGTGCTGCAACCATCGTGGAATGCGAGGCAAGTGCTGGAATAGTGGGATGGACTTGGTGCAGTATGCAAGTCTGGGGCAGAAACACTGGTGAAGTGTAAAGACACAGGCTGAAAAGAAGTCTTCCTCAGCCGGATGCCGGTATTTATGCTTGGATATTGACTTGCTAGCAGCCATCGAAGATGAAGCTATACACGCACGTTGAAACATGCCAACAAGCCACTTGTGTCTTGCATCTCGTATTCATTTACAATACGAATGAGGTCAGTGTCTCCCGCTCTGGATTCCGCCCCGGGTCACCGTCCGTTCGCCCCATCATCGTGCCGTGCGGGCCTGATGAGTTAAATGCAAGGAAGTATTGAGCCACAAGTGACTTTGCATGTGGCAAGAAGTGGGTTGAAGCTGCAAGGCCAGTTCGTAAAGACCGAATACGAGCGACATCGCCATGGCACGGAGGAGTTACTTGATCGATTCAGTTGCCCGGTATCCAGCCTTGCTGCCTCCCGTTGGCCTTGGAACCAACGTTCGTATAAGCAGTGCTTCCCTAACATAAGCCTCCTATCGGAGTGAACGACTGCGATTAAAGGACGTTGCACCGAGACCTGTTCCCTTAAAGTGAAGGGAGGTAGTCCTGGACAGACATGATAAGGCGATCAATCTAGAGATCACGAAAACCCCTCACTGAATACGAGAGTTGGCGCCAATCCGCAAAGCGAACCGACCCGAAAAATTACCAGCGCTTCTCAGCCAACTCAAGGTGCCGTCTTCAATATCGGAGCGTAAAGAGCTGGGCGCTGGGAGAAGGCGGCCATAAATAGAATCCGGACTGCAGGAACGCAGTGGAGGAGGGCTAGCAAACCAGCGATTAACGCACACAGCACACTTATAGAATGCACTGCAGGGCAAGGTTAAAGAAGCGCAAGAATAGAGCTGTCTGCATCTGTGATTTCGTGGACTTGGTTGTAATCTGACGAATGTATGCGACATGGAACCTCAAATGCACGTGATATGCAACTGTGCCGCCGTACTCGTATAGCAGAGCTTCCCCGATATGCAGCTAGATTGATGACTTGACTAGTAGAAGAGGAACCGGCCACGAGGAGACGTGTATCAATCCCTTTATAGAGTGACCGAGCGACCTCTAGAAATTTCAGGGCCATGTGTCATCGCAACAATTCCTACCTTAGCCAGCTGGGAGGGCTGACGGCTTGCATCACGTGCCAACGCGCACAACACGCATCGTGGCGTAGTCTTGGCAGCAGCGCTTGCTCTCCGCGTTAAAAGCCTGACGCGCCGTGGCATCTAAAGCCATTGCACTGCGAAACGGTCAATCAGCTGGATAGAGCCCTCTGCACTTAAAAAAGATACCGTCTACGCTTCGTCTCCATGTCGCTCAAGGATAACCAGTCTGACCTAAAGCTCACTCTGTTACAGATCCACAATGGCGGCCCCTCGGCTTTACTCAAGCAACTTATGGAGGTGCGGAAGTTCGAGGTCAAGCGGGAACGGTCTGAGAGATGGGCAGAGAACTTGCGGTTCCTAGATATCGGTAACCGGACTATTAGCGGAGAAGACTTAACATCTGAACCTCACCGAAAACGCCGTAGACTCTCAAAAGGCCGCCCGTATGTTGCACCGCAAGATGATGCCCGGCCTCTTTGTACCGTGCCCCTGACCCGTAAGCGCCCAGTGACACAGCAACTGCAATATATTGCCGTATCCTAGCCCTGGGAAAACGGGGCAGGATCATTGCCCACCAAATATCACTATCGTGTCTAGAGGCCGGATAATAAGCCGTGTGATGGCCGTTTTCCGGATAGCTACTTCGAGGGGACGATTCGAGTCGCGGAAGCCTTGGGGAAAAGGCTCTTGTGGATTAATTACGAGTGCATTCACCAGCAGATATCTGACAGGACAGAAGGCTTAAAGTTGGGTGTCCAAGCTATGGATCTGGTTTATAGCAAGTGCCACACTAACTTAGGCCTGCTTGAAGTTGTTGTAGAACGAAAAGATAAGATTCAGTGCCTAGCCGCTTTACTCAGTCCGCAACGATGCCGCCTTCAAACGAGATCTCAACCACATTGTTGCAAAACTGAAGCAATACAACCTCTGGAATAAGGTCTTTTATCGTCCGGACGCCGCTGTTCTACGCCAAGGTGGTGTCAGCCCATACAGCCACAGCGCCTTCGTTCATGAACGGTTATACGACATGCCGTCGCTCTATCACGGTGGCTATCTCAGCATTCTCGAGGAGTTTATGAACCGCTCCATCAAGAAGCAAGCGGACCGCATCCTCATCGTAGCAAACCGTAGCAAGCTCTAAATTCGCCTCGACGCCGCGGAAGAGTCTCCCTTAATCAAGTCATGGAAATATGGTTTAAGTACTTGTCTGCTCTACCGATTGCTACGCAGCGGTGTGATTTTACGCAACAATGGGGGATGTGATCTACAGAGCACGCTACTGGATTATATAAAACAGCACCAGTTCAAATTCGAATCTGCCGGACCCAAATGTCAGCTCTCTCTCACACAACACTGTCGTTGTATTGATCCAGAAATGACGTTCAACGGTCTGAAAACGCGAGGGTTGCTATATCGCCTGTCTGGATCCCCTATCTATTTGACCGGAAAGCAGTACGAAAAGATATACCGGGAACGCGAGAACTATTTCGAAGAAGAAACGTCTCTCACGTCGCTTGATACATGCATATTGCCGATGCTTGTTAAGAGGCAAATGACCACCACAAGAAAAAGAGCCTTTACGGGAACACATCTAGACTAGGCGACTTCCTCATCAACAGTATGAGAGCAGACAAGAGGGCATTGAAACCACGAAGACCAGTTTTATCAGTTGGATGGGGTTGGCAGTCGTGTTGGCAGTACTGCAACACAAACCACTTTACTTTGCATACCTAGGCGATACCGAAGAGCCTATCGGCATATTTGTTATTCCTGACAGCGAAATCCGGAGCTCTGCGGGGAGTTCTTCGTGGGTCCTTACAAGTTGGGATAATGGCGGCAAGGGCTCGCATATTGCCAACTTTGTGTCCATGCAAGTGACACGGAGTAACGCTTGTTCCAGCAACGCAAGACCTCTACGCCTTACTACGAAAGCGTAGATCAATGGAGTTTGGGATATGACGGGCTGTCGCAAAATTGCCTACATCTTTCCCTTTTCATTCCTGCAAAGCTAGCCAGATACTGATGCAGGAGTACTCGGTAAGACCAACAGCTTTCGTCTAATCATCATTTCTCGCTCTTAGATATAGGCTTACCGTACTCTGCTTTCCACCGAACCCCGTCCTTGATTGCGAGTTACGCGCGTTGCTGCTGGTCCAAGTCGAATTCTAATACCAAGGGACCTTGGAAGCCTTCCGTCTTCAAATGACGTCATCGCAAGAAATCCCACCTCGACCTCCAGTACCCACGACCGGCACAGCCAATGCAACAAACCCATGTCGATCGCCATCCCAATTTAGCACCCCGGTTTTCACTCATGGAAATGTGCTGAAACGCCGAATAAGATGCAGCCCTACCGACAAAGGCCCAGGGACATGCCGGCAAGATAACTCACATTCGACGTCACTGCGCCGGTCGTAATGCACCCTCCTCCCAACATGAAACGGCACGCATTCAATAAGAACGGAGCGCATGAGATGGTGCAACCATTTTCTGCCCATCGAAACTTGTCCACTGTCGCGTAAGAGCCACTATGAATCGCATTCATCCACCACCCGCGAAACCGAACAAGACTCGGCAGCTGCCTCCAAACACGATGAAGCCGCATGCACAACCGAACACAGCTCCAATCAGCAATGGTTATGTGCCCAGCTACGTGCCCAGCTATGTTCCGCCGCCGGAGCCGCCCAAACCCCCACCGGCGCCGCATGTAGAGGTAGAAAACAACGTCGAGATTCCGGAGCAAATCAACGTGGATGCGACCTCAGCGTCGAACACGGTGGAACGGATAATCGGTTCGCCTGCCCGCTCTGCACTATGCTGTACATGACGGCTGACCGTGCGCGATCGTGCCAGCAAACGCCGCCGTCCTCTTCCCGGGAGCGTCGGTTAAAGTCACCACTGCACTTGCTCCTCCTAGGCGATCCATTGGTAGTAGTCTTACCTTTGGCGCAAATGTCTGCCATGCGCTGCTCGTTGCGCCGAAGAACGAAGAGCGTGCTACAAGTCGATATAAAGTGCTGATAAAGGGGCCGGGAGTGTCAGGCACTAGGGATCATCCCGCGGAGGGACGACGGCAAGCTATTGCTGGCATGCTTGAGGAGTTGGAACGCAGGGTTGGCAAGGAATTGCTTGGGCCTGGAGCCTGATCATACTGTTGAATCCAGACATTGATACTAAGTAATAGATCGCAATAATGAGAATACATGAAGGCGAGGGCCAATTCTCACACCACGGTCGAGTTGCAGTATTAGATTTCCAAATGTCAGGCAGCCTTTACTTACGATTCGCGTGAAAAGATGCTCGGTTCTGACACACACGGGGTTACGCGAGTGCGTGGTTGCGTGGCTGGGCGCGTAAAGTGAGGCGGAGCACAAGGCGGAGCAACCTCCTCTGTTGTGCGAACGTCCCACCTCCATCTGCATAGGAAACAGCTTCGAAGACGCTTGCCTACCTACAAATGTCTCTCCCGCAAAGATGGTGCTCATGGTGGCTGTGATAAAAATTCCGGTAGCCGAGTCCTCCCATGAGGTCTCCAGTCAGTACACGTGTCCGAAATACCTCATATCAACCTCAGCGCTGCTGTTGCGTTGCCGCCTTATGTCAACTCGAATGACGCATATTTTGACCGTGTATCGACTGAGGATAAATTGAAAAGGAGTGGCTTCAGGAAGAGGACCCTCGGACGAAGAAACGGCGATGCCGAGGTCGGCGCAGTGAGCGGTTCCGATGCCCTTCAATGCAAGAAGAGATGGAATTTCCTCAGCACAGCTACTGGGCATCGCTATCCAGGCCAGCTAAACTTTGAAGCCGACGGACGAAACTGATGTGGGCTTGCGTAGAAAGCGTTCGGCGGCACGTTTTCGGGATTCAGGACTCGATTGCGCTTCACGAGACCACCGCAATGAAGACATGAACGGAACAGAAGCATTGCCCGCCCGCACAACTACTGCGCTAGACGGTGCTTGTGTCGAAGCTTCATGCACGATTTATCCTAATTCGTGACGCTAAGAGGACATTGCAGCCATTGGACTTCTTCCATTGGCTTCTCCGGCAACGCGCGACCACGTCAATCACGCATGATGGGAGCCTCAACTCCAAGGGCCCTCTCAGCTGCGACACGGGATTATTAGCTGTCACAACGGACAGGCGCGCGCCTCTCATTCCGCGCCTGAGCGACGGTGTTTCGAGCATGCATTCATTACGCGCGCCTTGATCATTCGGAGCAGGAACCGGCGCCATGGACTGGTCACTAGCGGAGCAGGCCGAGGCCGTCACCGACGTTGCAGCAGGTCTGGAAGTCTTCAGGAACGAGATACCGGACGCTGAGGCCGAGATATCCGGAAGTATAACTATCTTGCTGGATATAGCAGGAGCATTGCGTGCGCTGCACAGAGAACTGGACCTGGACCTTGCCCGATATAGAAGACTACTAGGAACCATTGAACGCGATCTAGATCTGGTGATGAGAAGCCTCGACTTGACCCTGAGTGCTGTCAAAGGCATGTTCGGCCGTTCGGCACAACGCAGATACAGGACGGCGTATGCGGGGATTCCCCTGTACCCAGAGCTATGGGACGATCTTTGCAGAGAGTTCGAGATTGATGAGGGTCTCTCGTTGCGCCCTCGGCTGGAAAGGTATCACTCCTTTATAAGGGGCATTATTTATGCTCTGAGAGGAATTGTGCCAGAGGAAGACATGAATTACCTCCGGAACCGGATCAATTGGCTCCTAGGACGACAGGAAAGTCAAGAGTTGGAAATCCCATTCAATCAGCTATCCATAGCCCCCCCGGAACCTAGGACACCTACAAGTCCGCTGATCTATCAAACCTACCGACATGTTAATCCTCCAACGCCACTTCATCCGCCATTGCCAGGAGGCTGGAGTTCTTCTTATTTCCCTGCGCAAGCGCCGTACGTACCTCCGCAGGTGCCTCGACCGCCAGGTATACCACCGTCGCTATCAATATCAACCGATTCAGCGGAGACCTATTCGTCGATGCCCACCATCTCGACTCAATCTTCCAACAACAACAATGATAATCACCGGCCGCGGCATTGGGCTCGCAAGATCTTTGATGGGCGTCACGGCGCCACCAGATTCCGAAACACGGCCGGTCAGGCCAACAAATGTCTTGGAAGACACGAGCCAGCTGCATATGAAGAATTACGCACCGGTGGATTCGTCAAGGTCTTCGATGATTCTTTTGATGGCGGAGAAACGAACGTTGCAATATATTGGCGCCCTTCTGATCACCGAGCAAGGGTCCTGTACGTAACCAGAGAAAGAGCCCGTGTCGTGCACTGTTGTATGCCCTTGACCGCTCTGTGCGCCAGACGAGCGGAGTGCTGCCTGCAGCTGTGTCGCATCAGCCGCGAAGACGGCGAGTTGGAATTATGGGCGAACCTTCGATTTCCTACATTCGAAAGAATGGTCCTTTTCTACTTGACTTTCGTAGCGATGAAGCGGCAGGATTGGACACCGCCACACCAGGGCCTGAATGACTGGTTTCCGGGCGAAAAAGAGGAGTTCGGCGGCGTCACTGAAGACGACGGCTACCAGCACGCCTTCAGGATTTGGAGGGATAGGGACTCTGGATGTGTTAGACTTGAGGCGACCGCCCACCGCGGGCCTATGAAGACCACACCGAGTAAGCCATCCAATTCAGAATCATTTCGCAAAGGTGGCCTGCGATGCTAATAGATCAACAGTCTGGACAGCTTTCGTTACGCAGTATATCGGCTCAAGGACCTGGATGACGCGCTTGGGTTCGAAAGTGATTGAGTTTATGGATCTTCACCCCTACGTTTTCACGAACGGCTACAAGCCACCGCGCGGCTTGGGCGGAAGATTCGAACTCAGATTTTTGACCCGCCATGGTACGGCTATCATACGGAAATATTCCTTGACTGGAGCTGACGCGTGATACAGATTGCGATTGCTTCATGGAGACTTTCCAAGCAATCAGGATCAGGTGATCCTGTAATATCTTTGACGGCCGCTACGTTTTGGTTGCAACCACGGGACCATTTGAGGGCTTTAACGAAGTTACGACCATTGCACTGATGATAGATACCCTACTCCCTGGTTCAAAAGTTGGTCACAGCATAGCATTTCGGGAGGATAGTGTGCTTTGAGCATCGTTTGCAGTCAGAGGATCGTTACACAGTTGGAAGTTTGACCCTTTAGCGTGAACGAGCAGTGAACTGTACAGTACGCATCCATACACATACGCTTTTGTATTTGCACCGCTCATCACGGCGACTTGTTTCTATCCGCGAGCTGCACCTGCCGCGTCGACAGAAGAAACGCTGGCGGACGTCGAAGACCCTGTGCTGTGGAGGGCCGTGCGCCCGTCTGTCAAACCGCAGAACATTTCTGACACAAAAAGCTGTCGGAGCCACCTCCATGCCCGCGAGAATATAAATATTGCGCAACGCTATATCCATATCTTGACTCCTCCTCAAGCACTACTCAAGATGACGAACGTTGTCTCCAATCAACCTTCGCTCAAGGCGGAGGATGCTCTTGCGGGAATGGCGCATTCGGAAGCCCACTACTTCAACAGGTGCGTGAGCATGCACAGCTCTATCTTCGAACAATAAGGCTAATGCGCGCATAGCTACAATCATCACGGTTCGTGATGTGCTGGTGTCTACCGAGCTCACTGCTAATAATTGACCGGCAAGGCATCCATGAGGAAATGTTGGTGTGTAGGCAATATTCTGGATCTTCAGCCCTGTTTACTGATCCAAGTGTCCTTGAACAGAAAGATGAGGTCCGGACGAAGTCATACCGAGACGCGATATACCAGAACAAGCATCTCTTCAAGGACAAGATTGTACTGGACGTAGGATGCGGTACATCCATCCTCAGCATGTTTGGAGCCCCTCCCAGACACCACGACCCTCTACCGCTCACACTACGCCTTGCACGGGATGCAGATCTGACAAGGTGAACCTGCAGGTTCGCTGTGAAGGCCGGTGCAAAGCATGTCATCGGCGTCGACATGTCCACCATAATCGAGAAGGCGCGGGAAATCGTGGCTATCAATGGCATGTCTGACAAGATCACGCTGCTACAAGGGAAGATGGAGGAGGTTGAACTACCGTTTCCGAAAGTCGACATCATAATATCGGAATGGATGGGCTACTTCCTGCTGTACGAGAGCATGTTGGACACCGTGCTCTACGCCCGGGACAAATACCTGACGAAAGACGGCCTGATCTTCCCGGACAAGGCGACCATCTTCATGGCTGGTATCGAAGATGGCGACTACAAGGAGGAAAAGATTGGCTGTGCGACACTTCTTGCTGTGATGTTGACGGGAGGCTAACACTGACAGTTTGGGACAACGTCTGGGGCTTCGACTACACCCCCCTGAAATACACCGCCATGACCGAGCCCCTAGTCGATACCGTCGACATGAAAGCCGTTGTGACCGATCCGACCGCAGTCTTCACCATCGACCTCTACACCGTCAACCCCCAAGACCTCGCCTTCACCGTACCCTTCTCCCTCACCGCCCGACGCAACGACTTCGTGCACGCTATAATCGCATGGTTCGACATCGACTTCACTGCCTGCCACAAGCCGATACGGTTCTCTACGGGTCCGCACACCAAGTACACCCACTGGAAGCAGACGGTGTTCTACCTGCAGGATGTTCTGACGGTGGAGGCGGGAGAGCGCATAGTGGGCGAGCTGGATAGCAGGCCGAACCAGAAGAATAAACGCGATCTCGATATCAAGATCAGCTACCAGCTCGAGACTCAGGATCCTCATCGGCAGGCGTACGGGCAGGGGGAGTACAGGATGTGCTAGTAGATTTGGGGGACGTCTTTGGCGCGGCATTGATAGCGGCGGAGTTACATGAAACGGGGTTAATGCCGCTGACTGGCAAGCACGATTTGCCACTCCCTTTAAAGAGGATCCGTGACGGCTACACGTTTGAGCGAAGTGACTGAGGACCATCGTACTGAGAGTCGCGAGAGAATTCGCAACTGCCTTCGATTGAGGCATGGGGCACGCGTAGTAAAACTCCTTATAATCAAGTAATTCTAAATCTCAGTGGTAGACTATATTCCTTCACAGCCACCAGTACTCCGTACTGTCACGAACAAAGGCACATAGCCCCCCTGACCCAACCATCTGTTGAACGCAGCTGAATGCAGCCAAGACTTCCGCTCCGCTTGGCTGGGGCGGGAACGCGTAAGCGGAGATGTGACACCATCACTCATGCGAAACCACCAGAGAGCCTCCTTCCGGTGTCAAAGCGGTTGCTCGCGCCATTGCCAAGGTCCTCTAACGTTCGAGAGGTCTCAACGGGCTCTTGCAAAGAGCAGTCTCGTTCCGTTTTCATTGGCCTCGAGTGCAGTCAGGTATCGGCATGACGCCCAGCCACTTGGCGGACGCACGCGGAAGCAGCATCCTGGTGATTTAATAAGATCTAACGTAGATCACGCAAGCTGCATTTGAAGTGATTGTGATGTAAAAGCTGCGAGAGCCCAGTGTTGGGTGGAACAATACGCGCGACAGGTAACTTCCAATTGCTCGTGCAACAGCGCACTTCAAAGGGACCCCCTTGGATATCCGGAGCCATGACAGATATAAAGCATCTCACTGACAAAGAGGTCGAGGCGTTCCTGGATGACCTCGATAAGAACAAGGATGGAGTCATCGACTACGCCGAAGTCGAGAACAAGCTGGACGAAGTTCACAGAGAGATCGCACCGACACCAAAGCCGCATCACCTGCACTATGAGGGCAAAGAAGACGAGCAGCGCCATCAATTCCTGCGCAGCATCATTGGCACAGACAAGAGCCGGATACCGAGACCCGAATTCGCAAGGACGGTGAAAACATGGGATATTCCCTCCCTGGAGCAGGAGAAGAAGCAAGAGCAGGACCAGAAAGAATACATGCGATCAATGCCCCTGCACCGCCGCTTCCGCTCCTACTGGGCAGTTCACGGGCCCGAGTGGATGTTTCTGGCACTCGTTGTGGCTATGCAGCTCGCCTTTGGTATCTGGCAGCTCGTCAAGTATCTTACCCATCCGCTCTTCCGCCCAGCATTCGGTTGGGGCGTTGTGGTAGCAAAGACCTCCGCAGGCGTGCTGTACCCAACCTTCTTCTTCCTCATCCTCTCCATGTCCAGGTGGTTCTCGACATGGCTTAGGAGGTCGCGCCTCATATCCCGCTTGGTTAACTTCGACCTCTCGCAGGCTTTCCACGTCAAAATATCCATCGTCGCCTTGGGGTTCGCCACGCTCCATGCCATCGGCCATCTGACGGGATCATTTTTGTACGGCAGCAGGCCAGCACAGCAGGACGATGTCGCGGCTGCTCTGGGACCTGATGCCGTTCCTCGGCCGTACAGGCGCTACGTTGAATCGCTTCCAGGATGGACTGGCCTTGTAGCATTTGGCCTGTTCTGGACTCTTGCAGGTCTAAGCATGCCATATGTGCGGAAGAAAAGCTATGAGCTCTTCCAGCTTGGTCATTTGCTCATGTTTCCGATCATTGGGTTGCTTTGCGCGCACGGAACGGCCGGTTTGTTTCAGTGGCCCATGTTTGGGTATTTCCTCACTCCTATCTTGAATAGCAAGAGCACGAACGCGCTAATTGCCATCGCAGGTACTTTCTTGCTTTCCCTACTTTGCTCGTGATCTGTGAGCGCACAACTCGGACCGTGCTCGGCTTCTACAAGATCCCAGCAAAGCTTGATGTGCTTGACCAGGCGACGCTTCGTATCACTGCCACGATCCCAGAACGCCGTATCTGGCCATACAAGGCCGGCCAGTACATCTTCCTTCAAGTCCCCAAGATCTCGTACTTCCAATGGCATCCCTTCACCATCTCAACCTGTATCGGGAACCAGATGCAGGTCCACATCAAAATCGACGGCGACTGGACGAGTAAACTCGCAGAACTGGGCAAAGAAGGCGAATCCATTCCCATCAAGGTCGGCATCGACGGTCCCTTCGGCGCACCCGCGCAACGCTTCTATGACTTCGACCAAAGCATCATCGTCGGCGCCGGCATCGGCGTGACGCCCTTCTCCGGGATCCTCGCCGACCTCCAAGCACGCGACAAGGAGCTGCATCGAAAACACGGCGGACATTCCGTCTCATCCGACGTCGAAGTCTCAGAAAAGCGTCATTCCTCCGACAGCCCCGCGGCCCCACCCGTCCGCCCCCACGGCGACTACCGCCGCGTGGACTTCCACTGGATCGTCCCCGAGCGCAACGCCCTCCTGTGGTTCTCCGACCTCCTGAACACCGTCTCCCGCTCCATTGCCTCGCACAGCCAAGACCCGAACCCGCATCTCGACATCCGGATCCAAACCCACGTGACGCAAAAACGCACGCAGATCTCCACGCACGTCTACCGCTGGCTGCTCGAGCTGCACCGCACGGAATCGCACCCGGAGTCGCCGCTCACGGGGCTGATCAACCCGACGCACTTTGGGCGGCCGGATCTGGGGCGCATCATGGATGAGCATTACGAAGACATGGTCAAGTTGTTGACGGCGAGGAGGGAGGGCACGGATGCGGAGGACGGGGAGATGAAGGTTGGGGTGTTCTTTTGTGGGGCGCCGGTTATTGGGTATCAGCTTGCGGACAGGTGTAGGCGGCTGACGGCGAGGGCGAGGAATGAGGGGAGGGAGATTGAGTATTTCTTCATGATGGAGGTGTTTGGTTGATTGCGGGAGGTCTAGACAAAGCAAAGACGGGTTGGATCATGGTTTACAGAGGACGGCCTATGTAGACGCCTGTTTTGGGGTGGCAGCCCGGAGTCATTTATGTCAACCTGTCAGTCCCCCTCAGAGCCATAATTTCCTGGCCATGCTTTCTCGAACGGTAAATTCAGTTTTTAATATGTACTGCGTCTTTATCAATACCTTAAGACCATTGGATGGAGGTTTTTACAGCAAAAGCCAAGGAAGATTCTATAGCCTTTTCTCCAGTGCCCCACAGTCGGAACACCATGCATAGCTTTTCGAAAGGTATAAGGCCGCTGCACTCCATCCTTCTCACACAGGTCTATCGTCACGACGAACAGTGGACGCGCAAGCTGGAATTGTGTCACTATGGTTTCGCACTGGATGATTGCAGCTTTGGGTGAATACATCATAAGAATGAGCTGAGAAGCGCAAGCAAGATGACTTCCACGAATAACTCCTGATAGTGCTCACTCTAGACTCCCGCTTCTACTCATAACCTGAACGGAGTACACCGCAAAGACATTCAGCGCGATGGTTGCTTCGACATGACAGAGACGTAGCCGTGGTAGATAATGCAGCGCGTAAGCGCCTCAAAGCGATGATCGCAATTCCTGCTAGCCCCGGACGCTCTTTCCAGTAAAGCAAAACCGTTCCTCCTCACCGTAAAACGCCATGCAACTCCGTTAGTCCCACAACGCCATACCCAGGTATCTCCCCGCATGACTCCTCGGCGCCCTTCTTCTCACTCATCTAACCAACCTGCCCCCTTTTCTCTCCCACCACCCCGTCAGCCCGACGTCCCGGCTCCAGCCACTCCTGCGCCATCGCTCCCTCCATGCAACACGCCCTGCGCGTCGTTCTCGCGATACAAGTGCTGAAACACCTCCGAGTTGTCGTCGACAAGCCAGTGCAGATCTTCAGCCTCTGGACGCATGGTGGCAGCGAGTCCGTTGCCCGGCTTGGGGTAGTGCGCTGGCGGGTCGTCGGAGTAGTGGTCCGCTTCTTGCTCGTATTCGGCGTCGGCTTCGGCGTCGGCGGAGGGGTCTGGGGCGGGAGCGGGAGCTGAGGTAGGGTTGGTTGTGGTGGTGGGAGCGGCGCTGGGGGTGTTGAGGGCGGGGTCGAGAGGCGGAGGGGGCTGTGGTTGTGTGGTTGTTGATGTAGATGCGGGCGCGGTGACGCCGGGAGCTAGGGAGGCGACGGAGGTGTAGTTGGTTGGTGGTGGTGCGGCGCTGGAGGGCGCGGGGGTGGGTATCGGGTTAGCTGTGGGCTGGGATGGCTCCTGAGGGAGTGCGGAGGGCGCGTCTGGGAGCTCGTCTGCGCCCGAAGTCATGGGAAGTCGGGATTTTAGGTCCGGCGGGAAGAGGGCTAGAGACGGATGTGCCGCGCTTGCTTGCACTAGGAGAGATATCAGGGTTGCCGGAGGGAGAGTCGAGAAGTAGGCGCGTTTCTGCAAGGAGTCGCGTCAGGACGGATGCGAATGTAATGGGCTCGGTAGATATGGATACCTCGTCTGCCGTCAAACTATCTCCCGCTACCAGTCCACCTACAGTCTGTGCCACAGCGGCTGCAGCAGTCGCTTCCCTCGATCTCACACACGCCGCACAATACCACTCCGCCTCCACCTTCTGCACCACTTCCCTCGGTATCGGTGGATCATGGCAGTACTGGTGATACGGCGTATTACACGCGTCGCAGAACACAATCATGTTGTTATTCGGGCTCGTGCCCCTCAAACAAACCGTACACAGACTCGCCTCGCTGGGTTTGCGATTCGTCTTCCTCCTCTTCTTCGCCGAGTCCGCAGACGGCGACGGCAGCGTCGGCACATACTGCGTTGGCTTGTTGACCGCCCGCCCCGAGCGCGTCGCGGACGGTAGGGGGGTGTAGGAGTTGCTGACGTCGGAGTCGTTGGCGTCGTCGCTGACTTCCTCACTGTTTGCTTTTTTCCGCTTGCCGCCTCTGCCGCCTCCTCGTCCACGCCCGCGGCCACCCCCTCGCCCGCGTCCGACCGCTGGACTGGAGGAAGCTGCTGAAGACGATGCGCCGTTCCCTCCGACGGCGGCTTTAGTCTTCGCCGTGGCGGAGCCTCCCCTTGAGCGGCCCCTACCGCGCTTGCTGGCTGTAGGCGCGGGTGGCGGCGTAGCGATGCTTTCGGTTGTGACCATGCCCTTCAGCACCTGTTCTCGCGCGGCTTGCCATCCTTGGGTGCCGAGCGCGTTGGCGGAGACGCGCTTTAGAATTTCTGCTGTTGAGGCGGAATACTGTGGGAAGGGGGATGCAGCGCTTGTGAAGCCATTGGAGGTGTTGGGATTGGCATTTTGGTAGTCAGACAGTGCGTTCGGTGGGGGGTTGGTGGGAGGTTGCGATTGCGGTGCGGAGGTGGATGCGGCGGGTTGCGGAGACACACTGGCAACGGCGGAGTTGTCCATTGCAGGCCGAGCTGCTCGAGCGAACTGTGGATCCTTCAATTGGGGCCCCGAAGCAAGCGATGGTGCTTCGGCGAACGATTGAGGTTGGGCGCAATGGAGGCGCAGTGGAGATTCAAGCCTCACCCGGCGCATCTCGTTCAAAAAGCGATTCATGCGCCCTGCCGAACGCCGTGCCGCCGCGCTCCAGATCGTCTCACCACCGTCGCTGGATGAGGATCCACAACAGCAAGGTACATACACATCACCTCAGCACGCACTGGACAAGAGTCGAGTTTCCGAGGCTGATCTTAGATGTTGGAAATTTTCGATCTATGCCACTACACCCTCGCTTTTCAGACTCTCTATATCTGCCCCGCTCATGCCCACAACATCCTTCAAAATCTCCTCCGTGTGCTGACCTAGAGTTGGCGGCGGCATCCTCACACTTGGCTTCGAGAAGGAGTACTTGACTGGCGTATTGACCAGCTTCATTGGCCCGCAAGCAGGGTGCTCCACCTCCGTGACCATATCTCGCGCCAGCACTGTCAGACACAGTTAGTTCTCCTCAACACTAGACCATATCCCATTGTGCATTGCGGCGGGACCTACCATGCTCATGGCTCAGCGTGCCCTGAATATCATTGATAGCAGCATACGGCATGCCACTCCCTTCAAACTCGTCCAACCACTCCTTCGTCGTTTTCTTGACCGTCTCCCCTTCTAGTAACCTCTCCAGCTCATCCCGGTTCTTCACGCGCACAGCGTTCGTCACGAATCGCTCGTCTTTTGCCAGCTCCGGCTTCCCGAGCTTCTCGCATATGATCCCATACAGCCTGTCGTTGCCGCCTCCAAGCAGGATATCTCCATCCGCCGTCTTGAACGCTCGATACGGCACAATAGACGGATGGGCTGTGCCCCACCGCCCCGAGTCTTTCTGGCCGCTGATGAGCGCGGAGCTCGCAATGTTGGCGAGAGTGGCGACTTGGCAGTCGCTAAGCGCGACGTCGATTTGTTGCCCTTTGCCTGTTCTTACGCGTCCTAGTAGTGCCGCCATGATGGCGTTAGAGGTGTAGAGGCCGGTCGTCAGGTCCGTGACTGCAACACCGACTTTAACTGGTGGGCCGTCGCGCGAGCCGGTGATGTGCATGAGGCCCATCTCCCTGTAGAAGGTGAGCACCATTGCATGATAGCCTTGCGCCGCTGGGAGATTGGGACTTACGCCTCCACCATCACATCGTAGCCCGCACGGTTGCTGTAGGGCCCGGTCTGTCCGTATCCCGTGATGCTCGCATAGATCAGGCTCGGATTGACCTTTGAAAGAGTCTCGTAGTCCATGCCATATTTCTTCAACGCGCCAGGCAGGTAGTTCTCGACGAGTACATCGCAGTCTTTGGCCAGCTTGTGCAGAATGTCGACACCTGCGGGATGCGCGAAGGACAGGCCCAGCGACTTCTTGTTGCGATTGACCTGCGCACCAAAGTGAGCGCACGCTTAATATTCCCGGTGTTCGGTGGTCATACGGAAAGGAAGTATGCGCTCTCTCCTGGCCCACTCTTGCTGCTATCGGTGTATTTGGCGTACGGTGGCCCCCATGCCCTCGTATCGTCACCTCGGGTCGGATGCTCTATCTTGATGATCTCCGCACTGCAGTTGGTGTATGGTCAGCCCTTATGAATCGCCCAAGACAACCGCAAAGGAGGCGGTGCGCCGTACTGGGCTTCCTGTTGCGTACCCAAGGTCTCCAAGAATCTGCGTGCAGTATGGCTGGATAGAGTGTCAGCAGGCGGTCCAAACTCAATCTGCGCGGTCACATACACCAGCCAACACTCTTGTCATATCCAGCACCCTGATACCAGCCAGCGGCAGTGTTGCGACATCAGCAGCTCCGGGCGCTGCTGTCGCCAGACATCTCCGCCTACTACTCGACGCCGGCTTAACGAAGCCATTGGTACGCGCTGTCCTACACACGAGGCCCCACGGCCGTACTCTGCTGGTTGCCATTGCTCTGAGGGAGCTTCATGGTGTTTACGGGGCATCACGCCTTTTGAAGCTCTCCAGCTCCCGAGTTTCGGCTGCTTCTGCCCCGCGGCATGCCCCGCGAAGCCGAGGCTTGCTCGCCGCCCTGACGTCCGCGAAGTCGCACCAACAAGCATCTCACCCATCAGCCCTCTAGACCTAGTAGGCTACCCTCATCATGTTCACAGGCATCGTGGAGACAATAGGCAGTACGTGCTCTTTCCCAGCGTCTCAGCAACGACCTCAGCTAAGCTAACTCTAGCAAGCCGTATCCGCCCTCGAGAAGCAGGATGACACCTCCAGCGGCGGCGGCGGAACCTCATTGACAATATCAAACGCCGAAGAAATACTCGGGGATGCGCACCTCGGCGACAGCATAAGCATCAACGGTACGTCCCGTCCCTCCCTGTTCCCAAAGCTCCTTCCCCCCACGGCCTCCCCTTTTTCCACCCCCCACAAGCGCACCTCCAACCCTCACCCCCAGGAACCTGCCTCACCATCACCGAATTCGACACCTCCTCCTTCAAAGTCGGCGTCTCGCCCGAAACCCTCCGCCGCACCAACTTAGGCTCCCTCACGAAGGGGAGCGCCGTAAACCTCGAGCGCGCCGTCTCCGCCGCAACCCGCATGGGCGGCCACTTCGTGCAAGGCCACGTCGACACCATCGCAACCATCGCCTCCATCACGCCCGACGGGAACGCTCTAACCTTCCGGCTTTCCCCACGAGACAAGAGCGTGCTACGCTACGTGGTCGAGAAGGGCTATGTGACGCTTGACGGGGCGAGCTTGACGGTCACGAAGGTGGAGGATGCGAAGGGGGAAGAGGGGGGGTGGTGGGAGGTGATGCTGATAGCGTATACGCAGGAGAAGGTCGTCATGGGGCGGAAGAAGGAGGGGGAGGACGTGAATGTCGAGGTTGATATGGTGGGGAAGTATGTTGAGAAGAGCGTCGCGGGGTATTTTGAGGGGCAGGGAGGTGGGGAGATGCCGGTGTTGGAGAAGATGGTGGCGAGGATGGTGGATGAGCGGTTGAAGGGGCTGGGGGTGAGGTGAGGACGACGCGTTTGTGACAAGTAGTCGGTGGGATATAGAGTGGATTAATGCAAGGATATCACCGCCAGGCCTTCGCAGGGCTTGAGGAGCTCCTTGTACATAGTACGAGCAAGCGGCTCAAGCAGAAGTGTGATGGCCGAGTGAGGTTCGGAAAACTGATTATGTCGGTTTTCCAAGCAACACATCCATGATTTAACAGCTCTCCACCGCATGCCACGGCCATCCCAAGGGTACACAGTAAGATTGTGATGGACACCAGTAAGCACGGGGATGTTTGAGGTAACAGCTAGTCCACGTTGATCAGAGAACTTTGGTTACTAAGTATACTGCGGCCCAGGTAGATTATGAAGGCATTACACGACAAAGAGTGCCGCAGCGATGTCTTATCAACGTCCCAAGACGCTCTTCCGAAAGTAGGCTTTGCTCGCCAATCAAATGCTGAAAACGCCTCGCTATGCATGGTGGATCAAAGTAGAAGTTGCTCCAATCAAGATGCCAACGTCAGACGCCAAAGATACGGGCAGCATACCAGCGTGTCGCTGTGGAAAACATGATAACGAAGTTACGCGAGTGTAAAGGAAGACCAGAGCGACATGCAGGGAGGGCGTCTGGATCAAAAATAAATAAAAAAGAATGCCGTGATCGAAGTTTGTACCTTTGCCATTGCACAGAGGTGCAGAAAGAGGACGCCAGACCGGTATAGAGAGATGTGCAGCAGGGTATATTGCGGCAGGCAATACTAAATCAATCATACTCTTCTCCTCCTTCATCATCATAGTTCTGTGCGATTGCTCCAAATTCGTCTTCGTCTTGACCCTGGCTCACGCCCCACATACTCTCGTCAGCCCCCAGAGCCCTATGGATCTCAGCGTCTTCGTCGACCTCTTCTTCGTCGTCAGAGAGCTCCTCTTCTTCTTCCGGGGGATCTTCCTCAATTTCAATCGGCTCGTTCTGCGAGTTCGGTGGCCGAGCAAGTTGCGCGGGTTGGGTAGCCTGGACCGCTTGTGTGGCAGGCGGAGACACCGGCGCCTGAGGTCTTGGAGACAGCGCTGGAGAAGCCGAAGGACGGCGAAGCTGACCGATATGCGCAGCGAATGGAGATGGGGATGCGCGCGCTGGCTGGGCTTGTGTAGCCTGTGAGGCGGGAGGTGTACGCTTGTAAGCAAAGTCGGCTAGCCTGGGCAGTCTCTGACGCGGTGTGCCACCCGCCGCAGATGACCCCTGTGACGGGGCTGGACTCATGCTGGTTCGTTGCCAGCCTGCTAAGCTGGGTCGACGGCTGCTCGCTCGACTGGATACAGAAATGGCAACTGACGCAACGCTCGGTGCCGGGCTCTGCGATGCTGCTCTGCTGTCCTGAGTTGAGGTCTGCGGCGATTTGCCCGGTTCTTTGGTCGTCGTATCCATCTCTTTGAGGCGTTCGTAGTTGATGAATCTGCTGTAGCCCCTCGCACCGCGCTTCTTCAGCATGCGCTCTGTAGCCTCAGCCGGACTCTCAGGAGGAGTCTCGCCCGCGACGATGTTGGGGTCACCGGCGGGGTGGAATTCTCTGGGCTTCTTATCCTTTGCCTTCTTGTCCTTGCCACTCGCCTCGTCTAGGCGCTTTTTAAGATTTTTTCGTTGCTGGGCCCGGAGCCAGTCCTCGTTGTGCGTCACCCAGATGCGCTCTTTGATTTCCTTCTCCGCCTCGCTGAGTATGCAGTTTGCTATCTCCGGATCGTCGTCGAACTCGTCGGTCTTGATAGTCTCCTCCATGTTAGCGGCATCTGTGCGCAACTGGTTGGCAAGTGCCGCAGACTGTTCTCTGTACTTTGACAGCTTGGCCTCTTCCATGTTGTTTACGGCATCCTCACTCGTGATGATCTGGTTCATCTCCGTCTCAAGCTCGGCTTCGGCAAGGAGATCTTCTTCGGTGAGCTCTGGCACTTCGGGTGCTGTCTTGCGCTTCTTGTTGGCCGGGCCGGGCGGCCGACCCCTCTTCTTTCTAGGGGCCTCGGTTTGCTCGCTTGCTTCCAGCTCAGAATGGGCGGAGTTTGCGGCTGCGAGGAGACTTGGATCAATAGGTAGCTCAGGGATGACAAACCCATCCTTATCCCGCCGAGGTTCACGGGGTGCCGCTGAAGATGCGTCTGTAGCGCCAGCCGCAGCCTGCTCATCAGGCTCGGTTTCCACTTCCGGCTCCTCCCCCAACTCCTGGACACGTCTGCGCTTTCTCTCCCTCTCCTCACGTTCCCTTCGCTTATAGACAGCCGGAGGTTCAATGTTCGTTTTCAACCTCTCTCCATACTCCTGGAATTGCTTGACCGTCAGCCCCGCACTCTGCGTCCGCTGGAACTCGTCAATGCGGCTTCTGATCGTCATGTCTGCAACTTTCACAGTGTACACCACCTCTCGGACTGTCCTGCGGAAGTTGTTCATGCCAGCTGCCAGGATGATGCAGGCGCCACAAAGGCCGGCGGGATGCCGCCCGGTGACCATCCAGTCGCGGTTCATTCGCTTGAGGATTCTTGCAGCGTCGTTGACAACTTCTCTTTCCATGTTGCCGAACTCAAGCTTGCGTGCGTATTTCTTGATGAGCTCTTCGACGTCAATGATCGGAACATCTCCTGCCTTCTTCTCATTCTGCATGAAGAGGCACTTCTGCAGATCTCTGAACAGCTCGCCCAACTTATACACGTTCACTTGTATCTTTTCGGCAAAGTCCATAAGCAGGACCTTGTTCCTCGGCTGTTTCCTGCAGGCAATGTACAGGCAGACGGCCGCAACAGAGCGAGGGCGTCGCCCTGTCGTGAAGTTGCCGTTCAGGGCGAGCTGGTATATGCGATGTGCTTGCGTAGGGATCGGATCGTTGATTGAAAGGACGGCGGCGAGCCTTCGGATTTCACTGAGACCTAAAGCAATATTAGTTACCTAGTCAAAGATCAAGTCGGGATACAGGAACCCACCATTGGCCTCCCCCTGTCCCCTACTCTCCCCACCCAGCCCCCGAAGGCCAGTTCCCATAGTCTTCGCATATCTCTGGCCTTCACCAACGTGCGCTCCTTGGACGACGGCCGCTCCTCCTGATGTCTCCCCGAATGTCACCTCTGATACCACATTGGACTCTTCCAATAGCTTGGCGCAGTTCCCGCACACCAACTGGCCGTCTTCCTCGACCGGATCTGGATTGGCACAACATTGTTTTCTTCGTTTGCTGGAGTTGGCGGCTGGAGCGGAAGATGTTGCAGTGGAAGACGGCTTCTGGGACTTGGTGGGTTCCTTTTGAGCGGGCTGGCGGTCTCTGATGGGGGCTCGAGGCCGAACGGTAGACATGTTGGAAGACTGTAACAGCGATTTTGTTTGGACTGGAAGGGAAGGTTGAAAGGGAGGTGGTCAAGTGTAGGTGAAGGCCAGAGGAAGCCGAGCAGCCCAGAAACGACAGCAGCAAGTAGGAAAGGACTATAATAGCTCATATCTCTTCATCGTCCAATGTCGCATCAATAGCAACAATAGCGGTGCGAAGTGAAATGCGCAAGGCGGGTGTTCGAGGAATAGGCGAACGCTCGGTGCTGAAGAGTCAGAGTGGGTTGAGGTGGTGGAGCTGCGGTTTTCGGTACCAGAACTCCCCCTCGCTAGTCCGGCATATCCCGAAGTGCGCTGTTCGAGTCCGGCTGAGTTCTTCTTTAGATACTATCCGTATTACGTTGCGCTGCACTGCAACAGCGAATCTATCCATCTTCCGATGCGCATCAGGTAAAAGTTATAGTCCCAGATCGGTTAACTTTCCGTAATGGCGAGGAGGGAGATGTTCGTATCTAACAAATGCCATCCTTCTGCCCTCATGCTCGTCTTTGCCTCCGCAGGTCGCTTCATGTATCACTACTCATGATCTTGCAATCGCCTGGACTTTCCGGCCATACTGCCATGAGATGTTCAATGGGTTGCCATGTTAACAGTTTCTTTATAACTCAGGAGAGCTTCCCGGTCCGGTGGGGGTGTTTCATATACGAGGACTTCAAAGCTGGACAGTGGACGCTATGTGACGGTGAGCTGTATATAGTTGCCTCCAGTCTTGTAATTGAGTGCCCCAATGTAACGCGATATTTGTGAGTCGGTGTCGAAGACATCCTGAATTCGATTGAGTGTAGAAGCGCGAATCTATAGACTGCATGTCCAATTTCAAGTCTTCGCTTGACACCGGATGATCCGTTGTATCCAACTGGAAGCGCTTATTGAGCAGTTTTTGCATGAGTTGGACCACTCAACGCTCGGCCGCGTATGGCGACGCAGAGTATCAGACGTCGAGCCTACGGGGAAGGAATGAGATGTCTTTAGGAAGTCTTAGGCGCTGCTCTCAACCTTCTCGAGACTATGTTACATTGAGAAACCTGGGCAACGCCATTGCAGTGATAGCCACCATTCCAATTAAAGGCTCATAAGCCGCCCATGCGTGTGAGCACGCATTACCAACCAAACCTCTCGCAGCAATACCGCCCAAACCATCGTCTGTCATCATCCAACACCGCGAATTCTTGTTATCGAGTCATTACCGGTGCAGCCTTTGGATGTCTTCCTCCGTCCAATGAGCAAACGATAGAACATCATTAGCCCGGACCTGAAACAGCAAGGGTTCCGTATGATGCATACGACAATTGTTTGGAGTTGCTGGGATCTTGAGAGTGCAGTCTATGCAGAGTCCAGTGCAGCGCGAAAGCACTGCGGAGATGATGCCGTTAACCTCGTGGGAGAAATCAATGACACATGCCGGACATCGATTAGTGGGCAAGCAGCTATTCGACCTCGCATCGAGCTCACTGTCGAGGTTGACCGCGGCAGAATTGAATTGTGCAAGACTCGCAAGCTGGTCCTTGATGGGAATTGACCACTTGAAAGTACCCAACCCCAGCCGATTTAGTTCGCGGTAATACCCAGCGACAGTGAGCGCATCTTTCAGGCAGAACTTGGTCTGGTGATGATCCGCTCTAGGCACGCGATAGTCTTGATTATGGCCGCTAAGCATCCTTATACTTTCGGTTCTCTCAAGCAAGGACAGTATCGGTGAGTTGAGTCGGTTGGCGAAATATTGGCGAGCCGAATCCCTCTCGCATTCCAGTGCGGCTTTAAGCATTGTTAGCTCATGGCTGTAAGATTCGTGCCGATACGAAGAGGTTGCCTGGCTTACCAAAAGCTGATTCTGGGATCGCATGACTCAATTTCCCATTCCTGAGGTACCCAAAATTTTTACCGTTCGCGAGAAGAATTTGGGCAGTGACGGTCTTGAAGCTCCAGGCATCGTCGAAAAGACACGCGAGCGCCAGCAGATCTCGCAACTGAGGCTCAGCGGAAGCTTCGAAGAGATAGGGCCTCATCCAAGCAGCGACAACAGGTCTAAGTATTGCAGCACAATCATACTTATCAGCCACCCGAGCGACCTCTACGACTAGATCCAAGGAAGGGCTTTTCGGCAAAGACAGGTGTCGATGATGAAGGTAGTTGCAGAGAATCGTCACACCACTCGGGTCATCATCAGGAAGCGGTAGTTGCAGAGGTTTTGCGGGGTTCCTACGTCCTATTGTTAACGGAGCTGGAATTGGTTTGGGGCGAGACAAGACGTACTTCTCCTCACGCATGGCTTGACCCTCCATGAAGTACGGACCAAACATCACTTCGAAGACGCGCGACGCAATTGAGAGAACCTTGGACGAGACGAGCAGTGATGCCCTAGGCGATTCGGACGGACCGAGGACGAGCATTACGTCGCCATTTCTGTCAATATCGACAGTCGATGGAGGATCGGGCGTCCAAGCACTCTCCATTGCGTGACAGTGCCGATAGAATTGTGGCAGCTGTGTGCGGTGGCAGTTGCTGGGTAGCGTAGCGTGGCAGGTAGTTCCGGACGTTGCCAGAGCAGAGGTGCGTAATTTTTGCTAAGATGACTGAACATAAGTTGAAAGAAGAGTGAATCTTGGCACCAAAGTGAAATGTGGGAGTAGCGTGAGCGTGCGGACGGTAACTGAACTGTCGGGAAGCGCCGTTTGCATTCGCGGCATTGCGGCCGTCCACATCAAAAGCCCAGGGAGTTTGTAATCAGACGAAAGACTTCATCGAGACAGCGGAAATAATTTACAGCCATCCCTTCCCTCAAAAGCCAGCCATACGCGTCCCAAGATCAACCCTATCCAACCCTGACCAAGGTGCTTACTCGTCATCATCGTCGCTCTCCACCTCCTTCAAATCAGCCTCCTTCGGCACCGTACCGCCCTTCCTCGCCTTTGCGGCTGCAGCAGGGCCGCTCTTCTCGGCAGTATCGGCCTCAGCGTCCTCGTCGTACTCCTCCTCCGGCTCAGACTGCTCCTCCTCGTCAGGAGTAGCTGCCTCGTCGTCTACCTCTGGCTCTTCTTCGTCCGAAACCTCCTCCGGCTGAGCGGTCTTGCGCTTCTTGGCCTTTGGAGCCGTTGCTGCTGCTCTTAGTGAGCGGGTGGTTCGCGACACTGTTACAGAGCTGGATTTCTACCTGGAGCAGGCTTCGCCTCTTCCTCCGAATCGCCGTCTTCGTCGTCGTAGACTTCGGAGCCCTCTGACTCGTAGCTATTCGCCGAGGCGGCGCGTGTCAGCCTTGCGACGCAAGATGGTAACAGCGCGCCCAACGCGCAACCGATGCATCTGAGCTTCCAGGAGCTCAAACAGAATCGCTAATCGTCGCAATTGCGAACACAAGGAACGCGCATAGTATGCGATACGCGCGCAGGTTACAATGGATGACGTCAGGAGCTTATATTAGACTTACTCGTCCTCCTCATCGCTCACATCAGAGGGGAGAGCCTGAAGCTCCTCCTCCTGCTCAGCTTCCTGCTTTCTCTTGCGCGTCGACATTGTGTATGGAATGTGAATTGGATAGGTAGTGAATATGGGTGACAGGAGCTTGAAGGAGTGAAGGGGGAGAGAGCTTCGGAGCTCAGCTCTCGGAAAGCTGGGGGGCTGGCAGGGACTCGACAATCGATTGGCAAGGCGCAGTTTTCGCCCTGTGCTCCCCCAAGCTCCCCCGGGCCGGTCTGATTTGGGGCCGCCCACGTCAGGGGCTGCAACGTTCGGGCGCCTCTCTGGACGCTAGGCGCTTCCAGGTCTCTGCCCTGCTTCATGTCCAGGAGTTTATATCCATCTAGTTGTCGGCCAGCTGCCTCAATCGAAATTCGCAAGAGGGACGGCGAGCACACCGTGAGCTGAGCTATCGCGACAAGCAAGCCATGCTTCGATTCGTCCGCTGCTGTCCCACCACCCCTGCATGCAGAGTGCCCCCTTGCGCAGGGCATTACTCACTGTCGTTACACTCCCGAGTTGGGGCGCAAGATTGAAGAGAACCACGCAGATACTTTCTTGGATAGACGCCTGTGTTGCAAGCAGTATCAGCTACAAGCAACCATATACCGTCATAACGAGCAGTAAATTCTACTTGGGATCTCTCGTAATGTCTTCAAACAGTAGAACACTTCTGATTGAAATCGGTTTCATTACTCATAGCGATTGCATCCATTCTAGCCCTTAAGGAAGACCTTCGTCCTCTATTGGAGGTCATCTCTTCCCGGCATTGATCATTTGTAACAGGCATGGCGTCGATTGACTGTTATGCCGGGCTTGTCGGATCAGCGAAACGGTACAGGTGTCATGCCAAACGGGCTGTGAATGCTTCTTTTGCCCCAGAACAGACCAGTCCGAGATGGACAGGAGTAGGAACCATTTGGAACAGACAGACCCGTTGTGACGGAAGTACAAGCTCGCTGTCACCCCCTATACAGTACCACCCTCCCTGCGATCAAGCGTACAATGTCCGTATCCAGCGATTTCCACGAGTCCATCCTTGATGAACTCGACTCAGCGGGATAAAAGATGATAAACAGAGACTTCGTAATCTTGATTGAAGACGTTCTCGCCATCTTCACGGCCTGAGAACAGCTACTCCCAGAAGCTATCCAAACACCCATTCGTAGCATGGCCCCATACCGGATTTTGAGTTGGCATAAAGGGTAATCTGTTAGCCAGTGCAAACCTTAGTGAACAGTATGCTATTTTGACAGTTGTGTTAATTTGCAACGCCTCTGCTAGATGAGCGCACAGGCTATGGGTTGTTTGCTGACTAGGCGCACGATTGATCCATCTCTGCACTTGGCAGCTGGATGGGACGTGTGGGGTTTGGTGTCTTGCATATTTTCACGTGCTTGGCCGAAGCCACAGCGTCACAGCCCCGTCAGGGATTCATGCTGCCCCAACATCGACACCAACTCCCTTAGGCCCTTCTCCAAACCCTTTCAGGCCCCTCCAGACCCCGCGACACCCCCTTATCGCCTCTCTACCTACTCGACCAACACCTTGCCGTACAACCATCGAGCGTATCGGCCGCCGACCATGGCGAAGCGCGGCGTCCATTACGAGGACCTCCTGCCTGTCCCTACGGAGGGCATGGCACCCACAGACCCAGACAAGAGGGAGCGCAGCACCAGCATGGCCGAGGGTCCCACACTCAGCCACGCACTGGCACAAGACCATACCGACCACGGCGCCGTCTCTCTATCCGATGAAGGGGCAGAAGTCGTAAATCTCGGCTGGAATGAGCCACCAGAGAAGATACCGAAGCCTCTTGTTGGAGGCTTGCCAAACGAGGAGCTGTGGTTGCTTGTTCGGCGCTTCAACAAGGTGAGACTGAAAGGTCTCCCTCTTGATGCTCGGGGTCGCTAACTAGGTCGACACAGCAAATGTACCATGTTAAGGAAACCCTCCATCCTCCTCCCGGTGGTCTAGATATGTACGTTGCGGATGAGGAGGAATTCTCGCCGGACAAGCTACGGAGCAATCTTGAGCGTCTCTACATGACTGTCGTACGTACCGGCGTACACGAATTGCAAGGCAGGCATTTAACCGCACCTAGGGTATCGGTATCATGGGATTTGGAAAACACATTGCCCGCCTCCGGTCATGGCGCGAAACCAGGCGAACAGCCTGGTTCTGCACAGTACGTATAGCTTTGCCTAGCACGAGCTGAGCGCCGAAGTTGACCAATCTCTCAAGGCATACTTCCTCGCCTGGATGTTCGATTTCCTCGTCCCCCTCTTTTCCTTAATGTTAATCGCTCTGATCGCCTATCCGCCGTCCCGCGAACTTCTGTTCCCTCCTGCGCCAATTGCTCTTGTTAGCGGAAGCGGCGGAGTGCAGAAGCCGAAAGCTGGCGTCTTGGGTAGCCATGACAGCGCGACGGGTGCGCCAGAGAATCACAAGGGCGAGGCTGTCGAGAACGAAGCAAGCAACTTCGTCAGCAGCATCGCAGCTGTCGCCATCAGCAGTGCTTCCGGCAAACACCCGCAGAACGAACCAGAAGACAACGAGAAGGGCACCGCCCAGGATTCTGTGCCGGACCCTACGGCGCTTGCCATGGGCGCTGCTAAAGCCAAGGACAAGGCTGACGGAAAATCGACTTCGGCCACACATGACAAGACGAAGGTGCCGATGGAGACTGCTATGTGGACGAAGATGAGGCCGGTCATGCACGGCCTCGGAGACCTGACGGATACATGGGAGAGATTTGCAAAGTAAGATGCTTGTCAACCTTCAATTGACTTCCGTGCTTACCAAGCCAGTGCCCTTGAGCCAACACCGCCCTTCCCCAAAGATCTTTACCGGTTTCGTCTAGCCGCCGTTGTCCTCCCGATGTTCGCCGGGTCCATTTTTATCTCCTCCTACATGTTCATGAAAGGGGTTACATTCGGCGTCGGCTTCGGTTTCTTTGGCGATCCCATCACCAGACGCGGACTTGAATGGCTAAACAAGAACTACCCGAACTGGATGAAGTTCCTCGAGCTGCGGAAGTATGTCCCCTCCCTCCTTCACACCCTCTCACGCATTATTAACACTCTTCACAGCAACATCCTCAAGGGCGTCCCCACCAACGCCCAACTCACCATCACCCTCCTCCGCATCGGCGAAGCGAACCACGCACCCCTCCCACCCCCTCCACGAACCTCCGCACCCCCACCCGAAGAGTCCGCCGAAGTCTCCGAGGAGAACCTCCGCGCCACCGGCGCAGACTACCCCCTAAACGCGACCCAAGAAGAACTCGACGATGCCATGACGCCCGACCCATCCGTCGCGCACCAGACGGGCGGCTCCGACATCGACGCCTCGAAAAACAGCAAGCACGGCCACAAAGGCAGCAAGATCCTCGGCTTCTTCAAAGCCACGGCCAAAGGCGCCGTCGAAACCGCCATCGGGGCCGACAGGCTGAAAGCAAAGGTCGGGAGCGAGCACGCCAAGGACAGGCTGGGCGTTATACCAGATCCGAAGGAGGACCTGACGAGTGGGCCCGTGGAGTTCAAGTGCCGGTACCACGGCAAGAAGGGCCATCTTTACATCACATCCAAAACGACGGCCCCGCCCGCTGTGCACTTTTCGAGCGACTCGAGTATCGACAAGCTGGGCACCAGGGATAGAGAGGATCTGCACCCCGAGTGGAGCCTGCCGATCAGCGAGATCAAGGAGTTGAAGAAGATTGGCGGGTTTGGGTGGAAGGCGAAGTTGGTCGTTGGTTGGGCGTTGGATAGGGAGGTCGCGGACGGCTTGGAGATTGTGGATCGGAGGGGTGTGATGTGGAAGGTTACGGCGATGGTGTTGAGGGATGAGCTTTTTAATCGGTTGGTGGCTATTAATGGGCAGAAGTGGGAGTGTTGGTAGGTGGAGGCTTTTGGGTAGGTTTGATGATGGGATGAGCTGTTATAAGTACTGATGCGTTTGGATTGCGCGCGCCGACGACTTGGATGATCAGTCAGTAATTCTTGCGACGTTATCGAGTGGATAACTGGACCATGTGTATGGGCGGACGAGTTGAGCCAGGAGCATCAGCGCCAATTAACTTATCCATTCCGTGGAGAAAGTCGGTCACTATGTGCTTCCTCTTATCGTTCAGATCATCATCGGAAAGACCTCATATTGTTCCAATCCAGCCTTTATCGCTTTTGCCGAGGTATCTAAAGCCATGTACATAGCAGCCAAGTGTCCGCTGCCCTCCCAAAAAAGATCCAGCGGTAAATATGCACGCTTCTACAACAAACCTCTTAGCCTTCAGCGCTCAAGCACACATGCCAAGACCTTCTCTTCCTCGTTCATCCGTCGCTCCCACTACTCCTGAACGCAGCACAGAGCGCCGCGTACTGATGCGTCAAATCGAGCACATGCTGCGGCAAGCTGGTGCCCTGGATGATGCTCCTGACCTTAACCGCGCCTTCCTCCTCGATGAGTTTGCGGATCGTGTACAGTAGCGCGGGAGAGAACTAGTCACAAGTCAGGCTCTCGTGCTGGCCTTCTACTGAAGCCCCCACGTGCAGCATGACGCCCGTTATGCCGCAGGAGCAGGACCCACATACCTCAGAATACCACCGATACTGCCACGTAACCAACCGAATCAACGCCCCCAGGATCTCCCTCACCTCCCCCCTACGTTCCAGCATCCCCAGCACGCCCTTCATCGCCTTGGGACTAAATCTGATGCTCAGACACGCCTGGTACGCCTCCACCGCCTCCTCTTGGTGATGCAGCCGCTCCGCCAGCTCCCCCAGAATCTCCCACTCCTCGGCGCTCTTGCGGTAGAGGAGCTGCTGCTGCCGATACTGTGCTAGTTCCGTCCGCCAGATGGTGTAGACGCGCAGGTCTTCGTAGAGGACCATGAAGAGGTTGTCGAGCCAGCGCTCGCAGAGGCGTTTGTTCTGGAACTGGGTGTATGTCGAGTTCGCGGTGTCTGTTGGAGAGGAGTCGGGACCCGAGGGGTGCTGTGCAGGCTCTTCTGGGGGAGAGGAGGACCCGGCTTTCACTTCCTCCGACGCGACGGTGTGGCCGGGTTTGGAGAGCGATTGGCCGGCTTCGAGGGCCTGCGCGGTAGGTGACTTGCTCTCGTCCCCGTCGGCGGTGGGCGCCTCGCCCGGCTCGCCATGCCCGTTTGCTCGGGGCGAGGGCGCCAGCGCGGTGGTGCTCGCGTTGCGGCTGTGTGGTTGCTGTTGCGGCTGATGCGACACGGCTTGCTTCTCATGCCGGTACTCTTCCTCCATGACAAACACCTGGCTGCGGATGCGCAGGAGCTGGTCCCAGCCGATCTTCTTCGTGATCTCGGTGAGCAGCATGTACGCCTTCAGGAACGTACCCTTGAAGCCCGCGGCGTGCAGTTTGCGCAGCGTCGGGTGCACGAGCTCGGTCTCGCCCGCGGCGCTCGTGTCGTCGATTTCGTCGCATTGTGACTCGGACATTATGGGGAGGGAGATACGGAGGGGCTCGGGGGTTCGGGGCGCATCTTTGTCTTGGTAGGTGAACATAGGGCAGGAGTTTAGGGTTAGGAGGGCTAGGTCCCACTGTTCGAGACCGACGTAAATCTCCGCTAGGCGTGCCCAGGTCCCGAACTCGCTGGGCGCGGAGACTACGCTGCGTTTTGCAATTTCGAGCGCGAGATCGCCGCGCCCTTTGTGGTTGCAGAAGTCCGCTTGGCAGTCGAGGAGGGAGTAGTCCATGGGTAGCTCGTCGATCGCCTCGTGGAGTAGTTGCACGGCTTTTACTTCCTCGTCTGCGGACAGGTAGACTCGCGCTAGCAGGGAGGATATCTCAGGATCCCGCGTCCGCAGCTTCTCGAAGAGGTTGATGCCTGATGCGTATCGACCGGTAGTGCGGATATACTGGAGCAGGCCGGTTGTGAGGTGATTTGAGACGAGGTTTGGAACTTGTATCTCCGGATCAGAACCCAACTGCCAACCATTGAAGAAAAGGCGTTCGGCGGCGTCTAGAAATTTATGCTCCGCCTCCGTGCTCGTGACCGGGTTGAACCTCCTGACGCCTACGATTTTCTTTATTATGTCGCCGGACCCGTCGTCTGCGTAGGAGTACGCGCGAAGCACGCTGCACAGGTATGTCTCCAGCCATAGCGCGTCTGACGCCACGCGCTTGTCCCCTCGCTCGTCTATGCAGTAGCTCTCCACTGTGCCGGGTATCTGGACTTGTACACGCATGTCGAGGCGTGAGAAGGCATTGTAGCAGCTGCAGCTGTCAGCGCAACTCCACGCCACTGTTACGCGTGGACCAATACCAATATAGCCCCGACACTATCTTGGTCGTCTTGTCATGCGGCGTGTGTGTCAGGGTGTTGATGTAGGCTGCCAGGCTCGCCGAGGACGATGCGTCGACTCCAGTGACATGGTGATATACTCCTACCTGACCAGCCCCTTAGCGTGTGTTGCACGATTTGATAACCTTTCTAGTCCGTAGACGGGGGGGCCACCGCACCTGCTTTGCGGTCGACTTGATGGGCTGTTTTATGAGGTGGACTAGGTCGGGAGGGCCGAGTTCGCGTAGTGCTGCCAGTGATTCTGTGCGCGCATCGACCACGGAGTGGATTTCGTCTTCGAAGATCCTGCGTGTTTACTTAGCAACAGAGTTCAGAGCAGAAGCACAGCGCTACTGGCCACGCGCCGCCGTTGATTCCTGTCAAGATGACTGAGATGACGGGTAGGGATGAACGAAGACGAAAGGTTGGACGAATTGACATAGACCCATGATGCTGCTCAAATGCGCCAACGATTGGAGACTCAAAAATGCGGACCTACTCAGGCACAGCTGGAGATCCGACCATCGCTGGAGGCTAGAGGGGAGGCTAGAGGAGGCTACAGATGCGGTTCAGGGCTGTCTGGTGGAAGAAGCGGCGATTGTTTGGGGACAGCCTTGGGGCTCCTGGAGGATCAATTGAGCGAATACAAAACTGCGTGTATGTAGGTACCTTATGCGTCCTCAAGCTGAACCCGTCGTGCACAGCCCTACCGGTACCTTGTCCCTCGACTCGGAGCAATGAAAAGCAATTCCGAAGATCTGCCGAAGTGCCTACATCACATGCTGTCGTGGCTGAAGGGGACGCGCTCGACACATTCGCTCGCCCTGCCAAATGTGAACTCTTCACCTCCTCGACCCATCTACGGTAGGCACAGACGGGGACGGGAGGGGTCGTGGTAGTAAACCTCCACCATGGTGAGCTCACCGCCAGAATGCACCGACGAGGGAGATCGAACTGCTTACCCTGATGGCCCAGGCGACTTGGAAGGCTCTGAACATCGACTACGAGGTCGAGACCGACGAGGAAGTCATCGACGACACCAAGGAGATTCAGGTTGAGGAAGCTCTCAAGCTATACCAAACAGCCCTCAAGCTCCACTCCGAAGGCCCGAGATCCTACCTACAAGCCGCCGTTGCCTACCGAGACCTCTTCAAGTCTGAGATATTCCGCTATCCCGAATCCTTGTCGGAATTTGCGAGGCTCCAGCTGTATGGGGACGCTCTGGAGTACGACAGCCTTGTGCTGGACGAGCCCGAAGCGGGCCCAGTACAGCTGCCCGGCGCCCCGAACGATGCGCCGAATACGCTAGCACAGCTGCTCCATCTATCCTACAAAAACCACGGGGAATTTTTGTTGGATTTGCTGGAGTGGCAGCTGAGGGAACACTTTGACTTTCAACAGGAAATGAGGGAACTCTCTGGCTCTGAACACGAACTGATCGAGATTATCACTCCGAAGCAAATTGCAGCCGTCTCACACACACCACTGCGCTACTTCTCAAAGGCCCTAGACAAAGACGACGTTGATTTGGATCTCTGGAGGAGAACATCAAGAGTGGCCCGCTTCGTCGGCAGCAAGCGCATGGCAAGATATTGTCTCGAAGCAGTACTCGATGGAGATGATGAGGCAGTGGATAGCATACTTCGTCTTCCTGGCTTGGAGCAGGGTATAGCCGCGCAAGAACTGCGGGAGCTCGTGGAAGGGCTTCGCGACGATGTGTCCTGTTTGCAAGCGCCCCTCTCGAACTTGAAACGCCAGAAGTTGGGCATGAAGGTCAAGAAGAGCTTGGAAATCTACCCATCGATCCCGCTTCCATCTGAAGGATCGGAAGAAGCCATTGCGCAGCGCGTCCTTGCCCAGCAACCCACACGGCTCGTGTTGACCCCATCAAAACCTGACTGGACGTCTGTTGGTGAGGCCATCTTGCAGCAGTACTTTGCCGAACAGGGAGGATTTATGAAAGGTGTCGGTCCTTCACCAGGCATAACCATAGAGCTGCCGCAACTCCTATCGAACCAGGACCAGCATGCTCCAACCCCTGAGTCCAACCGGCCCAAAACGCACGTGACACAGCCAATTCCCCTTAAGACCACCGGCGAGGTATCAGAGGAAGGCGAGCCTCGAGACAGGTCTGTGCCGACCGCAATCGAAGACATGCAAACGAAGGAAGGCGGCCTCGACGGGCCACTGCCGGAGCCCTCTGCCGGAGCTGAAACTCAACCTGAACACGCCGTTACGCAACTGCGAAAGCGATCTACAGAGTCCGCTGGCCTTCCTGAAACGGCTGATGGAGGTCGTGTCAGAAGCAAGCGCATTCGCGCACGCGAGTCTATAGTAGATGCATCCAGTGCAGTGGACGGGCTTGCTCCCGACCATACGAAGCAGCGGGAGGCTCAGTTGGCCGGCTTCGAACACGCTGACCATTGGCTTTTCGTGATGATTGATGGGTTACTGAGCAAGCTTGGTGTGAACACTTTTGGCACGTCAGAGTCTTTGCGCGACACAATCAACGACGCCAGTGATGGCACGGCGGATTCTCCTTCTGGGCTACGCACTGCGATCAAAGACTTATTCGACTTCCTGCAGCAGTGCCCACCGCAGGCTGCGGCAACACTTCTTCATGGGGAGGGTATTGACGCATTAGCAGGCATATCTCGTGAGGCCAGATTGAGTGCTTTTGTCAGCGATGCTAAGTCAGGAAGTTCACGCCTGCCAAGTAGCCTTTCGCTGTCTGAACAAGGCATAACGGAGCTGGTCTCTCAGATCAACGATGAATGGATGACCACCAAGGAAGTTGCATGGACTTGGGTCGAACGTCTCCTGCGGCGAGGCGCCTTCTCTACGTACGACGGCCTTTCAAATACTCTAGGCTCTAGCTACCTGATGCATCGATGGTCCGAAGACTTGAAACGGATAGTCGTACAGATTGTCGTTAACTTAGACGAGTACATCTTTCAGCGGGTGTCCGACGATCTAACAAGGCTTGGCCCGGCCGCTGTACACACCAAAGATCGATATCAGCCGCAAGAGTTCCGCAACGAGTTGAGTACGCTCATCGACATGGCACAAACTCTCTTTGAGCTTCATCTCGACGTCTACTCCCTGATCAAACATCCTGGCAGTGGAGTAGATGCCGTCACACAAATGCTACAGAAAGACCGATTGGAGCGATGGGCTGCTCTGGCACGGGACGCCATCAACATCATTGCAGCCGCAGTATTGGGAAGAGATTCTGAAGAACTTTGCCTCAGACATATATGGGCATCAGCGTTTCATATTGGCGTATGCGACGACGTCCCTCAGCAGCACATTGTTCGGTTCATGGGAGAACTGAAAGCCATGATTCAGTCTTGGGAAGAGCAACATCTTGGAGTTGATGGAAAGCAGTCTATACAGCTGCAAAACAACGCAGTCATGCCTGAACTGTCTGTTGCGGCCGTAGACCAAGAGCTCGCCGCAATCAACATGAGAGACTTCTTCCTCAAGGTCTTCGATCATGATGAGAAAGATCCGGTAGCCGTCATCGAGAACTTGGAACCACTCCTTGAGACCCCAAGTGCTATGGACGCTCCGGACATCTTGGACATCGACGAAAACTGTCGAGGCGCTGACGAAGCTTCCGACTCCGCCATATCGATTGTTGATCGAGCTAGCAATGCTCCCTCGCACGCTCGCCCAACCGCTCGACCTACTCCTCTCCATGAGATGACCAAGTTCGTCCAAAATGCCAGCGTGTCCCTTCGGCTGTCAATGTGGTACCGACTTGGCCAGGCTTACGAGGCGATTGACTATCTGCCCAAAGTTGTCTCTTGCAGTTTGAGAAGTATTGAGATCCTCATGGCGGAAGCCGTGAGCCCCTCGTATCAGAACACTCCGTCTGAGCAGCGCGTCTTCATGCTCCTGAGATGGTTCAGGTTCATTGACCAACTCATCTATCGAGCACTCACCATTGCGAGAACTAACAAGACTGCCTTCGAGTGTCTGGACGATGAACACGTGCGCTCGTCGCTTGGCGCATTGGCGGCTTTCCTCAGAGTTGTCCACACTCTAAACATCTACGAAGACTATGTACGAGTTGGTCAACTTCCATTGCCAGCTTTCGAAGGTCGCCAGAGCACAGTCTTTCCAGTGATCGTCAGCAAGCTCCACGACGTACAGATTCGAACTTGGGAACTACAGTATCTGTTGTTGAAAGACGGCATGAAACAGAATCCAGAGAGCTTCACCAGTCCTGTGATCGACCAGATCGAGTATCTACGCCATGTGCACCATGCTGTGGGGATTAGGGGCTTCCTACAAGCATCAAATCGGTCGTTTCTCAGACTGTTGAAGGAGGAGATTCTCCATATAGCCGATAAATCGGCTGCTGACCTCCGGGATGCGGAATTGTCTCAGCTGTTGTACGATATGTATGGCTTGAAGTGTCACATGAACACCTATGACTGTATGGAGTATGGATGCCCGCCGGAAGCACTGGACAAGAAGACGGCCTTGCAACTGCTAGATTTTATCATGGCACAAGCTCGAAAAATCGGCATGAAAGATCTCCCCAAGTCGGAGCTCAAGGACGCCATTATAAAAGTCCATGGAGCCCTCGGGAAGCCCAAAGCCAATGAAGGGTTGGCTATGAACCGATCCATCTACGCCGCATACTGGAAATCCCCAATCAATCCCCTAGATCTATATCGCGCTCTCGAAGGAATGGGATCACTGTCGACTAAACCCATCTCGCTGCAGCAAGCCCCTGCGGCGTCCAAAGGCTGGTTCTTCCTTATGGGTCTCATCAATCTACACAAATTCCGGTCCCAGAAGCGCGTTATTCCCGGACCTATCGACGACCTGAACGTAGCTGCTGCCTTTTTTGCCCAAGATCTCGAGTACAGCGAGGAGCGATGGGAGACGTGGTACCGCTTAGCCCAGTGCCACGACTTGCAACTGGAAGACATCACAGCCTGGACCGCTGAGAAGGTGAACAGCAACAATCACGAGGTCATCCAGTATCAGCGGAGCGCCATCCACTGCTACACAATGGCTGTAGCATGCGCTGTACGAGCTGCCGAAATGGATGCCGATTTTGACGCCGACGGCAAGGTCGCCGAGCTGTACTCTGATTTTGGTACCCGCATGTATGCCTCTTCCCGAGAACCATTTTCGATGCACGTGTTTGAGATCAAGGAGTCGGAGAAGCGACACTATAGCGGCGCGTCGATGTATCAAGGCGCACCTTTCAAGACGTTGGATCAGTATAGCGCGTGGAAGTTTGCGAGTGTGCTGTTCAGAAAGGCAATCTTTAAGAAGCCGGACTATTGGTGGTAAGAACGGCTGATTCTCAATATACTCGTGCCTGTTCTGACGATAGCAACAGGAACCACTACATGCTCGGCAAATGTCTGTGGAAGATGCACAGAGCTGATCCTCAGCTTCGCGGCCGAAGCAGGCCTGTGGATAGTCGTGCGGTAATCGAAAGCTTCAAGCAAGCCATCGAGACTGTTCCCGAGCGCAGAGACGGCCGGCGCGAGCCGATTCTGGAGCCACACTACAAACTGGTCTCAATCGTGCATAAGATAGTCGGCACGAGAGGCCTTACAGTAAGTTTGATATCCCAAAGAAGCGGTTTAGCCATATGCTAATGCACCCTAGCTGGAACATGCCGGCGAAGTCCTCCAGACGACGCAATACGCGCGCAAGATTGAACCGCCGACAGAGTTCGAGGACTGGGACGAATACGTTCTTCAGCTGCTGAGAAGCCTCCGGAATGCCGACAAGTCCGGCTGGCACCATCGCATGACCGTCAGAGTAAGTGTAGAGTAACCTCTGAAAGCCTCACTGCTAACAACATCCCAGGCCGCCCACGTCATCTACGACAGCTCCGGCAACGATCCCATGGCCGCCCACGCTGCAAAACACGAACTGACGCAGCAGGTCTTCACCAAAACCATGGTGATCCAAGTCTGGAAGCCCGAACACGAGCGGCCAGGCCGCCACTTCGTCTACACGACCCGCTACACGCGCTTCTTCCTCCAACTCCTCGTCCAGCTCGATGACCGGCCTAACCTTGAGATCCTCGCTAGGCGCGTCCGCAAGAAGCCGCACGAGTTCTTCGACCACTCAAAGCTGTGGCAAGATGTCTGCGGCGCGTACACTCAGCTTCTCCGGCGCGCAGGCAAGGTCCCCCAGGGGAACGAGGATATCGTGTTCAAGTCCCTCAGTCACGACGAGTTCGTGCCGCGCGCCAGTAGACTGGAGGCGTGGGCCCAGAGCTCGGACACCAAGGATCCGCTCCTTGACGTGCTGCGCGATGCGCTCGAGCTCAAACGCCTCAACGCTAAGCTAATGAAGGACACCCTCTTCGACGACCTCATCGGGGACACCTACGCCACGCTTTACGAGACCGTCGGCGCACAACTCGAGCACCAGGCCGCAGCCACCAATGCCCCTCCCAATGGCGCAGGCACAGCAGCCCTTCCCACCACCGCGCCACCTCCTCAGCGCCCAGGCGCAATGTCCCTTATGCACCTCATGAACGTCGACGGTCCAACCGAGACGCTTCCACCGCCTCGCCCCTCCAACATCTCAGGCAACCCATTCGCGCCCCAGCAGCCGGAACCAAGCACCACGACGGTGAAACCTCGCACCAAGACCGTCGGTCGCCGCGAACTGGCCCGCCGCGCCGAAGCGGCTGTCACGAAGACGGCGCCGCTGAAGGAGGCAATGCCGCTAAGGCCTACGCCGGCGGAGCACCCGAAGGTCGTTATTCCGGGGAGGCGGACGTCGATGAATGCCGGCATGGCAGGGCACACGGAGCGGGCAGAAGGGGGAGGAGGCGCAGATGCAGCTGGCGGTTTGGCGGGGCTTGTACCGCCGCTGCCGAACGCGGCGGACGTGAGCGCCCCGGGCAGTGTGCATGATAGCGCGGACGACGAGAGCGAGAGCGAGCTTAGTGAATTGGAGGAGGAGGCTGTTGTCAGGCCCATGTTTCCGGGGTTGGTGGCTGCGAGGGCCGCGGTGGAGGAGGCCGCGGACACGGAGGAAGAGGGCGAGGGCGAGGCGGAGGTGGAGCTGGACGAGGAGGGGAATGAGGATGGTGAATCTGATGCTGAGGCTTCGGAGATGGGTGGGACGGACGAGGGGGGTGGTGCGGCTGTTAGGCAGGACATGTAGGTGGGGTTGGGACGGGTGAGCGATGAAGGTGGAGGGGCTTGGGGCTGGCGTGAGCTGTGCGAGTTGGGTGTGTCCGTGTGCGCGTTACTTTGCATGTGTCATGCTGGGCATGGGGATCTGGTGTTCTAGGTTGAGCCTTGGAGATACCCTGTTCGATGCACGACAATGATAGCCGGATCAGTTGTACGATGTGATATCCTTCTAGAGCTGCAGTGCTAGAATGAATTCGCAATGGTCTCGTTACTCGAATCGACTTGCCCATGTAGGACAGCATGCTCAAACGTCTCCACTCTCTAAGATGATAGATGACGAAGAACCTTCTAAGGGACTCAAAGCCCCAGGCAGTGCCGTGTGACAGTTGTTTGGCATCACTGTGGCGGTAAATATAGTGAGCGGCTGAGAATTGGGTTGGGTACGTCACAGTTCAGCGCGACCGAGCGCCGCTGGTAGCAAAAAAAGACTCTCAACATGCGCGCCGGTGAGGTGGCTCATGAGGAGTCGTAGGTAAGTGTTAGCAGGAAGACCGGGTCTTGCTTCGTCCGCAGGCAGAGAGTTTTGTGTCTGGCAAGTGGGGAGTAGAGTGAAACTTCTAACGCAGGGCAAACATTCTCATAATGTTGTATAGTGATCGCGGCTTGACATGATTCTACTGCTTTCGACAATCGTGATTCGGGGCACGGAAAAGAAAGTGGTATCTCGGTGATATTCCGCTATCTGATGACTGCGTTGAGGCAGCGGTGATCCAACACTGCAACAGTAAAACTCGGTGAGGAGCCAAAGAAAGAGGCAAGAGGAGTGTAAAGGAGTGTGCAAAAACTGTAGGAGAGGAAAGGCAATCAACTAAATGCTACCATGTTGAATGGCATTCGGATTCCGACAAACAGATCAATAGCCTCTGCAGCGTACTAGTTGACCGTCTGAGTCCGCGTCACCTAAGAAGGGGTCAGATCCCATACTCACGACAGCTGAAAGCTTCGTTGCTTCCCTTAGCTGCGGCCTCGATAGGAGCATAGCCGCTCGCGCTCCCGGGCGGCACCTTCCTTAGGTTCGACTGCCTCGCGGAGGAGTCGAAACAGCTACCGACACCGGGCGTAGTTCCCAAAGCAAAGGTACGTCGAGCGTAGTGAGCGCCAGGCAACGTAGCAGAAGTCGTTAAACTGACCCGAGGTCCAGCCGGCGACTGAAGACTTCTGCTACGTTGCCTGGCACACGAAGGCGCTCGAGGCAGTTTACTAAGGGAACTATGCCCGACGTCGAGAGATTTCGGCCCCACCGCGAGGCGGCCATGCCTATCGAAGGAGCCGCCCGGGTTCCCATTCGGTCTGCTAAACCCATAGGGGTCACGTCAACTCGCATAGCGTTTCCAAATGGGGATCGAGGGGTTTGTACATTACCAGTAAGCTGGCGCATCTCAGAGCTTCAAGCAGGCACAAGGCCAAGAGTCTCCATGACCTCGGCGACGCTTTCCAATCCGCTGTCGAGAAAGACAGCGCCGAGGATGGCTTCAACGGTGGCAGCCATCGTATTGGGAGGCACGACTCCCTGCTGCGAAGGATTTCCCTCGACAAAGGAATTCAGCCCGTTGCGTCGACCGACGCTGTCGAGGTTTGTGTTCGAGCCGACTGTGGAAACGTTTCGGTTCATAATCCCTGGATCACACATGAGCTTTTCTACCAGGGCAGCAATGGTGGCACCGGTACCTCTGCTTTCGTCGTGAACGTAGCCGTCGCGGATAAGTATAAGCTTTAGCACAGCATCTCCAAGAATGGCGAGCCGCTTGTTGCCATCAGGAAGAAATCGACGTCCGACGGCAAAGACTGGTGATCCAGCTGCCTGGAGAGCTTCCCAGAGGAGGTCAGAATCGTTGAAGTCATAGCCCAGAACGGCTTGGCATCCTTCGATCCTCTGGGTCCGGCGCATGAGTGACATTTCTTCGGTGGTGCGTTTACGGCGAGCAAGCCTTCTCTTTCAAACGATCAAGATATCAAGAACAGCTTCTCAACCGGACGAACAGAATGATAGACGCAAGAGGAAAGTTTGGCTTTAGAAAGAGGAACGAGCTATATGTGAGGTAATGCGGGGTTAGGAGGGATCACGTGAAGGGTGGAAATTCACGTGTCAAGCTCACTTGTCTTGGATCATGCTTGCTTTGACTAACAAGCACTGGGTGGAAGTCGTAAGCATATGCGCGTTGGCTTTGGACCAAAGCCAAGTAAAGACGTGGCGCGAGTGCTTGGATTTATTGTAGTAAGTGAATATCACTGCAATCGTTCGTAACGGTTCATGATTTATATAGCATTGTGTTGACTCATCAATCATTGTTGTTATACAAGATTACTATTTTCCACCCCTCAATACCAAGAGACATATCCAATATATACAGATTTTCGAGATCGCGTCACACCTCCGTCATGACCTGACATTACAGCCGTATTGAAACAATTCAACACATCTCCCGACACCTATCCACTAGATCCAAGCGTACACAACCAGTAAGCTTGCCAGCTTAACCAGCGGTGTAGAGCCCAAGCGCAACAACGTGCGGGTTGATCATGGATAGGTTAAACGGCGTAAGATAGAGATCCGAGTCGGTCAGCGCAACAAACATGGTGTCGTTGACGGCCGGGTCGTTCTGGTAAACATGCCCGCCGGGCTGGTAGGTGAAGCCCGAGTTGTTGCCGGTGTGGTGCAGCGGGGTGTACGTGAGGTTGAGCTGAGAGACCCAGGCGACGAAGGCAGGTGCGCCTGCAGACGTGGATGTCACATAGCTGTTGTTGGGTCCGACGGCCTGGCCAGGTGCATCCCACGTGAAGCGCACCTGTCTGCCGGGGAAGGACAGCGGCTCGGAGCGGTTGCGGGCGATGGCAGGGCCACATCCTGATCCAGTAACGTTGAGGTTCACGCAAGACTCCTCGTTCGGGATCTCGCTGATGCTTGGGTCACCGGTGCGGTTGCCAACAACCTCATAGTCGGCGGTGTTATTAGGCGAGATGCGGTTCGGGTTAGGCTGGTTGACGACGTGCAATGCCGGGAAGTTCTGCCATGCAAGGCGGGTGATGTTGGCCGGGCATTCAGAGATATACGGCGCAAGGTACGTCCATGCCCATGACTGCGGGATACCGGTCTCAAACCAGACGGGCATTGGCGGCTGGCCGAGCATCTGGCGGAAAGACATCTGCTGCCGAGACTCTACCGCAATGGACTGTGTGAGCATCTGACCGACCTCACGGGCGTCGAGGTGGTTGAGGAAACCGAACACGCCGGCCTCGCCCCACTTGGTCAGCTTCTGGTTGAAGTCGATGTACTCGCGCACGGTCGAGTAGGGGTAGTTGTACGTGCACTGGATGGGCGCTGCCTCGCCAAGCATGTTCGTCAGCAGCGTCGCGTGGCCGACCTCCTGGTTAGCCATGAACGAGATGTAGTCACGGTCTTCGGCAGTGAGACCAGCCTCGAGGAAGTCCTCCTCGGAGAAAGTAGCAGGACCGTTGTGGAAGAGGTCAAGCTCGATCCACTCCTGGTAAAGTGCAAGTGCTATTGACTCGAAATCGAAGTCGCTGTTGACCATGTATCGCGGCTCGGTGCCATTGGTGCCCAGGCCACCTAGCACAAGGTTAGCAAGATGCTGTATGGCAAGTGATACTTAGGTGACAAACCGGCGGGTGTGTAAGGAGCCGGCGCGGGGTTTAGGAGCGTGCCGTTCGCGTTGTAGTATGTCGCCGTAGGGTTTGGCGGCAAGGCAGGAATGGAAGCGGCGAGGGTAGAGGGCGCCGTCACTGCGCCTGTTGTGGTGGGAGTGCCTGAGAATGGGCCATGGCTGGTAGGACCAGTCAGAGGCCCTTCGCTCACATTGGGAGGACCGCCGGTCGACACCGATGTGGCAGGGACAGTCGTGTCGGGACCGAAGGTGGTGGCGAGAGGGTAGATGCCGTTGCCAGTCGAGTCCGCGTACGGGGCATCGGCGCCTGTGTATCCAGGCACTTGTGGTGCAGGTGCTGCCGCAGCAAGCGCAGCGAAGGCGGCCGAAGCGAGAATGGTCTTGCTGAACATGTTGGGTGAGAGCTGGCAAAGGCGTGTTCCTGGCGAGATGGAGGCTGAAAGATGGGCGGATCGGCCGTTTTAAGGGAAGGCCTGCGAAGACCGTCCCAACCGATTACGGTAGCATTGAGGCCGTCGACGCAAGGTTCCGATGGACCAGCGTAAGCAAGCTGCAGGTGTGCCATGACTACGTCAACGACGAAAAGTTGAGGCGAGAGTGCGGTGACTTCACGACTGCACGTCGGGGGAACAGATCCTGGACCGTGTCAGCGCGGCTCTCTGCACACGAGCGGGTAGTCCAGCTGGATGAGGCAGTGGTCCGGCCTGGTGTTGCTTTAGAGCTGTTCGCAGGCTGAGCGGATTGGTGGTTGAGAGCTGCGGCTGTCTGTGTCGATGAACTGCCCTCGTCGACGTACCCCACAACTCTGTCAAATCAGCCCCAGGCAAGTCGGCCGTTTTCCTCGCCGAGACCGGGGGTTTGGAGATCTTCGATATTGTCGGATGGGAAAGCTGGTGTGACAATATGATGACATCGAATCCACGACTGTGGTTGGACTGAGCGTCGCCGCCAACTCGTCCCCGCCACGCGGCGCTTTCTCCACCAAACTGCTGTGAGACGTTGATCGGGACGGCAGTCTTTACCGTCGCACCACCAGATTCCCACGATTAAATATCAGATCACGCTCTGGCGTTCCTGAGTTGACAAATTTGTTTTTTACCGCGGTGCTTGACCTCTGCTCAAACATTGATCGATTCACTCTCAGACATATTGTTGATGACGTCCGAACATGCTCAACCCAAGCTTCACTGTTGACTCGGCATTCTCCCGGACGTATTTGCCGACCTCGGAGCTGGGCTTTGAGACGTCATGGATCGATAGCCCAAAATAACTCCAGGTACTCATGTCGCCGGAAAGTTATGAGATCGCGGGCAGAACACCAGAATTGCGCTGAGGCTTCTTAACCACACTGCAAATCACGAATATGCAATAAATAATGCTATAACAGCGTAGAAGTTAAGCGTGCACTAATCATTAATATATTAGGCATTCACTCAATTAATATCATAACGTAGTGTTGAGATATATAGAGGTGAACACCATAGCGAGACATTTTGCGCAAACCCTTAGAAGCGGATTTGAAGCGATCTACCGCCGGCTTACCGCTATCTTGGCAATCTCATGATTTTCCGGCGACATGAGTACAGGCGCGCACAATCAGGCACGCTTCTGTTTCACGGAGATTTGCGTGGACACGACTCGACTGAAGGTAAGGTGAATCTCGATCAGAACTTAGTCCGTCCGACTGGCTGGTCTGATAGGGATGAGGCTTTACTCGAAGCATCACGTTTTGCCGGTTGTACCGGAGGTGCTGTTTACTCTGGTTAACAGACCTCAACCCCCAACTTTCTCGTCGTTCTCCTGCCTGATCTTCAGCGAATGCTTTCTGAGGTATTGCGCCAACGGTCAGGCAGCTGGCCACGCATATGCATGCCTTGTGCGAGGCCGTGAATCAATTCGGCAGGTTCTGACTGTTTTGCATCTTTTCCTTTCGCTCACTAGACTTGTTGGGATGCCTTGCGAACGACCTGGATCTATACAGAAACGAGTTGCAACCTCTTCTTCCGCCTGGTAATCGTCAGACCTGCGGAGTCGTCCGGATCGTGCTTCTCTAGGATTCTGTCCTGTCCCTCCTAAGGACTGGGGCGGGCCCCACCAATCTTGAGTAATATCAATTCCACGAACACGTGTTATTGCACTTTGCAGTTTTAGATATCTTGATTGCAGTGGCATAGATGTACAACCCCAGTCCACTCTCCACTTACGATACATAGCTAGGACTACCTAGCCCGATTCATCGGCCCCCAATTCGGCCGCGGATTCAGTTGATACCTGACCAGATTCCTACTCTCCCTATCTTTCCCCAGTTTCTCGTCAAATACGACCCTCAACTTCGTGCCTGACGCAGACTTAACTTCTGCAGCATCTTCCCCGCTTTTAGCCGCCGCATCTGCAGCTGCATCTGCCCCTGCCCCTATCCCTGCTTCTCCACATTCCACCGCATCCGGCACGCCGGCCCCATCCCCCGCAGCAGCCTTACCGCCGTCGGCTCCACGCCCGTTCTGCTCTGGCTTGCCGTCCGCCTTCTCAACGTCAACGCCATCCGCCTCCTTCTCCTTCCTCACTACCCCCTTCTCCAGGCTCTTCTTAGTACCATCATGTCCATACAAGATCCCCCACCCGGCCATCCCCTTCCTCAGTGACCCCTCCTTTAGCGGCGCTTTCTGCCTGACCCACTCCCTCATGATCTCCCACACGACATCCCACCCTGCATCTGTCTTGATGACCCCGGGCTTCGCGTGGCTGCGCGTGGCGCGGTACCCTGCATGCCTGAGCGCGCCTTTGATGGCTGCTTCGGGCGGAGATTGGCAGTGCAGAACCCCCGCCAGGTGGGAGGAGCTGAAGAAGAAGGGGTGATGGTCCACTTCGTAGGCTGGGACGGAAGGAAGGGGCAGCTCAGGCGCTTTTCCACCCGCAGTCTTCGGCGTGTTGAGGACGCTAGGAGCGGAAACCTGGGGGCTATCGAAGAGCGTCTCGTCGTACGCAGTCCGCAGCATCCCCTCAATGCGCTCAGTCGTCTCGTACGTGGCCCGGTCCAGCTCAGGGAGGAAGCTGAGAATTTTCTCAATGAACGCAGGATTGTGCAGCGGCCCGCCATACATGGGCCCGGAGAGGTGAGTCTTGAAGCCACAGTGCGCGCAGTACGGCGACGCGGAGGGCGCTTGCGCGAGGCTGTACTTCCACAGCGTCTGCCCCTTTTTGGATTCGTAGGTCGTGTTGCGGCCTAGGAACTGCGTGCTCCAGGCGCCGCAGCCGGCGTCGCAGCCGTAGACGAGCATCGTTTTGCTGGCTAAAAATTTCACGTCTGCGCCGCTTTTTCTCACGCGCACAAAGACGCGGGCGTAGAAGTCGATGGAGAGGGAGAGGAGTGGTTCGATGGCCAGGCCGTAGCGCGCCGCGGAGGTTGCGATGGCGTGCAGAATGAGGCGCAGGCCGCCTTCGTGGCTATGGAAGCCTTTTATAGGTAGGCCGCCGTATTGGCTGTATGTTTTCTCGAGGTAGCCTGTGGATGCGAAGACAGCGGCGTCGGTACAGGTGACGCAGAGGAGGCCACCGTCGTTGAGTGCTTGCACGGCTGCGTCTAGGAAGGGTACCGCGGTGCCATAGGGATCGAGGTCGATGACATCGTATTTTGGCCCTGGCCCACCAGCGGGCTCTTGCCCAACGAAACTGTACATGTGCGCAATGGCATTGCTGGTCATTGGTACTATCTTGTCTTCGAGGCGGTTGTGTTTCACGTTCAACGCAATTGCCGCTGTGGCTTTCTCGGACAAGTCGTTGGCAGTTACAGAGGTGATGAAGGGTATCTCTTGCGCGTAGCGGAGAGCGCGGAGGCCGGTAGCGGACAGAGCGTCGAGTATCTTGAAGTGGCTTCGTGACATTGGTACGCCTGGCCTTCCGCCAGGATCTTCTGTGGTGCCTAGGCCTGTACCTGCTTGGCTTGGCTGTTTCCCAGGACCTGTCGCGCCTTTGTCTAAAGACTTCTCCAGGGCAAGCAGATCTGAATCGTTGATGCCTTCTTCATCGACAGCATCGTCTTCGGCCGGGACCACAGAGACTTCCTCGTGGGCCACAGGTTGCCGGTGCTCAGGCTCCTTAGCTGTAGCGTCCACCATTTCCACGTCCCCCGCAAGCGTTCCGCTGCCGCCCTCATCGATCCTCCGTCTCTTTACTCCATTCACGCCCTCGATTGTGCCCTCCGCAGCGCCCTCTTCCGGCGCCGTAGCCTGCATAAGCTTTCGCCTAGCATTACGCTTCTGCTGCTTTTCCTTAAAGCCTGACTTATTTCCCCTTTTCTCGCTCTTGCGCTGCCGTATAGCAAGCAGATCCTCGCCGAACGCACGTATAGCTAGAACGCTCAGATCTCGGTTGAATTGCTGGATGGGGTTATAAAAGACCTGCTGGGTCTGCTCGGCAGGTTGCTGCTTGAATGTCCTCGGATCGGTGGAGAGCGCTGCATTCGGGGGTATCAGGATATGAGCTAGCCCTTCCTTGATTGTAGTGTATTCTGTCCCATCGTGCAGTATGGTTTGCCCAGGCCGTGGCAGATCGGTGATACTCGCTGGTTTCGTGTTGCCCGGCGTCAAGAGCGCCGCGGCCATAATTGGGGGTTTGGATCTACCCCAAGATGTCAGCGCGCTGGGAGGATAATGGCGGCACTTGATGTGAAGCTCTTCGACTAGTGCTGGCTCATTCTTAGCAGCCCAAATGGGACCCTCACGGCTGACTCACCCTTCGAACCGCTTTTCAGGCTTTTTCTTGGCCTGGGCTCTCTTCTTGCTATTTCGGTGTCCAGCAATATGCCTTACAAGACTACCGGATGTCCATGCGAGCAAACGGGTGCATGTGGCTCGTGATGCTCTCCGCGTGCATAGAGCTGTAAAGAAGAATGGTGCCGCCAGCTTAGAGGATGTCAATCGCGCTTCCTAGCAAAATCTGTTTGATTAACTGATTTGTCGCGTTTCGAGCTCCTATTTCGACGGTTCCGGGAGCACAAGCTACTAGAAAAGCTTGGCGAAGCTTGCAAGTCTTTAGATCGGCCATGGCATCTTACATCACGATTAAGTGCGCAATATGCGTACATATTTATTCGTTATCACAGAAGTCCGACCGCTCTGATTGTGGCCAAGTTCAGCCATTGGAAATCCTGCTGTCTCTACAAGCGCCAATTTCGGGACGCAGTTTCATATCACCTGCACAGCTAGAAATACAATTTCTCTTATTCTGAATCACCGCTATGCTGCTTGCTTTCGGATCAAATGGCTCGGGTCAGCTAGGAATCAGGCATGAAGACGATGTCTCCGCACCCCAGACATGCGCTCTTCCACCCTCATTTGAAGCAGCGGCTCATGTCCACATAGCCGCCGGTGGGAACCACACCCTAGTCCTCGCGCGCTCAAAGCCCTGTTCGCCAGACGCTCTATCTTCTGTGATGTATGCTTCTGGCGACAACAGTGACGGACGATGCGGGAACAGTTCACGCCGGCTAAACACCTTCCGGCACGCTGACCTCCGCATCAACAACGGCGCTCCACTTTACGATGTAAAGCTCTGCTCAGCAACCTGGGAGGCATCCATCTTCGTAACCACAGAGGATGCGGTTTTCAGCTGCGGGACCGGCCTAAAAGGGGAACTCGGACTCGGGAAAGAGGTGACCCAAGCAACTTCACCACAACTCATCATCAACTTCCCACCCAAGGACACCCGAATCGTTGATCTTGCCTCCAGTATGGGCCACACGGTAGCTGTCCTGTCGAACGGAGACGTTTACGGTTGGGGCCAGGGCCGCAAAGGTCAGCTTGGGCATCCGGCTGAGATTTGCTGGGAGCCCCGGAAGATCGATGGAATTGGATTCAAAGCCGTTCGTGCAGTTTGTGGCAAAGACTTCGTATATGTCGTAGGCACCCCTGAGGAAGGAACCCACACGGTTCTGGGCTCGGACAAGTGGTTTGTGCGATCAACCGCCCCGGAAAGTATTGCTGGTTGGAAAAGCATAAGCGCAAGCTGGGGTGGCATCTATCTTCTTCTCGAATCTGGTAAGCTCATTGGGTGGGGAAGAAACGATCACGGCCAACTGCCGCCAGCAAACATTCCGCTCATTGAATACTTCGCTGCTGGAAGTGAGCACGTGCTTGTAAGGACAAAGACTGGCAAGATCCTGGCTTGGGGTTGGGGTGAGCACGGTAATTGCGGAGCGCCAACAGCGGCCGGCGGTGATGATGTGGCTGATAGGTGGAATGAGATTGAGGTCGAAGGCGTGGTGATGGGAGTTGGTGCGGGATGTGCAACAAGTTGGATCCACGCGGCGGAACCCTGACTGATGTGCTAGCTCAAAGCTCTCTCACTACTTACGAAGCCGTCGTGGGGCTGCATCTAGACACATAAGCGTACCCGACCACTCACGTTGGGCTTGCGGGTGCTGCGTGGCGGAGTCGCTCGGATATGCGGCTACTAAACCGTACGCGCACAGCTAGAAGCGTTGGATTTCTGACGGTGCTCGTCTACCACAGTCCTCGGATCTAGAAGCTGTCAGAGTCGAGTGCTGGAACCATCAGTTAGACCTGCACCGTACCTGAGAGACCCTCTGCGTTGGCGCTAGACCCTCCGTATTATCGTCAGTTGCAGATCTGGCTGCTGGAGCCGTGTCGCGGAAAATGTGATGAGGGGCGTTATCCTACACCCGCTGTGTCAGCAGAGTAACGGATGTACATCACTGTCCCATGACTTACGTTGTCCGCGCTGGCATCCCACCCAAGGGTTTCCTCCTCGTCCCTAAAGACTGCTGGATCCCAACGACGGTCTTCCTCTTCCAAGGGAACGAAAAGCGGTTCCGGATCAGACTGCAGCCGCTGCAGATTTGATGAAGCGGGCGGCCTGGTGGATCCTGGGACTTTGTTCCTGTGAGTTGAGACTCTCGATCCTGCTTCCGACGGAGGCGGCATTTCAACTGGTGCCGGATGATTGTCAGTTCGTGCGCTTGCCGTCGACTGTGCTCTTGAAATCGATCTGCTAGCAACTGCATGGCTTGGAGCTGGTGCAGGAGTGCCTCTATAGTCCCCGGCCGTCATCAAAGTAAACTCGCAGTGCATGCCCTCACCGCCGTAGGAGAACTGCAGCGGCCGAGTAGGTTGAGAATAGCAGGCGCTTATTTCGGCCCGGAGATTATCAGCATGTGTGACGATGGCCTTGAAGTCTTTGACGCTGATTACGATATGTAGCTTTTCTTGGGCGCTGAATTCTTCAAAGTCTGCTGTGCTGGCTGAGACAGCTGTCTGTAGAGGGTGCTTCAGTATATCTGCTGAAGGATTAGCATTTGGACCCAACAGATCTGAGGAGGACCCACTTTTGCCGTCTGAGATCTTCTCGGTGAAGCTCATGAATGTGACTCGGCCGTCCTCTGAGTAGATGTCCAGTTGCTCCGTTTTTGGCCCAAAATACTCGATGTACTCCTTGAGACATCCCGAGTGGATTTTCCACCGGTTTTGCGCCATGTTCTTGTCGAACAGCGCATGCATTACTTCAACAGACTCGTAAGTCAGCTTGTAGGTCTTCGTCACACCTGCCACAAGGGGGCAACGTCAGTCATAAGCTTGATGCGCATGAAAGGCCGTAAAGACTGATCTATACCTTGATTGTGCACCATCTTCACCACAAGGCGACACTCGGCTTCATCCGGACGCTCCTGCACGCTGACCTCGCACCTGTCAATAGCAGACTCCCGCCCTCGCGCATCGGCGACACGCCCCTTGAAGACCGATAGCAGCGCCTTATATGAGGTTACCAGCCGAATGAATGATATCAATGTTTTTGTTCCTTACTTTGTTGTACAAGCGGCAGGTGAAGCGCCCCTCAGTACTGCCTTGGCTTGGGACACAACTGTAACTGGAGAAGAATCGGCTTGCCTCAAGTGACACTGAAGCGTAGGCGGACTTGGAAGAGTTCAACGCGGTAAGAGACAGCTGGATATGGACACCCGTCAATTATGAAATTGTTGGCTTGACGCCAAAGAACAGCCTACCTTGTCTTGACGCGCCTCGATTGAGACCGACTCACTGAACTTGGTTAGACACAACAAGGCATCATGAATCTTGACGGATGCCTCGGGGGACAGAGTGAACTTGAGTGACACCATGCTGCGCGACTCTGCTTTTCGGTGTCGAGTGTTGAGATGAGATTAGCCGCTTCGTTGCCCCAAGATGTTCGCGTCGCGCCGCACGCGTCTTCCTCGCCACGTCGTCACCTGCAAGCTTGCTTTGCGCCGGAGCGGAAACCTCGAGACCCTTAGGCCAGCCAGATAGTCTCTAAGAATCCTGTAATGTGACGATGTCCATGAGTAGATTATGCGACGCTAACAATACTCTGGTATTTAAGGGTGTAACCAGCATGTCGGTTTCTCCTCTTCCGGACGATATCCTCCACATACTCTGCGCAGAACTAGCTCGGCAGCGAGACTTCGATACCCTCTTCAATTGCGCGGTTTCGACCAAGTCATTCGCCCTACCAGCGCTTACACAATTATACCGGTCAGTCATGGCTTGCTGAGATGTATCCTACCCTCTCTTGCTCACTTCACTCTAGCAATTGCCATATCTCTCCAGTCAAGGGCGGCCCCAACGAGACCATAGCCTTGTCACAGCAGGAGCTCATAGTCCAGAAGTGGTCTATTCTCTGGCGATCTATCATCGCTTCGAGCTTGGAACAGACCTTGTTCCCGTACTGCAAATACATCAGAGTACTCGATTTGCAAGATCTCAGATACTTACTTGAAGATGCCAAATTCAGGGGCAACATATCCAGGTGAGTAAGTAAGCGTACGCGTAACGCTTCAACCGATTCACAGGGTCATAGGAATTTCTTCTCTGGGAAGCTCTCAAGGTTTTACATTGTCCTCGACCCTCCAGCATCAAAGGTCGGATCCAAACCCGTCCCCCGTGCTGCTCGTCTCAACGTGACTTCCATAACGGATGCCGTCGGAGAAGGTTAGCGGATCCGATGCTTGATTCAGAGAAAGATCTCTAACTCCGCAGTTGTTACTCCCCATACACACATGCTGGAACAGATATCGGGAGATGGTACGTCTATTCTCTTACACCAGTAGCATGGGGTCTGATCAGTGAGCAGTGTTGCCAACTGCTCTCCCAAGATGGATCACCAGGCTACCACGCCTGAGGTCGCTTGATTTGTGGGACGGCAGGAGTCTTGCAGAGGAGAACCTACAGGAACTCATTGCCAAGCACTGCCCAAATTTTGATACTTTCAGTCTATACATGTGGTGAGCAACCTTTCTGCGGCTATTCTTTTGTCAGTTTCATACGACTTGGCTTGATTCCGCTCGTCAGAGACGGCCGTGACCCATCCGGCAGATGCGAATATGCTCAAAGAGGCCTTGCTAGACATGTTTCGAGTATACATGGCCGACGTGCATAAGGCTGAAGTTGTTTGACCATCTGGAGGGCAAGTCTGGAGAAATCTACAGATCGCTGACCAACAAAAGGCCTGGGGAGGGGCAGGATCATCGATTCTCGACTTTCATAAGTGGTCTCCGTCCACAATCACTTCACTATTTCGAGGTTTTCAGTGATGCCCACATCGGTGCGGAAACCTGCCTAGCATTGAACGACCACGGACAGTCGCTAAAATCCATCAAGTTGAGCCTGAGGTCCGAGGCTCTCCCCCAATTGGCGCTCCTTAAAGGCTGCACAGCAGTGGAGACGCTACACCTGGAGGACATGGACGGCACTGCTGACCTCCACAAGATTCACAATGACGCCTTTCTTGAGGTTGTTGACTGGCTCAAAAATTGCAGCAACCTACAAGACTTCAGCCTAAAAAACTTTGTCGGAGCAGCGGACATCGGTACTCCTATCCTCGTGGAACATTCTATCCGGTTGCGACAGCTCTGTTTAGATAGCTATATGGTCAAGGATAACCAGACCTTTCACGCGGCATTGATCCAGCAGCCACTGCTAGAAGTTTTGTCACTCAAAGGCGAGGCCGACGGAGTGGGTTTCGATGACAATGAGATCCTGCTCCAGTCTGTTGGACAACTCAAGGAACTACGCGTACTGGAACTCAGAGGTGTGTCGGATTACTTCTCGAACGAACACATCATTGGCCTTGCAGAGCAACTTAAAAAGCTGGAAGACCTCTACATCTCCGGCTATGGTATCACTGACATCGTCTGGGACCCTCTTGCTGAGTTGAAGAACCTCCGGAATATTGTCATCAATGCTTGGACTGCCTTCACAATGGACGGATTACTGGAGTTCATCGAGAAGCTCAGGCCAAGCAATCAAGGAATCGTGATTTCCATATACAATGCAGATCCAGACAGTTTGCTTAGCGAGGAGCAGCAGGCTTTGGTGCGGGAGGTTCTCGCCACGAAGGTTGGCGGAAGGCTGGAATATACCCCTTGGAGAGGTAAGAGTTCCCCAGCAGTCTCCTTGGACTTCGCACTGACTCTCGTAGACCCAGAAGTATCGGAGTTTGAGGGCGAATCAGATGAGTGACCGATTGGCATCGACTGAGTTCTTCGATGGTAACTCTGAAGCCGAAGGTTCAGAGTAGTGGAGCTACTGGACTTAATGGTCTTGGAGCAACAAGGGATTGACAACATACAACGCACACTGTTGCTGGTTTTTGGCTTTGGAGACAGAAATAGCCCGGAGTAGTCGATTCCGGAGCGATGACGTCGTGGCTCGCTAGTGGACAGCGCGTCACCCAAGAATTGTGTGAACGGGAAAGTACGACGAAAATGGAATCTTTTTGAAATCATTGAGCACAATCCCGTATCATGGCTGCCAAACGGATTCTGGTGATAGCTGGTTCGGACAGCTCTGGTGGGGCGTACGATTCCGTACCAAGCTGCTACAACGCCATGCAATACTAACACCCTGCACCAACAGAGGCCTGGAAGCCGATCAGAAAGTGATAGCGGCGCATGGCTGCTATGCAATGACTGCTACAACCGCATTAACGGCCCAGAACACTCAAGGGGTCTACGGCATCCATGAAACGCCGTCAGACTTCGTCAGGAAGCAGATAGATGCGTGTATTGAAGACATCGGCGTCGATGTGGTCAAGACGGGTAGGTAGCAAGCTTCTGTCCAAGCTTGGCAGTTTCGTCTCTTACCACGAGAAGGCATGCTGGCTTCGGCCTCGACGGTTGAAGTTGTTGCAGATGCTCTCCGAAGACACGATGTTGCGCTGTCTGTTGTGGACCCAGTAACGAACCCCAAACCCAATCCTCCATGCCCACACCACTAACAGATCAGGTCATGGTCGCCACAAGTGGTGCGCAACTCCTACCAGAAGAAGCCGTCGAGACAATGTGCAAGCAGCTTCTACCTACGGTGACCATCCTCACGCCAAACATGCCCGAGGCATTGCTACTACTCAAAACTAGCGGCCAAGCCGCAGAGGAGCCCAAAACCCTAGACGATATCATCAAGATAGCGAAATCTGTCCAGAAATTAGGACCGAAGTACGTTTTATTGAAGGGCGGCCATCTACCATTGACGAAGGACCGAGTCGTATCGACCCAGGAAGCGGACCATCACAGCGTCATCAACATTCTCTACGGAGAAGACCAGACCATCATTCTCGAGACAGAGCATCTAAGATCAAAGAATACTCACGGGACAGGCTGCTCATTGGCCTGTAAGCAGCGCTTTCTCATACCGGAGATACCTTCCACTCACCGCATGAATTCGTAGCCGCCATTGCATCAAATCTGGCCTGCGGTATGGAAACGGCACAGGCTGTTACAGCCGCAAACCTCTACGTCGAAGCCGGTATACGAACAAGCAAAGATCTTGGTAAGGGGAGCGGCCCGATCAATCATTTTCATTCCGCGTATCATCTTCCTTTCTCTCCGTAAGTACAGCCACGCAAACTTTGAACTCTTACCAACGGAGCTCACAGCGGGCACTTCGTCGACTACATGCTTAATCGGGAGGACGTTAAGAAGGCGTGGCTGGCGTACTCCGAGCATGAGTTTGTGAGGCAGCTTGCAAAGGGTACTTTGCCCCTTGAGAAATTCAAGAACTACTTGGTTCAAGATTATCTATTCCTCGTCAGTATCTCTAGGTGTCCGTACACTGCAGTGCTGATCTCAATATTAGATCCACTTCGCGAGAGCCAACGCGCTAGCTGCGTACAAGGCCAAATCGCTAGAGGATATCAAGAGGGTAAGCCGGGAGCTGCATTGATGTATTCGCTATTATGCTGAAATCGGCAGTCTGCAGAGAATGTCACCCACATTCAGGAGGAGGTGAAGCTCCATATCGAATATTGCAAAGAGTTCGGGTTGTCACAAGACGAGATTGAGAACGAAGAAGAAAGCGAAGGTAGGGGTGACTTCGAGTTGATGGTAACCCTGCTGATATCCCTCTCAGCGTGTACGGCATACACAAGGTATAAGACCCGGTACGACTTATTGCTGTAGCGCTGAATAAGAATCCGCAGATACGTCCTCGATGTCGGACAATCAGAGGACTGGCTGGCTCTGCAGATTGCTTTGGCGCCATGCTTGCTCGGGTACGGCATGATCGCGAGAAGACTGTACGGTGATGCCGAAACAGTCCGTGAAGGGAACAGATACTGGAAATGGATCGAAAGCTATGTCTCGGATGATTACACCGAGGCGGTCAGGAACGGGAGAGGTGAGCATGTTTGGCGGGTCTTGCAGCAGTTCTGGGTTGACCATGCCGCAGACCTCATAGAGAAACATGCGGTAAAGCAGTCGGCAAGCCGCATCGAAGAATTGGTGCGCATGTTCATTCATGCAACACGGGTAAGTCTGCCTTTCTTTAACTCTGGCGGAAGAGTGCAGCTTGCTGATCATACTAGATGGAAATGGGTTTTTGGAACATGGGATTTAGAGAAGTAAGCGAGGGATCAAGTACAGGAACTACGATGCGCTCTCCGACCGTTGGATGAACCAAATCTGGAAGCTGAGAGAAGGGTCTGCATTAAATTCGGAGACTCTTTGACAAGGGAAGATGCAATGTCGACGTGCTTCCACCGGCAGCTTTGGTGGTTGCGTTTGTGCTGCAACGACCCGACGTCAAGCAACTGAGTGATGGATTCGCTGTCAAGCGGTAACGCGGGTATCATCAACATGAAGCGAAGCGATATTCAGTACCTATTTTCATGTTTGTCGTCAGTTGACGAGTAATCTACCACATACCTCACGGATGAGCAAGTGGTGTTGGGAGTACTCAATATCACGTGACCTGATAGGGCTGTCCCGGTTCAGCCGGAGATCGCCACCATTCTGGCTTAGCGCCTTTCCGAAATATTTTGGAAGGTTCTTCACGTCGGTTGCCTCCTGCCTTGAACATCCACCTCATCCCATCTCACTTCTTCAATTTTCTGTCCTTGCTTCTTCTCTTTATTCGCAACAAGCTCCACACAGCCGAGCGAAACTTCACCAAAGTGACAGAATACCCTCACGATCCCTTTTAATCTACGTCACGGTCACTACTGAACGCGTCGCATAACATGTCTTACAGCGGCAGTTACGGAGGCTCTCGCGGCGGCGGCGGAGGGTACGGTGGCAGCAACGGCCACTCCAACGGGTACGACAGTTCCAACCGCGGCTACGGATCCTACGACTCCAGTCGCTACTCCAACGGGTACGCAACACCCTTAGGTTTATGGCATTGGCAGCTCTTGGTTCAGTGCTTTCGTTGCAGCGCAACACGTTCTTTCACACCTCTTTCACGCTGCCTGTTTCTCCATCCACAGTCTGGTGTCTCTGCTGTTTTTTCGAGGACGCAAACTTATGAGCACAAGCTAACGTCATCGCAGATACGGTGGTAGCAACGGTTACTCTGGCGGCACGAATGGCTATGGCGGTGGTAGTAACGGATATGGCGGCGGCAACAGCTACGGTGGAGGCTACGGCGGAGGCGCAGGAGGCGCCGGCGGCGACAGAATGTCCAATCTAGGTGCCGGTCTCCAGAAGCAACACTGGGATCTCGCGACCATGCCGAAGTTCGAGAAATCGTTTTACAAGGAAGATCCAGCAGTTGCCGCTCGCTCAGAGGCCGAGGTCGCGAAGTTCCGCCAGGAGCATCAGATTGCCATCCAAGGCCGCAACGTCCCCAAGCCGGTCACATCCTTCGACGAGGCCGGTTTTCCATCATACGTCATGAGCGAAGTCAAGGCACAAGGTTTCGCAAAACCTACAGCTATCCAGTCTCAGGGCTGGCCGATGGCTTTGTCTGGGCGCGACGTTGTAGGCATCGCCGAAACTGGTTCGGGCAAGACCCTGACCTACTGTCTCCCAGCAATTGTTCATATCAACGCTCAGCCTCTTCTCGCCCCAGGCGATGGCCCCATTGTCTTGATTCTAGCTCCCACCCGTGAGCTGGCAGTGCAGATCCAACAGGAGATCAGCAAGTTCGGCAAGTCCTCTCGCATTCGCAACACATGCGTGTACGGAGGTGTTCCCAAGGGCGGCCAGATCCGTGACCTTGCACGCGGCGTTGAAGTCTGCATTGCCACACCGGGCCGCTTGATTGATATGCTCGAGTCCGGAAAGACCAACCTTCGTCGTGTTACTTACCTCGTGCTTGACGAAGCTGACCGTATGCTGGATATGGGGTTTGAACCACAGATTAGGAAGATCATCGGTCAGATCCGCCCGGACCGTCAAACCTGCATGTGGTCGGCGACATGGCCGAAGGAAGTGCGCCAGCTTGCATCGGATTACCTGAACGATTTCATTCAGGTCAACATCGGTTCCATGGAATTGTCAGCAAATCATCGCATCACCCAGATTGTCGAGGTCGTCTCGGACTTCGAGAAGCGCGACCGAATGACCAAGCACCTTGAGCGCATTATGGACGACAAGAACAACAAAGTTCTGATTTTCACGGGTACTAAGCGTGTCGCGGATGACATCACTAGGTTCCTTCGCCAGGATGGCTGGCCAGCACTGTGTAAGCTTGCAACGCACCCGCACCATATGTATCTAGGCTAACTCAAAAACAGCGATCCATGGTGACAAGCAGCAGAACGAACGCGACTGGGTCCTCAACGAGTTCAAGACCGGAAAGAGCCCCATCATGGTTGCCACCGACGTGGCATCCCGTGGTATTGGTATGATTACAGTTGCACCCTCCCCTCTCTTCCCTTCTCAAGTCCCTTTCCTTCCCTCGTCTGCAATTGCGTGATCTGAAGTGATGCCATGCTCTCTGTTCTCGTGCGCTTTCCTCGCATTCATGACTGTCCAGGGCTTTCTACTTTCCTTGGCTTGCTACCCGGGACCCTTGGACATCTGCAGGAATGAAGCAGGCTTGCTTTGTTCGATTTTCTTTTCTCAGAGTACCGTCTGGTACTGAGGCAGATCGTACTTCTTGACTTGTTCAAGTTGCACTTCCAAGGATTCCCGGACCAGGAGAAACCCACAGCCACCCACTGGACCGTTGAATGTCTCACAATGATTGTAGCGCACAGAGCATATTGCACATCCACTCGGCACCTTCAGGTTCACGCGACCGACAAAAAGATCCCTTGATTCTCCCCCCCTCACTGTAAGCTTGCTAACCTGTACATCAAGATGTTCGCAACATCACCCATGTGCTGAACTATGACTATCCGAACAACTCGGAGGACTATGTTCATCGCATTGGTCGAACAGGTCGTGCTGGTGCCACTGGTACCGCTATCACGCTCTTCACAACTGAGAGTAGGTCAACCCGGTTTCCCTCTGGTAAACGCTGGAAGCTAACGGCGATTGTACAGATTCGAAGCAGGCTCGCGACCTTGTAGCTGTGCTTACAGAATCCAAACAGCAGATCGACCCCCGTCTGCATGAGATGGCCCGCTACGGCGGCGGCGGTGGTGGCGGCCGTTACGGAGGCGGCCGAGGAGGTCGCGGCGGTGGTCGCGGCGGCGGTAAGCAACACTCTTTGAATCCGGACACTAGTATACTAATTCACTTCACAGGCTTCGCATCGTCCAACAGCGCACCAGTGCGGAACTCTCGCTGGTAGTTCATTGACGCACCTGCTTCGTGACCTTCCCTGCATACGCATGCAAAGTGGCCCTCAAACCACCTTCGATCCAGTTCCTTGAGAATCTCGGGCTTTTAACCTAGATCTGCTTTGTTGGGCTATGTCTTTTCTGTCGACCTACCTCCGGGTGTCTTACCTCAGCCCACGGACATGGTAGGCATCTCCACGTCTTTCGAGCAAAAATTTGCGCATGTGTCGTGGCGTTCGGGATGGCGATATGGCGGCCTTGCTATTCCATGGCTTCTGGCTAATAGACTGTCTTCTAATCTCTTTCTTTTTCTCCTTCGTTGATACCTAGGCTGCGAGACGAGTAGTTTCAGATAGGAAAACCCGTAGCTCTTTGCTATATGCGCACGATTTTCGAACGCGAGCTTCATTACAACAAAGTACTCACTCACCATGTAGACACATTTCTTAAGGCGCAATAGGTGTCATGGTACTCCTCCCCATCTGTCACGTGATATCACTCTGGAGCGCGGTCAACGTCTTATGGATGGTTTTGGTGCCCCTTCACACCATCCTATGAACACTCACAGCAACGTTTCCCTGCCGGACCCTCCGGTGCTCCATCCAGCTTCAGTCGGTGATGCGCTGGCTGTGCATGTGCTGCAACGCGCGGGATCCACGGCACTGCAAAATGAAGGTGGCTGCATTCGGAGCCAGTAGAAAATCTTCAGCGGCGCCACAGCTGAGATGACACGGCTGTCGCACAGCATGAACAACTACACGCGGCTTCTTAACTTTAGCTGACCGCCACGTCGAGGTTTGTGCTGCGGACGTTGAACTTTATCTTCGTGTAGACGGTTGAGTTGCCATTGACGGTATGGACACTCTGTTGTTCACGATGCTGATGGTGCACAAGTACAACGTGTATGAGTAATAGGCAGGGATGATATCAATAGCGGGGGTCTGCCGACCCACCATCACCATCGATTTCCTTGGGCGTCCCGTGTGTCCGAGTATGCCGGAGTATTGAGCTAGTACCGGCCATGCAGGTGGCCTTTATCCGTAGTTAATGTCCTCATCTTCAAACTATCCCATCAGCTGGCCCGACGAGATGGTGGTCGTACGCGAATTCGCGAACAACGTCGGTTAGTTGGACATGGGCTTCGCGACCAATCCTAGCCACATTGCCGGCCCCGTCTAGCCAAAGCTTGTTTGAGCATCACTCAAAGTTTCCCAGACCCAGTCTTGCATTGATTTGTGCTCATTGGCTAGCCGACGTTGAGCTGTTTCTTTCTTTGCAGACTGTCATCGCTTTGCTGTGACTGGCCTGTCTCGAGAGTCTAGGCCTCCAAAGATCTCCACCGATGGCAGAGGCCCCAGCGTGGAAGTCTCCATGACCCTTGAACGACATCTTGTTGCGGTACGGGGGTACGTACTCGGTGATCGCCACTGACGAAGAAGCGCATGGTCGACCAACCAAGAGCAGGATAGCTGCGGGAGCGAATGCCGCTGGGCAACAGCCTTTCCGCCAGGCAAGGTTTTGGGGATTCAGACATGCCTGCAGTAAATCACAGCAGGGTTCTGGATTTAACCGCCCCTTCGATCTGGGCATCAGCGGATGATGAGAATGCCATCGATACAGGAAGATTCGGGGCGCGTTGAGCGCAGATTTGTCAACCCAGACAATGCCCATCGCGCTCGACTGCGGCAAATGAGGTTCTCTCGGCCATGGCCCATCTGGGCAGAGATATTATCGGCGCCACAAAACGAAGTCGTTGAAATGTGCCGTAATTGTTTGCAGCATCCGGCCCGCTCATTCGCCGAGACATGGCATCTGACCAACATCTTTTCTGTAACGGCTGCACATCGCTTTCAAACAGGAAGGTCGCTTTGACTGCCCTTCCCGCGGCGGGCCACCATGCGCACAGCTTCACTGACCTTCTTCTTGCACGGCACGCAGTCGGCCAAGACTCGGGGATAAGCAGGGGAACATGGATAGCCGTAAGAGCATGGGCCATATGGTTCCTTTTGGGGCTCTCGTTGTTCGGTGATGCGCAACGGCTGCTCCTTTCACGCGCATCGGACATGCCTCCTGAGCTCTCGTCTCTACGTATGCTCGGTACAGCGTGTATCAGGTATTGTACATCAAGGCAGATCACGCACGCACCTGGCAGCCACGCACACTGCTGCAACAAACCCGTGTGGACATCTGCATTGATGCTACAGCGGAGCCGAGCCGCTCATCGGCTGACCTGCGTTTCAATCCATCACAATACGAGATGAGTCAAGGAGTGCTGAGAGCAGGTTCATCTGCGGCACGGCGGCTGTAACGGCACGAAGGCAAGAAGCTCCAGGTGTCGCCCGGAGTCGGCTGCCAAAGATATTGGCTGGTTGAGAGGTGTATCTGAGTGGGGGGAAGGGAATATTTGAGATTAGAGTCCTCAGCCACATGGTCGTCACCAGGCGTGGCCACCCTCCGTCGCTCTCTGGCCCGGGGAGCACAGAGAAACTCTGACTTGCCTCTTGTCCTGCTCGTGACAAGCGACAATCTTGTGGTCTGGACGTGGTGTTGCAGTGACTGCTGCCGTCTCTCTCTAGCTCTCTCTCGCTCTCTCACAGTGGCCGTGCTGCCGCAGTTCGGCCAAATAGGCGCGGGAATGCGCTCGGAGCCAGCTGGGCAGTGTGCGGAGCAGCGTTGTTCCTCCGGCAGATTTTTGCTCGGCCAGTGCAACGCGACCAGTGCAACTCAGCCTTTTCCTCTCCCTGCCTAGCTCGCAGCGTCCAGCAGCTAAGATCTCAGCCTCATCAGAATCTGAACGACCAGCATCGCACTTTGCCTGTCGCGCTCAAGCGCCACCCAGTCAAGCCTTTGCGCAAGCTGCTGACCGCAGGCCGCCTGCAAACCGCGTGCTCGCCTGTCCGGAGGTGCAAGCGAAGCCGCCCCTGAGAACGCCTCTCCGCTGCTCGATCGGCCACCACCCGGCCTCGACTCACCTCCTCACGTTCCTCTCTGCGCTCTCCTCTCTCCCCTCTGCCTCGGACCGTGGCCCAAGTGCGGACTTTCCCTTTACCGCCCTAGCACGTCACAGCATTGCGGCCTGCCTCCCCTCCATCCAAGCCGACGCCAGCGTTTCTCCGTCATCTCCCCACCATCGACGAGTGCGCGCTGCTCGTACACGTGCAACTGCTCTCCAAGAGCGCGCACCACTCTCGCCGAGCGCACACTTCTCCTTGCAACCATACTGGTGGGCACAGGGGCGGCGCTGGAGATCACGGGAGAAGCCGTTTCTCGACTGCGCGGTTGATTTCCCCAAGCGCGCCCAGCGACCAAAAACCCGAGCAGGGCCAAGATCCACTCCCCCACACGCAAAAGAGAGCCCCTCCGCCAGCAAACCCTGCAGCACCAAGGCCTGCTAAAATCCAGAACAGGGCAATATTCGGAGAGGCGGGCAGCAGGAAGGCGAAAGGGCGGGCTGGCGATCTGGTTCCTGCGCAGCGCAGACTTTTGCCGGCCGAAGAGTGGTTCGTTGTGGGACACTGAGCCTAAAATTTGCACCTAAACCTGGCCGTCCTCGCGCCAAAGGACCGACTTTCACGAGTCAAGCCCGTTCGGTCTTTGGCGGCAGCTGTGATCCCCTGCTGGCGTGCCCTAAGTGCCCTCATCCGAGCCAGCCACCCCTTCCCTCTTGCACCTCACTATCACCATCCAACCCAGCACACAGGCCCGCCGGCAGCTCGCGTCCACTTCGACCAGGCCCCGTGGGATAATCTCCATCAACGTTGCTTGGCACGCTGCGGGCCCCAGGCCTTCAGCGTCATTACCTCACGGCGCGGCCCAAGGCTGCATCGAGCATCCCAGTCCCGCTGCAGTGCACAGCTGGCCCTCGCGCTATTCTCAGGGCCACGCGCCACGCCCTCTGCATCCTAGAGCACGACTGTCTCCGTCCGCTGTGCTTTTCTCGTTGCTCCCAACGAACGAGTGCGACTCGAACGTGGCACTGAAAATAGGCCGACCGAGTCGAGGCGGCCGGCGCTATCCAAGGACGTCCTAGAGGTTCGGAACTCGCCTTGCGCTCGTGGGGCGCTTCATCTTAGCAGTATTAATCATCACTCCCGCCAATGCTTGTCTGCTCCTTGGCTGGAATTTGAGATTGACGGACTGCACATCATCCGCGACTAAGGAGCGCGCCATCGTGCCTGACAACAACAACCCGCACCTCCGGCTTTTCTGACCTGGAGGGAACACCGCGGCTCGCATCGCGTGGTGTCAAGCTTGCGACGAATCACCCGCCAACGCTTGCCAACCGTGATATGTCCACGGGCTATTCCACTCCTCTCTCCGCGCATCCTCCAAGCCCTCACACACCCGGTGCGAAGAACCCTCTCCGCCTGAACGGTCACACAAGGTCTATGGACGGTCGACAGACGGACTACCCGCAGTCAGGTTTGAGCTCGCCTTACCCAAGCTTTCCAGAACCTCATTCTGAAGCTTCTTCTGCAGATCAAGCATCTGCTGCGCAATACCCGCACGGCCAAGATCCGCGATCTTCCAACTTCTCCTCGTCTGCGACACCGACCTCCGACTACGGCCTCAACCCGTCATCAGCGCGCTCAGGTTCCTTCCCAGAATACCTCCAGCGCGGGCAGAACCCGTACAGCGGACAAGGTCCCAACGCAGGAGGAATGGCGCAAGCACAGAGTCCGTCCATATCTCTACAAGATGGCCAAGCCAGCAGTGAAAAGTTCGAAGACGGCGATTCTAACCACGACGTTCCCATAGATCCATCGATAGCGGCCAGTCCAACCTACCCGCCACACCCAAACTACTCTGGCTACCCGCCGCAACACGACATGCATCAGTATCAAGGGCACCCGGCCACGCCAGTCTACGCGCGGCCGGACTGGGGCAACCCGCAGTATCCGCCAGCGCCGCATGGCATGCATCCGCAGTACATGGCGGCGTCTTCAGGGCCGCCACAGCCCTCGATGGTGTCACCTGTACAACGACCACCAGGGGTGGGTTCTTCCGACGCAGTCTCAGTGGCAGCTTCGGCCGCGATGTATGCGCTGTCTTATCCCGCATATTCTAACGGTACCCAGGGTGGGCATCCGCTTTCGACCGTATATTCGTTCGTGCCGATACCGGGCGCCCAGCAGCATAAACGACCGCGGCGGCGCTACGAAGAGATTGAGAGAATGTACAAATGCGGTTGGAATGGCTGCGAGAAAGCGTACGGCACTTTGAACCACTTAAACGCGCACGTTACCATGCAGTCGCACGGCCAGAAGAGGACTCCAGAAGGTGAGTTTTCGCGTTTGTGATTTTCCCTGTGTTACCTCGAGAATGCAGGGGAGCCGTTTCGGCTTTCTTAAGCTTTCAAAAGCATCGGTCTGTCGACCTCTGAGACGGTGCTTCCACGGTCTCGGATAGATTGGAGAGTTTGGAGACTAGCACTAGTCAGAGTGTCATCCATGTCTCCTGGAACCGCGCTACTTGCTAGTCGATCGTCAAGTACATATGCTAACAATAACTTCAAATAGAATTCAAAGAGATCCGCAAAGAATGGAAAGCCAAGAAGAAGGAAGACGAGGCAGCGCGCAAGGCCGAAGATGAGAGGCTACGCCAGGCAGACCCACGGTCCGCCGCCGAAAACCCCCAAGAGCCTGTTTACGGCCAAATTCGAGGCGTAGGCCCTCCACCACAGATGGGCGGGCCAGGGTCACAACTACCTCCGATAGGCTACGCTCCTGCTGGTGCCGGTGGTGCTCCGTCTCAGTATCCTACCCAAAATCCTCAGGCGCTCCCGGGAATGGCCGAATACGCCGCCGGCGGACAAATCTACAACGCGAACAACGGCGGCGGCAGCAATTACCCACAATCTCCATACGCCCCTGGCCAGCCGATCTACCAACAACGTACATAGCCACCCTCCACCTCCCACACGTACGGGGCCCGAGCTGACGTCTCGCAGCCAACGACAACGGCCAGGGCTATCAACAATAACGCCGCGAGCTGAACAGGTTATCGGTGATACGTTTCATCCGGAGCTCAGTCAGCACTCTTGAGGGACTGCGTCGTTTCCGGAGTGGGGATCACAAGACAGCATGGGACCCTCGTACATTTCCTTTAGGTGTCAGACTTGCATTACACGGGGCTCGGAGGGTTGGGTGGCTGTATGTCATGAGATTCAAGGTGTTTCGGGGCGGGGAGGCTTGGAGATGATTACCCACGAGGTTGAACGGCCCGTTCTCTCTGTGTCTGTTGTTTATCTTCGTCTGATATTGCTGTATGGCGGCATTTGCATCGTCCTTTTCTCTCTATGCATCTTTCTCATCACTCATCATTCGGTTGGGGGAGGCAGGTGTAGGAGAGGAAGGTGAAAAGCTTTAGGCGCGGCGGTGTGGCTTTCTTGCTAAGGTGTCCCTTTTAGCGGCCCGGCGAAGGTTATTAGACTTGCATACGTCACGGCGCTTGAGACGAAACAATATGATGGCTTGGTGGCTTTCCTACTCTATCACCGCCCAGTATCTGCTATGCTCTTCCTTTTTTTTTGTTCCTGTGAGCTCGAGGCGGCAGTAGAGCTGTGTTCAGGGCCAAAGCAGGAGGTGTTCACGCGTGGCAATTTCGCCGTTGTTCAGGGCTCGACACGTGTGTAGCAGTAGGATGTCGGCACTTAGGGCTCTATCAAGCTGTGTGTAAATGGTGGTGATTTTTCTGCATGACTGGAGCCACAACTGAGAACGAACCACTTCCCGACCCAGCGATTCTAAGATAGGTGACGGCGACGAAGCTGACAAAGCAGGACCACCGCTGTGATACCCGGACACGATACAGCAGAGGCATTACGTGGCACCTGGTCCAGACGACCCTGCAGCAACGGTTCACGCCTCCCATTTGCATGTGCTGCATTTCCTGCGGACCCAGCATGATTCGTGACCCCACGGCATGATTGATGTGGCGCCTGCTTCGCCTGGATCTCTTGCACTATTCCGGCAGGCCGATCTGGTTTATTTGTGCGGCCTGAGCTGTGCGCCAACCGACGGGGTGATCAGATGTGCACGCTGCGTCGAACGTTCACACTCAGGCTCGTGCAGATTGTGCGCCGCCAGCAAAGCAGGTTGCCACCGCGTGTCAGTTCTACGAGTACCTAGAGTTCAGAGTGAAACTGTAAATGTGGAGACCGCTTGACCGCTCCGGCGTCCGCCGTGCGTTGCGAATTTTCATCACCCTGTTGTCTCTTCGGTGGAGAGCTGCACAGTATTACTCGTACACCGCTCAGCTTGAAGCGGCTATGGGGGGAAATGATAGGACGCGAAATGTCTTACCTTGTCGTCGACAAGGTTCACACAATGCGGAATTGCTCGGTGTCGCTCTCCACACCTGGCTGCGAGAGGACGAGAGGATTCGGACTGCTACCACTGTGCAGCGTCGTCGGGATCCTGTGAGCACGGCAAACCTCCTGGTTCGAGAGCCCAATCTTCCCACAAGACACGTGACTCGATTAATACCCTCAACGTCCAGTGTCCCCGAGCATGCGTAACCAAGGTGCGTTAAAGAATGCCTGGGGCTCAGCCCCGAGCACAAGTACCACACATCTGCCACGGCCTCAGCCGCAAAGCCGCAAGCCATCCGGCGCCGCGTCTGCAAGCAACCGCAGCGATCCATCGCGGACGCTAGCATCGCACGCCGTCTGATGGTTCACGTTACACAGCAGTAGCTGGCGATGCCCTCATGCAATCACTCCGGCTGACAGGCGCAAGCGTCGCCGACAGCCTGGACGGTGCTGACGGCTTCGGGAACTTGCTTGCACGCGTGAGCGCTCGCTCGGGTGGCTCCCGAGAGACGGGTGTTTGGCAGATGGGAGGATGCGGTAACATGATAGGGGAGCTGGCTTCCTGATATCGACACCAGACGACCACTCTCGTCTGGGGAGAGATCTCACGAGGAGACGACAACGACAACGCCAATCTACACTTGACCAGAGCAGTTCACACGTACACCGTCCTTTCCAGCTCCTATGAGCCGCGCAGCCCCTAGCCTTCTCCCAGCATCGGTGTCGCCTCCGACCACATCCAGCTAACGCGCGCCGGCGCGGCCCACGGCTCGTGGCATGCGCTCCGCGACGCTGGCTGCGATTCCCACTTCGCTCCCGCACAGCAAGCGCAGCGTCAACGGTGTGGGAGGGCCGCGGGCTCAGATTCGGACCGCAGATGAGGGATCTCCAGCTAGCTGGGGGCGTGACGAAGGCGCCGCAGTAGCATGAATGCCGGGCGGCGCAGGTGCAACGATGGACTGGTCGTGGGGATTGTCTTGGGATGGGGGACTTGGGACTTGGACGGTTGGGGAATGGGGGCTCGTAGGGCAAATGGTTTACGGCCGAAAGGCTTTAGTTTTGATGCTTGGATAGATTGGGGATGGGCTGTCGCGTCTGGTGTTTCGAGGTCGCAGACGGAGATGTGGCCGCTGGGAGGCATAGCTTGTTGTCTAAGTCCATAGCGCTGTCGTCGTTCATCCGGTGATGTTGGCGAGAAGGGGATGATTGGGAGTTTGAAGATGTCGAGATCCACGTGATCGCTTGGCGCTCCGAGATGAGGCTGAAAAAGTTCTGGAGCGCGATGTGAGGCTTGCGCCGCGAAACCTGATACTGCACAACACAGCTCCCAACTAATGTTCGATTGCCACGCCTGCCTACGGCAATGCCTGCGCGTCCTCTCGCCAGATACACTCCCTATATCTCGTCTCGGCCTCCGCCATCGCGCTGGCTTCCTCAGCTCGCGCCACAGACTGGTGCTACGAAGCCGTGGCTACGCAACAGCCTTCCCTAGACGTGTTCCCTCTACCTTCTCGGCGCAGGCGGTCGTAGAGGAGGGCGAGCCATGGAGAGGGTCGAAACAAGCAGAGGAGCAGAAGCAGCTCGCAACTGCAACGGTCAAGCGTGATCGGGACGCAGTCAAGGATGAGAGGGCTCTCAGGAAGGAGCTGGAGTATCTGAAGGATCCGCTCGAGCTGGCGAACTATGTGCGGAAGATACTGGCGCAGGGCAAGGAACAAAAGGCGGCAGACATCGTACAGCTAGCGAGCAAGGATAGGCAGTGCACTGTCAGCTGGAACCATCTCATAGACTATGAGATGAGCAAGGGGAGGGTCAATGCAGCATTCAAGACATATAACGATGTACGCACATTCCGACTAGTATTCACTGGGCTGCGCTGACTTGTTCGACCCCAGATGAAGAAGCGCGCCCAGACACCAGATTCATACACGTACCTCCTCCTCTTCCGCGGGCTTGCGAACAATGCGCAACTACCATCAACAGTGGGAAGGGCGTTGGCGCTGTTCCACTCCATGTCTGCAGAAAATTCCAAGGTCCAGCCAACTACACTGCACACGAACGCGGTCCTGAAGGTATGCGCTCGAGCGGGGGACATGGATGCAATGTGGGGAGTCGCATCCAACATACCAGAACGAGGAGCCGGCGCAGCCGACAACCTCACCTTCACAACCATACTTAATGCTGTCCGGCAGACTGCGCTGGGTAACACACCGAAAGAGTACACTGAGGATCAGATCGCACGCCTTCTTGACAAGTCGGTTGTGGATGCCCGGCGCATTTGGGAAGACATCGTCGGCAAGTGGCGCAAAGGCGACATCTTCATCGATGAGGAGATTGTTTGCGCTATGGGTAGGGTACTACTCATCGGCAGCCGGCCACGCGACTGGGACGATGTGCTTTCTCTCATCGAGCAGACTATGAACATCCCACGCCTCATGCCACGCCTGGGCACCGAAGCCCGCGCCCTCGCACCTATACCTCGAATCCGCGCGCCTCACACGCCTGCCGACATGAAGAACGACAACCACGAGTTGCCGACCGATGAGCCCGTGAGAGGCGATGAGTTCAACGCAGTCGACATTTCCCAAAGCGTCGGCCGCAAAGGCCGCTCAATCGCCTACGCCGAACCAGGCCGCAACACGCTCTCCCTGATTCTGGAAGCCACCCTCAAGACCGTGGCCAAGCAGGCCGCCATCGGCTACTGGAACCTCCTGACCGGTCCGGAGTACAACGTCAAGCCCGACCTCGAGAACCTACACTCGTATCTAAGACTGCTGCGCCAATCGCGGTCCTCTGCCGAAGCGCTCGCTGTCGTCAAGAACGACATGCACAGCCGCGGCCTCCCCCTGCTGCGCAAGACATTCCGCATCGCAATGAGCACGTGCGTGCGCGACAAGAACAACCCGAACGCCATGGACACGGCTGGGCAACTGCTCGACCTGATGGCCAACACGCTCGACCAGGTAGACGTGAGGACGCTCGATATGTACATGGAGCTCGCGTCCTCGGCGCGGAACGGCAAGGACGTGCTGCGCGCGCTGAACCGGCTCGAACCGAGCTACATCAACCTGCGGAGTATGGTCAATTTCGGGATTAAAGCCCCGATGGCGCCGGGGCCGGGATTAAAGCCCGGCGCGAACAGGGGGAGGAGCGTTGAGAGGAACATGAGTACAGAGGAGACGGAGGCGGCGTTGGGGGTGGTGAAGAAGATGATCAGATGCTACGATCGCTTGATGAATAGGGGAGAGGTCGAGAGGGAGATGTACGGTGAGTTGACGCAGAGAAGGAGCAAACTTGCGGCGTGGGTCTCGCGGCGGGCCAATCGGGCTGATGAGTGGAAGAAGAAGGCGGAGTTCGAGCCCAAGAAGTCGAGCAGAGACAGAAGGCAGAGGAGAGGTGAGGAGGAGGCGGAGGAGTCGGGGCTCATGACGACGGCGTTGTAAACGACATATGAGAACAGCCTACACGTCCGGTATGAATCCTCAGGGTACTTATCCGCCGAGGGTGTGAAGCGACATCCCAATATCCTCATGCTGTCGAACTTCCTTCCGGGCCGTGCCACACCGAATCGACAAACAATTCGCAGTGGGAAGAGATGGATCGTCTGGTGGAGCTGCGCGCTTGTTCAGGAGCAGGTAGATGTGCTTTCACGAAGGTGCTTCTGCCCTATTGGCTGCAAGTCGTTCAGCTATGTACCATATGCAGAATATGTACCGAATATCGTCCAGGGGTTGAAATGTCTTGTAGTGGTAGCAGAGCAATTTGGGAGTACCTCGAACTCCATGAAAATTCAGCCCTTTCGCTGTAACTCTTTACACACCACAAAAGACAGTCCTAGTACTTTAGGCTCTTCTTAGAGATATAAGACTTACACGGTAAAACACAGCAATGGCGCGAGTTCAACGTGCAATCTACCACTAAAAAGGTAGAGAACCCTCTACAGCATCCGCCCAATCCCATTGTAGGTCCTTTGGCTCCCGGGTTGACTTCAGAGGTGGTGCTAGTACATCATACAGCCTTGCGGTAATCAGAGCAGCAGCTAAGTCTCTCGTACCCGCGACAGCCTGGGCGAATCCCCGAAGTTGCGTCAGAGCGAAGTCCTTAAATACGTAATTTCTGCGCATGCAGGCTTTTAGCAGCGATGGTTAGTACAGCTGGCATTAGTACTTCAACCTCAGTCTCCTTCTCAACTTCTCTCTATGCTATACACTTGCGGAAACGCTCCAACCCAGATACACATTCCCCAAGTTCCGCCAGTCGTGCAGCAACTGGGAACAATCTCTCTCGCTGTAGCTTCGTACAAGCCACAGGGATTGCTTCAGTAAATGAGCTCGTTGTGTAGTGCGTGGCCCACAAGTACTGTGTTCCGAAGAGGTCGATTCTCTGTTGCCGACAATGTTAAGCCGCTATCGTCGTGGCGGAAGATTTCCGTTAGGATCGTTTCAGTATAGCTCCTCTGTTTCCATTCAGTGTCCCCGAACTCGAATCTCCTCATAGACTTTGAAGCACGTAGCCGCCTCTGGAAGCAGAAAGTCTTTGTTTGAATCAATGACCGTCTACCGTGTTGAGGCTGTCCATCCTGATGGCGGGTGCTAGGCGGCACTATTAGATCTCAAGTGTTCAAGAAGAAAGCACCGATTTCAAAGAATTCGTTCTTGCTGGCTTGGGCGTCTTCGAAGTCTGGTGATACAAATGCCGTATCATTCGGTACCGGATCGTACCAATCTCAGCATCGGCTGGTGAAGGCTCCACAGATTGGACGCCCAGGAGTTTTCGAGCATTCGCGAGCATCTCTCCCACGGCATGGAAGTGCCTTCAAGACACCTAGCTAGATAGGCTTCTGGAGAGAGCTTGAGTGGTTCGCGCTGGTGTTCGTATCAGCAGATTTCGGAAAGAACGAGTTTGTATGGCATCGCAGCGTGTGACACAGCGGAGTAATTACGAAAGAACGCTGGCTCTCACATCCATGTTGCTACACTAAGTAGATCTTGCGGCGAGAATATCGAGACAGGAGGTAGTGTGAGGAGGTATATTTGCTTAAGGCACTGAACTTTGCTTTGAGAAGTAGATGATGGGAATAATGTTATTGTCTGATGGTCAAAAATTACCCAGTGGATTGGGGAGAGTTTTGCGGTAAATCGGTTTCGCTTCTTACGGTCACCGTGTGAAGAACGTGATGTTGCGTCGCGGTTCGACGATGTATCAGCGAACATTCACAGCATAAAACAGCGGATCTGTTTGCGAAACCTCTGCCTTTCATCGTGGCGAGTACTGTGTATGTCCAGAGCCTCCTCCGGAACAATGGTATTGCCAACGCCTCGAACACCCCACTCCATCTTGCAAGCACCACCTCATCACAACGTCCGAGGACCATCTAGACCGCAACGGCTTACGGACTTCCACTCAGCCCTCCCTCGACCTCCCATTTCCTCGCCTTCAGCACCCTCATCTTCTTGCTCGGTGTCCTCCCCCTCATCTCCCTCTCCAACATCTCCACCTTCCTCCTCAACGCCTCATTCTCCGTCTCAAGCTCCCCAGCCCTATCCTCATCCTCCCCTCCATCCAGCTCCCGCACCTTCTCATTCTCTTTATCCTCATCCCCCGCCCCCACCCCACCAAACTCCCGCGCGAGAATATCAATCTTAGCATCCCACATCTCCTCCTTTCTTCCGGCCTCATCTTCCCATGCAACCCGCCACCGGACCTGCTCCCGTGCAAGCACGGCCTCGAACTCAGCGTATACGGTTTCTCGCACCTCTGCCTCAACATCCTCCATCCGCGCCTCAGCAGCCCGCCACGAGGACTCCGCTGCCTGGCGCCGGGCCGTTTCTTCCTTCAGCTGCAGGCTCAGCACGCTAACTTCCTCGTTCAGGCGGTCGATCTCCACGGCAGCGGCCTCGAGCTCGGCGAGGCTGGCTGCGGCGGTGGTTGGTGAGCTGCGGCCGTTGTAGTGGTTCATACTCGGCGCGTTTAGGATCGTGCTGGTGACGGATGGGACGCGGGGGACGGTGACTTCGCGCGCGAGGGCCGAGTAGCGCAGGATCTGGGATGTGGCGTTGAAGTCGCCGTGGGCGTCGGCGGTGACGATCATGATTGATTTTTGGGGGCTGCGGTGGTGATGCGAGTTGTGGCTGTGGGTAGAGCTGGAGGTTGTGGGGAAAGAGTTGGAGAAGAGGAGTTCGGTCAGTTTACATTGGCGGAAGGGGACGATTGTCTGTTGAGGTTTGAGGTCAGCTTATTAGATAGTTACAAGGGAAATTTATGTCACTAGCCGGGAAAGCCGACGTAAAAGGGGAGGCATCAGCATTTAGGGGAGCTTACTTTGCCTCCGTCAGCGGCATCTGACTGCATCTGCATGCATTGTCCCAGATACATAAGCGACTCGTTGATTTTGCCCGCTTCCGCAAGCGTCGCGCCAGCTGTCTTTGCGTTTCTTGCGCGCTCGGAGCCTTGTGCATGTCAGTACTGCCTGCCGGCCCCGTAGAGGATTGCATCCTTGATAGGACAACTTACCGGCCAAGTCCACGACCGTCAGTGTGCTACTGCTCCACGCAGCGCCGCCCACCCTTCGCCGCTTCTTGACCTCGACGCAGAAGAAGCCATGGCTCCGCGAGCTAACGGCATTGCTGCCCGTTCCGGCAACCTTGCGCTCCACCAATCCCGTTTCAAGCACCATCAGCGCTTCCTCGAGACTCGCGCACACGATCTTTTTCAGGCCGGCCACGACCTTCCGGTCGGGACTCTGTTCCGTGCTCTTGAATAGCAGCGCGCGACGCTTGCTCTGCCCATTTTTGAAAGCTGTGGCCGTGACGGATCCGGTCAACAGGTCGAAGATGCGGTCGTTGTAAACCTCGTACATTGAGACGAAAATGGCGTATTCAGCTGTACGGTCGGCGGCGGGGAGGGGTAGGTCGTCCACACTGGGGCATTGCGGCATGGTCGAAGGGCGCGGTATATAGGTATTGTTGCGCTTTGGTGGAGGCAAGCACAGGAACGAGGTGTTGTCCTTTATATATGCAGGCTGCTGTTTAGCTAAGCTTCTCGTGATGCGAGCTATGCTCGCGTTTACGGGCCTGATTGTGGGTATAGAAGGGGTATATAGAGAGGTGGGAAGTGCGGGATACAGTCCAGTGTGTGGAGAGTGTGCTATTGGGGTTGATGATGGTGAACTGCCTACCAGCATGGGCGTCTGCGCCCGTGATGAGATGCCGCGCTCGGACTGGCCATCGCCGTACAGGGAGTCAAGGAATGCGGAAGCGGGGAGTATCTGGGCTTCGGAGACGTCTGAGATTGCGAGCGAAGGTAGGACGTATGGCGTGTTAGAGGGGTCAACCAGCAGGGCGCCGGTACTTTGGAATAGTGCATCTAGCGTCATCTGGATGAGGCCGCGTTGGGACTTGGATCCGAGAATTGTGTGGCTCTATACCCTCTGTCAACTTGCACCTTATACTCCGGAATGTCGTTACCATACTTTTCCGGACCCTGTGACACCCAGAGTCGCCAAAAGGCCATCACGGCCTTCGCGTCCTTCTGCGCCGAGGACGCCATCGATAAGCGGCAGGACGCCAGTGCTTCTAAATATGTCGAGCTGCGTAGCGTCTTCCTCGAAGACTTTTGTGAATGCGAACTTCTCGACAGCGCGCTTCCTGTGATCGGTGGCCGGGGGCTTTATGGTGATATACGTGGGGATGCCTTGCTCGGTCTCTTCGACGTCGAGGAAGCGTTCCGCGCCGGGTGCAGGAGATGGGCGCAGTCGGAGGTAGACATCGAACAGTGCAGTCGACGGTTTCGGAGGAGGATCCATTGTTCTGTCTCGCCTTTGCGGTATATGACTTCTGGTAATGCCGTCGTTGTAGTTCGATCGTTCGCACTTCCTCAAGCGACAGCGTGTTTATTTGGCCGCGGTTGCCGCCAAGAAATCACGGCTACGGCCGCAGAGCCGCAACTTCCGTTGTCCACTCCCAAGGGCGATCCGAAATGTCCGTTGCCGCATCTTTCCTTCGGCTTTTCAATACGACATCCACGATCAAACTGGACTCATGATCTTGGCGATAGTAGAGCGGCTAGACCAATCTCATGCGATCGAAAGTAAATGACGTCCGTTATCCTGCATCTTTAATGCATCGATCACGTAAGGTGTTTTTGATCTGTTGACTGTCCTTTTGGCTGCTCACTTCCAGGGCTATGGAAAGCTTTCAGTGCGGCAACCTTCATCTCGGATGGCCCTTGTCCGATCTCACGTGCGCACGCGCGAGCTTGAATGGAGACCTTATGCCGTACTTTGTCAGTGTGATTGCTTCGAGTCGGCGACACTGCGCGACGAATGATGTGCTACAGCGACTGTCTGGTCAGCGTCGACCGTCTATTTTAGGTTTCTTGTCGGTTCGGAATCTTCCGTCCGAGCTGGCGAGATGTGGTGAGACAGAAGTAGAAACCAATGCATGACCTGTTTGCTATGATAGCCGCGGGAAGCCATACGGGGTTGATACTGCTGTTTGTTGTATGGTGAGTTCTTAGCGCGGGATATTTGGAGTAGCTGTCATACCTTACTTTTGTTTCAATTAATTGGCAACAACGATCTTCAACTAAGCCTCATATGGTCCTCACGGTATACTTTCTACCTTCCTCACTACAAAAATACGGACCAGAAGTCAATTGTACACCAGCTCTTGGAACCACTGCATTCGGGCTTCAGTTTCATCGGGGCAACCTTATAACCACAAAGGGCGCAATTTAGCGCTTTCCCCGAAGCGAGACTTTCAGCGGAGATCGAAGTATTCCTCAGTCAGTTTCCCTTGCTTCCACAAGTCGACGACTTCTCCGTTCATTACGCCGTGGACGTAGCACTCGCTGCACAATCAGTTTGCCGCTCGATGTGGATGGAGCAGATCTTGCCTACCCGATGAACTCATAGCTAGTGCCCCTGGGCCGAAGGACATAAGGAATCTTGCCGCCGGCCAATATCACAACTCTATCCCCGGATTGCATATGCGCCGGGCCAAGACACATGTACTTCTTCAAGGTGATGGCGAAGACTCGGGTAGGAAAGACTGCTAGAGCTGCTCGCTCGAACATCCGTGCATCAATGGCTTCCACCTCCCAAGACCACTCGTCCCAGGAGTACGAAAGGATCGTATCACGGCCTCGTAGATAGGCCCACCATGACGCCAGTCCGGAGCGGAGGACCTTCCAAAGGGCCCTCACTCGCCTCCGCAACCGCCAGAACTGTTTTTGTTGGTCCAAGAGAACCTTGAGAGGGTCTTCGTGGATGAAATGCGACCAGAACGCCGCCGCATGCGACAAGAAGTCTCCGTCAGCATTTGCCGGTTGACCTGCAAAGTTTCGGCCGGCTGTTGCAGTCGATAGAAAGGCCGATATATTGTCTTCGCCTGTAACGTAAGATGTTTTCTGTTCAACATGGCACTGGACGATATGCCACAACAGCTTTAGTGACTCCGCCGGGTCGCTCAAAACGTCGGAATACGACAGGACGGTGTCAAAACTGATGCCACGCAACCGCAGAACATTATCGTTATCGGTATTCGCGAGATGCATCTTCGTTCCGCAATCTGCGGTGTACAGACACGCTGCTGCTCCATCGATTAAAGGCCTCGTACCGTTTGGAACATCCCACCGTGCAGCCCAGGACGGAGCACCGCAATCTCGGTTCGTGGCTGGTGCACATGTATGGGAAAGTACGTCGAGGGTTGCGTTGTGGCTGATGAGGTACCTCGTGGTATCCCGATATACCTCAGCTACTGACTTGTTGTAATCGGGTCTCAAAGGCGTATCTGCGTAAGAACTTCCTTCCTGGGCAATGCCGAGAACAGCGTATACCTTGTCCTGCGGTAAGGTAGCCTTGAATGTTCGGACACGACCTAGTAGCGAGAGCAATTTAGGACGGTTATCCTCATTTACCATGCTCTTTGTCCTGTTGAGCAAGAAGGCTGCCTTGCTGAGATCGCCGGTCAGCGTCAACGGACCGAATTCGTTTGCATAGCCCTTCTTAACAAACCACAGGGCCGCGTAACCGATATAGTTCGCCTTAATCTCGAAGTCTCCGAGAAACGCAGTGACGGATCCGGCAACGGCAACCTCTTGCAACACCCATACACGACTGAACCACGCCTGGCCGTAGAACCATTCCAGTGCCATCCAGTCCGGAGCTTCAGGCGATGGAAAGCCGCGCGCCATGTGTTTTTCCATGGTGCTGACTTCGTAGACAATCGAACTGGGCTTACCCGGAGTGATTTCTCGTTTGAGGTTGCGGAATGCTGTGTCCATCAATCTCAACGCTTGAGGCACTATCTCCTCGATGTGCGGACCCAGCCACACCAGGACATTCTTTGCGTGGGCGTAGATATCTCGCATCATCATGACCTGGCTGCATTTCTCGCTGTTATCTTTTTGATTGATGCAGAGGGCGTCGATCCATAACAAGCGGTTAGGGCGATTGCTCGGCTGGTCCGCAGGCACACGCCGCGCCCAGTGTTCATATGGCTCGCTCTGCTCCGGCGGATTGTCTTCACCTCTCTTACGCTGGGGCTTCACCGTGCTTGGTGTCCCACGGCTATTTGGTAAAGGGCGGAACCGTCGGAGTGCTTCTGCTAAATTAGGTGTGATTTCCGTACGCACGCCATTACAGACGATGAGTGTTGGAGGATTTGGGTTACCCCAGACGTAGGAAACCGCTTCGTATGGTGGAGCATCGCTGAGTTCAACCACTTGGAAGTTACAATGTATCTCATCCCGCTCAAGCCCGGGTTCGATAGTAAGGAGCCGTATGCAAGAGAGATTCGGGAGTGCTTCGTACGGTGAGTAGGTCGGCATGACAGATAGGTATTACCTGCGAAGGCCCATGCCTATGTAGACCAAGCAAAGCAGCGGGCTTCTGATGCGGCCAGACTACTTACTGACTCGCTGAACAAACCAGACATGGAAAACAGTCAAAATATACACCTTTTGGCAGAGTAAATTCAAGTTTGGCTCATAGTATTCTTTGTCTGCGCTGCCTGATGTGTGATTACACAGCCGGGACAAGCTGGTCCACTGGGTGAGATAGCGAATAGCTTGGCATTTCAGCCGTCTCACGTGATTGTATCCAGGTCGACTACGACTACCCGGATTCAGCTCAACAGATCCAGGGTCCCGATGGGAGAGGCCTCATACGGCTCTTACATCTAATAAATAGTGGATCGTCTTTGGAGCCCTATGAGTGCCATAAGTGCTTCTTATCCGGATCTAGGGTGTGAACAGAGAAAATGAAAGCGTAGCAGGCTGTTATCATAGATTCCCACCTAATCGATATTTTGCTACAAAATACAACTCTAAAGCGAGGAATCGCCGTCCGTCCAAATGCGGCGGCTGCCCGAACAGTTTAACAGACCTCTACTTATCAAGCAGATGTCGACTTAGCTTGCGCCCACTCCATCTTACTTCCCCACGAGCCGTATCTGACTGCTTTGTTCTTCCTCCGGAGCTGTGGTCTTCCAGTGATACCTGTGGCACTCGTCGACGAAGCCGCTCCACGGTTGCAGTATCAACGCGCATGTAGATCCTCCCTGCCTTCTCCTAGCCTTTGTCCAAGCTCTTACACCGGCAAGTCCGCATTCCTCCTTCCGCCACTCGACATCCTTTCCAAAGCCGTTGCGATGTACGGCCCCACCACCGGCACATTCCCCATGAACCCAGCAATTGTGGCGAAGAAGTCTCCAAACAGCACAAAGATCCCGTACAGCTCAACCACAAAGCCGATCAGTGGCCATCTTAGTAAGATCAGGGCAACGCCTGCCACAAACGCCGCTGTGCCCTTCCATTTCTGCCGCCGTGCGAAGAAGAGCGCCGTCTTTTGGAGACCGATTATGAGGGTTAGGCCGAGGAGAAATAAAATCTGGTAACAAGGCCGGAGGGTAAGCGATTGTCTAGCCTAGATTTGAGGGGTGTGCCCCTATGTGCGTAGGTCGGTGGTTGAACTACGGTTACGAGTGCTGGGCTACGGAAGGGACATACGTTTCCCATTGCCAGCATGGCTCTATCGAAGAAGAGTATTACACCGCCGATGAAGAAGAAGCCGCCTGATAAGATCGCGAATTAGGGAGAGCAGGAGGTTGAAACGGAGGAGTAACGATGCGTACCTACCACCGGAGCAGCAGGCTATGCCTATCTCTGTTTCATAGGTTTGTGAGCTTCGGTACTCTGCACGAAGATAGGTGCGAGCCGTACTTTGCATGTCTGTGAGCCACATGGTGGGCATTTTGGCGGAGAAATTGGGATTGAAGGAGCGACTGGAAGGAAAAAAGGCGAGAAGGTTGTTTAGTGAAGCTGGAAGAGCGCAGTTTGCGGGCTGTATGGAGCGGTTGGAGCTTCGGAAGTGTCCCCTTAGGAGACGCGCGGGAACACGAAGCGCGGCGCCACGTTTCGCCGAATCGGTGGCTTGAATTTCAACTCCGCAGAAGAGACCGGCTTCTGCAACGAAACTCAACAGCGATGTTGAAGGTTGTCAATTGCACAGATGCAACGCCCAATCGAAGTGTTTGAAAGCATCGTTTGAAATTCAACGTCACTTTGATTTGCTACAGTCCCGCTCTCGACAGCGAGGTTGTACTGGAACACGTACATCTAGCCTTCAACTTTCGGCTTTGCTCCGAGCCGTATACCGCAGGGGTTCGCAGAGATATACATAATGCGCCTGGACTACAGCAGTACCTAAAGTTCTGCTGTAACTGGGAGAGCCTCCACCCATGCTCTTCCGGTACCCTGTCACCTAGGGCGAAGACCAACGAACAACGACTGCGATTAAGCCGGAGCGTCTTCATTGAGCCACGTCTCGAAAGAGGCGAGGTGGGTAGAAGAGGTTTGACTTTGATAGTCCTACATACCGAGGACTACTCGAGCATCTGTAGTCCTTGATCATGACTTCCACTACCCGCAGCTATTCTTTCTCTGCGTGCCACGTGTGACGCTAGGATGTCCTCCTCTTGAATATGCGTGGATTCGCTCATTTGAGTACCGTGTGCGCTCCTCTGGCCGCAAGGTAGCCCTCCGTTGCAGCCTGGCCTAACGTCCGAATTGCCGCAAAAACCTCCTTGTCGTGATATCTCAGCCTCGATTTCGGATCTGTGTATGGCGCAGACAGTCCAGTGATATCGCAGTAGCGTTTCTGACTTGAGGGATGTAATGATGGTGCCGACTCGATGTTGGTGTACGTGACGGCGGGGCCTCCCGACGCGCCCGATGAGCGTAGGTTCTTCTCGAGAACCAACGTCGAAAGGTTCTGTGCTGCTTGTGCGATGCTCAGATTGCCATCTGCACCGTTGACTGGCGTCGCCAAACCGCCGGTAGCCATTGAGGAGTATGCTGGGAGGGGCGTCGATGTCCCGCTGTTGTTCTGGGTTGCCATGACCGATGCTTCTTTGCGTGAAGCTTCAGCTATGATCTGCTTGACATTCTTGTTTCGACGCTGCGGCGGCTTCCAATGGGGGGTGCGCCAGGGTTTTCGCACGGCGTAGATATCGAGCTTGTCGAGGAGGGCTTGGTGGTTGCTATCGTCGGAGGCTTGGGTGATGGGAGCCATGTTGGGTGTTCGTATAGCAGTCGGGTGCAATATGGGCGGACGTATTATCAGAGGGTGGAAACCTGGAGGTTGACGTGAGTCGAGCGGAGAAGACAATGTTAAATTCACATAGGCCATGAAGCGGCTCGCCAAGGATCGCGGACTGCCTCATCTAGAATAGCGTTCCCACGGTTGTTGTTGCTTTCGATGCTCGCGACAGATTTATTCCCCTCAGACAATTCCACAAGTAAATCGCGATTCACGTTGAAGATATTGTCTTCAGCATGGTGAGTACTCTCGACGGTCTTTTCTTTACCGTGCTGCAATTGCTCATCCGTTGAACAGGAGAGCCCACACGAGCATCAGCAGAGCCTTCTCCTCTCCCGTATTATCACCAACGTTGTGAGTGACGGCGATGACTAACCAAGAGACAGAAGAGCGCTGATCGAGTTACAGGAGAAGCTCAACGAGGCCATCATGGCGTTGAATAGGAGCCTACAGGTTCGGTTGTCCACCATGGGGACCATAACAGGCGCCCAGCTGATCAGGAGCCTAGGAAATCAACATACAGAATATGAATGTCGAGCTGGTGGCACAGATGTTCAAAAACTACCAATCTAATGTTCTCTTCCACCTTGAAGGTATGGTATTGATCGGCTGCTGGATGAATAGATGTCTAATGTGCAGCGCAGGCACGGACAGCCTTAAAGATCCCTCATGAGGTCATCACGGTAATTTATGGGATTTTGGTATCGGAGCATGAGTTGTGGCTGGCGTGATGGGTGATTGATATAGCCTTAAGACTTCGCACCTGGTTTGATAGATCGCGCTTAATCGCGCTTAATGTTAGACGCGCGGTAGCCCATCCATGATCTCGGACTCCCAGAGACTCAAAGGCACGGTTGTCACTTCGCGATGTAGCTTCTACCCCTCGTACCGCCCTAGAGGCGCTCACCACTCTCTACATTTCTTTTCCACCATGACATGATCGTACTCTCACGCCGCCCTCCACGATAGCTCAACCACCATGGTGCACTCGACGGCAGATGAGAGCTCACTTCCTTCGGGGCGCAACTCACCCAAACCCCAACCGGCGCGAATATGGAGCCTGAGCGAACCTCCCTTCGAAGGCGTGCGCCCCGTCGACTCTCAAGGCTACCGGCAAAGCACTCCCGACACCGCGATAGTCATCGATAATGGTACAACACCGCGCACATGTTCCGTTTCCCCGACAGAGCTAACACGATGGGCGTGCAGGTTCTTCTGCAGTTCGCGCCGGATGGTCTTTCGACCAGAATCCGCGCGTATCTCTCCCTCCGCTTATGGCTCGCTATCGAGATCGCAAGCTCAACCGCACGTTCATGTTCTGCGGATCAGACATCTACGCCGATGGCACAGCGCGAGGGCAAGCGAAGAACGCATATGAGCCGGGCAGCAATATTGTGAACAACTGGGACGTTATTGAGGGCGTACTGGACTATGTCTTCATCAAACTTGGGATAGATGGTTCTGCTGGTAGAATCGACCGGCCGGTAGTTATGACCGAGCCAGTCGCCAATCTGGGCTACGCACGCAAGAGTACGTATATAAAATTATCTACTGAGTTGGCAGAGGCTAATACGGTGGCACGCATACAGCTATGTCTGAGATTCTCTTTGAGCTTTATGGCGCCCCCTCAGTAGCCTACGGCATCGACTCGCTCTTTTCCTACAGTTATAACGGTGGCCGCAACGGTCTGGTTATATCGTCCTCGTACATGTCCACACACGTTATTCCGGTTGCTGAGCGGAAACCAATGCTCTCCCATGCGACTCGACTGAACTGGGGTCGCTTCCAAAGCGCCGAATATCTACAGAGGCTCCTCCGGCTCAAGTATCCAAGCTTTCCAGGGAAGATAAGCGACACTCAGGCCGAAGATCTTGTGCGCGAGCACTGCTACATCTCGCAAGATTACGAATCGGAGATCAACAAGTACCTAGATTGGACCGGGCTAGAAGACCGAGATCATGTCATACAGTGCCCGTTCACGGAGCAAGTAGTGGTGCAGAAGAGCGAGGAAGAGCTAGCCAGGGCGGCAGAGAAGCGCAAAGAGGGCGGCCGACGACTCCAAGAGCAAGCTGCAAAGATGAGACTCGAGAAGCTGATCCGGAAGGAACAGGAGCTAGAGTACTACAAGAGCTTACAGGAGGGTTTGGTAGATCTTCCCAAGAAGGAAGTGAAGCGCCGACTTGATGCCGATGATTTCGATGACGAGGGGCAGCTTGATAGGAGAATTAAGGACATGGAGAAGTCCATCCGCAAGGCGAGAAACAAGGACGTGGGTGATGCAGTGGAGGAAGAAATAGAGACACCAACTTTCCCTTTGCTTGATGTCCCGGACGAGCAGCTAGATGAAGAGGGGCTGCGACAGAAACGCGGGCAGCGACTTATGAAATCAAACTACGACGCCCGAGCTCGTGCAAAGGCCGAAAAGGAGCGCGAGAAAGCAAGGGTAGCGGAAGAGGAGCGGCTAGACAATGAGCGCCGGGAAACCGATCTGAGTGGCTGGGTCGAGGAGCGCAGGATTGCTCGTCAGGCCATCATTCAGAAGATCAAGGACCGAGAGCGTTTGAAGGCAGACTTGGGAAACAGGAAGTCACTGGCAAATCAATCACGAATGAAGGCGATCGCCAACCTGGCTTCAGACGACAAGACGAAGAAGCGTCGCCGTGGTGGCGACGATGACAATTTTGGCGCTGATGATGCCGACTGGGGCGTTTATCGAACAATTGCTACTGGTGAGCAGAGTGACGAGGAAGAGGAAGAGGACCTCAGCGCCAACCTAAAGAACATCGAAGCGCAGCTCCTCAAGCACGATCCAAACTTCACGGAACAGAGCACGCGAGAAGCGCAGACGGATTGGACGAAGAGCTTAATGCACGCCTTTCTCCATGGACCGTGGCCTTTTGACCCAGAGAGCCAGCGCGACTTGCATCAGGTACACCTCAACGTCGAGCGGATACGCGTGCCGGAGGTCGTCTTCCAGCCCTCAATCGCCGGGATCGACCAGGCAGGTATCGTCGAAATCGCTGCAGGTATCCTGACCGAACGGTTAGCCGACTCACCACATCGGTCGGAAATCTTGAAGGACATTTTCTTGACCGGCGGCAATACACTGTTCCGGGGCTTCGAGGATCGGCTTCGGAGCGAGTTACGCGCGGTTCTACCGGCTGATTCGCCGCTAGGTATCAGAAGAGCAAACCATCCAGGGCTGGATGCTTGGAAAGGTGCTGCGTGGTGGTCGAGCCAGCCAGCGTCGAGAGATGCATTCATCACCAGAGCTGATTTCGAGGAGAAGGGGCACGACTACATCAAGGTATGTCACCAGAGATCATGTTGACAGACAGACAGCTAACAGAGCGAAGGAACATGATCTCGGTAACTCATATACGTAACCAACGTGTACTTCTTTGGCGGACTTAGGCGTTTGATGGGCTACTGAGGGGTGCATTGCGCGGCGCGGTCACGCAATCGGTCCAACGTTTTCATGTGGTTTTATAGTGCTTCCGCGACACCAGGGCAGCAACTATCACAGAACAACACATTGTTGTCATCCTCCGTTCCACTAGTTGATTGTCTCTTGATTCATTGCAAGATCTCGCCTAGCGAACTAGCCAGCAGATCCGCGCAAGACCCTATTTATACCATGACGTCACACTCCGCGGCACCTTCAAATTGGAGGAAGATGCTATTACACTCAAGCATACAACGCGACAGCAACCACTTGACCGTGGAAAACTTCATCAGGAACCTTTTCACACCTACACACTCACTAGCAACTGCTCTCTGTCCACAATGCCGCCCAAAGGCTTAGCTATCCTGATCGGGGCTGGTCCAAACACTGTGCGATGAATATGTTACCATGCAGCTTCCAGATGCCCGTTCGCTAATATTTTTAAGGGCGCCGGTATTGCTCGAATACTATCTCATCCCTCCCATGGCAACCTCGCCGTGGCACTGCTCGCTCGCCGCCCCGAACCGCTCAATGACCTACTCAAGTCTCTCCGATCGTCCAGCCCAGACGCAGTACTCGAAGCCTTCCCGACAGACACTTCGCCAGACTCGCTAAAGAAGACGTTCGCGGATATCCAGCAGCATGAGTCGTTTAAGGATCTGAAGTTGCAGATGGCGATATACAGCATCAAGCACAGTAGCAAGAAGCCGTTTATGGAGGAGACGTACGAGGTATGGTCTCCAGTTGCGGACACACCCGCATGCACCTGCCGCGGTGCGGTTCCAGAGTAAAGAACTGATGGAGCTTCCAACCACGCAGGACTTTACCGGATCCCTTGAAGCCTATGTTGGCGGCGCGTTCACCTTCGCCCAGGAATCCTTAAAGCGCTTCTTCGCTGATCATGGCGAAACTCCACTACAGGAGGGCGGCTCGAAGAAAGGCACCATCATCTTCACCGGTACCCTCGGCGCGCTGCGTTGCTCCGCACAGTTCGCTGCCTACGGCGCCGGCCGCGCAAGCGTGCGGCAGCTGGCGCAGACGCTCGCGAGGGAAATGTCAGAGAAGGGCGTACATGTGGTGCACACGATTGCGAACGGGAGCATAGTGGATGAGGATGGGGAGGACCAGAAGCAGGGGAAGAAGATGAGTGCGGAGGCGGTGGGCAAGACGTACTTGTGGTTGAGTGAGCAGGAGCCGTGTCTTTGGACGCATGAGTTGGATTTGAGGCCGGCTTGTGAGAAGTTTTAAAGGTGTAGGTTACAGCTAAAAATCCGTGTGTGAGCCTAAGAGACCCTCATGCTTCCAATGATAAGCTATCTTTGCCCAGCCGGGTTTCAACAAGATTTCGGCCATGCCGATTGCCTCGGACCCAATCACCCTACGGAAATCATCCAAGCCGTCGACGCCGAGATGTCCCCCTCGATCAGCTCCTCTAGTCATGGCTGCGACTGCGACTTTTAACGAGGGTGGCTATTATTACTGGTTCAGCGAAGATAAACTAGGGCGGCGCTCTCCTTTTCATTGAATCGCCGAGCGGATCTTCGGATATCCCTTATCACATCGGTAATCTTGAGCGGTAGTTGGCGGGTCAGCCATTTAGAAAAACTAAACTTCTTGGCCATTGCCAACAGATGCGGATTCCTTGGGAACACGATCTATGTGTGTATGGTTGGCTAGGAAGACGACATTGCACGACGTATCCGAGTACATGCAGGCCGTCACAAAGACCTCGGGATGCTGCAACCCTACAGTGTCGACTTGTGATTCTGAAGTGGGCAATAGTTTCTGAAAACATCCCTTAGCAGAAATTAGAGCGTAGACCGCAGAACGCTTGGATACAACATTTCTCTTTGAGAAAGGGGTGCTGATATGGGGAAGCCTGCAAGAGGCCGTAGCAACAGGTGTTGCCGCTATCTCGAACAACATACGTTCAAGCTTATTAGGTCCCCAGAACTGACTAGATCCGACCCAGAGTCCTTAGGACCTCCTCCAGAAGCTCCTGTTCATCCTCCTTCGTAAGTCTCGGCACCGTCGCTGCGTCCGAACGTCGAACCCACCCATTCCGCACGCCAGGCCCTCTCAACAACTCCCGAGGTCTGGGCTAGGATGTTCAGCTTTGTGGGCTTGAATTCGCCGACTATTTTCCGGAGGATGTCATGGGATGCTGCGCTGCTACGCAGTGAGAAATTTGATCACTTGGAAGTATGGCGTCAGGGGAAGAAGCAAGCTTATGACAACGCAGAGCTTTTGCACTTGTATCTCGCGTGCAACGCCAAGCCGTGCAGTGAAGTGTGTTTGCGGTTCGAAGCTGGGTCACAGATACCTTCACTTGGCACGCACGCAGCCGCCTCCTGTATGCTCTTTCGCCTTTTGAGTGGGAAGGGCAGAAGGCCGGGTGGCAGGTAAGCAGACCATGCTCCAATTCTAATCATTTGATAGAGATATACGACCGCCATTCGGGGCGTTTGCCGAACTTCATAGCTTCATAACTTCACCACTAAGAGACTGGGAAGCTTGAGGAACAAGTAGATTGGTTATCGAATGTACCGGGCTAGGTACATATCAGCCGCTCTCATCACCTCCAACAACACCACGAACTGGCAGTCTGCCTCAGCGTGGGGCCCTTCGATCTCCACATGTACATTTCTTGGCCGCCCCCGTGAAGTTACAGCCGCACTGGCCGCACTTGTTGGGGTCAACCGGGGGGGCTGTGGTAGTAGTAGCAGTAGTAGTTGTTGTATTGGGATCGGTCACTGAGGCCATAGTCAGCAACATATCGAAGACGTGTTCTGGCATATCTGATGCGTACTGTTGACCTGATTGATGCAGTGGTCCGCAAAGACGTGTTTATGCTCGAGTAGAAAGTTGATTCAGGTTCGCTATACTGAGTATTACTTTCAGGCGCGGGATCCGAACGGGTATGTACCTACTGTTCAAGAGTTATTGTAGTCGTTTGTCTGGGTTGCGGGACTTCGACGGTTGATCTTGCGGGTATAAGTGTCTTCTAGAGGCCTCAAACTTGTTTCTGAAGCCCCTTGTGAAGTACTCATTGCGCTAGGACATTACGCACGCATACCTCATGCGTCGGCTCTTCCCGTGTCTTCCCAACGGTTCCCTGGCTTTGCGATGAGCCCACATGACCGGCCGCAACCGCAAGAACCTGACAATAGCGCTCAGTGAATGGTGCACGGCTGGGGGGTTAAGAAGGTCTGGCAGCTGCGAGCCATAGAGGGGGTCCTGCCAGCGCATCAGCATGTGTACCCTTAACAACAAAGAGCGTATTGCTGGACAGACCGCCGCCGCAAGTCCACTTCACCTCATCCACTGCCGGGACATGGTTAGAGGATCGCAGAATGCTGTCAGCACTCGTCATAAAAACGTGTGCACACCGACATGACGAAAGGGACAAGGTCAGTGAAGAAAAATTGAAAACTCGGCTCCATTGGCAGGAAAGGGCCTCGTAACAACCAGCGGTGTAAGCACAGCCCGAAGCCTGCGTTTGAGGATAGGCATGGTCATTCGTAACGATGGTTGCGGGAAGTCGTGGAAGACGAGGACTTCACCAACTGCGTACAAACCCTCCTGCCGCATTACTGTCCTTGCTTACTATTGAGACAGAGGATCCCCGAGTGAGCAATGTAGACCAACAAAGGCTGAAAGCACGTCATTCAAGACGAGGATGGTCGGTATGTCGCGCCAGCTGGCCGGCCGTATGCCTTTGTGGACGCCGCTTCGGTAGGTGTTTCTAGGGCGTCTACTCGTCCGTTCGAGACACGTCCAAGGAGACGTCAGACGAAGCTATCCAAGAACCTCCATATAAAAGCCTAGGCAACGTCGGAAAGTCTTCACCTGACTCAGTGGAAACGACGAAGTCGAGAATCGGAAAGCTTGGCATATTGGAGAGACTGTTACGAAGTTCGGCCACTCTAGTTTTATCTCGTCCTATCTTGTCTTCGGGCAGTACATACTTAAACGCTGTTCGGTACTCTGACGCCTTACGCCAGAAGTTGCGGTGAGAAGACCAACTGCTGACCTGACAACGTGGAGCAAAGAAGTGTGAAAAACTCTAATTTGTTCATTGCGCATACTGACCATGAGTGCGTGCATACAGAGCCACCGATGATGCATAGCATATGACCTATCCTGAAAGCGTGCTCCAGCGCTATGCATTTGTAACAAATCCCAACCTGTGATGCAAGTATCCAACCCAGCCCGCCAACAAAGTTTTTCAGGCGGGGCGTAGAAACCAGGTCTTGCTCGTGTAGAATGTAGCATGCGAGTAGCCAAAACGCTGCAGTTGTACCATGTATCCTAACGGGAATCTAAGCCTGGACTACGGAACATCCGCAAGAAGAAGCGCTCTCGGCTTCAGTTCCAGAGCCATCGCTTAGCCACGTTTGGCTTTCCGGCCTTGCGAGGCCTTCGGCGCAGAATTCGAGGTCTTCGCCTTGCTAGTCGCGGTCGGCGCTGCATAAGACGGAGCGCGTCGCTTTGGCCTAGGGATATGAGTGGTCGGCTCGTCCGCTCCGTCCGCCTTGCGCTTCTTGGGTGAAGTTTTATTAGCTTGAGCGTTGCCCAACGCGTCCTTGAGCGCCTCAGCCCTATCGAGTTTAGACGATTCAAGTGAATGCGCCGCCTGGGGCTCGTCCCTGGGCGCGGGTATGGTCTCCTCGGTAGGCAAGCTTGGGACGTCCTTTCGAGTAGCGGGAGGAGTGGCTTCTGCGAACATGATCGACTTTGTGCTCCTGGTGCTCTGGCTGGAAGAGGGGGTCGGCAGTCTATGCTCTTTCTCTGGGGTGCCCTGGCGGTTCATTTCATCGTCGTCCGCGTCCTTCGGCTTCAGCTGCTGCGCGAGCCAGTCCGGGATGACTGCGTCCTCGGAGTCATCGTCCTCGCCAGCGCCGAGAATGTTGTCCGCCAGTTCGCCAACGATGTCGTCTGCGGCATCTTGATTCTGCATCAAACGAGTGGCGAACTCGAGTAGAGTGGTTTCGTCAATGTCCTCTGGTGCGGCGCCCAGTCTGGCTAGGTTGGTGCGGAGGGCCGCTTTGAGCACGTCCATGTCCATTTCAACTTCTTCGTCCTCGGAGTCGGAGGGTGGGGAGAGAAGGTCGTTGCTGGCTACATCCTCGCGAGGAGGATTATTTGGGCTCTTCGCGGTCTTGAACCCGGGAGAATTGGCATAGCGCTCCCTCCAATCCTTAAGAAGCGCGAAAGATCGATCGAAATTCTCGACAGTGGGTGGACGTCCTTCTTCGCAGTGTGTCTTCCAAGCTACCGTGGGTGTGGGAGACTCGGCTCCGCTGACCGGGCGCGCCTCGCCTGAGGCCGCTTTCAGTCGCTTCTCAGGCGAGGTCAGAGTGAACGCCTTCTTCCTCTTCTGGCCTGCCCTCTCCGCATCTGGTTCTACGCGCTCCCGGCTGCGCCTCGGTCCCGCATCGTTGAAGCCATCGTCGTTGTACTCGATGTCCTCCCAGTAGTCGAATGGATCGTAGTTGAGCAGATCTTCGTCGTTTTCTGGCGGAACGGGCGACGCAACGGCGCGCTCGGCAAGGTCGTCCTGCGGTCTCAGGTTAGCGGATGACTGCACGCGTGACACCAGATGCTGGGGATAAGTGCATGGAGCTGGATCAGACATACCACGACGTCGTATGACTCTTCTACATAGACGTAGTCGGGGTCGAAGACGTCGTCGAGGAAGTCTTCGATGTCGGACATGGCGCCCCTCGTGAGAAGAGCTGAAATGGCGTGGGTTACGATGTCTTGCAACACGCTAGATCTTCCAATGCAGCGCTTCTCGAAGGCTCTAAAATAGGCGCAACCCTGCTGGAGCAGGTGGGCAGTCGCGTTTCGCGTATCGGAAATGCCCAGGAAAGCGGCACGACGCGTCAGCGGAGGTGATGGCGGAGAAAACCTATGAGTAGCAGAAACCCTCGGAGGAAGAAGATGGGTCGTAGAGCTTGCTCATGTGAACGTGGCGTGTTGCGTCCGCGCGCAGTGGAGGACTCTAGCCTGTGGGCGGCATGCTTTGTGGTGCGAAGGAATGGTGTTGTCGGGGAGGCTCGGCGGCTCTGGCTGGGGAAGGGTGTGAAGGGTGTGAAGGAAAGCGCAGCCCGTCAGCCCGTCAGCCATCCCAGCGATGCAGACGTTCGTCATCGCGTAGTGTCTATTCCCATGACCAACATTGTTCCTGTGTCGTAAGGCGTCCACACTCGTAGGCACTCTCTGCAACAACAATGAGGTGACATAGGGTTCGAGGAAGCTGATGCTGCCCAGCGCTCAAGCCTCGGTGACGGCTGTCGTCGGCTTAGTACCGCGCCCACCATCCGGGGTTGTGAAATCCGGGGTACAGTAACCACAAAACGCTGGACATATCCTTCTCCAGATTCTTCCTGTCATTCCTGAAGCTTTTCGATGTCTGCTCTCTCGGGTTTGAGGCGACCGCAAGGGTTTGCCTTCATATTCAAAGCCAATGGCGCCGCCGCCGTCCGTAGAAACACCTCTGCAGCCGGCGCAAACACGCCAGTGTTCAAGCCGCTGACCTCTGTCCTGATTGCCAATAGAGGAGAAATCGCACTGTAATACACGTTGATCCATCACAGCTAGTATTTGTCCACTAACAATACCACAGCCGCGTCAACCGCACAGCATCCGAATACGGCATCCGCACCACCACCATCTACACCACCCCGGATGCCCACTCCCAGCATGCCCTCTGCTCCCCCTTCGCCGTAAATCTCGGCGAGCCCACCACCTACCTCGACGGGGACCGCATCATCCAAGTCGCCAAGGACCAGGGCTGCAATGGCATCCACCCCGGCTACGGCTTCCTGAGCGAGAACCCGCACTTTGCGCGCAAGTGCACGGAAGCGGGCCTAACCTTCATCGGGCCGCCATGGCAGGCTATCGAGGCCATGGGCAGCAAGAGCCAGAGCAAGGATATCATGACTGCGGCGGGCGTGCCGTGTATACCGGGCTACCATGGCAGTAACCAGGATCCCGAGTACCTTAAGGCCGAGGCTGAGAAGATCGGATATCCGGTGCTGCTTAAGGCGGTCAAGGGAGGCGGAGGAAAGGGCATGCGTATTGCAGAGACGCCGGAGGTCTTTCTGGATCAACTCGCGTCCGCAAAATCGGAAGCGCGCAACTCGTTTGGAGACGATGTGATGCTTGTTGAGAAGTACATCACCAAGCCGAGGCATATCGAAGTGCAGGTCTTTGCGGACAAGCACGGTAACTGCGTGGCTCTGGGTGAGCGAGACTGCAGCATCCAGCGCCGCCACCAGAAAATCTTGGAAGAATCGCCTGCTCCGCATCTACCTGAAGAGATCCGCCAGGACCTGTGGGAGAAGGCACGAGCAGCCGCGCTGGCTGTGGGCTACGAAGGAGCTGGCACTGTGGAGTTCATCTTCGACAACGACACTGGCGAGTTCTTCTTCATGGAGATGAACACACGGCTTCAGGTCGAGCACCCAGTCACCGAGATGGTAACCGGCGAAGACCTCGTACGCTGGCAGCTCATAGTCGCCGAAGGCGGCAAACTACCTCTTACCCAAGAAGAGATCCATCAAAGGATCTTGGAGAGGGGCGCAGCCATCGAGGCTCGCATCTACGCCGAGAACCCCGACATGGGCTTCATACCCGACTCCGGCAAGCTTCTCCACTTGCGCACCCCAGCCGCAACCGACACCGTCAGGATCGACGCAGGCTTCGTTACGGGCGATGAAGTGTCTTCTCACTACGATCCCATGATTGCGAAGCTGATCGTGCGAGGACCAACGCGCCAAGCCGCCCTGCAAAAGCTGCGCGCAGCGCTCGAAGAATATCAAGTCGCCGGTCCGATCACCAACATCGAGTTCCTCAAGAGAATCTGCGTTAGTCCCGCTTTCGCCGCCGGCGACGTCGAGACCGGGTACATCGAGAAACACCGCGCGGAGCTCTTCGCGCGCCAGCCCGCTGCGCCGGAAGTCCTTGCCCAGGCGGCCATCGGGCTGCTGCAGCAGGAAATTCAGGCCCAGTCTGCCGACTCCATCTTCGGGGTCCCTGGCGCCCTCGTTGGGTTTGGAACGGGCTACCAACAGCGCGAGTTCCACCTCACCGAACCCGCGCCTGATGGCACCGGCGAGCCTACTGCAACGACTGTCCGTGTACGCCAGACCGGACCGAGCATCTACACCGTCTCGGTCAACGAGGCCGACTACCCCGATGTCGTCGCTACCTTCGACACCGCTAGCAACACGATCACGTCCTTTTACCCGCATACCCGCCTCGCGACGACTTTCATCAGAGACGCAGAACGCATCATCCTTTTCCAGCAGGGCAGGATGTACAGGCTGCAGCTCGCGGTGCCCAAGTGGGCGGAGAAAGCGCTGGGGATTAAAGACGTGGCGAATAGCGTGCTGGCGCCTATGCCGTGTAAGGTCTTGCGCGTTGAGGTACAGGAAGGGGATGCTGTTGAGAAGGGACAGCCGCTTGTGGTGATTGAGAGCATGAAGATGGAGACAGTGATTAGGAGTCCGCACAACGGTGTCATTGCTAGGGTTGTGCATGGGAAGGGGGTGAGTGCTCGCATATCTAGTGCATTTCGAGCACAACTTTGCTAATCAGGGGACAGGATCTGTGCAAGGCGGGCACGGCGCTTGTCGAATTCGCGGAGGAGGGGAAGTAATATGCTTTCAGACTCTTGACCGCCTGGCGAAAGGTAGATAATCAGTGATGGCCGAGCATAGAGGACAGTAGCTCTGCTTCGAGACTTCGCCGGGGATACCTCCGTCTGGTGTTTTGGTGAGACATTGAACGACAGCTTGTACCGGCTGGCATCGCCCACCAATGACACATCCCTCAACGAGGGGTGTGTACGGAAGGGAGCGCCTGTTTTGTGTGAGATCTGTTCCTATCTGCGTGCAGGACCTGCCGCCGTATGTTTGCAAGATCCCCGCGCACATCAGGCCAGCAGAAAGGACAGATCATTACTGGGGTCTTTCCTCATAGCATAGTAGACTTAGATGAAACTGAAGCCGACTATACAAAACCTTACCAGATAGCTGTGCCCTCTGTGATCCAGTGACTTGAGCAGTACAGGCTGCCTGTAATGGAACTTGGCCTTTTTCCACGTCATGGGCGCTGGAAGAGGCATCCCACACACGCTGCGGCATCCCTACTCGATTCATTCCAAGTTAATCAGACAGCCCACGCGCCAGTCTTGATGTAACGTTGTGATGCATCCCCAACCGCTTTGTTCAGAGGCAGGTACTCCGTACGGAGCAAGCACCGAACAACGGCTAGCGAGGTTCAGCCGCCGCCCCTTTTAATTCTATTTCGGAATTCGGCCGCTTTTAGCCGCAAAGCTTGGTTTCAGCCCCATGCTGGTAGCGACACTCCGCGAATCACCGCACGGCTGTTGACTCTGGAGGATCAACGTTCATCTCGCTTTTCGCGCGCCTTTGGTAAGATGTAGAAGGTGGGTAGGTATTAATAAAGCTCCTTGTCCTCGTGCTTCCCCTGTACGCTCCAAGTCACTCGTTCCATCGCTCTTTCTCAGCAAGCACGCCGTCAATCTCATTCTTTGTTCTCCAGCGCTTTCGCAGCAGTCTTTCCCACCGCTGTCCCAGCAAAAAAAGAAACAAACTCATCCTCCATCCTCTCTCTACCAACTTCATTCGCTCCCTCCGAACCGCCCACCGTCAGAATGCGCTCCACTGTTTCTACCACCCTCGCCCTTGCGGCTCTGACCGCCTCGGCCCTCGCCAAAACCGACCTCGGCGGCTGCGTCTCCTCCTCCACCCGCGACGCCTACAACCAAGCCTCCATGATCTGGTACGTCCCGTCATCCGGCGAGATCTGCGAGCTCCTCGACTGCGGCGGCGGGCGCGCCCCGGCCAAGACCACCGTCCCGGGCTGCGGCGCCTATCAGGGCACCGCGACGTACAGCCCACGGTTTCTGCCGGGCTGGGGCGCCGGGCCCACCAGTGCCGCGGCGGCGACGAGCGCCGAGGCTGTCGTGACGAGCGCGCCTGTGGAGACGAGCGCGGCGGCTGTGGAGACCATGCCGACGTTCGCGGAGACTAGCGCACCGGCGGCTGTGACGAGCGAGGCGGCGACGAGCGCGGTGTTCTCGAGCGAGGGCGGCATGGAGGTCATGCCTAGCTATACCGACGTCGCTAGCAGCGCTGCGGCTGTTACGTCTGTGGTCGAGAGTTCCGCACCTGCCGCATCTTCTCACGCGGAGATGTCGTCAATGTCCACCCTCACGACCGTGCCGGCTGGTGCTGTTACCTCCCACGCTGCTTCTGCGTCCTCGGTGGTGGCAATGCCGAGCAGTGGCACCTCGACTGTTGGGGGAGGGCGCAACGCGACTGTCACCACGCCTGCGGCTTCTTCTTTCACCGGCGCTGGTGTACCGCTTGCGGGAATCAATGGCGGGTTCGCGGGATTGGTCGTTGGTGTTTTGGGCTGGTTAGCAATGTTGTAGGCTGGTTCGAGCATTGGTGGACCTAACGGTGTTGTGTTTGGGTGTTATCCTTCGTAGGCCTCGAGAGGTCGTTTTGTATAGACACCATCATAAAGAGACGGGTGTGTTAATGATAAATCTTATCTATGAGTCGCTGCTGTCGTTGTTCACGCTTGCCCTCGTCTTGCACGGAGACCTTCTGCGGTGTAATATGTTGACTAGAAGTGACGTTACTGATACATACTAACAGCTAGATGATTAGCCCTGCCGTCAATGTACGCAAGGCGCTACACAGCCGACGTCCTCTACACCGACTCGCTGCCCACACTATCAGTCCTCTCACTGACAGCCCCCTTATCCGGCATCCCCATCTCAGCACGGTGAACGTCATCCTGCCTGGCCCTGCGGGCCTTGCGGGCCCTAGCTCTCTCCGCCAGTTTCCTATATGCCAGGATGAAAAGCACTACAGCTGTGCCGACAACAATGCCGCTGATGACTCCACTGACCGCATAAGCAGCCGGATTCCACTTCGTCGTAGGAACACTATACACCATGCAGAACCCCTCGGTGCTCTCGCAGGCCTCGCACCACTCCTTCACGCTCGTGACGGCTCGCTTCCCCATTTCAGCGACGAACTCGCTCCACGGCAGCGCCGTCTCACTCCTCCCGAACAACGGGAACGCCCGCAGCTCCTCCACGTCCGAGCCGTTCCTGAACAAAAACCTTACGCTCACGTCCTCAAGCGCGGGGAAAACTGTCACGTTATTCTCGGTGAAGATCTCGAACGCCATGGTGGACGCATAAGCCGGCAAGCCATAGAAGTCCGTACTCGCAGCCGTCAGCTCGGCGAGCCCGAAGAAGGACAGAAAAGTGTCGTAGCTCCCCGCCAAGAGGCTGAACTTCCGCCTTCCATGCGTCACGACCGTCTCGTTGAGCCGTGCGAGTACCGCGCCAGCGAGCGTCGCGCCGCCGATCGCGCGCATCGGCTCATCCCGGCCGTAGTTGGCGGCAAACTCGGCGCTGTCGGCGAGGGTGCGGAGGCGAGCGAGGTCAGGCGCACTGATGTCGTGGCTGATGGCGTGGTTGGCGGGGGCGGATGAGGCGTTTTGGATCGAGGCGGTGTTGAGGAGGTCGTAGATGTCGTAGGCGTTTGCGTAGGTTAGGTTGGCGGGGTTGTAGTCGTGGACGTTGCGGAGGGCGTCCCAGAAGCGTGCGTAGAAGGGGGCCGTGGCTTCGGTTCGCTGCTGGAATTCTGGGCTGGCTTTGAAGGAGGAGGAGGCGCGAGTGTAGGCTGGACAGCTGTCGTCGCCCTTGAGCCATATGCTGTTGGGGGACGTCGAGGGCTCGCTGCGGATATGGACGTATTGATACCCGTTTAGCGGGTTGGTGTAAGCGGAGCCGTTGGCGAGTGTCAATCTGGTGACTTCCTCAAGCGGTGGATAGAGGCCTTGCAAGAAGGCGGTCGTTGTGTCGAGTAGTATCTATGTCGAGCCATCAGTCGAGCTTCGACGGACGTTTGTAACTGCCCGTTGGCACACCTTCTGGTCTGGCGCGCTCGCGTAGACCTGCGATGAAACATATTTGTCCTCGGATACCCCCAATATCCGCTTGGGGGAATCTGAATCAAGGTAGATGCCACGATAGTCCTGGCCCACCTGGAAGTTTTGCTGGGCCCCCAGGCTCGTCAGACTGTAGCCCGGAAAGTGCTTCGAGGTTCCTGTACAGTGTCGGTTACTCTAGCTCCACTATGGAGCCGATTACAAAGACATGTCTCGCGCAGCAGCTACTCACTGTCCCCGTGTCGCGTAAACACAGTCACGCCCAGAATAGTCTCTCCCAGCGCAGCCCCAATCGTCGTGCTCACAGCAAGAAGGGCGAGGTTTGAGAACATGGTGACGACTTTGCTTGTTGGAGGATTGCCTGCTCAATTGGTAGTGCAAATAGGGTAGACGACAACGGTTCAGCAGTCACGGCAGTGCTTGAGGCAAAAGGGCAGCAACTCCCTTCCTTTATCTACGACATCTTTATCTACAACATCGTGACTATCTATGTACCCCTGTGCCTTGGTGGAAGCATCTCCGCGGCGGGGTAGCTAGGTACGAGTAATCCTGCCTCAGGCATCCACAGCGCCACCTCCGGAAAACCATCTCCACAACACGCCGCAGTCCAACTTCGCATCACCGAAACCATCATTAGGAGCGCCATAAAGCCACGATGCCAGCATCACCGTCTCCAGATCCACCCTCTCCACGTCGCAAACCCCGACCTCCACCCTGATCACCCACCATGATCACCCCACCCCCGACCGATCTTGTCTGGGTCGCCTCGCGCATCACCAAGCCCCAGAACCTGACCCCCTCCGCCTTCTGCGACTGGTACGAGAACACGCACATCCAGGAAGTGACGGCGCTCTCCGGGATCCCGTCCGCCGCGCGCTACGAGCTGCTGCCAGGCTTCGACTTCCCCGGCGCGCTGGCGCATCCGTGGTTGACGCTGTACGAGATGCGGGAGGTGGGGTTTCGGAAGACGGAGGAGTTCAGGGGGCTCAATGGGCAGAGCAGGCCTGATGAGAGGCTGCTGGAGAGGGTGTTTCGGAACGCGGAGTTTGATACTAGGTTTTGGCGGTGTGTGCAGGTGCATGAGGGGGTGGGTGTTAAAAAGGGTGGGTATGGGCCTTCTAGATGGGCGAAACAACGCTGCTGCCCCTTGTTGTGGGACCTGTTTCAATGACTTGTTGGAGTTGTGCCACTACTGCGGCAATAACCTGAGGCTTCGGACGAGTGTGAAGAGTAAGTCGTACTTGCTGATATCCGTACCTTTTAGGCCCAGCGCCCCTCATCATATCCGCCGCGCTCACCCCCTCCTCCTCCGCCGAAGCAGACTTTGACGCCTGGTACCGCCAAGAGCACGTCCCCATGATCTCACAATGCCCCGGCTACGTACGCACGCGGCGGTACCGGCTCGTCGACGCATCGCTCCTGCACGAGTTCGATCGCCGCGAGTCGCCGGCGCCCTCGTGGCTGGCGCTGCATGAGTTCGAGGGTACGGAGCTGCCGATGGCGGAGCTACTGAAGTGTGATGAGACGGAGTGGAGTAAAAGGGTTGTTGCTGGATTGGAGAAGATGGAGGCGGGGTTTTATCGGTTGAAGAGGGTTTATGAGGAGGATGTGGGAGCGAAGCTGTAGTCCTGATGGGCTGATGTATGAGATGATAGGCAGAGAGTTGGTCTTGGGCTGTAACTACTATCGCCGCTCCCCAGTATCCTCACCGCGAGAGTTTAGAGAACTTAGCATCGCAAGCATAGATACATCGGTCTTTGGATTGATCTGTTGTCACGGTGGTGAGAAAAACAGTGAGCACGAAAACTGGCCTCATTCTTCTATCCTATGGTTTGGGTTTTCTCGTCCTTCTCTGCATTTACTCCATCCCCTCAGTAGTCCCCCTACCCACGAGGGCCCAATGGCTGCTAAATTCAAATCACATAACGACACAAGGTCCCCTTCCGCCATTGCGGTACTTATGCGGAACTAGCATCATCTTGACGGAGCTGTTTGTGTGGCTGTTTGAAAGAATGTGATATCTCTTCGAGAGTGGTTGAATGTGTTGAAACGATTGATCTTTGCGAACGAGTGAGATGTTGGCCCTGAGCTAGGCTTGTATGAGCTTGGGAGATTCTAATCTCTTCTCTTTGTTGCGGATTTGCTGGGTGTCAGGGGGCCTTTGTTTTGGAGGGCAGGTCACGCTTATATGCTCTTTGTACGCTCTTTGTTCTTGTTCTATAGTGGGTAATCCAGAATTCCATTTGCACCATGGCGTCGGGAGACAGATCGATCTCTGTTGACGGCCATTTTCTAGGCTGTGAGAGTAGTTTCATGGGCTTTCAGTCCATTTCTGGGCTTATGTTTACAAAGAATCGTAACTGATTACGTATGCGTGATCAGCTTCCTGGCAACCATCTTAGGTGACCGCCGATTTGATTGAGTCCATCGTAAATCTCAAGACGGTCCTGCGTCGTGTCGCTCGGCATTCATCCGTTCATATCAGCATGTGGAACTAGCCTATGTGGCTGCTCATAGTGTTTAAGCTCATTGACCATGCTACGTGAAGAATGCTACACAGAGTCTACAGCTGTAATCCGATCAAAGACAGCTAATACAGAGAATCCCGAAACCGGGGCGAAAGAACATCTTGATTCACGAGATTAACGAGCAGACAGGCACGCAGTGCAGAAAGTCCGACAAAGGCAAGACAATAATGGCTTAGACTTCAATTCGGCCGTGAATATGTACGGATGAACAGCGATAGTACAAAGGACGCACAAGGTTCCGAGACACCATGGCAGTTCCAAAAGGACGGTTTCCAACCCCAAACGCAGCCCACAGAGCGCTTCCGTGATTCAAAATGACAAAACGCCAGCCATGCGACGCCAGATGCCTCCAGCCGCCACCCGCTCAAGTCCAGCCATCTCCCATATCGAATCTATACTTGAACGCATTCGGCACCTTGCTCTTCTCCGGCGGAATATGATTATGCTTCTTCTGCACCTTCAGCTTCGCGGCCGGGATCTTCCCCGACTTGCCGGAGGCGTCGACGCCGCGGCTCGGCTCGTCGGCACTCTCCAGCGTGCAACACTCGACGCCCTTGATGTACGCGCTGTTAAGCGCCTCGGTGATCGAGATGCGCATTTCCGGGACCGGGTGCAGCATCTTCAACATAAGGCGCTTGAGGCCCGGAACGTTCAGATTCATGAAAACGGGGCCGCATTTCGGCATGCCGTCTTTCTCGTCTCTGACCTTGCCGTCTGGGTGATTCGGGAGCCACTCGTCCCAGCCCTTCTTGAAGCGCGCGTAGTGCTGGTGCTTTGGATCTGCGGCTTCCCAGGGGGAGCCGCTGTAGGTCATGGTGAGGAAGACGATGGCGCAGGACCAGACGTCCAGCGGACGGGGGTCGTAGTCGCCTAGTAATGCGTTAGATGTGGATTAAATTTGGAATGGTGAATGCTTACCACTCTTCTGAAGCACTTCCGGAGCGATGTACGGAAGGCTGCCGCATATGCCAGGAGCACAGCGTCGGATCTCGCCCATGTTCTTCCCACACTCGCCTCCAGCTGCGCGAAGACCAGGATGCTCTCCGCTAAAGACTTCCGAAACGCCAAAATCGGAGATCTTGATGTGACCCTCGGAGTTCATGAGCAAGTTTTCGAGTTTAATGTCCCTGTGGGCGATGCCGTGGGTATGCATATACTCAATCCCGCGAAGCATTTGCTTGAAGAAGCAGAGGCGGTCGTCAAGAGAAAAATGCGATCTGAAGAGGCCTGCCTCTGCCATCGTATAGAGCTCGCCTTTGCCGCAGTATTCCATGACGTGGTTCCATCGGCCCCGATGAGTGCAAAGACGAAAGGTTTCGACGATGTTCGGATGATTCATGCTCTTAGCGATGGTATACTCCGACTTAATCTTCTGCAGGTATTCGCGCTCATTCTCATCGCTCGGATCACGCTCTCGGAACTCTTTCACTGCGACTAGTGCATCAGGCTGCCCCTTGCGGTTCATCAACCTGACCTCCGCAGTCGCACCTTTGCCGCACAGACTTCCGCGCTTCAAACCGAGCTTGCCCGACTTCTCAAACTCGTCGTACAACTCGCAGTAGTCCACGGTGAATTCGTCCGGCAGACTATAACTCAGTCTTCTGGCTTTCAAGCCTGCCCCTTGGACAGCCGGTCTTGAGACCGCATCTAGAAGACCAACGTCTGGGTCGTTCGGATCCTTCGGAACTCTAACCATAGACGGTAGGTTATCAGTACTGAGTGAGCGTCGCCTTCCTCCACGTGCTGCTGGAGGAGCCAAACTGTCCGTGTCATTGGCATTCCAGGTGAGCCGCGTCTTCGGTGGACCCGGTGGTGCTTCCATGACATCGAAACGAATCTCTGGTGCAGAGGGCTGCTGCGCGAAGTCTTGGCGGCTAAAGGGTTGCTTGTCGTCCATTGTCTGCACAGGAGACCCCGGAGAAGGCGGGGTGTTTGACTGCGAGGACTCGGGAGAATTCTTGGCGGACAACCGAAAGGAGCTAAATCTTCGAGTGGGTTGCGGTTGCTGCGGCAGTTGCGCTGGCTTCGTCACGCTGCTGTTGTTGGCTGCAGCCTTGGGCGGAGATGCATTTGCCGCACTATCGTCATCCTTCTTGTTCCGATGCAGATGTTTACTCATGAACGAGCCCACACGCTTGCCAAGGCCGGGCTTCGGCGTATCGTTGCTTGCTGCCTGACTATGCTGCGCGGTCTTGGTTGGTTGTGGAGCTGGAGCAGGTTTCGAAGGTGTTCGCGTGGGGATTGGCTTGGCGGCGCTGCTCGGTTGAACCATGGGGACATTCTGCACTTTGCCATTCTGCTGCGGGAACGAGTGCGGAACGGTATCGTTCGTCGGCGTAACTGGCTCCATGGGTTCGCTGCTCGTCTCGTGGCTCTCATCCTCCTCTAGTATTGGGGATTGTAGATTCGCCGTTCGAGCGTCAGGCGGGCTCCCGATGTGTAGCTGCGCTGTTGGGTCCGAATGAACCTTCTCCAACCTTGAGCCTACAGTGTGTTCCGAGAATCCGGACAACATGGAGGAGTGCCGAGCCGGTGCAGAGGCCATGGTGAGACTTGGCTGGTGCGGCGTTAGAGTGCTGCGAACTGCGATCTACGCAGCACGGAGGGAGGCGCTGGAAGTCGCGTCGATGGGACTGGGGAGTAGGGTTATAAAGTATGCGAAGGGCTAGCGGATGCAAAGTCTAACTGTATGGTCTAGGAGGAGGCAGACTGTGTACGGTTCCGCTGCAGCTACGCGCGCTGAAGTGAGCTGGGGCGATGAAACTCGGAGAAGCTCTTCGGTAAATGCGTAAACGCCGACGTGGAATCGTAGGTACAGGCGGCCGAAAGCTCCATGCGATTGATGATGAAAGGCTTGGTGAATTGACGTGCTCTGCGCGAAAGGTGGTTAAGCAGTGGGTGGAGGGGTGCTTTTTACATCGAGGAGCGGAAGGGAGCGACGGCCGAGCGTTGACGTTGAGTCGGGGTCTGAGGCGCCGATTGGCTTCAAGGGCAACCCTGGAAAAGCGGGCAGCTTCTTTTAGGTGTGCCGTGCAATTATTCAGCCCACGGATCGAGCAGGGCGCATGGAAGCCGCTCGTGTCGGACGTCTCCCGGCGATGTCGCAAGGCGAAGTGGAACACGCGAAGCCGCGAGAAGGGCCTGAAGACCCTCCTATGGCGCCCCTCCTGTTCTAATAATGAAGAGTTGAACAAGAGTTCGAAGCTCGAGCTAGCCAAGCAGCAAACAGCTAGTGTCACCCCACCTTGCGAAAGGGTCACGGCTGGTCAGATGCAGCCCAGGAGACCGTTGCCGACATTGAATTACCTATGAGTAAGGGTAAGGCAGATAAGGAACGCCCCGAAGAGTCGCCTGTTTTCACCTTTGGGCGAGGTGTGCTTGTTGAAGCTAGCTTGTGTGTGTATTCATCGCTGTTCTGCCTCATTGAGAGACTCTGTACCGGATTTTGCAGTTGTCAGCAAGCGTAATTTTTCAGCCTGATCATGTGCCTTCGTCCTCCCACACGGATATTATTGGCTTACGTAGGGCATCCTCATGCAGATGAGCTTCTGAGGCATCCTTTACGGTGAACCGCACTGTTCTTTAGTACTGCCTTATGGATGGCTTGCGGTCGTGGAGCCATGATTCGTCTGCAAACGTTCAGGTCGCACTTACGAACACCGGCTCCTGCACCGTCAGCGGATCTGAAATGCCCAGCTCCACATTTAGAACGCTTGTTCACGATGCCGCATTTTCCGCGCAGCCAAGCGGCTTCTAGAAAGCCAAGATATGTGGGGTGCTAAACGGCCAACGGTCGAAAACTGCCCCAGATGCTCCACCAAGCAACATCTTCCGGGTTTTCGCGAGGGCGTCGCCAGCTTGGGACAAACTATGAGCCCTCAATATCCAGTTGATCAATTTCATGACTGGTGCATTGAGGCATCGCGCCTCATGCCAGGGTGTTTGGCGCGTACTACTGCTGCGCGACGGCCGTTGTCGAGAGCCTGGAAGCGTCGTTGGCCGCTCCGCATGATGGTTCCATCTCACGAGATGCGGTACTTAGTGCGCCTTGGACCCCGCAATCCTTGGTGCGGGAGAGCGCCGTGGGTTTGCCCAGCACACCCGGGTGACGTTCGACCTCAAGCGCCTCGGTGAACCGATCTTGAACCGGCAAAGCACCGTTGCTTTCCGCGTTTCCCGACCTTTCCAGTCAGTTTGGGCAGTTCAGTCTACCCAAGTACTCTAAGAGTGTTGATGATTCACGATTCTTGCCACAGACGACGCCTGCGTCGATGAGGCCCCTGGTTTGCTCAGGAAGGCATCAAGGCTTTGTCCCTCCTGGCTGTAGAGACGAGCAAGGGTAGAGAACAAGGGTGCTTTCCTTAAGCCCTACATACGGTCAGCTGCGGTGATGTTGCTTCAAGTGTGGATTCAGTAAGTGCAGCTGAACCTGCGTTAGCCAGAGCCTGCTGCACTGTTGCAACCTCTTGTCGAATCAGGCAGAGCTTCTCTGCATCTGAGACTGATGCAGGCACATCTCCACGATCAGTGTGCGCACTGGAGTTTAGCCGCTTATTAGACATGAGATGTGGTGTAGCTGGATCTCGAGTACGATCGTGGGCCTGCATGCTTATTCGACCAGTCCTATTTAACGATGAATGTCTTTCCCTATCTAGTATCCTATTGTACTTTATCGCTATTTATAATGCAGCTTGCGGCAGCAGCTTCTTCCTCAAGCTAAGAGGCACTGTCCGTATCGAACATCCGATGTTCTATCGTTTGCGTTGTCTTCGACTCAATATACTTCGTCCAGCCGCCAGGTCTCATTTTATATACCATGTCCTGTTCCAATTAGCAGACAACTGCGCTGCAGAATATTACAAGCAGCTTAAGAGCCGTCTCCACAGTCCGTAAAAGCTCCACAACACTCTTCGAATGGGTGTTTTCTGCACTAGTGCAGGCTGCTAAGGAAGAGATCACATCCTACCTACAACTTCTCAGTATCCACTGGATTGTTTGGACATCGTGCTGCCTCAGTCCAGGCTCCGTGATTCGATCCACAGCACAATTTCATGTACATGACAGCGGTATCTACTTCCGCCCAGCCCTGATCTCGTTAATGTCATAACAACACCTGGTGCGCAAGCGATCGTTTGTGTCAAAGTCGAAAGCGTAAGAGTAAGAGAAGCTATTGGTCGAGGGGATCAATGCCAAGAATCACGTAAGTCACGTGACTGAACCAAAGAGTAAGTGCTTCCTAAACTCTCGCTTTCAGGATAAATCTCTCAGGAGCAAGAATCGAACGACAAAAAAGCCACAAAGCATCGCCCCGTCTCAGCCTCGCTGCAGGCCATCACCATATGTACGGCTGCGCCCTTTACGCGTGCGGCACAGTTAAGCGCCCGCGAAGCGTTTCATGGCTGTCCGTGCTCGCGCTGGTTCGCTGCGCCCCACCACTCCGGACAGTATGCGGAGCATAGCGCTGTTGAACGGTAGCTGAAGCCTTGCTCTGCTCAGGCAAGCGTTGGCTTCGATATGTTACACTTTCTGTTCCAAACTATGGATCTTTCTGGTACAGTCTCGCTTCGTAGTCTGCAATTCGTAGCGGATCTCTTCCACACAAACAAGATCCTTGTGCAGCCGGTAGTTAGCGTGCGCCATTTCCAGGGGTTGTGGTCTTCCGAACGTCTCAACTCCATATGCTCCGTTTGCTCCAGTTGAGGCTATTCAACCTTTTGAGCGATTCTATTGCATGCTATCCATAAAATCAGATGGCCGCTTTGATCCCTCGATCACGGGTGTGGTGAGTTTGAAGTAGTTATCTCGACAGAGCAAACCCCTGCCAAAGGCGCACGCTAACCACCGGCTGCAGGAGGATCCTGTACAGGAGCCTGAGGCTTCACGGGCTATGCAAAGCTTTGACGAAACCTCTGCTGGTTTACCGTACCGCTGGGCTTCCGTTTTTGATGCTCGGCAATACTTATCGTGCATTCTTGAAGGCTGTGCTGCCTCCACGCCTTTGTGGCGTGTATTGGATACTGACACAGAGCCTGTCTTAGACACATGAGGACAAAGCATATAACGTACCAAGGTAGGATGTGGGAACTCCCTCATCTCATTGATATTTGATTCGTGTCTGCCACACATCGGTGTGATTGCAGACACACTCATCCATCTAGCATCGCACAACTCTTGCAGCAGAAGCCATGTCGTTCTACTCACCAACCACAGGGCCTCATGGTCCGGCACTCTGGGATCCTGTAGCATCTCTGCAGCTGATTAACCCCGATAGAGAAAAGATAACCTGTGTTGGCTACGCACCGACCCAAGGGAGGAGATGTCGAAATCCAATCGCGGCACACAACATCTCAGCAGCGAAGGAAATACTTAACAGCCTTTCCCGGCGGATACCGCATGATGGACTCATGGAAGCAGACTTGCTCGACGTTGCCTCGAGGCTACTCTGCGTCCGCTACCATCAGGGCCAGTGGAAAGGGGTTGTCGAGCGTAAGTGGAAGCCATGCGTCCGGCAGGAACTTGGGTTCTATCTCGCGGAGCGAGCCCGTCCAGCACCGGTGCTTCAAGAAGCTGCTCCCGTACAGGCCTCGAATGAGAGTAGGTCATCGAGCGTGATGACAGTGTGGCCATCGTCGAGACAATCAACGTGGGGAGCTGCTACGCCACTTGCAACAATCGCTCAGGGCAGTCGGGCGCAAACACCTCAGGCGGCCGTCACCACACCCGCTCCTAACCAGTACACGTTGCCCGACGTATTATCAGCGCAGCCCGCGCCAAGAGAGCTGACGCTGCAGGCGGTTACGATACCGGACGAGCACGGCGTGCTTGAAGACAACCAGGTGCAGGAGAATGAAGTTCCAGAGGAAGCGGCGGGCTCAGGAACCGAGCCGCCAGCAGTCGTCTGCACAGCCGAACACGTAGCTCGCAGGTCCATTGAGGACAATTGCGTGATATGCCAGCGCAGCCTGGCGTTTGAGCCTCTGGAGAACCTCGTCTGGTGCAAGGGCCAGTGCGGCAAGAACCTCCATGTTGCATGCTGGCAGCAATGGTCCGAATACCTGCGCCGAGGGCCTTCACGCTGCGTATACTGGTAAGCGTCTCGCGTTCGACTTGTTTCTTGATGGAGACATCTTGTGGAAAGAGCATTGCTAACACTGCTTCAGCCGTGGTACATGGGCAGACCCGTGCGAGCATGACAGCGCCGAACCCGCCGACTCCTTCTGGTCCGTCAGCGATACTGGACTAGAGCGTTTGTTCGACCGTCAAACACACATCTGGTCCATCTGGAAGGCGGCGTCCGTTGACGATGCCGGATTAGAGCTTCTGTTTGACCCTCGGGGACACGCCTGGTCCGTCTGGACGGCCGGGTCTGTCGAAGATACTGGACTACGGCATTTGTTTGACTCTCGGACGCACGCCTGGTCTATCTGGAAGGCAGAGTCCATCAAAGATACGGGATTGCGACGTCTGTTCAACCGTCAAACGCACACCTGGTCCTTGTGGACAGCGGAGTCCATCGAAGATACCGGATTAAAGCGTCTGTTTCACCCTCGAACGCACGCATGGTCCATCGGAGCGGCGGGCGACGCGGTAGACGCAGGCCTCTGCCTGCTTTTCAGTCCATCGGGACAGCAGCGGCGCAGGTCAGGCCGGAGCACGCGTCGGTTCGACCTGTGGACTGCACACGATAACGGCCTGCACCGAATGTTCAATCCGCTCGTGTCCTTGGTCTGGGACGAGTACGTGCGAGTTTTCCGGCTGAGCGAGAGGCGAAGGTCGTAAATTGCATCTTTCAAGTTTTCTCACCCGGACACCCTGGCGGTGGACGGCATGCTGGGTCGTGCGTTTCAGATCACAGAGTTTCGTTGTTTCTTCCTGGTTTCAATTGGGTGGCTGGTGTCTGGGTGGCTGATGAAGCATGGTAATCATGAATGAATGGCCTCGGTGTCAATGTCGGAACTGCTGGCGATGTCTCGTCTTTCCCGTACCCCCCATCAGCAAGTAGCCAAATCAAGTTTCTTATCTTTCCTCATCGATTCTGTGGGCGAGCAGGGATGGTAATCGTCAAGTAAACAGTGGCAGTGGTCCGCATATTGGCGTGATTTTCTTCTAGCACGTGATGGTATATTAGCGTGCGACACGACTTGCTCATCCTCGCAAACGAAGGGAAGGTTGCTGCGAGGAGATACTTCCCCCAGCCGCGCCGGGTACGGGTCGGCCTGCCGCTTTACCGTGACGTCAGCACTAAACCACCGTGTTGTTTGACGAGCGGTGGTCCTCGATCATCGAATGCTTTGCTTTTCCGGCCAGCTTCAGCATCACCGCCTCAACATCAGGGATCTCCAGCCACTCACGGCCACCCCGCGTCCAGGCAAATTGTGGTTATCTCGTGCCGGGAGATGCTGTTGACAGGGCTGCAGCTGCCTCAACGCCACGTACTCACACCGGCGCGTGGCGAGAACTTGCCTTGGCCCGCTAACAGATGTCGCTTGGCTTATGGCTGCTCACTCCACAGGATCGGCGACGGACCTCGAAGACTGAAATTGCCCATCACGCAGCACGAGGCAGATCGATATGGGGCCCTGCAGTTACAAACCCATGCTGCTGGTAGGGGTCGCACAACCGTGCCACTTGATCTCCCTCGGCTCCAAATTCTGGGTCGCCCAAGCCCATCTCGTCATGCTGCGCTCCGTTACACGATCGCGCAGGGATAAAGCCAGCAAGCCGTGATATCTCACGAGGGCGGCTTGGTCCCCAGCATCCGCAAAGATTGCACAGTGTCGCGGCTACTGGCTGATTAAAAGAGCTAATGGCTTGATCTGCCGGCAGCGGTTGGCCGTTGGCGCTGATTTTCTGCGAAACACGCCTCCCGTTCCCTGTCCATTCCCTTCGCGAAGCACCGGATCCTCCGCCACTGGCGCCGCCTTTCCCTTCTCCACCGGCCTTTCGAAAACTGTTGCGCCGGAAATGCAATTTCTGAGCCGTGCCGTCATCCCTACGAGCTCTGCTGACCTCGACCCAACGACTTCGTCACCGCCGAGATGGAGCTCAGACGTTATTACCCCCTTAGACTCTGCTTGTCTTCCATCGTTCCCATATTCTACGTTTTTGATACCCATTTACCGTTGATCTAGCATCTATCCGTGGAGGCAGCAGGCTCTGTCCATTTTTCCTCGGTCTATTTGCTTATCGACACTGTAACTCATCTTCATCATGCCGAACTTCGACAAATTCAACCCAAGGACCCACACCAACAAAGACAGCAAACCCAATGCCCTCAAGAACCATCTTGTGGCCGCCTCGGGCGAGTTCGTCGGCACTTTTATGTTCCTCTACTTCGCCTATGCCGGACACCTGATGGTAGTCAACCAGGCTGCTGAGACCGCCCTGAGCAACAGTGCGAACAGCAGTCAGACTGTCATCTTCATCGGTCTTGCATATGGCATGAGTCTGTTGGTGACGGCCTGGGGCTTCTATCGGATTTCTGGAGGCCTATTCAACCCTGCGGTATATCTCCCCGGCTCTATAGTTGCAGGCAGGAGCTGATGGAAAGCAGGTCACCCTTGGCATGGTCCTCGCCGGTGCGCTGCCCCCAGTCCGAGGTCTCATCCTGCTCCCGGCGCAGCTTCTGGGCTGCATGGTTGCCGGAGGCCTCGTTTCCGCCATGTTCCCTGGAAACATTGCCGACGTCAACACCACGCTTTCTCCCGGCACTTCTATCACTCAAGGCGTTTTCATCGAGATGTTCCTGACCTGCCTGCTCATCTTCATCGTGCTCATGCTCGCTGCGGAAAAGAGCAAAGACACCTTCATCGCTCCTGTCGGCATTGGCCTTGCTCTTTTCGTTGCTGAAATTGCTGGTATGTCACCTTGCATCTTTCGTTCTTTCGCGGCCATTAAGAATGTTCCTGACCGCATGCAGGTGTCTACTATACTGGTGGCTCTCTCAACCCCGCTCGCAGCTTCGGCTGTGCCGTCGCCGCTAGGGAATTCCCTGGCTACCACTGGATCTACTGGGTCGGCCCGTTCCTTGGTGCCATCGTTACAGCTGGCTACTTCCGCTTTGTCAAGGCCATGAACTACGAGGAGGCCAATCCCGGCCAGGACTCTGCGGATGGCGATTTCGCGTATGATTGATTTTTGAAATTTTTAGCTCCGTTCTAACATTTTCTTGTATCTATAACGAGAACCACGCTGACTGTTTTGGCTGGCAAAAGTTAGGAGGGTGTTGGCGCCCGGCAGCATATGCAAGGGTTTGAAGAGCGGGGGCGTTGGCGGTTTTGAAAGCGTTCTGCGTTGCTGCTTCTCACGTTGCAATATTGGACATTGCCATGGTTCCTTACGGCACGTCGGACCTTTGAGCGGATTGGTTCATCGACTATAACCCCCAACACTAATACTCAAACTCCAACCACTACATTTACCTGCGGCAAATCAGCCATGGCTTCTGTCCGACGAGGTCGTATCAACATGACATCCAATGGACAATTTGCACCGTCGGCGATGGCTAAGGCTTCATCGCTTTCCCAACCCAGCCATCTCAGCGAGTACGATGGTGTAAATGAATAGGACTGAAGTCCGTTTAAGCTATTCCGTATTAGGCACCTTGGCATCCGTCTTCTCGCAAGACCTTGTCAGTAACACAGCGCTTGCAGCGTCTATCACTGTCGTGCGACCGCACGATCAAGCCACCATTCAATCAGCCCATCGTCACCATGTCTATGGCCTTAGTTTCCCAGTAGTTCATCTCTTGGAAGTATCAATGGAAAATCGCGTACACATTACACCGAGCACTTCAGACTCTCACAACCCCCTCTCATTGTACCTGCGCTCGATACCGCCGTTGTTCAGATAGTGCCGCATGTACGTCGACTTATTGTTCCCCAACAGTCCCACAACTTTCCACAGCTTCTGCTCTGCTCTCGCGGGAAACGGAAGAAATGAATCTAGGAGGGCCCTGATCACCTGGTCGTGGAATCAGGAGCTATACTTCAAGGCTATCGCTACAACCTTACATAGGCCTCACATAAAAATCCAGTAGTGTGGACGTACTTCTCTTTTGCGTTTACCAACCTGGCCGGCCCAGAATTTACTACATCGATCGGAGCAACACTCTCCTACTCACAAACCTTTACGGTTTTGACTGACCCTCAGCAGTAGATCATTGCTGTGTACCCCAAACTCTCCACCTTGTTCCCCGTACGACCGCTCTCGATCATGAAGACGAAATTGCACGTGAGAAGAATATGAGATACGTTGCAATCCCTCGCTTTGCAACCCTTTCTTTCCGCCCCCTCCTCCTGAAGTTGCCACTCTATGCTGCTCGCGCCGCTAGAGACAGCAGAAAACGTGATCTTCCTCGACATCAACGACGCGGGACGGACGGCCCTCATTCCTCACCGAGCAGCAGGTAGACGTACGCTATGAGAGCGACGAAACAGACACCACGACGGCATCTAATTCTCGAAGATAGAGGAACCAAAAAATGTGACCGCCCAACCCGACATCGAGTGAGGCCAAAAGTGTGCTCTTGATTCTGATTCCTCAACCCCCTTGTATAGCCCCTCTCAACCGTCCGCAAAGCGCCTGAGCTGGATCCACGCTTCAGGCGCGCGCTACTGTACAACCGCGTCGACTTCTCTTCTCCAAATCTAAGGACATGGCATTACAAGATGCTAGAAATACCGTGGTAGATGCTTGACCGCTCCTCCGCACGAAGCAACGCGGTAGCCAAAGGACCAAATTCAGGGCAAATGGGCCCCCAACACACACTTCTCGGCTGAACCTGACTTTGAAGAATAAAAAAGGCCTCGAGAGGCAGAAAAAAGAAACACCACCCCTCCTTGTTCGCGCTTCCTCCATCCATGCCCCTCTCGCTATCGCTGGGCGTGATCCTCAGTTTTCGTTTCAGCCTCCGCCTCCCCATTCTCTCGCACTTCAGATCCATCCCTCTCCCCCGCCTCAGCACTGCCATCACACCCGGCCCCCCGCGTTCCTGCCACGCCCTCCTCTTTCCTTCCCCTCCCCGTCTCCCTCTCAGTTTCCGGCTTTTTCTTCTTAGCGCCCGCGCCCGCGCCCGCGCTGGCAGGGTTACTCGGGTTGGTGCTACCGTCCACGGCAGGCTTTGTGGCTGCGTTCTTCTGAGCCTTGTCGCCGGCTTTGGGCGTAGCCTGGTCCTCGCTGTAGTGCTTCCACTTCCGCCAGCCGTCGAAGTCGATGAGGGCTTGCATGCAGCCCCACTCTTTGACTTTGCGCTCTAGCCAGACGAAGTTGACGGGCTGGTTGGTGTTGGTTAGCAACCGCATCTCATGATCGAGGAACTACCCTGCTCTCTGGCACGAAAAGGGATGTAGGAGCCAGACGAGGAAAGCAGGGAGAGAGAGAGAGGGAGAAAGCACACCTTCGTCAAGAAATCGTTACACCCCGCCGCCAGCGCCTCGTGCCGATCACTCTGCAAACTACTCGCCGTAAGCGCGACAATGATGACCGGGCTCTTGAACAGCTTCGCCGCCTCCAGCCTATCCTCCTCACCCACGACATGCCCGCCACTCTCCCCATCCGCGGCTCCATCCGCCGCACCCCCGCCCCCAGCATGGCCATGTCCATCCACCCCCGGCGTGCCCGAACTCGCCGGCCCATTCAGCGAAAACACACCAATGCCATTGACCCTCTCGAGCCGCCTGATCTCCTTGGTCGCCTCCAGCCCGCTCATGATGGGGAGCTGGATATCCATGAGCACGAGATGGAACCCCCCTCCTCGCCACTTGTCGACTGCAGCCCGTCCGTTCATGGCTGTCGCCCAGCGCACCTTGAGCCGCTTCATGAAGGCCTCGAGGAGCTTGAGATTGATGATGTTGTCTTCCACGATCAGCACGTTGATGGGCGGGACCGAGTTGTCGAGGAGGCCCATTGATTGGAGCGGGGAGGGCGCCGCGGCTGCTTCTAGCGGCGAGGGCTTGGGCCGACGTTTCCGGGCGCCGGTTGCTTTGGGCGCAGGGGAGGATACGCGGTTCGGGGTCGGGGGGGTCGAGGCTTGTCGGTTTGTGGGCGGCGCTTCGGACGCAGGGGGTGTGGGGAGCGGTGGCGGTGCTGGTATGGTGGTTGCGGGATTGCCGGGACGGGAGTCTGATGCTGTCGAGTCGCGGCGCTGGCGGGGAGGACGCGTGGAGAAGCCGGGGTTTACGATGGTGGTGGGGCTCGAGGTGTGGGTGCGGGTGCTTCTGGGCCGGGCGACGTAATGGGTGCGTGTGCGGCCGCCGGGAGAGGGGAGAGGAGGGATGGTGCCGGTGTTCAAAACGGCGATAGAACGATCGTGTGGCGCTGGGTTCTGTGTTGTGTGGGAGGCGCGAGAGTCGTGTGGGATTGTGGCGAGCGCTGCAGGAGAGTGCGCCATTGCTGCGGTGCCAAAGTAGTCCGTCCCGTTCTCCACAGGCCGCGAGGGCTCGTCGAAGTGGTACAGGTACTGAGGGCCGGGACCAGCACGAGGCGACGGTTTGGGGGTTCGTCGCTGGGGAATGTCAATGAGAAGGGCCTCGTCAACCTGTTGGCCGCCGGCGAAGTAGTGGTCCAGCGTCCGGCAGATCTCCTCCTCAGGTCCTAGCAGTCTCTCTTTATCTCTCGAGGAGTCTCGGGGTACGATGCGGAGGGTCAAGTCAGGGGCGTCGAACGTGCGGCCTAGGGAGTTGGCATATTTCCTGAGAATCATGTCCCGCACGTCATCAACCAAGTCATCCTCCCGTATCTGCACCAGTGTCGCTGATGCCCCGGGCCGCTTGACCCATGTCTTTCGGTGCATCATATTGGGATCGAAGGTGGATGGAGCGAAGTAGCCGTCCTGAGACGACGAAGTGGCCGGCCGCTGTTCTTGGTCGAGCAGTGACTTGACCACGCGTGTATTCGAGCTGTTTACCAACGACTGACGCCTGACAACACCCGCCGTAGGCCTGGACCTCACTGACGACTGTTGTGGTGACGGGAGCGGATGGGCGAGATCGAGGCTTTCGCGGGCGTCTTCGCTGTGATCATCGGCCGATGTTCTGGCAGGAGCGGTTGTATCCGGCGTAGGCTCCTCAACAGTGAGGATTGGCTGAGGCTTCTGCGAGACAGGCGTGGGCAGGTCGATGAGAACGCTGGTGCTGCTGCTGGCAGTCCCAGGTTGGCGAGCGCCAGAAAGCAAGGTCCCGGACCGGCGATCGGCGGTCGGCTGAGATGCTGAACCACGGCGGTGCTCGTGGTCGTTGTTCGACCGCACTGTGCCGTCGGTGCTGTCGAGACAGTGCAGCTGATGCTCCTTGACCTTGGCCAGCTTCGTCAAAGACGAAGACCTTCTGGGCTGCCGGCTGTTGAGCGCCGGGGGGCTGTGCGGTTCTTTGGCGACAGAGGCGGATCGCGCGGACGTGTTCGACGAGCCTCTACGCATCAGCCGCCGAACTTTTGTAAGGCGAGAGACCTTGAGGTCGGCCGCCATGCCTGCAAGCACTCGCTCAATCCCCTCGGCAGACGGAGCTGCGTAGAGGAGAACGTGAGGGCACTGTGGGGATAGGTTTACCGCGGGCTGTCAATTGCTCAGGCTGCTCATGGGCGTGCCGCATGCAAATAAGCTGGGCGGATGCCGGGAGTGCCGGGGACGACAAGCAACAGCAGAGATGAAGTAGTGGAAGCGCAGAGCCAGTCCAAAGGAGTGTATGATGGTCAATGTCACGAAGGAGTGAGGTGGATGGAGCGTATGAGTACAGGGCAGAGGGTGTCGGTGCAGGTGTTTTCTATGTACTGCTTTCCCTGCGCGCTGCGCGCTCACCATCTTCCCCTGTTCTCCTCTTTGCCACCACCAGATGCAGGACACGGGGGGGATATTGCACCCATGTGCAGAGCCTGCAATTGGCCGGCACGTGGGCACCGAGCGCGATTGTCAAGAGCGACAAGAGCGACGCGGCAGGAAGGTCGCAAAGTCGCAGAGTCGCAAAGTGGGCATGATATTCGCTGTCAGGCTGGCGGGCAGCCAAGCAGAAAGCCGGCGCAGCAGAGTAACTAAGGTACGGAGGTACCCCAGCCGAGCCACGTGACAGACGGAATCGTGAACCGAAAAGAGACAATCTTAGGACAAGACGGCCAGAGGTGAGCCCTGAAGGTGTTGATATTGCCTCCCCTCTTAACACCCCCAAACCACCAAACCACGCTCGAAGCGCTAGACACGTCTCTCTTTGCACAGCATTCTTTCTACGGAGACCATCGCCACACTCATCTCTCCGTGTCAGCCTTTAACGTTAGTAAACACTGCGAATCGCACCCCAACCTCAACCCCGGAATCTTCTAGTCCCGCAAGCGCTTTTCACCCCTACCAACCCCGTCACCCCCACCCGCATCCCCTTCACAGGGCGCGTCACTGGATCGCAGACGTAGCAACTGTTGCCGTGGAAGCTCCCAATCCGAACGAACGGCAGAATCATCGAACACAGAGCCACCGCAAGCTCCTCGGTACAACGCTCACTGGCCCCGGAGAGGTGGTGGACGTGAAGCGGCCTTGAGCCAGCGAAGGCTCGGCAATACAAGAAGCACGCGGCGAAAGTGCACACATGGCCGAGTACGGCTCGCAAAGGGGACGAGAATACGGTCGTCCTCCCAACTATGGCCACGCCTCGCCAAACCAGCGGGATGCCGCCTTCTCATCCATATTCGGCGCCGCGCCGCCACCAGGAAGATCTCAGACAATGACCTCTCAGACTTTCCAGCAGCCTTCCCCAGACCGCGCGCAGACAATGTCCACGCAGACCTCGGACACGATGCAAAGAGCGCCACCGATGAGACAGCAACAGAATGGCTATGGACCCAGTTCAGGAGGCGGCTACCAAACAAACGGTTATGCGCAAGGCCAGCAACCTCCTGAAGGGTACCATCAAGGGCAACGGCCAGCCGATGGCGTTACAAAACCAACAATACCACAACAGTCGCAGCAGCCGCAGCCTCAGTACCTCCCGCAGCCAATGCGCCAAAACCGCCGCCCATACGGCGCTCCGGAGCGTCTCGATGCCCGAACCTCACCCCCTCAACAGCCGCCATACAACAAGCCCATGCCACACCGTTATCCGGGTGGACCTCCGGGTGCTGCGCTCAACCCAGACTCTTCCCGCTCCTACTCCCTAGCCTCCGGGCAGCGGCCCAACTTCCAACCACAAGGCAACAGCTATCATGTTGCCCCTGCCCACGCCTTCCGCCAGCAACCATACATGAACCACCTCGCACGCACCACTGCCCAAGGCCGCGTCGTCCCCGAGCGGCCAGACGAGCGCGCCATGTCCATGACCTCGCACGCGCGTGATGCTGAGTACGCACAGACAATGTCTGGGAGGGTGATACCGAACCGCCGGCGGGAATCCGCTGGGCCAGATAGCATACTGGGCGCAGACAATACCTCCTCGGGTGGTATACATCCTCCGCAGCAGCCCATAAGCCCGCCCGGATCCAAGACGCGGACGTCGAGGGAGGGTAGCTTCTCGGCGAATCACAGTCCCAGAACACCGAGTATGGCGAGCACAATTGTTTCGCCAAGCGAGGAGAACTCTAGCTTGACGCTCAGGCCGGGCGTGAGCAAGAGCAACAGCTCTGCGACGCAGCAGACGCAGGCGCAGATGGTGACTCAAAGGAGAGCGCCGCTAGTATATGTCGCGCTCCTCTCCAGAGTCGCAGACAGCTTTCGGGAACTGATCAGCCTGCAAGAGAAGGAAAAGGACGGCCTGGTGTACAAGAGCGCATTCTCTGGGGCCGAAGCTGTGGATCTGTTCGCTTACATCATCAAGACCACCGACCGGAACTTGGCTCTGCTGCTTGGCAGGAGTTTAGACGCGCAGAAGTTCTTCCATGATGTCACGTATGCGCATCGGCTGAGGGACAGCACGAGCGAAATCTACCAGTTCAGGGAAACGTTGGTGGAGAACGAGTCGGAGGTCAATGGCGTGTTCACGCTCCTCACAGAATGTTACTCCCCAACGTGCACAAGGGACAGGCTGTGCTACTCCATCGCGTGTCCCAGGCGGTTGGAACAGCAGGCAAGGCTAAACATCAAGCCACAACCTGGCCTGAAGAGGGAAGACTCGAGGACGAGTTTGCACGAAGACCACAACGAGGAGGTCAAGCTTTGGATTAACACCGTTCCTAAGGAGATCGCTGACAGTGTACCGGATCGAGAAAAGAAGCGACAGGAAGTCATTTCCGAGCTCATGTATACGGAGCGCGATTTCGTCAAGGATCTCGAATACCTCCGCGACTTCTGGATGAAACCGCTGCGCACCAACCCGTCGATCATTCCAGAACATCGACGAGAGCGCTTTGTGTCCACAGTGTTCACGAACTGTCAAGAAGTATACATGGTCAACTCACGCCTAGCGGAGTCTCTGACCCGGCGTCAACAGCAAAACCCGGTTGTTCGCAACGTGGGCGATATCTTTCTAGAATACGTCCCGCGCTTCGAGCCCTTCATCAAGTACGGCGCCAACCAACTCTTCGGCAAATGGGAGTTCGAGAACGAGAAACGTACTAATCCGGCCTTTTCCCGCTTTGTGGACGAGACAGAACGTCTCAAGGAGTCGCGCAAGCTTGAACTCAACGGCTATCTGACGAAGCCCACAACGCGACTAGCGCGGTATCCACTACTTCTAGATAACATTTTCAAGTACACTGCGGACGACAACCCCGACAAGACCGACATTCCCAAGGCGGTGGCGATGATTAGAGAATTCTTGAGCAAGGTCAACGTTGAGTCTGGCAAGGCTGAGAACCATTTCAACCTTCTCTCGCTAAACCGAGACCTCAAGTGGCGGCCGGGAGAATACGTGGACCTCAAGTTGACGGAGGAGAGCAGGCAGCTTATCTTCAAGGGCGGACTTAAGAAGAATCCGAACGACCAGACCACGGAAATCCAGGCGTACTTGTTCGACCACGCTCTCCTGCTTGTGAGGCCAAAGAGTGTCAACAAAAGGGAAGAGATGAAGGTCTACCGCCGCCCCATCCCGCTGGAGCTGCTGGTCATCACGCAGATGGACGAGGTTCTGCCGAAAATGGGCATCTCAAAGCGTCCTTCCTCGTCTTTGATACCGGGTGCCAAGTCTAGCAGCACAATGCTTTCGACGACGTCGACTAGCAACAAACAGCAGCAGGGATACCCGATAACTTTTAAGCATTTGGGCAAAGGAGGTTACGAGATTACGCTGTGGTGCTCGAGTCAGATCCAGCAGACCAAGTGGATGGAGCATATCGAGGCCCAGCAGCGGAGTCTTAGGGAGAAGAGTCAAGTCTTCAAGAAGGAAATTCTGAACGAGGGATTCTTCACTGCAGCGATACGGGTGAACTGCTGCGTACCCATCGGTAAGCCTCCCTTTACATCTGCAATTATGCTAAGACCATCGTCATGGGGCGCTTGCTAACAAGAACCCAACAGATGGCGCAAGGAAGTTAGTATTCGGTACCGACTTCGGCGTCTACATCGCCGACCGCAAACCAAAGGACGCATCTCAGAGACCTCGGCGCGTCCTCGACGCCAAATCCGTCACCCAAATCGACGTCCTCGAAACGCACTCCATCCTCCTCGTCCTCTCGGACAAGACGCTGTACTCGTATCCCCTCGACGCGCTGGATCCAGAAGACGGCCAAGGCGGCGTCGGCGCTGCAGGGCTGGGCGCCGCGGGCCTGGGCGGCAAGCGTGGACGGAAGATCTGCCATGCAAACTTCTTCAAGGCAGGAGTCTGCCAGGGCCAGCAGCTCGTTTGTGCGGTAAAGACTAGCGCGCTGAGCAGCACGGTCAAGGTGTACGAGCCGATGGAAGGCATGGGCCGGAGCAAGAAGAAGGGGTTCGCGAAGATGCTGCAGGGAGGGCAGGATGTGCTCAAACCGTTCAAAGTACGTGTCCCCTCGCTTTCCAGGCGCTCGCATGTCCCAGTCCCGCAACTGCTAACCAGCGAACCCAGGAATTCTACATCCCAACCGAAAGCACCAGCATCCACTTCCTGCGCACCAAGCTCTGCGTCGGCTGCGCGCGCGGCTTCGAGATCGTCTCCCTCGACACGCTCGAGACGCAGGGCCTGCTCGACCAGGCCGACACCTCGCTCGACTTCGTCCTGAGCCGCGAGTCCATCAAGCCCATCCACATCGAGCGCCTGCAATCTGAATTTCTGCTCTGCTACACCGACTTCTCCTTCTTCGTCAACCGCAACGGGTGGCGCGCGCGGCCTGAGTGGAAGATCGAGTGGGAGGGCAACCCGACGGGCTTTGCGCTTGTGCTGGGGGGCCAGGGGGGATGGGTTGTCGCGTTTGAGAGCTGCTTTGTGGAGGTTAGGCGGTTGGAGACGGGTGGGGTAGGGGTTATTGAGAGGGGGAGGAATGTTAGGTTGTTGCATGCGAGTTCGCGGGAGGTACGTCAACACATTCCCCCCTTCTCCTATATCGAGAAAAACTAGCTGACTGCGTCCGAATCAGATCTTATACGCCTACGAAGACGAAATGGGCGAGGACGTCATCGCCAGCCTGGACTTCTGGGGCCGGCCAAGCAGTCCGGCGTACTCGCGGCAGTCGCAGTCTCCGGACTCGACCCCGACAAGCACTGACAAGCGCATATCTGACAAGGCGTTCTCATAATAACCCCTTTCCTTCGCGGCGATATGAAGAACCGGGAAACCGCAGAGACGCCCACGCGACCGCGTAGTTGGTCTTGTGAGACTAGTGCCTATGCTCTAGTGGTTCATAAGATCCGCTTTGACCATGTTGCGCCTGTCGTTCTTTCGCGTGCTGCGAGTCGTTGTTCTTGTCATTTGGAGGCGTTCTGTTTTCTCTATACGCTCCTGTCTTGGCTGAGACGTGTCTTGGAGTCTCAAGTGCGTGCATTGTGATCTGCTGCTGTTCAGTCTGCTAAATCGTCGGTTGGTCTGTCAGGCTGGTTATTCGGCCTTGTCTGGCCGGTTCGGAGGAGCATCCTCCGCGTATGTCCCGGGGTTTGTTGAATGAGATGGGGAAAGGGAAGGTCCGGGATTCTACGGATAGGATAGGGAAGGAGGGTGCTGTGTAGCGCTGTGCAAAGAGGAAGGGGGAAGGAGGGGGAGGAGGAGGGGGGAGGATGAGGGGGAGGGGAGGGAAGAAGGCGGCGAGACAGGCGTGCATGCTGTCATGGTCACCGTCTGTAGACGAATGAAGGTGAGGTTTATTAGCCCCCACGCCGCCGTACCATCTACCGGTGCTGCCCTAAAAACGAAGGATCTGAATAGCAACACCGCAAGAGCCCTTAACCCCGCCATCCCCATATCTATGGCGTCATTACCCAACGCCACAACACTGAAGGAGATAGCTCCGTAAACAAAGACCTATCCTCAGGATGAAAGCGTCCTCGTTAATGCAATTGCGACACGGGGCGGCACAGCTCATCACAAATGGATGCGTTTCTCCGTAAGTCACGGATCTAAGAGAAGATGTGCTTCCTAAAGTCCAGGACGACACTCCGCTTGAGGTAGGGTAAGCAACAGGTAGTATCGCAGCGCTGATAAGGTAGAGGCCTATATATATCAGGTCTGCTGCTCTCTCGTCTGCTTCTCCGTCAAGTTTGCTGTTTCCATCAATTATGCTATAGCTTCACTGCCCACAAGCAGAAAGAGATACAGTCGAATGCGCGCTTTCTTCCGCGTGCTCTACTCCCATCATTGTCGACCTTCTATCCCGCGTCCCCTGCTCCGACTCTCACTCCCTAGATCCCCAACATCAAGACCCCTCCGCCATCACCACCGCACCGCAACCATGTCCACCGCTGCCCCATCCTCTACGCCCACGGCACCCTACCTCGCCGAACACGCCACCCTCGCCGGCCCCGGCGACGCCCGCCCAACCGCCCTCCGCATCGTTGACGACGACAACCTGCGCGGTGCCCTCCACGACAAAGTCATGCTAGTCACGGGCGCCACGGGCGGGCTCGGCGTGGAGACGGTGCGGGCGCTTGCGGCGACGGGGGCGCGGGTGTTCATGACTGCCAGAGATAAAGAGAGGGGGGAGGAGGTGCGGAAGGACATAGTCAAGCGACTGGAGAGGATTGTTGAGGCGCCAAGGGTCGAGGTTGTGGAGATGGAGTTGGGGAGGCTGGAGAGTGTGAGGAAGGCGGCGGAGGAGGTTAAAGGGAGGACGGAGAGGTTGGATGTGTTGGTTTGTAATGCTGGTGGGTTTGAGTCTTTTCTTCTCTAAGGGTTTGGCGGTCATCATCTGCTACATCCTCTTCAATGCATCCACGACTGACACCCCCACAGGCGTTATGGCCTGCCCCGAATCCCGCACCCACGACGGCTTCGAAACCCAGTTCGGCACCAACCACCTTGCGCACTTCCTCCTCTTCCAGCTCCTCAAGCCCCTCCTCCTCTCCTCCAGCAGCCCGACCTCCGCCTCGCGCGTCATCATGGTCTCCTCGCGCGGCCACCGCAGCAAGCCCGTCCAGCTCGACGACCTCGACTTCTCCAAAGCGGGCTACAGCCCCTGGGCTGCATACGGCCAATCCAAAACCGCAAACATCTGGATGGCGAATCAGATCGAGCGGGCGTACGGCGGACGCGGGCTGCACGCGCTCTCGCTCGACCCCGGCGGCATCGCCACCGGGCTGCAGAAGCACATGGATCCCGCCATTACCGAGCGGTTTGGCAAGGACCCGGAGATTGCCCGGTTCTCGAAGAGTACAGAGCAGGGCGCTGCGACGACTGTCTGGGCGGCGGTCGGGAAGGTGTGGGAGGGGCGCGGAGGGAAGTATCTTGAGGACTGCAAGGAGTCGCAGCCGAGGAAGGCGGGAGGGGCGAGTCCGCAGGATGAGGGGTACGCGCCTTGGGCGTTTGATGAGGAGGGGGAGAGGCGGTTGTGGGAGGTTAGTTGTAAGCTGGTGGGTGTGGAGGATTGAGTGAGTGTCCAGACTCGTTGGACATGTAGCAAAGACTCGAGATTTCTCGGTTTATCAGAGTAGGCCTCATAAATGATCAACTTTGGAGCATAACCCACAACAAGTTTACGATACAAGAAGGAAGGCCGGAATGATGTACTGTGGTGCTCCATCTACGTTCCAAGTTGTCCGTCATTTGAATCGGGACACGCAACAACGCATACCTTTAGACTGAAACGGCGGCGATATTTCCGAAGCCCTTTGTACAGAGCATGAATCATAAGGGACAGATCTTCTGGTAGTAATTGGTAATCGCGGCCACCATTGCACTGGAATCCAGAGCAACCCATGCAAGGCAGACATCGGAGAGGCAACAACAGGTAACCATGCGCCGAGGGCTGAATCACCAGCAACAGCATATCGATGACGGGGTCTCTATCTACTCAGTGGACAAGTAACAAGAGAAGAACGACAAACAGGCTTAGTGCCAGTCCTTCTAGCGAGCATTTTTCCTTCGCAGATTCATACGACCATCTTGGGGTGGACGTCTGGCTTTCTCATTCTGATACATTCTAGCTGAGCTCGACCTCGGACCTGAGTCTTGATGAACGGAGGAAGTTCAGAAAGAATACAAATTAATTGAGCACCGAACATTTTTGCGATGAATCGCGCTAGCGATAGTGGTCAAGGTACCGATAGCAATCTTAAGACAGAATGGTGACGCATCAGTGACTATCGCCATCACCTCCGCCAAGAGATCCGAAGCAGCTATGGTGCTTGAGGACCAGTGGCGGATAACCGGCCGCTAATGCGCGTACTCCACACCTGCGTAAGCGGCCGCAATCGGCCCGGCCATTCTGGTGATATCCGAACCTCGGAGTGTGAGGTTGATACTGGAGATCAGTAAGTCTCCCCGGAGTAGTACAGCGAGGTCCACTGCATTGATGCGAAGGATATCTGTTGTAGTCGGCTTTCGGCAGATTGCGAAACGTGAGGAACACATAAGAATTGTAGCAATCGCCGGTACCTGATCGTCTCTGAATATCGACAAGGAGTCGAACCAGCGCCTTCAAAATGGGTGCAGTACAGCCTGCAGCTGATCGAGCTGCCCAAAATGCCGTGTCACTGTTCGAGAGTGTTGAAGAGAAGTTCCCGTCAGAGACCGTTGGCGACAACAAGTGGTACCTCGTTACAGTAAGATTCCTGAACGATTGACTGACCGGTCAGGACAAAGCTGATGAGGGGAGAAAAGCTGGCGACCCTCGTCGGAGGAGGAATGCCCGAGATGGCAGCCGATCTATACAGTTACTTAATTCGGAAACCTGAATTGTCGACACCAGAATCAAGACAAGCTCTGATGAGAAGGCTCCGCGAGGCTTTGGTCAAATGTGTCCCGATTGTTGGCGTATGTAAGCCACTGGAGGCCGTCTTCAGCATCGACAAGATCCAACGTCCAGAGGACAAGGATTACTCGTTCTCGCGGTGGGTGGCTTGTTGATATGGACGTATAAAGCCGCCGCAGGGACCTGACATGGTGCGCAGACAAGGCTGGCAATGTGATGAACGCAACCACGCGCGTGGTGCTGCATGGCAGGACCGGATATACCTGCACAACCAGGCGAACATAGACGAGCTGCTCGCTGCCCAGAAGGATTTCGGTAGGTCTGAAGCGCCGAGTGCTCCCGCCGCGCTGCTAACGTTCTGTTGAAGCCTGGATCAGCACCGAGATCACCTACGGGCTCTATCTGTCCGACCACACCATTCTAAATGACGTGGATACAGAATTGGTGGTTCTGTCTGGAATCATGATCCAGAATCTGCGAAGCGAGACACACTGGCATCTTCGCGGCATCCGGCGGATAGGAGTTAGCCAGGAAGATGTAGAGGTGATACATCAATGTGTAAGACATCCGAGCGCGACTACAATTTGCAGGCCAGTAACATCCAGCACAGATCGAGATATTAGCAGGCTTCGCCAATGTGAAGTTGGACAAGGTACCGAGAGTGGCAGATATAGAACATGAGGTCTAGAGGCGGCTGGTATAGGGCCATGCGTGTCGTGCGCGAGGATAAACGCCGTTCACTTGTGGGCGGAGGGGTTTCGTGTTGTAGAAGCGTTCCGCTGAGAGCTGTCGCAGGGCAGCGGCACTTGCAGGAATACGATGGAGAATCAAGTTGCTGTACTTGCACAACAATCGGAGGCTCTGTCATACGTAGCTCGAACTAGGCTATTTCTTGAATATCTCCTCGATGGACGCTGCGAGAAGCGCATTAGAGGGACGGCGAGGCATCGGTTATAGCTATGAACACAGCTACGCTTTTTACGACTTCGACAAGGGCTTAACTTAAACTCGGGAATGCAAGTGTACATCTGAATCGTCTGAGTGAGATACGTGTGACAATTCAAAGGAAGCGGGGTGCGTGTGTAGCCTCAATGCTGTAGAAACAGGGACGTGATATGTGACTGTACGACTAAGTAAGCTCGCGGAGACCATGGTTCACTCCCCGTATAGCTCTTGGCGATGACGCAGAAGGCGTACCTTGCATGATCTTCTATCTCATCTACAGTCCTACTTAACCATCTCAAATCCATCAGCGCAGCGGCACATAAGACCCCCATCTGAAAGAGAGGTGAAGACGGTTACGCTTCAGTTGGAGGAAAATCAGACGCGAGTGAATTTCGGCTATGGCGGAGCCTGTTACTCCTCCGCAGCTGGATCTTCGCTCAAAGACTGTCGTAGTAACCGGAGGTGCAAATGGAATTGGTGCACAAACCGTACGAGAATACTACGCTCGAGGGGCGAACGTAGTGGTTGCAGACTTGCCAAGTTCCCGCACGGCGGCCGAAACCTTGATATTCTCATTTGCTGAGCCTGCGAGAGCGCTTTTCATCCCAACAAACATCGTCGTATGGGACGACATGAAAAGCCTCTTCAAAGCCACGGTTGAAAATTTTGGTCCAGTGCACATCGTTGTTGCCAATGCTGGAATGATGGAGAGCCAGGGTTTCTACGACATGGAGCTGGACGAGCATGGAGAGTTGAAAGAGCCAATTGAGTCCTACAGAGTGATAGACGTAAACCTGAAAGGGACAATGAACAGTAAGGCGGCCCAGGTAGATATGAGACTGGCACTGACGACTGCTAGCATTGCGCCTTGCGATGCATCATATGTCGACAAACCCGGAGGATTCCATAGGTCAATCGCGTGGCTCTGTAGTCCTCGTCGCATCAACTTCAGGCTACTTTGGGGGTAGCGGAGTTGTTTCGTACGTGGCCTCGAAGCATGGAGTGATCGGCCTCTTGCGTTCGTCCCAGATCGCGGCAGCCCGTTACAATGTCCGAGTTAATGGCGTGGCGCCGTTCTTCACGCCGACTCATATCACCAGCAGCTACTCCGAGCGATGGAGAGCCAGCGGGCTGCCAGCAAACACCGTAGAAGATGTAGCATTGGCCATACTGCAGACTTCTCTTGATCCGCTGATGAGGGGTCGCTGCTGTCTGGTAAGGTCTAGGCATCGATTGTTTCCCTATCCTGCTGACACCAGGATGAACAGGCAGCCGGGAAGCGGACGAATGAGATAGAGGCTGCGAGAACGGCGCTGCTGCCAATGTGGGTAGGAGAAGAAATGGCGAACATTCTGGCCGAGGGTGGGAGATTCTTTGATAAGATTGGCGGGTATCCTTTGCCAAAGATTAGGCCGTCATGAACCAGACCTGTCGACTATCCGTAGGCAGGAGACTCCCTGCCACTCCACGAAGGCCTATTCGACCGGTGACAGCAACCTTACGAGCTCAAGGTCCTTTGCTATTGCAGGGCTGTAGCCGGCGCAGAAGTCTAGATGACCGAGCATCTCTTGCCACCAGATGTGCCAGCCAGGAGGCAAAACCTCTCGCAACCGGGGGTCCGATGAGTTTGACGCGGCGTAGAAATATAGAAACTGTCCGAAGAACCTAGTGGAGAGCTTAGCCTACTAGATCTGCGCCATAGATGCTAACAAAGAAAACACTGTTCACTTACTGGCAGCACCACCCAAACTTGAGCAGCATGCAGCTCTTCATCGGTTTGCATGTTCCAGTAGTCGCAGGCCAGTACATGGCGCTGCGTAAGGCTTGACGGCACTCTTCGTAATCTGCCGCTGTGGCTTGATTGGGATGATGCAGCACCTGGTGAAGGAAAAATCTGCCGATGTGGAATTTCGCCACGAGAAATCGGCTGCGGAGCATAGCCTCCGCGATAACATGGGCAGGGCTGGCTTGTCTTCGGACCTGCGTACTATCATCGAACTGCAGGGCATCTGGAAGACTAGCTCGCCACTGGTCGAGCTGATGATGAAGCTCTTTCACCACCCTATATACGGCCGGACTTTTTTCTTCGGCTGTTTCCAATTAGTCTGATATGTACACTGATAAGAAGGAGCTCATACAATCGAAGAACAGGCTGTTCCGAATCCTAGTGAGCAACTTGCGATGCGTCGCTTGCGCCAGGAAGTGGTAATGAAAGTACGAGTCGTCTTCATCTGACGATAGCACGCGGTGTGGTCCATGAACCTGGCGCTGATTCGCTGTGAATTTCGGCAATGGAACTGTGTCCTCGTAGTGCAGCAGGTCGGATGATGGCAGATTCATCTCTTGTACGAGTATTGACTCATACATTAGGACATTCCAGAAGACTCGAGAGATCATGTCACCCTCCTCAGAGTCATAGTCTATAGAATCCGCACTACCAATGTCAGCCTTAAGGTCAACATACTGCACGCGCTTGAATATCTCTTGAGGATTACCAAGATGGTGACTGCAGCCCTATTGATGAGCGCCCAGGAATCGAGCGGCCGAACAATCTGAGCATAATAAAGCCTGAAAACGTCAATGCTAACTTCCATGGTCGTCCTTCTGAGTTTGAAGAAACTCACGCGGAGAGAAGGTAGTATTGACAGCTTTCAAGGTTGTTGGCACACATCAGAAATCCAAACCTTCTCCTTGCTTCATTGAAGAACCGAAGGCCGGGCGGTTCCTCCTGAGTTATGGCATACCAGGCCGGAGCTTTGAAATGACCCTCGGATGCCGAGTTACTCTTTGCAGGTCTAAAGTCAGACGCGGGTGCGATGGGCAGAGGATAGTCGCCTTCTTCATATCCTCGGACAGCAAGGCAGCCGAGTGCCATGACCACTAGCACCAGACAAGTCTCAATCTGGTGACCGAAGTCATTCGCCAACGCTGCGCCCAACGTGGAGTTCGTGAAGCTTGATCTGTTCAGCGCTGGCATCAAGCGGTTGAATGTGGAGAAGAACGCGGATGAAAGACCATTGATCGTAGAAGCGGGGAGCTCATTCAGCCAGGCATCTCCAGCATCCCGAGGATGGGGCTGGATCGACATGTCAAGCGTGGGACGGTGATTCTCCAGGTCGATCACATAATCTCTGGTAAGGTCTTTGCACGCATACTTGAGACTTCTTGGAAGCATCGCTCGCATGGCTGGCCAGAACAGGACCCTATGTTGACTGAATGATATCGGCTTCGGGCCTGAAGGAAGGCCTTCTAGAGAGCCAAGAGCTGCAGAATCTGCTTCCTGAATGGCATACGTGGAGTCCGAGACTGGAGAATGGAGTGCATGACCGTTTTGGCCGCCGGTATTACTCTGGTCTACAGCCCGGATGGAGAGGGTCTCATGTTGCGAAGCCACGAGAGCCGTCAGATGCTCGACCTTGTATTCCAGTCGCCTGATGGCATTGATAGCAACATTCATCGACTGATCCTTTCTACCAAGACATCAGCTTGGTGATTCCTAATTCGAGTAGGTGGATTTACTTGGTCAATCTCCGTTCACCGTAATTGCACTCTACGCCAAGGCTCTTGCAGAGTCCACATTTCGGACGGTCTTCATCGCAGCGTGTCTTTTTCGATCGGCACGTTTCGCACGCCAAAACCGCTAGAAAGTTCCTAGGCCTCTTTACTGACTCCTCAGAGCCACCGTCGTCCACCACCGGAGGATCCATAGTGTCCGGAGTTCGGCGCTTCGCCATTTTTCACAAGTCCAGTGTCGCGCTTCATCGCTCGATGTTGCGCAGATGGCAAGCTGCGCGCCTTTTGTACAGCACTGCCTCGGCAGCCTCTCTGCAGAGCGTCTGGTGATTGGAGATGGGCTATTGTGGGGATGAAGCCAAGGAGGTACAAGGGATCACGTGGTGCCCCGATTGGAGAGCTTGCCAGCAACACAGAACTGTTATATCCACCAATTGCACCGGTAGTGGCTCGATCAGAGCCGTTTTACACGCTCTGATTCATCAAACATGGCCAGATCTTTGGTCTAGACTTCATTGCATCCCTTTGGCCAAGGCGTACTGGTCGGGTACCGAAAGCTAATGCATGTATCCCGCGATGGTGACCGAAAGGAATTGGGGCAGATGCCAGGTGCCATGCATGACAAGGAAGCATGAATGCCGCCAATGAGTAACATCATAAGAGTGCTCTGGACTCGTGGCCTTCGATGGGAGCAAATCACAGCCGTGAATCCAGCGGCAATCCTCTCCATTAAACCCAAACTCCGACTCACAATGCAACTCCCATGCTGCAGCAACGCAAACGGGTATCAAGCTCTCTCAAACCGGTAAGTAATGATTCGTATGTCCGGGAACCCTATCCCTGCACTTGTCGCATCCCTCAAGGTACCCAACGTGAAATTTCCACCTCTTCGTTCCGTGATTGTAATCGTGCGTGCCCCGCTGCTCTGGCCAGGCCGCTTGACTCTCCTCGCCGTCACCGTCACCGTCGTCGTGGCCTGACGGACGGTGCAACGGTGTCAGACGTTTTCCATCATGCAGCGGAGATCGTGGGAACTCGTTCTCCACAATTGGCGAAGGCATGCGGCGGTCGGTCCCGAGCGAATGCTTATGTAGTATCGATACAGTGAGCCCTGTTGGAGGAGGGTCTTCGAGGTCCATGTTGCTGACGTCGCTGAGGCTCCGCGAGACTAGCGGGGCGTGGTTGAAGGCGCCGTAGATGGGTGTTGGGATCCTGCCGCCGGACACAGTGGCTTGCAGCAATGAATGGTTTAGAGGAGAGGGCCGAGAAGGAGTTGAGGCTGGATGGGAGGGCGTGCGAGACCACCGCTTGGGTGGGGGCGACATGGGGTCGAGGTCCATGGCTGTATCGCCATCTTGCTGGGAAGGACTTGGAGAGGGATTTGCGGTATGCGTGGCGGAGTTGTCACCGTCAGAGCGAATTGTTGTATAGGTATGCGGGCCCGCAGATCTGACACTGAACCAAGCTTTAGAAATAATGACACACGTATAGTGGAGGAAGTCTTACGGGGATATGCCTGAGACGTTACGTCTCTGCACGACGTGTCAGCAGCAAAGCAGATTGATACGGGAATCAAATTCGTGGTATACCTTGGACGAGTTCCAGCCTTCAGCATGCAGTTGCTCGTCTTCACCTCTCGAACGCTTCATGATGTTGGCGTAGAGCATTGCAACTTCCAAGCGCACGGTTGACGTGAGGGCTCTTGTATCTAGAGTCTGCTCTGGAGAAAGCAGCCGATGGCTAGAGACGACATGACGGCGTTGCGAAGAAAACTGATGCAAGCGCCGAGAAGTTTCAAGAATCTGGGGTGAAACGAGATGGTGCCTGGTGCCTGAATCGCGAGGAATTCTGGAAGTTGCGTGATGTACTAAGATGCGTGAGAAGCACGGCTACATACATGCGTTCCCAGCACAGGAGCCCAGCTCGAGAGCTTCATTCACGATGTTAGGCGTGGGCCGAACTCCATGCTGTCCTTTGTTCTTTCAAGCTCCAAGGTGAGAGAGCCAGGTAAGGACCAGGGTCAAAGGTAAGCTTTACATAGCGCGTGGTCTAGCGCAGTCTGCCTGTCAGCCAATCAGAGCATGCCACTATGCTGGGCTTCTCCGGATCAGGAGAAATCAGCGCTGCCATAGAACTGCAGTTTAGGCGGGAGCATGGACATCTAAACAACGTTCTTCAGATAACGGCAGCGATGGTGCCTCTACTCAAGGTCTTATGTTGTATCTAAGTTGACTTTTTGTATATTACTCATTTCTACTGGCTATTTCATTCTGCGAAGAACATACCCCAGCATCTGTCTAAAGAACGCTAAAAGAAAGTAATAGTTCAACTTCTACCTGAAGAGAAGAAAGGCCCCACTCAAATCACAGAGCTTAAGACCTAACAAGGACACCTACTACAAAGGGTCACTATCGTAACAAAGCATTCAGACACCATGAATCTCAAGCGAATGGTATACCCGCCGTATCGCAAGGTCCGGCCGCAAAGAAGCCGCCTTGGTTCGGTAGGTCAGTGATAACAATATTCGGAGGCGGATTTCTCCCCAACGGACAGATGCCTTGCAGTGCGGGTGGCGCCGGGGCCATGGCGGTCTTCCGGACGACAGAGGAGCAGGCATCACCGCCTTTACCACTTAAGCCGGTCCATGCCCAGAGTAAGCAGTTTGATGTGGCCCAGCAGCGGGAGCAGCAGCGCTGAGGGATGTAATCGGTGCCGATCGGCACAAAGTCGAATTCGCGTTTTACGTCAGGATAGTAGCCGTTGCCTAGCAAGGTCGGATTCCTGCACGCGGCCAGGATGAAAGTCTCGACGCTGACCTCTGTGACCGTCGCGGTGGTGGTCGAGGTTGTTAGGACAGTGACTGTAATCAGGACCACGATATCGAAGACTTCGGTGGTGGTTGTTTCAGCGAAAGTGGGTACCATAGAAGTCTGCGTAGGACCGGTCTGCGTAGTAGTAGTCCTGGTGCGGACGGTAGTGCTCGGCACAGTAACACTCAGACATCGACAAGCGGTGGAGATAGCCGAAGATGCAGAGGCCCGGAGATACGGAGGTAGGTGGCCTGACGTTCCTGGAGTTCAACAGGCTCAGCATCGCGCTTCAGAAGGGTGACAGAGGACAATATAGTTGTGGTGGTGCGCTCCGTTACAGTAGCAACCTCAGGGACCACAACAGTAAGCGTCGAGTACTCTGTTTCAATATCGAGTACTCTATTTCAGTGTCGACGATTGTGTCGGTGCGGGTGGTTGTGAAAGCAGTCACCGTAGGAGCCGGTAGTACAGTAGTCCCCACAACGATGGATGTCCGTATCACAGTCTGGATCCCGAAAAACGAAGAGCAGAATGGAGTCGCCCTGTTAAGCCTCAGGGCAGAAAGAGTCAGGTTAACTCTTGAGCAGACGTTCACTTGGCGCTCCACCAAAGGGCTGGCGGAAGTGAACGTTGCGAAGACCAGGTGGTTCCAGAGCCTCATGATTGCCAGGTAGGGGAGGTCCGGCAGTTAAGGCTTGTGTGCGATGACAAGATCTAGTGCTGAGCTAACACTCTCGGTGCGTACTGGCTACGCTGGACGGCGGAGGAGGCGGAAGTTCTGTCTTTTGGTCTCTAGCCAGCTTGTCTCAAAGAAAGCCATTGTTTTTCCCTCTCTAGGTCCCACATGTAACAATGCCCCAGGAAGTGAGGAGTGACCGGCCTTTACCACGCCAGAACGTGTTGGGCAGATCGCCAAAAGAAAAGCCCAGGGAGTCGGGAGATGCTAGCAACGACGGTGAACTGACGGTCCCAGTAGGATGGAATGGCAGGAATCGATGCTGCTCCAACCATTCCATACGGGACTGAGTCTCTTTATTACCATACTCGCCAAGGTCCTAGAGCAAGCTGAAATGCGCGGTATAAACTGCAGATGCAAAGTGTGTACGCCCAAAAGCCTCTGCTCGTAACTCGGCCAGCCTCTAAATCGCTCTTCGCCTTCCTGGCCCTCTTCAAGGTTGGTTCACCCCACGTGGACCGGTACATGTCCAAGCCGAATGGGCAGTGTCTGCAGGTGGCATGCTTGCGTCGACAATCTGAAATGTTTCCAACTGTCGAGCAAGTGCGGTAGACGTGCTGTTATACCAACTACCTCCTGATACGGTAGCCAGGTCAGCGTAGCTCGTCCAGTGAGGCCTTGCGCCATCTTTAAACTGCCATTCGGATCCGCGAAGGCTTGTCAGGAGAGGCTACTCCACCCAGTCTCAGATTGTGACGGCAGATCCAGAGCGCAGATCGACAGCTGAAATCCTGAGCCAAGAACGAGGCTGATAGTAGGCAACGGCTGAGAGACGTAACTGCCAGGAAGCGTTCATCCACGCAGCATGCAACTGTGGTGGCAGAGCGGGCTGAGTGGCTTCAGCCCTTGATCAGCTTTTCAGATATGCGCATCATGTAAACGTTGATCATGTTCCTTCAGCCGAGAAACAGCCAGCCACAGTGTTAAGCTGGGAGTTGACAACGGCACTGTGCAGAGCTGGCTGTCTGTCGTGCGGCATGGGATCTGATCAGATCAAGCCCAAGAGCCCGGAACAGGGAAGCAAAACGCGCGATAAGCTCACACTAAACGGACCGGACGAAGGCCGGGGCGGGGGGGAAATCTCCGCACAACGGCAGCCAACAGCGATGTGCAACGGTTCGATAGTCACATGGTGATGAGAGCTCAAGCTGGAGGTGCAAAAGGTGCATGACATCGCTAAATAGAAGGTTGCCGCATCTTACACCTGAATTTGGCTGTGACGTGCGGCAGCCTTCTTCTTGGAATTCCCATGCTTTGGTGGTCTACTCCTGGCGGATAGACTCGGATTGCGACGCAAAGGAAATATAATCTTTACTTAGAGACGGGCAGGGCAAATAGCTGAATACGAACGGCGAGAGATGCACAACAGTAATTTGAGTTCCTACAGGTACTACTTGCTGCTGTCCCCATTGAGAGCCATGGATTGGTGCTAAAAGCAAGTACAGGACTCCGGAAGTGGTCCGCATGCGACGCCTCCGACGATCATCGGCTGTGAGTGGAAGAATGGGGTTCTTTAGGGGATGGTCTTTTGCTGTCCCAGCTGATGTCAGAATAATAACTTCACCTGTGCACGTACTCCGGGCATCCCGGGCATGCGGCTCGGCGGGAGGGCAAATGGCGGTGGGTCAGAGCTGCGGACGCTCCGATGTCGCCAGAAAAAACCCCCACCACAGCTGAGCTTTTCATGCGGCTTGACTCACTCTGCACACCGCTTACGATTCCCTCACAGCCGCCACAACACCAGCTTCGAAATTGAGATATCAGGAGTATTTATCGTTCGAAGTTCATTCTCGTGTCAACTGCCTTATCATCAACCCAGCCTCCAACATGGTCCAGCCAGAAGTCAGCGACGACGTCCGCGGTAAGCCCCAACCCTCCTACCACCCCCAATTGCAACACCATAGCACCCTACTAACCTCCTCCCGCAGTTCTTGGATATGATCCTCTCATTCCGCCCGCGCTCCTCGCCTCCGAGCTCCCCGCCTCCCCAACCTCCCTCGAGACCGTGATCCGCGGCCGGCGCGAAGCGGCGCGCATAACGACGCAAGCCGACGACCGCCTCCTGGTCATGGTCGGCCCATGCAGCATCCACGACCCCGCGGCAGCAGTCGAGTACTGCACGCGACTGAAAGCCTTGTCCGAGGAGCTCGAGAAGGACCTCTGCATCATCATGCGCGCCTACCTCGAGAAGCCGCGGACGACGGTCGGCTGGAAAGGCCTGATCAACGACCCGGACATCGACGAGAGCTTCCAGATCAACAAGGGCCTGCGGGTCAGCAGGAAGCTGTTCTGCGACCTTACGGCTACGGGGATGCCGATCGCGAGCGAGATGCTGGATACGATCTCCCCGCAGTTCTTGGCTGATTTGATCTCGCTGGGCGCGATTGGTGCGAGGACGACGGAGAGCCAGCTGCATAGGGAGTTGGCGAGTGGCCTATCCTTCCCGATTGGATTCAAGAACGGCACGGATGGCAGCTTGGCGGTTGCGGTGGATGCGATTGGCGCGGCGGCGGCGAAGCACCATTTCATGGGTGTGACGAAGCAGGGGCTGGCGGCTATTACGAGGACGACGGGGAACGAGCACTGCTTTGTGATATTGCGTGGTGGAACGAGAGGGACGAACTATGATAAGGAGAGCGTGAAGCAGGTGCGGGAGGCGCTGAGGAAGAAGGGACAGAGGGAAGTTATGATGATTGATTGTTCGCATGGTATGGCTTCTTGCCCCGTTGCCGCTTAGCAGCAAGAGTGGGAACTGACGGTTGTGAACAGGCAACTCGAACAAGGACCACCGCAATCAGCCCAAGGTAGCCAAGACCATCAGCGAACAGATCCGCGAGGGTGAGACGGCTATTGTGGGCGTCATGATCGAGTCGAATATCAATGAAGGGAGTCAAAAGGTGCCTGCGGAGGGGCCGTCTGGGCTCAAGAAGGGCGTATCGATTACTGATGCGTGCATTGACTGGGACACTACCGTCGGAGTTTTGGAAGACCTCGCTGCTGCAGTGCAGGAACGGAGAGAGAAGAAGTCGAGCGCGACCAATGGCGCCAATGGTACGCACTGATCTGGATCCGGGTTAATGTGGCGTCAGAAAAGTTGCTGCGTATAGATGTTTATTTGGGAACGAGGCGGCGGCGTCCGTCCATGTAATTTCACGATCTGGCGAAAGAAAGGTATCGGGAAAGCTTCTCCATTTCAAGACCAATGTCATGTTGTTGCTTGCAGAATACAGACCCAGACAGCACACGATTCCCAGCTCGTTACTGGAAGAACATCCAAGAAAAGCTCAGAACAGGATCTCAAACGCCATCCATGCATACCGCGAGACATAATGGCAGCCGGACCGAGGCCCCCTCTGTGAAGCTGAACCGGACCGCAGACCACAAGTCACGCTCAGCGGCCGTTCCAGGCGCCGTGCCTTAATCCTCTAGGAACCCTACGTCGGGTTACTCGTAGATCCATTTGGCGCAGCTTCTCCGCTTGTACACTATTGAGCGATAGGAAATCCTCGTTGGACCACCTCCAATCCTTGGCTAGTGTCGTCTTAGCATCAGCCGCGCTGAAGACCCAAAGATGTCAGCTTGTATACGGATGAAGCTTGTGGTAAGCTATGGAGGAGCAAAGCTGAGGCAGTCTTCCATTCTACTCACTCTTGACGGGCTTTCTTTATAGTCCGCTGTCTTGCTGCAACGTAAGAGGGATCTTGCCGAAGCGCCTGAAGAACCTTGGCCGTATTTTCGGGGTCATATTCGGCCTCATCGGAGTCCGAGTCGATTTCTGTGGTAGGGGCGGGCGGCGGCAGACGGGGGGCGCATGTTGTCGTCCTGGTTGGCAGCTTCGGAGATGGCAAAGTGCGTGGCAGGTCTTCCAGCGTAAGCGGTAAGGTGGTTGGCAATCCGGGTCGAGCACGCGGTGAGACTTGGGAAGACTGGAATGGGAAGTCAAGATCAACGGTACCCCACGCGGCTGAAGCGAAGGCGCCGAGTGCGAGGACGTTAACGATTGTAAAGAGACGCATGATGATGATGATGATTCCAAGGACTGGATGCTCAAGGTATGTGGGTTCGTCTAAGGATGTGCAGTCGGTGCTTGGATATGCTTTGTTCGTACTGGAGATAGATTGTCGAGACTGAGACTGGGTTCAAGGGTCTTGGAGACTCTTCCAGTGAGTTGGTAATGTCAAACAGAAGGTGGACATGAACTATGGTGTGACGCAGGAGCGTAGAGACTTCCCCATCTGGAACCTCGCTGCCTTGGGCAGCTTCCTCCTGCCAGGAACCACGCCGCTCACAATATGAAAAGACCGCATCTGGAACGCCGGCCTTGCCGGCTGAAGCAGCCTCATCCCTGCAACAGGCTCGTTTCGACACGACAGTTTCCGAATTGCCAGGTAGTAACCGGCTGCCGGAGTGAAGCGATAGGGAAGGTGCAGTCTCGCGGACGCGCAGCCGGTTTATGCCATGCGTACCGCGAATGGCCCATGAGCAAATCGGTGAGGCGCGATTGAGCTCACATGAATAGATTGACCTTCTTTAATTCTCCACACAGCATCTCTTTGACTGTGAATCTCGTAGGCGCTGAGAGCTGGAGAGATCGATCATACGAACAGCGTGCCATCTAGCCTGTAGCGGAAGCCGTAGAAAACTTAACAGGACATAAAGCGCTACCGAAGCACAAAGTTCAAAAGGTCCAGATGTCCTGCGCTATGCTGCTTTACGACGTTATCCCAGATGGAACCGTCGAGAAAGTCGCCCGCCACAGTTGCTGAACCAACAAGACGATAGTGATCCCCAACTTCTCTGACTATAAACAGCACATTTGCTCCGAGAAAGGTGCAGAGATAGTCGCCGGCCTGTGCATCGGTGAAGGTCATGCACAACTTTGAATCGAACGGGAGTCGTAGAGTAGCGTGAGTAGGTTCGCAATCAAAGGATCTTAGGACGAATTCCTCCCATGGATCGACGGAGAAATGCGCCGAGTACAAGTCCAACATCAGGTGGGAGGTAGCACTCCACTCTTGAGATACGGTTCTCCGGCCATCTCTCATAAACTGGAGGGAATTCCTATTTCCTAGAAAGTTATAGCGAATGATAAAATTCAGCAAGGTGCTTGCCCCCCGTAATCGGAGGATCAAAGAATAGAAAGACCGTAAAACGATGAGCGATTCCAGCATAGTTTGTTGAAAGTACAAGAACATTGAAGAAATAGGTATGGAGGGCTCGTCACTGTTCCGGCCGGCGCCAACGAGACGGCTAATGATGAAGCCTCGCACTACCATCTCGGTCATGTCTTCTGAGAATCTGGCCACAGGCGGGGGGTCAGATTTCTCCTCCGGTAACGTAAACTGTTTGCTCCAGTACGCAACACCACCTGACGCACATCTTGGCATAGCGACTGTCCAGTCCGGCGCCCATGATGGCAGTCCGGAGATCTTCCCCGGACCCAGACAAGCGCGTAGGACATCCAGTCGTTTTGTCTTGGAAGTCAAGTATCTAACAACCTCTGTATACACCCTTGTCACCGGTTGGCTATAATCTGGCTCCAGTATTTCCTCAGGGGAACGCGCTCTACGCGCTTCTTCAGACAGAGCTAGTAGGCCGTACACTTTGTCGCGGTGGTCTGTTGCCTCGAAGGCTGAAAATGATGCGATCAAGTGAAGGAGGCTTTTGTGCGCTGTTGCAACGGGGTCGCGAAGATATTGAAGATCGATAGCTTCGATCAAGAGGAGTACTCGCTGAAAGCCACTCTCCACATACGGACTTCTCCTGGGATATGAGTGAACAAGTTCCTGGATATGCCTTGTCGCAATATGTATGATATCCCATGACAGTTCTCGTGATCCGCACATAACGGTGGCATCCCGTGCTACTACGATTTCCTGGACAACCCAAGTACGGTGGAACCAGCTTCGGCTGAAGAACGCTCTGAGAGCTTTGATTGTATTCTCATCTGGTGCTAATCCCTTGGATCGGTTCTGGTGTGCTGCGAAGCCCCTTTGCACATTCCAGTGCTTCAGAAAGTATCTCGTGTGCGGTCCCGGCTTGGAGAGATAAACCACAGCGCTACACAGGTAGGGGTAGTAGGGGCCTCGAGGCATTATCCAGATATAAAACAAGAAATTGAGGGCGTAAGATAGAAAGGAGTCTGACGTCAAAGATAGTTCAGTCCTCAAAGCCAGGCATAAGCGCGAGAACAGTGTTGCAAGAATTGTAGTCCGATTGCCGTCGTGCCATTGCTGATTTAGTGAAGTGAGATGATCCATGGCAAGCCCGCTGTCGTCGGTAGCATCTCCGAGCCATACAACTGCTCGTTTCGCGTTCTTATATATGTGCAACATACGAAGCAATTCATGGTTTTTTTCCGGGACGTCTTTCTGGTTGATACAAACGGCGTCGATCCACAAACAACGGTCTTCGGTATCGTGTCGGAGGGCGCGAAGTGCGGCATGAAGATTCTCCGTTACCCAGAAATCTTTCCCGTTTAATCTGATATGCTCCGTTGTAAGGTTGCTGCCCCATGTATACGACAATGCCTCGTACGAAATCTCAACATCAAGAGGTACGTGTATGAGCTCGCAGACAATGCTGGACATGCGATCTCTAGCGGCGAAAAGACGGATCAAACGGATTTGATTCCGTGCGCGATCGAGAGGTGTGTAAACAAAGGAATCCATTTTAGATTTTGAAGCGATGACAAGATGTGACATGGTATCTAGCTGCACTGAATCGACAAGGTAATTTCTGACATATGTTGTAGATTCAAGGGTGCTGGCTGTGTTGGAGGAAATGAGGCTGATGTCGCCGATGGCTCGGAGAGTTTCCTGGCGCTTAGGAGGTGGCTGAGCTCAAGGCAGCAGACTTGGCTTGGACCTGGTGGCGGCGCGACCCGGTAATTGTACGAGTACCCCGAACCAGAACTGGAATAAGAGTCAATATATGACCGTCCATTCGAAGTCGGGTAGTCACGAATGATATGTTGGAGTTCTTCCCTAAAAACAAACGCCCACAGACGAGAACCGCTCTTGCTGCAAAGATCTTGGGCACAATTCCCTTGCCGAAAGCGACATCCCTGTTAAGCAACTCACTGTGTGATATAGCATTAAACGCGTGCGTCGAAAGCCAAATTAGGATGGTAAATCTCCCTTCCTTTAGAACGGAAGGTCGGACACCGGACAAATCCATAGCATGTCCAGACCGACCTACGCAAAACCCTAGCAGGTCAGGTCATAGATCGGCCGCCCATCCGCCCCGATAACGCCAAAGCTCGGGTTACTGGACCAGTCCTGATATGCATACCAGAAGACATGCGCGCTGCGGAACGCCTCGCACGCGACCTCCTTCCAGTAGCTCTGCGCGCTCGCCACGCTGGGCACGCTGTCGCCGAACTTGTCCCCACTGACCGGCTGCCCCGTTTCTGTAATCCAGACCCACGTGCCCGGCTTGACGCGATGGACGACGTCGCGGGTCGCCTGGACGGAAGCCCAGAAGACGTCGCGCATCTGGACGGGCGTCGCGCCCTGCCAGTAGGGATAGCCGTCCATGCCGACGAAGTCGCAGGCGTGGATCACGGCCTCATTCGCTGTGTCGACCCTGCGGCAATCATCAGCCCCCTTCGTTACACTCGCACACGGTTTGGGACCAAGTACCATGCAGTCCAGGTATCGACATGCCCAACCTCCTGCGTCGCCCCTAGCCCTCTGACCATGCCCCTCACGTCATAGATCTGGCCCGCGAGCACCGCAGCAGACGTCTCCTTGCGGTAGAGATCCTCGCTGCCGACGGAGATGGCCAGGATCCAGCTGGTGCCGTAGGCGTTGATGGCGGCGACCAGTGCGTTCTTTTCTGCCTCGTAGTGCGCCGCGTCTTGCGTCCAGATGCCGACGAGGAGGTTGGTGCCGGTCGCGAGCGCGGCGGGCACGGCGTTGGCAAGGGTCCCGCAGTCTGAGCTCGCGAAGAGGCGGACGTCGATGAAGGAGCCGGGGAGGGATTTGAGCGTGTTGAAGGCGAGCTCCCAGTCGGCGCGGGTTTTGCAGGACCCATCTGGGTTGTTCGCGCCGCTGATTGGTGTGAGCGGTTTGTTATAGAGTAGTGAGAGGGAGGAGCGTACATATTAAAGCCTTTCCAGTAAGCCTCAGTAGTTGCGAATATCGCAGCGAATGCGGCGGCGAAGTTGAAAAGTCGCATAGTGAAAGACAATGGTAATAGATGCTATCACTGAGACGAATGAGAAGTTTTGTGGCTTGGAGAAACGGCGTCAATGGAATGATTGAGGTTGGTGAAGTTGAGCAAAAGCAGTCAACTGACCACCTGCAGACTGCGAGTACAAGAATAAGGCGTTCAATTGCTGCACCTGACCGCTCTGAAGCGGAAATCGCGCTGCAGCGACATGTGGCCGCATATATTAATTTGTGCTACAGACAGGACGAGAACCTCGCGCGCTGCAAGGCACGAGGAAGCAAATACTCGGTCGCTGGCATGGGAGGTCGCGTTCTTGCACGCCCTCAGAATTTCTGGTGGAATGAGTGACGTCAGATCCCGGGTGAGGCCTGTCCAGGTGTGGCATTTAGTCCAGTAGATGAGATTGATTCATCCTATTGAAGTTGCTCGTGCAATTGAAGTTGAGAGGACGGTGTCTGAGCCGTCACAGCTAGTTTTGGCCTGTCAGGATGATGTGGAGCACTTCCTCACCTCCATCAAGCACCTCCACACTCCGCAGCCGCAAGTATATCCTCAACATCTACCCGTTCAAGCTTAGGAATGCCCGCTTCACCTAAGCGCTCTTTCGGCTTGACTGCAACAGCAATCATATAATCCTCCTCAAAGGCCTGAATCTCCATACTCACATCCTCCACTCTTTCGTCGTTCAGATAAACCTCCGCATCACTTACCCTCTCGCCCCAAACTCCGTGGGTACTGCACCGCGGCACCATTCCCTGCCTCGGCGCCCTCACATTCCTAAACTCCAGGTCCCGCAGCCAAGGCGCCATCATCGCCTCTCCCGTCAGCTTTATATACGCCTCCTTGTAGCCCCAGAACGTATAGAAGCGCCTCAACTTCGCATCGACGATCAGATCGCTGCCGAACGTCCTCGTCTGCCCGTTCGCTAAATTCACTGAAACTTCCTTGTCACGCGTGACGCATCTGTCCAGTCGCCCTAGCTCCTCCTCGCTGATCGTGCTGCCGTCCAGCAACGTCAGCGGCTGCGGGAGCGTGTACGTCATGTCCCAGATCTCGTCGTTGGAGAAAAACTCCGTGTACGTGTCCATCCAGCGCTCGAAGCCCTCGGTGTCGAGCTTCGCGTAGTCGTTCCGCTCGTTCACGCAGGTGATGTCGATGCCTACTTCCACTTCTGGCGTTGCCTCTTCTTCCTTCTCTCCCGCTTCGTTATCGACAGACCAGCAAGCGCCTATCAATGCCACCAGTCCTGCCTGGTGTGAAACATTGAAGTCGACCCTCTTACGGTTTCCAGCGGAGAAATTGGTGGATGCGGTGGACAGGTGGCACGGTTTCCCATGCCGCGCATCCCCTCTGCGTGTGAAGCTAATCTCGGACCACGGAACGCCGAGCGTGCGTGCAGTGTAGAAGCGTTTGAGGAGCGCGGAGCCCAGCGTCATACGCGCATCGCTGATGTGGTATTTGCTGCGGACATTGTGCTGTTCAGCCTCGCTGACGAGCGCGAGCGCTGAGGAGGCCTGTGGTTCATACTCGGTCAGTCGCTATGGTTGCGGGAGGAAAAGTGAGTGGCGCACGACATCAGAGATCCTATCGCCTGGCCATAGAGTCCTGGTGTCGAGGAGCCAGCAAGTCAATTCCGGCGCGGTATGAGGCATGGCTCGGAGGAGGTGAGCTGCGGTTTTCGTCGGGGACTGAACGACGATCCCCAGCTTATCGATACGACCCCTGCACGAATTTGTTCGGATGACTCTCATCCTCCACAAGCAGCACTCCATCGCCCATTGCGCCAACCGCACCCCCTCGCTCCCCACCCAGACAATGACCCAATCCAGACCCCAAATCACCGTCGGCGTCCTCGCGCTCCAAGGCGCCTTCAGCGAGCACCTCCAGCTCCTCCAGCAAGCCGCCGCCGCACTAGCGGCAAACCGCGTCGCCGGCCCAGCATGGCGCTTCACCGAGGTGCGCACGCCGGCCGAGCTGGACCGGTGCGACGCCCTGATCATACCGGGCGGTGAGAGCACGACCATGTCGCTCGTGGCGTCGCGCTCCGGGATGCTGGAGCCTTTGCGCGATTTCGTCAAGTGAGACGCCCCAGCCGCCCAGCAGCACAACGACGCAGCGGAACGGACAGCTAACATCAGGTGCGGCAGGGCACATAGAAAACCCACCTGGGGCACCTGCGCAGGTCTGATCCTCCTCGCCGAGTCCGCGAACAAGACCAAGAAGGGCGGGCAGGAGCTCATCGGCGGGCTCGACGTGCGGGTCGAGCGGAATCATTTTGGCAGGCAGGTCGAGAGCTTCACGGCGGAGCTGGACCTGCCGTTCCTGGCTGCGACAGAGGCCGTGGAGACGAAGACGGATAAGCGGCCGTTCAGAAGCGTGTTTATCCGCGCGCCGGTCGTCGAGAAGATACTGCCGCATACGGCGGGGATGCAGGTAGTGGAAGCGGCGAAGGACGGGACGATCGTCGCGCCGTCGCGGATGCCGACGGATGAGGTTGCGCGGAGGGAGTTTGATAAGGAGGTTGAGATTATGGCGAGGTTGCCGGGACGGGCGAAGGCGTGGTCGAAATTTAGTGATGCTACTGCGCGGGAGATTGGAGAGGAGGGGGATATTATTGCGGTAAGACAGGGGAACGTCTTCGGGACGAGCTTCCATCCGGAGCTGACGGGAGATGAGAGGATCCATGTCTGGTGGTTGGAACAGGTTTTGGCTGCCATCAGCCGCAGAGAAGAATTGCTACAGTGATAGCATAGGAACAGCGCGGCGTTTGGGAGTATAGATGCATCATGAGCGGGCATCATGGACAACTAGAAAGTAGACTTATACATCGACTACGAATAAAATCCAGAATGAAGCAAACAAACGTGAAAACCCCTTTCTGACCTTCGTAGTAGTCTTATCTGCTCCGAACGCCTCCGACGCTGTCCCGTACGCTGAACATCGCATAATGCGGGTGTAGCAGCCGCACACTTCTCAAAACGCTTCGTCCCGAATGGTTCGAGTAGTTGATGCTGGGATCTGGGGTTGTGGTGATGAAGCTTGCTCTTCGCACTTCAGCTGTGTCCCGGTAGTAAGTCATCATATCTCTCCGCACTTTGTTACCACTTCATCCCCACAAGCTTGGCGGTAATCATCAATGGTTGCAATCAGTCGTGGTCCAAGTCCTCCGCGAGCGCTCTACCGTACCCGCCACGTCCAGGATCGTACTCGTCTCGGTATTCGTCGCGGACCTGCCCGCCAGACTTGCCGCGCCTATACACAGTAAGACTCTAAGCCCCAAGTCTGCCCGCGTAAACGTGACTTACCCGTATTGCCTGCCCTCGGCAAACCCCTCGTCAAGATCGGTGCGTATTATCCGCTCATCGAGCTTCGTGCCGCCGATGTACTTCATGCAATCTAGCGCGTCCTGGTGGGTGTAGTATTCAACGAAGCAGAAGCCGCAGGGGGTCTTCTGGAACCGGTCGAGGCCCATCACTAGGCGCTTGATTTCGCCGCATCTGAGGTGGAGTGGGATGTCAGTGACCAATTCCGCTGCTTCGAGTGTGAGCCAAGGCGTACTTCGCGAAAAGCTCATGGATCTGTTCCTCGGTGGTGTAGAAAGATCTTTGATGCGGTCAACTAGTGAGTCTCCCGATGATGCAAGAGTGGTTGTGAGGCGTACAGGTTGCCGACATAGAGCGTGGTAGCTTCTTTCAACTTGTCTTCAAAGTCTGGTGTCTTCTCTCGGCGGTAGGGGTCTTCGTCGTCGTGGTCGCGGTCGCGGTTGAATCTGCGCTTTTTGTTCTATACCCAGGTTATTAGGGCCTTTTCGATCAATGAAAGAGGGATCAAAAGGACAGGATGCTTACCTTGCTAGCTGCGTACGAGCTGGGCTTGTCCAGCCTATCGACCGTGTTCCGTGTAGTTGGGCGCATGTTGGGTTGTTTGTGAAGCTGTTGCGCGCGGCAGCAGGAGCTTTGAATGTCGGAGGTGAAGGCCGGCGCGTGAAACAGCAAGCAGGGCCACTCGAATTGAAGGTTGCCACACGTCCTGGCTCAAATCACGTGTGTCGTGCAGCAACCTTCATTTTGGATCGCCCTTGGAGGTTCTGCCTATCAAGAGCTCTGTCTCAGTCGGAAGCTTCGCGTCAACCAAAAGCTTCCCCACGCTCACCAGGTGGAACTCTAAGGCTCGCGCTCTGACAGACAGTATCTGAAGAGGCGAGCTTGCAGGAGGCTCCATCCAACATGCCCCGAGTGCTCAGCTATACGCCCTCGTGGCTCTCCAGGCCCTCCCCCGGCTTCGACCTCTTCGCGCAATCGCCAGCTAAGAACAAGACCAAGGCGCGACCCCTCAACGGAAACGGCAGCTCACCGGTGGTCCCTGGGCCCAGACGAACAATTGCGCGCCGCGGCACGGAGATCTTTGTGGCAGCGGGGAACGAGATACGATGGTCAGACCTGGTATTGCTTAAAGAGAAGGGAGCTTCGGATGAAGACCTTAGGCGCTCGCGGTCGAGTCGGAGAAGGGGCAGCGGCAGTGATGCCTATGGCAACGATGCTCGGGACGATGACTACGCGGAGGCCACGTACAGGGTAGGTCTTCGTACCTGGGAGGTGCACTCCTCAGCGGCAGGATACTGACTGAGGATAGGTGCTCAAAGTACCAGTGTACGGACAGATTACACAGCTCATCATATCTCCTAGGGATGACTATATGGCCATCGTCACGTCCCACACAGTTCATGTCGCCGTTCTGCCTGATTCCTCGCACCTGAGCGCTCTAGACAGCGGTCCGTTGAAGCTCAAAGCTTTCCACCTTGGCCCCACCACCCATGTATTGGAGCAAGCTTTGATCGCGTCGGTGTTGTGGCATCCGCTCGGCTACCAAGGAAGATGTCTTGTAACCATCACGAAAGACGCTGTTGTTCGCCTGTGGGAGATAAACCGAGAGGACCGGTGGTCGTTTGACAATCCGGCATTAGCGATCGACCTGAAGAAGCTCGCCAATGCTACAAGCGCCGAAGAGGATGTCCGAGCATCAACATATGGCGCGGGCAAGGGCTTCTCGCCAGACTCCGTGGAGCTTGAAGTCGCTTCGGCATGCTTCGGAGGCACCGGGCAGCTTACAACGGAGTACGGCTGGGCCCCGATGACACTTTGGCTAGCCATGACGGAAGGCGATGTCTATGCGCTGTGTCCGCTGCTCCCCAGCAAGTGGGAGTGGGAAACACATGCCGAATTTTCGCCCTACATGCGCTCACTCTCCCTCGCCATTGGCGCAAAATCAGCCATTGTCTCGAGCGATGAGAGCGCATCGGACGCGGATGAGCAGATTGCTGAACAGCAGCTTCAATGGATATCTGGCATACAGGACCAAAACCTGCTTACCACTAAGGGAGAGCTCGGCCAAGACATTGTGGAGGTCTTTACCCGTCCTTCTAAGCCTGGCGCGGTACCCAAGCTCCAAGGACCATTCCAGTTCGACCCCGAGACCGAGGACGACTTCGAGATCTCAGACATCCGCGTTATAGGGTTGACGAGTCAAGACACAGATTACGACCACGAGCATTGGGAGCCAGGTCTTCCGGGCGCTGTTGTTTGCCTGTTGACCAACGACGGAAAGGTGCATATCTGCTTGGAGCTCGATGGAATCGAGGGACAGTGGCTACCAACAGGGAGAGTAAGTTCGAAGCTTGAGTCGAGCGCGAGCAGCTTTGCTGATTCGATCCTATTAGAATACCGCCGCTTTTTCGGAGGACGGCCTGCTACACAGCCTGACCATTCTCGAGACCGTCATCACGTCAGAGCCCTCAGACGCAGTGCACGCAAGCTTCACCGCCGACGTGCAGTCCCAAGACCTCCTCTTCGTCACCCACTCAAGCGGCGTCCACTCCCTAAGCCTCTCCCCCTGGCTCCCCCGCCTCAAAGAAGAACTTGCCAACCCCTCCGACGAGGGCGCCCTCTTCCGCCTCTCCTCCCTCCTCTCAAGCACCCCAACCCTGATCGAGCACCCCCTCCGCATCGCCCCCGAATACGACACCCCGACCCCCATCCCCGCCGCCATCATCCTCCAAGACTCCGACCTCGGCTACCTCCTCCTAACCACCACCTCCTCCTCCCCCATCGCCGCGCTCCTCGAACCCCCGCTCTGGACCCTCGACCCCTCAACCCGCCTCCCAGACCACCCCTACGAGCCCGACGCGCCGCGCGACCTGCAGATCTCGGAGCCGAGATCCGCGTACCAGCCCGCCGCGATCTTCTACCGCGACTCCGCGCTCCCGAAGTTCATCGAGCAGCACGTGCCCGCGCACCGCAGACCAGCGCTGAAAGACGAGGTCAAGCTCAGCCCCGCGACGCTGGATCTGCTGTCCCAGGCGCATCGGATCCTGGCGGCCGAGACGCACGCGCTGGGCCTCGCGGCCGCGGATCTGTTCCGCAGGTGCGAGAGGCTGGTTAGTGAGTTTGGGGAGCAGATTGCTAGGGCGGCGGAGGTGGCGGATAGGATCGAGAGGGTTACGGGGGAGGATGAGGAGGATGAGGGGAGTGGGGAGGAGGAGGAGGGCCGGCCGGTGGGACTGGCGAACGAGAGGATTGAGGATAGGATTGGGCGGGTGAGAAGTAGGCAGGAGGGCTTGGAGGAACGGTTTAAGAGGCTGCGGGGACGGCTGATGAAGGGCGGCGGGAAGGAGTTGAGTGCTAAGGAGATGGATTGGGCGGGTGAGGTTGAGAGTGTGGCGAGGGAGATCTTGGCGCCTGAGGGTGCAGAGAGCGGTGGTGCGGACGGAGAGCAAGATGTTGAGGCGGTGTTGCCGTGGCAGAGGGTGGAGGAGGTGAAGAGGCTGGTGAAGGACTTGGTTGCGCAGGCGAAGGAAGCCGCGAACGAGCCTAGTGATACGACGGCCGCGCCCGCAGTGCGGGTGCCGTCCGACTTCAGGAAGGCGAAGGTGGCCCAGGTCAGAGAGCTGCTGGATCGGGAGACGGCGCTTGTCGAGGCGGCGACCGAGAAGCTGGACAGGCTGAACATAGCTATGTAAGATTATGTGGGCGCTGTACGATACGTCACTGATTCTAGCATGATTGAGCTGTCAAGGTGTTTTTGGATAGCGAAGAAGTCAGTTCAATGCCGTTGATCTCCATGCAGTAGTTGTCCCCATCGGGTTGTCCTGATCAGGGAGAGCTAGCATGGCATTGCAGCACAACCGGAAGGGAAACACTTCTGCCAACGCACCAGCCAACGTTGCAGATGCCGTGGCAGCGATTCTGTCAAGCGAAACCCGGTGTTGTCGCAGCGCTCTTTTCTATAACTTTCCAAACACTACTTGAGATTTTTGCCAAAACTCTAGCTTTGAGTACAGCATTGGTACTTGATACATTCTACGCAAAAACTTATTGTATAAAGGCGGTTCCACTGTCCGTAAGACTGGATGATGAACCATATAGTGACGCCGATCAACCTCGGAAACTGCCGATACTTCTACAACGTTTTCTGGCACGTCGACATTGGTGCCACTACGATCTCAGTATGTGCATCATAGGTGGGCGTCACTAAGGATACATGCGGCACGAGGCCATCACATGCTCTTTTGGATATCGTTGCGGCCTCGTACGGTATATCAAGGAAGCTGATGACGAAGAAGGCCTTTGTTTTCCGGCGTCGAGGTGAAAGTGAAGAGCGAGTTGATAAAAGAGTGGTGAAATGACCACTGACGTGACCTACCTTCATGCTAACAACAACACAGCTGCCCACAAAACATCGTCTACAGAACACAGATCTTCTCTTCTTCTTCATCCTGACAACCTTCGACAATCACACACCACAATTGCACAACGACACAAACCCTTCTAAGAGATAACAGATACCATGAAGATCCTCACCGCCATCACAGCAACTCTCCTAGCCCTCAGCGACCTCGTCGCCGCCCATCCTTCCGCCGTCGATTTTGCCCTCGACCTTCCCGCTGGCGGCGCCCTCGTCATGGACCTCGTCCAAGGCAACGGCACCTTCCCCTTCGCCAACACCTCCATGGGTCTCAGCAACCATGCCAAGCCTCCATTCCTCTACACCGTAAGTTCCTCCATGCCCACCTCCCAGAAAGCCGCCCCCCTCGCCCACTAACCTCGGCCCAGGCCTACTTCTGCACCGACGAGAACTGGACCGGCTTCTGCATCGGCATCGGCTTCCCGACCGACGCGTGCTGGAACCTCAAGCCCGACGGCGGCTTCTATAAAGCTATTACTTCGTTTGGCCCGGATCAGAACACCTTCTGCCTCCTGTACACGACGCTGCGCTGTCAGATGGGCATCGGCGCGGACACGGTGGCGGGCTATCTCTGGCCGGGCACGCCGAATGTAGGGGAGGCGTTCAATGATCGCTTCGTCGCTATGCAGTGTATGGCGAAGAAGCAGACCTCCTGAGCAGCTACTCCTTGTCGGTTTGGGGCGTCGGGACTGGGGCTGGGCTTGGAATTGGGAGGGCTCTTCTTGGATTGAGGCTTGGATCTAATGCGGACTCGGGAGAATGGCGGACTGGCTCAGTGGTATCCAGGTTCGATGGGTTTCAGCTACGGCGCATGCGGCTTGCTGCGCGTACTCTCTCGGTAATCATGACCGGTGGAGAAATGGAACACAGATGAACGACTTCAATTCGTGCTTTTACTGAGACATGTGATGCCGAAACTGTGACAAGTGAGAAAGACCAAGCGGAGATGGAAATGCATGCACGTATGATGAGTGTGCTAAGCGTGCTGAGCTTGTGAATCGCTTGGCGGTCGCCCCTGGTAGATGAAGTCTAAGAAGGATCAGTTCATACGGACTACGCGTCGCAGCTTAGAGGCTGTAAGCTGATGTGAGTTTGCATTTGTCATGAACATGGATATTCTTGATGGCCACTGCAGCACGAAGCTATGCTTAGATCGACATAGATCTGGGTATCCTCTAAAATGGTACTTTGTGGAAGTAAAATGATACAGCTGACTCGGTAGGCTAAAGCGAAGCTGCCGATACCCAGCTTCTGAGGAAAGGACTGGAGAGTCGAGGGTGAAGCTTTACCTTACCCTTTGGGCGATTCAATGCGCACGTGATATCGAAATGTCCATACCACAACTCGCACAACCTACGTGCTGGACTCCTCGTCACTGAGAGATCCCCAATGGCGACTCCATCAAAAAAGCATGGACTCTGACAGCGAGGCCAAACCATTCCCAGCTCCAACATCAGATTCGAGCATGCCGCTGACGTGAACGTCAGCGTTAGCGATTGTGCGAGTGATGAGAGACTGGGCGCGCGTCTCCATGAGGGCGATCAGTCGCCGGCGCAGATGTGCTCTTTGATGAGCACCATCACGTCACAGTGCTGGAGCTCACGAAGGTTTCCTACTCGAGCATCGCCTCCATCGTGGGAAGAACGGCCATGTAACCAGCTCGACCCGGGCGCTTAAAAAAAGGTCCAAGCCGAGCCTGCCGAGCTCGCGAGATGCACAGCCTGTCACGCCCCAGCAAGTGCGGATGCTGGCCGCGCAAATCATCGAGCGGGACAGCGTGACGGACAAGTCAGGCCCGCCCTGCATGCACCGTCCGCCTTGCCAGCTTGGGCTAGAGCTCCCGCGCCTCAGTCACTGCGGCTTCGCCCTCACCGCCGCTGACTGGCCAGCCATTGCAGCTCCACACTTCCGTCCAACGCACTCCAGAACCCCGATTTGCAGGGCGCCTCTGCTCGTCAGGATGCTTCTGTGCGTCCTGACAGGCGTGCCCTTCGGCCAGCCCTCCCGTCAATCTGGGCGCCGTTGGGCCAGAAAGCAGGAGCGTGCTTTGGCTGCAGCCTGATCCTCTTAAACCTCCTCAACCCGCCACACCCTTCGGAGCTTTTGGACCTGCTTCTTGTCAGTTCTCCGCACTGATCGAGCTATCTCTGGGACGTGCTCCGTGAAGCCCGGAACCGGAGCCGTTTCACGATGGACGGACTCAACATGTTGCGCCTACCGTCGCTTATCGCCTTTCTTACAACATGGAGCCTGGTCGCAGCGCATACCGTTGTCACATATCCAGGATGGAGGGGAAACAATTTGATCACCAACGGAACCACTGTCAGCGGTGCGATACCGGAAGGCTCTCTCGGAATCAACTATGTCGATGGCCAGCCCAGCTACCCCTACGGCATGCAATGGCAGTACCCATGTGAGTCTTACAGCGCAACTACGTTGGCAGGACGTTCAAGCAAGAACACTAACCTCGCCCTCCAGGCGGCGGCATGCCGATGTCTCGCAATCGCACGAAGTGGCCCGTCACCGGCGGTGCAATCGGCGTCCAGCCAGGATGGTTCTCAGGACACGCAACTGCTCTGTTCTACATCAACATGGGCTTCGGCAACGAGCCCATGAACTACTCGCACAACCTCGTTCCGGTGTTCCAGATCGCCGGGCCGTCGAACAGCTTCTATCACGGCTCATTCTGCCTTCCCCGGATATCGCTGCCGCCGAACGTCACCGTCAACGTCGGGGACAACGCCACGATACAAATCATCGAGACGGCCGTGCATGGCGCTGCGCTGTACAATGTGAGTCCGATCCACGAGCACATGGCCAGGGAGCGAAGCTGACGGGAATTCAGTGCGTCGACATCACTTTCGCCGAGCCAGAGGACGTGCCCCAGGTCAACAGATCGAACTGCGAGAACTCGACGCTGCAGGGGGAGAAGATAGGCTTCAATCTCCTCTACACGACCCCGAATCAGGAGTCGGCGGCGCCCCTGCTGCTGTCGGGATCCAACAGCTTTCTGGCGCTCTTACCAGCGCTGGCCGGAACATTAGCGGCCAGTCTGTGGGTGTGAGATGGTTGTTGGGATGTACGAATTTCTTTTCAGCGGATCGCGAAAGGTCATCAAGGGCCAGGCTTGGGTAGGGTCGACCTTTGTGCGGTTTCACACTCTACATCGTAATACTATACCAGGCTCGTCTAGCCATTGCATTGGGGTTACGGTTGGGCTGGCGATTGAGGAGTTTGTGCCGGGTGTTGGCTCTGCGGTGGATTTGTTGGAAGGGGCCTGGCTGTATCCTTCCTCAGATCGTTGACTGCATCTGATATGTCAGCACTTGAAGTCTACATTGTTGAGCCACGTTTTCGATCCAATCAGTGACGCTAACATTTAGGAACGAATACTGGTCCCAATATATGAATATTGCTCGTGTTCATCGCGATGGAGAAGTGCTACCCTGGGCTATCAGTGGCGCAACCGCTACATTTAAGCATCGTGACGGCGGTGGCATGAACTACTTTATGACCTAGGTACAAATATCTGCTCGAACCCCTTGGTATTTTGAGGCCACATCTGTCCACCGTGCGCCAGAAAGTCGGCTCGCCATCCGAACCACAAGGCATCCCATCTCCGCCTTCACCAAAATGGCCGACCCACCACGACTCCAGCAGGACCCTACGGGCGCACACCCCTCCCTCTCTTGGTCAACATCACAGCGACGAGCACACACAACCAGCCGAAGCAGCCACCCCAAGCCCCCATAATGCCTCACACCAGCCGCAAAACCCGCAAGCCGCCACCACGCAACCGAAAACCCACACAAGTGGCGCTCGAGAACGGCTGGAATCTCATAACGCGCTCGAGATGCAGCGCCCGTCCCGACATGGAGCGCGAGACCCTGTCTTCGAGCAAGGGCGCGCCGTGGAACGTCTGCAGCGAGGGTCCGACGATCGAGGGTCTCACGCTCCGACAGCTGGCTGCGGACTTTGCGAGGCATGAGCTGCTGTATCTCGCCTCTGACTGTTGCCAGAGCGTTCGGCGGCATGTTGGAAAGGCTTTTGGGAGAGATGCGCAAGGTCTGTACGGTCTGGGCGGTGGGATTGCCAACGCGGTGTGTCTGGCGCTGGGGAGCTTGTGTCGCGAGCACTATAACAGAAATGGCCGCTTTTGGCAGCTGGCGATGTTCATGGATATCGTAAAGCAACGTTAGTACAACCACTCCATCACTCAGTCCGTCATGATGGACGACAAATCTTCCCCAGCACGCGGAAGTCTTGACACGGTCCTAATCCATCATTCCAGTGAAACAGCACCACAATAACATCGACGCGTTCATCCAAGAACCAGCACTCCGCCCACTCGACATCGAGTTCCTGAAGTCTCTTGGCCTCACCATCCTAGAAGATCCAGCAGCCACGCGAGTGATCCAAAGAACATCCTTCGTCTACGCCCCATGCATGTACGCGCTTCACCTTCTATGTGAGATCCTAGCGGGTAAAGATCCCGCGCTGTTCATAAACCCTGATCTCGCGGAGTGCATCAGGGGATGGCAGCTCACGCCGGCTGGCGACCGCACTGAAGAGACGATCAAGAACGCCCAGCGGTTTGAGGACGGCTGGCATAAGGAGCGAATCCCGGAGCCGGAGACTTCATGCGTGCCTTTTCCGTCGTTTCGTATCTACTGGAAGGACGCGGATCCGCCGTCCTCGGCGACTGCTCCGCCGTGAAGTCAGCAGCATGAGCACAAGGGGTTTCATAAGCTATTTTAAAAGCCGGAAGAAATTCTGTAGAAGCAGCATAAAGCGCTCCCGGTCTCGTCTTTACAGCGACTCAGAGCGCTCGACATCCTCTACACCACTACCTCGCTGCGCCACCATCAACAAATTCAGCTCTATACAGTTACCATCACCCGGCACGTCCGCGCTCGTGGACACCACGCCGTAACGCTAGCTTATGGTATCGCTGTATAACCTGCGGCCGCCCCACCCTCCCAGTCGTCTTGTCCACCCCCATCCACATAAAGAACCTGCCCCACCTAAATCTTAGTCCAGCCTTAGGATCCCCAATCCGCCTCATCGACGCATTCAGGCTTGCCAAGTGCCGCAGTCCACCTTCTGTATCTTCCGGGCCTGGGATGCTGAGTCTGTGATGCCGCATGCGGGCCGGCAGCGGCTTCCGCGGGATCGGCTCGATTTCGGCGCCTCGTCTGCGCGGGCTTTCCGGAACGAGACGAGGTTCGCGACGGCGGAGTCTTTGCGGTGGTCTTCATGTGGGGTTGCGCTCGAGGATGAGGAGGCAGCGGACGAGGCGCCCGACGCGCTTGCCAGCCTGCGGCTTCCTTCGAGCATGTCGGCGAGAGCTAGCGCATACATGCTGCCGAGACTGTCTTCTTCGTCATCGTCCTCATCACCATCGTCGCTGTCTTCGCAGTCGTAGTCCCAGTCGTAGTCGTATTTCTCGTCATCCGCACTCTGTCCCTCGTTCCCCTCCTGCTTGGCGATCGCCACGTCCTGCGCACCTGTACCCGCCTGGTTTGCGCTATCTCCATCCTGACGGCGCGACTCGGCCGCCAAACCCGAACCGCACGCGTCGGCCAGAGGACTTGCATCTTCCTCTGCGCTCGCGGTGGCGCTCTCCTCGTCGTCTTGAGTGGGCGACGCTGATGGTCTCTCGATCTGCATGCTGTTAGAACTTGCTGCCGGGAGCGCGGTGCAGGACTAAACACACCACGATCTTGAATTTGGGGATGGCGCGCCTGTGCTGGTGCAGCGCGTCGAGGGCTTGGCTGGAGGTGCAGACGGAGGCGTGGAAGATCTTTGATAGCAGCTTACGGCAGTGTTTGTGCCGCGTATCAGTGCGTGTTGCTTTTATCATGGACATTTTGGCTTTGCTTCGTGGGTATGAGGTGCTTCGTGTGCTGGATTTCGCTGTTTCTAGTCTGGCTATTGTGAGGGCGTGGAAAGGGAAGAGAGGCACGATCAGCTCTTTTTAAAGTGAGCATGGTATCGCCAAATTCACTTTTGGTCTGCGCGTCTGAGCGGTGAAATGGGTATCGTGGTGAAGGGTGTGCACTATTGGGGAGCAGTACCGTGAACGACACCCCGGTTGTGAACCACGGAACCGACTTTTGACCACCACAATGATAATGACTTATCGCCAGCAAGGTACTCGGTGCTACACATCGAAGGTGCAACGCCTTCTGCAGAACAAGCTTCAAGATGCCGTTACGGGACTTTTGGGTTTCTGATGCTGATTTATACGTGCCACTCGGTATAGGCTAGGATTTCTCTACATGTACAGCATACACAGCAAGATCCATGGCTGGTCTCCCATCCGTCCAGCAATGTCCCAAAGTCTGCCCCCTATCCTCAAGTAGGTTTCTTGACCCCAACGTCCTCGACACTAATCGTCTCGACAACCTTCGGCACCTCCACGCCCCCAACCCTCCAAACCATGCCAATATACCCATCACTCACGACCTTGACATCCACCGTCCTCTCCCTCTCTGCCTCCGCCAACCTCACCACAACCCTCGTGCTCACCTTCCCGCCCGCACGCCTCCCCTTCTCCGCCGCGGGCCACGTGACTCTCTTCAGCGCAAGCACCTCATCGGTGCCCGGGTCCGCAACAACGACGAAGAAGCCCTCCGTCTGCGGCTTCGGGAACCTTGGCGCAAACATCCTGCACTCCCTGTCCGCGACCGGGTTCGTGCGCGCCAGAGTTACGACCAGCCCGTCAGCCCTGACGTCCTCGACGCCGACGCGCAGATCCGGCAACTGCTCGACCGCCTTCCAGAAGCGCGGACTCGCGGCCCCGAGCTGCCTCGCCGCGGCTTCCATAACCTTCCTCGGCGCGCTGGCGGCCTCGACGAGCGATCTAGGCACCGCGTTCGGACCCTCCAGCCTCGCTTTCTCAGCCGCAGGCTCGACGCCCGGGAGAATAGCCAAGGCGCCACCATCCGGCCAGCGAGCCGACTTGACACACTGCAGCAGCGCCATCATCATCTCCGCGGAACTCGCGTGTCCCAGTTCCGCAAGGACATCGATCCCCGCCTGGATAATTCTGACGCTCTGGTCCAGCACGCTGATCTGATCGCCCACATAGTCCGAGATGGGCAGGTCGATGCGCGAGAAATGCGCCTGCAGCAGCAGGAACGCCTTGACGTGTGGATCCCACATCGGGAGGCCCAGCACGTCGGCTTTGAGCGGCAGGTTCGCGGATAGCTCCGCGTTGATCAGGTCTTCGTTGTGGCGCACGGGGAGCTCGTCGTATTCGGTGGCCGCGCACATCCAGGCGAGGACTTCGGCGAAGGAGGCGTGTGGTTTGGCGTGCGTGGTTAGATGCCGGATCGTGAGGTGGGAGAGGTAGTAGTATGACATTATTTTGCCAAGGGGCGTGGGGTCGACGTCGTTGTTAGAGTGGATCTCGATACAGCGGGATTCGGCGAGCGAGGCGAGGGATTTCTCGACAAGGGAGACCATGTAGTCATTGGCGAGCTGCTGCGCGGCGATGGTATTATGTTCCTCGGCTGAGATCTCGAGGCCGTAGTAGGACGGATTCTTGTGCAGGCGTCGGAAGAAGAAGGTCCAGGTCAGGTAGTCGAGCGCGTCTTGCTTCGTTGCGATGGTTTCGGCGGAGACCTCGGCGCCGAGATGGTTGTCTAGCACATTGTGCAGAGACGATTCAACGGGAAAGCCGGTGTGCAGGAAGTGCTTGTAGAAGGCTTTCTTGGAGTCTTGCGTGAAGATGCGAGCGATTCCTGAGTCGTCGAACTGTGGACGGCCTGCTCGGCCCAGCATCTGCAGCACATCCGTCAGGTCCATGTCCTTGTAGCCTTCGGTCTTGGCGTCGAAGAACTGCGTGCCCTTCACCACGACCAAGTGGGCTGGCAGATTGACACCCCATGCAAGCGTGCTGGTTGCGACGAGAACCTGTATCTTATTGTTGGCGAAGAGCTCTTCCGCTAGCTGACGGTCAGACTCCACAAGACCAGCGTGATGCAGCCCGATACCGAAGCTCAACGCCTCACGCAGTGCCTCATCCTTGACGCGCGAGATATTGAGACTAAGGTCCTCTTCGGACATCTTGACGAACCGGCGGGGGTTGTCTTCCATGCCGCAGAAGTTGATCAGATCCTTTGCAGTAAGCCGAGTCTGCCGACGGGATGCTACGAACACGATGACCGGCTTTGTCGGAGAATGCGACTTGATCGCCAGGAAGGTGGGCCGATTCATAGATTGCATCAAAGGACAGAAACCTCGCTGCTCGGGAAACCCATCGATGAAGATCTCAAGAGGAACTGGTCGGACTGAGTGCCGGAAGTTGAACAGACCTTCCTTGACACCGAGCCAGTTGCCCAGATCCGTGGCATTGGCGCAGGCTGTAGACATACCGACAAGCCGGACGGAGCCTTTCTTTTGTGACGCAATATAATTCATCCGCGAGACGATGATCTCTAGAATAGGTCCTCGGTCGCCACCCAGCAGATGAATCTCGTCGATGATCACCAAACTCACTTGACGAACATAGCCACGCGTCTGCCAGCTACGGCTGATACCGTCCCACTTCTCTGGCGTCGTGATGATGATGTCTGCATCTCGAATTGTCCTCGTATCAGGCGTGTTGTCACCAGTCAGCTCGACGAGCTTGAGACCCATTGGTCCTGTGAGCCGGCGGCCCCAGTCCTGGACTCTTTCTCGAACGAGCGCCTTCATTGGGGCGATGTACACAACTTTTGACCCGGGGTTCTCGCGAAAAGCCCACCACATCGCTAGCTCTGCCGCGACTGTCTTGCCACTGCCCGTAGGCGAGCCAAGCAGGACATTAGCGGAGGTGTGGTACATGCAGTGGAAGATCTGTGTCTGCATAGGGTTGAAGAACTGGAAGCGCTGCCCGTAGATTTCTTCCAACAAGGGGTTCTTGAGGGCTGTTATCGGGAGTGGCTGTAGGTTGAGTAGGTCGGTGTAGACGCTCTCGGTATCTGGCCTGATGAGATGCTGAAATGAGACTGGGGTAACAGTCTCTGCTCCGAGCCATCGATCTGATACTGCGCGGACGTAGATCTGCGAAGGTAGGGGATCGGATAAGGGAATAGTGAAGTTCAGCTCGTGTTCGTCGTAAAGCTTCTTGCGTGATAGGATGAAGTACTCGTGGTGATAAATTTCTGATGTTTCCGAGTTCTCCACCCATATCCAGTATGATTCAGATGTCCCATGATGGCGGTCATTCCAGCGGAAGTCAGGGGTGATGTAGAGCTTTATCCGCAACACATCGCGATTGAGAGGTGCTATTTCGGCTTCGACGGTCAGAGTAGGGAAGTTGTCAAGCAGCTTCGATATTGTGTGGCCTATGTGGTTGTTGTGCACGAGCTGTCCGATTTCCGCCGGCTCCATGTCTCGCAACGACTCAATGGAAGATACAGCGCTCTTGTCGTCAAGGTTCCGCAGTACCGGATTCGGAAGATCGAATTGATGGAACGGATGCTGGTACGGCCAGACCTGCCGTTCAATAGATTTGCACAAGGAGAGCAGGACCAGGCACTGGTAACCCCATCGCCTATTGAGTGCTATCATGAACAGAGCTCTGCATATCCGCGTTGCGTTCTGCGCGACGTATGCTGTGTCGGATACCAATGTATAGTCCTCGAGTCGGGCCCTGGAGATGTGCGATTGTAGTAGAATGTTCGTTTTGCCGCGCGGCGTCCCTAAGCCTCCTTCGACTTGGCATGGCGCTGCCTCATCCTTGAGTCTTAGGAGCTCCTTCTCTTCATTGTCTCTCGACTGTATATTGTCGAACTCTCCACTCATACTGATCATCTTCAGCACATCTGCTTCGGTTGCTTTTGGCCGCATCATCTCGTTGAAGACCTCAATACTGGTCTGTAAGACGTAGTACTGGCTTGCAATACGGCCAACATCCTTTGCGCGGAGCTCCTCGGTGGTCTCATTGAAGATGATCATCTGGCTCTTCTGCAGAACCCGGGCTGCGTCTATCACAAGCTTCCTCCGCCTCTGGACCAGCTGCGGGTCGTCTCGAATCTCGGCCCAGTCAATGCCGTACGAGAGAGGGTTCCGTTGCATCCGCACAAAGAGATACGAGTAGCCCACCCATTGAACGGCTTCGGGGACTGAAGTGACTGTGCCAAGCGAGATCTCTGCGTTAAGATTATCCACCAGTTTCTTCGAGAAATTGGACTCAATCGGCTGTTGTTGCGTAACAGCCGTGAGATAGTGCTGTAATTTGTCATGCGTAGTGCAAATGAAGCCGATACCGGTGTCCTGGAACTGGGGACGACCGGCGCGACCAAAGATCTGGAGAACGTCGAGAATCCCTACGTCGACAAACTTACCCTCTTGGGCGCTGTACAGTTGGGTTCCTTTGATAACGACTGCAGCAGCCGGCAAGTTCACACCCCAAGCCAGGGTAGCGGTACAGCAGAGAACTTTAATGACGCCATCCGCGAAGAGACGCTCGATGAGATTGCGATCTGACCGCGGCATACCGGCATGGTGAGTGCCCATGCCCTTTGGTAGGAGCTCTCTTAGCTCACGGCCCTTGGAGCTCTTCATATCTCGAACCGCGAGGTCATAGTTGGGATGCCCCTGAGGGTCGAAGAGGTCTGTGCATTGCTCTTCGACAGCCTTCTCGTACATTGTCTTCGCCGTCTTGAAGGTATCCTTCCTCGAGTGCACAAAAACCATGACCTGGTGTCCCTGTCGGAGCATATCGGTGACCTTCTCAAACGCAACCTGGTCAAGATTTTCCCTTGACTTCGCTGACCCTGGCTTGCCCTTGACACCGAGAAAATGTTGCTCTAGAGGGACCGGTCTGAAGGATGCATCGAAGTAGAATAAACCAGCCATACGGTTGACTTTGAGGAAATCGGCTACATCAATGTAATTTGGCAGAGTAGCCGAGAGACCTACTATGCGAATGAGCGACTGCGTGCTCTCCACTTGACGCTCTGTACGTGCGACGAGAGACTCCAGGACAGCGCCGCGCTCATCATGCAGCATGTGTACTTCGTCGATGATCAGCAGGCGCACCTTCTGCACGAGCTCGGTGTCGCCTGTGCTCTTACGCGTTACTACATCCCATTTCTCAGGAGTAGTAACTATGATCTGAGTCTGCGTGATTTCTGCCTTGGTGAGATGCATGTCTCCAGTCAGTTCTCGGACCTGGATCCCCAGCCAAGCCAGTCGTTTACCCAGCTTTTCTGTAATCTCAGCAGCTAAAGCTTTCATGGGGGCGACGTATACGATCTTGAAATCTTCCCTCATGACTACAAACTCTGTCGCCTCGGGTTCGTCGAGGGGACTAGGAACGATGTTCTTGCCGATTATGTTCAGTATGGCAAGCATGGCCGCGTCAGTTTTACCAGCACCAGTTGGCGCGCATATCAGCATGTTCTCGCTAGTCTTGTACGCAACTGGGAAGACAAGACTCTGCATGCGATTGAGGGTCTTGTATCCTCTGAAAGTCCTGCGGCAAAGACCGTCCATTTCTTGGATCTCAACCAGCTTCCGGCCTACACCGAGGGTCCCAACGCGGGCAGCGGGAATGGAATACTCCTCGTACTTCTCGTTCTCTGTGCGCTCGCTTCCAAGGGGCAACGCATACTTGCGGCCATGTGCAGAGAGTGTGTTACCAGCTTCATGCGATTTGTAGACATGCGGGTATTGGGGGCCAGTCCTGTCAACACTAGCAGCAAGAGAGGCGTGCTTGTGTTCATGGTCCTGTCGGCGGAGCGCTTCTTCTCGTTCCTGTCGCGTCTGAAGACGATCCAGGACACCCTTCTGCTGGCTTGAGGCGGTAGTAGCCTTTACGATATCCCTCCTGTGGCGGATAAAGTCGGCAACCAGGTCGAGCTCGCCGTACCCAAGAACATTCGCCAGCATCATCTGAAGCTCCTCGTCGTTGCTGTCTGAGGCTAAAACCGCCACCACCTGCTCTTGCAAGGCCTGGGCATCTAAGCCAGACCCACGCCGTGTAACGTCTACGCATTGCTGCTTGAGCCATTCCGGACTATACGGAGCGGCGTCTGTGGAAACCTCGCCGGCAGGAGCCTCGAAGCCGTCAAGATGATCGCTGCTGTAATCCTCTTCGTCAGCATCGCTTATCAGGTCCCAGATGTCATCGCCGCTGGTCGTTCCTGAGAGGTCGTCGTCGTCGATTTTGATATCCTCTCCGTAGAGCTGGGTGTCGCCGTTCTTCTGAGGCAGCTTGAGTTCCGCAATAGCCGCGCGCATCGCCGCCAACTGAACAAGCCATTCTGATTCAGCAGTTTCAACGGAGGGAGACATTCTGATTTCTTGTGCAGAAGTCGGTTCTTCGAAGACGTGAAACGTGGCCGGGCCTATTGATTCTAGAGAACACCCAGATGTTTCTTCGCAAGAGGTCTTTTGCCTCACTACTTCCAGTTGCGACTTTGTCGGTGATGACTCGCACATGCAAATCGCCTAAGCGTGAATTTGATATCGGAGCTTATCGATAAGTCCGCCAAGAATCGACAATGACATCGCCGCATTGAGGCTGACATTGAAGCCACCGCCTGTTCGTGTTTACCACGGTTCTCTATACCCTCCGCCTTCAGGCATCACTACCACTGTTATCCTTCACAGTCGATACTTCGCAACCTATACGTGTTCACGCCCTACAACAGAAGCGCTTCGTCTCCAGTCCTCTCTCTTTCGTAAACTCCCTCCACCGACCGCAACCATGAAGATCCTCTACATAGGCGTCCGTCCCTCCTTCCCCCCCTATATGCCTCTCGCCTAGCTAACGCTATGCCAGATTCTCAAGAACGAGCAAAAGCCCGCAGTAGAACTCGCCGCCGAGCGCGACCTCTCCAGCTACTCTCGCTTCACCCGCACAAGGTAGCCTCCTCCCAAGAACCTCGCCCACCCAACTCCAGCTAACGCTCCTGTGCCTTCCCCAGCGTCGGCGAATTCATGACTCTCTTCTCCAAGACCGTCGCTGAGCGCACCCGCCCCGGCCAACGGCAGGACGTGGAAGAGCAGTCCTACACCTTCCACGCCTACGCGCGCTCCGAGGGCGTCTGCGGCCTCATCATATCCGATCACGAGTACCCAGCGCTGGTCGCGCATCAGCTGCTGTCGAAGGTGGTCGATGAGTTCTTGACCAAGTATCCGCGGTCCACATTCGCGAACTCGGATGCGCAGCTCGCCTTTCCGCAGCTGAAAGAATACATTGTCAAGTACCAGGATCCGGCAGCGGCGGACAGTATTGTAGGTTTGCCCTGGGATGGCTAGAGGGAGAGGAAGGTGCTGACGTGATTGATCCCGCAGATGAAAATTCAGAAAGAGCTCGACGAGACGAAGATTGTGCTGCATAAGACCATAGAGAGCGTGCTGGAACGAGGGGAGAAGATAGACAGTCTAGTCGCAAAGAGTGACGGACTGAGCGCGCAAAGCAAGATGTTCTACACGCAGGCGAAGAAGCAGAACTCGTGTTGTGTTGTTATGGTGAGTTTGCCAGATACGTGTGGCTAGAGAGCCAACGTCGAAGCTGACTTGTGCCCAGTGATTTAGCGAGGTTGGATTCTGGAGCGGCGTTGCATGATGCATGCGATTTGTGATATATTCGTACATACCCGACACCTATGATTTGGTCGATACAGTCCTGCAGGGATTCGAGGCATACTTTATTTCTATCTTCCATGACATCTCGGCAACGATGGGCAGGTGCTCCGTGTTTGGAAAAGGCTTTCAATTCCCCTCACGCGCAGTACAGTCACCGCTCGTCCATACACCAGAGCCGTCGACCACCATCCTACCGCTACCCCTTTCTCGTATCTCTCAACACGTTCCTCAATTTCGACGAACCAGCCATAAACCATGAAACGCTACATCTCCAGTCATACATCGCTGCACTTCGTTGCATCCATGTTTCGGTCCATACTACGCCAGCTACCTCACCTCATAAGCTTTGCCCTCTCCCTCCTTTCAACCATCACACCGATACATAAAGTACTGCCACAGCACCTGAGAAGCCACTAAGGCGCATGCTTGCCGTGATCTATGCGCACGTGACATTCCATCCAAATATTACCGATGTTTTACCGAACAAAGGTCACGTGAGAAACGGCGATGTGCCAAGAGCTCATGAGCAGCAGCTGTGACTCGGAGCAAGCTGCTGTTCGACGACCTCGGGGTCAGGTTCAGTTTAAAGCCATGGCTCGCACCGAGGAAGCAGCAGCTTGGTTCGCAGCCGTCTACCGTGCCGTGCAAGAGATACCGCACGGAAGAGTCACGTCCTACGGTCACATTGCGCGATTGCTTGGGCGACGTACGTGCTTCTCTACGCCTGCCTTTCCCCTTCGTCCGTACTGCAAAATGACCTGAAGTTGACATGCCGGGCTGAACTTCCAGCTGAATGTCCACGGTACGGACTACCTTACTGCACGAGCGCAGCCAAAGTCAGAAGAGGAATGAGGCTGACAAGAGCCCAGACAAGTCGGCGTCTGTCTAAAACACCTACCTTCAGCAGCCAGCGGCAGCAGATGGCACGATGGCAACGTGCCGTGGCAACGCGTGATTAACGCCAAGGGCGGTATCAGCCCTAGGTCAGTGAGCTGAATGAGCCATCAGGCTGCTGCTTTCTTCTGGTCACGATGCTGATGAGACCCAGAGGTCCTGGAGGCGCCAGTGGGCAAGCGGCGGCTCTGCGCCAAGAGGGCGTGACTGTAGACGAGGGGAGCTTGGGGGAGTTCAGCGTGGATCTTCAGGCTTATGGATGGTTTCCGGACGTTCTCCCGAGCGAGGAAGGGGAGGACAGCGAGGAGGATGAATAGCTCGTTGCAGAGAGATGGAGATGGAACGGCCCGTGTCGCTTTGAGTGGTCGTGCTGGGAGCCTCGGAAGTTGTGCAGCCACAAGGATTGTGGCGCGTCGGAGCGCTTCGCCGGAGCTGGGAGTCACGATGAATGGGGTGACTCTCTTTGGTATGTCACCATGTGGTTGAAGCCTTGAAGGATGGTCGTTCCAAACAAAGAAGCAAGCTTTGGGCGTGGACAAGCGATCACCATCCGGGGACAGGGAAGTGCAGCAGTGAGATCAGCGGATCGGCGCCGGCGAACCCCCAGCCTCCGTCCCTTGTTCTTCGTGAGGACCAAGATGAATCCAGCATCATCCGGTCAGCAGGCAACCCTCCACCACGAGACGGAGTCCGGCTGTGCCTGGCAGCATGACACGCCCAGCTTATCGCGCGCAGGCCTCCAAGCAAGGCTTCACTAGATACCCCAATGACGCCGCCCGAAGATGTGGGGAGCTGGAGCTTCCGACCCGTTATCAGCGCCCCCAGCGGTACCTCAGACAACTCCCCCCAGCTCCCTTTGTCCTGCCCGACTATCGAGCTCGCTCTACATAACAAACCCCGCCTTTGTTGTTCACAGAAAGCCATAGACAAACGAAGTCTGCCCCCGCCGCAGCTTCCACTTCTCTAGAACCATCTGCCATTACCTGAGCTTGCCCGTTCCGGCGCCACTGCCTCATTTGCGTTGACTCGTATCTTAGTGACTCAGCAGCGGCCTGCTTCGACTCATCTCAGACGTTCACAGACGCATTACTTCAGCTGTTACTAGATCCTTCCTCCTTCTGTGCATCTTCTTGCCATTTCCTTCCGACCTACAGGCTCTTCTTCCATCTCTCATTCACCACCGACCGAACAGCTTCAGCCTTCACCTCCGTCTGCCAGCACAGCATCTCCACTCAGCTACTGGAGTGAGTTCTTCACGGGCTTCCCTTCCTCCTCACCATATTCTTCGGGAGCTTCCCGGCTCTCTTGTTCGTACAAAGAACTGCTACTGTCGTCTACAACCCTGTCCTGTGTTTCTGGCACTGACTCACAGCTAGCCTCACTCCAGCATCCTTAGCACAAACACCCAAGCCACCACGACCAAGCTACCGCCGTTCGACAACATGGCCTCCGAGCAGACCTTCTCCGCCCAAGACTTCCGCGCCGCCACCAAGGATTACAAGCGGGCGCACGACCAGAAGCACAAGTGGGCTCTCGGCCAGGTTATCGGCAACGGCCTCGCCAACCCTGAGGGCAAGATCAGGCCGTTGATGCCTCCAAGGTAAGCACGTCCAACAGGTGCATTCCCATCACTCCCTTGCGCGGGCCTAACACCCCTAAAGCGTAGCCACAACTGCAGCCCTCCGGTTCCGTAATGGCCGAGACCAGACACGCGCCCAGACCAAAGCTAAGACGGCTCAAACGCGCGACATCCTGAGCGAGCAGAGCGAGTCGTCCGCAGACGAATCCATCGACGAGCCATCTGCGGCTCCCGAGCCGGACGCGGGCATCACTTATTCCTTCGATGCGCCCCAGGGGCCCAGCCAGGGTAGCCAGATCTTGACGCTAGCCATCGCGCAGGCTGTGGAGCGCTTCGAGTCTAAGCAGACGGACAAGCTCATCAAAGAGGAGTATGAGGTTCTGGACGAGGAGGGCGCGTCGAACCCACGCGCTTTGGGTCGGAAGCGCCACGTGTCTCCCTCTGGCGGCGAGGAAGCTGATGTAGAAGCTGATGACTTCGTCGTTCTCTGAGCGAACACGAACACTTGCTACAACGGTCTCGCGTCTGGGCTTTAGGGGTTCTGGATCCGGATTTGGTATTTAGTCTTCGGCGTTGGCATGACTACATGGTACCTTCACCTGGCGGGCATTGGCTTTCATTCTATGATACCTTGGGTAGGCAGCATCAGGAGAGGAGCATCGGCGCTTCTTGAGGACCTGAGCAGCATCGGTCTTCTAATCACTTTGGGATATTGGTTTAGTGGGCACCTTGTATTCACTCGCAGTCCATAGCTCGCGGCCTTCAGCACGGGCAGTACAGAACTTACGAAACTGCACGGTACCTCGTTTGACAAGTGATGATTGTCGTGGTTGCCCTTCATACTACGAAGTACCTACGTACTGAACCGTGGCTGAGCAGCTGGTGATCTCTTGGGTTGGCTCTTGGCCCTTCGTCATGCTGCAGAGAAACAAGGAGATCACCTCCCGTACGTAAAACACCAAGCCTCCGACATTCTCCACCTGCGCCCATTGAACGACCACAACCTGCTGGTTTGTATTTTCTGATAGCGTTCTCGTAGTTCTCATACAGCTGCTGCTTGATCTGAGCGCCCACGTTACACGCTCAAGCACACAGGGAATTCCTCTCGCCACCGGAGTGCAGCTCTCGACCGCACCACATCCCGCGCACAATCTTTACTACACTCCACCAACACCCCACCAAGACTACACCATGGCTCGCCCACGATGGATGCTCCACGTTCAAGCCCAATTCTGGCGCACCCTCATGGGTATCGGCATGATGCTGCACCGCTTCGCACCTCCGCGGCCCCCCAAGCCCAGCTTCACCCGCACCGTCACCACCACCATCTCGCCACGGCGCGGCCAGTTTACGATGCAATTCTACGTCCCGCGCGACTACGACGTTCAGCGCCGGCTGGGCCGCGGCCGGAAATACCCTGTAGTTGTGAACTTCCACGGCGGCGGCTTCACACTGGGGACTGCGACGGATGACGCTCGATGGTGCAAGACGGTCGTCGACGAGGTGGGCGCGGTGGTCGTCAGTGTGGATTATAGGCTCGCGCCTGAGCACCCATTCCCTACGGCTGTGGAGGACGGCGTGGATGCGATACTGTACCTCGCCCAGCGCGCGGACGAGCTCTACATCGACCTCGAGCGCATCGCCGTCAGCGGCTTCAGCTCCGGCGGAAACATGTCGCTGACGGTGCCGCTGCGGCTGCAGCAGGAGACGATCACCGAAGACTATCTCGGGCGGCACTTTTTGACCAACAGCAGCGGGGAGAGCAGCGGGTCCTCGAAAGCCGGTCTCAGTGCGCCTGATGGGCCCGCCCCGCAACAAACCCGGCCCATGCTCCAGAAAGCCTTTTCCGCCGGCCGCACCCTCGTCTCGGTCAGCCGCGAAATCCGCATCAAGGCCATCTGCGCCTGGTATCCGTCCACAGACTTCACCAACACCCGCGAGCAGCGCCGCATGACGTGTTCCCGCAAAGACCAGGAACTTCCCGCCGTCTTCACCGACCTGTTCGACGCATCATACCTCCAGCCGCCGACGATGGACATGTCGAACCCGTACCTCTCGCCCGGCGTCGCCCCACACGAGATGCTGATGGGCCTGCCAGACGACATCATCCTGTTCACGTGCGAGTGGGACATGTTGCTCGCGGAGGGAGAGCGGCTGAGGGATAGGCTGCGGGACGAGTGCGGAAAGAACGTGGTCTATCAGATGGTGCCTGGCGTGCCGCATGCGTGGGACAAGGCGCCGAATCCGCTGAAGCCGACGCCGGGCGTGCAGCAGCATTATTTGAGGGCGTGTGGGGAGCTGAGGAGGGTGTTTAAGGTGGCGCCAGTGCCGGGAAGTGTGAGTGCAGGAGCGGGCAGGAGGAAGAGTATTGTGAGATAAGCGAGGTTGGCATTAGATAGAGTCTGTAAAAGAAGTTGGAGCTAGATTCGATTGAAGGAGCGGGGGCGTTTGGCGTAGAAATGGGGTGTTTCTGAGGGGTGCGTGTGATGTCTCGCTGCTATATTGAACAGCTAGCATACCGAACTTAAGCTCATTCCAAGCGACCAACATGATGTGCAAAGCACGGCACAATACACAATCTCTACAACAAGCACATGAGATCAGTACCACAGGACGTGGTGTTCACAGCCTTCGAGCTGTTAGGAACATGTTTCACGCAAAGAAGGCGCTTTCTCGCTTTAATATCTCCAGCGGACTATTTCACCAGACATGCTCCGCCATCGCTAAAGGCGGAGGCTCCCCGAATCCGTAGAAGCCCTTGAGCCCCGGCAGCGGCCTCCGATGCCACGTCCTCGCGAACCGCTTCGCCTCCGTCTCCGTCTCGAAAGAAACAAGCCACCTACTCGCCACGTATTGAGGCCGGGTGGTCTCCAGCGTCTGCTCCTCCTTCTCCCTACCCTCCTCGAGCACACTCAGCGCGTCCTTCGCCCGCCCCTCATCGCGTCCACCCGCCGCGTCCCTCCCACCCCTCCTTGGCCTCTCCACCTTCACAACCCCCCCATTCGGCCCCTTGAGCGCCCACCCCACGCCCCTCTCCTTCAAATCCGCGGCAATGAGCCCGCGTATCGCCTGCGTGGTGGGCGCATTACTCGTGCCCTCACAATGCAGCAGCACCCTATGCTCCTGGCCGTCCGCCCAGGGCAGCGTGCGATCGACGCCGCCGTCCTCGATCAGCCGGCGCAGCGGCGCGGGGTACGGCTCGGGAATCATGCGCAGGTCGAGGGTCTGCGAGGGCGGCACGAGCGCGAAGGACTGCAGCAGCGCGTGCATGTCCTGGCCGTCGGGGGAGTAGCCGGGGGGAGGCGGGATGGGCGAGAAGAGAGAGGTTGGGACGTGCGTTTTGGACAGCCGGTGCGCGTAGGCGACGTGTTCTTGGAAGGCGTGCGCGGAGGCCGGGGTGGAGAAGAGGAGCGTGTAGCGGTCTGTGCGCTCGAGGGTGTCGGGGTCGCGGTGGGGGATTACTGGGGAGGGGGTTGTTAGTGTCTGTACACGGCGTTGTGGATAGAAACCACGGGATTTGTGGAGCGCACACACCTTTCAGGATGTCGCCCTCCCCGGCCCATTCCTCGATATGCTTGCCCTTCGGTATCATACGCCGGAAATCGGCCTCCGCGAGCGACTTACTTGCGCCGCGCAGGACGAGCACGGTCCAGCGTGATTCTCGGCCCGCCTTCAGTGCTTCGATCATGCGCTGCCGCGCTGATTTCTGCTTAGGTGGCTCTGGGGCGTCGGTGTCGTGGGGATCGAGTACTAGGCGTGGGATGATTCTGTGTTCGTCGGGTGGAGGTGCGGGTTGCTGCTTCCTGGCTTCCTCGGGGAATAGCTCCTGTAGGAGAGAATATGTTTCTTGCGCAGAGTTTGGCTGGACGGGCGGAGGCTCTACAGACGGTGATTGAGTGTTCTCCAGTTTGACGAATGTAGACTGAAGATTAACAAGCTGAGTAGATTCTGCCTGAGTTGGCCCTGTTTGAGTGGCCCTTGTCCGGGCGGTCGTTGCCTGAGCAGACCTTGTCTTGGGGAGTATGGCTCTAGTAGACCTCGTCCGAGGCTTCTCCGATTGAGAGACCGTAGCCTGAGAGGGGGTTACTTTGAGAGACTCCGGTTGAGGGGACAAAGCCCGGGAAAACGCTCGTTTGGGTAACGCTGACTCAGTAGCCTTCAGCTGAGTGGACTGTCCCTGAGTGTTCTCCGAGTGGACAGCCTCCGAACGGGATACCTTGAACTGGATAGATTTCGGCTGAGCTGATTTGGGACGAATGGAACCTGCCCGACTTTTTCGTGGCTGATGAGACTCTTCTTGCATTGACTCTGGCTGAGTAGTCTTTGGCTGGACAGTGCTCGGCTGGGCAGCCTCGGGCTTCGCGGGACTAATCTTGGTGACATCGGTCTCTAGTTCGAAAGTCGACTCTCCTAAAGAATCAGATTCTTCCAGCATAAGTGAGCTGTGACTCGGTTCGGCCTCGTTAATGCTCTGACCTGAGAGGATCAACCTCCTAACCGCGTGGGAATTGGTCGTTGTCCGGTCAGCTGAAGATGGGACTGGATTCGCCTTAGCAATACCCCAAGCGCCTCTAGGCAGCTGGTCGGCCTCTCCGGGGGTCGCCGCTGTCTTCCCAGGCTTGTTCGCGCGCGTAGATGGGATTCTCTTGTTGATGCGCAGAGTCCTTGGAGAGGATTGCTCAGCCCGGCCAGATGATACCTCTGACCCTTTCTTCTCATTTGCGTGTACAATTGAAGTTCTTCTAGTATTGGCCGAAACCCCTATAGGCGACCGGTCGTTCGCTATAGGAGTTGTGGCTGTCTCTTGAGACTTGCTTGAAGGCAGTGCTGATATGCTCTTGCTAATGCCCCAAGCCGTCAAAGGCAGCTGTTCAGTCCTGACTGGAGCCGTGCTCGCCCCTTCACTTGTAGATGCACGCGAAGATGGTCTTATCCGCGCGGCGCTCCGAGCTCTTAAACGCGGCCCGATAGTCCCCCTAGACCGCACGTATTCCTCTCGTGCCTTGCTCCTATCCGTAACCTTGTTCGACAGCTTCTCTGACGGCTTCGCACCGCCCGAGTCTCCGTCCCCCCTTTCCCCTATACCCCAAAGATGCTTGAACGAAGCATTCTTCGGGATCATCTTTCCATCTTTAATCCACCCTTTCTTGAACCTAACCTGAGTCTTCGGTGCATTCCCCTCCGCGCTGCCATCATGCCCCTGAGGTTTTCCAGCGTCCCCTACTTGTTGTGGAGCTGTTGGGTGCAGCGGGCGAGGGATCTCTTCCGTGGGCTTTGGGACATCCTGCGCTGGGCTGTTATCGGGCGCTACAGATTTCCAGACATTCTTGAAGCGCGGAGGGCGCCACGCGGTACCCAGGTAACGCGGATCGAGGCGCCGCGGCATCAATTGAAGGCGGTGGACGGGGCTGGGTGCTGCATCTCAACTGCGGTGCGGTTGCTTTGAAGCTTGGCCGCTCAGAAACCGCAGCGGAGCTCGGGATTAGTCAGCGGCCAACTCCGCAAACGGCGCTGAACCTCTCGTCCCCAGCTCCTTCAGCGCTTTCGACTCTACTCTGGTTGTGCTTGTCACCCTTGACCTGGAAACTGCTTAATTGAGCTCTCAACCGGGCGTCGCAGCCCATCGTGCATCTTGTTATCTGGTTACGTCCGCTCCTTTCGACTAGAGCATCTTACGACCAAGATAGTAATTTTCCTCGACCGCAAAACCTTTATGCCAAGACCAGGCAAATCCCGATGTATAAATCGATAGTTTCCCCGAGGCCGCCAACTCGGGCAAAGTCGCGCTCCTACATACTAAACCCAGGATGACTCAACAGCTCCAGTTCGGCCTCCGGCCACCACAGCAGCGCCCCACGGAGCCGACGCTCGAGGGCGCCTTCCGGGTCCAAATCGCGCCCAACGATCTCAAGGCCCTAGGACTCCAGCAAGGCGACCCCATCCGGCTGGCGACTGTCACTGAAGGCGGACCTAGCAAGCTGGGGCTCGGTTCAGCATTTCTAGCAGCGACACCGAACGCCGGCAGTGGCGCGAAGAGATATGTGCAGGTTACGGACACGTTTAAGGAGACTTATGGGTTTACGCTCGAGGATCGGGTGACGATTAGGAAGGCACTGGATACGCTGCAGCAGGCGCGGGTAGTGCATTTGAAAGAGGTAGTGCAGGGTGTGTTGCCGGCAGATGCGGAGAGCTACGAGGACCTGGACGTTCCGATACGATATACATTAGGTGAGCAGTCTAGACAAATCCGGGCGTATTATTACTGAACATAGCAGGGAAAACAAAGTTTCTGGTTGTGGGCGGCGCCTTCGAAGTCGTCCCACCAGACGGCGACAAAAAAGGCCGCAAAAGACGTTTCGTTATAGAGAGGATCGAGCCGCCTCTCGACACGAGTCAGCCATACGAGTTTACTTTCAAGACCAAAGTCCATATCGCGGGCAGTAGGCCGGTTGTAGTTGCTCCAACCGCACCCAGTTTTCTTTCGATCAACTCAGACGGCATAGGCGGTCTCCATGAGCAGATCAGCCAGATCAACTACATACTTAGAAGATTTAACAATAGCTCTCGGCTCCCGCCCAGTCTACGCGGAAGCCGCGGTATACTTCTCCACGGTCCATCCGGAACGGGCAAAAGCATGCTACTAGAGAAGCTGAAGGCAGCGGGCTGGCGAAAGGTGTTCGAAATCGGGGAGGCGACTCGCGGCCACGCAGGGCAGAACCAGTCTGCGATTCGCAAGATCTTCGAAGATGCCGCGGCAAGCGCACCAAGTATTATCGTTATTGACCAGTTGGACATTCTGGTCGGGAAGGATGAGCATGGCAATTCTGCTAATCCTGGCCTTGCGCAGCTGCTACGAGCTGGAATTGAAGGTCTGAGGCGATCGCAAATCCTGGTTGTGGCGAGCGCCCGGAGTCTTGGCCACATTGATGGGACTCTGCGAACGTCGAGGACATTCAAACACGAGATAGAGACACCTGTACCGTACGCTAAGGCGCGTGTGGAGATCCTGAAGATACTGCAAGACAAAGATCCCTCTTTACCACACGCGGTATCCGAGGCTGTAGGCGAGCGAACGCATGGGTTCGTAGGCCAGGACCTTGAAGTCCTCTGTGAGGACGCTTTGGAGCGGGCCTACGACCGCCACTTCGATCAAGACGACTTCGTCCACGTCGAGCAAGTAGACGACCCAAACAATGACCAGGCCGAAAACGGCGTTACGGAGACTCCGGTTCCCGCACCTTCTGGCACGGAGCTAGTTCTTGAAGCATCGCTCGACGATTTCGAGCAGGCTCTCCGCACCGTCCGTCCGACAGCTATGAAAGAAGTCTTCCTCGAACCCCCCAAAGTCCGCTGGAGCGAGATCGCCGGCTCCGAACACGTGAAGCAAGCGCTCTTCGAAGTCGCGGAGCTGCCCTACAAGGTAAGTCCCCTTCCACTGTCACCCCTAGCCCTCAACAGCCCAAGCATTAATGACACTAACACGATCAAGCGCCCGGACCTCATGGAGTACGCTCAAATACAGCCCTCCCGCGGGCTGCTACTCTACGGCCCCCCAGGCTGCAGCAAAACCCTCTGCGCGCGCGCCGCAGCCACCGAGTCCGACCTGAATTTCTTCGCCGTGAAAGGCGCAGAGCTAACCTCCATGTGGGTCGGCGAGACGGAGCGCGCTCTGCGCGAAGTATTCCGCAAAGCCCGCGCAGCCTCCCCCAGCATCATCTTCTTCGACGAGATCGACGCCATCGCCGGCGCCCGCCGCGGTGGCGCCTCGAACGGGCTGAACGTCCTCACCACGTTGTTGAACGAGATGGACGGCATCGAGAGCAAGCAGGGCGTGCTGGTGCTGGCTGCGACGAACAAGCCTGAGATGCTGGACGCGGCGCTCATGCGCCCTGGAAGGTTCGACGCAATGCTGTATGTCGGCCCGCCGAACGAGGCGGCGAGGAGGCAAATTCTCCAGATGAAGACGGCCAGGCGACCGGTCGTGGAGGGTCTGGATCTGGAGGAGCTCGCGAGAGTCACCGAGGGCTATTCAGGCGCGGAGATGGTTGAGATCTGTAACGAGGCTGCGAAGGCGATGGTGAGGGATGGCTTGGAGAAGGGCAGATGGGAGAGGATTGGGAGAGGGCATTTTGAGAGAGCGATGGAGCACATCGTGAGAGGCATCACGCCGGAGATGCAGGAGAGATATCAGAGGTGGGCGAAGGAGCGTTCGGCTGTTACGAGCTCATAGAACCATTTGAACTCGTCTCCCGTACTCTTCTATGTGCCTTCATCGCCTGATACACTTCCGGCAGTGCTTTTCAGGTCGATGGATGGATACAGTCGGCATATACGGCTATGCACTCTTTGCCAGGAGAATCGTACCAAGAATGCGCTTTCCTCGCTTCGGTCGTGCTCCTAGAAACCTAAGGGCTGGGAACCGCGTCCCTCAGCCGCCCGCCGATCGCGGCCCAACCCCTTCGCCCCCTTCCCCTCATCGTTCTATTCATCCATCTGCCACTCATAGTTCAGCCTCTCCAAATTAGCCCTCCGATTCCTCGCCCCAAACCACTCCTTCTCAAACCCATTCCCCCGATCCACCCCATCCCACCTATACCCTGGCCTGATACCATACCTATTCGGCGCCGCCGCACCTTTATACGCCGGCTTACCCCCCGCCCCCCTCCCCTCCTTCTTCGCACTTATAAACTGCGCCGCAGGATCATTCCACCGGTCCCGCTCCCTCAGCTCCTCATTTATCTCCACATCGTCCGCCCGCCGCGCCAACGGCATGTATTTCGCATCCTGAAGCTGCTGTCGCCGCGCAGCCTGCTCACGGCGCTGGACGTCGCCTTTGGCTTCTTCGGCCTGCTCAGCTGCCTTCTTGGCCTCGGCGTCCGCTTTGGCACGGGCCTCGGCTCGCTTCATGGCGACATTTATGATGCGCCCGGAGGCATCGCGGTAGATCGTTTCACGCGCTTTGCTACTCGCTCCTCCCCCATCGTCACCAAGACTCTGGAGACTCGCCATCTCGGCCTCCTTCTTGCGGCGCATTTGCGCGGCGATCTGCTCGGCGGTCTGCAGGCCTGCGTGAGCGCCGCTTTCCATCCTGGCCACGCTATCGCCGTCGTCGGCGTTCTCGATTACGGGGGCGTCTTCTGCGGCTTGCGCGAAGGCGGCGCGGTCGGCGGCTGCGGAGGCGATGATTGCGTCGGCGGCGGCTTGGTCGGCGTTTGTGGGGGCGGCGCTGCCGACGGGCTTCCAGGCGTTTTGCTTGGATTTGCGGAAGGAGGCTGTGTGGCCGGCTGGGGGGGAGATGGTTAGCTTAGATACTCGGCTTTGGGGCGCGAGCTGGGGAGGGCGGAGAGGGTATGTCAGAGTAAGGGAGGTACAAGGAGAGTAAGAAGAAAGAGAGACACACCCATAGTAGGCCCCTCGTCCTCATCTCTGCTGCTAGCATTGGTGCTTGTGTTCCAGCCTGGAGTGTCGTCGTCTGCGATAATGAGGCCGGCGGAGGGGTCTGCCGTGCCTTTCCGCTTGCGCTTTTTAGACCGCTTCTCGGAGGGCGCGTCGGCGGTTAGGTAGTTCTTTGCTAGGTAATCGGCGAGTGACATTGCTGGGGTATATGGTCGCTGTGGGGTATAGGTGAGAGCTGCAAGGACGGTAGTCGCAATTGGGCCGAAGTGCGCCCGAATCATGGTCTCGCTATCACGTGCACGACGTGTGAGTTTCCAGGCCTAAATCTCTAGAAGCATTCAGAGGCACCGACGTCAACACCAAGCTGTACCCGTCCCCGGGAGCGCTGGACACACGCCGGATGCTTCAGCCTGGAGATGCCCCCGGTGTCTCGTGCGCTGAGCGGCAGGTGTGTTGTGCAGTGCCTTACCGGCGTCTCCCACTGCAGGCACAAGGGGCATTTGGTTCGTCATCTCGAAGCCCACAGGGAGACATTCGCAACCCAGTGCAAGAACAGGCGAGACTCTCACAGTTAGATGTCATCCAGATCCTGGGCACTGGAGGTGCTGGTTGGTTAAGGGAACGGCACTAGGAGATTTGGCGAGATTGAGGATGCCAAACCTCCACACAACATGAAACACCGCAGGTCAGATCGATGCATGAACCACCAAGCAACGCAAGCCCCAAGACGCTTGTCGGCATCAACTTCAGACTGTGCTACGGCTTCCGGGATGCAAATTTCCAGGTAGGACCTTGAGTACCAATGCCTCCGAGGTGGCCTAAGCCTTGATGTTATTGCAAATCTCTCAGACTATCAATCCGCTGTGGCTCCACGTATCCGCAGGACGGTGATCTACGGCGTTTCATTTTGTTTCAACGGTTGTTGTGCGTTTTCGCATTCCGTCCGAGTTTTCTATTCCTCACTTCCGCAAGCCGGGTGCTGCGACTTCCCATTCTAACTTCGACTGTCTGTTTGTCGAACCTCTGTCTTCTTTCACTCTTTCCTTCAAGTCTAGTCATTCACTCCTTGAGCTCTCTGGAGAGCCGTCCTATCCTTACCTTCGTTTCATCACATTCTTTCAACACTGTATAACCATTCTCCGCATTGCTTGCTATAACGACCAGATTTGCACACGAATCACCATGGCCAAAACACTTTACAGGTCAAAATCTTTACGATTCAGGAGGCGGCGAGATCAGTCCCCGCAAGAGAACGATATCTCCTCGCCATGCCTAGTCGCAACAGATGCAGCACCTCGACACGATCTTTACGACATAAAAACTGCTGCTTTGACAATGCACCCAATCAGCCCATCCGATGCAGCCGGATATGAGCAGCGTCCAAGAACCGCAGGCGGAGATTCAGCACGAAGCAAGCTCTTGCGTTCAGTTACGACGCCGGTTGCTCACGGACCCAGAGATACCACCTTGGAGCTTCCTTCGCTGTCATCAAAGACAATCATCTGCAGTGCAAAAGTTCAAGGGAGAACTATCGGCATGGCGCTTCGCAAAGCTGAGCAAGCCGCGCCGTGGGATCAGGACAACATCGTTGACTGGAAACCGCCGAATGGCAGCACATGCACCCTAGTCACCAGTATATCTTCAGGATCCAACACGACCACTACCCAGCATGACGAACAAAAGCCCAAGATTAGCCGGTGGAAGTCGATGTTTGGGAGGAAGCCATCGCGTACGCCTCAGCAGTCTCCGCCGTACAAGCTCCAGGCTGCAAAACAGACAAGGAAGAGATCGACGACCACGCCCGTGACATCGCGGCCAGCAGTCTCGGCCTCAAAAGCGGACGCCACCTGTAGTTCTAAACCGGATAAAAACCTGAGTTCTTGTAGTGGGAATACCTCTCCTGTTGGACTAGGTGTACCAGCGGTAACGTTGTCACCGGAATCTGAGACTAAGCTCGACGATCAACGGCCAGCGGGACGTATGCTCGACATCGAAATTCCCAACATCCAGATGGAGAGGTATAGCGTCATGTTCGGCACCGTCTTACAGCCAGCGCACCCCCCCGTCCCTCAGTCGTTGCTGGTTCGACGTCAGGGGAATACAGACAGACTGAAGCCGCTCAACGAGTTGAAGGTATGCCTCTCCTCCCTTAGTAGGTGAGACGTTTCCGAGGCTGATGTGGACATCCTTAGGTTAAGCCAGCAAACGAGCTCCTGCGTCCGCAGCGCAGAGCATCGTCCCCTTCGCTTGCTCGCTCGCCCTCTTTCTCGCTTTTCCCCGCTGTGGACAGCCGCGCCTCCCCCACACACCGGCCCAAGCATTTGCAGCGGTCTCAGACGGCGCCTGGAGCGCTATCACCGAACCGCGCTGTGTTCCAGACTTCCAACGAGGCCGTAGCATCCGAGATGCAAAACTCTCAAAGTACTAACTCGGAGGTTCTTGTCGCAACACCAACTACCACCGGCACGATCGACGTCTACGCAGACTACTGTCTAACGCCCCTTTCCATCTCGGTTGGCGAAGATCCTAGCTATCATCGTGACTCGGAAGACTCTAGGTATGAGACGGATCTTCGGCCACCTCCACTTCTCATATCGAAACCACCGCCGTCTCCGGCATCCCCCGCCTCTCCCACCGCGCAGGTGTCGATAGCGCGGAAGGTGTCGGTCACGCGGCCTCGCGCTGATAGCCTTAGACCTATGCCAATTATTCGTATGGGTTCTGGACGTGTCGCTGGTCGAAAGCCGCGCACTCCCACATTGGTAGAGCCGCTTAAGAGGATCAGTCAGAGGGTGGAGGTCGAGAGTGCGTAGTACTAGCAATTTGGCGTTTCGGGGATAGTTGGAGACTTAGGCCAGGATGCCGATGTAGACGGTTTGGAGGAGGATATACCCTGTATCTAAGCGTCTGTATGGAATAGATGAAGTGGTGTTTTATGAAATGATTTTAGCAGTTCCTGGCCAATCACCACCCGCGGACATGAGAAGGGGAGCGTGGGGGAGCTAGCACCTTCCTGTCTCGGGCTTTTCAGCAGTTGCGTGTATAGCACACGTGCAGTTAAGACAGTGGCTGATGTGCACAGGGTATTTTGTACTTAAGCTCGTCTGGTCCACTCTCAGGAGGTCCGTCGGAGATCTTACAATTTCACCTTCGGGATTCTCGCCTCAGGCAACAAACAGGAAGCGGGTGTCGGGGATCCGCCTTCTCCAAGCAACCTCCAGGTGCTCCCTCCATTCGACAACGACAGCAGAGCAATACTATGCCTCTCCTCGCGGTCGTCGGATTCAGACGATGGAGCGTGGTAAATCGCGCATTTCCTCTGACATTAATAGTCCCAATTGAGCGCTTTTCAGTCGGGACAATGAGCGGCAGTTAAAACAGTCACCGAAACCGTTTACACAGCCGCGCGACTGCAGTGCTCTCTACATAAAGCACGCGCATATACACGCTGTGATTGGCAGCCTTGAACATCAGGTAGGGTTCAGCGCGCATGTCGAGGTAGGTCTTGAAGGCGTATTGCCAAAAGCGTCTCCGGCCTCAGCTTGGCTATGGAGGCTGAGCCGCCCGCAGCCTTATCCTGGGAGGGGCTCTGTTTTCCGTCTTCTCTCCTTCTTCTGCTGTGCATCTTTTGCTTCATGCGAACTAAGGTGCGGGCTTTCTACCAGTAGTTAAGCCAAGCTCAGTGTTGGGTTGTTCATCACCGCAGCGGGGGAATACAAGTGTAACGGACCTTGTTACTGGCAGTAAAAGATGTCAGACTTAGAGGTAAGGCGCTCGTCACACCCTGTACTCTCACAGCTTGTCAGAGCTTCTCAAGCTGCACGATGTTTCGCTCTTGTCTTCCGTATGGTGCTTGTGGCCACCCCATGCGCTCGTTCTTAGCCGAAAGCTAACATGCGTTCCTTTATCCAGGTTGTTGCCGCAGTATCGGCCATTGTCTCAGCCTTCCATGGAGGATACGAATTGATCAACCGCATCAAGGGGAGGAGAAAGGGCAAAAGAAAAGCAGCACAGGCGTCGAAAGAGGAGAATTTACAGGAGTCTCTCCAGGAGGGCGAGAGTACGGTTCGAAAGCGCTTTGACGACGGTTGTCAACAGCTCGGCGTGCCGTTTATGACCGGTGACGGTGAGAATTCTCGTCGCACATCCTTTCTTCTAGCATTGGCGGTCTGGCTGACACACCTCAGACATTGCTCGGGAACGCCTATATCACATCGCGGTCGTGATGCAAGCAGAGATCATCCGGAGCTTGCAGCTCGCTGCGGAGTTCCAGAACATCATGGTCAACCTAACAGTCCTGCGAGACGCCTCCGTTCTCAACCGCCAAGATACACTCAACACACTCGGGGAGCTTCGGCAACGCATCCTTGAGAGCTTGCCCGTCGAGCGCCCTTTCGCTGTCAGTTTACAACTACCTCGTATGCGAAGGGCACCATCGCCTGAATCGATCCAGATGCGAAGGGAACCGTTGATGGAATCGATCCGGACATTCATGACCGCGCAGATCGCGCCGGACTACATTCCTCCAGCTATCACCATAACCGCAGCGCCAGACACAAGAAGCGAAAGCGGGATCACTCGTTTCCTATCGAGCAGGCGTGCAGCTACCTCAAGGAATGCTTTGCCGAACGCTCCAACCCAGCTATATTTCGCATCAACTTTCGAACATCTCCGTTCAATCTTCCAGCAGCAGGAACCCAGCTTCGAAGAACCAGTCTTCCGCCAGCTTGGGCGACTGCAGATCGAGAATGAACCACAAGGCTGGGCCGGAGCCCCATGGAACGCCTCAATCTCAACAGGTAGTGCAGAGTCGAATCTCTCCTACAGTGGTGCGTCCGTCAGCAGCGTTGAGACTCTCAGCACTCCATCTCTACGAAGCAGCAGCACACCGTCGACGTCAGGGATCAGTACTGCCACCAGCCCTGATGGATTGCCTCCGGGCCTTCCGGTTTCCGTCCAGCTCCAGAGACCTACCTACTCCCGCCCTCCGCCCCTGACCCAATCCATAAGTTGGTCACAGCCGAACCAATCCCACCAACCACGCCCCTGCAAGAAAAATAACTACTGGGGCTTCTGCAAAGGTGCCTGGGCGACGCGCGTGTCTCCCAACGAAGGTCTGACCATCAAGAACCGCCTGGAAGGCTATAGCGCGCGAGCACCCCCCTTCGACTTCGCCATGGAGAAAAAGCCAGAAAGATACTACGGCCAGTCGTCGTTCCTGAAGTGCAGGTACTGCGAGTTCCACAGCGCCTCTTACAAGCGGACGTTAAGGAGCGTCGATCCAACCGTGCAGACCTCCCCCTGCGGCATCCGCTACCGTTGGATCTTCCTGGCCAAGAGTCACATCAAGGCGAGCAGGGCGTCCCAGGCGGCAAGCCCGAATTACGGCTGTATGATCTGCTGCGCCGAGGGCCGTGACACGATTGTGTTTGGCAATCCGGAGACGCTGATGAATCACATTTACCTTGAGCACAGGCGGCAGATGAGCGCGGATATGCAGTCGAGAATGAAGATTGTTTTCAATCGGTGGGCGGATGAGAAGGATGACTGGGATCTTAATATTCTCTTGGCGCTTAAGATGGTGGCGGACGAGGAGAATATTGGGTCTTCCTGGCTCTCACAAGCTGATATGGACCTGATGCTCGCTGCTTGTAGAGACCATCCGAGTCGCACTACTTCCAGCCACACCGCGTCCATGCACGCTGGGAGATTGCTGGGTTGGCTTGCGTGTGCGAAACGGCCGCTGAAGTGGTCCGAGATTCAGGCTGCTTGGGCCATTAATCCGGACGATCCGACAGCTGACTTCGAGGACCGTAAACTCCTAGTTGGTCCAAAAGACCTTTGCGGGCATCTTGTTACGGTTAATTCAGATGGAGTTGTCGGCCTATCTCATTCCATCGTCAAAGAGTGATTATGATAAGTTCGTGCGTATTGACACATGTTAGCTAACTGATGCTCGCAGATACATAATCAGAGCTCTTCCGTTTAATGTCGAAGCGGTAGAGAACGAGATCGATAGTTTACTGGGATTGTTGGCCTCTTTAAGAGCCTCAGACGTTTTCACAGGCTCTGGATACGCCTCGGGGACAGGTAAGAGTATTCGCAACAGCTGTGTTGTGGATAAAGACGAGCCTGACGACGTGGCAACTATTGCCACGGACAATCGGGAGCTGATTCTTCCAGCTCCAACAAAAGATGGATGCATCCTTCGCTTTGCCCAGCAGCTGTACACTGACCTCCCGCTTAGAGAATTTGATGGTAAGGCTCAGGACAAGGTCGCAGAAATCCTTCCGAAGCTGCTGGAAAGCTTCTCAATGAAACTGGACGTAAACATGTCGTCTAGTCTTCATGAAGACGCAATAACCTTTGTACACGATTACCGCGAGTATGTATTCTAGAATTACAACTAAGAGATTTTGGGGACACTAATGTGAACAGACACATTAGCGCATCATTTAAAGATATCCGACCAGACTACTCTTCTAAAGCCGCGTCTCGTCTTGATCACGGATCCCGTGGATTGTCTTCGTTAGAGAAGGTGCAGATATGGAATATATCAGATCTACAAGACGCCGAGGATCTATTGACGCAAGATGAGCCGGAAACGACTGAAGATGCAGAAGTGAACGATGATGGTAGAGCCCTGCTTGATTTTCTGGTCGAGACAGCAGCGTATCGATGGCTACTTGCACGAATCCGCAGAGATCTCGTCCTTGCAGAATCTCGACCCGACATCGCAGGAACCATTCGAGACACAATCATCTCAGGCTTGCAGTCGTGCCAAAGCACCCGTAACAACAGCTTGAAGATCATCCGAACGGCCGAGTTTGAAGTCCTGTGGGATCCTTTATCATTTCTCAAACAGCAAGGCTACGATGAAGGCGATGACGAAGTGCTTGGATCAGTCATTACTCTGACGGGATCTAGCGACAATGCACAAGCTGCTACCTGTGTGGAATATCTTGCACAAACCTGGCCAGTTGATGGACCGTGTATTGTTCGAGCTCTGCAGGTTGCCGTAGCCAAGAAGTTTGAAACGCCATACTCATGTATGTCGCAGTTCTTCTCTCATTGACTTGTTGTACAACTACTAAGTCGAAAGCAGTTTACTTGTTCGATGGAACTAAACTCACAATGTCTCTAAGAAATGAGACGCTGTTTGTTAAAACCGTCGGAAGGGCCAACTCTATCGCAGAGGTTGGTGAGCAACTCGCTTGGCTAGGGTCTGCTTTACGCTCTTCACCATTCGAAAACAGGCCAGCATATTGTACACCTAGCGTCACTAAGTTCATCAGTACAGGTGGTACTACTACGGAGCAGGACCGGTGTCATGCATCATACCGCATCACGTTCTCAACAGAAAGCACGACCACGGATCAGATCGAGGGGAGCTTAAGTGGAAGCTGCTGGCACGAGATGTTCAGGAACCCAGTTATTACCAGAGGCTTCCGTATCCCATCACGCAAGGAGGACCATACTGGGCTCGAGATCCCCCTAAACATGATGGCCGGTTTGGTTGAGGCACCCCGTGCGACCACCTTTGACGGCGAACTTGCTATCAAAGGATTCTGTACTATGCTCGTTCCAACAAGACGTTTGGACAACGTGCTTTACTGGCATCTTCTATTCAACAAAGACGGGAGCCACATATCATATCTCGATGATCGCGTTCGTGCTATCAGAGATGACTCTGCCGACAACTCTGGAATTTCGTCTTTGGTGGATATGAGACATATCGTTGGCTGGTGCTCTATTGTCAAGCACTTTACAGGTATGCATTCTTCTCTTTGTTTCTGTCCTTGTGCTGGTCTCAGAGAGCGATCTGATTGCTGAGACTACGATTCGTTCTAACATCAGCACGCAGGTGCACCAGATGCCAATTATGACATCAAGTGGACAGGTATCGACCAAGCTGGGCCAGGATGCGCCTTCGAGAAACTGTCAATAACCGGCGGCAAATTCGTAAACGTGGGAGCTTCTTTCGCTCGAGGGAACAAGGACACACCCCTCTACTTGAAACGGAGCTCATCATACGTGGAACAGCTCAAGTTCGCTCGAGGCAAATTTGCGGTGTTCTATGATACGGCGGAATGCCGGGCGTGGCTTACCAATGGAGCAAGTGCCTTGCTTCACTTGGTGCGCGCCTCCCTGAGGCATGACAGCTTAGACCGCTTGAACTCCAATTTTCTTTTCAGATTCGAGGAGCTCCGCGAAACGGACCACGTTCATGGCGCTGATGCTGCCATTCAAGTTCTTGCGGATCGGCATAACATGGAGCTAGAAGTCTTCCCCCGTGAAGACGAGGTTTGGACTGAAGAGGTGATAGATGCCAACGGGAAAAGCAGCCGGGAAACGAAAAGAAAGGTAACGAAAGTTCGCTTCCAGGATCGTGTCAACGATATATACCACATCTTTGAGCAAATACAGGAACATCAGGAGATACTGTCCGGACCCGGTATGCCATTGAGGACAACGCCGCGCCAGCAGCTGGAGGGATTTGACTTCATGGATATCGTTACTGGTGACAGTCCCCTAATCCCGCGGGTCACCAATCTGAAGCCAAGCGGGAAAGGCTGGGTAGACTTTACCAGGGCTATCCAAGCAGTCACGTTATTAGGACGCGGTTTCGGTGACCTCATCAAGCCGTCAGATGGTTCAAACAGACTCTGTGCATCCTGGAACCTAGTTCCTGTGGGAAAGAATTACCTTACCGCTTGTACCTCAGACCTAGTGGAGGTATTGAAGCGGAAAGGCGACATCGAGGCCGTACCCATGAAGCTGGTTAGCGGTATTTACTGGCACAAAGGAGGTAAACTCTTCGAGCCCTGCGAATGCAGGGACAAAGTCTTGAAAAGGCGGTTCTTGTCTTTGAACAATGTCTGCGATCGGGTTCAAGTACTTCTACCACCCTCGCTAGGCCGAAAATCGCATCCTGGGCCTCTTGAACAGGATGGAGCTGTTGTATTTGGCCACAGCACGAGGTATCCTTGGCGCTGGCCGGACCGGGGTCATCCAGAAGAAGAGAAGCTACATCCAGAAGAAGAGAAGCTACCAGCAGAAGAGGCGGATAGAGTATGTAGTGATAGTGGATTAGGAAGTAGCACTGGTTCATCAGCAGAGTACAGTGGTGAACTAACGTCCGAGTCCTCCGTATCTGAGTCTTCTCAACGACCAGGAAGCCAGCCTGGTTCATCGGTTACGCCGGTTGAAATGGGCGCGGAGTTGAGCAGGAAAAAGCAAAAGTACAATGGAGGCGTTTGAGAGGCCAGCAACCTCCTTTCTCATTCGGTGAAATGAGACTTTTTAGACGTACAACTTGAATCCCGTTCTAGCCGCTTATCCCGATGTCCTCTCGCGTTTATAAAAGGGTACTTCCGTTTAGGGTTTAGCGTTATTCCTATTGTTGTATTATGGGCCAGAAATAACCTGAGTACTGTTTGGGTTTCCCGCACACGTTCTTGATGACTTCCGCGGCTACATATTACGCCTCGTTCGGAGCTCGTGGAGAGCACAGATGGCCAACGAGTCGTTTTTTCGATTAGGTATTGGGATAGTCCCGCAATTGCGAGGAAGCATACAAGATCCAGATTTCACGCCCCAAGGACCCGGCGATTCGACATACGGCACATCCCAAGATAGATCTGTCGACTTAAGACACTTTGACTACTCTGTTTACATAAACAACTTGCCTATTGCTTTTGAGAAACAAGGCCTTGAACACTCTGGGCCTCTAAGGCTGTATCACTATACACATGTATCCCCAACCCAATCTGTAGGAAGCGAGAAGTCTTGAAACAAAAACGCCAACCCCCTCCCTATCCACGCGAAGAAGAACACTAACGTCGCTGGAAGCCGCGAATATGAATCTACGACCCACACCCCCTGTATCCAGCAAGGACAACAGAAGCACAACGGCTGCTAAAACAAACAACGAAAAACTTGACAGTTTTAGCGCTCTAGCGCTCTAGAGCTCTAGCATTCCAGCCCTCTAGAACTGCGACACCGCAATAGCAATAGCCTGATCGTCATTATGGCTAATGCTCACACTGACAGACTTGACGCCCGCCTTCTTAGCCGCTGCCTCTGCGTCACCATGTAGCTACATAACCGTTAGCAATATGCCCTTCTTCACGGAATCGACCCCGGGGGGGGGGGGGGGGGGGGGGGGGGGGGTAACTTACAGTAACAACAGGCGCCCCCTTCTCATCATTCGTGATCTCAATATCCTTGAGCGGCGCGCCCGCTCCCTTGCCTTCCACACCGAGAGCCTTGAAGACAGCTTCCTTCGCGCTCCACCTCCCCGCAAACGAGGCCTGCGGCGCCGGCGCCTTGCGGCAGTACTCCTGCTCCTTCTGGGTAAAGTTCCGTTCCACAAACGTCTCGTTCTCGATATTGATGGCCGCAATACTCTCAACATCGACGCCGACCTTGCTGTCCTTGGTCGCGGTAGCCTTAGCCAGGCTCTCGAGCATCGTCTTCGTCTCCTCCGTCTTCGCGTTCTTGACCGGCTTGGGCGCGGAGGTCGGGTAGGCGTACTGCGCGGTCTTCTTGTCGGCCACGACGCGGATGGTCGGGTCGAGGAAGACCTGGCTCTGCTGGGTGTCGGCGTAGGGGCTCTTGTCCTTGGCGCGGAACATAGTGTTGTTGATGAGGCCGTCGTGGAAGTAGCGGTACGCGCGCTTCTGGCGGGCCTCGACCTTCTGCTTGTAGTTCGCGTATTGCGCGTGGTCGAGGGTGGCGAAGAGATATTTCGGATGGATGCCGATGGCCTGCGCGCCCTTCTGGCCGAAGCCGAAGGAGGTCACGCTGAACGCCTTGACGCCGTCCGTCTGGATCGAGTGGTTCGGGTACACAATGTAGTCGAACTTCTCCATGATCTTGTCCACGTTGTCCGCGTTGCGGTTGCCGGGGACTAGGCCTGTGTTCAGCACCTGGAGGCAGCCGTTGAACATCCATGCGCCTGCCGCGCCCTTGGGATGGCCCGTGAGGTACTTCTGGAAGATGCCGAGCAGGGCGTTGCCCTTGGCGCGGCCGAGATGCTTCATCTGCTGGCAGATGACGTCGGACTCGTTCTTGTCGTTTGCGACGGTTGAGGTGCCGTGGAAAGAGGCAACGGCGACGTCGTCGATGGTCAGGCCCCAAGTGGCCAGGGCGCCGCGAAGAGGCGCGATGCGTGGGTCCTGCTTCCAGAAGTTGTTGCCGAGGCTGTAGAGAGCATCCTTCTCTTGACGCTTGGCTTCGCGCTCGATGTGGGCGGCGCGCTCCTGCATGTACTCTGACTCGTCGAACTCAGAGCCGGAGGATTTCATTGCCGTGATCTCCTCTTGTAGGTACATGAGCTCGGACTCCTGCCATGACTTGATCTGCTTGCGGCGCAGGTCCATCTGGCGCTTCCTGTACTTGATATCAAGGAGCGGCGATGGGAACTTGGACGGCGCCTCGCGGGCGGTGGTAAGGAGACCCTGACCTGGAGCAGGAACAGAGCGGCCGATCTTGTCAGTAGCGGTAGCAGTGAAGCCAAGGATACCATAGATCGGTACACCCATGTCCAGAGCGAGCTTCGCGTCCATGATGACCTGCATACCGCAGCCCTGCGACTCCATGAAGCCATTGCGGGTAGTTGTAGTAGGCCTGGACATCTCCCTCGGTGTCCTCCCATGGGCGAACTCGTCTTCTGCGTTGCTGGTAGCCTTCATGTTGGCGAACTCGTACGAGCCCTCCTCCTGAAAGTCATCGAAGCCACCGACAAAGCAGATCCTAGCCTTGCCCTCAACGATAGTGTCGTAGCCGATGTCAACGGACTCAACAGCAGTTGCGCAGGCACCGACGGGTGTCTTGATAGGACCAGTGGACGAGAGAAGCAACATATTCACCCAGGCGCTCATGGTGTTGATGAACGACTCTTGGAGGATATCCTTCTGCAGGGGCTTGTCGAGGAAGCGATCCTTGTACATGCCTCGCAGCGCAGACGTACCACCAATACCGGAACCGATGCAGTTACCGACCTCGGAAATGTGAACGTACTTGTAAAACTCATACGGATCGGTGATACCGCAGGAGAGGAGGGCCTCGGCAGTGGAGACCAAGACGAAGAGGGTGACCGGATCGACCTGGGAGATGATGTCGTCGGGAACACCGTACTTCTTCGCATCCCATCCGGTGGGAATCTGGCCTGCGACAAGACGGTCAAACTTCAAGGCCTTGGGGATGAGGAGGGTTGCGCCCTTCTTTAGTCGGACGGTGTACTCCCCGGATTCCGGCACCTCGAAGACCTCAACCTTGTCGCCATGTTCGCGCTTGAACTCTTCTGCGGTCTCCTTGGCCGTCTCAAATGGATCAAGGTCTTCCTCAATTTGGATTTCTTGAAGAAGCTGCTTCTTCTTCGGATCGTAGCCATGGAACAGCTCAGGCTCAATGAGACGGATACCGGAGTGTTCGAGGATGTGCTTCTCGTACTTGGCCTTGACGTCCTTGTCGTCAACCGGTTCCCCAGACTTGGCGTCGACCCAGCCGGAGTACGTCTTGCCCTTTAGAGGGCCATTGTGATTCCTGATGAGACCCATGATCCATGCCATCTCGACGCACCCCTCGAGAGAGAACTGGCCGTAAGCCTCCATCTCCCAGCGGGTCCTCGAGTTACCCCAAGGCCCGACTTCTGCGAAGCCCGTGACCACGACGACCTTCTCGAGGTCAACCATTCCTTTGAGATCCGAGTTGAGTGGCTTGACCTCGGTCTCCCAGTCTGGCACCTTGGGGAAGTCGAACTTGAGATTAGCACGCGGCTGCACGTTAACCTTCTTGTACAGCGCCTCGCTCTCCTCGCCGTTGACAATCTTGTTCTCGATCGCAGTCTCCTTTGTGACCGCCTTGCGGATCTCAGCGGTCTCGGTATACTCCTTGCGAAGGTCGGTCATGAGATCCTTGAGATTGGGCAGGTATTGGAAGCCGCCGTTGAGATCGGCCCAGACGGGCTCCATCTGGCAGAGATTGACAATGGAGGGAGACATGAGGCCAAGCAGATTGAAGGCCATCTCCTGCTGGGAGAAGGTGCGGACACCATACCTCTCAATGCCCTCGGCAACGATGTTGTTGCCGGCCATGAGACCCGTGCCGCGTGTCCAGCCGATAACAGCGCCGCAGATGGTGAGGTAACTGCCCCAGCTTTCAGAGTGCCAGCGTTCGAAGAGCGTCTCCAACGCGATCTTGGATTCGGCATACAAGCCGTCGTTTCCAAAAGTACCGTGGTTGGGTGAGAGCGGAAGGATGGCCTGCGCAGGCCGAGTGGCGTAGCCATGCTCAACCTTGTGAGCCTTGATAGCACCAAGTAGCCGGACCACATTGGTCAGCATGATACGGTGAGCAAGCTCGGACTTTGAATCGATTCCATCAATCTCGCGGCCCTGCTCTGAGATGGCAGCGAATGGAATGACGAAGTCGAGATCCCAGCCGAGACCCTTCTTCGTGTCGTAAATGTAGGACACCAGAGCCTCCACATCCTGCTTGCTGCCTCCGTTGAAGGGCACAACGATGAGCTGCGAGCCGCGGGCGCCGTATCGAGCGTACATGGTCTGATAGTACTCATTGACCTCACGAGAGAAGCGGCTGGTGGTGACCACAACCTTAGCACCACCACTGATGAGACCTTGCAAGACTTCGGCACCGATGGAACCAGCGCCAGCACCGGTCATCAGTGCGTGCTTGCCCTGGAAGGTGACGCCGTTCTTGGCGGCCTGCTCTAGGCCATCCAAGTAGACACCGGTCAGCTTCTTGCTGTATTGCCATCCATGGTCGTCTTTCCTCTTGAGATGCAGGAAGGGGATCGTCTCGACCTTGCCCTGCTTGAGGCCGTTGACGCGGCCATTTCGTCCCTTTCTGGCATGACCGTTGGCTGCTTTGCCGTTCTCGGACGGCAGGATCTGGGACTCGTTCATCGACATAGAGCGGATAACATCGCTGTACAGAGTCTTGATCTGGAGCTGGGACGACTTGGAAAGCTTATGTTGCTGGCGAATGAGCTTGTAGATGCGCTGGAGATCGTTCTGGACTTTCGTCCTATTGCCGTACTCGGAGAGCTTGCCGCCATCGGCCATCTCCCGGACGTAATGTTCCAACTTCCTGACACTGGGTCGCGGTACTTCGGCGTAGTTCATGTTGCCGCGTGCGTCAATGTTGAGTGAAGGAGCAGTGGGCATGGCAACATCCTTGTACACCGGTGCCTCGCTAAGGACGTCTTTGCAGTTCTCGATGAGCTGCTGTCCAAGCTCCTTAGCGAGCTCGTAAGTCTCGCCACGCTCGGTCGGGCAGTGGTCGATGTGATACTGCATGAAGTCGAGCAGAAGCGGGTTCGACCGGTTCATGATGGCAATGCAGCGGCTGACAATCTCGCGATCGACCGCCTTTAGGCGCCCGAAGATAATGTCGTAGTACATGCTGAGGGCATCCTGTCGTGCCCAATTCCAGGATGAATCATAGACTCTGGCTTTGAGCTGGCTGAAGGATGGCTCGATACCGGCGGCGTAGAAGTCGCCGTGTTCCGCGTTCCAGAGATCCAACTGGGCCTGGAGAGCGCTCGACGCTTGCTGAGAGCCAGCGAAGGCCTTGTCGCCAGCGCGGAGGTCCATCTTGAGGTAGCGAGCGAAGAGCTCGAGCTGCTGCTTGAAGAGCGCTCGCTGGTCCTTGGTCAAGGCATCGATGGCAGCCGGGTCCATCATCATGCCACCCGCACCAGCACCGCCATCGCCGCCAGCGGCTGGCGCCGAGAGGTTGACTCCGGCAATTCCGGCATACTTGTTCGTTGTTTCGTCAAGCCACGCCTTTGCGTCGTTCTCTGATCCAAGACGCGCGGGTGGCTCCATGGTCAGTCCCAGGAGAAGGACGCCATCCTGTCGGCCAGTTCCCAATCCCCACCGTGTCTCCAAGTGTTTCCGGACGGACGTGATGTTGAAGCCACCAGGCATCTTCGAAGAAACCAATCGGGCGATGAGGGAGGATGACTGCTTGCCAAGCTGGCCATTGAAGGTCGCCTGCATCGATGCACCGAGCTCGTCCAAGGGGGTATCCTCCGGCTTCTCTGGCGTCGAACCGAACTCCTTGCCCAAGTCTCCTAGAATTTCGTTTTGCAGTGTGGATTTGCCTGTTTTGAAGCGTGTCAGTTCTTGAGCCTCGTCAATCGGCTCCCGGGAAACGTACCGCCAACCAAATCTTTGATAGCTTTGCTCAAGGGAATGTCCATTAGCGGCTTCTTCAGCTTCTGTGCTACCAGAGCACGCAGAATGTCCGTTGCGGTAACTGGCGCGTCTGCCACCGACGCGGCCGGACCGGCGCTGGGAGGTGGAGGAGCTGCCGCTGCCGCTGGAGCTGCTGCGGCAGCAGGTGCTGAGGATGTGGGTGCGGCAGCCCCAGCGCTTGGGGCTGCGGGCTCGTCCTCGACCGGATCGACATCGTAGTAGATGTCCTTTGCATCTTTGTTGTAGCAGAGGATGTCTCGTTGCAGCGAGAGAGCTGCGTCGTGTGCTTCGTACTTTGACGCCAAGGTTCGCTTGGCCATCACCCCCAGAGTGTCGGCAGGCCCAATCTCGACAATCCGCTCCGTCGTCTTCTCCCCAAGAATGACATCTTGCGTCTCAATCCACCTCACGGGCGAGGCGAACTGGTATGCAAGAAGCTCAACAAGGAGCGTGTGGGCGAGCTCCTGCTCGACTTCGGGACGCATAGCGGCGGGTATATAGCGAGGTGTAGAAAAGCGTGCAGAGAGGGTATAGTGAGCTTTAGAAGCAGGTGAGTGTGATTACAAGGAAAGGAGTGTGTTCATGCGCAGCTCGGAAGGAATTGAACTGTTCTGCTGGGTGTGCAAAGGAGGAGCTGCAGGGAGGTTATTTTTCGCGGGGAGGAGCGGCGGTGATGGGGGAGGTGGTAAAGTTAGCGAAAGAGGGTTCGAAAAGTTGTCCGCGAAGGCAGCAGTCGGAATATGAAGATGGCACTAGCTGTGCGGCTCGGTCGGACGACAGGAAAGCGTGGATATTCAAAAGGACAGCTTGTTGGTATCTCGCCGCTCGCTGGGCCAAAGCTTGCAGGCGTTGAGACTCAAGACTGCTCGAGCTTCGGCCGCGCGTGGAGAGACTCAACAGCGGGAAGGGCACTAGCACCGGCTAGCTTCACTTTGGGGAAGAGTTGTTCGCCAAGCGCTGCAGCATTTCGTCGTTGGCAGATCTGCCGTCAACAGCTCAACCGCATGGATCACGTCGCCTTTGGGGCTGCCGGCCGAGGGCGTGAGACGGTTACGAGAGGCCGCAGTTGATGCACGCGGCTCACGCTCCGAGTGCTCCCGACTGCCCGCAGCGCCGGTGGGAATCTCAATTGCAGGCAGCGCTCCACTGTATTCCACTGGAAATTCCCGTTGCAGTAAGCCGTTCTCACGCGTGGCGGGGGAACTCTGGTGCAGCAGCAGCAGCAGCCGCATCACCGTCGAACCTGCGTCAAGTCCCAACCGAACAGCTCCCCCCCTGTCAAGCCGCCCAACGCTAGACCGCTCACTGCCATCCGCCATAGCTCCCGCGCCGGCGACAATTCGAGGCAGCCCTTCAAATTATCAAGAGCTTCCGCAGCGCCGCGTATTTGCCAGATATTCCTCCCCCTTCCTGCACTCTCTCCCGCCCTCATACCCACCCTCATACCCACGCCTTCTTAATTTCATAGACTGTATCTTGGTGCTGTTCCTGTCTCTTCAGGAAGCTCTGCATTGCAAGGAAGCTGCTCCGGCAGTAGCGACAAAATTCCTTGCCCCTCGGCCACCCGCCATTGCAACCGCACTTGAAGGTATTTGACTTCATTTCCTGTATATTCAAGCCGTTGCGGGTATTGACATAAGTTGCATCAGTAATATTTTGCTGTGTTGCGATATTAGGGAATAACATACTGACATTCTCCCCTAGGCGAGCCCTTTGGTCTACGCAACTAGATACCCATACGACTTCTTTTCTCCGTTCCACCACCATGTACGGCTCAGGGCCCCAGACGGGCATCTCCACGCCCCGATCGCAGGCCTCGCTGCGTCCCCTCATTCTCTCACACGGCTCGCTCGAGCATACGCTCCTTATACCCACCGCCCTCCACTATAGCGCCTCCGCGCTGAAAGATGCCTTCAATGCCACCCTACCAGAACCCACGGACGAGCTCGCGCAGGACGAGGAACCGTCGTCCGTCCCTGAGCTCGTTGCTCGGTATCTCGGCTTCGTTGCTCAGGAGACAGACGAAGATCCAGAGTCGTTCGAGGAAGTGCTCAAGGTTGTGTTGAACGAGTTCGAGCGCGTGTTCCTTCGCGGGAACGACGTGCATGCTCTCGCCGCCTCGCTACCGGGAATCGAGCAGAAAAAGCTCATAACCGTTAAGGGTTACTATGCAGCTCGCGCTGCCGCCGGCAGGCCAATTAAAACCCACGAATCCGCCCTTTTCCGGGAAGCCTCGGACGACAATGCCTTCATATACTCGGTATTCGGAGGTCAAGGCAACATTGAGGAGTACTTCGATGAACTGCGCGAGGTGTACCAGACGTACCCATCCTTCCTTGAAGACTTCGTCGCTGCTGCGGCATCGCACCTGCAGCGGCTCTCCCGGGATCCCAGCGCTGAAAAGCTATACCCGAAAGGACTCGACGTTATGCGATGGCTGCACAACCGCGATTCGCAACCGGATACCGACTACCTGGTGTCTGCGCCAGTCAGCTTGCCCCTGATCGGTCTTACCCAGCTTGCCCACTACGTTGTGGTCTGCAGAGCCATGGGCACAAACCCTGGCCGCCTACGGGAACGCATGAGGGGTGCAACCGGCCACTCGCAAGGTGTCGTGACGGCTGCTGCGATTGCAGCGTCGAGCGACTGGGTCACTTTCGACAAACACTCAAGAGATGCGCTGACTATCCTCTTTTGGATTGGGTCTCGCAGCCAGCAGGCTTACCCTAAAACTTCCATAGCACCTGGTATCCTGCAAGACTCAGTGGACAGCGGTGAAGGCGTGCCTACACCCATGCTTTCCATCCGAGACCTTCCTCGCGCCGCGGTCCAGTCTCACATTGATGCTACGAACCAGCATCTACCAGAGTACAGACACGTTGGCATCTCGCTAGTTAACAGCGCTCGCAACTTCGTCGTTACCGGCCCGCCGATCTCTCTCTATGGTCTCAACCTCCGGCTGCGAAAGGTCAAGGCCCCAACTGGGCTAGACCAGACGCGTATCCCGTTCACTGACCGAAAGAGTCGTTTTGTGAGCCGCTTTCTGCCCATCACCGCTCCTTTCCACAGCCCCTACTTGGCGGAAGCGTCGAAGCTTCTCGACGACGACCTCAAGAACATCGTCTTGAGCAGCGATGAGCTTGGCATTGCCATGTACGATACGAACACCGGAAAGGATCTCCGCAAGGAGAAGTCTGCTAATATCGTGCCTGCGCTGGTACGGATGATCACACATGATACCGTCAACTGGGAGAAGGCGACCGTCTTTCCCAAAGCTACCCATATCATCGACTTCGGCCCTGGAGGTATCTCAGGCCTTGGTGTCCTTACCAACCGCAACAAGGATGGCACTGGCGTCCGCGTCATCCTTGCGGGCGCTATGGACGGCACCAACACTGAGGTCGGCTACAAACCTGAGCTCTTCGATCGTGATGCGCAGGGTGTGAAGTTTGCCCCGAATTGGGTCAAGGAGCACGGTCCCCGGCTGGTCAAGACCTCCGCAGGTCAAACCATCGTCGACACAAAGATGAGCCGAATGCTTGGTCTGCCACCAGTCATGGTCGCCGGCATGACACCTTGCACCGTGCCTTGGGACTTTGTCGCAGCCACGATGAACGCTGGCTACGAGATCGAACTTGCTGGTGGCGGCTATTACAACGACCGCACCTTCACCGAGGCCATCACGAAGATCGAGAAGTCAATCCCCGCAGGCCGCGGTATTACTATCAACTTGATTTATGTCAACCCTCGTGCCATGGCCTGGCAAATTCCCATGATGGCACGACTTCGCGCTGATGGCGTTCCTATCGATGCTCTCACCATCGGAGCCGGCGTTCCCTCCATCGAGGTCGCTAATGAATACATTGAGACTATTGGCATCAAGCGCATCGCATTCAAGCCTGGCTCCGTAGAAGCCATCCAGGCGGTCATCAACATCGCCAAGGCCAACCCGATGTTTCCTGTCATTCTCCAATGGACTGGCGGTCGCGGTGGTGGGCATCACTCTTTCGAAGACTTCCATCAGCCTATCCTCCAGATGTACAGCAGGATCCGCAAGTGCAAGAATCTCGTCCTCGTTGCAGGCAGTGGTTTCGGTGGTGCCGACAACACTTACCCATACCTCACCGGCACCTGGTCTACCAAGTTCGGCTACCCGCCGATGCCCTACGATGGATGCCTGTTTGGCAGCAGAATGATGGTTGCTAAGGAGGCTCACACGTCCAAGGCCGCCAAGCAGGCCATCGTCGATGCTCCTGGCTTGGATGATGGCGAATGGGAGAAGACCTACAAAGGGCCTGCTGGTGGTGTTATCACCGTCCGGTCTGAAATGGGCGAGCCCATTCACAAGCTCGCAACCCGAGGCGTTCTGTTCTGGGCGGAGATGGACCAGAAAATCTTCAGTCTGGACAAGGCTAAGCGCGTGCCCGAACTCAAGAAGAACCGCGAGTACATCATCAAGAAGCTCAACGACGACTTCCAGAAAGTCTGGTTTGGGCGCAACTCAGCCGGCGAGTCCGTCGATTTGGAAGACATGACCTACGGTGAAGTCATCCGACGAATGGTTGATCTTATGTTTGTGAAGCACGAGTCCCGATGGATCGATAAGAGCCTTGCTCGTTTGACCGGCGATTTCATCCGTCGGGTGGAAGAGCGTTTCAGTGCTGGCGCCGGCAAGCCGTCCATCATACAGAGCTACTCTGAGCTTGACAACCCATTCCCGGTTGTCGAGAAAGTGCTGCAGGAGTATCCGGAAGCGGACAATCAGCTCATCAACGCGCAAGATGTACAACACTTGCTTCTCCTCTGCCAGCGCCGAGGCCAGAAGCCAGTTCCCTTCGTACCGGTCCTCGATGACACTTTCGAGTTCTTCTTCAAGAAGGATTCTCTCTGGCAATCAGAAGACTTGGAAGCCGTTGTAGATCAAGACGTCGGCCGAGTAGCCATTCTGCAGGGTCCCATGGCTGCGAAGTACTCGACGATTGTCGACGAGCCGGTCAAGGACATTCTGGACGGTGTTCACCAGGGTCACATCAAGTACTTGACCGAGGATCTTTATGGCGGTGACGAGTCCAAGATCCCCACCATTGAATACTTCGGTGGCAAGCTGCTCGAAGCCAGCGATAACATCAATGTCGAAGGCCTAACTGTCTCTGAGGAAGCCGACAGGCACGTTTACCTACTGTCTAATGCGCCTAACGCCACCCTGCCTGAAACCGATCAGTGGATGTCACTCCTCGCAGGCAGAGAGTATTCATGGCGCCATGCTTTCTTCACTGCCGACGTCTTCATCCAAGGCCAGCGATTCCAGACTAACCCGATGGCCCGCATCTTCCGGCCAACCCCAGGCATGTCAGTTGAGATACTTCACCCGAGCGACCCATCCCGGACTGTCATCAAAGTTAGGGAGCCGCTTCCGGGTGGCAAGCCCACTCAGACCGTCGAGGTTGGCCCTCTTAGTGAGCGTGAGATTGTGGTTAAGATGATCGAGCAGCGGACCGCCACTGGCAAGCCCCTCTCGCTGGATCTTAAATTCACATATCACCCAGAGACTGGCTATGCCCCTATTCGCGAGGTTATGGAAGCCCGCAATGACCACATCAAGGAGTTCTACTACAAGATATGGTTTGGAGAAGACTCTGTTCCTTTCGATGCCTCAGTCACGTCTAAGTTCGAGGGCGGCAGAGCTACTGTCACGAGCGAAGCCATTAACGACTTTGTCCACGCCGTTGGCAACACCGGTGAGGCCTTCGTCGACCGACCGGACAAGGAAGTCTACGCTCCTATGGACTTCGCCATCGTTGTGGGATGGAAGGCTATCACCAAGCCAATTTTCCCTCGGGCAATCGATGGTGACCTTCTCAAGCTGGTTCATCTGTCCAATGGCTTCAGGATGATTCCTGGTGCCGAGCCTCTTAAGAAGGGCGATGTGCTGGACACCACCGCTCAGATAAACGCAGTCATCAACCAGGACTCTGGCAAGATGGTCGAGGTCTGCGGCACAATTACCCGCGAGGGCAAGCCTGTCATGGAAGTCACCAGTCAGTTCTTGTACCGTGGCGCCTACAGCGACTTCGAGAATACTTTCCAGAGGAAGACGGAGACTCCCATGAATCTGCACCTGGCGACAAGCAAAGATGTTGCTATCCTGCGCTCTAAGGAGTGGTTCCATCTGGAAGACCCTGATGTCGATCTCCTGAACAAGACTTTAACCTTCAAGCTGCAGTCTTTGGTTCGCTTCAAGAACAAGACTGTCTTCAGCACTGTGGAGACTGTCGGCGAGGTTCTACTTGAGTTGCCCACGAAGGAGGTCATCCAAGTTGCGTCGGTCGAGTATGAGGCTGGTGCATCTCATGGTAACCCAGTTCTCGACTACCTACAGCGCAACGGCGCGAAGCTCGACCAGCCCGTCACCTTCGAGAACCCGATCCCGTTGAACGGCAAGACCCCGCTGACCCTGAAGGCACCGGCGACGAACGAGACATATGCTCGTGTCTCTGGCGACTACAACCCCATCCACGTCTCGCGGGTCTTCGCCAGCTACGCCAATCTGCCCGGCACCATCACTCACGGCATGTACTCAAGTGCTGCCGTCAGGAGCTTGGTGGAGACTTGGGCCGCCGAGAACAACGTCGGCCGCGTGCGCAGCTTCCACGCTTCGCTGGTTGGCATGGTCCTACCGGATGACTTGATCGATGTCAAGCTCCAGCACGTCGGCATGGTCTCTGGGCGCAAGATCATCAAGGTCGAGGCTAGCAACCGCGAGAGCGAGGAGAAAGTCCTGCTCGGTGAGGCGGAGGTTGAGCAACCGACATCTGCCTACGTCTTTACTGGCCAAGGCTCTCAAGAGCAGGGCATGGGTATGGACCTGTACAACAGCTCGCCCGTGGCTGCTGAGGTCTGGGACCGCGCCGACAAGCACTTCATGGACAACTATGGTATGTACCTACTGCGTCACTGTTCATCTTTCTTTGCTAACATTACCAGGTTTCGCTATCACCAACATCGTGAAGAACAACCCCAAGGAGCTCACCATCCACTTCGGTGGTCCGCGCGGCAAGGCCATCAGGCAAAACTACATGTCGATGACTTTCGAGACCGTCGCCGCGGACGGCTCGATCAAGTCCGAGAAGATCTTCAAGGAGATCGACGAGAACACCACATCTTACACCTACCGCTCGCCCACCGGCCTCCTATCCGCAACGCAGTTCACACAGCCCGCCCTCACGCTCATGGAGAAGGCGAGCTTCGAGGACATGAGGGCCAAGGGTGTCGTGCAGCAGAACAGCTCCTTCGCCGGACATTCTCTAGGCGAATACTCCGCTCTCGCAGCGCTAGCAGAGGTGATGCCGATCGAGTCCCTCGTCTCCGTCGTCTTCTACCGCGGTCTCACGATGCAAGTCGCCGTCGAGCGAGACGAGGCCGGCCGGTCGAACTACAGCATGTGCGCCGTGAACCCGTCGCGCATCAGCAAGACCTTCAACGAGCAAGCCCTCCAATACGTCGTCGAGAACATCGCCGAGACCACGGGCTGGCTTCTCGAGATCGTCAACTACAACATCGCGAACGCGCAGTACGTGTGCGCGGGCGACCTCAGGGCACTGGACTGCCTGACCAACGTGACCAACTACCTCAAGCAGCAGAAGATCGACATCCAGGCGCTGATGCAGAAGATGAGCCTCGAGGACGTAAAGGCGCACCTCGTGGAGATCATCCAGGGGTGCGCGCAGCAGACGGAAGCGAAGCCCAAGCCGCTAGACCTGCAGCGCGGGTTCGCGACCATCCCGCTCAAGGGCATCGACGTGCCGTTCCACAGCACCTTCCTGCGGTCCGGCGTCAAGCCGTTCCGCAGCTTCCTGCTCAAGAAGATCAACAAGACGAGCATCGATCCGCAGAAGTTGGTCGGGAAGTACATCCCGAATGTTACGGCGAAGCCGTTTGAGCTCACCAAGGAGTACTTTGAGGATGTGTATCGCTTGACGAATAGTCCGAAGATTGGGAATATCTTGGCGAATTGGGAAAAGTATGAGGAGGGCAAAGAGCAGAAGGCTGCGGTGGCGGCGTAGGGTGCTGTACAAAAAGAGTGGTGTCTTGTAGTTGATTCAGTCGTTGGCGTTTTTTCCATGTCGCTTTGCGTTTCGGCGTTCGAGCGAGGGATGTTCGGTCATCGGTGCTTTCAAGTTTTGCTTAGATCGAGAGGCCGGTCGCGATGGGCCGGCAACGGCAATCAGATAGTTAATAGAGCTGTCTCTAGATCACTCGTCGTTCTGTGCATAAGTAAAGTTCCAAACTACCTATGCTTGTGTGGACGGGATACCCAACTGATGCCCTAAACGCCAACCCAAGCTCGCCACCCATTCATCAACGTTGCACGAACAAGCCCTTCGCTCTTGGCACTATCCAGAACGCCAGCCAGTACCTTTCCCCCAAGCATATTCACCTCGGAACACACCAACAGGACGGACAGAAACCCTCAAGCTAGTACATGATCTGCTTCACAGGACTGCCTCCACCTCCCTGCTCCATCTGCCCCTGCTGGCCCTGCCACGCCCCATACCCGCCTTGTGCATCATACCCACCAGATGGAAACCGTTGCGGCGTGGGCGGTACACCGCCAGGGTAGAAAGACGGCTGCGGCTGGCCATACAGATGGGGATGGTGTGCTTCCCACGAGTTGAGGGCCTTGTTCCTGAAGAACGAAAAGGTGAAGTTGGTGAGAGAAACGCAGCCGAAGACGAGGACGAGCGTGAAGATCTGGTCGTCGTTAGCAATCCCGCCTCCCGCTTCCCGCTTCCCGCTTCCCGCCAACCGAACCAGATACCCAGCAGCAGATCTAGAGAGGGAAGGAAACTCACCATAGCCTTATAGCTAATCGGCTCGACAAAGCTATTGAAAATCTCCGCAAACGTATGCGCGCTCACCCTCGCGCGCCCGACGGCCGTCGGATCCTTCCGCATGCACTTCTCCCAGCTCGCGCACACCGCCTCCATCGCGGGCAGCTTGTTCCCCTCGCACATGTTGTCGCGGAAGCCCTTCGCGCAGGCCGCGATCTCGGCGCGGGCTTCCATGGCCGCCCATTCGGCTTTCTCGTTCACGTCGGCGCGGATGCTGGACCAGAAGGACCAGAGCAGGAAGATGAAGAAGAAGACGAGGAAGAGGTTGAGCAGGAGTTGGGCGTAGAAGGAGAGGATGTGGGGGAGGCCGGGGTGGGATTCGAGGAAGGTGAAGAAGGTGTGCAGGCCGCCTGGGCCGGGGGGCGGGGCGGGTTGTGCGGTTTGCGAGGGGTCTTTGCTGTCGTTGGCTGGTGCCCTGGCGTCGTTGTTGTTGTGGTTGTTACTCTCCTTCTCTTCGTCGTCGGAGTCGGAGCTCCCCCGTCGCGGCACAACCTGCTTCCCCACCACAGCCTTCGCGCGCCGCTTCTTGATGATCTTCTCCCCCTTGCGGCTGTACAGCGTTTCTCGCCCCGCATCTCCCCGCCCGGGACTCCCCATAATCCTTTGCAAAAAGCTATCCCTCCTCCTCTCCTTCGCCGGCGACCCTGCGCCCCCTCCCCCAAACGCCCCAAACAATCCCGGCCTTCTCCCCTTCCCCGTATCCGGCGTCGCCTCGCTGTCCGCGGCGTTGCCGGGCGTCTCGGGGGTCTCGCCGCCGGAGGAGCAGAAGTCGAGGTCCAGCTTGCTGTTTCGGGGGGTCCAGAGCGCGGGGTTCTTGGCGAAGGAGGACTCGTCGGGGCGCGCGGGGAGGGGCTTTGAGGATGAGGAGAGCGCGCTGATGTGCAGAGGTTGCTGGCTGAAGAGGTGGGTTTGGCCGGCGGTGGGGGGGCGGAGGGTCGGTGGTAGGGGCTTGGAGGGGGAGTCGAATATGCTGTGGGTTCCTGCGCGGGGGATGCATCCGTTAGCGAGCGATTCAGGGCTGTGGGAGCTTTTGCAGAGATTAGGTGCAGCGTGGATAGTAGGGATTGCTCACGTTTCTTGGCTGCGGTGTTGTTCCTCATGGCGGAGATGAAGGGGGAGTTCTCGTCGACGGGGCCGTTGCCCTTCTCCCATTGAAAATCCATGGGAACTTCGTTTGTCCGTCGGTCCATCACAGTAGCTGAGAATGAGTGTGACGAACTGCTTTAGGGAGATTTGGCAGCGTTGCAATGAACGATTGTTGGTGGGCGTAAACACGGTGGGAGATGCTCGGGATAAACAGCTAGCGGCGATCACAGGTTTGTTCACCCCTGTTCTGGAAGCAACGGCGCAACATCCTCACGGTATTTCATCGTTGTTGTCGGACGCAGGCAGGAGGTCGATAATGTTTACTGATTCAAGTGAGCCATTGAACCGCTAAAACAGCTCACAGGCGGCGTAATTCGATATTGTCATGGTGCTTGAGTCGATTCTTGTCGGTGAACAACCTGTGGCCGGTTTGGCATGATGACTTCCTCGCCGCTGTCAAGGTGTGTGTGAGAATCCATGCTCATTGAAACACGGAAAGGACATGATCTTCCTCGCAGAATCATACTACACTTTACATTGGTGATCACCCTACAATCATCAAGGCTCCAACATCTACGAAGTTCTACAGCAACCAGTGGCTTGAGCGCACGTGATTGAGTCAACGCCGGCCCGACTCAGCCTTACGCAGGAACATCCGCCGAAAGACGACTCCAGGAAAATCCGCAATCCAATGCTTAGTCACCGGAAGGAGCCGACGCCGACGCGAACTTTTCGCAACCTGAAAGGGCAGCAGCAGCAGCACTTGCCCCTCGCTCCCACCTTCAACCCCCCACATCACGGGCATCAGCAACACACAATCGCGACTTCCATCATGTCGTCGCGACGCCCCAGAGACTCTTACCGACCTCGATCACCATCGCCACCAATGCGCCACTTCACCGGCGGTGATAGCTACCGGCCGGACAACGGCCGTCGTTCTGAAGCAGATTTCTCGTTTCGCGTGTCTGGCGCACCTCGCTTTCCACCGGAGCCTCCAACCGGGCCTGCCGCTGACCGCCGGAAACCTCAGCAGCGCCGTGGCGGCTTTCGAGGCCGCGGTGGATTCCACAAACCCCATATATCTGAACGCGACATTCTTCGTACAAATCGCCAGACTACGCCCGAACAGCTCGATGGCATGAACAGCAACAACACAGCGCGCTTCATGGCACTGGACGACGTCTCAGACAGTGAGGCGGAGATGGAGCTAGAATCGAGCGATGAAGAAGGTCTGGTAGAAGGCCGCAGCAGCAAGAAGGCTCGTACAACAGCAGCGAGTGACGGAGATGCCGTACCGAAGTGGTCCAACCCGGATCCTTATACTGTTCTACCGCCGCCAGACGAATCTCAGGCTAAGAAGAAGGATGTCGTGAAGCTCATTCGCAAAGCAAAAGTGGCTGCGCTGGACGAGGCGGCTGCGAGGAACGCAGTGGCTGAGAATGCTGACTTTATCTCATTTAATTTCGACGACGAGCCCATTCACCACGACGCTAGCGAAGCCAGTGAAGACGATGAGAGACCCACTAATGGCACCGCTGAGCAGTCGAAGTTCAGCCACCTTGACAACCTGCATCCTCAACGCTTTGAGCGGCCCGACACGATAGACATCTCCAGCCTTGATACTGCAACCACGGCTTTGCAGAACTCAATCACGGTTAAACTACCCCCAGTAGCTCCCCTAGACGTGTGGCCGCCGCCAGACGTGAACTCAGCTGTGGGAATGACCATGCCTCCCCGAGACGATAACAACACTGCAGCAGCACCGCAGAATTCGAAGAAGCGTAAGCGTGGTCCCCAGCTTCCCACAGGGGGAGTGATGGCAGATTGGCTTCCGCGTAGCATGGAGACTGCAACTCCTTGGTGCAGCGTGGACCATTCGAAAACTGAGAGTATGGGTATCTGGTAAGTCCTCGCTTGCTCCCTTCAGCTTTACATGCTTCCGGCTTCGAAGCACTATGTCATGTTAACTCCGACGCGTCTTGCGCTTGGATTTGGGGTTCCTTCCTCAGCAGGTCATTAAGGGCTTTACTATCTTGATTTATCAATTTCTGCACCTCTGCACGTCCCACTGACTGTCTCACCAGGCTTCACAAGGAGATCTGTGATTTCTACGAATTCGTCAAGCCGCATGACTTCGAGGAGAGAATGCGTCAGGATCTCATCACACGCATATCCCGTTCGCTCGACAAGAATCCTACCTACCGGGGTGGTCAGGTCCGCTGCTTTGGATCTTTCGCCGCAGGCCTCTATCTGCCCACGTCAGACATGGATCTTGTCCTTGTGTCACATGAGTTCCGCAATAGGGGAGTTCCGATGTTCGGCTTGACCAAATCGTGGATGTACAGATTTGCGGGCATGCTCGAACGTGAGGGCCTTGCCCAGCCCCGTACCACTGAGGTGATACCGTCAGCAAAAGTCCCCATCGTCAAGTTCATCGACCGCGTCACTGGTCTAAAGGTGGACATATCCTTCGAGAACCTGAGTGGGGTCAGCGCCATCGACACCTTCCGGAAGTGGAAAACCGAGTTTCCTGCAATGCCGGTTATTGTTGCCTTCATCAAGCAGTTCCTCCTCATGCGCGGCCTCAATGAAGTCTATCTTGGCGGCATCGGTGGGTTTTCGGTCATCTGTCTGGTTGTGAGCCTTATGCAGCATCTTCCGGCCGTGCAAAGCGGGGCCATGGTCGGAGAGCAGAATCTTGGTGAGCTCCTCCTGAACTTCTTCGACCTGTATGGCAACAAGTTCAACATCACGACCACTGGCATCAGCATGGAACCTCCCGGGTACTACGCAAAGAGCGCAGGCATTCCAAACAAGACCGACCGAATTCAGATCATTGATCCCAACAATCCAACGAACGACATCTCCAACGGCTCTCGGCTCATCGATATGGTCCTCAGGTGTTTCTCCGAAGCCTACGCCTCGATCACCAAGCGCATGTACCAGCTAGAGACCATGGACATCTCTTCACGCAAGGGCAACAGCATCCTCGGTTCTGTGTTCGCAGGCGATTACTCTTCTTTTCAAGAGCAGCGTAATCGTCTGCGACGTATATACGCAGAACGGAGGTAAATCCTGTTTGTCTGGTCGTGTGAGACGCTGCTTAACACTGTGTAGCTTAGGTGCGCCAGCCGACTTTCCACCCTTGGATGTTCTCAACGTTGTAGATGAAGTCCCAAACAACCAGCATGTCCAGGGTCTCGCAAATCCCAGCAAGGTCGGACCTCCTCCAAGTCAGGAGGGTTTGGCACACATTCATAGCGTCCCCTTTGTTAGCCAGTATCCACGACAGGCAACACAAGCTGGACCGACCACCACGACCATGCTGTCACAGAAAACGGCTACGGTTCAGAAGATCGCACCTGACACGCAAAACAATACAGCAGCAGATCGATCCCGCGCTTCAACTCTGAGAAAGGAGTTCCCGGGTTCGAACATTAGCATTCCCTCTGAACTCACTAGGCAAGCCTACGGTTTTTTGAAGGCCAAGCTTCTGGGCCGGCTCAAACGGGAAGAAGCGCCACAGCCGATTCCGGAAATGCGGAAGACGAATGCGCTTCCTGAAACGGCACCTGGCACGAACGTCGATGCAGCAGATCGGTCACGGGCTACAATGCTCCAGAAGCACTTTCCGCATGCGAAGGGTATCCCTGTTGCACTGACTAGACAAGAGTACGACGCATTGAAACTGAAGCTTGTGAGGGAGCCGGAACCGCAGACTACGCTACAGGAGAACGCGGAAAGGCTTCGCGAAATGTACCCTGAGGCGCACTCTAGAGTTCCAGACCGGGTAGCCACATATCGTATGGAGAGCTTGAGGCTCGTGCTTCAGAAGGAGCGCGATCTCCAACGCCGTCGGCCTTCTCAGGATAGATACGAGTTGCGCTCCTCCCGCGCATGACTTTGTTCCTGCTTGCTGGCATTTCGCTTTACTACCCCGATACCCCTGTATAGTTATGCTTGCTGAAAGATTTGCATTAGGCGAACGTTGAAGACGCGTATGGCTCATGCCTTGCTCATGTACACTAGGCTTCCCGCAGCGTTCCGTACCGCTGCCCGACGTACTCGCTCGTCGCGACCGCCCTTATGGCTACCGGCGTACGCCCGGATGTGCGCTCACTAAACAGATACATCTCTTTAGGTCTTCTTTGCCGTGCTGTGCTAAACTCCTTTCGACTCTAAAAGAGTCTCACTACTCATCAAAGTCACTGTTTTTATTGAATACCATTCATCACTACTGAACCGTCGCTGCCAGAAGGGCGTTTCCTGCTGATCCAACCCGTCTTCTCTAGTCTTCGCTTCCCTGAGTGCCTGTGGTTTGTATCTCTGGTTGGAGTCTACAAAGACTGTCCTCCGACTCGGGCTTCTCCCATCTCGTCTTCACGGCTGACGGTGGGGCTTTTCTCGTCGCTGGATCCGCTTCAGGCGGGTCGGTGAGGAGGAAGTGCTGTGTGTGTCGGGGGAGGGCAAGTCGCTGGCGAGGTGCGTGAGCTTTTCGTTTTTGGTGCTTTTTTGACTGCGGTGAACGCCAAAGGTGCTGGGCTGTGGTGGTGGTTCACTTGGTCTATCCGCAGGCTGCCTTCCTTGTAGTGTCAAGCTACTTAAAAGATCACCCTACTTGCACAACTTGGATGTTACGATCGTTCAAGCGATTGTAGCAGCTGAACTCTGCGTATGTGATCATTCAATGCCTTACGCATGCAAATAACAGACTTCACTACCAAGAATCCTCTGCTTCACTCTTTCACTTCAACTCCCTCGTTTCGCGGCAGTGAGCTCACCGCTGTTTTCCCTTGTCTCTAGAGAACTGCCCGGCGGCGTGATCGGCCCGAAGGAGGTGGTGAAGGAGATGGGGGCTTCTATAAAACGCCCACTTTCTGACTAGCGCCCCCGTCTTTCACACAACAACACCAGTTACACCACACTCACTACAATACGACGGCTCCACGACTTCACGACTTCATGACTTCACGTTTATCAACACTCGTTCTCACTTGTCACCAGCTACACATAACAACAAGAAGGCATATTCAGCTCATACAGCCTACAGGTACGTAGCCGTAAGGATAACAAGTGGTGTTAGATCCTCCCTCATACCCTAGTGCCCTCACCGTCTTATGTGAATTATCACGACTTCCCTTTACCTAAAATACTAGAACTTTGCTAGCAACATAAACTACTACGCTTAGGGTGGACTAGTATTATATATACTTACTCTCTAAGGTGTAGGTACCATGTAATATAACCTCTTTAGTAAAATGTATATTGCGACCGAAGCTAATATATATGCCTTACAGATCGCGGTAGATTCGACATGGCGTACCAACTCCGGCCTAGCAACCACAGCACCCTCCTCTTCAAAGCGTCGGCCTCTGCTCCAACAGGCTCCGTTGAACTATTCGACGACAACAGATATGGATTCTGTGTTAAGAGAGATCGACGTTGCATCGCGTCCGCCTCTGAGGCCAGGCCGTGTTCATCGTGCAAGGACGCCCATGAGGGTTGTGACTTCGCACAAGTAGGTACTGCAGGTCCTTTAGCTTTGCTAGGCACTAACATCGACCCTAGGACGGTAGGAAGAGATCGAAGCAGCCGCTCCACACGAAGGCGAAGCACTCAACTGCTTCATCAACCATTTCACCCTTGTCGAGTGTCATGGAGAACAACACCCCCTCTCTTGCCACTGCTGGCGCTACTACCCGGCCCTCACGCTACCCCATCACCGCCACAAATGCCAGTACGCGATCTTCAAGCTCTGCCGCCGCCGCCTCGACCGTTGTCTCCGACCAGACGGCAGCACCTGTGACGCATGCGCAGATTCATCTGATGCAAGCGGAGCACAATAGGCTGACTCGTCGAGTCCGGTTCCTAGAAGACGAGAACCGCGGTTTCGGAGAGCGCCTGACGGCGCTCGAACGAGCGAGACGTTAGATCCTCTCGGTCTATCTCCGCTTGCTGACATGCTCGGTTTCTCTATGATACCCCAGGAGTTCTCAGACTACAACTTCTGTTGTAGGTGGTTTTTGGGATTCTTTCACTTCGGAGCTGCCTTATGTCTGCTTTTCCTTTTCTTTTCTTTTCTTTTCTCTTCTTTCATCTTGGATTCACTGGGACCCAGCTGCTTCTCTTTGTCTTGTTCGAGATCGCGTTGCACGGAAGAAGGTTGCGGCGGAGATATTGCGTTCTCATGGGCTTCAGGGAGGATTTAAACGGTTGCAAAAACGATTCTTCACTGATGGCGCCGGCACTTCTTAAGCAGTCTGGAAGGCAAAAGCTAGCCGACCTTAGGTACACTTAGCATACAGTCCATCCTTCACCATAAACATGGCAATTTGAAGTTGAGTGAATCATCTAAGATATCTACGAGCGGACACCTGCCAGCAGACAGCCATTCACGTGACCCACAGGATCCACGGAACGCCTTACCGCATTGAAACTCGCCAACCAAGCGGTCCGCAGTCAGTCAACCAATCATCAAGCGAAGACTAGTTACTTTAGCCAATCAATCGACAGGCCAGCAACCAATCAAAAAATTGACCGAGCCTCATCTGTAAGTGAAAGCCATCTTCAGACTTCACTCAGTTTCTCAGGTACCTACATCTGAGTGTCATGACATTTCCTTCACATCGTAGATCTGAACTCGGGTTGAAGCTCATGATCTTAGAACGAGGCCGGGCTTTTCTTAAGCTTGCCTGTCGTTGGTTGTGGGGGGGGCATATTGTTGCTCCCACACCTACAACATTCCCATCATGATCTTTGCTAAATCGCACATCTTGTAGCTTCCACCGATCTTGGTGACCTACTCCTAGTTCCCTATGACGACGAAGTCCATCATACTTCAACATCACGGCTCTGGAACATCAACGATCAGTGAAGATGTGCATACTCATCAAAAGCGAAACGCCAGAAACTTGGCCAGTCCCTTCAACACCAGCTCCCCAAAACACTCCAGTCCACCGTACGCTTATTGCAGTCTTGAAGATACGCTTCATGGAGCGACTCTGTGACGACCGGTGCGAGAGCTGTATAAAACGGGATGACCAATGCTTGGTGCCTGCGGTGGAACGATCTTTTGCGATGAGCTGTCTTCGGTGCAAGAGCTTAGACGAAGACTGCCTGTTCTCTCTCGTGAGCATCACGGATTATCTGTATCTACAGTTGCTGACTCAGACGACAGAAAGACGGTAAGCGGACGAAGCAAGCGCCTAAGAAGAGACGCAAAGTCCAAGACGATGTCGACGGCCCCAGGACTTCGGCCAACAGTGCCCCCACTCCGACGCCAACTCCTACAACCACGACCACGACTACGACCGTCCGCCGGAGTCCTTCTCCTCGCCTGACGGCCGCTCCTTCTTTCGTCTGTCCCGAAATATCGCCATCCTCCACTCCTGACCCCCAAATCCGAATCCTGCAGGCTGAGAATGATCGGTTGAGCAACCGCGTCGACTCTCTGGAGGATCAGCTTCGTGCCCTGGAAAAGCGTGTCAAGGAGTTGGAGCGGGCCGCTCATTAGGTGCCCTTGCTTTGCGCCTCTTTGCTGGCGTTCTCCGCTCTTTTGAACTCGGCTTCCCTTTTGGATACCTCTGGCGTTCTCCGCCGCTTTTCTATGCTACATTGGCCTTTGGTGTGCCCTTCGTTGCTACCTTTGCGGCACGTCGTAACATTTCTCTTCTTGCCCCCTATTTCATGAACACGCCTCTACTTTGGAAGGCGCAGGCGATGACTCCTTCGGGTCTCGGCTAGTATTTAGTCAACAGTTACGATGGCTCCCACCTTGAGATCTATGCATGTTCGTGGTAGCCCTAATCAAAATTCAACAGATTGTGCGTACGTGTTATGAATCTTACATCAACACCTGTTCCAGGCTTTGCTTCTTGGCTAGTACCCGTTCTGGCTGCGGCTGATGATGTGGCCTCCCCAGCACTCGCAACCCTCTTCCATTAGCCACTCTTGTTGAATTAACCCTGTATGACCTTGCGCGTGTCTGGGTCGAACTGCACCTCCGGCCTTCCTATCTCCTCTTGGGAATGCGGTTCAGGGTGGGAACAGGCCGATATTACTTTGCACCCCACCGCCTTCTCAGCAAGTTGACGCCATGCTCTAGATATTCTTCCCTTGTTACAATCACGCTCTTCAGCCTCTCCCTGTCACTTGCAAATCTCGCACCGCCGTTCCAGGTGTATGTGATCGGATCCTCAGGGGAGGCCTACTTGCGCGAGTCAGTGCCGTTCAGGTTCCTTACAGTCCGACGAACGTGTCCGAGGTGCGCGCATATCTCGAGAGCAGAACAGAAAATGCGTAGAGAGATTGCTCAAGCACCAGCAAGCTTCGCAAGACAAAAGAACAAAAGCCATCGACACTCCGGCTCTGACTCACCACTCTAACGATCCACTCCGCCGGCGCTTTCATCCTGATCTCCCGCTCCAATCTCTCCACAAACCCCTTGATCAGCGCGTTCCCCCCCACAACCACCACATTAGCCAGCATCGCCGGCCTCAACCCCACCGGCAGCGCCTCCAAACACTGCATCACCAGCTCCGGCAAGCCCGCTTCCCTAAGCCCCACATCCCTCGGCTCAAACAGCAGTTCCGGAACGCTGAACCGCTCATTGCCCAGGGGTAGCACATCCTCCCTAGGCCCATGCACGGGGCCCGTCCGACGAAGTCTCGACTGCGCCGGATCACGCGGCCGCATGAACCCGCGCTTCACGTTCTCGTAGTCCGGCAAGACGTAGTCAACAACGATGCTCGTGCCGACGTGTTTCCCGTCCCTCTGGCCGCCTTTCCACGTCTCCTCAAGGTCGGCCGCAAAGGAGCTCGAGACGTAGCACGCGTCCTCCTTGACTTGGTTGACCAGGTGCGTCTCGTCCATGACGTCGTAGGTGCCGTGGGTCGAGATTGTTTCTTTGAGGTGGTTGGTCAGGTGCTTGCCGCCGATGTCGAGGCGGCGGATCGCGGGGTGGAGCGGCCGCCCGGAGAGGAGCGGCGTTATGGTTGTGTGGGAGTAGCCGCTGTCAATTAGGAGTAGGAGTTCTGTTGGCAAGGGCGCAGGTGGAGCGGAGAAGAGGGTGGGGGTGTCGTTGTAAGCGTTTAGGGATGATCCTGTAGAGGCGTTAGTGTGGTGAGGATAGAGCTCATGAATTGTATTGGGCCATGGGTTATATCTTCGTGACAACGCTCAGGAGCTTCGCCCTGATGTCGCTGCAACAATGACTTTTAAGACATCAAAGGTATGTAAAGGCTTGCTTGAAGAGTGAGAAGCATCTTTGTGGGTTCTCAAAAGACCGACAGAAAACTTTCTTGGCAGGACCCACGCGATGTGGCTGACTGATAAAAACCTAATAGTAAGATGGTACCGAGGGCCCGTCTACACTCGTAGTGACTTCAGACTGGAAACAAATAAGACTTACGAACCCAAACACCTATAATACCCCCCAAACTCAAACTCCTCAAACACCATCTGATCGCAATTGCTCTGCAGCGCGAACGGACAATTCGGAGCCTCCGTCAAGACCAGATTCGTCTCGTGCGGATCGCACCTCAGAGGCGCCTGCTCGTCAAAGAAGGAGTGCTCCCAGATGGCCCGCTCGCTTTCCCAGTTGATGATGAAGCCCTTCTCCATCGGACGGCGGAAGGCGAGTTCCCCGAAGTCGCGGCATTGGGAGAGATCGGAGGCGATGTAGGTCTTCTTGTCGCGGGGGCTGCGGGCTATGCAGTTGGGGATTATGTGGCAGGTTGGGGACTGGATAGAGAGTTTAGTACAGTTTAGACCTGATTTATAGACGCTCTGAATGCGTTTCCTGGTTCTCCCGAACCAGAGAGGATACTATTGAGTTCGCTATCAGAGGAGTGTATGAACATCACGTGCCACTGACCTCCGCCGCTGATGCGGGACTTGCGAAGCCGGCTTTGATGGTATAGGCGCCATTGTCGACGACGAGGGTCCTATCTTTGAGCTGCTGGGCTTCAGTGGAGTGGATTTGCCGCGGCATTTGATCTTGTATACAAAACGGGAGGTTGATGAGATGGAATGCTTTACTCTGATGCTTCAGTTGGGGTGAAAATTACTGACATAAGCGTCTTGTATCCCACTAAAATTACATCCCTCGTCATCCGCAGCCCGCTCACTTTTTTCGTCGTCCTTCCCACAGTCGTGCTTTGCATCACATCTACTCCTCTCTACATCAGGACACACCACTCCCCAACATCTCGTGGGAATCAACACACAATGCCGCCCTCCCCCTCACCCAAAGACCTCCAAACCCTGCGCACCCAAACAACCACCCTCTCCACCCTCCTAACGCATTATCTCTCTCTCCTCTCGCCCACCTCCACCACCGCGCCAACTCCACCTCCAACACTGCCCCCAAACCCGCCACCTCACCTCCCCGTCCTTGCAGACGCAGCCAAACTCCTCAAAGCGCACACAACGAAGCTAGGCCTACTCCTCCTCAACAAGCCCTTTTCGCCGACCGCAATAGCGAAGGTACTGGCCGAGGTCAGCGCAACGTGCCTCCCGGCCATGATGTCCGCGGTGCAGATTTGCGATGCGCGGAGCGAGGTCTGGGGAGCTGTCATGGTGGCGGAGGTGCGGGCAAGAGTGAGGAGGGTGGTTGTGGAGGTGCGGGGGTTGGTGGGGGAGGTGGAGAGCCAGCTTGAAGACATCGCTCCGGCTGGCAGCAGTAACGGGGTAAACGGGGATGGGGAGAAGAGGGAGGGGAGGGATACGTTGGCGACTACGGGGGTGGTGTGGGAGGCTTGCGATGCGTTGAGTGAGTTGGCGACGCTGGGTGTGGTGGGGTTGGTGGTTAAGAAGGCGGAGCAGTATCGCGCGACGTTGCTGGATGCGGTTGCGGAGTTGAAGGAGTGGGGCGAGGATGAGGGGGACGACGAGGATGGAGAGGAGGGGAAATGGAGCGGTGATGACGAAGAGGATGACTTCGACAACGCGTTCGATGCGCCGAAGCTTCCGAGAGGTCAGAAGGAGCTACGCGCTCAGCTTGAGGCGGCGCTCAAGAAGCTGAAGATGGTGGGGATGTTGTATCAGGCGCTTGCTAAGAGGAGGTTGAAGACGTTTCCATTTAGTGGTACTACGGCTGGAGATTGGTCGGGTGATGCCTGGTCGATGGGCATATTAGATCGGGTGATGGAGACACTGAAAAGCATCCCGGAGAGCGTGGACGAACTGGCAAGCGCTTTTTACGAATTGGATGCGGTCGAGGCGAAGAAGCGCCTAGAGGAATGCTGTAAAGATGCAGTGGCCGCGAAGGATTTGGTGGCGCAGAATTGGGAGGGAGAAGAAGACGAGTTTACAACTTGGTCGCAAAAGTGGAACCAGGCTCTGAGTTCCTAAGCATTAATTGAATAATCTGCGGTATGCAGAGACGAAGATAACGCGGCCAAGATTGCGGCCTCTCCACATGGACGTACTTAAATGTGCGCGATCCAGATGTCGATATCATCACGGTACGCTAGTATTCCGCTATAGCCAGTATTACCAACCACTGAAGCGCTGCACAGAGCGTCTTATAGCACCAACAAACCCAACGCAACAGCAGCTCCAACACCAAGCCCGCTAACACCATGCGACACAGCCGCATTTGTGGTCTGAGCTGCTCCTGCCGCAGAGCTCGTCATTGTCGCAGTCGCGGTAGCAGTCGTCATGCTCCCCGTCACGGTCGCGGCTCCGCCGGTGGCGCTGGTCACTGATACTGACGACACGCCGGCTGCGGCGCATACGGAATTGGAGGCTTCCTGGGCGCCTGTGGAGCTGTTAGCGTGCAGTCCAACCCCAGCTCTCGTCCAATGCAGCTGGCTGTAGCGTTGTGGCAATGAGGTCGGAGTGTCAAGTGTTGTGGGTACGATGGGAGGGACTTGATGGGAAGGACGTACGTCGTTGGTCATCGGCGTTGCATGCTGACTGGATACACGGCTGTGCTGCGTTCTGGATCGCCTGCGCGCCTGTTGTGCACTGGCAGACGAAGTCGGAGCTGCCGCAGTTGGACGCGCCGATTCCGGTGGCTAGACATGCGATCTGTTGAGGTCGTGGACACTCGTTAGCTTTCTATGTGTCTCTGTTGCCCATCGGCGATTAAGATCTTGCCGTGAGTCGCTGTGGGTCTCTACATGTGAACTCCCGGAGAGGGATGCTGGGCTCGACGTACGGCACATTGAGGAAAATTCCTGAGCAGTTCCGCGGCGTTCTGTGCGAGGGCGAGAGATGCGCCGAAGGCGAGGATGGTGGTATATGCGAACTTCATGGTGGGCGGTGCAAGGAAGTCTGTCCTGGTTTCGAGGTGTACTGTTTCTTGATCCTCTATCGAAAACGGTCTATTAAGTTGAAGCGTAGCAGAAAAGGAGCGACGGTGACAGCTGCGAGAAACGCGATATGAGCAGAATCAAGTGAGAGACACGCACACGTCAGCAATGGCGTACAGAGCGAATTAAAAGGTCTAAGTAACGATAAAGTTTACAGAAAAGCCAAGAGGAGAGGAATGCCCTGCACAGACCCGCTAGCCCTAAATCCAAGCCCTAAGGGTCCTGAGGATTCAACTTCCCGTCCGTTCTCGTCCCCAGCAATTTCAAACTCTATCCATCCAGTGCTCGAGTATTCTCTAGCTCTGACCACACGACCTTAGCCTCTTGATCACAGAGGTGATGTGACATAACCGACAGCTCCTCGCTCAGGTTACTGGTCTCCGTCCTCGGCGCTCCCATTACTCGATGACTTAAAATGAAGCTCCATCGTCTTGTGCGAAATCAAACCCTTGCATGATCAGCTGGAATAGCACCGGGGGCACCCTTGGCGTCGTTTTTGCTGCAGCCACCGTGTGCAACACGGCAACACGGCATGCACGGCTGCATGCAAAACACGCTTGATTCCGGCCGATCAGTTGCGCTGGACGCTTATTGGTCACACTAAATCTCCGCCGCCCTGGATCCTGGATGAGGATCAGGGGTGTGGGGAAGTGCTTCCGGCGAGCTGAAATGGCTTCCGGCTCGCTTCTGGGCTTCTGGACGTAGAAGAGTGAGGGGCATGGGGAGTGAGAACGAGAGAGAGAGTGGCTGTCGCTTGGGGTGGAGGGCTAGGTAATGCTGGGGCTGATAGAACAGTAAGACGTTAGGATTCTTCGTGCAGCAAATTCCGTGTTGGGTTTGTGAAGCTCATTCTACGGTTAACCCGGGGACTGTGGTCGGAGTGTCAGGGAGTGGGCAGCAAGGGATGCTCATGTTGCTGTTGTGCGGAGCTGGTGAGTGGAAGTGAGGGGTTATGAACGGTGTTGACATGTGGAGAGGGCGGGAAGGTTTGGTTATGTGCGGATACGCTGCTGCTGCTGACGCCGGTTCTGAGCAAGTATCCATGTTGGGAAAAAGCGCAAAAAGAAGGGAAGGAAAGTCAAAGCGAATGCTTCCGAAAGGAACATCCCCTAAGCCAAAACGGACCATGCATCATGCTGCGTCCTGAAACCTCACAGTCACACAACCTGCGCGAAAACGGTTTGAATGCTTATTGTACTTGTGCGACACTCTCTTCCTATTACGGTTGCATTACACAAATGACGGGAGGTGCCACCTTCTGGCCTCCACCTCAGCAGCCCAAGCAGAGACTGCCTGCCGTATCCCACGGTCCACTCGCGGAAAGCCCCCCTATCATGGGCATGCCGATACACCGCAGCTATGCTATTCCGGCCCCCCAGACCCGCTGAAAACGCCGGGAACAACCCGTTGCCACCTGGACATGTAAAAAAGAGAAAGTGTGGTATCGAGCTTTTCGCTGAGAGTAAAGAAAGACATCGCAGCAGGCAGATCAAGTAAAACAGATGGGGTGAGAGGACCGCCGTGGTATAAGAGAACAGAATAGCGTGGTAGAGCTTTTGTGCCCGCAAACTTTGTTGGGTAAAAGTCCCTCGGAATCCAAAGAAGATGAAGGGATTGACCTTGTAGCCGTGAACAATCATGTGCGAGAATATATAGACAGCGAAGTGAAGCGATTGTGCGTCCGATCTGGTCGGATGGTTCAGAACATAGCACCATCAGCAACGGCCGGCCGCGGTGGCATGGGGGCGCTTGGAGCGAAGACGTCCTGTTGCCTTAGATTCCTCCCCTCGCTTGAAGACTTCCTGAGTTTCGGCTTTGGGTTGAACTTGCCATCCTCTGCGTCTGAGGAGAACGCGCGTGCTGCTCCCATGCTTACTCGCGGCGGTGAGATATCCTGCGGCTCTGCGTGTGAGCGTCCGAAACCGAAGCGCCGCCGGCGAGGGTTGATGGGCGGGACTGGTGGTGAGTCATCCTGGCCGTTCTTGAGTGACGCACCGGGCGGAAGGTCGACGGTGTCGACTACGGAGGTGGAGGAAATGAAGCATGGTTCAGAGATGGCGGACTTCTGGATGGAACGTTTTCGAGCAGTAGGTACTCGGTGAGAAGGAATGATGGTGGCGGCGTTGAAATTTGATGCTGTGGGTGTAGACGCTGCAGATATCGGCGGCGTGATATTGACGGAGTAAGGTGAGGGAATCGGTGACGGTCGGATGGAAGTAGCATTGGAACTATAAAGTCCAGGTGACGGACGAGGCGAGACACCAGGGGAAGGTGTGGCTGACGAACCAACAAGTGGGCTGTAAAGAGCCGAGTGACCTGGATGCAGCGATTTCGGATCGAAGTAACTAGGAGCAGGCGGTCGGCTAGTACTCCTCGCGCGAGACCGCTGGGAGAACCCAGGGTGCTGATGCTGGATCGCGGCTTCGTGAGACATACGAGGGGAGCTGGCGTAGGCGGAGGGCAGAACAGGCGAGATATCTGGATGAGAGCCCGACTTCGATCCGGTGCCTTCTACCATGGCTTTCTCCAAGTCGTCCCGATAGCGTCCAGTACGACTTCTTGAGCGCCCAGAAGAAACCTCTGAGCTGGATCGGTTTCGCAGCGATCCCTGACTTGAAGCTGGTGTTGAACCACCGTTCGGGTTGCTACTGCGCTCGGTGCTGCAGCCACGTTGTGCTTGCTGTTCGAGCTCTCTCTGGGCGTCCTGCTCACTCTGCTGTGGCACTCTTCGAGTTCTGAAACGTGCCAATGGCCCCTTAGACGGGTCTTGAACGTTGCGCTCCTCATCTAGGCGCGGGTCCTCATTGCTGTTGGACCTCCCGGTCAATCCCACTAAAGAAACGCTGCTGGTGTTAGTCGAAGCTGAGCCTAGGCCGAGCATCTTGAGCGCCTTCGCTGGCGTCTCTGTTTGTCGGGCCGCTACGAAATCCCCACTAGGCTTAGTTTTCAGTAATCCGCCCCATGCCTTCAGAGTACTTGACACGCCGGGAGCCGGACTCTCCGATCGGACCTCGTTGTCCACTTTGTTGCGCAAGCTTTCCTGGATAGCCTTTTGCCTCATGGCGAGTTCATGGGCGAAAGCCTCGCGTTCTTGCTGGGTCTCCGTGCTGCCATCTCTGTTGTGTGTCTTGCGCAACTCCTGCTCCCATGATGTCGTGCTAGTCGCTTGCTGCTCGGAACCAGCGCCTTTCGATTGAACATTGAGCGGTCGTTTCTTTTCTTTAGCGCTGTCGACTGGACTTGCGGAACTGAAACTCTCAGCTTCTCCGTACGAGCCGTCAAGATCTTCCAAGTCAAAGGGATTGGAACGACTGTAGGTGGAGTGTGCCTCAGTGTCCGTTTCGGAGTCGACTGGACCCCGTAGCCTAGTGTTGGTGTCACGTGGCTGTAGGACATTAGGGTCAGCGGCTGTGAGGGGGGCAGGTAGGACGTTGTAGAGCGATGACTGGTTGCTCGTGTTTCGAAGATGTTGACGAACTAAGCCACTGAGCCCACCATTGGTAGGTCCGAGGGTTGGAGAATCTACATCTGTCGCATCAGATTTTACGATGGATGGTTTACGACCGGCTTGTTCGCTGTCTTGCTCCGGGTACAGCACGTCGACTTTGGGCATGCTGTTCACTTGACTCTCTGATTCCTGAGACCGGAACGCTGGGTGATCTGCCACGGGTGGCGGAACAGGATCGGATGGCGCGACCACGTCGGGTGAATAGTTTGGCGAGGTGCCTCCCACAAGTGGCCATGCTTCTGGCGCAGGTTGGTCATTCTCCTCCTCGCTATCACTTTCAGCACCGGAAGCGAAGAAAGTCTGTCGGGGGCCAGGTGAATCCTGTTCTTGTTTTTCGTTTGAGCCGTTCAGTGTTGCTGTCTTCAGTTGGCTCATCGCATTGTGAAACACGGAGAAAGCGGTGGGCGCTGGCTTCTGGCTCAGCGAGGGTGTCCGCGACCGGCCAACAGCGTTGGCTTCTGCGCGCCGCCGTTCGAAGTCTGCCCGTATCTCTTGCACGGGTCGCGCCGGTGACTTCCCACGTGGCGGTGACTTTCTGGGTGGCGGTGATTTTCTGCGCGGCGACAATTTTCTGAGCGGCGGCGGTGTGTCCCTACCTTGTTGCATCTGTAGTTGCCGCTGTAGGTACTGTTGCTCATCAAACTTGGCCTGCGGCTTGTTGAAGGCGCCCATGGCTGTAGCTTTACCTCGATCGTTGGGATCGATAGCAGCTGATAGGGTGTCTGCCTCCGGTGCAGGACCCAATGGGCTCAACGGCGGAGACGTAGGATAACTTTGCGAAGGGCTTGAGCTGGAAGAGTGGGATTCTTTCGCAATCCCGAACGTGGCGATGTTGCTGAGCGGCGCAGAAGGCGGTGGGCTACCAGCTCTGAAAGCAGTGGGCTGCCGGTTGAAGCGATCTTGAAGATTCGAAGTGCTCTTGACTTGACCAAGGTGCGGTGGGATCGGCTTGCGGTTCATTGTGCGCTGGCCTTGGATGGAGTTTAATCGGTTCAAAGCCGAGTGCTGTTGATCATGCATGTCGCGATCGAGTCCGTGTTCGTAGAGTCTCCTTGCTTTGGTGTTGGACCGATCTAATGCAGCCGTCGCTGGATCCGATGGAACGGAAGAATAAGGCGCGGGTACTGTAGTGGCTTCTTGAGAAGCGATTGATGTTGCAGCGGTCGAGGAAGAGCGAGCGAGTGACTGTCCGGATGTTGTTGACGATGATGTCTGCCGCTTTTGATGACATTCTGACAGTGAAGACGCATGTGACGGATTATCTTCCTTTGAACCCTCGAGTTCCTGGTCTTTGGTCTCGCTCCGGGCCTGTAGATTTCTTGCTGCTTCTGCTGCTTCGCGCTCCTCGCGCTTGAGCTGTTGAAATGCAGAAACGCTCACATCGTCCTCGTAGAGAGCTCTGCCGCCCATTGCCCGTGTCGAAACGTTTCCAAGGATATTCGTCGGTGGCGATGCGCCCACTGGAATTTTGTATATCTTCTGCCGCCCTCCGAATAGGACGTTGGTTTCTCCTGGCCTTGCCCTGTTCATTATGCTCCCGCCTGCCGCAGCATCCTCATCCGTCCCGTAGCTATCGAGAGAACCTTGTCGTGCAGAAGCAAATGGTGGCCTGACAGAGCCCTTGGTTGACGAATCCTCCGCAATATCGGAGAGTCCTGTGGGCGCATATCCGAATTCCACGAGTCTCGACTGTCTCCTCGGCTGTAGTACGCTGTCGTCGCTAGCCTTGCCTAACTTTGAGGTTGGATCGTCCTGCTCCCGGAGCATGCTAAAACGAGCCGACAGGTTGGGCATAATCAGGCTAGTCCGGAAGTCGTCCTTCGATGGGAGCGCCGAAGTTAGGTCAAGCTCAGGCTGCGCCTGGCCTTGTCCTTTTCTCCCATCTTTCTTCTTCCTGGTCAAAAAGCGATTCATTGTCGCTTTATATAGGTCAGTGATATATATACTATGGCGCGTACGCTGGCTTGAAGAACGTTCTAACGACAAGCGCCACGAAGCGCAAGGCGAGCCTTCCACTCTACTCATGGCGCAAGATAGAAAATACGTACAAGGTGGTGGAGGAAGCTGGCCAGCGGTGGCATGAAACTATTACGGCCTGGTTTTCGCGCACCTGATGCTGCTTCTTTCAGGTCGCTGTCGTGCTTGAGGGTTGCGCGCTGCTCGGATTGTTTGTGCGCCAGGCCTACTCAATAGACGTGTCTAGTATGTTGCACAGAGTACTAAAATGGTCAGCCCCGTCAGGCAGACTTCTCGAATAGGTGTATGAACGGGTCTGGGCATGGCGCTTATACGACGTCGCAAGCTCAGAGAGGAAAGCGAAGCAAGGCACTTACGGCTTCTTACATCAACCGATTACAGAATGAAGCTGGAGTGACGTTGGTAGGTTTTGAAGAGCGCGTCTCCATTCAGGTTGACGCAGCTGTCTGAATTTGCGAGGTCGAGGTGAACGAGCGAAGGAAGTGGTGTTTCAAACGAGTGTGGTGCCAAAAGGCAATTCAGTGTGTGAGCGCTGTGTGGCGTGTTGCCAAAGGAATGTCAGGAGTCAACTCGGTGCTGGACAAAGCTCTTGTCTCGGAGCATCAATCTCAGAGACTCTGCGTTCCAGCTAAGAGGTCAATGTGTGCAAGTTGAAGGCCGAAAAGCGACGCCTTCGTAGGACTGACGCCAGCGCAGAGAAGGTGAAAGTGAAGTGCGAGAGAGTGAAGCCTCGAGGCCAAGGAGAGAGGTTGCTGGATGTTGGAAATCTCCACGTGAGGAAGAGCACGCTTGTAGGCCGCCTGAAGGCCCCGGCAATAGAGCAATTTCAGCGCGGTGCAAGGGAGACACCCGGCCTGGGAATTCATTTCCACTCAGGGGCCCGAGCATAAGGCGAAGCGGAAGATCCGCTAGCGAGCAGCTGAAGCAAACGCCAACCAAAGCATAAAGCAGCAGAGTCGGACGCTCTGCTCTCTCTGCTCTCCCTTACCGCGGGCCTGCTCTGCGGTTCACCTTACCGCCACGAGTCACCACCACGAGGAGGCTGTTGCCCAGGTGGTGATGGCCGCCTGTCGTTTCACCCGACGCTTAACAGCCCACTAGCGCAGGGACGACGAACGCGAACCAGAGATTGACGTTTGAAGCGAGCGGGAGGCATGCGCGATGATGCATTAGGGCCATGGCATTCCGAGGGGATCCAAGCCAGTGAGAGCCTCCATCAACACCACCTCATTGCCTATCTCTGAGACGTGCTCACAGCTCTAAACTCGCCTGAAAGGCTACCCAATAAAGAGACACAAGCATTGCTTCTCCAACTATTCCCATTGTGACTCGGTTCTTGCCTTCGCTGCGCGAAGAAACTCTATGGGCGGAGTTTTACCTCAGCACGAAACCGCGGCGCCGCTGCGGTGGGCGAGCGCCTGTGCAAAACGCTGGAGCCATCTAGCTTGACGGCATTACCACCAATCACGAACTGCTAGACCTCAGGGGGCGTTGTGATGGGGCTGAGGTGCTTCAGAACCCGAATCACGATGTGGAGGCTGACTAGCTAGACTTGGATAGCTCAGTCTACCCGCCATCCGGGACGTCGTTTTGACACGGACGTTGAGCCGATGGAGCCGCGGCGCGTTTGCTCGTGGGCCCTCTCTAGGCCTTCTCGCTGCTGATACGGTTGGGCCTCAGTCGGGATGCACTACAAAGAACCCTATCAATGCAGCTTCAGGCATCTCGAGTCACGTATAAGATGACCCTAGAGAGCACGAGTAATCAACACGGTTTTAGTAGCTGTCTCTCCAGATCGTGCTGTATAGCCCGGTACATATGCCGATCACGTCCTCCACTGTGCATCATGTTAGCGACTTGCTCGCAGGCCAAGAGTTCTTGTCCTACCCCTGGATATGCGTTCACGACACGAGATGATGGCGGTGAGACGAGCGTGTTTCAGCCGCCATAGACAGGACTAGATAGTCAAGGCGAAGGCGAAGGCGCAGTAGTGGCGCGGTAGAACTCTGGTATTCAACGTCTAATCTGCAATGCAGTTTCGTTTACATCAAACACGAAGTAGCACGACGCAGCTGCAGATATCTCCTGCTACAACCTTACTCTCGTGACAGCCCACAGCAACGATAACATAGTCATGACGCGTGTTCGGCGCGTGAAATGTGGGGTAGATGAGGAATGCCTCCAAGAGAGCGAGGTGAAACGAAGCAATTTCAATGCAGGCTTCAGATGCTTGTGTCTATCTAAATGACGGCATATCGATCAAACGCCACAGCCAACCGACCTACAGTTCATCCCGAGTGGGAACGGTCCCGCTGTCAGACGCAAGCCCGCAAACGGCCGGCGTGCCAACCTCCATCCTGTAAACGCACTTCTCCTCCTCCACAACCTTCCAGATCTCGTCCTTTTCGCCACACGCCAAGATAACCTTAGTGCTCCTGTTTGGCCCGTTCCAGCAGTGTTGCCCGTTCTCGAATTTCAGCGCCCACCGCTCACCGGACCCCAGTCCTTTACCATCGGCAGACAGATCCTCGTCTACCGTGACTTTCTCGATTCGGACAAAGTTGCCCATGCCTGTGTGCGCGCCACCCTTCCTAGATTTCTGTGTGGTCTTCTCCATCCAGCAGAACTCATACGTGTATTCCCCCGAATCTTGCGACACGCATTGTCCCTTGAGTGCACGGAAGATGCCGTCGGGACCGTAGTCCTTCTCGAGATCTGCCTTGTGAGAATCGATCCCTTCGCGGTTCTTCCGCAGCTCGTCTTGCGCTGTTCTCAGACGGGTTCTCGCATCTGTGACTGCTTTTGACTCCGAACTATCTGAGCTGCTCCCGCGCGCAAGGATGCCGTTCTCGATGAGGGTTTCGCGCAGGTCACGCAGCTTTTGGTGCACCCAGTCTCTCAGCGATTTGGGAAGGTATTCTTCAAATTTGTAGACTGCCATATCGTTAGCGGACTGCGTGAGAGTTGTTCCGCCGGCAGCTGCACTTACGGACTTCGACATCACTCTCCTCGACGTGCTCGAATTCTTCCCAGTTCAGCCCATTCTCCTCGTCTGACTTGAGGATCTCATCCAGATCCCGCTCATGTGCACCATCCGCCTCAGGCGATTGTTCGTTTGCAGCATACTCTTCCCAGCTCCTGACCGCCCTCTTGACACCCATGTCATTGTAGTTGGGATCATACTCCTTCTGAAAAGTCGAAAGGATACCCTCTAGCTTCTTGACTATCTCCACACTCTCATCACGCTGCCTCCGAACCTTGAGCAAACTCTCCCTAAGCTCCTCAATCCGCGGCCTTGCCATACCAGCCAGCACGACCAGCTTCCCCCCCTTCCCAGGCCCCTTGACGACCTTCCCCTTCTCACTCCTCTCCACCTCCTTAACCTCCCTTTCCAGATCCGCAACATGCATCTCCGAGGCCTCGGTCTGCGCCACCAGCGTCTCGATCCTATCCTCGACCTCCTTCCGCATCCTCTCCGCCTCCTTAACCAGCTCTTTCCTCCTCCTCATCGCCGCCCCAAGCGCCTGCTGCCTCGCCTCATCCAGCTTCCTTGCCTCCCTCCCAATCTCCTTGCACCTATCTTCACACTTTACGCCTCCAACCCCCGCCCACTCGTCAGAGCCATCGCAGCACAGCTCGTAGTCGCAGATACCATCGTTAACGTATGTGAACGGGATGTAGGCCGGCTGGTGGCCCTTGTTCTTGCAGTAGTAGCCCGGCAGCGCGTTCGAGGTGTTCAGGTCGCCCGTTACGGTGTCGGCGGGGGACGGCGGGGAGAGTGGAGAGAGGAAGGAGCAGGCGGAGGTGCCGGGCTCGTCGGAACCGTCGGGACAGTCGCAGTAGTCGTCGTTGAGGCGGGAGGCGGAGATGTGGATGCTGGGGGCGGATATGCAGGTGAACGTGTCGGGGGATTTGTAGAATTTGGCGACTGGTGACTGTGTGATTAGCTGTTGTTTGCGTGTGCGGGAGTGGTAGTATATGTAGACGCACATTCAGGGCCTACACCCCGAGGTCTTGGGGGGTCTGAGGCCGCGAGTACTCCGCCAATGGCAGGGCTGAGGAGCAGTGCCTCTAAATACTTTGCCCTCATCTTGAGAAGAGCTACGATCGAGCTTCGTTGTCTCGTAAATTGCAGAAGCTCTACAGCCGTTTGGGCCAGCTTTCTATTAAATATAGCCGAAGATTTCCCGGGCAGTTCTCAATTGCCAATATATTCACGCCTCCACTCAAGTATCATACTACACTGCCGAGTTTACCTCCTACAAGTTCTATGAAGAGCGGGTCATGAATAATGGCAGGTCATAACGCGGTGAAGGACGGGTACGCCCGCAGCTATGCGGTACTGGCAAGTTACGATCATATAGAAGCTGCGGCAGAATCACAGGTCCTTTACAGAATTAAGAACATCTCACGTAAAGCTTGAACGTCGACCTCAGAGGCGTCGGTAGGTAGGGAATAACAATTGACGTTACACGACTAGTCGTCGAGGTCACTTGCTTCAGGTAGGCAGAGCCTGCCCATAGAATCGATGGATCCTTCCCATCTCACCCGCGTTTCCTCCCTCGCCATATCCGGTCTCCAAAATTCACCGCCCTGTAACCCGCCAGACGAACACCCTTTATTCTCCATTCACTCTATCTCTCTTGCTCTGGGTCAGGTACCTTGGTACCTATACCCCTTATTCTCCACATATCCTTTCCTATTTCCGAATCCGTTCAGAATACTACGCAAAACACTGTTGTAAAAACTTCGATCACTCTACCACTCGTCACTCTGCTACTTGGCTGTGATAAAACTCGGCTCGCAACAAGGAGACGATGACGGCATCCACTTCGCCAATTCCTAGACTTCCCACTCCCATTCCTTCGCCATCTATCGACCCTTGCGATGAGCTCAGCGCTGATCTACTCTTTCCACCTGGGCTGGACCTACATGATGGCGACATGGACGCAGACAAGTTCAGTGACAATGGCGGAGAGGCCGCAGATCCAACTAAGGGTATTCAGCAGTCCGCTCAAGGAAGGCGAAGGTCTTCCTGGCCTTTGAGAGGCTTGCCAGGCCTAACGAACCCAACGGACACCGACGATGATGCGGACGTCGAAACACTCACATCGTCTTCTGGCGATGACTCTCCACCTACTGGCCTCCACAGATCAAACACCGACCCCTATAATGATCTCCGACGCGGACTGTTTGCAGGAGGTTTTCCGCCTCGCTTTACCTGGTTCTCTGCCGACAAATCACCTTTGAACGGGCGAGGATCCTCGAAGCAACTGGATGACCATTCGAACGGTTCTGTAGACGAACATGCTACGGCCTCAGACCTGCACGTAGAGGGAGTGGAAAGCCATGTGCAAGATGCCGTTGAGACCCGCACAAGTGCGTCTCTGAAGAGAAGCCACAGCACGGGACACCAGACCACAGCCAATAAGCAGGCGGCCTGTCCTTCATTGCTGGCAGGTCTGCCCAGAAAGAGCAGTGTACCTTGCGACGCGGCTCTACTATCGGCCGGGAGCCATCGAAAGAGCACTGCTGCCGACACAGCAATTACCCTCACAGACGTCCATGCCGTGCCTAGCACTACATCATCAATCAGTGACAAGTCTAAAGCGCTCTCACAAAAGACTTCCAGCATATCAAATTCTACAGTCCAGGTCGTTGAATCCCGCAATGGCGTCTTCGAAGTGGTTTGGGACGACTCAGGCTCTGATGAGTCCGACGAAGATCAACCCGAACCATCGCGGAGTCAATTCTTTCAAGAATCCGAATCAGAGTACTCACGAACCGATGCGTCGACTGGTCCCTCCTTGGCTGGCCTGCACCGGGTAAACAGCAAACTGGCTAACTGGTCATGGAACGACGACTCCGATGAAGGGCGAAACCGAGCTGGCCGCTGTCGGTTCAGGCCAGCAGTACAAGTCTTTCCTGACGAATTATCTCCTGACTCGGAGGTCGCTCATCTCGACTTGCACGCTCCTCCAAGTAGTAAACTACCGAGCGAGCATCCATCCCGGGACGCTTCTCAACTGCCGTATTCACGCCGCCTTGACTCAAGCCTGGCTGTCATTGAAGATGACCCTGGTCACAGCGATTTTACTATCACCGGTCTTGAAGAGATCAACGAGGATCACGAAACAGGACAAACCAGTCTTGCTACTGTGCCAGGCCCGTACGTGGACAACAAGTCAGGACAGGTAGCGGCAAACTCGCGCAGACGGCAACTTTCCAACCTCGTCCGCAGGCTGTCCAATTTGCCGGAGAAGGATGAGCATTTCAAAAGCCATAGGGATTCCTTGATCCTATCCCGAAAACAGTTGTACCATCCGCTCCCGTCCAAGCATAGAGACTCCGTCGCTGTTGCCAAGGAGAGGCTTAGAAGGAAGCTTCATCGCTCGCCGACAGCTCCGAAGACCATCCGCGCAAAACCCACCCAGCAAGTCAGGTTTGGCGGCCTTTCTCCGATTATGGACGCTTCCCCTCCTACGGCCTCAGCTGCTGGAAGTTTTGAGCGACACGCCGTGACTCGGAGCATAGACCAGATTACCCGATCATCTCCCGCTCATTTAAGTCCAAAAGTCAAGTTCAATGGCATGTCGCCGCCGGTGTGCGCCGAGAGTAACTGGCCACTACATTCCGGATCTCACGGTAGCTCGTCCTCGCCCCCAAGAGCTTCACTGCGTCAGCGCTTTCCGGCATCTCCTTGAGTAGCTGGGAGCTGATTAAAGACATGGGCTGTAGAGTTGGGTTGGTCGTATGAGCGTGACTTGCGGGCGTACGGGTTCACCGATGTGGCGTTAGTAGGAAACGGCTCCTGTGGTCATGGTTCAACGTTGTCTCGTGGATGTGAGCGTTCAGCTGGAGGCGAAAAGACAACGTAGCTGAGATGCCGGCTGCTGCCGTCGTGGGACGCAATGGTCTTCCCTTTGTAGATTCACAGCTCTGCTTCCCTACGTGTTACCTGTAACTAGACATTGGCTCGAGGCGAGGCCGGTCCCGAAATTGGTTTGTTCGATCAGCTTCTTTGGCCGCCTTCGGGGTAATCCTGCGAAATATGACACCACATGCATCCACGATTTCGCTTCCACAAACATGGGATTTATAGTGATGTGCCTTGTACGAGACGGCTGATAGATAGCCCGAGTACGAGATGAGCGGCGGCGTCCCATTGGTCAATATAGCTGTGCCGAGGTAAGTCGTTCGGAGCACCCGATGGATGGATGCTAAACCTCTCCAATCCACGCGAGCTTAGTCTAGCAGATGCCGTGAACGCGAAGGGGGGAGTAACTTACGTGGACTGTCATCTGCCCTGTAAGCGGGCGGGCATGTATATCCATAACGTGTTCCCATCGGGGTACAGTTCGTCCGAAACACCACCCTCCGCTTCATTCGTCTCATCTCAGCCTCTGCCCCGAGGGCTTCATTCCGGACTTGCCCTTTGCCCCATGTAACTGGTAAGATCTCGGATCCTTCATCTCGTGTCACTTGCAATTTCCTCTTTCGTTGCGTAGGTACCTGTCGTGCTGTCGTGCTGGGCTGGCGACATCACGGTTGAGTATATGACCCCGCCATGCGGTGCTGAGATGTTCTTTCGATGTCTGACGCGTGGTTCTCCACTCATACAACATTCATATACCTGTGATATCTTCCTTATGCTGAGTCAGAACCTATTTTGAACTTCAACTTCAAGTTGCTTTTAGTTAAACTTGATTCTGAACCAACTGTCGCGGCATCATCTCTGACATTCCAACGAAGCATACTTAAAGTGTACTACGTTAGCCCACAAGACAACACAGCATAACTTCGAGTCCGTAATACCACCGTCGCTGGCATCAGATCATCGATCATCATCAGCAGTATTTGGGACAGAGGCAAGATGGTCGTCCAGGGCAGTTTCACGGTCCTCTTCGGCGCACTCGTTTTCGGGCTCTTCGCCTTCGTTCTCTACAGCCAACTCACCACCTATCTTGCGCGACGCCAAATAAAGCAAGACAATGGCTGTAAGCCGCCGCAAGCACGATATGCTCACAAGGACCCCTTATTTGGCCTCGACTTCCTATGGGAAAACATCAAGAAAGGCAAAGAGTACAAGCTGCTTGAGAATGCGCAGAGGCGGTTTGCGCGGCTCGGAAACACCTTCACGGCTAAGATGTTCCTCATGCCCGTCATCGCCACCATTGAGCCGGAAAACGTCAAGACGATCCTCTCTCTCAAATTTAAAGATTTCAGCCTGGGTCCGCGCGAGGAGATGCTGGGGCCCTTGCTGGGCAGAGGCATCTTTACGACGGATGGAGAGCGCTGGCAGCACTCCCGACATATGATTCGCCCCAACTTCGCCCGAGACCAGGTCGCCGATCTGCAAGCCTTCGAGAGACACATCAAAGACCTCTTCAAATTGATTCCGAGAGATGGCTCAATGGTTGATCTCCAGGATCTCTTCTTCCGCTTCACGATCGACTCGGCCACCGAGTTTTTATTTGGCCAATCGACGCATACGCTCAGAGAAGACGGCAAAACTTCCGGCTCAGCGTTTGCGAGCGCCTTCAACCATGCTCAGTACGACGTCATGATGAACGTACGACTGCAGGCGCTGAGACACTTCAAGCGGGATCCTAAGGCCCGGGAGGCGATCAAGTTCTGCCATGATTTTGTCGACCAGTTCGTGGATCAAGCGGTCGAGTACCGTGAGACGCACGACCTGGAGAAGGCGGCGCCGGAAGGGAAGTACCTTTTCCTGCACGAGCTTGCGAGGCAGACTACGGACAGGAGGAGGCTGAGAGACGAGCTGCTCAACGTGCTGCTTGCCGGGAGAGACACGACGGCATCTTTGTTGAGCAACATGTAAGACTCCCCTAGTGAAGCACGCAACAATTAGGAGTATGCATATGACTAATCCCTCGAGCAGGTTCTGGCAGCTCGCCAAACGACCAGATGTGTGGGAGAAGCTCCAAGCAGAAGTCGCGGAACTGGACGGGCAGCCGCCGTCATACCAACAGCTGAGGAACATGAAGTATCTGAAGTACTGCCTCAACGAGTGTAAGCCCGTCTTCCCCGCCTCCTCCCTCACTACTGATAAAAATCGTCCAGCCCTCCGAACCCACCCCGTGGTCCCAGGTAACTCCCGCTTCGCCATCCGTGACACTGTTATCCCACTTGGTGGCGGCCCAGATGGCACAGCTCCGCTCTTCGTGAAGAAGGGCACGCTCATTATGTACAGCCCCTGGAGCATGCACCGCCGCAAGGACTTCTACGGGCCGGATGCCGACGAGTACCGACCTGAGCGATGGGAGACATTGCGGCCTGGGTGGGAGTATCTGCCGTTCAATGGTGGTCCGCGTATTTGCCTTGGTCGTACGTGATACCCAGCTCCTGCTCCTCTACCAATGAAGAGATTATTGCTTCTGGTCGCTGTGGAAGTTTGCTGATTAGGTGATGAACAGAACAATATGCGCTTACGGAAGCCGGCTATGTCACCACGAGAATCCTGCAGGAGTTCAAGGGCATTGAAAGCAGAGACCCGGAACCCTGGCAAGAGTCACTGACGCTCACTTTATGCTCCCGCAACGGAACGAAGGTCTCTTTAACGCCTAGGTAGCCTGCCGGTAAATCGCTTCGTGGCAGCTCACGCCGGTCTGATTTGGTGCAGTGAGGCGAACTTGGATTTTGGTCGATCTTGTTCTGAATCTATCCCTCATATTGCGGGGCCGACAGTGGGCTTTGGATTTAGCAAAACCCACCTTCCGCTAGTCTTTGGATATTTACGGATAGTCTAGGGACAGTGCCCAATCAACACTCTACTCCAATACGTGTTTGTCTATATGGAGACAGAGTTTCTGCATCTTGTAGTAGCAGCAGGATAAACAGTATGCTGTAATAGCCTTGACACTTAGGAAATTGTAGGATGCGTCACGCACAGCTCTCCGTTACCGACTACTATACGTCGGTGTGTTGTGTCGAGGGTATGAGGGTATGCTGCCTTGGTAGTAACTGCGGGTTTGAAGTTAGTTTCACGCCCTAAAGACGGCGATGTATCTCGAGCGGCTTCAACGCAAGATGCGGGAGGCTTTCGTGGATTTCAAAATAGGTTTAACCATCGATGCTGCCAGCCGTGGGAGGCTTCGTTCAATTGAGGATGAGCTGAATGATTAAAGCCTTCATACATTAAAGTATACCTAAAAGATTATGCTTCTGATAATGGGCAGTTTCTCTTGTGTCACTGACAGCGCACAGGTACATAATCGGAGCCTCTATAACTTCAAAGCGTCGTGGCAAGGTCAAGCTCCCACGCCTAGGTCCTGTTCTTATGGGAAGCATAACATTGCTTCTGACAAACTCAGCGTTCAGGAACTAAAGATTGGTACTTTGAGTGAGGGGGACAGCCGAGTCTCTCTCTCCTTACGATCATGGTTTCCTTGCCAGGGGACGGCTTGTGCATTGCCGTGGTCTCCCCTCTTGACTGGGTAGGCGTCTGCTAAAGACCAGATAGCTGCAGGTGGCATGTGTTTCCCTACTTTGGAGGCTCCCCGGACTGCATGGAACGGTGATCCGCGGTGCAGACTGCAGCTCATGCAGCGCCATCAAACTTTTCCGCGAATTTTCCGCGAACATCGCGTTCAACCGCCAAAAGGGCTGCAGGTTGTTTATCCTCCCTATTCAAGGCCACATGCTCGCAAGTGGTTCGCTGCCGGACGATCAGCCATGTTCCTGGGCAGTCGCGCGGCTGAAACGCGTCGCCATTTTTAGGCCCGCGTTGGCTCAAGGCTCCTGATAGGCTCGGCGACGGAGATGGCTGAAGCTTAGCGCGCATCAACCGGACCAGGGCACTCAACCACACGGTCTGCCTCTCCTGAGAAACGCACGTTCAAGGAGAACACGGCTTGAGGCCGGCCTCAGAGCTCGCCCCTTGGGACCCCTATGCGGCTCCGAGTATTGGCGTGCATACATTCTGCAAACATAGGGGGCCAACGGTCATCTAGCGTCTTGAAGAAGACAGATCCATACCGCCACATACTACTCGAGTACAATAGAAAGGGGCAAGCGGCAACCCGGAAGGAGTAAGGCTGCCGTACCGTTACCCGCCGGTCAATGGCGGACACGCTGCTGATCAGCGTCCCTCGGGCCTTCTGTAATGATAGCGCCAGTCGAAACGGTCCCACTCGACTTGCCTGATGGACTTTGGCAGAAAACGGTACCTGCATTGGCGGCGTCAAGGGTGTGTCAGTGTTTCATACTCGAGTCCCACCGAAGCCATGACCAACGAAAACCGCCTTTCGACCCACAGGTGGACACGCAACCCGAAGACTCGACCTTTGGCGGGGACCGCACTCATGATGGTGTGGCGTCCCGCAGACCAATGCCGCGCGACAATCGTTTTGTTGTTTCCTTTCTAGAACCACCATGGGCTCCGACTGGAGGACCGAGCTGATTTCAGGAGCTAATGTTTCAAACTCGAGGTCTGCTCTTATATCTGGTGCGACTTCCACTCTGTGGGACAACAATTCCGTCTTTCATAGCCTCAATATTTCGATCTTTTGCAAATCCCCAAACGCCAAAGTCACTCGCTCTTTTGGTCTGAGGGTCTTTGTGACATTCTTTCCTTACTACCTTCCAAAACTTGCAGTTGACTCTGCATAGTCCTCATTTCACTCATTCATTTGGTAGCTTGAAGCTCCTGTAACACTCATCATGAAGGTCACATCAACCGCTGTTCTTCTCTACGCCCTGGCTGCTCAGCAGGCTGCAGCTGTAGGTTCTCTAAAGCTCCGGTGTCCTAGAAGGATGTACTGATTGCTATGGCAGACGTCCTGGGGTCGTGGCGGTGACAGGTTCAACAGCCCAGCTAACACGAATAACGAATGTACCGATACCCAGAAGCGTGGCTTCGACTGGAGTGGCCTCGGCACTGGGTCTTTCGGCTCATATGGTGGCTTTGACTTCTCCGGCTTCACCTGCGGAAACAAGTTCGGCAAGCGGGATGCCCTGACCAAGCGGAGCTTCCAGAGCAAGAGCATTACTGGAACCATCTCAAAGGAATCTGGCAACGGTCCCGAGATCTCCTGTGGCTCAGACAAGTCATTCTCGATCACCCAGATGCAGGTTTCTGTAGACTTTGATACTGAAGTGGAACTCCATTACGGCATGCAGGACGGCTCAACTTGCAAGCAGAGGGCCTCTTGTAGCTCAGGTGGATCTGTGGTTTCCAACACACAGTGCGGCGGAGCCAAGTCTGTTCGCTTCGGGCTGCTGGGTGGCGCGAAGAAGGGTTCATGCGGTATTGGCATTCACAAGATAGACTTCGACTGCAGCCCGCCGGCGAGCACGGTCCCAGCTATCAGCACCACAGCCTCAGTCCCCAACTTCAGCAGTGAAGTGTCGACTCAACCCGCCGAGACGACCAGTGTCCCAGCTGCTTCGAGCAGCGAGGTATCCTCTCAGCCTGCTGAGACCATCAGCGTTCCGCTTCCGTCCTCGAGCCTTGCCGCCTCGATTACTCCCGAGTCTTCCGCGCCAGCCGAGAGCACTACCATCTCAGTGCCATCCTTCAGCGTCCCTTTTGCCAACTCCAGCATTCCGGTTACAAGTCAGGTTCCCTCCACCAGCGAGGTCTCGCCCAGTTCTGAAATCCTGTCATCAGTGCCGGCATCTTCCACTGAAGTCTCGCCTACGGCCGACGTATCTCCATCTTCTGTCCAGATGACAACTTCAACTATTTTTAGTACCGCTACTTTTACCGTTACGTCCTGTGCTCCTACAATCACTAACTGCCCGGCATCTTCCACCAAGGTGGTTACTTCTGTTATTGCTGTTTCGACTACCGTCTGCCCGGTTAGCGAGGCTGGAAGCGTTCCACCAGCTTCTTCTACTCCGGCGCAGTCCAACCCTGCCATTGAAGTTCCCGAATCGTCCGTGCCAGCATCGTCCGCATCAGTCGAGACTACACCCGTCGAGACCTCGCCCGCAGAAACCACTCCTGCGCAATCTAACCCTGCTGTTTCTGTGCCTGAATCGTCCGCGCCATTCTCTACTACGCCTGTCGAAACTGCCCCTGTGGAGTCTTCTGCGCTCAGCTCCATCCCGGTTTCAATCCCGGAGACTCAAATCACTATTATCGTTTCCACTACGCTCACCACGTGCTCGGCTGGAGAAACCGTAACTGAAGGGGGTGTTACTAGCGTTCTGAGCACGCCGAGCACATCAACGATTGTGGTCACCTCGACGTCAACAATCTGCACCAAGTGCACGGCTCTGCCGTCAAGCTCGGAGGCTGCGCCCGTCTCGAGCTCTATCGTCATCTCGGTACCTGCTACCTCTGCGCCTCTCCCGTCTAGCTCGGAAGCCGCGCTGTCGAGCTCTTTTGCCATACCAAGCTCCGAAAACGTACCGTCAAGTTCAGAGGCTGGTCCTATCTCAAGTGCGCCTGCCTCTTCGGCTCCAGTCTCTTCGGCGCCCGCTCCATCCGCGACAATTCCCGAGACACAGGTTACCATTATTGTGACCTCCACAGTGACCACCTGCTCGGTGGGCGAGACTGTCACTGACAACGGTATTACGAGCGTCTTGACTGCGCCCACCACCTCTACCATTCTTGTCACATCGACATCAACGATCTGCACCAAATGCACTGCGGCTCCGTCAAGCTCTCTTGCTGCTCCAGTTGAGAGCACCCCGTCATTTAGCGTTCCAATTACGTCTGCCTCCGCTCCAGCTGAAAGCACTCCTGCAATCGGGGTTCCGGCCACGTCTGCACCGGCGTCCTCTGTCTCATCGCCTGCCCCCGCGCCCTCAGCCCCAGCACCAGACGTCTTACCTAAATGTCTAAACACCTGGATCTCTCAGTCTGGCTGCACGGATAACACCGACTCGAGCTGCTATTGCAAGAACTCAGAGTTCACCAAGAGCGTCATCGAGTGCGTTGAAGCTTGGGGCGGCGACGATGCGAAGGTACAAGAGGCGCTGTCCTACCTCGTCGGTATCTGCGCTGCTTTCGTTCCGCAAAACCCGGGCATTATCACCAACTGCCCCTCGTCCATCACCCTTGGCCCGACGCCTGTTCCTGAGACTCCGCTACCTGTCTCCTCAGCGGTTGTTTCATCCACAGTCGACTCCATCCCGGGTGCCTCGTCCGCGCCTGCCGTATCGTCCGCACCGATCTTCTCCTACGCCCCAGACGTCTCCTCCGAAGTTGCTCCAGTCACTTCTGCCCTCTTATCGCTCTCGGCTTCCGCGCCTGCCCCCGCGGTCCCGACATCAGCTCTTCCCCAGAGCGCTCCGGTCACAACCATCTACATCGAGACCACCCTGACCGTCCCTTGCACTTATAGCACTGGTCCCTCCATCGGCGCCACCATTCCCGCATCTAGCACAACATCGATCCTCTCCACCGCCGTCACAGTCCCCCAGGTAGCGTTCACGACCCAGACAGTTACCGCACCTGGAGCTACGTCGACGAGGGAGGTTGAGCTGATTGTGGGCCCTTCGCCTGCTGTCCCGGCTCCTAGCACCGCTATTCCAGGCTACAACACGGCTACACCGGCCTCCAGCACCGTTGTTGCACCGATTGGATCGAGCTTGCAGGCGCGTTCGTCGACGCTGGGCACGCTTGTCGCCCCCACCGGCACTGCTGGCGCAAGGACGTCCAGCCCGGCGCAATTTACGGGTGCCGCGTCCGTGGCGAAGGCTGGATCCGCTGGGAGTGTCTTCTTAGGCGGTCTTGTTGCTTTCATGGTTTTGTAAATAGAATGAGGGCCCTAGTAGGCACATAATGATAGCTGTTGGATATTCGGTTGGCATTTTTCTTGGAGGGTAATGCATTTGGAAATAGCATTGAGAGTGTCTATCGGGATTGAGGCCTCTGATGGCCCCAGAAGACGACAAAGGAGGACATACTATAGAAGTGTGCTGGCATATATGAAGAAAACGATTGCACAATGCTTCTTGAGATCCACTCGATCTTCAATCTGAACTTCTGTAAGGCGATTTAATCCCTCCCAAGAACATCTTCCCATATCTCACCTTGTATTGTCCATGGTCACGTGCGGAATAGGTGATTATCTCAATCTCAGATAAGAGATAAGATCATCAGCAGAATCGAAGCAGCCGTCAGCCATCACCACAGCTCATCAAGCACCATGGACACTCAACCCTCAACCCTCACCGACAAAACACCAACATCTGCTGTCCCGAACGCAGCAGAACCAGATGTAGCTGCCTCAAACGTAGCTGAAGACAGTGGTGTAACTGAAGCGGTCCACACAGCAGCACCTGGAAGCAACGAGCCATCATGGCCAGCCCTATCCGAAGGCCACCCTCTCGCCAAACTTACAGCCCAGCTCCCTGACATCCTTCGTGAAGCCGACTATGCTGAAGTCTACGGCATAACTCTTCAGCCTGACGCGCCTTTCCACACGAAACTGATCTTGCAGAAGTACCTCCGCGCGAACCAGAATGATCTGGCAAAAGCGAGGGAGCAGTTGCTGGCGACGCTGAAGTGGCGGAGAGAGTTTCAGCCGCTCAAGGCGGTGGAAGAGGTGTTTAGCCGGAAACGGTTTGGTGGCTTGGGATATGTGTGCGTGGTTGACGGGGTGCCGGGGAGTGTCAATGGGAGGGATGTGGTTACGTTCAATATCTATGGGGCGGTCAAGGATAATAAGGCTACCTTTGGAGATCTCGAGGGGTAAGTAAGACCTTGATGGTTCCGTGATATGGACTCTGGCAAGCAACGTCCTTGGGCAACAGTGTAGTTCCATACAGGTCTTCAACGGCGTTAGAACGGAGACTGCAAGGCCACGGACCAGCCCTCACCGTTGCAGAGCATGCGAAAGACTAACTAGAGGTTCCTGCAGCTTCCTCCGTTGGCGTGTTGCCCTCATGGAACTCACCCTCCAGAAACTCTCCTTGACTACCGCCACGACCCCAATACCGGATTACGGCGCCGGCCCCGATCCTTATCAAGCGATCCAGGTGCACGATTATCTGCAAGTCTCCTTTTTACGTCAGGACCCTGTCGTTAAAACCGCAACTAGAAAGACGATCGACACTTTCTCACGGTACTACCCTGAAACGTTGAGCAGAAAGTTCTTCGTGAATGTTCCGGTGATCATGGGCTGGATGTTCTCGGCCATGAAGATGGTGCTGAGCAAAGAGACTGTGAAGAAGTTCACCGTGCTGAGTTATGGAAATCAACTGGCGGGCGAGCTGGGGAGTGGAGTGCCGGGAGCGTATGGTGGGAAGGCTGGCGCACTGGAGGGTGTGGGAGAGGCAGTGAAGCTGGAGGGCTGAGGCGTTTGTGGCCAGTGTTTGACCATCTGGTGAAGCTTGTTGGCTGACGTGCTTTGTTCGTCGAGCAAGCGTTTCTGCTGAAAATTTTATAGATACCACTTAGTCCGCGCTAGAGATACCTAATTTCACCACTCTAACATCACTGCTCTGTCGCTCCAGCAGTTTGTTCGTTGACCAAGTGAACTTTCACCAGAGCGGGGGCCCATTCCAACGTCTCATTTCCTGCTCTTAATTTCTCGCTCACAGCAAAATCGTACGATCAGTCTCCTACCTTCGTTTTCGCCGTGGTTCCTTCCTACTGTGGCCAAGAAGCAGCCGACATGGCCTCAAGCAGCACGTTAAATCCCCAAGCGGCTGAGTTCATACCGGCAGCGCTGCAGACGGGCAATCCCCAAGCAGAAGCTGCAAACGCTCCGCGGAAGAGCAGAAAAGCCAGTAAGTCACGCGTGTGGTTGACAGAGCCATGAGCGGAATCTAATAAACGAAGGACGCAAGAAGCGCAGGACGGAGCCAACCCATCAAGCCCCCGAAGGCCAGCAAACCACCACCCCCCACCTCGCTCCAACATACACCCTAGCACCCCATGACACTCTCGTCCAGATAGCGAAGCGCCACTTCACCGCCGTACTCGCACTAAAATTCTACGAAGAGGCTGGAACGAGGACGCGCCGCTCCATCGCCCACGGCATGGCTGCCGACTTCGCAGGCCGTGCCGCATACCTGCCGCCGCATGTTGCCGCTCTGTCCATCAACCAGGCGATGCTACGCGCGAGCGCGGAGCTTGTGGGGAGCTCGGGACGGGAGCTGCAACTGGAGATTGAGGAGTACTGTGCTTCGGGTGAGCTGCTGGTTGATTTGTACCCGCTGCGAGTTGCCAGGTAATCTGATACGGGTACGGTGGAGCAGGAAGTGTGGGAGGGCTTGTATGAGTGATAAACTGTACTGCTTCGAATTTGCTTGGAGCGGAGGTTAAGTGAGGATTTGGTCTATCTGATCTCGACGCTTGTTTCCTGTTACGATCCATACGGGTAGGGTAAAGAATAAGAGGAGCGACCGGTGCTGAGCATATCCACGAATACATCGGTTTCTTCGTGCTCTCCGTCCATCTAAACGTAATCAATGCCTCTGGGCCGATGTTTGCCATACAGGCCTCGGAGAGAAGCACTGACGGATTCCTCACTCGAGCATATACGGCGGCCCGGAAAAGCGACGTGGACGACCATTTTACGGAGATAGTTGCCATCCGAGAGGCCGTTCAAATGATAAGTAGGACATTCCAGGCTGCTTGGGTGCCCAGAGCGCATAATCGACTCGCAAGCTTGTTGCTAACCTCTCATTCTCTCAGTTCGTAACCCCCGAAATGCTCACTCTCCTCTCCACCCTTCGCCAAAATGTCGCAATCGGTTTCGTCAGTGGCTCCGACTTCGCGAAGCAACAAGAACCACTGGACACCTCAGAAGTCCCTGTAACATCCTTAGTGACTTTTGCCTCGCAGAGAACGGTCTTACAGCCTATAAATCTGGCGTAGCTCTCGCTTTACAATCATTTATCGACTGGTTAGGGGAGTCGAAGTGCAAGCAGTTGGTAAAGTTTATTCTGCATTATATTGCGGACTTGGATACCCGGTAAAGAGGGCCACATTTGTGGAGTTCAGGAATGGCATGACAGCACGGGTACTTTGTTAATAGGCTATAGCGAGATGTTTGTAGTGGATAGGATTAGCAAAAGCAAGGAGAGCAAAGATCTTATCACGTGGAGCTTTGCATTGTCTTGCGCCGTACAGTCGGACTGTGCCACGTAGATGAGCTAGTAGATTTGTTGTGTAGCCTTCGTAAGCTTCGCGAATACTCGATACCCTTGCGAAAAAGTCATCGAGCAGTTTCCGCAATAGCCTAGGAAAGACCTGCATAGCTTGACCGCAACAGGTATCCGTATGACGAATCCGAGCAAGGCATGCGGATTCAACCCTCGACTAAAAAGTTTGCCAGTGAGCATAGACAGCTGTGGTACTAGGAGACAATACACTCTCCTGGACGGTCCAGACTCGCGTCCACTGGAACAAACCTGGGTATATTTGCTAAGCCATGGGCTTCGGCTGTTTATCGATACATGCGCCCCGTTTGAACAACACGTCTTCAAGATTGACCAGCTACCCTTACAAGAACCGATGCACAATCGGGCAGTTGTTAATAATCTCCGCGTCCGACAGCGGGCCACCATCGGGATCTGTCACGTACCCTGCGGCAGCCATCCCAAGGACCTCAAATTCGCCCGTCAGACGAGTGCGGATGCCATTCTCGATGGAGTAGTCGGTCCATGCCCAAAGTTGAAAGTTCCAGAGCGGCGAGTAGTCGAAAGCGACTGTGGGAATGGCGCCGAGAACGTTGAGCGGATTGCCTGTGCGGACGTGTCAGTTGCTATACTCTCCGCCTTATATACTCTCGAACTTACCCTCGCCGAGAATCGCAGAGTCCAAACCCTGCCGCCATGGATGGTGCGTCTCATTGTTCGGTGCACCGGGAGGAAGATCACCGTTAGTATACCCGTTCGTGTTGACGAAAAAGCGCTCAATAGCTGAGAACAGCGAATCATCTCCGCCAGTGCGAACCACAGAGAGACGCGGAGCGAAGGTTCCACCGTCGAGAGTGGCAGGTAATGGGTCAGAACCGTCAGAGATGAGGTACAGAACCGATTTGCCGAAGGAGAAGCCACGGACGGTGGCCAGAGTAACAGTCGAAGCACGCGGACAGATGGCAAGTACCTGATCGTGCACCTTGCTCCTGAAATCCTCTTCTTGATCGGCCGGGACGCCGTCGCAAAACTGGTTCAGATAGGCTTCATCCAAGTCCCCTGCGACAATAGGCGCGTTCCAAACCTCATACCCAGCGTTCATCAGTTGGATCAAAGGGGTGTACTCCGCATCCCCAACAGATCCTGGCTGTACCATTGCTGGAGGAAATGGTGTAGAATTCCCTGGGACGATTATACGCACAGGCGAGAAGTCGACTAGGCCTCGCCGCCCATAGACGGTGTTGTTCACAATATTTAGTTGCTCAGCGCCCGTCAAACTATTACTGTCTACGCCTTGAGCCGCAAAACGTAGCTTTGGTGAGAAGTTGATCCCGAGTTGCTGCGCATTGCCTTCGTCTGATGAATCCGTAACAATCCACCAGTATGTCTGGTTCGATGCCGAGCGGCCTTGGTACAGAGGCAATGTAAGGTTGGGATTGGCGCCGAAGTTAAGGGTCCCACTCCGAAGAAGATCGACAGGTCCTACCAAGGCAGGGTTCACGTCGGAAGCCATTGGTCCTTGGTACCCGGCAGCAATGGCGGTTCCGAACGATGGATCGGCAATATTGACGGTAGGGTCGTTGAAGCCAGATAGTGGGTCGGGATTGAACGGGCTGCCCGATTGTCGGCGTCGCAGGGGCTTCGGGAGACGGCTTGGCGTACTTGAACATGTCTGAAGATGAATCCCTAGGATGATAAGGGCCGCCGCCATGTAGCCATCTCTCAAAGCTCGCATCCTGCCGGCTAGGAATGTAGTGCAACGGTTTTTTGGAATTGTGAACGCAACTTCGCTAAATCGACGCAAAGAAAAGCAGAGACGAGAGAGTGTTCTGGAGGAAGGGAAGCAATCGGCACTACAGGCTCTTAAATAGCACCTTGAATGGCCCAGAAAGACAGTCAGACTTCGGTCACCAGGTCTACCTCATCTTTTGGGGCATCGTTGATTCCAAAGGAAGTGACAAATCCTTCGCCAGGATAAGCGTGGCTTTGCACGCCATCTCGTCGTCGTCAAGATCCTAGTACTATAATCGTAGAGCCAGCCGTGACCCTCTTGTCACTTCGAAATCTGAACCGGGGCTCCAATGCCTCATGCCCTTCCGCCACGGTAGGCCCTAGTGATTGATAATCAGAGCCCCGAGTCCTCGATGAGCTTACGTGACCTAACTTCGTGACTTTGTGAAGTTCCCAAACCGAACGTGTCGAGTCTTTCTGTGGGCTTGCAGCGGTTGAAGCCCAGACGATAATCTCAGGCCGGCCTGGGGCTTATGGCGGAACCAAAAGATCGACTTTACCGTTTCAGGAAATGGGGATTACAAAACGGACGCACCCCTGTCGATCTCTGCATCTAAAAGACCCTGCGACCGCACAGCCTGCTGATTGATTGTGTTTCCTAGCTTTCACACTCTCTCTATCCTCATCCTCCCACTATGTGTCGCTGCATTAACCGCAACAGACCGCAATCTGGCCATCTCCAGCCCCCATATTACTGTCGGCCGTAAGCCCCTCGCAGCCTGCAAGGGGATTTGATCCCACGACCTTCTGTCGATGCAGCGGGTTGATGTTTGCGCTTGACGGAGTTGACAGCACCCAAAGATGCGGCGCTATGGCCTCGAGGTCTTGCGCCCAGAACTCTTTGATGAGGAATTGCTTCATCCTCGCTTACAAAAGTCTGGTCGCCAGCAGTAGGGGGGGGCGGTTGCGCACCACGTTTTCAACCGCGATATAGATTGTAGATGGTATAGATAGCTTCAACAAGCGATCTGATGGTCCAATTGACCGTCCGATGCCTCCCAAGATTAAATTAATCGTGAAACCTCCACCTGCTGCCGGTTATAGCTGCATTGATCAAGTGTTGAAGGAAGAGAGTATTATGCGTTGTGTTTGTTGATGTAGAGGAGCTAGCCAGGACAAACAAATTAAGTCCACTCTAAAAATTGCGTAAAACTAACTCAAGCTGAATTGGGTCAAAAGCAGCTGCCACCATTATACAAGACCGTTCATGTTCACGACATTCAACAATGCTCACATATATTCAAAATAGCCCTACTCTCATTCACTAAACAGCTGTCCCAATGGTCCTGTGATTAAGCTCTCTAAATCTTCGGTCTCAACAGCCCCGAGCATCGCTTTCCCTATCTGTACGAGTTGCCTCGTGCCTTCCTCATCCGTCCACCTCATCCTCGAGTAGAAGACGATATGCACAGCGAAGTGCACAACAAGCCGGATCTTGTCACGCTGATTCAATGGACACTCGGCTAGATATGCCTTTAGAAAAGCTTCGAACATTCCCTTGTCGCCGTGAAAGCGATCGAGCAGCCATGAGTCTGCAGCAAATCGCCCAACATCCGTGGCGCCATTTCCCACACGAACGTTCTCCCAATCGATGATTGTCAACACTGGTGCCCGCAGCTTTGAGTCTTCCGCTTCTCCTCCTTCGATAGCAGGATCCTGGTTCTCGAGCTGAATGTTGGATAGCCAAAAATCACCATGGCAGAGACACATTCTGTCTGAAGCAGTTTCGGAGCCGAATTTGGCGTTGATACGCTCTCCGAGAGCAGGATCGTGGCCATGTTGTTTCAGGACAGAGGCTAGGCCATTGTAGGTGTACTGGAAGACGGACCTTGCAACTTTACTGTCGAACTTCGTCTTGACAAATTCCAGCGTTTCCGGCTCTGAAGTCTCCTTATGCAGCCTTGCTAGCCAAACGCCTATCCTCTGGCCTAGGAGAGGGATATCGATGTTGTCGTCCCTTTTGTAGCTTTCTTTCAGATCTTTTGATCCCGCATCAGACATGTATATAACATGCTCTTCAGGAAAGTAGTTGTATACTTGTGGCAGGCGAACGTGCTCATCCCTAGAAACCATATTTGGTACAACTGTCAAGGCCAGGTGCTCGTATTCCATCCTTTCAAGAGGTAGTGGTATATGAGGCATGATGCGGACGAAGGGCTCCGCATGTTTGGTGATGCTTCGCCTTCCGAGTAGTGTCTTGATTCTCCAACAGAAGTTTGCTGAACCTCCAGCAACGACTTCGATCTCGTGGCAGGGTATGTCCTTCGAGGAGAGGAATTGGCGAAGCTCTAGTTCGGTGGTAATTGGCATGATACCAATTTTAGCCAATAGCGACGATTGGTCTATCTCTGCTGCTTATGTCAACAGCAAAGTTGGAAGCTGAGGATTGCGAAGTTATGCAGGACGTTAGCATGTGCACGAGTCATGCTTGAAGCGAGTCCTACTGTCGGTTGCAAAATGTGCGGCCGCCTTGGCAACTGTCTGAGGTATAGAACTTGCCCACCATACCACCGCGCCGACCAAAAGATACAGTGTCCAAGCTCGAAGAGCTTGGATCGGGCAAGTTACTGTATAGCCTGACAAAAAGATAGAGTAGCTAATAAAAATAGAAAGCTAAGTGAATCAGTGAAAGTATAGAGATAGCTAGATGCTTCCCTACTTATCAAGTTTCTAAAATCGAGAAGGCCGGCGGTATAGTTTGTTTAACCTTAGAATCTATATTAGGCTATATTCTTTGATCTATGGCCGAGTTTGAAAGAGAGATGCAGCTGTTGTAATATATAAAAGTAGCGTAATAGGTGATAGCAATTACTTGTTCCAGTGTCAACATTCGAAGTGCCCCGCATACGTCATGTCATCACTTGGCCCAAACAGCCCGCAGCTATCTGTCAGCTTCAAGCTACAAGTGTCACTTCTCAAAAAGACAACGTCGATCGAGCACTTAACGCCGAATAAAACCATACCCAAAGATCAAAAACCCAATTGAAAAACTCGGAACGCTCCCCACGTTCCCACAATCTCTCCAAGCTCTCCCACAATGGAACCCATCGTCGGCGCGCTCTACGGCGTAGAATCAGCACTCGAAGCCGGTGTCGCCCTCGCAAAAGGCATCCTGCACCCAACCCTACCCTTGCGCGCAACCCTCTCCCGCATAACCGGCGGCCCCAACCTCCCACGCACTGGCCACACCCTCTCCATCATCAAAGGCCGCGCCTACATCTACGGCGGTGAGAGCAGCGACGCAGCAGCAGCAGCCGACACAGACATCCATGTCATCGTCCTCCCGACCACCGATGTAGAAGAGACGGACTATTTTACAGCAACGACGAAAGGCCGGGGCCCGGTGCCGCGGAAAAACCACACCGCTACGGTTGTGGGCGATGATATCTACATTTTCGGCGGGCAGCCCCTTTCCTCTTCTTCCTCGTCCTCTGAGTCCGCTGAACCAGACCCACCCGGCCGCATCTGGTCCTTCAGCACCATATCCAGTACATGGCGCCCGGCCCCCGACTCCTCAGGTCCAGCCCAGCGCACCGGGCACGCGGCCGCGGGAACGGAGGACCCGAATCCGCAGGCGCCGAAGGGCGTGGATACGAGTCTCGAGACGGGGATACTCCCGCAGGCGCCGCCGGATCCGGCGGATGATAGGATGCTAGCTGAACCGGAGCCGGAGGGGAGTTTTGGAACTGTGTTTGTTGTTGGAGGGCGGGCTCTTGGGGGGGATGATGGGAAGGGCGAGCAGCTGGACGACGCGTGGGCCTTTGACATTAGGACGGCGCGGTGGACGCAGTTGCCTTCACTGCCTCGCCCTCTGGCTAAGGCTGGGTTAGGCGCCACGATCGTGGGGACACGGCTTTATGTTGTGAGCAGAGGCACGGTCGGGTATTTGGATATTAGGCGCGTGATCGAGTTTGCGGCGCAGGGGAACCAGCCCACGAGCCCCGAGCAGGCATCGCTGCTGGGCGAGTGGCAGGTTATAGAGACTGATACCGCTGATGGGAAGGCTCCGGGTCCGGATGATGGCGCAGGCCTGGTGGATGTGACGACCGGGCAGGGCCGGAGATACCTTCTGCTTCTTGCTGGCGGCAAGGTGTACGGAGATGAGGCTGGAGCCGAGGCGCCGCAGGCGAAGGATACGATCTTCGCGCTTCAATTGCCGCCGGAGGCGGAGTCTGCTGCGGCTGTCAAGGACACGATGCGGGAGACAATCAAGAAGGACACGAAGAAACACGCGTGGGCAGAGGTGGAGTACAAATACACCAATGAGAGAGGAGATGTGGTTTCAGGGGACAAGGCGAGGGCTCAAAAACTAGGCATGGGCAATAGGAAAGGAGCAGCGGTGGCCAAGGGGTCGGAGGTCGATGGTGCTACTGTCGTTCTCTGGGGCGGGATGGACGATGAGGGGAAGGTCATGAGTGACGGGTGGATGGTTACAGTTGATCGATGAGAGAGGGGGATCTTGGAAGAATGAAAGGACATTCGTCTCTATGGTATGTGGAGGCCGCTGCTCATAGCAGCCGTCCCTCTACGCTTCCAAGCCCCACAGTGCGCCATACAGATGCACTTCTTCTGTGAAGTTTAGAACTTCCGATCCTCGTAGACTATACAGAATAAAGAACAATGACGTTGAATGCAAGGACATTACATGGCGGGGTCAATCGAAGTAGTTTAGGAGTCTAGATCTAGATGTTCGGTGAAAGTAGATCGTACTTAACACATCGCTCGACCTGCGAAACCCTGTTAGCCTACTGTTGTCCAGAGAAACGGGAAAAGCTTCAGAGCGGTAACCTACATCTTCTGCAGAAGCTTTGAGATAGCTTCTTGCCTCCAAGCCAGCCCAAACCTTGATCATCGAGAAGTCGCCGCTCCTGATCATGGAGACCGTGCTGCCCTGGGTGCCAAGCTGTCTCAGGATTGGCAAAGCCCTGCGACAGTAGCGTTCGTCAGTAACAGATCCATCACATAACTCGATTTCCTCGGCACACTTACCCAGCGAAGAGATCCAGCTCCGGATCCAGACTTCGTCCAATGCCCTCGAGCAGTAATATGCTCAGTACGACGTTGACGAAGTCCCCCTCCAGCCTGACATGGTGCTCTCGAACCATGCTCAGAACTTCATTCAGGATGTCCCCAATCTTGACGTTTCCGAGTGCAAAAGTGCTGCTCTTAACACCGAGCACCAGATGCTGCATCCTGAGGGCGAAGACCTCCTTGTCGATAACCGCGTCCGGCTGTCGGCATCGCTCGACCATCAGGTGTCCCGCTTTGTAGCCATCGAACTCAGCGATGGACTTGAAGAGATCGAGGAAGTTCCTCCGGTTCGTCGCATTCAGCTCTGTGACCAGCCCCGTATCGATGAAGATGAGTTGGGGCCTGTAGTTCTCCCGTTCGATCTTCTCAAGCTCAGCTTTCCATTCCTGCGGTTTTCGTTTGTGCGGTCTCAGGCGCTGCAGCACTTCCTCCGTCACGTCTTTACCGTTGCTGGGATCGGGTTCTTTCTTACGGCCGAAGGTCGGGACGTCGAGCTTTTCGGGCTTGTAGAAGCGCACCATGATGTTCCCGGGATGCAAGTCGGCGTGGATGAAGTTATCGATCAGAACCATGCGCAGGAAGGCATCCAGACCTTCATCCGCAATCTCCTTCTGGAAAACACCGCCGCCGTTCTCGAGGAAGTGTTCGAGCGGTATGCCGTGCGCGAACTCCTCGACCAGGACTTGGCGGGTGGTATAGTCGGTATAAGGGTAGGGGAACCAGGCTGTAGTCCTGTCCTTGAAGTTTCTGCGGAAAAGTGTCAGGTTGGCGGACTCGATGCGCAGGTCGAGCTGCAGCCTCATCATTTCGCCAAACTGCTCGACCTCATCCGGGAATGAAAGCCACTCCATCGTCGGTATCGCGTTGATGATGGCAGCGAAGAATCCCATGATGCGCAGGTCCCGCCGCACGATACGCTCGACACTAGGGTGCAGCACTTTTATAGCCACGTATGTAGAGGGGACACGCGCCGGCGTGCTCTTCAGCGTCAGGTCAACGTTTCGCCTAACTCTCTGCCGCAGATTTTTCTTCTCTTTTACGTCCACATCGCCCAGCATAGCCAGGTCTGGCTTCAGCTTAGCCTTGTATACCTGCGCAATGGCGCCGACGCCCAGAGGCTTCTCGTTGAACTCTTCGAATATCTCATCAAAATCCCGGCCGCCGAACGCCCTGCTGACAGTCTTCCTCGTCTGCGCGAACGAATGTGCAGGGGCGTTAGAATGGAGCGTCGACATGATACTGCACATCTCCTTTGGGAAGATGTCCGACCGTGAAGCTGCCCATTGTCCCAGCTGCAGCAATTTGTTGTTAGCATCAGGCCCCCGCATGAAACTCCGAACATGTACACCTGAACACACCTTGATGAACGCCGCCCCCGCCCTCTCCATCCCCCTAACCAAAAACCCATACCACCACAGCGTCCCCGTCCTCTCATTATCCCTTTCCCTGACCCTCCTCCCGAACCAAATCACCGGCACGGCCAAAATCACCGGCACGAATATGATGACGAGATGTATGAACCTCAGCCCCGTCGCAATCGGCTCAACAATCCAATCATCAATAAAGAAATAAATCGCCCTGCGCCACTTCTTCGAGTTCTTCAGCGCAGCCGGGACCGCATGGTCGATCTCGGCGCGGGAAGCCTCGAGCATGTGTTCCTCGCCCGTCTTGCCATCATTGGTATCGGCTGTTGCTAGCTCGGCGAAGACGGCGGGCGTGAGGGTCGCAGCGGCGAGGAGGATGCGGCGACCATGTTTGGGCGGGGGTGGAGGGCGGAAGAAGGGGCGTGAGGAGTGGCTGTTGCGCGCGGTGGAAGAGAAAATGCGGTGGGAGGCGTTGCGGGCGGCTTGGGGCGTTGAGCGGCGGAGACAGAGGCGGAGGAGGAGGATGGGCGGCCTCATCGCTAGGCGAGGTCCGGTGTGCTATGAGTGTAGCGAAGGTACAGGTGAGGCCATGGGCGGCATGGGGAGGATGTTGGTTTGCGCTGAGGGTGTTGATACTCGAGGTTACCCGCCGAACGCAGGGAAGCTCACGTCATGGCCCTGTCACAGGCCGCATCCCGTCTGCAACACCACCGAGGCCAACACCACTAAACCAAATTCTCATTACCACCTTTATCAGAAACGATCTAAAATGCAAATGGCCAGCTATGGGGAGTAATCAGGCATACAGTTATCAGATTCACTGACAAAGCCGAAAAGCCAGGATAAATTGCTGGAGTAACCACAAGTACTGTCCATCTACCTCTACAGCCACTGAAGATACATATAGTGCCCAGATATGTACAGCCAACCCCTCCGATCACGCGGTCACAAATCCCTTGAACGAGTTGTTCAGCGACTCCCTACACTCCTTCTCGTACAATGGAATGCCGCCCGCATAGTTCAACTGCTCACGCGGCTTGCCAGGAATATTGGCGCCCATATACCATGAGTTCGCCGTAGGAAAGAGTGTCTTGTCGCTGATCTCCGTGACATTCTTCCTCCAGTACTCCTCGGACTCGCGGAGCGGATCGATGTACTTGATGCCCTCGTCCCTGAGCTTCTTCATCGCGTCGACGATCCACTCGCCCTGCACTTCAACGCATGACGGACCGTTGCTAAATGCCGTTGGGCCTTGCGCGCCGTATAGAAAGAACATGTTCGGGTAGCCGGAGCAGGACATGCCTAGGTAAGACCAGGTGCCCATCTCCCACTTCTTCGAGAGATCCACACCGTCCACGTCCTGTTTTAGATGTTAGTACTGTATTACTGTAGTAAGTGGTGCCCAATGATTTCTCGGGCGTACCTTCAATCCCATGTTCTTCATTCCTCCCGTCACGGAGTCAAATCCAGTAGCCAGCGCAATGATATCGAACTCCCTAAACTTGCCATCCTCAGTCAAGATCCCGTTCTCCTTGACCTCCTTAATCGGAGTCGCCTTCACATCCACGACCTCGTTCTCAGGCCGATCCATCATCTCATAGTAATCCTGCTCCAAGCTCGGCCTCTTCACGCCAAACGCATGCGGCTTCTCCAGCGGCGCCAAGATATCCCTCTTGACCGGATCGGTAATCCTCGCGCGCGTCTTCTTGAGCCAGAAGTTGTACGCCTCCTGATTCGCGTCCATGTCGAATAACATGTCCTTGTACGTCGCGAGCCAGAACTGAAACCCGCCCGCCTCCCAGAGGGACTCGTAGAACTTCTCGCGCTCCTCGGGCGAGTCGTCGAAAGTGTTCTTTTCCGCGAAGTCGTACGAGAAGCCCGCGAAGGTCTTCATCCTGTCCTTGAAGATCTGCGGATACTGGCCCTTCGCGTCCATCTGCTCCTTGTGGTCCAGCTTCCGCTGTCGCATCGGCAGCGCTAGGTTCGGCGTCCGTTGAAACACCGTCACGGACTTCGCTTGCTTCGCGCTCTCCTGCGCGAGCTGCACGCCTGTGCTCCCGGTGCCGATGACGGCGACGCGCTTTCCCTTCATGTCAACGCCCTCCTCGGGCCAGAACGAGCTGTGGTGCATCTCGCCCTTGAAGCTGTCGAGGCCCGGCCAGTCGGGGAAGTGGCGCTTGGCAGCGAAGCCGGTGGCGAGTAGGAAGTAGCGCGCGTAGGCGGTGCGGCCGTCCTCGGTCTTGATGATCCATTTCGCGGACGGCTTGTCGAAGTGGGCCGCCACGACGCGCGTGTCGAAGGCGACGTCTTTCTTGATGTCAAGGACCTTGTCGACATGATCGAAGTATTCGCGGAGTTCCTGGAAGTTTGGGTACTTCTCGCGCCAGGTCCAGTCCTATAGTTCACGGCGTTAGCGAAAACTCGCTGCACAGTTCGGTCATGCGTCCTTGGCCCTTCCATTGAAGTAACCCTGGACCTTCCTCGCAATTATCCATCGGGAGTCTTGGATTCAACTAACCTTCCAGACCTTCTCCATGCTATACTCATAGATCGGGACTTGTGTATCAACCCTGGCACCTGCGCGAGTTAACACCCACATCCACCAAATCCTTAGTCTGTCCGGCTCCATTTACCTGGGTAGCAGTTCCAGTGCCAGATGCCGCCGAGCTCCTTCCCGGCCTCGAAGATCTTGCATTTGAAGCCCAGCTCGTCGCGCAGCCGGTGCAGGAGGTAGACGCCGCCGAAGCCCGCGCCGACGATCAGGACGTCGGTCTCGAGCGGGTCCGCGTAGCTGTCTGTCGGTGGTTGGGAGGGGGTATCGGAAGTGATTTCGCGGGGCCCTTCGGGCTGGGTGCCGATGTCGCGGCGGTAGGGCATTTTGGGTTATGGGGGGGAGGGGTTCAAGTTTGGGGATTATAATGGGGGATTGGTAAGAGGGTGGAGCAGCAGGTAAGTCAAAAATCTAGTTGATAGTGATGGAAATGGGATACTGTAAAGACAGCTTCATGCCGGCCCCAGATCTTTATATCCACGCGGATGATGCGTCCAACCCCCGCTGTGACATTGCAGATCCGGGATACCTATTCAGGACATCCCGGACGCATCAACGTATCGATCTTCCCCTTCATCCGTTCGTCATGCAGCTTGCGGCTACAAGGGTGCTCCAAGTACAAGTAGCCACACAACTGCCGGGATACCCCATGCGTACTTGACTACAGAAAGAAAAGGTCACTTTGGTGCAGCAATCGCATCTCGACTCCCGTGGCTAGAGGCCCTGGTGCCGGCAATATGGCACGCCCATCCTGTGTCGAACGCTCATCAGGCGAGTTCCTTTTGCGGCGTCGAAACAGCCAGCTGTCGGCACCTGTTGACCCAGCATCAAAGCACATCGTTCAAGGGTCCAAGGCGCACGGCCGTGTCAGTGGCGTTGACAAGGGCGCCGGGATGCGGGGGAAGCGGGGGATCAATGGTGCTGCGGGTGGTGGCGAGGAAGGTGTGCCGAGCCGAGAAGCACGTGACTGTCAGCTTTAGGTCTCCAGTCTTCATTCCTCAACAAATGATTCTTCTAACCTCTGCTTTAGCATCCTCTACTTGGAATGGCTGTCATTTTGCTGAAGTGCTGCGTACTCTAGCGGGTGGTGGGGTTCCAAGGAGCGCTATGCAGCCGTAACCGGGATTTCTTTTCCGTGATGCCTTTATCTCGCGCCTAGGTGATTCTTGAACCGTGGAGGTCGAAATCACACCGCATGACAGGGCGTGGGAAGTCCATGCGGAGAGCTATCATGGAGTCGAGCGCGCGAGGGCACATCGTACGGACACCACATATCACAACGACTGGATCTTGAGTTGGTTCGCAATTGCGATTTTGATTGTTCTATCGAAGCTGAGAGGAGAAGAAGGAACTATGGTACGAAGAAGTAGAAGGGAAAGGCATGGTGCACGCTGCTGAAACCCACTTTCCCCACCCAATTACCAATTTATCTGTGCTGAGAAGGGCCCATAATTCCTTCAACAATAACGCCCACCGTCTCGCATCGAGTGAGAGACAGTGTCCAAAGACACGCTCGGCTGGCCCTGTATCAATGCCATGATCCGAAGGTCAGGTCCGAAAGGATGTGCCAAGCGTGGTTTGAGGTCGAACTTCATTAGGAGTTGTGCTTACGTCGAGGTTCGTACTTGCGTCAAGAGTCGTGCTTGTGATGAGAGTCGTATTTCATCCAGAGTTGTGCTTCATCGAGAGTCGTGCTTCGTCCAGAACCAGACTTTGTTCAGTGTCGTCTTCATCCGCGAGACACGCTCCTCTCCTACTCTTCCGCGGCATTCTCCGCCGCATCATCCGCAGCAACACCGCCCTCAGCAGGTTTCTTCTTTCCTTGCTCTTCTTCCTCTTCCTCTTCCTCCTCCTCGTCCTCCTCGATGACGACAGCTTCCTTCTGACTAGCCTTCTTGGCAGCAGGCGAACCACGCTCCGCAATGACGGCCTTGGTCGTGATCTCTGCCAACCGCGCCAACAGCTCATCGCGCTTGCCGCCCACCTGTGCATGCAGCTCGCGCAGGCGCTTCCGCATAGCCTCGACATTGAGCTTGTCATCAGCTTCGGCAAGACGTGTGACCAGATCTACCTTGGTTCCCCTGCGCAGTAGACCACGGGCACCAACCAGCGTTTGGAGCTCCGCGACAGTCAGGGAAGAGCGTGGATCTGTGTGGGAAGAGTTGGTGGAGGCGACAGTGGCAGTGGATGCGGCGCGATTGTTCCTGGCAGGAGTGTGTGGAGGCGGTGAGCTGGCGATGGTGCTGGAGGCGACCGAGAGCGCCGGGTCGATGGCAGGATGGGCTGATTTGGCTCCCTTCTTAGCAGCGACCAAAGCCTTCAAAGCCTTTCGATCAGCCTCCTGGCGCTCGCGAGCTTGCTTCCCAGCCCGGAGAAGAGTGGCCTTCTCGACCATCTCCGCGCGGCGCTGTTCAGCCTTCTCAGCCTCAGCGATCTGCTTTTCTGCCATCTTTTGCGCGCGCTGAGCTTTGGCTGCCGCTTCCCGCGCGCGCTTGATGGCTGCTTCCTCGCGCTTCCGCGCATGCTTCATGGCCTGTTGTTCCTTGTAAATACGGAGACGCTCAGCGTGTGCCGCTTTCTCCGCGGCCTCCTTCTCCCTGGCAGCACGCTTGATGCGAACGCGCTCGGCACGCTCGGCGTAGCGCTGCTCTGGATTGTCGTCGAGCTCGTAGGGGATATGTGCTGTGCCGGCCATGATAGCGGCGTAGCGCTCGTGGACTGCTTTGGGTGAGTAGCGGGAGGCGGGCTTGAGCTTGTGCAGCTGATCCGAGGCGTAGTTGTAGCGGCGAGATTCGATTTTCTGGACCATGAGGGCGATGCGAGCGTCGGCGAAGGCGACTGCTTCAAGGAGGAGCTCATCCTGGGTAGGGTTAGAGATGTAGGTTTTACAGACACATTGGGGATCTTACTTCGCGCTCATGCCAGTCTGTCTCTTCGGCTTCTAGGCGCTCATCTTGCTTTGCAGCCAAGGCAGCTTGGATGCGGAGGAAGCGAGATCCGATGGTCTTACGATCATAGCGGACACGATTTTCTTCCTTGAGCTTGTTCACCACTTGCTGGTCCGTGAAACCATCCTCCTTCATGCGCAGTATGATCTCATCCTCGGAGTCAAGATCTGCAGTAACAGGCTTGGGCAGAGCGGCACGCCCCCCACGGACACGAGCGCCGGCAGGACCATGCTGGACTGGGCCAGCATAACGCTCATCGTCTGAGTCGCCCCAGACCATGCCGGTACCTTCGCCACGGTTACCGTGGAGGAAGGCGCCAGCGGACGGACGAGGGCCGTCGTTCTCCAATTCTGCGATTTCATCGTAGGTCTGTTCACAAATGATTAGTGCACGAAGAGCCCGAAGGTGTAGGATCAACGGAGCTTACCCCATCGAGCTCATCGTCGCCCCAGTCATCTTGCTCTTCCTCAGGATACTCAAGGTTCTCCGCTGGAGACCAGTTAGCACCGGCGTCAGTAGCATGAGATGATGTTCTTACAGTTATCAGGAAGCGGCGACTCCAGGTCGGCAAAGTCGAACTCTGCCTCGCTGAACGTCACGACACGAGCTTTGCCCTTGTTACGCTTGACGGGAGTCTCATCGGCGCGGTGTTGTTCGGCTGAGACGAAGTAAGGAGCATGCGGCTGCTCCAAGTTGCAGGTTGCATCGGAATCCATGTTGCGTCAGGTGCAGGAAGTACTCTATGCGCTGCGTTGATGAACAGAATGTGAAGCCGTCGATGCGCCCAGGCTTGTCAGAGTTGAATGGAAGGTAGAGGAAGTTGGAAAAGAGAGGAGGATTTTGTTGTGCGTGGCCTCTTGTAGTCGATGCGGGCTCGGCGTGATGATGAAATTTTAAAATTGTGCTTCACGAGCTGCAATCAAAGCTGGGCACGACGGTGAAGAGGTGGCTGAGTGCCTCCGGGAGATTGACAGTGGGCAGTTGACGGTGCCGATCCTGCAACAGAACACTGCCTGCAGGTGCAGCACCTTCACCGGATGGTTGGCGCTGGTCTCGGCCGCCTTGAAGACGTGAGCTCTGAAGATCTTTGAGCGAACGATGCTCGTCAGCTGCGGCCAACAAGCTCTCGCCAAGTTTGCCACGTGCTGAAGACGTGATGATGGCAGCAATCGGTGAAGCCAAAGAGAAGAAATGGGGTCTGGAGACGTTGTGAGTTAGATACTCTCTGAAACCGATGTGCTGAACCAGGCGCTGACAACGTCACGGCTTGATAGCCGGCCTGAGTTGTTTGGAGAATTCAGGCGCTGGGTTCGTCACACTCCAGGACCATGCGAGAGGCGATTAGAGTCGCCAGGAGCTGGGTTTGCCTGAACTCTGGGGCTTGGGAGAGGTCGACAAGAAGAGCTAGCTTATGGAAGCAGCAGCAATGAAGCTCGAGCCAGAACCAGAGCAGAGCGATAGAAGTTGGGACCGCAGTTGTTTGTAGCCCAGAAGAAGCCAAGCAAGAGAGCCGGAGGTTGAGAAAACCGTGTTCAGAGTGGAGAGATGCCCTGAAGCCTAGGAACAAGCGGTTGGAGGGGAATCCATGGTTACCAAAGACTATGAAAGCCACTGGGAGGGATGAAGAGTCACAGCCGCCGTTGTCCAAACCCCGTTGTAAAGTCAAGCAGGAGCGCGGTAGCTCGGATATGCCAGAGAGCGAAGTCAAGCTGAAGCCACGTCAAGCTTCAGAAGTCACAAAGGTTGGAACGCTAGAACTAGAGAATTACGGAAACGGTCGGATGAGCTAAATTCTGAGCCTATGAGATCAGAATTTGATAGAGATATCAGTAAAGAATCAAAAGCATCACAGCAGGAACTCGGCACCACTTTGGGGCTATTGAATAGCGTCGGGCGTTGACAAAACTTTGAGTTGAAGCTAGGATAGACTGATCCATTGGCTTCCTGCAATTCTCTTCAGAAGATAGACAGCCCAGCTCCGACGCATGGATGCAGGCGCTCTTTGATCGTAGCGGAGGGAGGTGAGGGAGGGGACCATGAACCTCTTTCAACCAAGCGGAGCTTCTTGTGGTCTTCATGATGTTTGAATTAGAAGCAGAAACAAAAGAGATTGCCTTCAGTTAGTCCCTCTATCGGAGCAGTGGTTTGAAACTATGACCCAAGTTCTGAAACTCAGTCCGTCCATTAGGCTTCGTTCAATGAGAGGACTCAGTAAGAAATGGCTGAGAACTACTACTTGCGGCCTATGCTTTTCTCCTTGAGTGTATCACCGTTGACTCAAGCGCAATGGCGACGGTTAGTAGGCATGGAGTACGTTAATTGCTTCGCGGCTGAGTGCTGGTCAATGACTCTGTGTATGCGGTATTCTCTTCTAGCCGTTTAGCTAACATTGTTTTTGACTTCCAGGGAGACAGCAATGCTATTAAGGTCAGCTTGCGGGCTCGAACAACGTTATGGGAGGAGATTGAAGTTTGTTCTCTGACTTCTCCTATCTTTGGTGAGAGCGGGACGTCATCGATCACAGGCCGAGGAAGTTCTGTTTTGGTGGGGAGGACGGGATGACGTGGGTTCTGGCCGGAAGCCTTTCCAACCAAGCAGAGGCGGCAGCCACCCCCTCCACCAGCACAGCCAGCCGGAGCAATGCAATCGATCGTCATGCACGCGCAGCCAGCCTAGACTCTTCTCCTTCGCTAGTTATCTGTGTGTAAACCCTCATCTCCATTCACGGCCTATTCCTCCGCCCCTCTTGACCTACTTAGATCACGTATAACTACACTCCGACTACCATCAGCGCCTCACCCAAACCCCCGCAATCATGCTCGAATACTTCAATTACAAGCGCTGGAAGAAGGAGAACCCAGCAGAGGCGCAGGAACACCTGAAGAACCCTGTATTGAACGAGGACGATGAGAAGCTCCTCCAACGCATTACCTCGCAAGGCGACCCGCCGCCGGCTCTCCCCGACCGATCCACTGTGATCCTAGATGACGGAAAGAAAGTTGAGGGTCAGGAGGCGCAGGAGGCGATGAAGCAGGGTGCGGATGACATTCCTTTACCCACTTCGCCGGCACCTGAAAGATCTGGTGACGATAAGTCTGGCGAGGAGGGCAAACCCAATGAAGAAAGCGAGGCCAGCGGGGAAACCAAACCCAGCGAAGAGGACAAACCTAGCGGTGAGGATAAGAGTACTGAAGGGAGCAAGTCTGGTGAAGAGGAGAAGAAAAAGCAGGGTTATTGGTCGTACATACCAGCTATGCCAGCCATGCCAGCCATGCCAGCCATGCCCACTTATCACTTCAAGGTATGTGGGACTAATGGTAGATTTTCCTGTATCGGTTCTTACTCAATTAAATTTACAGCACAAAAACAAGGAGCAAACTGCCGACGACCTCAAAGACGCCGCCCAAGACGTCAAGAAAGGCGAAGGAGTAGACCTCAAAGAAGACGGAACAGTCGATAAGAAAGAGGTCAAGAAGGAAGACCATGATCTTGGCTCAATCCTTGACCGACTCAATCTTGCCGCAGTTAACAACCGCCTCTTCAGCTTCTCCAAAGAGTCACAAGAGCTTATGGAGAGGTTCAAGCAAGTCCTCATGGATATCGTCAACGGTGCACCGACCGCTTATGACGACTTGGAGAAACTCCTCAGGGATTCCGATGGCCAGCTGCAGAAGATGTACGAGAACTTACCACCCTTCCTCAAGACACTCATCAAGAGCCTGCCCGCCAAGATGACGGGCACGCTGGGCCCGGAATTGCTGGCCGCTGCATCAGAGAAGCGCGGCTTCGACGCCAAAGCTGCTGCCGCTGCCACAGAGACGGATACCGAGGAGGGTGATAAGAAGAAGGCCAAGAAGTCACGCATACCTCCTTTGAAGAAGCTGGTGTCTCAACAGGGAGCCGTTGCCAGCATGCTTCGCAGCATTCTTAATTTCCTACAGCTCCGATTTCCGATGTTTATCACTGGTACCAACGTTCTTATGAGCTTAGCGGTTTTCCGTATGTTCCCCTTAGATACGCTCCCGTGCGAGCGACGACTAACAACTTGACAGTTCTGCTATTCGTCTTCTGGTATTGCCACAAGCGCGGTAAAGAAGTGCGCCTGGAGAAGGAACGTCAAGGCCTCCCAACAACCGAGTCAGATGAAGAGAAGAGCGCGGAAGCCTCCGATCTTGAAGAGAGCGAGGTTCTCGAGAAGCCAAGAGAAGAATCCGAAGAAGAGGTCGAAGCGCCCATCAAACTTCACGACGACCCTGCTGTCGGCGACAAGCCTAGCTCTTCTGTCGCTGATATGCCATCAGTCCTCGATCTGCCCGAGCCGGCTGATGTTGCGCTACCGGAGAAGGAGGACAAGGCACAGAAGGAGGCGCCAATTGAGGCGGAGAAGTGATTCTTCTGGATGCATGCATTGGTGTAGATTGATGTGATACCCACTCGTTCATAGTTTCCATCTTTTCTGTTCTTTTAGTAATTCCCAACATACTTGGCAGAAATTCTCATGTGTGCATGGCCATAGCCCAGGCAGCAAGGTACCCAGAGGCATTGTTGGCTTCGTGCATACGTTTTATTGTCGTCAACCTGACCGACATCTCTTATCAATCAAACTCACCGTAATGCCACGCCTTTCCGGTGAACATAGGGACAGCGCTGTTTCTTATACAAGCAACATATCTCTTCCCTCCTCGAACTTCTACAATTCAAGAAGCTGTTAGTATCTCGCCGAATAAGACGCCAAAACACCCTCATAATCTGCCACCCATTGGGTTTTCTTATGTTTTTGTACAGCGCTTCCAACCCTTTCTCCAAGACAAATCTTCTTGAGACAAAGCTTCTTCTTACATCCAAATAGTCGTCTACCAATACCGCAAATACTTTCTCTTGACCATCGCGCTATTGTCTCATTCAATTGGGGCCGGTGAACTCGACTACATCGATTTGGTGGGCATATCCACGCAGACGTCCAACGTTAAGGTGAGTAACACTTCCGAATCGAGTAGTGGAGCGGGCCATCGTAGAACAGCGCATGTGAAAAAGTCCACCTTGAACAGCTCCTGTTGCCGATTCTTGCTTTCTTGCTCGTAAGGCACCTATTCTGCATACCGTGCCCTCTCATAGCTTACTCCGTTGCACTCACCCTTGGTTAAACCCGCGGTGAACAGGTACGTAAACATTCTCATACCATCTACAGCGGGCGAAATCACCCCGCGATTTCCTTCACCGTCCTTGTCCGCTTTCCTAGTGACGGATCAGCAGACCCTGTCCTCAATTTGAACATAACTTTACAGGTGAGTAAGCCTGATTTGTACTTCGACCAGATCGAAACGTTGGTTTGTGCGAGTGCGGCTAAAAGCTGTCACTGTACCAACCTGCTACCATGGAGCGATTGTTACGATTTGATTTTTATCGCTTTTTGTTACGCTCTTGTTCGGTTTGCACTGCAGCTTGTTCTTTTTGCCTTAACTTGTCGTAATTCGGATCATGAGTCCGAACTTGCTCTCTGACATTCTAGAACCTCCCCTATTCTTTACCTAAGCCGTGAAACCAACACGTTCTTCCAGCAGCATCTATAACGCCATGGAACCCGGATAGTCCTCCTTGTCCTTCGGGCTCGGCCCCAAGTCCCAACAGCCGCATCATTCACTCTGTGAACCCGACATCGCCGCAAATCCTGAGCTTTCGAACCTTCATGCCGCCTCTTCCGCGGAAGCATCCACTTTCCTGCCTAGGCTATAGCAGCACTACAGACGGTTTCCTGATCCTATGACAGAGACCTCGACACGCCCCATCTCAATCACAACGCCTGCGTCATCCCCCTGCTGCGCTTCAGGAGCCTCTGCCAAGATCACGATGATCATGTTGCTCCTCTCCCGGGCGCCTCTGACCGTGAACAACGGGCAAGCAGCACGGCCGCAGTCCGAACGAGATACTTCCAGCCTGGTAAGCCTCCTGGCTTCCATTGCGGAGCGCTTCTTCCAAAGAGCATCCCGAGAAACGCAGCACTGGCAACGACGTCCTCCTGCAACCGGCGGCGGGCTGAGTGCATGGCTGGGGAGCGAGAGTGCGCGAGAGATTGGGAACGGGAGAACGTCACTCTCAAGACCGAGCAGTACCAATAGTACTACTGTTTTGCGCAGTGGATTTACGATGGATTTTCTTGCGTTACGGGCTTTCACTGCAGTGGGCAATGACTGGTATACGACGCCCCAAGAACTCCTAGGGTTCATAGCAGTGCGGTCCGGAGGAGCAACCGAGGCATCGGCCACGACTACGCTCTGGTAGAATCGGGGATCAAGTGCTTGATTGTCGAGGTGACGCGATCTGTCCTGTGGAATCTTTTCTGTACCATCGGCAACTCAACCGTTCGGTGAAGCGGCTTCTTCCTAGGCGGCTTTGTTATCTCTCCATTCATAATAGCAGAGAAAAATTGGAGCTTATGCATTGACCGGTTCAGACAAGGATCAACGATTCTCAGATATTTCGTTCGATTACGGCCCGGTCTAAGAGCCCCTATGCCCTCTAACAAAACTCAACAGATCTACCAAAAAGAAGCCCACTGAGAAAGAAACCGCTCATAGGTCCCCTATACAATGCACCGACCCCGCCAAACACCGTAAAGCAGTAAACCCCCGCCAGGTAAGAAATAGCGACCGAGTAGCACCTGCACACCTGGTTCCGATGACGCAGAACGCAGTTATAACCTCGCGCCTCCTGCCCCCCCAGTAAACTGGATCTCCCTTCCCCCTAACAACACTTCGGGATCTGGCCCCCCACTCCACCCGTCCCCCCAATCCCCACCGTATTCCCCTGACCCTGCTGGCCCCCCGCGCCTCCCCGATTCTTCTCCTCCGCCTCATGCTTGTGCTCGTCCCAGATGCCCTTGGCCAGGCTGTAAAAGGCCTGCTCGACGTTGATGTTCGCCTTCGCGCTGACCTCGAGGAAGGGGATGCCGAGCTCGTCGGCGAGGGCTTGGCCGCGCTCGGTGCTGACGGCGCGCTTCTCCGTCCAGTCGCACTTGTTGCCGATGAGGATTTTGTGCACGGTTGCGGTCGCGTGTTGCTCGACGTTTGAGAACCAGGTGCGGATGTCTGGTGGAGGGGAGGGGGGGTGGTTAGCTAGGGGTTTCTTGCGCTGGGGGCGGTTTATAGCGGGCCTGTTGCGGTTGTGCTGCCATCCACCGAAATGGCCCAGCAAAAACGCACATGCAGCGAGAGAAGGCGACAGGAGTGGAGGAACATACTGCCAAAACTGCGCTCGTCCGTAACGTCGTATACCAGCAAAATCCCCATAGCCCCGCGATAGTACGCCGTGGTGATGGTGCGGAAGCGCTCCTGCCCGGCCGTATCCCAAATCTGCAGCTTGATCTTCTTGCCGTCAATCTCGATAGTCCGGATCTTGAAGTCGATGCCGATGGTCGTGATGAAGGACGGCGTGAAGGAGTCTTCGCTGAAGCGCAGCAGGCAGCAGGATTTGCCCACGCCGGAGTCGCCGATGAGGAGGAGTTTGATCTGGGAGACAGGGGCTGGTTAGTGAGAGTATGCGGCAGGGTGTTGAGGAGCGGAGACGCCGATGTATATGGTGGGAGGGCGCGATGTGGACGGAGGGGTGTGGTGAGGGCTGGGTCTGCGTACGAGGAAGTCGTAGGAGCGGGAGGCCATGGCTGCGACTGTGCGTTTGCGGCCGCGGTGAGGAGGATATCAGGTAGGATGAGGCGGGCGAGTCCGCTTAAGGTTGGTGGAGGAAGTTGGGGGGGTTGCGCGGTGCGGTGTTGAGGTATTGTTGTTGGCTGCCTGGTCCTAGTGGAGTGCGAGTGACGTTACGGGCACTATGGTGGATACTCTATTGCCGTGGATCGCAGACTGTCCCTAATGTGGGAGAGTTGAGTGGTGGAAGAGGGTAGAGCTGTGAGCGAGGTTGCGGTGTTTCTGCAGATGTGTACGAGTAGGGTAGTTCAAGGCGACATCACGAGCTGCCAGGTTCCTGTCACGTTTGGAAAGCGAGGCGCTGGCTTTTGGACGGAACTCATCCCAACCATCCGCACCTTTTTCACGCCACCAACTATATAGAGAGAGGACCGCCGTTGCACCACTTCGAGATAGCAAGCGGTTCTAGCAATTATGACATTGCTCAGGTCCAAATCGCGTGGACGGCTTCTACAGCTTTATAACACTCTACATGTACACCGTCCTATCTACTCTGCTTCAGCAGCCGGCAGTGGACGAGCGAACTCTAGCTTCCTGGATTAACAATGCAAACTGAATGCTACAAACGGGTATAGTATCTCGGCCGAACCAACGCAACCAGGCCCTCCCATCACACCCTGGCATAAGCCCTCCACATCCTCTCCAACGTCCTATTCATCCTTTCATATCCCGCCCTCACATCCTCGAGCTCCCTCAGCTCTACTACGAAGTCGCGAAACACCCTCGGCGGCAGCGTCTGTCTGGCCGACAAGCGCAAGATGTGCGTCTCACACAGCAGTAACCCATGATCTTTGTACGAGATCTCTTCATACTTGTTTACGGAGGCCGCGGCGAGGATGCGGTCGATATTCCTAAGGCTGCGGATCAGCTGGCCCTGCTTCTCGTGCCGCTTCAGGCCCCTGCGACTGCCAAAGGTGTTTTTTATGGAGCGGTACACGCCGATGCAGACGAGAACGCCGGGAGTGAGGCCGATGAAGCTGTGGCGTGTTAGTATGTTGCGTTTGGAGAACTCTATGACATTGGGGACTAAGGGGCCGAGTTTCCTTACCCGAATAACAATTCCTGACTCTTCAGAATGGAGTCAATCCCGCTCATCGCAACCTCGATATCGACTTTCGTCTTCTGAATCTGCACAAGCAGCGCCTGTATTAGATTGCCTGTTACAGCGTTCTTCAGTGGCGCCTGCATCTCCCGCTCATACGCTACAAGCACCGGCGTCAAATCCCCTTCCCTAACCTTTGACCGGATATCAGCGATGTCAACTTCCGTGAGGTTTCGACCTTCGGGGGGATGCTGAATAGCGAAATCCACAACCATGCGCTCCAAGCTCGCGCGATCGCCTTCGAGACTGCGCTTGCTCAGGATGGAGACTTCGGCGCTTTCATCGTGCCGGATGGTGCCGATAACCTTCTTCAGCGGTTCCACGACCCAGTTAGACCAAAAGTCGATTACAGTAGCTCCGAGCTCTCGGATCCAGGTGATAATGTCCTCTTTGCGATTGACTGCTACCCGCAGGATAGTGCTTGACGAGATCAAAGCGACAGTGACCGCTGGCCAGTACCGCACAATGCGGGATGGTCTCCCATATTCCTTTCGGACAAGCGTGGTGGTTCTAGTCGTGTAATTTGGCAGGCATTTCGATATGACGTTCTCTAGGCGTGCTGCAACAACCTCCGGCTTCAGCGTCATCGCCTCGGATCCCGTCGACGCATAGGGCTTCCACCACGGGTCCTCCACCACGAGATTCGTAACCGCATCGTCAAAGCTATCCAGCTTAGTGTCTGGATTGTTAACCTCTCTGAAAACCGCTTCCATCAACGTGATGCTCTTGACCACCGTCGCCTTCCACTTGTGCCTATTCTTCGTCCTGGTTTCGTCGTCCGCATTCTCTGCGGCACCGATAGCATGTTCCTCGTGCGCACTTTCGTTGCTCAGCCCCTCTCCAAGCAGGTACCCCAGCGCGTTCGCATTGAGTAGCTTGATTTTCTCCAATCCTTTACGCTTGCGCAGCGCCTCCTCGCGCACTAATGCCAGCGGGGAAACCACCCGCCGCTGTATGTCGGCCAACGACCGCTGCCTGACAACGTCCCTCGCCAGTTCATAGAACTTCGTCCAGCCGTCCTCCAGCCTGCCGCCTCGTCGGCGCAAATCGTGCCACACGTCCTTACTCCACGCCCAGAAGCGCAACGGCGAGGTCTGTATAGAGTAGAGCCCCGCGTACCGGTACGAGCTGCGTATGTCGTCCCAGTACCAGATGTCATCGTCCAGCGGAATGGTTTGCTCAATCATAGTATGCAGAACCAGCCCGTACAACTGCGTCGTCGCCTTGCTGAGCAGGAGCCATTCGAGCTCGTGCTCGTAGCTTGGTTCGGGCTGTTTCGCTGTCTCGGTGTGTACATCGTAGCTTACGTTGTAGACTTTGCACGTGTGGCAGGTTTGGGAGACTTGGGCGTCGGAGAGGATGCTGCGGATCCGGTGCGCGGGGAGCAGCGATCTCGAGGGACCGAGGGAGAGGGACTTGATCAGTGATTCGAGGCGCGTGGTTCGGGCGAGGGTGGAGGAGGGTTCGGAGGTTGAAGGAGGGAGGGAGGGTGTGATGCCGTCGAACTGACTGTCGATGCGACGGACTTGGCTGTTTTGCGATGGTGGTCAGCTTTGCGTGGAGAACGTCAAACTCGTAGGGTGCGGGATCGTAGGTCGTATCACAAGCCATGGAAATCTAAGTAAACCTGGATGCAGTAGGCTATACACCGCCCTGATTTCGCGTCCTCGAAGTCGCTTAAAGTAGGCTTCCAAGCAGCCAGGAACTGAATATGAGACGTTGCTTACTCGATTACGAACGACATTCCTGTCGTTAAGACTATCAGCCGTTGTCAGCTCTGTAGCATTGTGTTTGTGTTGTTAAGCAGATCGCGTGGCCAAGAAAGGATGAGACGTCATCGCGGGTTTTCTGAGCTGCCGGGTGGCTTGACAGCTGAGCCGCAACACCACCGCGGTTTTCACGACAGAGCCACGCTCCTGCTAATGACACGAACCAGCGGAGAACTACCACACGAGGGGCTTAAGATCTCCGGTATGTTGTAGTTTCTGACACTGTAAGGCTACATACACTTATTGGATGCGGTCATCAGCGGAACCAGCCCGGTTAAATCCTATAAAGAGAATTACCAATGGCAAAGCCAATGCGCTGAGCTGCCTAAAAGTGTGCAGTCTGGTATATTGATATGCCCCACCTGAGAGGCGATCGTTCTCTTTTTGTGGTGCTCAGTCTTTCACTGGCCACTTTTCATTTTGTTCTTTGCCAGCGGAATGCAAATTACAGTGTTCCTCAAGCACAGAGCGATATTCCTTACCTCTCACTACTAGCCTCAAGTGCCGTTGCAGTCATGTCCAGCTAGCGTACGCTGTTCTAGAGGTCTTTGTCCGCATCAGCCGAAATCCTAGACTGCCAGCTGCGCCACTCTCGCGCCCATGGGTTGTAAGGGCAGCTCTGCAAGTATCAGTCCTTGCAAGCCTTTCACGGCTCCCTCATCTATCCGCGACGCCATTCTGTCCGGCACCAGGTCCGGCGTGACTGAGCGAGAAATCTCTGGCTTAGGTGCCAGTAGCTGATTCTGAGATGGTCCATTCGACTTCGGGCTGTGAAGCTCTTCCACAATGGACTTCCTCTTGGCGCTGGTATGGGCTTCGGAAGGGAGGATCTGCTCGAAGCCCAGTTCTGTAGCGACCCTCTCGATGCTCTTGAAGTACTGTGTCGCGTCAGTCCGATGTCGACGATTACTGCGAATGACCTACTTTGACCGTCTTGACTTGCAACTCCAGAGTCGCGTCCTCGTCAACGACGATCATCGGATTCTGATGCAGCTGCAGGCTTGACAGCGTCCACATATGATTGACCCCACCTTCGATGCATTTCTGCAATGAAAGCGCTTTGTGAGGTCCCGTGATAATGATCACTACTTCTCTAGCCTGGGGCATGCGTGAGCCTCACGTCTCGGGATTCACGGAACGTGTAAGATTTACTGACGTCAAGTATGGTCTGCACGCCCACGGTCAGTGCCATGCGAGGTACTTGCGAGAGATCATTGCCAAAGAACCTTGAGTTGGCAATGATGGTGTCGTACGCTAGAGTCTTTACCCGAGTTCTCGACTTGAGAGACGAGCCGGGCTCGTTGAAGGCGATGTGACCATCAGGCCCGATACCGCCAAGGAAGAGCTCGATGCCGCCCGCCTGCTTGATTTTTTCTTCGTATGCAATGCACTCCGCTTCCAGATCTGGTGCGTTGCCGTTCAGGATATTGACATTCTCCGGATCAATATCGACATGCGAGAAGAAGTGTTTGTACATGAAGCTGTGGTAGCTCTCGGGATGATCCCGTGGGATGCCTACATATTCGTCCTGGCATAGTCAGCAAGTGCAGTCGACTGTTGCTCGGTATTGCCGGAGCTGAAGCAAGGGACGGCCGCATCTGGCATGCGCATGATGCCACGATATCGGGGCGTTCCGTGGCGGTCTGCGGCGCCAGCCAAGATCTGAGACAGCTCGGTGATACAGAAGCCAACACGCACCATGTTAAACGTGGTGACATGCTTGAAGGAGATATTTCCATTCTTAAAGTGCTGCACGAGGTATTTGTATACAAGCTCTGGACTGCTGCCAGTTGGCAGTCCAAGGACGAACGGCTTCTGCGGCGTCGGTTGGAACGATCTGATACGTTCTTGGTTCTCTCTTAGCTCAGTTCTGTCTCGTGCTTCATCATACTGTTCACCTACCAACCACATAGTCGGCAATGTACTTCGACGCCGCCTGCGGATCGTCTCTGATAATGAGTCTCCTGCATGGAGTCAGCAGAAGCCGTGGCTAATGCTGGTCTCGTTCCGTACATGGTGGAGCAGAGCGGGGCTCTCAAGTTGAGATCTTGCGGTAGGAAAGCAATTAATATCGAGGCGGTCAGGCGCCGTGCAAGTCGATCTGGGTACCTACAGACGCCTCGGAGCACTGCGTGTATTTACGCAGCGCGGCTTTGCATCTTTGTGTCTCACGTCACACTCATTTCTCAGTGTAGAGCAAGTATCGCTGCCGGTGTGCGGTTGCTGCGCAGAGTCATTGGGCGTGCCATCCTTGTGTTACCTCTTCGTAAGCACGAATGGGTACCTGCAAAAGTGCGCATTGCGAAGCCACACTAGCTTTATACGACGCTACATAGTGGAGTCACTCTAGCCATCTGTGGGTTTCTGGGATAGGATCCTTCCGTATCTGGCACATGAATAATTTACTGCCCTACTGCGACATTCGCATCCACTCCTGACAAGACTGTGAAGCTGCAGAAAGAGATGGCAAGATATGTCACGACATGTCGTGCAGGGGGGTGGCCGAGAGGTTACATTCGGAGGAGCTTAGCGTCCTGCTCCACCGTTGCAGTCGTCCATCCTGCAAAGGGTTCCCTTCCCATGGGATCAACGGCGACTGGCGGGATAAGGCTGCGAGCCAGGCTCTTTGCAGGGAGTGCGCCAGCTTCACCTCGACAAACTTACTCGATGCGCGCAAGACCAGCCACTAGAATAGCGCGAGCTCGACGTTCTAGTCAGGCGTGGCGGGTGGGCGGGTATGTCGATAAGCCGCCATCGTGCGTGTCGGTCAGCCATCCATACCTAGCCGTGCGCTGTTGGAGCTGTCCCGCATGGCCCAATTGCGATCCCTTCACCACCACTCAAACAGTCGCGTGCGACATGCGGAGAAGGAAACCACTCCCGTATTAATAGCATAGCTCACCCTCGCCTGTCGTATTGCAATCACACCAACGACTAACACGAAATTAACGGTCCAGAAATATAGCCATCGCTGAGTGATATAACAGCCCCAAGCCCGGGCTACGGCTGTCGCTGTATCAGCTTCTCACCACATCACCGAGACCACTCTATCACCAGAAGAGCAGTCCACTCATGGCCGACCATACCGCGATGCCCGCGACGTCAGAGAAGGCCCAGGTGCCGCCAGACGTCGTGTCTGCCGGATCCTACGACTCACGTACACACTCCGGCGAGGAGGCAGGCTCATTCGAGCGGCCGAAGACATGGATGTATAGATCTATCAAAGTCGGCCCCTTCAAGCTTCCCTACTATGCCTCGCCGCCATTCCAGTTGCTTATCGTGTCGCTCGTCTGCTTCCTCTGCCCGGGCATGTTCAATGCCTTGGGCGGTATGGGCGGCGGCGGTCAGGTGGATCCTCGAGCCGCAAACGATGCCAACACCGCAGTCTACGCCACTTTCGCTGTTGTCGGTTTCTTCGCCGGCACCATTACGAACACGCTAGGGATCAAGTTTGCACTGTCGTTTGGCGGCATTGGCTACTCGGTCTACGTTGCTGCATTTCTGTGCTACAACCACACTCAAAACTATGGATTCACGGTCTTTGCTGGCGCGCTACTCGGTGTGTGCGCCGGTCTGCTATGGACCGCTCAGGGAGCCATCATGATGTCGTATCCCTCGGAAGACTCGAAGGGACGCTACATTTCCTGGTTCTGGATGATCTTCAACCTCGGAGCCGTCATCGGTAGTCTGGTAAGATTTGCCCTCTCGAGCAGTATAGTCTCCCAACTAACACTGCGATGCAGATCCCACTCGGACAGAACATCAACACAACCACCAACAGTGCTGTCAACGACGGAACTTACATTGGCTTCCTTGTCCTCACGTTTCTTGGTGCGGTCTTGGCGTGGTGCCTTGTTGACGCGAAGAACGTCGTGCGCAAAGATGGATCGAAGATCATCCTTATGAAGAACCCCACGTGGCAGACCGAGATAAAAGGCCTTGGAGAGACGTTCATTACCGACCCCTATATTCTCTTTCTGTTCCCGATGTTCTTCGCCTCCAACTGGTTCTACACGTATCAGTTCAACGGCGTCAACTTGGCTTTCTTCAACACCCGTACCAGAGCTTTGAACAACACACTCTACTACATTATGCAGATTGTCGGTGCCTTTGTCTTTGGCTACGCCTTGGATCAAGCGAAAGTCCGCCGATCAACCCGCGCCAAGGGCGCGTGGGCGGCGTTGTTCGTTCTTACGATGATTGTGTGGGGCGGAGGCTACGCTTTCCAGACAGGCTACACCCGTGGACTGGTCAACGCCGGTAGCGCTACAAAGAATGATCCGAGTGACGATTACGTCAAGAAGGATTGGACCGATTCGGGATACATTGGCCCAATGTTCTTGTACATGTTCTACGGATTCTACGACGCCGCCTGGCAGACAACCGTTTACTGGTGAGTGAAACCAAAACCCGCGTTCAAACAAGGATAGGCTGACAACCACTTCAGGTTCATGGGCTCATTAACGAACAACGGCCGTAAACTCGCCAACTTCGCCGGCTTCTACAAGGGCATTCAATCTGCGGGTGCCGCCATCATCTGGGCCGTCGATAACAAAGGCGTTCCTTTCATGAACATATTCGCCTCCTGCTGGGCCCTGCTCGCTGGCAGTTTGATCATTGCGCTGCCGGTCATCCTCATGAAGGTCCAGGATACGGTACCGATTGAGGAAGACCTAAAGTTCTCCGACGAGACTATTGCGGACGTTGCTCCTCAACAGACGCTGAACCAGAAATCGTGATGCTGGCAAATATCTTTAAGCTATTTACGTGCCTATTTGCTTTTCACGTGTAGCTGGGTTGCAGCCCGGCAAGTGGGAAATACCATTTTTCGGGTTCTTGGATATTGAATTTCTGGTTAGCTGTGGTATTTTCTGGGGAGTTCTGGATGTTGCTTGTCACACAGCTCTTCAGGCATGGTCATGAGCTCATGGGCTGTGTGTCCCCTATTCAACTAGCTTTCTTGCAGAAATTTAGCTGTCAGTGTCGGATTCATGTTTCTAGTGGGCAATTGCCAATCTGTTGCCTCGAGTCGGTTACCTACCTCCCGCTTGACGCAACTGATCAAAAGTTCCTTATACCCGAGTGATTCTTGATGATACACTCATGGCACAGCAACCGGTTGCGCGGAATTGATAAGCGTTCCCTACTTCTGCCTCACTGACTAGTAGTAGCTTTGGATGGACCAGCTCCGCGGCCACTGATATTCCTCGCGGAAGTGACCCCGTAGTTCATCGAAAACGTTGCACATGCAGGAAGTAGCAAGTGCATGAAACGGAGTCTAGTGAGCGACGGTAACAATCTGTTACATCACCTTACGCGCCTGCTGCTGCTATTGCACATCCCAGTTGCAACTCGTCGTCTTCCTTCGCCTTGTGGAGCTAATCTAACTTCCTCGCTTCGAAACGTAGCTCGTTGGGGGATTCCCTGCTCTTGGCGTCCAAACCACCGTTGCAATCACGAGGACCCGGGCTGTTGGAAAGCTTACCATGCAGAATAGACGCCGGAGAACGAGTGCGTGCTGGGAAGGTAGACATGACTCTACGTTACCTCACCGTGCCAAAGTCCCGCTGGGCGAGATCCAATGCTGTATCCAGTGCCAAAACTCCGGCTAGAAGCTTTTAGTGCCCCTCAATGAACCCAGTCGAAGCTGGTATCAAGCTTCTCACTGCGGCCGTTGTTACACTGCAACAGATATGCATCGTTCGGGACAGACCGCAGGATTCTATAGGTCTCAAAGAGCACTCGATCTCGTCGGTTAAGCGTTCGGCACGAGCGCTCTCGCACCCGCTTGACGGCCCCTTGTGGGTAACTCTGTACCAAATTGCAGTTATGTGATCGATCCTGTGCCTGGCCCGACGGCGCCAAGTGCGGATACATAACGGATAACCCATGATGTTGATGGCTTTACCGTCTGGACTCCACGTGCTGGGCCCCCAGAAAGTGGCGTCGGCTGGGCTTCTGCTACATCACGGGCAATCTACCCGTTGCATCTCTCAAGCAACTAGGCGGCTCTTGTGGGTCGTCTTTACTCCGAGTATTACTCTGCACGTACTTGATGCCGGAAAGGAGGCGGGTCCAGCGCTCCGCTTAACGCCTCGGCCTCTGTAAGCGGCATAGTGGTGTCGCGCTTTGAGGTTACTTCGACTACAACAGCTCCATCACCCCCCAACCAGAAGACCATCACTCACCGAGGGCACCCACCCCCTGGCGCCCACAGATGCCCCAAAAGACCATCGAAACCCGGCGGTCCCGTTGGCCGTGCAGCAACCCTTGCTTGGCTGCGCTCGTCTGTCGTGAGATTCCAAGACCTTGGAAAGCAGCCCTGTAATGGTGCTCTCGTCTCCCGAGATCCTTTCCAGATATCTTACCCCATCGTACCGATCCCCTGTCGCGGATGAAACCTCTGTCCAGGTGTCGTGCGTTTAACGGCTCTACGTTTACGAGCAGGGCCTGCGAGCCGTACGACATCATGCAGAGGGACCAATTGCGGCATCCGTTGAATCTCTTAGACTTCTTCTGCATTGCGGAGCTCGAGGTTTCAATGTGCAGCCCTTACAGGACCTAGAAAACTACTAGAACCCTCCATCACCCCGCTACACGGCTGTTACAGAAGGCTTTTTGTGTAGCTGATGTTGTTTTGCTGATCCCGCAAGGCCCTATCAAGCGTCGAGCACTACGTTGATCAACGGCATCACCTGCTCACTGCTATAGCAGCACTCAAATCTACCCCACCGACAAACTTCACTCTGTGATGCTTGACGCCTGGCAAAGCCTCGCATCGGCCCTCGAGTCGATCACCATGCTACCTTCCTTCGTCCAAGCCGTTTTCCATCCATCAGTTCCCAAGTCACCAAAACAGTATATCCACGATGTAGCAGTAGTCCGGACGATCGAGCTCAGAAAGATGGACGACTTTCTCCGGGAAGTCAAGCGGCTGTTCGAGGCTCCGCTTCAGATCACAAACCTCCTGGCGATGTCCGGAAAGCTACAAGAGCAGTTCCGGCAAAAATTACAGGACAGCAACATATGTATGTTGCCATCGTACAACCATACGCTACCGACTGGAAACGAGCGCGGCACATACCTGGCCTTGGATGTGGGCGGTTCTACGTTTCGAGTCGCGCTGGTGGAGCTTTGCGGCAAGCACAAGGAGTGGGACAAGAGCATGCGTATGGTCAAGATTGAGAGCTACCGGATAGACAACACTGTCAGGGCATTAAAGGGGCATGCGTTCTTTGACTGGATGGCGGAAAGAATAGCAGAAGTGCTCGAAGACGCTGAGATCCGCAAGCTGAGAGGGTCCACGGTTTTGCCAATGGGGATGGCGTGGTCCTTTCCTGTTGAGTATGTGCAGAACACGTGTCTACGAGTGGGGCTATACGTACTGACAACCCAACAGAGAAACATCAATACGCAGTGGCAGACTATTGGATATGGGAAAGGGCTTTAATGCCACGATGGGAGTGCTTGGCGACGATCTAGGAGAGTTAGTGATGCGAGCATGTAGAGCAAAAGTAAGAATGTACTTCCTAAACCGCGAGAACTCAATTGCTGATGTCGGGGTATAGAACCTGAATGTCCACCTAGACGCGATTATCAACGATTCTTCAGCAACTCTACTATGTCGTGCCTACCGGGTCCAATCAACACGCATGGCGCTGATTCTTGGCACCGGCACGAACGCAGCTATCCACCTCCCAGTCTCCGCGCTGGCACGAACCAAGTTTGGCAGCAGACCGCAGGCATGGCACGACAAAGCACAACACGTGCTTGTAAATACCGAGATGAGCATGTTTGGAAAAGACATATTTCCCACCACTCGGTGGGATGACTACCTCAACCGTACCCATCCTCGTCCGGATTTCCAGCCATTCGAGCATCTTATCAGCGGACGGTACTTGGGCGAGATTGTCCGTTTGATCATGCTCGAAGCCATAGATACCGCTGGCCTTTTTGGCGGCGAGATTCCCAGTAGACTCACGGAGCCATATTCATTTGACACTGGCATCATGGCAGCCATAGAAGCGTAAGCCAACTCACAAGAACGGATGTGACAAAGACGCTAACTAAGAGCTTGTAGTGACGACACCACAACCCTCGCCAAAGCCACATCCGCTCTCACGACCGCTCACCCCCTCCGCATTGCCCCCTCAAAACGCGACATGGTCTTCCTGCGTCAAGTCTCCCAGCTCGTCTCCCGCCGGGCCGCCGCCTACCTAGCCACCGGCATCCATGCGCTCTGGTCGCTACGCCTCGGTTCGGAAAACCTCTCCCCGTCCGCCGCCGGTCACGTGACCATTGGCTGTAACGGATCCGTCCTCGAGAAGTACCCCGGCTTCCGGCAAACGTGTCAGAACTTCTCCGATGAGCTCACTAGAGCAAGCGGCGCGCCTGAAGATGCCATCTCGTTGGAGATTGCGTGCGAGAGCTCCATCCTCGGTGCGGCTGTCGCGGCTTGTTGTCGTGAGCAGGATCGGTGACCGATGACTTTTAGAGAGCTGCTGGGTGAGGTGGCGGTAGAGCCATGGAGCTCCCGTCATGGTTCCGGCGTTCGCGAAGCGTGATCGAGCGTCGCTACTCCGCCCTCACTCTATTGTCTACCATGCCGCTCACGAAGCATGTCAATTGCATTGTTGGGAAATTGTTCAGGCGTTGGAGTAAGGGCAGCTTGGTAATTGGTCAGCTGCAGCAAGTGCTGCTGTACGAGAGTGATCTTACGGCTCGTGCGGTCTCTCACCAGCACGCGCCGTAGGCACAGATGCTTTCCAAGGCTGCGTGACCGTTCTTCGATTGATTGAGCGCGGAACAGCGTATTCGGCATTGCATGTTATACCCCCTCTACTTCGTAGATTTGCAACGGGGTTCGCTTAGAATGCACTTGGGTGCTCATGTGCATGTGTTTCACTATAGCAGGATGCATCGGTTAATGGTGTTTGAGGTTGCATCGCGGCGGTGCATTAGCTGAGGTTGTATGGACGTCGGGAAGATGGTCAAGCCACAGCTGTAGAAAGCTAGGGAGGGTGCATAGCAGGTGCGCGTAACCTTAATTGATGCGGGTAGCCGCGGCTACGTGCATTTTTGTCCGTTAGATCGTGCACATGTCTCTGGGAGGCACGTCTTCCTGCTTCTAGAAATGTATCAGAACAGACGACCCACATTCCTCTTAGCCTGTTGATCTTCCGTGGAGACCAGGGAGCAGTTGTCTCGGCTGCACGGCCTTGGGAGTGAAAGCAGGGAGGTGTCATCGAAAGCGTGGTGGTGGAGCTGAAAGATATCAATGCAGTACTGTAAGCCTCCAAGAGGGTTGCATCGAAAGAATACAACGTAGAAAGCATCTTGATCCATTACTATGGTGTTCCAAGAGACTGGCACATTAATTGAGCGCTCGAGTATACCAAGGAACGCCAGTAGAACCAAACCGAACCCTGGGTATCCTTCCACGTGAAAACATTACAGGATGATGAAGCCATAAATGAGAGATTCATCGGTCATGGAAAGGGTGACAGGACAATGAAGTACAGCTGTGACCCGAGTCCATCTCCACCTCCACCCGTACCCCGCCGTTAGGTGGCCGTGATATACATGAAGACATTCAAGCCGCCGTAATAAGACCTAACCGCGTGTTACACCCTATGCAATTGCAGTGATCTAGGCAGTATGGATCAGAACCACTCGGAACCACTCGGAACCAGAGAACAATTCCAAGATCCGACAAAACTTCCGCAGGGTTTGCGTTGAGTGTAGCCATACAGACTGGCGCCGCATGGTTACCTGCCGAAGGGCTGACAGCAGATTAATCGCGCGGTAACGAATCACTTCTGCTATACATGTGGAGACTACCCAACTGAGTATTGGTCGCAGCAACTTAACAACGCTTGATTGATGACGCTGCAATGCACGGGACTGTCTTGCCAGTAATTGAACGTCGCCAAGACCTGGTACTAAGCAACGTGCCTCAGACGTCGGACACTGACCACGCTATGGCGGGATGTGTTGACCAGAAGCGGTATCAGGTGGCGATAGTAACATCTTACTAGCCATAGGTGTGAACGCAGAGTCTTCGGATCAAACTCTGCGGCGAAAACTCCTTGAGCCTGGCACACAGCTGCAGCTAGCGAACGGGCATTTTCGCTGGACTTGCGGATCGACTGCGATACGATCTACTGAGACGCGCGCAGATCTCAATCCTGATCCGCAGAAAAGTACCTCTTGCTCCTATTCTTGGCAGCCATCGCTTTCGGGTCCTGCGGAACGTTGGTGTGATGCACGACATGCGGCCTATAAACCGCGTCGACAGGCGGCATCCAGTCGTCCAGACCCAGCGGGAAATACTCATACAGGAGATCCGCGCTCTCGTCGGGGCTGCTGATAACATTGATAGAGAACGAAGGCGGGCGGTGTATTTGCGATAGCCGGGGCGCCTTCTTTGCACTTTCTATCGGGGAGCTCGGCTTCTTCGGTTCTTCTTCTATTAAGGAGAGCGTTATCGGCTGCGAGGGTCGCTGTGTTGGCTGTGGATAGCGTGTAAGGTCTGGACTGGACTGCGCATAAGCTGCCGCCGATTCGTGCATGGCGTAGGAGGTGGCGTCTGGCGGGATCGCTGTCATGGCGCCAACCTGACCGGTGGGGATGTTCCACTCGAAAAAGTTCGGGGATACTGAAGCTTCACTGAAGTCGAATTGGTGGGGCATCTGTGGTATTTCGACTTTGGTTTCTGAGCGCTGGTGCTGGTGCTGGTGCTGTTGCACAGTCTCTGCTGTCGAGTTCCGCGTAGGTTGGGCCGGTATCTGTGAGCCCTTCCGTGCAGTGCTGCCACCACCGCTGATTGGGAAGTCTCGCCGCGATTGGAAGTTTCGCGGACTTCGCCCACGCACAATGATGGGTCCCGATTGCACTTCGCAAATGGTAACTCTAGCTCCCGTCGCTAGAGTTGCAACTACCTTTAGTCGCACGACAAAATGCTGCTGCAATTCTTTTCTTCGGCCGTTGTTCGCGGTGGCTATTCTGAACTGCAGTCTTTTCCAAGCAATTGGAAAACTGACAAAGTCGGGATCTATATCCTGTCCGTTCGACAGATCCAAGGGGATCGGTGGCGGCTCTCTCTCCACTTTATCCTCTGCCACCGGGACGTTCGTGGCGGGCGTCTTCCAGGGAACGGATATTATCTTTACAGGATTGCCTTCGACCGACTCAGTCGCGGAGATTGTCAGCTCCTGGCCCAATATGGGTATTTGTTCTCCTTGCTCCGTCATGATGCACCGCAAAGCACGCGGTAAAGTAATTGTGCCAGTTGTCTGGAAGAGATTCCTTCGGTAGCAAGTCAATTCGGTAGGCGTCGCTGAGGCGTCCGCGGCCGAGGCCCACGGCGACTCAGCGAGAAAGAACATGCCATGTAACTGCGCCAAGAATGAGATTGTGGTACGTCGGTACGCATAGTCTAGTAGTGTATAGTTTAAGGTCGGTAGCGAGAAGCTGAGTAGCTTGTTGTCGCGCTCGATCGACGGGCTATCGGCACCATTCTGATCCTGGTTCGGATGGTCGTATGTACTCAGGGCGTCCGAAAATGGGTCCTCTTGTGTGCTCGTGAAGCGTCTCAGCTTTGGAGGATGGAAGGTCTGCGGCACGAATGGATCCTCGCTCCTGCGGAGCATTAGCATTGTCAAGAGTTGCTGAGTTGCGAACAAGGGTTTCGCACCCAATGAAGGTTTCGGCATCGTAGTTGGACTGCTGTTCGAGATTGTCCAAGGGTAGCAGCGGGACGGAGAGAGGATCGGTCGCTGTAACGTTGGAGAGTGACATCTGGGGTGCAAGGTAGGACATGGTGATGGTATCGAAGCCCTCCATCGCTGTCTAATCTTACGGCCAGCACGGGGGAGGTTGGAGGGAGGGAGAGTCTCGTCGTCTTCATGCGCTCGTAGTCGGCGGTCGTCTATCGACGTTCGCGCAGTCTCAGCTGGGGAGGATGGCTACGGGCGGAGTGGGGGGTTGGAGGAGGTGCAGGGTGTTGTTCGTGAAGTCTCGCGATTGTGCTGATGATCTACTGTACCGGGCATCCGCTCTTGGCCAGCCAATACTGGGTGCTCTGGAGGTTGCATACGGCTTGTGCGACAGCTACGGCGACCGTGTGCCAGAAGGGGCAGAGTGCAGCGGGCGGCCAACGTATGAATGTATTGAGCAGCCGCTAGGCGTCCTCTCGCATCAAAGGCAGCGCTCTGTCTACCAGCTGAAGCGGCTATCCGCGCGCTCGAGCACAGAATCGGATTGAGATTTATCCTCGAGTATCGCAAGATTGAACAGCTAGCACACACGTGGACGAAAGCCGGCTTCAGGAGTGCTGGGCGATCCCTTCTGGAAGCCTTCGACGGCTTCAGCGGGGAAGACCATGTTCAATCAGGCAAGCCGGCAGCCGCAAGCCACGCTCTGGAGGCCCTTGGCCAGTCCAAGGGTCCTTTACTCGAGTACACTAGAAGGATGAAGAAAACCCCAAGACGACATAGATATCAATATCCCGAAATCGTCTGAAAATACAGTATTGGTCCATTACATCGGCCCTCCAAGATGTGCCGTTCTGCGGCAGAAACGAAATTATAATCACGTGACAGTTATCTCAGACCACTCGGCAGTAAACTCGCAAAGACCTTCTGATCACGGGTATTCCAGTGTCCAGATCCCTGAGCGCCTCCATCCTAACCAAAGATAACCATTGGAGCGCCCATCGGTGCCGTTGCCTGTGTCAATCTACGAAGGTGGCACTCTGGTCCATGTCGCCGCATCGCAGCTGACCTCTTCGAAGCTGTGCAAGACATCGAAGCCCATTGCAGACAGGCCGTCGAATTTTCCGTCTCCGTCCATCTGCAAGACCTGTCAGTTGAGAGAGTTGCTGTGGAGCAAGTGACATGGCTTACGTGGTCGAGCACACATGCATTGCAGCCTTGCTTCTTGATCTGGCGCATGCCCAGGAGTATCAGGCCCTGGAGCAACGTCGAGTATTCGCCGACCGCAGGCGAGATCACCGGCGACGATATACCTCCCGTCAGCTCATTCGTGTCCTTCATGGCTGGCACAAACTCCGACAAGCGCGATTGCATGTTGTACAAGACGACGGTGCCGACCAGAGTGCCGTCTTCAGGCCGCTTGGCTTGGAGAATGCCGCATGCCTGGGGATCTATCAGTGCCAGTTTATAAACTTCAGCTAGACCTTGGCGGTTGCTCGTCTTGATGTGATCGAGCACTTCGGTAGCGTAATTCCAGCCGTAGACGAGCTCGAACACAAAGACAGGGCCGGCCTCCTTCAGACTCTCAGCCATGCCAGGTGGCGGCGTCCAAGACGATAAGTTGCGGGCTATCATACTGCATACGGGTCGCGAGAGGGCCGTATTCCAGCCCATATTCGCAAACCAAGACCGCAAACGTTTCCTTTCAGCGCCATGGCCCGTTGGGATGCCTAGGAAGATGCTCGGCAGCCTCGAGCCAAGTTGGAACCTCTTGATACCTTCCCGCTGCAGCAGGGTGCGGATCGCACGGTTGTGTAGCGAGTGGCCGATGGAGAGCTTTCTCCTTGTCGGATCCACGAAAAGTGCAGCTATGACTCCGGTCCCCGTGGCCTTGAAGAAGTAGGTGCAGCAGAAGCCGTACAGCACTTGTGTGCTACTATTGCGGACAACAAAGTGAGCTTCCAGGACCTCCGAATCACGCAGCAGGAACGAGTTCGAAGTCGCGCTGGACAGCTCCGACCGTTGAGCGGGTGGGTTGCCTCCTACGACTGTCTTGATGAGGTCGTCGAGAGCGTGTGCGTCGCGCTCCTCGTTGAACATCTCGACCAGCCAGTGTTGCTTAGACTGGTCGAGTTTCTGGCTCTGGCTAATAGTACCCGGCAAAGCGCCTGTTGGTGATAGTTCGCCATAGAGCACTCTGACTAACGAATTCAGCGCTGTCTCCGTGAAGTCGTAGGTGCATATATAAGTTCCAATCGACGGATCCATGGCGAAGTCGTACGGTGAGCTGACTGAAACGACAATGAGTGGCTTCTCTCTCTTCTCCCCTCCGGTTGTGTACTGCATGTTGCAGATCATTGAGACGTGCTTCGTGAAACCGTGCTGGTATAGGTTTCGATTAGCGTCCGCAGTCAGCACAATGATTGCACTGGCCCTATTGATGAGATTCTCGTGAACCGGACGGAGACCGTTGGCGGTATACGAAGTATGCAGTACCCGGCCACTCCTTTGTCGGGCCAGTGTTCTTCCCAACTCGCGGAAGACACGCTCACCACTCATCACTGAGGCACTTCGCTCCCAGACTGCAGGTTCAGGAGGTGATGCAGCCGCTACGGTTTCGGACAGCGCACGCGAGGCCGCTGAAGCCGCGAGAGGTTTGACGAGAGGCGTAAGGAGGAGCAGCTCCTCCTCGGCCTCGATGATATTGGACAACGGGAGCAAGCGGTTCTTGTCGCGCACCACTGTGATGGAGCTGTTATATGCCTTGGTGGATAGTGCTGTATGTGACGGCTGCAGTTGAGACAGTAAACTGATACCGGGGGGGTTCAATGCCTTCTCCCATGAGGTGCATTTCGACTTCATCGTTAGAACCCTCCGAAGAGACTCGCGTATACGGGACTTGGATATCATGGAATTCTCGATGCCCAGCTTCAAGCCCCTGATGGCTTCCTGCTGGTGAGTAAAGAGCCTACACAGCAGTACAATGTCGCAGCCGGCGTTGATCGCCATGACAGTACCGCCGCCAACTCCAATGTTGTGACTCAAAGCTTCCATCTCCAAGCATTCAGAGACGACAACCCCGTCAAATTTGAGGTCTGTCCGAAGTAAGCCGTCGATGACCTGGTCTGAGAGGCAAGCATGCATAACGTTGAGACCAGCGGAAGACATTGCACAACCGCCGACCATCATAGAGTCAAGCCCCTGGTTGATGGCATTTCGAAACGGCACCAGTGCGCTCAGACTGAGCTGCTCCAGCGACTCTGTGATGATTGGCACGTCAAGAGCGGAGCCCAGGAACTCAAGATTGCCGTAGGAAGGGAAATGCTTCCCCATCGTCACAACCCCGGCATCTTTATAGCCTCTCATGAAAGCTACACCATAAGCGGACACTTCTTGCGGGTTATCACCAGTCGTCCTGACGCCTAGAGGCTGGTTTCTTGCATTTGTGAGGACATCCAGGCAGGGGCCCATAATCCAGTTAATGCCACAAGCAGCAATCTCTTGCGCTGTAGCTTTGGCTACCTCAAAGGCCAAGTCGGTCGAGCCGGTGGCGGCAATGCCCATGGCACTAGGATACTGGCGGATGTAGATTTCATCAAAGAGGCTGTTGACGCCGCCATTCTCCTGGTCCACTCCAATGGCCAGAGGGACTGGATGTCCAGCATCGTGAGCGGTCTTCTGTAGCTCGTATACCAGCTGTGCGGTATCTTCCGCGGCTTTTATCTATCAGCATCTGATATTCTGCTACAGGCAGGCAGTTCCGTCTCACATTTGAGATTCTTCGCAGTGAGTAATATAGACCCGATATGGTTCTCTTGGATGAGCTGTCGTATTTGCGGGGTTACTGCTGTGCCATCAAAGCCCATCATAAACAGTTGCCCCTTTTGGGAGATCAGCTTCCACCTGCATACACATGAGGGAGCTGCGATGGAGGCATACCAGGGTCCTGAGAGCTACCGTTAGCCATCACATCACATCACCACGGTTTGATCATTTAGTTCGAGGGAGCAGCTCACCTGTCAAGATCCTCCCACACGGGATCCAGTTCCAACTTTTTGCCATCCATCTCTGGACTGGCTCACGCGTACTGTGCTTAGTCGATTACAGGGTCAACGAACCGCAAGTGGGTGATCAACGCGCTGCAGTAGGATCAGTTTCAACCGCGCTCCACACGGCGAATGCGACGCAACAGCATGTTGCAACGCTCGGTAGGCGCTCCGGGGCGGTTTTCTTTTGCAGTCCGCGGGTATGGTTACACCAGGCAGTCGTTCATCCCTTGCCGGCTTAGTCGTGGTTCCTGAGGTTGCAGCTAACAGTGTTACACGCCGGACATCCAGCCACTTCGGTGATTCAGGCGAGGGCGCAGGCCAAGAGCTTCGCCGAGAGGTGGTGATGTTTTCAGCCGCAGCAACATCACGTCCCCCCTACAATGTCTGGCACTGAACGTGTCTCTGGATTCCTTGACTGACACGACGAGGTGTGATTGCGGCAGGGCTCTGGCATGAATCTCGCTCACAATGCTGCCGCCTGGTTGTCTTTGAGATGACAATATGCTATGGAGTGTATATACACAAGGCGATGGTAATCTTTCCACCAACGTTCATTCATAATGTGGGAGCTTGCAATCGGATCTAAACAATCCGTATCTTGTTAAACGAGTCAGATTCTGGCCGCACTCATTGTTTGCTGTGTTCATCGCCCGCTGTTCCACAAATTGCTTCCGAGTCCCTCCCTCCCGTGAGAATGCCTGCGGCCACAGCAGATCTCCACAGTCCAGCTCGAACACCTAGTGGCATCATAAAGTTCACCAACTGCCGCTTGGCCAGAAACAAGAGGCTTACTGAAGAAGACCTGTGGCTAAGTTCTATCACGGGGAAAATCCTCAACTGCCAAGAAGCGTTCTACGAGCACCGAGCCAGCCCAGACCGCACAATCGACCTAGGTGGTCGGATAGTCTCCCCAGGCCTCATCGATGTACAGCTGAACGGCGGCTTCGGGTTCGACTTCTCGGTCGCCCCAGAAGAGATCACCACATATGCCAAGGGCGTTGCACGGTTGAATAGACAGCTTATCAAAACAGGGGTTACGGCCTACCTGCCAACGCTGACTAGCCAGAGGAGCGAGGTGTACCACAAAGTTAGTGGGATGTCTTAACTCAGATTCCCCAAATAGCTCATCCCTGATCTTTAACCACCAGGTCCTGCCTCATCTCGGTCCATCTGGCTCCCGCCGCAACCCCTCTGACGGGGCCGAGTCTCTTGGAGCCCACTGCGAAGGGCCCTTCCTCAACCCCGTCAAAAAGGGTATTCACGACGCCTCCATTTTCCTAGACGCGCCGTCCGGCTTCTCCTCCCTCTCAGCCTGCTACGGTGCCCCCAGCCTGCTCCGTCCAACATCCCCGATCAAATGCATCACGCTCGCCCCCGAGATCCCCGGCGTCCTCTCCTGTATTCCCGCGCTCGTTGATCTCGGCATCACCGTATCGCTCGGGCACACCGACGCAAGCTTCGAAGAAGCCTCCGCCGGCATCTCCGCCGGCGCATCCATGATAACGCACCTCTTCAACGCCATGCGGCCCCTGCACCACCGTGATCCCGGCATCTTCGGCCTGCTGGGCACGACGCCTAACTCTGCCACCGCCAGCACCACCGGCGGTGCAGGGCCATCAGCGAAACCTTTCTTCGGCTGCATAGCCGACGGCGTGCACCTACACCCCACGACCGTCGCTTTAGCCTGGTCTGCGCATCCGGACGGCTTCATCCTAGTCTCCGACGCGATGGCACTTGTAGGACTGCGGGATGGGACGTATGACTGGACGAACGGGGCTAAAATCAGGAAGGAGGGGTACGTGCTTACGCTCGAGGGGGAGGAGAAGATTGCTGGAAGCGCGGTGACGCTGGTGGAGTGCGTGAATAACTGTTTGAACTGGAGCGGCGCGAGCGTTGCGGAGGTGCTGGGCGCAGTGACGGCGACGCCGGCGAGAATGTTGGGTTTGGAGGGGAAGGGGTGTTTAGAGCCGGGGGCGGATGCGGATTTGGTTGTGTTGGAGGAAAGGGTAAATGACGGTGGTTGGAAGACGTTGGAAGTGGACCAAGTGTGGAAATTTGGGGTGAAGGTCTTTGATAAAGAGCAGGAGTAAGACTGGGAAGAGTCACGTACCGCACTGCATGATAGTTGCATGAGTCGCATGGGCTGTATAGGTTTCTGTCCTTTCTTGAGAATTCATGAACATAGACATGATGCATGTAATGCTTAGAAGTTCACTAATTCTGCTTAAGATCACTTGTGACCACGTGGTGAATGGTTCTGAGTTGTCCATGAGTTCGGGTAAGTGTCATAACTAAGGCAACGCCAGCGCTTTGATATTAGCAGATGTCGGCAATCCCTGTACCAGCTCGCTCATAACCTTGCCTGTTGCCAGAGACTGCGAGATTCCTGTAACTCAGTCAGTACGAACTATGTGGAGCTGCACCGGGGCAGGAGTGCTCACCCCATGCACCATGACCAGCTGCCACAAAGACGCCGCCCTCGCCTCCGCCTCGCGTAGAGAAGCCACCACCGAGCTTGTTGTCCGGTATTCTGGAGATGATAGGCCGGCCACTGTTGGTGACGGGCCGGAAGCAGAGACCTTCTCGCAAAACCTCAAGGTCTTCTTGGCCTGGGAGGCCCAGCATTCGATTCGCCACTTGCTTCAGCTGCTGCACGGCTTCGTCGCTAATCTTTGCATCGGTGCTGACTTCAGGCAGTGGTATTGCTGTGCTATTCAAGCCCGAGATGTAGATCTCGCCGCCTATTCTGCTGAAGAGCTCTGGCGAGAAGCCTAAATTGTCTGAAGCGAAGACCGCGTGGCAGCCCTTCTCCTCATGCTCCGCGCTCCACCGCGGCGACTTGAGCAGCAGCGAGTGGCCGGCTAGCTGTGTGACTGGTATTCGTGTCTTCGCGCTCGGGAAGAGCGTCGAGAAGACTCTTGGTGTCCAGCAGCCCGCTGTAAGGACCAAGCGAGTACATGGAACTAATCGATCGTGAGTTCTCGACACGTTCCCTAGGCCAGCCGAGTGTAGCTTACTGTCTGTCTCTGTGCCGTCGGCTGCCGCTATTCTCACGCTGGCCAGTTGATCTCTGATATCCTTGGATACCGATATAGCCTTAGCTGGGTGATGCAGTTGCACTCCCCGCTCGAGACACTGATCCAACAGGAATTGACTCAACCGTTTCGGATCGCTGCTCTTAAATCAGCTCGTCGTCCCTTTTTCCGCAAGCATAGAACGGCACTTACACCTGCGCAACAGTCTCATCCCGGCTGATAACCTCCAGACTCTCGCCTTTCTTCCGCGTCAACCACGCCGGACCCTCCCCTCCCTCAAACTGATGGATTCCGGCCGCTTCTGCACGGCTCGCACCATTACTCAACCAGTCTTCTCCGCTACCGCCTACAGTGTCGTTATCCTGGCTGAGTGATGTGCCCGTGCTCCGGCTGTATCCCCATTTCTCCTTGCCGTTATGCTTCTCCGCAAGCTCTTTGTGGAGGTTGAAGGATAGAAGGCCGAGCGAGGCCACGGACGGCGCAAACCCTTCAGGCTGATCAACTTAAGACTTGCCCAAAAGCCGGGGATAGCGTACAGTCGGCTGCCAAAAAGCCGCCAGCAAGGCCGGAAGCGCAATGGAAGAGCTCAGGGGAGGCTTCGACTAGGTGGATGCTTTGCGCCTGCGTGCGCGGGGACTCGGAGAGGTAGTATGCGGTCGAGCATCCGATGATGCCGGCGCCTGTGGATCATTAGTTCTGCTTCTACTCAAGATAGAGGTGGTGTTACCGAGAACAACGGTGTTGTTATTAGACATGTTGGTATGGGGTAGTCAACTGGAATCGGAAATTATTGTTTGAAAGATCGACCGCGGGGCACAACGGATGCCCCGCCATGATATATAGTGCGGCGTCCTGATCAACATGTTTCCAGCTGAAGGTGTTGTGAACAGCGTGTCTCACAATCATACGATATTCGGAGCGGTTCGAGCGGTCCGGAAGAGCGTCGTTGGCAAAGTGGTGGCATGACGTCTCGGGTGGATGCATGTCATCAATCGATCCTGCCGGAGGATCTTCCATTCTTGGGCTGCAGTGATCCGATCACGGCACCGAAACAACACGAGACAAAATGGCGAGTCAAGTAAAGAATCGGGTGATAATAGTCACTGGCGCGTCCAGAGGTATCCCAGTGTTTCCATGCGTCAGTAGGATACAGTTGACATTCTATCAGGTATCGGCCTCGCAGCTGCTCGATATCTACTACAACAAGGCCACAACCTCGTGGTCGTGGCTCGTAGCAAGGGACCTCTGGAGCAATTGCGTTCCCAATACCCTCAACAGGTGCAAGTGCTCGCCGGCGACCTAGCGGATCTCTCACTGGGACAGAGGGCCGCTGACCTAGCCACCTCGTCTTGGAACCGCATCGACAGCCTGATAGTCAATCACGGTGTGCTTGAGCCAGTGAAGAGAATTAGCGAGGTCAACGCCGAGGACTGGCGCTCAGCTTTTGATATCAATGTCTTTTCCGCTGTCGCACTTGTAAGCTGGTGCCATGGAAGGGATGCGCCGTATATTCTGATCGAGACGACAGGTCAAAGCAGCATTACCATCATTGCGGTCCGCAGAAGGCAGGATAATATTCACTTCGTCTGGCGCCTCTGTCGGCGCATATTCAACATGGGGAAGCTACGGCGCCTCCAAGGCTGTTCTCAACCATCTAGCGATGTCGCTTGCAGTCGAGGAACCGAACGTGACGTCGATCAGTATCCGGCCGGGAGTCGTCGACACTGAGATGCAGCGGGAGCTGCGTGAGATCCATCACACCAGCATGGACAAGAAAGATGCGGAGAAATTTGCATCCTTGAAGAAGAATGGCGGCCTGCTGAAGCCGGAGCAGCCGGGTCATGTCATGGCTAAGCTCGCAGTCGATGCACCCAAAGAGCTGAGCGGCCGATTTTTGAGGCAAGTTACGAGAATGTTGTGTATTTTATTCGGTCTACTGACGCTATCTACCCAGCTGGAACGACGACAGCCTCAAAGCATTCCAGGAGTGATAGCTGACCGTGTCGTGCCGCTCTGCAGCCCTTGAGCCGGTGATACCTTCCAGAATCTGCACAGAAGTGTAAGCCTATATAAGCGGAATATGTCCGATGAAATCTGATCGTCCCAGGGTGCTCAGGTGAAAGATGAAAAGGCTCGCATTGTGACAGCACAAGGCCAAAGGCCTTCAGTCTTAGCATGGAATGTGATTTTGTCGTCATAGCAAGCGAGGTTGATGCGAACAGGGGAAAAGAGGGCATATTACCGGTCGAGCTACCACCGCGCCACTAACGCTGGATACCCAAAGTGTAACTGAACTCAGGTCAGCCTCAGTCAAGACCAACGACGAGTAACAACGTAGACATAAAAGCGTATCAGGTAATCGAACCAATTTTGATCGTCATTAGGATCTGTATTTGATAGTATATTTGTTTGCTCATCATAAGAAAGTAACGGGTGTGGGTGACGAAAGACAATCTTGAGGACTTACTTCAGGTTTACTCTGGGTGAATGTTGATGCGAACCTTGCCTAGTCATCCAAGAGATCCATTACTCCTACCTTACGTACAATACCTTACAAAACTTAGCCGTGGCAGAGCTGTTTTTATACGTCTCACGTTTCAGCGCGGGGTAACAGTGGCTTCTTACGTCGAGCATTGGTCCTGCGAGACAAGCGAGTTCCCTGCATGAGTGTTCTTGCATCGGCTTTGAGCGCTTCATCCGCTCGTGGGCGGGTATCGGCCACTGTGGAAGGGCTTGAGCGACGCTAAGGACCAACATATACGCGATACGGCCATCTAAGCTCTTGGCGGCAGCACAGACATTGCCGCGGAACGACTTCGTGGGATATCATACACTCGGAGGTGGCTTGAGGAGCTCATAGTGCGGTTGATGTAGGCGTCCGCCTTGCTGTTCTGTCGGCGAAGGGTAAAGCGACATGGACGAAAATATGGTCCCGAGCTGCGCAGCCCGACTTCGAGCATAGCAGTGTCGACGGCGGAGGGACCGCTAATCAAGACGACAGACGGAATACCTGCGCACAGGGGGCAAGGTTAGCTGTGCAACTCTTGACAAATGCTGCGAACAGAAGTGACTGATTTCATTCTCAGCCGTCCGTTTGGCTAGGACAGGTAAATCACCACGGGAGCGAAAGCTCGTTGGTATGATAGGGGCGACACGAATTTCATCTTCGAATGAGTGTGAGTGACGGAGGAATGGACTCTTACCTTCGTGTCTGGATGGTGGTGAAGGAGGATGCGGCAGAGGTTCGAGCAAGAGTTTTGAGCTTCGAAAGTTTCGCGCGTTAGCAGCAGTGGCCTGTGCGGGCGCCAAGTGCCAAGGCTGCAAGGCACACCAACGGGGGCAGGCTGGCAAGCTGCAGCGACTCGGAAGAGCTCAAATGCTTCAACTCTCCCACCATGAAACCCATGATGTACCGCGGACACTCTTACAGCTCTACAACCAACCAACCCCTCCAGATTCGCCGTCGGCGACTACACACAGCAGCTAGCTGATCAACACACCTTTACTGCCGCCATGTCTGACAGGGAATTCGGTGGTAAGTCGAACTAAGCTTCGAGCGCTGCTACTTCTGAGAAGGCGTCCCTCGTAGCTTCCTATTTACCTTACTGAAGCATACTGGAGCTAACCTAGCCTCTGCCAGGTAACGATGATCTTTCTCTGCCCAAAGGTATACTGCCTCTCAGTTCTCCGCCCGATCATATGTCTCAACTCCGACACACCTTATCTAACAGCGGTCTGGACACTATTTTGAAGGGGCTCATCAGGCGCTCTGAGCAAACCTAGACTCAAGACACTGAAAGAGAGCATGTTATGCTAACCGGCATGCTTTTGCCCTTACCGCTGTCAATTCGACAACAATCTTCGAGTTATATCATTAGAAGTCAACCGCTGCTGACCTTGCATAGCCACGGTGGACAAGATCGTCAAGGAAATCCTCCAGAACGAACCGGGGATGACCTTTGGGAAAGACACGCGCGACCTCCTTATCGAATGCTGTGTTGAGTTCCTCACGCTCGTATCTTCCGAGTCGAATGAGATCGCCGAGAAGGATGCGAAGAAGACCATAGGCTACGAACACGTGAAGCAAGCATTGGAGGATCTTGGCTTTGGCGATATGGTGCCTCACATCGCGAAGGTGGCTGCGGAATTCAAGGATACCCAGGCGGTACGTTCGATGTTAGGATTGGATATCATCCAGCTATGCTGACACCGATCTGCAGAAGCGCGAACGGAAGCAGACCAAGATTGAGCAGAGCGGAATGACTGAGGAAGAGTTGGTTCGCGTGCAGCAGGAGCTCTTCCGGTCCGCGACGGAAAAGTTCAACGCTGGCCCTCAAGAGTCTACTGAAGGTTCGTAGGAGAGGGACGCTCTACACAAAGCGGGTGTATGGCATCAACGAGTAGTTAGAACGGGGAGTTCAGGTTGGGGCTTATGTGTCTGTAGGCCGTTCAGTTAGTAGCGGCCGTCTGTTACAGCGGAGAGCTAGGGCACACGAGCTTGTCTTATTACACTGTGCTGGAACCTTCTACAGCACCGAGCGATGCTCATGCCATAGGAAAATGCATACAGTACTCTACTTTTTGCGTCCCTCATCGGCCCCTTTGCGTGCTGGCGACGCCAAGCCTTTGGCGATGACGCTCCGGTGAAACGAACACGCTTGAACCCTCACAGCCACCTCAGCCCTACAGTACCTTATGCCTGCAGCGTAGATTCATCTCTCAGCACTCTTCTAGCTACCACACACTTAGAGCTACCCCCAAACCAGCCGTCACCATGTCAGGCCTCGAGAAGGCTCTCTTCAACCTGAAGGTACTTTCCGCGCGAACCATACCCCACCATCTGCCCCGCGCTCACAGCTCCTCACAGTTCACCGCGAAGCAGCTCAACCGGCAAGCAGCGAAAGCCGGCAAAGATGAGCAGGCCGAGAAGTCGAAGCTCGAAAAGGTTCCAAAGCCCCTCCGCTCCGCGTTCTACACAACATCGGCGACTAAGCTCACACTGTACAATGGCAGGCCATGAAACAGAACCACCACGATATCGCTCGCATCTACGCACAGAATGCCATACGCAAGCAGAACGAGAAGCTCAACCTCCTACGACTAGGCTCGCGCATCGATGCTGTGGCTAGTAGGGTACAGACGGCGGTTACGATGAGGCAGGTCACACAAAGCATGGGGAACGTGGTCAAGGGCATGGACTCTGCTATGAAGAGCATGGACCTAGAGAAGGTATACGATCCCAATGCCCGTACGGCGGTTAACGCGTGGTTTCAACAACGCTGCCAGGACAACGGCTGATACGGCGCTCGCAGATCTCAGCAATCATGGACAAGTTCGAATCACAGTTCGAGGACCTGGACGTCGCGACAGGCTATTACGAGAACGCAACATCGTCGGCTACGGCAGTGGGCACACCACAGGAGGACGTGGACCGTTTAATGAGCCAGGCGGCTGACAAGGCTGGCGTGGAGCTGAATCAGGACCTGGAAAGCGCAACACCGGTGAAGACAAAGATCGGGCCTACGGAGCAGCAAGAAGAGGGTCTCAATGAGAGGCTTCGAGCTCTGAGGAGCTGAGCGGGATACGGCAGGCGTTGGCGGTGGGCAGCTAGTAGTCAGGCGTTTTGGGTACGGGACGGGCTGTTGGGCGACATAGATTATGCATGCTTCTACCGTGAGGTGTCTGGAGAGTGGGGTACCACCAATGTGAAGCGACCATCACTTCAGCTGTTTACTTTGGCGCCAGTCGTGATGGGGCTGTCGGCGAACTGGAACCTGACGCCCGAACCAAGAAAAAATCAATTACATCAACGAAGGTTCCTCCCAGTAGTCTATCTAGGTAGGGAAACGTACTAATTGTCTCCCCAGGACATGGGTTGCTCGTGGACATCTCCTCACAGGTACCTTGGTTCTTACTCATACCTTATGAAGGCAACATTGGCCGAGTGCGTCAGACCTGGGGTCGTCATCGCCACGAGCTGTGGCGGTGCTGCTGCGTCGATCACCTAACGGCCAGCATGGGTCCCTCCTGCGGAAAGACCAGGCGCTCTTGCAACGACACATCTAAAGGATGAGGACGAAAGGATGGATTCGCAACTTCCAGCGTAAATACGGAAACCCATGACGCACTTCACCTGGGGAGTTCGACAGACAAGAAGCCTTTCTAGAGTACCTTCGTGGCCCTTCTTCGCCTCATCCATGGAAAATAGAGTCAGGAATTATGCGTAAGCGTCCCAGTAGTTAAGCTTCCTGGGCTTTCCCTGCCACATCCTTGTATGATCGGCTTTTAGCGGCATACCCAAGCTTTCTTAATCATCCGTGCCCATCCATATCTCTGTCTTATCTACCTCCATCGGACGCGACTTACTAGCTTCACACCTCACTCACCACCCCACCACCTACTCCACAACTTCGATGGGAGAGCCCTCTGATGATTCGAGCTATTTAGACCGTATCAAGTCTTGGGCAAAGACCCATGCGTCCACCTCCACCAGCGAGAAGACAGCCTCCATCTTACCTGTGAGCACCGCCACTCGCAATGGCGCAAACCGCACCTCTCAGTCTACAAACAACCGCTCTGGTCCAGGCCACCAGCGAGAGAATGACGGCAGCAGCTCTGCTGCGCGCACCATCGTTGCGGCTGGTGCGTCCTCAAATACACACGCCGTTGCGCCGCCTCCAGTCGATAGCGCAGTGGAAGGAGGGGCATCTACCGCCGTAGAAGGCGAAAAGCAGAAGGAGAAACGCAATATCATAACCAGAACCAAAGATGGCTCAAAACGCTTCTTCAAACATACCAAAGATGCCCTGCTGCACAGCTGGATCAACGTGCTGCTTGTCTTCGTCCCTATTGGCATTGCCGTCAATGCTGCCGGACTGAGTCCTGAGATAGTGTTCGCTATGAACGCTATCGCCGTCATACCCTTGGCTGGCTTGCTCAGTTATGCAACCGAAAGCGTTGCGAGTCGACTTGGAGACACGTTAGGAGCGCTGCTCAACGTTAGCTTCGGCAACGCTGTAGAGTTGATCATCTTGTAAGCTCGTCACCAAGCGACCTGGCAGATTCGAAACTAACTATTCGACAGTATTATTGCACTCACGAAAGACCAGATAGCGATCGTGCAAGCATCTCTCATTGGTTCGATCCTATCCAATCTCTTGCTCATTCTCGGCATGGCCTTTCTGGCTGGCGGCCTTCGCTATCGAGAGCAGATCTACAACAGCACTGTCACGCAGATGAGCGCTTGTCTCCTCAGTCTGAGTGTTGTGAGCCTCTTGCTACCGACAGCCTTCCACGCGGCTTTCAATCAAGAGTCTACAGACAATGGCGATGCTGATCGGTTCACGCTTAAAGTCAGCCGCGGAACAAGCGTTATTCTGCTTCTGGTCTACATCCTGTACCTGCTATTCCAGCTCAAGTCCCATGCATATCTGTATGAGAGCACACCGCAGCATGTCATCGACGAGGAGTCACAACCCGGAATACTCGCCGATATTCTAGATTCGTCAAGTTCATCTAGCTCTTCGAGCAGTTCTAGCAGTAGCGACTCAGACTCCACATCAGGCTCTGAAACTACGGCGAAACGCATCAAAAGAGCATTCAAGGGCCGAAGTCGTCGCAAGTCCAGCGTGAGCACTCGCGAGGCGCCTTCGGTCCCTTCGTTTTCAAGCAGCCCTCCTGCGGACCTACATCAAAGCGTCTCTGAAGATGATCACGGTGCTCATGATCCTGCTCTTAGCAAGCACCAGCAGAGGCATCGCGGATCGACATTTGGAATGTTGATGAGTGGTGATGAAGCAGACGTCGATGTTCCGAGAGCAAGAGATTTCGAGACGTCACCTGCTGGCTCCGCTAAATCAGGCGGCCACAAGCGCAACAAAAAGACTAAAAGAAGGGACCGAAGGTACCGTAACGCTCGTGTAGAGCATCACGAGCTCTCTGAAAAGCAAGCCATGGAGAATACAGAGGAGCAATCCGCCGTAGCAGATCAAAGCGGTCCCCGAGTTGGTTTTGTAGAAGAAGTTGCGGTGGCATCTACCACACACCTATCGAAGCGCCCGTTCAATTTGCGGCAACTCTCATCTCGACCCAGTCTCCGTAGTACTTTGCCCAGCGTCTTGGCCAACAACGTCTTTTCGAATCCGCCACCATCTGGGTCACCGCACCTCGGCCCATCAGGGATTACTGGAACGCCTGCGCTTCGTCGTACCAATTCGTTACCGGAGCGGCTCAATCACCCTCAGCATACGGCGGGCACAATCCTGAGACCCGCTGTACCCGCTTATCCCAGACGTCCTGCCGAGTCGACAAATACCGAAGATGCTGAGGAGGAGGAGGAGGAGACAAAGCCGCTTATGTCGCGTACCTCAGCAGTCGTTATGCTTCTAATTTCGACTGGCTTGGTTGCGCTTTGTGCGGAGTCCCTAGTGGACGCCATCCCGGAGATGGTCGAGTCGTCCAGTGTCAGTCAAGCGTTCATCGGTCTAATTGTTTTGCCTATTATTGGTAATGCAGCCGAGCACATCACGGCTGTGACAGTTGCTGCGAAGAACAAGATGGACCTTGCTATCGGTGTTGCTGTGGGTAGCAGTATCCAAATCGGTAAGCACATTCTATCGCAGCTTCCTTCACCACAAACTGTAAAGCTGACCGATCAACAGCTCTCTTCGTTACACCTGTAATCGTCATCCTGGGCTGGTGTATGGACAAACAGATGACTCTTTACTTCAACATCTTCGAGACTGTTGCACTTTTTGTCAGCGCCTTTGTCGTCAACTTTCTCGTCCTTGACGGTCGGAGTAACTATCTCGAAGGCGTCCTCCTGATTGCAAGCTACATCATTATTGCGTAAGTCTGCTCCTGCCAACGTTTTAAGGGACACTCGCTAATGCGTTACCAGTGTTGCTGCCTTCTTCTATCCTGACCCTGCCAATGCCAGTTCGATTGGCGGATCAGGTAGAGGTGAAGCTATTTGAGGGATGTCTGACTTCTGATCTCTCTTTCTGTGCTCTTAGCCTCAGTTTGGGAAGTTTGCTAGATGAATAGAGATACCACTTCGCATATCATGGTTTACGGGCTTAGCAGCATGCACTTGTGCTCTGATGCAGCACTTATTCATTCGCCAATGAATATTTTTTTAACAAGAACAATATGTATGCCTTGGTGGTATATGCCACGAGCAGAGCATTCAAGGTGACTTCAGCGCTGTTGACTGTGATGCCGCAAAAGTGCGGAGTGGAGAGCAGCAGAAAACACGTGACGTCAGTCGACCGGCTATTTTGAGAGTCGCTCCTGCCAAGGCGCGCCGCAAACAGGCAGATCTCGGGGAAGAAGCAGGTGTGCTGGGGTTCCGTCGCTCACTCCGCAAAAGTTTCCACCCTTCACCACTCACGCTCCAACACTTCACGTCCACCTCAGCACGTTCGCAAACACTCATCTCTCGCCGGACATCACTCTGGCGGTCTTCACGTCCTACTCAGCTATCCCAGAATCACCATCGATGGGCTCCTCCCAGTCTGCCACCAACACCGCACTTTCAGTCTCCGTCCGCTCCTGCGACGTCGCGACCTCCGCAATCCTGAACCCAACCCAGACCCACGAACTCTCCAAGACCGAGGCAAGCTTCGCAGCGCTGATCTGGCTACTGGCGGGTGGTCCGCCTTGAACGGGCGGACGGTAATATCTGCACGGCTGTGAGGGTCGGAACAGTCAACACCGCTTGCTTGACATCTCGGACAAACCGGTCATTCCACATCTTGGCAGAGTTATTGTATACGCGCCTCATCGCTTAGCCCTGCTGCGCCAGTGCTTGTCGGCACTCCATAACTATGTTTGCCTTCGATGCTATAGACAGGCACTTCACGCCTCCGCTTGCGTCTCCTGAAGTTGTTCATGGAGCTGCGCGTCACAAGGCGCTCAGGCAGCGAGACTCAGAATCCAGTTCGAACGCTTCCATTGTCCTGAACAGCGACGCGATGGACCTTGATGGACCCGCTCCACCTGTCCGAAGCGCTATTGGCACTCCACCGATCCAAATCACGTCGCCTCGTCCCATGCGTCATATCAACGCCAGCATCCCGCAAGCTGTGGAGAATGGTGCCGAGAAGCTGAACTTTGATGATGTTTCGGCCAAGGCGTCAAGGAAGAAGAAAAAGAAGCGAGGCTTGAAACCCGCTCCGTCTGCCACCACGACCGTTCGAGGCTTCCACACGCCAGTGACGTCCGGGGGTGAGGAGAGCGACTTTTCAGCAGCAAGCACTCCGAGACTGGGTCCGAAGGTCCGGGATTTTGCAAGCCTCACCGGCAGCCCTGCGATGAGGCCTTCCACGCCCTGCAGCGGCATTAGCGCGCTGAAGCTACAGCTCGAGACCTTGAACCTTGCATCGAAATCTTCCAAGTCTACCTCTGAGCTTTCTAAAAACAAACCGAGGTCCAATGATTCGAGCCCCGGTACCATAACGTCCTCAGGTGCGAGCGATTCTGACCGCACCGAGATGGACCGCTACGAAGTTCAGCTTGGGCATGATTATGTGAGCCCCGATGCGAACGGCAAATCGCTTATCAGTGTTGTCGAAGGCGGGCTCAGACAAGACTCTATTGTACGGAAAATGACCGCCCAGGATTTCGAGCCACTCCGATGTCTTGGCAAGGGCGCCTTCGGCACTGTACTACTCGTTCGGCAGACAGCAACAGGACGTCTCTACGCTCAGAAGCAGCTTCGCAAGGCATCCCTGACCGTCCATAAGAAGCTCATCGAGCAAACCAAGACCGAGCGGGCCATCCTCGAGAGCGTGAACCGGCACCCCTTCGTCGTGAAGCTATTCTACGCTTTCCAAGACCACGAGAAGCTCTACATAATCCTTGAGTACGCGCAAGGCGGCGAACTCTTCCACCATCTCGCCATGGAGCGTATGTTCACGGAAGAAGTAGCCGCCTTCTACATGGCCGAGATGGTCCTCGCCCTCGACCATCTGCACCGCAGCGTCGGCGTCATCTACCGCGACCTGAAGCCCGAAAACTGCCTCCTGGACTCCGAAGGCCACCTCCTTCTCACCGACTTCGGCCTCTCCAAGGTTGCCGTCGACGCCGACGAGCGCTGCAACTCGAGCGTCGGCACCATCGACTACATGGCGCCCGAAGTCATCATGGGCGCCGACTACGGCTTCGCCGTCGACTGGTGGTCCCTCGGCGCGCTGGGGTTCGACCTGCTGACAGGCAGCCCGCCCTTCACGGGGAACAACCACGCCAAGATCCAGGAGGGCATCCTGAAGAAGAAGCTCGTGCTGCCGTACTTCATGGGCCCGGACTCCAAGGATCTGCTCACCCGCCTCCTCCGCAAGGAGCCGCATAAACGCCTCGGGTACAACATGCCCAAGGACATGCAGACCATCAGGAACCATCGCTTCTTCCGCAGGATCAACTGGAAGATGCTTGAGCGGAGGGAGCTGGAGCCGCCGATTAAACCGCTGATTACGGACCCGGAGCTCGCGGAGAACTTCTCGAATGAGTTCACGGATCTGGCGCTGAGCCCCGTGGTTGCGCGCAGGAGCTTCAGAGAAGAGATGGACGGCGTCGAGGCGGATCCGTTTGGGGGCTTCAGCTTTGTGGCTAGTGAGAGCTTGCTGCAGGGAGGGGACTGGGGGTTTTAGATTGGGGGATTCCTGTATAGAATTGTTGGGTGGGGTGGGGAGAGTACAGACATTGGGATTATCGGGTTTTGGATACATGTTGGATCATGCATAGCGTTATTCATCTGCAGGCGTGGGCTGGAAAGCCATAGCTAATAGAGAACCTACCGCTTTCTCGCGGCATTGATGCATCCGCCTTCTCCCTTGATCCCCGAAACCAATTCTCTGTGCTCATCGCCTGCTGCGCTTGCAGTCCCATACGAGCTCCAGCACATCTGGCCCTGATCTTTCCCGATCCGATGGCTGTGCTTGCAGAGGCGTGACAGTCTTGAACGAGTCGCATTGTTAGTGGGTCTTCTAGTCATGCTGTTGACCACATCTCATGACCTGGCAACCCACCTCAGAATTGTATTGCATTGCTCTGCCCTACTGTATGCTTCCACACTTGTCCGAAGCTTCTCGGCGCTAGTGACGCTGTTGAAGTATGGCAGGGTAAGATCCTGAAGCAAAGGCTACAAGGCGTTCGTCAGACACACGCTACTTAGCTTCCCGTCTCGTGATGATCAACCACTAAGAGAGATTGAGTTAAGTATTTGTGTTACACTGTCGTGTGACTGCAACTCGTGTTGATGTGACTCTACGATACCTACGTATCGTGGTTGCAATTCACTAGCCTCAAAGCGATCATCATCCTTTCTTCACGCATGTTCTAGTAGTGAAGGACTGCAAAGGGAGCGACTCTGCCAGTAAAGAGTGTAAGCATAACTAATGAGCGTGAAGTAACCAGAAACTTGATTACACAGACGGGAAAAGTAAAGAGTGATACAGACGACTAGTGTGTCCATCTATTGGAGGCTGTGTTCAAGCCACAGGGTAGTGGTGAAGGCTATACCGTCGGCAGTCTGTATGCTCCCTTGCACAGAAAACGCGCAGGAGGTCACTTCTGTCGCATTAAACCGTGGCTGGACGCTTCATGCCAGACATGGTAAGGGCAGCAATGATAACAGGCAAGACGCTGACAATCTCACCCAAGCCTGCATATGCCGGCGGGATGCGGACGCGAACGAAGGCACCAGCTGCAAGTAAAATGGCAAGGACATTGTAGACAGCGGACCAAACGAAATTGAACATGATGCGGCGAAATGAGGCCTTGGACACCTCAAGGAGATAGATGATACCATCCAGACCAGATAGGAGAACGACGTCGGCGGTTGCGCGAGTAACATCTGACGAAGAACCCAGCTGGATGCCAATATTCGCTTGGGCGATGGCGACGGCGTCGTTTGTACCGTCTCCGCAGAAGGCAACTCTCTTGCCTCGCTTGATGAGGTCCTGCACATAGACGCGTTTCTCAGCTGGTGACCTGCGAGCGGCCGCGTTTTGCTCCGGAATTCCGACCGTTTTAGCGACCGTTTCGACTGCCCTCTCTTCGTCACCACTGACGAGGTGAACGGTGATCTTCCTCGCTTGAAGCTCATGAACAACAGCGGCTGCTTCGGGACGTAGGACGCTTGTCAGACCAAGCACTGCAAGCAGTTCGGTGTCCTTGGTCAAACAGAGGGTAGTCATTCCCTGCTGGAGGAGGCGATCCACCTCCAACATCTGATCGACACCCAACCAGTGCGCATTGCCAGCCCGAAACGAGGATCCGTTCCATGTGGCTTCAACACCGGCTCCGGGTATGACACGGATATCCTCCAGGTGGACAGCTTTGTGATCTTGTTTTTCCAAGTGCTTCGCTACAGCCATCGAGACTGGATGCTTGTTGTCGCCTACCAGGGCCTTAGCAAGAGAGACGGCCTGTCCACGATCCGTAGATAGAATTTCTTCGACGACTACATCCAGTTCGCCAATGGTGAGAGTTCCGGTCTTGTCAAAGACAACGTCAGTAATCTTGTGCCCTCTCTCGATGGGCTCCGCAGACTTGATCACAACCCCACCGCGAGCAGCAACGCCGCCAGCGACAACCAAAACCATTGGTACAGCCAGACCAAGGGCGCATGGACAGGAGACGGCAAGCACAGCGATGGCATAGGTGATAGCAGTGCTAATAGCTTTACCCGCAGACTCATTCCGGATGCGGAGGGAGACGACAACCCAGACAATGATTGTGATGACGGCGATGGCGGTCACCACGGGTACGAAATAACCTGCGACTTTATCCGCTAGTTCCTGAACTCTAGGCTTCGTGTTGGAAGCCTCCTCTACCAGATTAGCAATGTCAGTGACAGTGTTCTTCCCAGGTAAACGGGTCAGCCTGGCTGTAAGTCTTCCAGATCCGTTGATAGTACCCGCAATGATCTGCGCGCCGTGCTGTTTTCCAACCGGAAGAGACTCTCCGGTGAGCATTGATTCGTCCACCTCACTCGACCCCTCGGTGACCTGCCCGTCCGTTGGAATCTGTGCATGGGGCATGATCATGAATCTGTCACCAAATTGCAACAGGCGAGCATCCACCTCCCTAGTTCCTTCAGCCTCAATGAGGACCGCGGTCGATACCTGTAAGGATCTCAGTGACACGGCGGCGATGGCTCTGATGCGGGCAAACGCAGCGATGAGCCGACCAAGGAGGACGAGCGTGATCAGCAACGTGCTTGTCTCGAAGAACTCTTTCGTATCAAGCGGCTTCCCGGCCATGCTAAAACCAAAGGCGATGACAGAGTAGAGGTAAGCAGCACTGACACTGATGACCACAAGCATGTCCATTTCAACAGTGCGACTAAAGATCAAAGAAGAGATGGCCGGTCGGTAGAATTCTGGCACAGACAATGCCTGGACTACGGTTGCGAACACGATGGAAATATACGCCCGCGAACGGTCATCCACTAAGGTATTACCCCAGGCAAGGACTACGACGGGGATGGTGAAGACCGCGGCCAAAGTCGTTTTGATGAGCATATCACGGAGTCTCCTACGTCCGCCTGCTGCAGATGCATCCGCGCGAGGGGGTGCAAGGCCGGTGGTACGATCTCCTAAGGATAAAACAAGAGATCTAGCTCCGACTACGGTTGGGTCATAGGTGATGCGAGCTGTCAGCTTATCAAGTACATCGATCTGCTTGACTCCTGCCGGCATGATATCTGAGAGAGCTTTGACGGACTCTCCGGTCATGAGGAGGTCGATGAACTGATCGTCGCTCGTAGTTCTCGCACAACGGAATCCGGTCTCTCTTTCAGCTGTCCGGATGACTTCTTCTACTTTGCTTGTCTGAGGGTTGATATCAAAATCGGCGCTTCCCATGACAAAGCTGACTCGCACATTGGAAACTCCAGGGATTGCCTCGAGGGTGCGGGTGAGTTTATTGCCGCAGCCGGAACAGGTCATTCCGTCGACGGCAAACAGAACGTGCTCATGAGCTGCTGTCTTCTCTACATCGGTGGGGTTTGTTGTCCTGGCGGCAAAGACGTTCACCGTGTTTCTCTCGCAAGGCTGAGTAATCCCATTGTCATCGAATCGAACTTCCGTGTTGGAATCCGCGTGACAACCTCCATGTTGCTCTATATCATTACACGAGGTGACAGAGGTCTGAACAAAGGCACGGCCTTGACCTCTGTGATCAGAACTGACTCTTGGCTTTACTACATGGCGAGCGTGCAGAGTCTCAGCTGCGCTTGCTCGAAAACTGTGACCAGTCGAACGAGCCTCTGAGACGGCTGGTGTCGCGGTATCCCGAGGAGCGAGTGGAGTACCGCAGCAGCGGTTGATTTGATTGTTGAGGACACTTCTGCAGAGACATCGAGCTGATTCCAAGTAGGTGCTGTATCGCTCAAAGGCGGACAGAAGGTGAGTGCTGCATGCCTGATCCGGGTGTCGTCCAGTCCGGTCGTGATCATGATCATGATCATGTTGGCTATCCTTCAGTTGGTCATGGCCGTCGGAGCGGTTGTGCTCATTCTCGAGACCTTCTAGATCTCAGCAATCATGTTAGCGGGGTGTTGTTGAGACATGGCAGGAGAATGGATTCCGTTGGATCGAAATGGAGGAGAAAGGTGCAGGTGTCAATATTTGATGTCGATACCTTGATTCTTCTCCTGCTCACATGCCGCCTGGCACTCGTATGCGGCTAACTTCTTGATACATTCCTCTGGAGTGGGGAAAGTCAGTCCACATCCTGGGGTTTGACGCATTGATCGTGACCGACCGTCGCAGCTCTCTTCAGTATCGCTATGACAACACTGTTCGCCAGGGACTTCAGAGAGGTCCGCTGGAGCGCAGACATTGTCTTGACTTTCGCCGCAGCAGTCTTTCATAGCTGACTCTTCACCGTGGTACAGGCGTTCTTCGCGATGTAATCAACGTAATTTGCTGGATTAAAGTGTGGGAAAGACAGAGCGAAGTCCTAAGCTTTGCTTCATGGAAGTAATTGGGGGTTTCTGACTAGAGTAATGTACAGCACTTGACCACGTGGCAGGCGGTGCGGTCCAACAGTTAGTGAACTCCCCATTTGAACTTGGAGAATGTTTGTTCACGGATTGGCCATCTCAAAAACCCCCGCTGGGAGGAAGTCTGAACGTAAATATTACCGAATCACAACCACTATAGCACTCATTTGGTATGACAGTGATACGTTACCCTCGTTAGTTCAATTTTAGATACGACCAAAGACCTACGTCTTCATCCTTGCGGTGATATCACTGGCGTTATTGTAGTATCCCCGCGATATGACTGGCCGATTCCGCAGAAACTCTGGAGAAAGTTTGATCACGGAGGCGCCGATCCGTGGAACGCCTGTGTTGCGCTCCGCAATGCAACTGAGTGATTACATCCGGGTCACATGAACAAGCAAGAGGTAACAGAGTCTTCTAAGGATCGTAGCTCTTTTAGTGTATCAAGTACGGCAGCCCCACCAGAAGTCGACAATCTACCCAACGCCCGGCATGGAGCTGCACGCATGCGGCTTCAACGGTCATAATCAACTAAAGGCCGACGCTGAGAGGCTGGATAATCCATCGGATATCTACTCTTTCACCAAGATTGCCTCTGGCCACGACATTGGCGTGGCTCACGCCGGATGGAGTCAAACACTGGGTAGGCAACAATTTGAGATAGTACACTTCCTCATTGTGAACTTGATTTGATCTCGAGCAATAGAACTGCTAGACAGATCGGGGCTGTTCTAAAGTGCAAGCGCATCTATAAAGATGGATATGTTTCCAAAAGCACCACCTTGCCTATGTCATTCGCTGTCAAATATGCTAGATAAAAGCTCTGTCTACCTCGTTCCTGGTTGCGCCCTTAAGGAAAAGTTGAGCTGATAAACCAAGTCAAACACAACACGACCCTGGTCGGCCTGGGACATAACCTACCCCCCGGCGTCCCCCTCTGGGACGGACCTCCTCTCTCCTCCTTCTTCGGAACGCACGGTGGGTTGATCGGTGCGCTAGGAGAGAAGGGCGAGCTCTGTCGCTTTTCACATGAGTCCTACCCCGCCTTCACGCTTCGAGGCGACGAGAGCAGTCCTAGGCTTGCGCACGTTGCAATCAACAATGCGGACCGTGTCACTATCATCTTCCTGGCGTCACCGGCGGCAAATCTCATGCACATCCTCGAATTCAGCTCGGTACTTGGATTCTTTGGATGGTACAGTGATCCCTCTGCGGATCCGCCAGCGAACGGTGTGTATAGCCATCCAAGCCTGCCAACCGACAAACCGGATAGTCGGGGTGAGATACCCGCAGGTCTTCGACCATCACTGAGTCGTGTCTCTGTAGTTGATCGCCGCCATTTCATGGTACCTGGCCGGGCAAAGAAGCTCGTAGCTTTCGCGACCGGCTTCGTCCTCCTGACAGAGACTGGCGAGGTCTACACATGGGGAGACGCACGCCATGACCGCTGCCTGGGTCGGTCCGTAGATGTGAGCAGACCCCATGCAACGCGCAGACCGAGAATAACTCTAAGACCATTTCTCGCCAATACGCTGATACGAAACTAGGCCGCAGACAACCCGGCAGACGAGCCTCGCCTCGTGGAAGCTCTCGCGGGCATCCCGATCGCTAAAGTCGCAGCCGGCGGGTGGATTTGCGCTGCTTTGAGCAAAGAACGGGACCTCTACATCTGGGGGTTAGGAACGCCGGGCTCAGAAGGGCGGAAGATAGAAGCCTTAAACAATGTCAGTCCGCTCCCACCACACAGCAAAGAAAGCGGCATCCTTTATGACCTAGGGGAAGAGCATAGCGCTGACTCAGCTGAGCAGGACGAGGATGTGACATTGATTGAACTGGAGAGCGGGCTAGACGTCGTAGATGTGGGTGTTGGGACCGGCCATGTGGTCGTCGTTGCGGAAGGGGGACGAATTTATACAGTCGGCGACAATGACAACGGCCAACTGGGGCTTGGGAAAGATGCTCAGAGCTTCCACAAAGACTGGACGGAGATAAAGGAATTCCGAGAAAAGAGCTTTAAGGGTGTCACCTGTGGTCCTCGTTCGAGCTTCATTCTTGTTCAGTAAGCCCGGGGATGGGTCAATGCAGTTGCAGCATGCAATGTGCGGCAGGTTCCAATGGTTTGAGAGTGGAAGCTGATCACCATAACCATTCCTACTTGACATTGAAAGTTTCCTGAGACGTGCGTTGAAGAGAAATTTGGTTGTGCAGTATGTGCTTCAGATGCAGCGGCAGTCTTTTCAGGCGAAGAACACAGAGTGTTGCACCGACTCACCTGTTTCCAAGCGAACGCAAAGCGGAGCAAAGAGGCTGAGAATCACGAGACTCTAATGGGACAGGGCAAGGGCTCCAGTGAAGCTCCAGCATGACTTACTTGAAAGCTCTCGTATAGGTATTACATGCAGCAAAGATTGAGGCCAAAGTGGTCGCTGGCCGAACGGCATATTTGGTGTGTTCAGTGTAGGGGGCTGCAAGATTAGTGGTTGTATCGTATCGTATCGTATCGGACTTCACTGTTAGTATCATGGTAGTGGCCGTGAAGAAGATCGCAGATCGGGTCTATGAGTTTGTACTGTTCAATAAGATTTTCTAAACCACACAGGTGACCAAGTGTGCACGAACCTTTCAGAAGCAGCCAAAGGGCCCATCGATTTCCAGAATCAAGGCGCCCAGCAGGAGAAAGTTCGTGTGGAGCGACCAAGCAGTGCCAAGGAGCCAGCGCTCGCTCCAGTGGCGGGTGCTGTGTTCCGACAGCAGGAATCCGGCCGCGTATGATGCCATCAAAGGACGTTCTCCTCCTTTCACACCGACTCCATGAGAGCGCTCACTGCAACCGCACTCCAGCCAGCCGGTTCTTTCTGGCTGTAGCACCCATGGCAGTGTTCATGCCCGTGTGCTGGCTGCTGTCAAGCGTGCTCATAGCCTCCCTCTTCTTCTCATCTTCAATCTTCTTGAGCCTCTTCTCCGTCTTCTGCTTGCCGGAGCCCTTTCCGTGGAACTGATGCGACATATTCTTGAAGGCTTCTTTCTCATTCATATGACGTCCGAACTCATCAACGTGCTTGATCTCGACGTTTGGTACATACTGGCGGTTGAACAAGTCCGCCAGCTTCCGCGAGACGTACTGTTCGCGCTGTTGGTTCACACGGCGAGCGTACTCCTCTCGCTCGCGAGCGGACATGTGGTCCATCTTGCCGTTCTGGCGGTCACGCTCACGTTGGAGTCGAGCTTGTTCTTCGGCTTCGCCCTCGATCCTCTTCTTCTCAGCAAGAAAGAACTGGTTCTTCCGAAACTTTTCACTTTGGTCGCCTGCGGACCCTCCGATCAGGCCACGTTGTCTTAGGGTGTTGAGTGTGCTGCCCAAACCCGTGGTAAGGGCCGCTTCCTCTTCGAGACCTGTTGCCGTGATGTCGGCGGCCGCGGATACGCTGCGTTCCTTGCGGTCGTCCACATCGTTAACGTTAGCGTAGGGTTGCGCCATGGATAAATCGCCGTCCGCATCTGGCTCTGGCGACGCCGCTTCTTCGGACCCGCCACGAGCAGTTAGTTGTGCTGGACTCTTTCTTCGCTGGTGTTCTGGTGCCGTAGGCTTCTGTAGATTCGAGACAAATTCTGAAGTCTCATCAATAACCAAACCTGGCTCTTCCTCTGGCATTTCGGTGCTTTCAATAACACCAGGGGTAGCGGACGCCTCCTCTCGCATCTGCCGAGCTAAGTCCTCCGGGCGCATTCTCTTCTGCTTTTTTAGGGCCGCTCGTCGTTGCATGGAGAGACTGGCCTGGAGGTCATCGTCATCCACAAAATCTGTTTGGTTGAAGGCGCGCTTCCTTGATGCTGCGCCACTGCCATTGGGTGCTGCTCCGTCGATCTCCATAGCACCAGTCTCTAGTGGGGCAGATGCGGTGTCCTGGACTGGGAAGATGTCATCGTCGTCCACAGCTTTCTTTCTGGTTGATTTTGATTTCTTCTTTTTCGGCTTGCTGATCTTGACTTCTGAAGGATCAACGTAATCAGAAACTGGCACGTCGTCCTTCAGCAGGTCCAGGCTAATCTTGATGCCCCTGTCTTTATGTGAACCGTCCCCTACAGCTGCTGAAGCGGCCTCCGCAGTGCTTCCTTGACCATCTAAGGTAAACACCTTTCGCTTCTTCCCATCAATCTCTTCATCGTATTGAGCAAGTATGGTCTTCTTGCCATCTTCATCCGCCGCATTGGGATCGTACACCGGCTTCCTCCTCGCTAACCGGATCTTCTCTGTGAGCTTCTCTTTCGCCCGCAAGTCTAGATTCTCCAACTCGTCTCCCTCGTCTTCATCATCCACAGCGGCGTCTTTGAGTGTCAGGATGTGTTCTCCGCCTTCGTCAAACTGATCGAACTCGTGTCCAACTTTGACACCTGCCAGGTCCACCGATGTATACTGTATTTGCTTCAGCACCTCGGCTTCGCGTTCCGCCTCCTCCTGCTCTCGCTTCCGCGCCTTCTCGATCTCCTTTTGTCTCTTCTTCTGGGTCTTCAACCACGTCATGGTGTCCATATCTCCCTGGCCACCCGTCTCACCAAGGCCTTGACCCTCAATCTTCTTGAACCTCTGCGCCTTCTCCTGCGCCTTGCGAATGGCATCTTTTTGCGCCTGTCGCTTAGCCTTAGCTTCGGCTTCGTCCTGGAGCTTCTTCCAGTTGTCGTAGCCGGCGGCGGCACGTGTCTCGAGTGTGCTGGCTGGCTCATCGTCCGGGTTGTCGTTCCTCGACTCTTTGAATACCGGGCCGTCGTTGCTGGACTTCCCGGGCACTGGGAGAGGCTTCATGCCCATGGCCACGCGGATTTTATTCGCTTCTTCGATAGAGATGGCGTCCATGGTGGCGATTGTGGATGACTCTGGGACTGAGTGAGGTGTTGTCGCCGTTTGGCAGTGCTGCGAGACTCAGGTGCGAGGTTGTCGGCTCGCAAGGCGGCATGAAACTTGGCGTGCTTAGTCATGTTCGCTAGCGCGCCTCGCCTGCAGCATGCCTCCAAAAACTTCGACCTCTACGAACTTTTTCTTTATCACAATACAGATCTGTGTCGAGCGATCCCGACACCTGGCAACAGGTTGTTCGGTTGATTGCTCGACAGTTCGACAACCTATGGAGCCGCCAACATTCTTATGGTGTCAATCTTCCAGTCGACAGATCTCAGACTAACAGGATTCTCTGGCCTGAGCTCCCTTCGGGTGAGCTCGGCCAGCGGATTGCTGGGGCGTCATATTCCTAAAGCTTCGCTCGAGACCGTCGGTCTGTGAAGCGGAGACAAACCATTTCTGCCTACATGCTGTTCTCTATCGTTGGATCTATCTTCTGAAGATTGAAATTGCCCAAGTAATTGGGGAAGCCATATAACCAGATCAACAGAACCCACAAACAGAACCTGGATTGCATGGGAACAATGCCATCCTTTGGCGCCGTGCTATGCGTTCCGCTATCCCAACGCCGAGCTATGCAGTTTCAAAGGGCTGCCGGAGTGTCCACCTCACAGCAGCTTTAGATGTCCCGTAACCTGATCCACCATACTCTTTGGCGCCGGACCGATACCCAGCACCGTCGCGCTGCCACTTGCTATCTGTGTCCTGCCCGCATCATGGATGACCTGCGCACACATCCCCAGGCTGACCGCTTGCGCCTGCAGCATCTCCAGCTCCTCCTCATTTTTGACCTGCAGTGCCACCTTCATCTGACCGTACCGCTCCCAGCGCTTAAGTATTGGCGAGTCAGGGTTTTGGCGAAGGAAGGTCTTATAGCATGCGAGGGTTGCGTGAGAGCATTGCGCTGCGATCTTGCCTATAACGGGTGTCAGCAACCGTGTGCGCAATTCAGGAGCTGGCTTTGCTTGCCCTTCGTCATGCCCAGATCTGTCCTGACCACCAGAACTAATTTGCATTCCTCATTACTTCCAGGGAAGTCTCTGAGCTCCTGCTGCTCGTCTAGCAGTTCGTCCACCTCCTCGCTACTCGAACTCTCAGCTGACTGTGTGTGCTGCACTGCCTTGACCACGGAGGCCTTCGCGCCGCCGAAGACGCCGATGGAAGAAGCTTGGCCCAAGAAGTAGCCTATGATTGCTGCGATGATTGCGGTTCCGAAAGCTATCGAGGCAGTCGTTGGCGGCGGCCGTTCCTGCAGCGAAGACATGCCTGCGAATGTGATTGCTGCTCCAGTAGAAAGCCGAATGCTTTGGAGTGTGGAGTTACGGCGGGTTTCTCTAGAGTTGCGAATACCACGGATGTGATGCCAGCCCTAGCGCTTAAGCTGGCAGGTCTAAGCGCGCGCCTACGCGCCTACAGCAACTTCCATCTCGCATCAACCATCAAACCTCCCCAAATCATTGCATTCGTCGCCAACACCAACTCCACCCCCAACTACCTCTCGACCACTACGACACGATGATCCTCCGATCCTCCACCCTCCCCTTCAGCCACCTGCGCGCCTTCAGCACCTCCTCAACCCTGTGCGCCAAATCCACAAAATCCAAGCTCCTCTCTGACCACGCCAACGTCCCCCCCTACCCCTACGGCCCAAACCTCTGGTACAAACAGAGCAACCATGGCCTCTATGGTACCTTCTCCCCACCCTTCCCCCTCCTCCTCATTAATGCCACTAACACAAAGCACAACCCAGGCGGCGCAATGAAGCAATTCGGCAACAACATCTCCGAGCGGACCGAGATCAAAACCCGACGCACCTTCAAGCCCAACATCGTCTCCAAGCGCATGTTCAGCAAAGCGCTGAACCGGATGGTGCGGGTGCGTGTCAGCACGCGCGTGCTGCGGACGATTGACAAGGTTGGCGGGCTGGATGAGTATCTCCTCGGCGAGAAGGCGGGACGGATAAAGGAGTTGGGGATGAAGGGGTGGCTGATGAGGTGGCGCATCATGCAGACGGAGGCTGTGAGGGAGAGGTTTAGGGAGCAGAGGCGGCTGCTGGGACTACCTGACAAGGAGGTGGAGATGGTGGGCATGATGGGTGAGGCGGTTGGGGAGGCGGAGATGAGGGAGCAGATTGCGGGTGTGGATCGGGAGTTGGATGAGGAGGAGAGGAGAATGCCGGGTGAAGAGGAGGTGATAGAGGAGGGCGAGGCTCAGGCGGGCTTCATGCAGGAAGAGCCGGCGGGGGAGCAGCGTGAGATCGTTAGTAGGACGGGGACGAAGGCCGCGCACGCGGCTGAGGTGTAATGCTCTACACTTGTTTTCTTGGGACATGGATACCTTGACGCAAACGCAAACCGCCTTCTGGAATCTTGTACCAACTTTATATGCCTAATTATGTACAGTTCAAATGTACAACAGCTGCGTGTATAGAGGAACTATAGCCAACGAGGAGAAGATTTACCTGCCCGTCCGCTGTCTCTCAACCTCACTCCTAAAATGATTCCTCGGCTCGTCATCCTGACTGACCAAGCTCCCTAAACTCGTATCCCTCACATGCCCCTGCGCAAAGTTCGGCCGCGGAGGTGCTTCATCCCTATACTCAGCCTCCCGCGCCCCTAGCTCTCGCTCCTGCAGCAAAACATCACTCTTCTTGCGCGAATCCATCCGCTGCCGCCTCGCCTTTCTCGACCCGTACCCATGCCTGCCCCGACCCATGACACTCCCCAGCCCAATCCTCCGCGTCTTCCGCATTCCAAACCAGAGACCCACCACCACGAAAAGGACAAAGCCTAGCGCAACAGGCAAGCCGATCATGAGGCCTGTCTTATCTATCTTCCCACCCGTGGACTGGTTCGGCGCGTGCCGTGGCGGCTCGTGTTGCAGGCTGACTTCCGGCCCATCGTATGTCTTGCCATCCGCCGTGAGGAAGAAGGTCAAGTTGTTGCGGCTATAGCCTTTCAGCCAGGCTTTGTCCATGTCGACGGTTAGGAGGCCTTTGAGGTTATCGGTTGGGGGCGAGGACCAGGCCTGGACGGCTGTCTCGTTGGCGTAGTTGAGGATGATGGTTATGTTAGCGTGCTCGGCGAAGTATTTCCGGTTCCATGTCACTAGAAGCGCCTTGTGAGCTGGTCTCTCCCCGCTAAAAGGGGATAGGGCCAGGTTTACCGTAATATTTGCTGCCTACGTAGACTTCCTGATGGTTGTGCGGGAGACAGAAAGGTTTCGCGTTCTCGTCCATACATTGCAGAGGGTGTTCGCTCGGATCGAGGGGGGCAGCGGTGCTGCTGTACGTAGCGCTCGAGGTGGTCGAGGAAGCGATCGCTGTCCGATCGCTGTCGGCCGTGGTGGAGGCCGCAGCTTTGCTACTTGTCGGGGCTGCAACCTCGATGGTGGTGGCTTTACCGCTGATTGTGGTCTCGACTAATGCTGCTGTGGGGAGCGAGGAAGTTGCCGTACTCGTAGCTAATTTCTGTTAAAACCTGTTGCAATTGTCGTGGGTAGGCAATATATCTACTCTGCCTCCGATCCAGCGGGCTTCCAGATACTCCCAGCAGCAAACCCGAAGCTGCGAATATGGTGCTCCAAGTACAAAATTTAAGATGCATTTTCAAGTGCTTCTACTCCTGAAAAAATGCTTAAGGGCTGATAGGAAGAAAAGCGCGGCTGATCCTCTTCGGAGGAACTTCAGACAAGAACGACTGAGGAAAAGGCTTTGAGACTAAACAATTGGAGAGGAGGAGAGAATTGGAGGGGAAACTCTAGATATTTACAGCCATTATCCCGCGCTCTGGGCCCCGGCGTGTCGCAGCATGCCGTTTTGGGTCAAATCTCAGGGACAACGCGCTAGAGCCGCCCGCGCTCGTGCTTCAGGGCGCTCTCGAGCGGGAACACTGTTGATCTTCCCCAGGCTGCTGTGTTTGCCTAGATATCGAACGTCTTCAAAAGCTGTTGCTCTTGCTGCTGCTGTTCAGTTGAGCTTCACACAGCTTGAAGACTTCTCTGCGCGGTTCCTCTGGATAGATTTCCTATCGGACCCTGGTGCACTCACTTGCCCTGCACGATTACACCATTGTTCCCACCAGCGTCCTCCCGCCGACAGCTCCCCTCCTCTCCACCTCACACAGCTTCACAACAACGTCCAAAAATGCGCTTCTCCACTTCTCTCGCTCTTACGCTTCCCGTGCTTGCCGCCGCCGAGCAGCAGGTGCCTCTCGCTGATAAAGTGAGAGGATGGATCAACAAGGCCACGAACTACGTCTCGGCCGCCGCACCCTCTGTCACAGGGAATCCCATCAAGGCCGCCGCTGGCAAAGCCGCTAATGCCGCCGTACACGATTTGACGCTCGAGAACTGGAGATCCATTGTCAAGCCCAGCCCTGCCGCTGCCCATCAGGGCCCAGAAGAATGGATGATTTTCCTCGACGGCGGGAACAAGACGTGCTACGGCTTGTGTGCTAACGCGTCGGCGGCGTGGAATGTGTGTTATACACTCAAGTTCCCTCCCAATTTTGGTCGTGTCTGACAAGGTCCATAGGTGGCTGCTCCCATCCTGGCCGCTTCCCCAAACCCACCCAAACTCGCCAGAATCGATTGCGATGGCCAGCAAATCCTCTGCAACACCTGGGCCGCAGGTCCTCCCTCAGTCTACCACATGCTTCTCCCCGCTCCGCTCCCCGACCAGTCCAAGCCCGCAACCACCATCCACTGGATCGGACTCAATCGCTCCAGCAGCGTCACTCACACCGCCAAGGTCATTACGGAGATCCACACCAAGGAGACCTACAAGCAGAAGCCCGTATACGAGGGTTACTTTCATCCGTTCGATGGCATTGTGCAGAAGCTTGGCCTTGACTTGCCCTTGGCGTACGTGTTCTGGGGCTTCAGCCTGATGCCGAGCTGGCTGCCCATGATTGCCATCTCGCTGTTCTCTAGGGTCTTCATGTGAGTCGCTCTTAATAGCATTGAGGTATGCAGAACACTGACACCAACGTACAGGAGCCGAAGACAGGCCGCACGTCCTGGCGGGATTGGCGGCCCCGGCACTCAAGGTGGCACTGGTACTCAGCCGCCTCAGCCCCGCCGTTAAATGCAGAGACTTTGCTGGGATAGTACATGGTGCATCTTTGAAACAGCCTGCAGTCTTGCCCAGCAGAGTAGTATCCTTCGTTGATCTGATACCCAGTTTACGTGTTTGAGAGTCAGAGGTTCCCTTGTAGGAGTAGATAGCGGATGGGGTACTAGGGGAGGTTTGGTCAATTTGCAACGCTAGACCGTGCAGCATTTCCGTCACTCAACCTGTCACTCATGGTCAAAAATGATGTTCCTTACCGTAGGATCGTGCATATACATGTCACGTGCAAGCCCAGTCCACTGAGCCCCAAACGAAAGCACAACCTCTCCCAAGACTAGAATCATCCAACAAAGAACTCATATGCAGCAACCCTACCTCGATATTGATCATCCAGATTGATCGGTCTACGGAAGGCCTTGTTCTTCGGACCGCTTACAAATGCAGATTACGGCAATCGACGTCATTGCCTGAATAGCATCCATATATGCGTCCGCATCGTTTACTAGTACCTGATCCGTGAATTCCTCTTCCGTTGTCTACGTCTCCGTTCAGGTCCAAGTCCCTTATTCAATACGCAATGCCCACCGCAGTAGTCACAGGCGCCAACTCCGGCATCGGCCACGCCTTCGCCCAGATCCTCGTCAAAGAAGGCTACGACGTCTACGCCTGCGACAAGATCCTCGGCGACAAAATCAATGCCCTAGGCTGCAAAACCTTCGAGCTGGATGTCTCCTCCCAGTCCTCCATCAACGACTTTGCCAAGCAAGTCCAGGGCAAGCCGCTAGATCTCCTCCTGAACATCGCCGGGATGATGGCAGGTCACGAGGCCGACAGCCTGGAGAAGGTCGACCAGGCCACGCTGGAGAAGGTGTTTGCGGTCAACACGTTTGGCCCGTTGCTTTTGACGCAGGCTCTACTGCCGAGTTTGCTGAAAGCGGAGAAGCCGAGACTCGGGTTCATGAGTTCAAGGGTGGGGAGTATTGCGGATAATAGCTCGGGAGGGATGTATGCGTATCGGAGCTCGAAAGCAGCGCTTAACAGTATATGCAAGAGCATGGCTGTGGATTTGAGGTAGGTCCGGTCTTGCTACTCGCTCTTCTGGTTTCTCTGTGCCATTTCTTTGTCTGGCTCCTTCAAACGATATTCTTGAAGCGGGCAGTTTGAAGCAGCGCCAGCTGATTGCGAGTCGTTAGGGACAAGAACGTGGTCGTGGTTATTATGCATCCTGGCTACGTGAAGACTGGACTGGATCCTTCGACGCATGATTTGCCGGAGGCGGTCATGCCGGATGAAGCGGCTAGTAAGTTGTGGAAAGTACTCATGAGTAAGAGTGTCGAGGATACAGGCAAGTTTTGGCACAGAGAGGGTCAGGAGCTTCCCTGGTGAGCTGTGAACGATGAAGCTGTCTAGTGTTCTGTCGAAGCAAGACTATCGAATTCTTCCAGTTGGGTCTGTCTACTTGTCATCTTCGACCTACTAATTGTTTGTCTCTCTGGCGTGCCGACTGGACAGACGCCAATAAGAACACGTAAAGACACTGGTTCGATTCGGACACTGGGGCGTAAAACACTAATCATAAAGCGGCTGCAGAAGGGTCCTTTGGCGCAGTCCAACTTGTGCTGGACCAACGCGTTAATACTGATGGCGAGCAGCAATTATTTAGTAATGATAGAGCGGTGTTAAACGATGTGAGGGAGCACGGGTAGAGAATTTCTGAAAACATCGTTCCAAACTCAATACAACAGAGACCAAGGCTACTAAAATAACATTTAGAAAACACTTCTTACTAGTATCTCAGAATAGAGTTCTACTATCACAAAGACCTTGCCTTTCCGTTTTCCTTCATCAGGGTATCAAATGCCGCAATCACCGCATCACGATCCACATACACACCCGCTTCCGTCATCATCATCCACTCCCCCTCAGCCCACTTCGCTGCCTCAACGCCCTTTCTGGTCGTCGTCTTCACAGCAGCGCGGATACTCTTACAGATTCCCAGACCGGGATACGCCACCAGTCCCACAATCCCCGCCCCAGTTTTCCCCGTCATGCTTACGAGACCCTTGCCAATCCCTTTAGCAACGCCCAACGCGCCCTCCTCCTCCTTCCCCTTGTACGGCAAGACGAAGATATCCGTGAGGCCCTCGTAGATGCCATGGCTGAACGTCCTGCCCGCCACGGCCGCACCGCTCTTCCAGTCTGTCACCTTGCCGTAGTCCTTGGGTTCCTCGCCGTACAGGCGAGGCATCACGCGCAGGCCTTCGGTCGCTGCGAGGGGGATGTCGACCAGCGCGCCTTTGTAGAAGCTTACGACGAATTTTCCGAGGCCTTTCCCGGATGCGGCTGCCATGGCGCCCGCGGTGCTCAGGCCTGTTTTGCGGCTGCTACTGGGGTCCTCAGTCGATGGGGCGTTGATGCTGGAGCTACCTTCGCTGCGATCTGTTCCGGTGGAGATGGAGTCAATACCTGAAGGACTCTTTGCTGATACGACTGCAAGAGCGTCCTTTATTTGCGGGTCCAGGTCGCTTTCGCGGTGCTCCATAAACCCGCCACTAGCAGTGAAACCTTCTCCGTTGTCAGTGAAGCGGACAGGGGAGCTTTCGCGGGAAGCCGCGTTGGACTGGACCGGAGAAGGTTCATGTGAGGCGTTACTGGCATGAGATGTGCCGGTAACGGTACGCTTGACGCGCCTATGCTGGTATTCTTCGTATGGCTTGACGAACATGCCGGCCGTGGCTCCAGTCATGTCCCTGACGGTACCGATGGAGGCCGACGAGACGGCCGTAACCGGGTCCCAGCGCGCATTTTCGATGATTATAGGGTTTGTATGGTGCCTGAGACCATTTAGTTGGCACATGCATTGTCCATGGAAGCAAGTCTAGACTTCACTTACAGTTTTAGGTTTTTCCGGTCTGTCTTCGTATGCTCACTTAGAATCCATGCCGCCATCTTTGACATCTTCACCGTCTTTTTCCCCACCTTGCATGTCCAGGCTGCAGGCTGAGCTGGGAGAAAGTCGCACTGCAGCTTTTCGAGAGGAAGGTTCGCATGGAAGGATTTCACAGCTGCTTTGACACCGGACTCGGTTCTCATTTTGGCGGAAATCTTCTCAGCAGCCGTTGCTGCTTCAGGCGTAAGACAGAACGAGATTGCTTCCGCAAGATTTTGTGAGGAAAGCGACTTGTATGGAATAGGCTTGGGTCCTGCTCCGGCAGCGGCGACCATATTACCCCAGAATGGTTGGCTTTCGGCGCATAAGCTTCGCTCTCACTTGCAAATTGATGCGATGGACACTTACTCTCCGAAGAACGGCACGATTGTAGTGGGCTTTCCGTTCAGCAAGCCACATGCCGTTGTTCCTGCACCACCGTGATGCACCACTGCAGCAACACGCTCGAAGAGCCACTCGTGCGGACAGTCTCCCAAATAAAAGACGTTCGGATGATCCCGGCCTCCTAGGTTACTCCACCCGCGCGAGATGATCGCACGGACACCGGTCGCTTGGATGGCTTCAAGAAGCATAGCTGTTACCCTTTCGGGATCATCGATTACGATGCTACCGAACCCGATGTAGACAGGTGGAGGACCGGCACGAAGGAAAGCATCTAGCTCGGGTGGCGGTGTGTAGTCCGGCGGATCACGGAAGAAAAAGCCGCAAACATCTGTTCTTTCTCAGCATGCCGACATAAAGACAACGCAGCAGTGGACAGACCTATGTGGGATTGCCAGTCTGCCGGCTTTGGAACTAGAGCTGGCGACCAGCAGTACGTGAATGGAATTTTGAGAGTTTCCGCGAGAACATGGCCTTCTGTAGTTGGAATGGGCTCCAAGTCCAAAGTGTTTCGCCGCCATTTGTTGATCACGTCTCCTAGACTAAGGCAACTATTAGTATTCCGAGCGAGAGAAGCCCACAAATCTTGTGTTACTCACCCTTGCCACGTCATGAAATCCACGATATTGTATGAGATGTAGTTCGCTATCTTGGGATCCGTGTCCGAGTATTTCAGGTTCGCCAGAGGGTGTGGAAACGCCCTAGTGCTGCTCCATGGCATTGTGAACATCATGTGCACCGGGACGCCTAGCGCCTGCGCACAGTGTACATGCGCAAAGCTTGGGGGATTTGCGATGATCGCATCCGCAACAAAAGGCACGTTCGAGAGGAGATCGGGCTGGATGCACGAACTCCAGCACCCCTCGAGCATCTCAGCAATCATAGCCCGCTTGCGTTGAATATCGCCGGCCCGCAGACTCCTCATGTTGGGTATCAGACCCGGGTTCTTGACCATGTATGCCATAAGGTCCGCTGGATCTCCGCCGATAGGATAGAACTCGAGTCCAGATTTTCGCACAAACTCTTCGAACACATCGTGCGTCGCGAGGCGTACGCGGTGGCCGCATTGCTGCAGTTCGTTTCCGAGCGCGATAAACGGCTGAACATCTCCGCGACTTCCTACGACTTGGATCACGATATTCAGCCTTACCTGCAGCTCTTGCGTAACGGTGTATCTGGGCGGCGGTTGGGGAAGGTCATCGGAGGCATTGCGCACAAGCCTTGAGAGAGTCCTGGCGAGCTTCGAATCGAGGTCGATGTCAATGCGGCCGTTTGCTGTGGAAGGTCAATGGGAGCTCGACTGCGTGCGGCGCCGCTCCAAGTCTGCATACCTTTAACATCTGCGATCTCCAGAACGGAGTTCTCAGATGCGGCCACCGTGGGATAGGGTGGAGGGTCATCGGCGGGCAAATCCAATGCTTGGTCCAAGAGGTTGCGGTCGGCCATGGTGGTATGGTGGAACACTAAGACGCTGGAGCAATGATATGGAAAAGATGAAACAGTGAAGTGGTGGAGTGCTTGAACTGGCAGAGAAATGGAGAAATGGAGAGGTGCACACGCGCGCACACGACTACTTATATGAGAAGCTGGAGACACTAGACATGACGCATCACCTTGTCATTGCCAAAACGCCAGGCTGTGTAGAAGGCTGTGTAGATGAACTGTGATATGTTTCAATTGACATTGGTTTCTATTCTCATATGAATGCATGTTGGGTGAAAGCGGGGACCGCCGTCCACCTGCCTGCATGACGCGAGGTGAAAGTTCGGCAGTCGAGAGTTCGGATTCGGGAGCTAAGCCGGATTGGGCCCATTTCTGCGTATTCGTATTCTCCTGCCAATCAAAAGAGTCAACCGTTGTCCCACAATCCGCCAAGCCACAACCCGTCCGCGTACTCGAGTAGATCACGCTAGCCCCTTACGCTACAGTATGTAAAATGATCCTACAGCCAAACCTTCCTCACAGCAAACTTCTCAAGTTGCAACTGCTCATTCACCTCTCAACGTCGTCTCACCGATCCATACACGTGCCATCAACTTCTTGAGCGAAGCCCATCAAACGCCACCATCCTACCTCGCTGCAATTGCTATTCCTTTCGCGAAGCGGCGTACTTGAACAATCACTGCAACATCACATCGTCGCCCAGTGACCACGAACTCCCTTTCAGGCTTTCCCAATCGAATGAGAAGGGCCCGAAGTCCAGCTGCCCCCTCCATTATCCGCTATGATCGACGGCTACTGGCATGACGGCGGCTTCGGCGGACGCATCGTCCGCACTACCATCCGCACCCTTCAGTTCGCCTTCGCCATCATAGTCCTCGGCCTATACGGCGCAGATCTAGGCAATGCAACCAAGGACGGGGTTCGCGCAAACACAAATTGGGTGTACGCTGTGGTCGTGGGGTGCCTGTCCGCGCTAACGTGCATCGTGCACTGCTTTGTGACGGTCAAGCGGGTGCTATGGGCGGCCTGGGACTGGGTTCTGTTGGTGCTGTGGGCTGCCGCCTTTGGGGTATTTGCGAGCATGTATGTGGAGGATAGAAACACGAGGGACGCGGCCGACACGACGTCGGTACAGAGGATGAAGATCGCCGTGTGGATCACCATGGTGAACTTGGTCTTGTGGTTTGCTTCTGTGGTTCATGCGGTTGTATGGTGTATCGGTGCACGCAGGCTGACTCGGAGGACTAACAAGCCGGAGCCGTCCCGGGTGGAGCAAGGCCAGGCTCAGGTAGAGGAAGTGGAAATGGCCACCCATATCGGATCGCGGGTCGGATCTGAAGCGCCGTCATCTGATACGTTGCTTGCGACAGGAGTCAGAGAGAAGTGAGGGGTTCGGGCGGTAGGCACTATGGCTGGGGTTTTTGGAATGGTGAAGAGCACGCAGAGCGCCTGCTGTGGATCCGCATATAGGGAATGTCGAGCGGAATGGTCAGCTCAAGTAATGGCTTGATCCGCTGTCCAGTCCTCTATAGTACTCGTAGACATGGTACTTCCAACCGCAGGTCTGTCCTAAATGGGTGCTGGATAAGTTTTGTACAACAGCTTCGGAAGTCGGAATAGCTTGATTTACAAGCGCTATCTCAGGTATCTCGAACTTGATGACGATAATGATGAAAACACAGAAAGGTCGAGGACTTGCTAGTTGGCCACCGTGTGTCTCCCAAAGTCCTTGATAGGAGGTAACTTCGAGCAGGGCCGCCCCCGGAGATCGCCGGCAAGGATAAAGCCGGGCCAATGCGCGTACCTTGCACCGTGCATTTTAGCGCGGCGGTACGCAGCGGATACGAATACGATCGGAGTTTCCTGATCTGGTAAAGCCGGATGAAGCCTGCCGCGGTTGATTGAAAGCATCTCTTTTCAACCTTCACAGCCATCCGCAGAGAATTTACCGTCATCAGAAATGCAACCTGCGCCCGTCAGTTTTGTATCAGCTTTGTTGAATTCTGCCGCGTCAGCGCTCACGAAGCCTTGATCTACACCTTCGTCACATCTCTCATATGGCTCGTCGTCCTAAGCCTTTCTGACTTCAAATATCGGGGTGCCGTCCGAGAACCAGGCGAGCGTAGCACCCAGCCTTCCCTTAAGTAAGAGCAGGAGGAAATCTTCATCAGCCCGGATTCCATCCAGTTTGTTCCATCGGCCACTGTAACCAGATCCGGTAGTCCTCGGGGAGAGAGTGGTGAATGCCGCTCATTATATGCGGAACCCACCCGCTCATATACCAATCGAGGTCGAGCTCTTTGAGCAATACAGTATAGTATGCCAGAATGACGAGTGCAACTGGTTCTTTCCGCCGCAAACGGAGTGAAAAGTCTTCAGACGTTCGGTATAGCCAGGCAAAGATGAAACTAGAGTGATAACTTCCCAGCGTGCCGTCGGTGCCTTCGTAGAAACCGGTAAAAGACTGCGCGACGCCATCGAGAGCTTCGATGTATGTTTCGATGTCGGGATCTCCGGCCCGCTCAACAGTGATAAAACGACGAAGGCTCTCAATGTTCTCCTGGTAATCTGGAGGAGGCTTGCGCCCCACCGGCGGCTTTCGCTTATGGGTACCTGCTTGCATTACGGACGCCAGAATACCCGGGGAAAGAAGCAGAGCCTTAGACTGAGCAATCGCACGGACGCCTTTCAGGAGTTTCATCCATTCCGCATCGCCTTGGTCGCTGAACGCAAGGTATTCGCCCGGTTGAGGACCTCTGCCAAGTTTGTACAGACAGATGAGGATCGCCGACATGTACATGGCTTCGCAATTGACCGCGTCGATACGCGGTAGGAGGACAATGACCGATCGAAGTGCAATCCCGTAGTGGTGCTCACCTTGCGCCATATACGATTCTTTCAGTTCTGGCCGGAAGCGCGCTAGATGTACTGCCGAAAGAGCAAGCATGAGATGGAGGACGAAAGGGAAAGAGAACCCCATCTTGGGAATGGTGGTTTGCCAGAGGACAAGGCTCTCGAAATTCTCTGCAAAAGCGTGGCAAGTACACGTCGAGAAGTTGTGCAGTAGCTCGAAATCTGCGTAAGTTAATTCGAACGGCTTCAGTCCGTCCGTAGTATCCGTCAGGCGATGCTCTGGTGTATCGGATCCTCTACTTGTGTCGCTTATATTAACTTCTGGGACAGGCGTTTGGATAAAACGGAACTGTTTGGTCGTTGCCAGGGCTCCAGACTCATTCTGCTGAGGAGCTGCTGTAAAGCTGCAATGGATGGAGTGTCCGACGCAATTGGTACAGGCAGGCTTTATCTCGTCACACTAGGAACGCATGAGCATCTAGAGATGAGGCTTATGTATGCAGTAGAGCGAAGTTGGCGAAGACACGCGATTAGACAGCATACGTTGGGGCATCCATGATATTCACGGTTGCATATTAGAGAAAGGGAGATTTGCAAATGAGAGCTTACCTTGATTCTACGCCTTTTGCAATTTTCACACCCCAACCGGGACTTCCGGTGGGACTTCCGCGCAGCTGGTCTGGCTTCACTGCTGCTCATTCTTAGAGATGGCTGCAACGGGTTGCAAGGCCTTGGATGGATCGACCGGACCGAGTGGTCACATATTACATGTCTGCGACCTGGTGCGGTAGGAACAAGTTGACCGGTTAAATGCGCAACGGCAAGTCATCTCGAAAGACAAGCACCGAGAATGATCCGAACCACGGGGAAAGCCGAGTTGATATTTGCAAAAACTTCGGGATTCATGATAAGGATTTCATATCCAAACATGTAAAACTATACTATATAAATGATAATGCTAGAGTAGCTTCGTCCCTTCTTTTCCGCGCCTGCCATGATGTGATTTTTTTTTAGCACACTCTCTATCCTGCCAAGCACATGTCTATCTCTGAATATATTTCTTCAGTCCTCGTAGTCTTTCATGCGCCTGTTCCAGGACATCATCATTTTTGCACACCGCAAACCGCAAGTAGTCTTCGACAATGTGCGCGTTCTCCGGCGTGAAGAACTCTGTTGGCGGAATCGCCGCAACGCCAATTTCCTTGATCAAAAACCAAGATAGCTTGAAATCTTTCGGTCGTTCGGCAACATGCGGCGGAAAATCGTAATCTTCGGGCACTTTTACCTTTGCCATGTTGACGAGGACGAAGTAGCCGCCCTCGGGGTCGGAGTACTACAGAGCGACCGTCAATACTAGATGACGGGCAGTCATGGAATTCATGAAGGTACTTACCGGCAAGCCAAGCTCGTCCCAGATCTTGTTGAACTTGTCCATCTTGCCCTTCATTTCTTTCTTACTCTCATCCCAGAAACCATGCTTGTCTGCCTGCTCAAAACCGATAGCCGTGGCCTCCTGAAGCGGGCTAACACTACTGTAGCAGATTCTCGTGTGCGCCGCACTCACGTACTTGATGAGATGATCGGGTCCTATGAGCCAGCCCACTCTCCACCCAGTAGCATAGAAGTTCTTGCCACCAGAGCCTACCGTCAGCGTTAACTTCGCTATCTCGGGAGACAGAGTAGCTATCCGTGTAAACGGAACGTAATACAGGCGGTCGTAGACTTCGTCCGAGAGGATGATGATGTTGTGCTCGACGCAGAGGTCACCAATGGCCTGCAGCTCTTCGCGAGAGAAGACCTTCCCGATCGGATTGTGCGGGCTATTGAGGACGATCATGCGCGTCTTCGGCGTGATGGCTTTTTTGAGCTCGTCCATGTTGATCGACCATTCGGCGGCTGAGGACGTCTTGGCTGCACCGGTTGAGGGTGGATGCATGGGTACGTAGACGACTTTTCCACCGGGCATCTCGATGTTGGAAATGTACCTTTGCGCCGGTTAGCGGGTCCAGGCTGGTCGGCTACAAGAAGAGATAACGAACTGGTCGAAGAAGGGCTCGAAGACTATCACCTCATCGTCTTGTTCGAGGAAACCCATGAAGGCCGAGAGCATGCCTACGCCAGGTACGTCAGCCGGTGGTTCTCTCTACGCAGATGCGTGGGCATACCCTCATTCGCACCCGTCGTGATGGTGACTTCAGTCTCCGGATTGATCTCCCGGCCGAAGAACGGCGAGTATGCGGCCGCAATGGCCTTCTTTAGCCGCGGTCGTCCCTACTCGAGTTATACCATTGCTCTTCTGCACGATTGTGAACCAGGCGGTGGTGATGCACCTTCGTGGGCGAGTACTGATTGCAGTCGACCTTGTCCAGTGCCTCCTTTGCCGCGTCCAGGACAAACTGAGGAGGGTTGTATCCGAAGAACCCTTGGCCCATGTTGATGATCGGTTGGACGGGCGAAGCGGCAGCGGCTTCATTGACGATAGACCTGTATAGAGCAATGTTTAGCGGTCTGAATCTCTACAATCAGGCTCTCTGTGCATACCAAACATCTTGCTTCTGTCCAGCTACCCGCTGCGCCGGCTTAAACGGGTCTGACCGCATCGCGCTCCCGAATAACGTTCTGATGGTGTTGGACGTGTATTGCGCCGGAACAGCTTGAGACCGTAATGGATGCAGGAGTCGTATGCTATATTTGAGGCCTAGAACGACGGGCCGGCCTAACGCTTTCATAGCAAACGAATATCAATGCTGTGTATCCACATACTGAGTCACTGAATTGCCGTGGTTGCGCGCTGTCCAAAGTGCTCCCCGCCGTCATCATCTCGACCGAGGTCGGCGGAAAAGAGGCCGACATCGCCTAACGCGTCTCCCCCGAACCTCACCTGTGTTAAACGCGTCGTACTAAAGTTGGGTGTCCGCATACGATCTCGGGATGATCGCCTGCCCAATATGCGACAAACAAGTCAAAGAGCGCGATATCAATGCCCACATCGACTCAGGATGCCAGGCGCTCGTCGTCGATCAGAGCGAGGACGCCTCCAAAGCTTCTCCCGTTTCGTCGTTTTTCCAGCCGCAGGCAGCCAAACGGGCGTTGAGCTCCACCGCGACCCCAAAGGCAGCACCGGGAGGGAGGGAACTTGCAAGACCAAGAGACGGCACGTCTAATGGCGAGGGCCGACAAGATGGTGCACACATCAATGGGAAAAAGAGAAGCATAGAGCCGGAAAATGAGGTCGAACTATCACCACACGAAGCAACTCCCGCTCAAAGCCATGCCTTAGCTACCCCGGCGCCCAAGAGAACGAAACTAAATGCCCTTCGTAAGGTTGCGCCCTTGGCCGAGCGCATGCGGCCCCGCACACTGGATGAGGTTTGCGGACAGGGGCTTGTTGGATCAAACGGCGTCATCCGTGGGCTTATCGAGCAGGATCGTGTACCGTCAATGATCTTATGGGGCGCACCAGGGACAGGGAAGACTACCATAGCACGTCTCATCGCAAACACAGCTGGCACGCGCTTCGTCGAGATCAACAGCACAAGCAGCGGAGTTGGCGAATGCAAGAAGCTTTTCGCGGAAGCGAGAAGCGAACTACAGCTTACGGGCCGGAAGACGATCATCTTCTGCGATGAGATACATCGGTTCAGCAAGAGCCAGCAGGATGTCTTCTTAGGACCTGTGGAGGCTGGCGAGGTCACGTTAATAGGTGCGACGACTGAGAATCCAAGCTTCAAGATTGTGGATTCGCTTTTATCGAGATGCCGCACCTTTACTCTTGCGAAGCTCACCAATGAAAACATCATCACCATCCTCCAACGTGCGCTCCAAGCTGAGGATACATCATCCCAGTCTACCCTTGTCGACGACGGGATGATTAGATACCTGGCAGCCTTCGCGGATGGCGATGCCCGCACCGCACTCAACCTGCTCGAGCTGGCCATGGATCTCGCGAAGGGTCCCGGAATGACCCAAGACGAGATCAAGAAGTCCTTGACCCAGACACTGGTCTATGACCGCGCCGGAGACCAACACTACGACACCATTTCCGCTTTCCACAAGTCCATCCGCGGCTCAGATCCCGACGCTTCACTCTATTATCTCGCGCGCATGCTTCAGAGCGGCGAAGATCCGCTGTACATTGCTCGACGGCTCATCATAGTTGCCAGCGAAGACATTGGTTTGGCCGACAACAGCATGCTGGGTCTCGCTACTGCAGCGTATACAGCTTGCGAGAAGATTGGGATGCCTGAGTGTCGCATTAATCTTTCACACGCGACTGTTGCGATGGCCCTATCGCCCAAGAGCACGCGCGTATACAGAAGTCTGGGAAATGCGATGAAGGCGCTGCAGGAGCCGGGCATAGCTGGCTTGCCAGTGCCTGTACATCTACGCAATGCGCCGACGAAGCTGATGAAGGAGATGGGCTATGGGAAGGAGTACAAGTATAACCCTGACTATGTTGGTGGAAAGATTGCACAGGACTATCTGCCTGAAAGACTCCTGGGAAGAACGTTTCTTGACGAGAGAGATTTGGGCGAGAAAGTTGACATGGATCTGTCTGCTCCGGAGAGATGATTCCAAACACACTCGAGTCCGACAATACTGAGAACAAAGTCGAGCCTCACGAACTGGGCCGCCTGATCTGAGACAGAGTCTAAGAAGCCGAGCTGTGGAGCTCTAGAGACCAAACCAGCTCACTCTCCGTACATTAATGACCGCTCAGGGGGACCTGTTCGGGATCGTAGCCCAGCCGTGCGTGTGATGTTATCAGGCATTGAATCTGCGGTCAACGTTCAAGAGCTGTTCTTCGGAAGCATCCAGCATTTACAAATCGTAGAACATGGAGCTCCCCCGGGTGCTCCCGCCCTGCGCTATTGGCCTAGCGCTACGGTGCATGCTGGCACTGTGCTGCTGTGGGTGGAGTTGCCGAGCCTCTGGACTATGCGTGCATATTTTAGCCTGTAAATGGTCAGAGTAGAAGGTGTGATGGATCAGCGCGGCAGCGCCCCGCTGTGGCAAGTCATTGGACATGCGGTCCGGAATGTAAGTAATGCGATGAGGGTTTCCGCCACGGCTCAGTTATATACGTGCGCAGCATTCATATCTTAGGTTGATCGAACGAGTCTAGAAAGAGGGTTGTTCAATAATGGTCGTGCCATCGCATGCTGTCTGTCTAAGCTCCGATGAGTCTATGTCCATGCTACCGATTCTCAACGTCCTTCCTTGGATGCAGTCCGAAACCCATCCCGGCCTCCACTTCAGCGAGAGTAAGAGGGCACCGTTCCCTATGAAGTGAATGTCGTCCAGTCCCAGACGGTTCCGAAAAACTCGGCGCTCCTCCCCTTAGGGTAAACTACCAGCTCAGCCTTGTGAGCGTGTTGGCGATTTAAGCGCAGTCCAAGCCATCGAACAGACCGGGTCGATGTCCGCGATATTCTAGAGGAGCGCTCGCGTTCACATAAATCGGCGTCCCGTGGACAATTCAGACTCGGGATTCCGTGGTTGGATATGACAGAAGTTTTTGGCGCCTATGGTTGGCAGCCCGGATGGGAAATGGTCTCCAGGATTGTTTACAACTCTGTAAGGTACGATCCTATCATGATTATTGACCTCAAGACCTAATATAATTAACGCTACATAGCTCCCTCGTAAAAATCAGTCAAGGCCGCAGTCTTGAAAGCTCTTCTATATCCGATTCTAAATAAAGAAGAGTATCTGTAGCTGGTCCAAAGTGCTTATAACACAACAAGTAAGAATAGACTATGTTGAAATAAGATGCATTTAGTTGCTAAAGGACCCTGTCATAAACCCAGGCCACTAACACCAGATCACCCTTTCACTAGTAAATGTACACAAACTCATCGTTCTTGCGGTCAGTGAGATCATGCAACGCCGCGGCCCCATTACCGTCCTCAATCTCATCCTGAGCAGAATAAGTGTTCGTCATTGACCTGTCCGTAATCTTCGCCGGCTTGCCATTGGCCACGCGCTTCTTCTCTTGGCTGTTGTTCATCATGATCAGCAGAGCCCACTGTGCAAAAATGAACGCCACCATGGCAATGAACATCCCTAGCACAGCACGCAGCCCTGGCAAGTAGCTTGGCGCATCCGCAGTGGTGAAGAGGAGGGGTCCAACGATATTCCCGACTGAGACTCCGATGTTGTAGATGACCATCAACACGGACTTCTTGGTTGTTCCGGCAGTGTTTCCCACAAGCCAGGTGACGAGGAGAGGGTTGCCGCCAAAGAGGAAGGCGAGGAGGTAGAATGCTACTAGGTTTGGGGCAACGTTCGCTGACGTTCGGGGGAGGACGTAGAGGACAATGAGACCGATGACCACAGGGAGCATGAGGACAGCCAAGACAGCGCCCTTTAGCTTCGCCTTCTGCGCCGCAAATGAAGAAATAATAATGACAAGAAATTGGACGGCGCCAAAGGGGATGTTGAGGAGAGAGGTAACGTAGCTGTCGAATCCGAGCCCGGACAAGATGAGGGGACCGAAGACATTGGTTACTGCTGCGCCGACGTTAAGTAGAAGAGCCATGGAGAACCAAAGATAGGTCTTAGGGTCAACAAACACCTCAACGACGTGACTCCACTTAAACTCATGGGACCCGATGCCAGTGTTATTTGCGCGAAGGCGCTCGATGGCTTGAGCGCGCTCTTTCTCGTTGAAAAAGCGAGCAGTCTCAACGTCGTTGTCGAGCTTCCAGTACACGAATGGCGCGGTGATGACTGTGATAAGACCGACGAACAGGAAGATACTAGACGGGAGTTAGTTATTGTTGAACTCGAGGTTTTTTGGCTTGATCGGATGAACCTAGGAGGGAGTCGAGCTTACATTTGCCACGACTTAAGCGTGCTAGAGGGGATATGTCCCAGACCGTACGAAAGCGCAGATCCGAAGATAGTCGCGAGCCCATTGGTTCCGTACCAAGCAGCAACACGCAGCGGTTGCTCTGCACGACGGTACCACTCACTGGTAATAACACCGAAAAGGGGTAGACATGCAGCCTCAAAAAGACCGAGGAAGAAGCGCGTGGCTAGGAGGCCGGCGTAGTTTTTCGAGGCTGCCATACAAGTCTGCGAAAGACCCCAGCCGAAGACAAGTGCGGACATCAAAATGCGATGCGGAACCTTGACAATCAAGATAGAGGCGAAGGGCAGCCAGCAGAGTTGCGCGATAGGTGCCATTGAGCCGACGAGGGAGTACTGCGAGCCAACTAGACCGGTGTCTTTCCGCAGACCGAAGATGGAGCCATATCCAAGGACAGATTTGTCGAGAATCTAGATGATGTTAGATTTTGTTCATTTAGAGCCTTGCATTTATAAGAGAGGATACTAACTTGGAGGAAATACACCCAGACGAGGATAACGAGAATTGCCTTATCTGTTTTGCGGAGGATTAACTTGTTCTGTTCATAAGGCAATTGTCAGTACGAAAGTCTGGTCGCAAGTATGTTTCTCAGAGATACAAAACTCACGTCTTGCTCGGTAAGAATCACGCGCTCTTCATTGAGCTGGACTCGCTTGGCACCAGACTCGACATCTTCAATCTGATCATGGCTAATCTTGCTATCGGCAGATACCCATGACATTTCCTCGGTCTGACGATTAATGCCGATTGCTGCCATTGAAGTATGTAGGAAGTCTCATATGGGGATGGTGAAAATTATTCGTGATGGATAGAGAAGAGCTCATTAATAGACGAATAAAGGAGGAATATATACCTTCGTCCAAGACTGCTGGAGTGCTCCAGGGTTTGCTTCGTCGCGGGGGCGGGGGCCTAGTGCTGTCCCCCACAGAAGAGCTAAAGTATGTCAAGGATAGATCCTCAAGACGGAAAAGTCTATGCGGCAGTTGGCAATGGTGCAGGGTAGAAGGCCATCGCAGAGCAATCGCAATGCAATCCCCTAGATGTCCGCTATGCCTTGGGTGTTGGGGTAAGGCGGCGCTATTGTGCACTAAAAGCGCCACTTGCTGGATGTAAGCTGGCTGGAAGATCACATCCGCATAAGTGGACGGGAAGGTGACCGAATCCCGCGCAGGGTACAACTCGCCCCCACAGCGTCTTTATGGGTCGGTGGTCTCTTATTCGTGCGAGGAATTGAAGCTATTTCGTTTATGTGGAGGTTCTGCATCCACTTGCTCGACCCCCAATTTTAGGCCGAAGTTGGCTCACCACGCGGGATTTTAGCATCCTACAACTCTACACTCCACGCTTCACGTCCTAGCACTCCCGCTCGGACCCGATCCTATCAAAAATGAGCGAAAAGGTTGATGTGCTACTTTTTGGCCTCGGAGCGTAGGTCAATTTTGCATACATCGTGACATTTTCCTCAACGACCTCGATAGCTACGCTTTGGAGCGATGCTGACCGGGGCATCATAGTATTGGCTCATTCTACGCATACGTCCTCAGCAAGTCAGATAACGTCCGCCTGACCGTTGTCGCGCGCTCAAATTACGATGCCGTCAAAAGCAATGGCCTCACCATCAACAGCGAAGTGTACGGGTCGCATACTTACCGCCCTTATAAAGGTACAACAATCCTACCGACTAGCTTTTTGTGCAATATTCACAGCGATTATAGTCGTCAGAACCCCTGCAGAAGCACAACAGACATTCGACTACGTGGTGTGCGCGCACAAAGCCATTGCGCAGAGTACCGTATCCGTACAGTTGGCACCGGCTGTGGATGCAATGAAAACTACTCTCGTAATTATCCAAAACGGAGTTGGCAACGAAGAACCCTTCCGTAACACCTTTCCAGACAACACGATCATCACCTGCGTGGTACGTCACGCTACCTCTCTTTCTTGCTTCCTCTTCTTGTATCTGACATCCCATAGACCTGGGTCGGTGCTCTCCAGACTTCCCCTGGGGTTATCAAACACACCAGATCCGAACATACTCAGCTCGGGCTCTTCCCTAACCCAAAGCTCGACAAGAGCGTAGAACAAGGTCGTCTAGACACGTTTACGGTGCTGCTGAAAGTAGGCGGGACGCCGTTCAATGTGGAGGGAAATATGCAAGTCAAGCGCTGGGAAAAAGTCGTCTGGAACGCGGCGTGGAATTCAGTTACCACCCTGACCCTCCTTGACACGCAATCGTGGCTCAAGTCCGAGAACGGGAACGCTTTGACCCGTCAATTGATGAAGGAAGTCATTGATGTCGCAGGGAAGTGTGATGTGCCGTTATCATACAACCTCATCGACGAACTCATTGACAAAATATTGAAGATGCCGGGGATACACAGTAGTATGCACGCGGACCGCGTTGCAGGGAGGCAGATGGAGGTGGAGATCATTCTGGGCACCCCAGTGAGGAAGGCGAAGGAGTTTGGGATAGCTGTGCCTGTTATTACCACCGTCTACACGCTACTTACTGGATTGAACATGTATTTAGAGCAGGAATCAAGTTCGCACAGAGCGGAAGTGTAGGAAATAAATTACACGCTTTTAACAGTTGATAACGCTTCCATGCTACATCCTGGCTGAAAACACGCAATTCACAAGGTCTATTCCTTCACAAAACCTTGCGAGCTACGAAGTGATGAGAATACAAGCTGGTGTTGTTTACATTCCGCGGGATCTCTCCCAGCTGCCCAGAAATCGAGTCCCTATTCCGTTTGCTCTTCTCCACAGGCCGAAACAGTAAATCTAGGATGCCAAAACGCCGAAAACGAAAAGGTGCCAAGTTAAAAAAGCCTCCACGGATAGGCTGTGGCCTGTCGTAAAATAAGTGTGGGGGTTCTATATCTAGCAACCCCGCATCGTGGTGGCGCCTGGCCAACATGACAGTTCCCGGCTTCTACGGCACAACTCCGACTCTACATGATGCTAGTGGAGGGGTGGGGGAAGGCTCCCGTTCCCGATGTGCTTCTTTGCTCGACAGCGGACTTTGAAGCTCCCCAAACGTTTCCCGCACATGTCGAATATCGCAGAAGCTGTAAAGCTCCCTTCCAATTTATAACCATCTATACCCCGTATAGCTAAACGTAGGCATACGAGCGATCTTATCTTCTTGGTACTTTTGGGAAAAACTTGAAAACCTATTGGGGTCTCTTAGGTCAAGATGTCCACCTCAGTCATGGACATGTTCTTCCTCACAGGCCGCACTGCCGTGATTACAGGCGGCACACGGGGAATCGGTGCAGAAATGGCCATTGCTTTGGCAGAAGCAGGCTCAGATATCATCCTGATTCAGGTGCTCGATATCCATCTTTATTATGCCTGGAACGCATAGTTAATGCCCCGGCAGAGAGACACAAGCAACACAACCACCAAATCGAAAATCACATCGCTAGGCCGAAAAGCGACAATCTACACCGCAGACCTGGCCTCAGATACGGAGGTATCTGGGTTGACGAAGAAGATTCTTGATGATGGCCATGATGTCAATATCTTAGTGACGTGCGCCGGCATCCAAAGACGCCATCCTAGTCACTTGTTTCCAAAGAAAGATTGGGATGAGGTGAGCTATCTTCAACCACAGAATCACTTTGGGCTATACATGCTGATGAAATGGAATTGTAGGTCCTTCAAGTCAACCTCTCCACAGTCTTCACCCTGTGCCGTGACATAGGAGCCTACATGCTCACGCGCCCAGGCCCCCACCGCGGCAGCATAATCAACGTTGCATCACTGGTCTCCTTCCAAGGCGGACTGACTGTGCCAGCGTATGCCGCAGCTAAAGGCGGAGTTGCACAACTTACCAAAGCGCTGTCTAACGAATGGGCGTCCAAAGGCATCAACGTGAACGCGATTGCGCCGGGCTATGTAGCAACGGACATGAACGAAGCTTTGATCAATGATAAAGAGAGGGCGGCGAGCATCATGGCAAGGATCCCAAAGGGTAGATGGGGCAAACCGGAGGATTTTAAGGGCCCTGTAGTTTTTTTAGCGAGCAACGCGTCTGGATATGTGAGTGGGGAAATTTTTACTGTTGATGGGGGTTGGATGGGGCGATAGATATGAGTCTGAATGTCGATTACTGTGTCATCTTCGTTGATCTAGAGTGAAACCATTAAACAAAAAATTAATGAGTTTCAATAATCAGTAGTTTCCGTTTAGGTGTTTCAAATCTAAAATCGATCTAATATCTATATTGTAATCTAGAAACAGCTATCATGAATTGGTCCCTTACCACTCCCTAATACTTCCATCCGGCCCAAAAAACTCCTTGCACTGCCACGGCTTCGTATCCTTACTAATTCTCCTCACCATCTCCTCATCAATCTCAATACCTAGCCCCACGCCCGTCGGCGCCTTCACATACCCATCCGTGATATCAAATACGCTCTGATCCTTCATGTATGTAAGTAAATCAATATCATCCCCTGCTTCGGTATTATAATGCATCCCTAGACTCATCTCCAAGATGGCGAAATTTGGAGTCGCCAACGCAACCTGGAGCGACGCAGCAAATGCCACTGGGCCGAGAGGACAGTGCGGCGCAATGGCAACATCGTACGCTTCGGCCATGATGGCGATTTTCCTCGTTTCGGAAATTCCGCCCGCGTGCGCGATGTCGGGCTGCAGGACGTCGACGCTGGCGTCTTCAAGGAAGCGCTTGATATCCCAGCGCGTATAGAGCCTCTCACCAAATGCAATCGGAATCGTTGTGCTGTCGCTCAACTGCTTGATAGCCTCTGGATGTTCACAAAGCAACGGCTCTTCAATAAACAGTGGACGATGGGGCTCCAACGCTTTGGCGAGTTGTTTAGCCATCGGCTTGTGCAAGCGGCCATGGAAGTCGAGTCCAGCGTCCAGCCCCATCGACTTGACAATCTTCAGGCGCTCGACTGTCGCGTCGAGGATTGAAGGAGAGTCCACCCAGTTGGTGTCTTCAGTGGCATTCATTTTGACGCATTTGAGGCCTTGGGCTATGCGTGCTTTGCTGAGGAAATGTTAGAGGGGGTGCGCGTGTGAGAGATGGGACGTACGCAGCCGTTGCGACGTCTGCGGGTCTGTCGCCGCCGATCCAGGCGTAGACCTGCACTTTGTTTCTGACTTTTCCACCGAGTAATTCATAGATGGGGAAGCCCAGAGTTCGGCCTGGAGTGGAATTGAATTGTCAGCCTTCTGGGAAACACCAAGGTCTTGTGAAGTAAGGGGAAATCATACCTTTGAGATCCCATAACGCGATATCAATTCCAGAGAGCGCGGACATGAACACCGGACCACCACGGTAGAAACCATGCCTCCAGAAGGTTTGCCATATGTGCTCGATTTCACTGCGATTGTCAGTAATCCATTTTGAGTTCCCAGTCAATGCGCTCACTTACTTTGCCTCATACCCAATAAGTCGGACAATCATCTCGTCGAGCGCCCCTTCAACAGCGAGATCGTGGCTCTCGAGGGTACCTTCACCCCAGCCATATTGCCCCTTCTCATCGATAATCTTCACCATCAGCCAGCGTGGCTTGACACGGAAGTATTCTATGCTCTTGATTGGGGCCATTGTGATGTTTGGTGGGAAAGGATTAGGTGAAAGCGCGTGGAAAGGGTTGGAGTCAAGAAGTGTAGAAGATTGCAATCTCACCCGAAGCTTTACCTGTCTTATTCTACTCCGCTGAAATTTTTTCAAGATGTCGTCCTTTACTAACTACAAAACCGGAGGTCCAAAGCACCTGAAGTCGGAGCGTGGGGGTCTGAATAATCCTTGACAATACTAATGTAGGGGTGTGGGGAAGCGGGACGACGCCACGCTAGGGAGCCCTGCAGCCGAGCCCAAAAACAGGAGTGCATGCATAAGCTTTTACTGGCTCTCGTGGGGGCTGTGGGGGCTGTGGGGTGCGGGTATGCTATCATCCACATGTGCTGCTGAGCGTACGTTACAAACGGGGGCACCTACTTGTGGATGTTGAAATCCGAGCCGTCGTTCTGGCCATGTTAGTCCTTGTTGGCCTTTGCCTTTCGTTTCGTATGCTCTTGCGGTATGTCTCACTATGGACCCCATCAACTCCGCACAGTAGCACACAATACGAGTACCGCCAGAGCCCGATGGCATGGCGCAACTGACCCGGTTTCGGGGACGTTCACACCGGCTCGTGGTTTTGAGTCGTTGCGAATCAACATAGCCTTCAGCTTAACTGCAAGCGCCCTGAAGAATGGTCCCTTCATGTGATATCTGTGATGGACGTCAAGCTTCATTCAAATATATCTCAAACACCACTTGAGATCCCCCAAATTCAACCAATTCACGTATGCTACTCAACGCCTGCAACATGTCATCTGAATCATAGACTCTTCTCCAGTTCCATCAACTCCGCAAAATCCAAACTCATCTTCTCCAAATCCTTCTTCGCAGGCAACGCGCAAGGTTTCCTCGGCAATCCTCCATAACCATGATACTTTTGCAGGGCGACCTTAACCGCCACAAACCCGCCCTTAATGGCAACCCAATCTCCCCTTGCGACAGTCTGCTGCAGTTTCCTGGCCTCCACCACCTTACCCGCCTCATACAGTTTCATGACCTTCACGCAAGCCTTCGGCGCCACGTTTGCCAAACCGCCAATAATCCCATGTCCGCCCACAACAAGCGTTTGTAGGATGAAGTCAGCAGATCCTCCCATTGTTAAGAAGGGAGTTGAGGCCTCGGCCGCGACCCGCGCAAGCTTGCCAGTATTCCCGCACGTGAGTTTGACCCCGACGATGTTCTCGTGCTGTGATAATACGAGGATAGCCTCCGAGCTGAGATCCAGCTGACTGCAGGCTCCAGGGTAGTTGTATATCATAATCGGGATTGGGGACGCATTTGCGACGTCTTGGAAATGCCGTAGGATCAACTCGTCGTTTAAAAGCCCACCATAGTAGGATGGTGGGAGAACAAGCGCAAACTGACCTCCCGATGCTGCGGCCTCCTTGCAGAGTAAAATCGTCTCCCGTGTTGATTGAGCGCCGCAGCCCACAATCAGAGGCATGTCTTGGCGATTGATGGAGTCGAGTGCTTCTCGAGTTGTTTTATTGATGAGGATTCGTTCGTCGTGGGAGAGATGGACAGCTTCGCCGTTGCTACCGTGGGTGACGAGGCCGGCGACTCCGGCTTCTGCGAGGCGGATGGCATGTTTCTTCGTCGTTGTGACATCGACTTCTTCTGCCTCTGGTGAGAAGAAGGCGACGGTTGGGACGTAGAAGCCGGGAGTCAGCTTCACGTGGCCGTTTCGTGGGAAGACCTCAGGAGAGGCGTTTGGGTGATCATTTAGGGGCTCGATAATTGATGGTGCCATCCTGTCGGTTTGAGGAGCAGAGGAGATGAACCAAGAGTTCTAAAACGCAGTTCTGGATATCCTAAGAACTCAGGTTTGCTAAGAGGCAAATAATCAAAAATATAAAAGAAAACCGCGATGAAAGGCAACAAAGTTTCTCTGTGTGGGTACTTTATCAGGGACCCAGAGAGAAGTCAGGCTTATAAGTGTCCAAGAAATGGTTATCGGCAGTACACTATATTTTCATAGTCATGATACTAGCTCCTCCGAAAAGCTGACCTTTTTGGGGCTTATTGACCGGAGATGCTCTGCACAGAGCCGAAGGATCGGCAGCATAACTGCTGTCAGCTTCTCCGCCATTGAAATCCCACGATAGCATGATCTAGCCTCAAGTAATATGTGAACCACGCCAATATTTGGTTGGTAAAGTGGAGAATCCAGAGGGTGGGGAGGACTAATTTTGGGGGCACTACCCCCATATTTAGTGCTATGGCCTCACAATACCTGGCTTATGCTCCACATTTCAATAGTTGAATATTTTCTAGAGGCTCGAGGGGTGTTATCTACACTCTTGTAGTGGAACCTGCGGACAATTGATCCCACGCTTCCCCCGAAGTTCGCCTTCTGGTTTGGAAGATCATGGGGCTCACAGCCTCCACGCTTCTACCCGAGGGTCCTGAAGATAGGAACCAGAGGTCCAGAGCTCCGGACCTGTGCGGCGGCCCACCCCCAAAGTCTCGTCTTAACAAGAATCTTGTAGTTGCTGCATCATGTTGCAAAGCGCGGAACATCTCAGGAACGTGGAATTCTTACAAAAATGCTGAGGCGAAGCTAGTGCTTGCGATCTGGGATACTTGAACTGGGGCTGATCGTCTTCTTAAGAGCTGGTTTTAAAGTGTAAATTAAAAGACTTCTTAGTGCATGAATTATAACATAGTAAATGCTGCATCGACGCATCGTCAGTCCTGAAACAGCAGGTTACCACAATAGCAAGATATCAAGAAGCCTAGGAACTATAACTTGTAAGGATTCTCGCATCTCAGTTCTCAGCTTAGTGCCCTCAAACTGACCTCAGGGTAGCAAAGCATTTCCTCCACCCATCGACTTAGTTGGTGACAGCTAGCTTGAAGTCACTCATTCGAACAACCCCCTCTGTAGCCCTCGTCGGCAAGTACGAGATCGTCTACATCAAACAGACCAAGAGACCCCAGGTCTCAGTCACTTCTGGTAACGGTAGCGGGCACAAACCCTCCTTCGCAGCGTTCGTCGGCCATGGGCTTCTAAGTGGTGCTGTGGCAGGATCAATCTTTGCAAGTCCTTCAGCAGAGCAGATTCAGCAATGTCTTCTACGATATGTGGACAACACCGAGGGCATCATAGTTATTGTGATGAAATATACAGGTGACGCGCTGCATTTCGGTGTGGCGGTTGCGAAGGCCAGAACGAGGGGTGTTAAGGTTGATATGTTGGTTGTGGGTGACGATGTCGGTGTTGGGAGATCGAGAGGTGGGAGCATTGGGAGAAGAGGCATCGCTGGGGCGGTGTTGGTGCAGAAGGTTGCTGGTCCTTTGGCGGCTACAGGGCGAGTAAGTGCGAGTACTCTGAATTATGGAAAGCAAAAGCAGCTAACGAAAGAACCTCAACAGAGCCTCCCTAGATGAAGTTTCATAGGTTGCCAACCTCGTCTCCTCCAACATCGTTTCCGTCGGAGGAGCTCGGGAAAGCATACGCCTGCAAAACCTGAAGATCGTACGCTGGTGGACGCGTTACAACCATTTGTTAAGACAGTGGCAAAGACATAAGATGTCTCAAAGGCAGCAGAGGCGGCAAAGCAGGGTAGTCACTAGTGAGAGCACGAAAGGAATGGAAGCGAGTCTGAGTCGCTCAGTCTATGTAGGTGGAAATGACTGGAAGAAGTGCCCAGATCCTGGAGCTTTTGGCCTCGCGGAATTTTTGTCAGCCATGAGCACGGCATTTTAGAAGACCCAAGTTAGTTGACCACAGTCTCACTTTCCAGCGTCATCTGCAGGAGCTCATGTCTGTGATTTTTCGGATTATCAAACCTTCGGAGAGTTCATGTCTCCAGCCTACGCTTTTGGAGAGGGTAGGCGTGTTGGAATTCAGGGATAATTACCTAGAATTGAGTCACATGTGCTGAGCCACATGATAAGCGGCAGCAGACAGCAGACTCGTGATCTTCAAGCTGTCTACGGTTTGATCTTCTACATAAGTCACTCGTTACTCCCTAGATGGTTGAGGGGTAAGTTACATTCAATGCTTCAACATCATCGTATACTATAGTCTCAACAAGACGGAGTCTAACACCGAAGGCTTGACTTGATGATTATGGGCGAAGTAGGTACAATCAAGCTACTCCGCAAATATTCAGCTCTTATGTAATGGTGTGAGTTCTCAAATAAGTATATCATAATAGATTAATGGGTGGCGATGGGCTTTGGGGAGAGTTATGTATACACAAGACTTTAGCTGTACAAGTGCCGAAGCTAACCCTCGTGGAACGGTGGCGTTTTCGGGCGTTCTGGCTGAGAGGAGGACGTGGAGTAATCCGTGTAAAAAACGATCTGGAACCCCCCACGGAATATGCTTGCCGTTTCGGCCCACGAGTCAGATCCCCGTAGCCCACAGGTCTCGGGTGTTGCCTTCCACGCATTGAACGTTCTTCCGTGCTTAAGATTCCATCGCGGGACTATGTTTCTGCTCCTGCTTTTCGCTTCCCTTGTTACTCTTGTGCCGAACAAATTATAGCCTTGTTATGCGAAGTTGCCGTCAGTGGCCGGCTACATCTAGGAAGTTTGCACCTCAGCAGATTCATCTAAGCCTTGTTTCATCATGGCCGTTCCATATGGGATCGATAATATGAGCTTGACACGAACGAGTCTGGAATGCGAAGACAACACATCGACATGGCCGACACAATCCACTGTTCGGAAACAAGGCCACCGGCGGTCATCCAGGAAGTATCAATGTCCAGTGGACAGTTGCGGCAAGCTGTACTCTCGAGCAGAGCATCTGTAAGTCAGACAAAAAGATTTCTTCTGTCAAAATTCGGCTTATAATCACCTAGGATACTAATGATTGATGAGTAGCAGCCGGCATCAGTTAAATCATGATCCAAAAGAGAAATTCAGATGCGACGTCCCGCGCTGTAACCGCACTTTCGTCCGTGTGGATTTACACAGTCGACACAGAAACCGTCACATGAGTGAATATCTGCAGCAGCAAGGCAATCGTTCTTCAATCAACCAAAACGTAAAGTATATTAGTCCTGATTGCGTCATATTCTGGTGTCTAATTTCCTTCACAGAATTCGACACAGTCTCTAGAGTCTATGGAATATGCTGAAGAGGTCACATTGGATCAGGGGAGGCAGCCTCAGATTCCACCACCATACGCTACAGACCTCATACCCTCCGCAACGCAGCATACTCAGACCCAGGGAGCAGCTGCCTTCTCAGTCCGCGAAGGAAACGGCCCACTGCCTACAATGTATTACGACATGCACCAAAATCCCACTACTCCGCAGGAGCAGCAACTTCCAGATATTGATACGTGGAGAAACAACGCACCCTTTCTGACCGGAATGCCAGTTTTTGGTGGTGACAGCCACGCTCGTTCGCCGTTTACGATACCTGATGATTTCATCCAATTTCTCTTCAGTGGAAATAATCTTGATCAATCAACAAACAACGATAACTTGGCCGTAAACCATTTCCCAAGGTAATATTTCACCCTGGCTATGCTAGGCCAAAGCTCAATTTGAGACTCAATGATGTGTTTCATGCTAACATATTCAGCTATTCAAACACACAGGGTCAATTCTCTGAAAATCCGAATCATAACATCTTCAGTGAGAGCTATCATCCGCAAACTCTCTTCACTTCGAACAAAATATCATGCGAGATCAACTTGCCCTCGACGTCATTATCAAACGAGAAGAGTCAAGAACTTTTCGATCTCGTAAAGCTCAGACTTAGTGGCAACAAACACACGGCAGTCGCAGATTACCAAGATTCTGTCCTCGGAGGAGATCGTTCTCAGGATCTCCATCTTATGAGTAGGAAGATGATGCAAAGCCATATCGACAGTTACTGGCAAAACTTTCATTCTCAACTACCCATCTGTATGTGGAACTCTATCATTCTGCAGAGAATAACGTTAATAACCAATGCATATAGTACACTCACCAACGTTCTCCCCGAATAAGACTCCTAATCTCCTCCTTATTGCGATCATGATCCTCGGCTCCACTTGCTCTATCAAATCAGATGACGATGCTGAGGCGAAGTCCACAACCGAGTTCGCAACCGTTCTAGCATGGTATTTACGATGGGAGATATTCGCCAGTATGCACATACAATCCGACAATCTTTGGGTATTCCAAGCCCTCTTGCTTCTTGAGACTTATGAAAAGACCTACGCCTCAAGGACTTGCCATGAACGAGCGCACATCCACCACGCGACGACAATCACATTGATGCGTAGAGGAAGCTTCTTAGTAGGGAGGTCTCCTTTAGACTCGCCTCCAAGCTATCAGGAGAATCTTTCTGAAGGCGAGAGCATGGCACGATCCTTTACCGAACCGTGGTGGGATGAGTGGATCAGGAGGGAAGCCACAAGACGAGTTGCTTTTGCCGCCTTCATGATTGACTCCACTCATGCGGCAATGTTTGGACACTCGATGATCATGGCCACCCACGAAATGCGCCTGGTATTGCCTTGCGATGAAGTCCTGTGGTCAGCAACGAGCGTCCACGAAGTCCAGATGATTGAGATAACGCTTCGATCCAACGGTATCAAACCTCTCTCGTTCCTTGAAGGTCTGCAAAAGACTCTAAACGGGCAGGAGATCTATACCAATGCCTTCGGAAGGTCAATATTGCTGTCCGGGCTGCTTAGTGTGAGCTGGCACATAAACCAGCGAGACCTGCAGCTCAAGTCTCTTGTAGTAGGAGAGCAAGAAAGGGATAGAGGCACTAAGTGGCGAAGGTCCATTACGCGAGCATTAGATTTGTGGCAAGGCGCTTATGGAGTGGCAACAGAAAACATTTCAGACAATGCACTAAGGTGGTATCGAGGCGAAGAGGCCGTCCTTCGAACCAGAGCTGCTCTTTATCACTTAGCTCGATTCAGCATATATGTGGACATTGTCGACTGTCAAGTATTTGCTGGAGCAAACCGAGTACTAGGTCAGAGTATCCGAAGACAAGAGGCAGAAACCGTTGGGCGGCGGATCCGAAATATCTGGGCGCCGACGGCAGAAGCTCGAAAAGCAACATTCTATGCGTTACGCTTTTTGTGTTCGGTATTTCTTAAGAACAAAGAGGGGGGCGATCAATTTTGTGACCGCGATTTTGTTCTCGACTATGCAACAAGCAAGAACGCGCCGCCAACGCATCTCTGGGTGTTGTACTCTGCCGCTCTGGTCGTTTGGTCTTACAGTTATGCTGTTGATGGGCCTACGCATATCGCGGGACCTATGTGTCCATCAATTGACGACCACATTCAGGATATGCAGAACTTCCTAAAGAGGGTCGAGAACATTAAGTCCCCAGAAGACATAGCCTATCACCGTCTTAATAGCTGCGCGGGTATGCTGAAGGTTTTGCGGTTTATTTTTAGTAAGGGAACATGGGAACTACTTCACGAAGGCGCAGAATTGTTAAAGACTTGTATCATGTTGATAGATAAAGTCAAATAGAGAGGTTTATTCTTAGTCTGCCACGAAACTAATCTGAGCAAAATCTGACTCGGTTACTCAGCATCGCCGCTTCACTTAGGCACTAAGCATCCTCGGCTCACCCGCTGCTTAGGTTGCTTAGGCTCTGCTTAGATTGCTTAGGTTCTGCTTGCCCGTTCTCAGTCACGTCCCTGCTTCTAGATAGGATAGCAGTGCCCCTTATTTCTAGCGTTGGAAAGAGCCGGCACGTACTCAGCCTCAGGAGCCATCTCGGGCTGCATTGTTTGAATTAGCAGTCTGAAGGAGTCGTTTTGCGCCCCAGAGTGAGCCTGGGTGAGTTCCGGGTGAGGGTTTGGGCGATGTGGGTGTATGGGTGAGCGAAGGTAAGCATCATCACCCTGGCTTGGGTGTCGCATCACCTGACTCACCCAGCTCAGCCGCCTAAAGCGGCATCGTCCACATCTGGCGACGGCGGGGGTATCGCAGATAATCCATCGATTTGTTTACCTACCTAATGAGCTACTTGCCCTGTTGGACCAGGAGTATGTAGCAGAAAGGGAGATGAGTCCTTCGAAGGCCTCCAGGGTTGGGTTGGCGTGGTGCTGCGGGAGCTCGTGCGTCAACCTCTCCACGAACCTGGAATCGCGATGCACAAGCTTCCTTCTAGCAGGGACCGCGCCATTGGGCTGTGAGAGAAAAGAAGTACCAGTCTCGTCTACGGTGGATGTTGTCGACTAGCATAAAGCACATCACCATGCTCAGCTTAAAATCCCATCAACCTCCCTCGCCTTGACATTCCACTTGTCCCCTTGACGACCACGAACAACCCATTGATCGGGCAGGCACGACTGCAATGAGGCACTGAGATGTTCCTCACGCTGAGCTATCACCCCCTTCGACTTCCCTGGTACGAGCGATGTCGCTCACGCCCTCAGACTCCAAGATGATAAACCCAGCCTGGGGGTCGAGACTTACGCCGTCCAATTCGCCATTTACGAAAAACGCATCTGTTAAAATACCGGCCAAGCCGAACAGACAAGAGCTCGGTCTATCGCTAAAGCAGGTCATTGGCACTACGACGAACTCCGCCAACGCATTCGATATCCTCCCTTCAGCCAGGTGCTTCGCATTCACAGCCGGCGCCGCAGCAGTCATTGCGGCTATCGACGATGCCCATCAAGTATCGCAGCGCTTCTTTCGAGCGCGGCCGAACGCATCCCCACTGAATCCTACTGCTTCAATATATGACGGACCATCCACTCCTGTCAATGGCGCAATCGATAGTCGGAACAGAACCGCAGCGTCTTTAAGAGAAGCAGGCATAGGCCCGTCTACGCCAGGCGGAGACTGGGCAGACTCGCCGGGGAACAAATTATGGTCAGCTAGAGAACGGATCAAGGCTGCAACATGCGTTTCGCTCAGTCCAGACGGAAAGTACCTGGCGGTTGGAGAGGTATATACGAAACTTTAATGGCCAGATGAATGGACGTTAACATACGGCAGACTGGGTACAGACCGCGAGTACTCATATTCTCAACGTCGGTGGATGCCCCCCCTGACATACCATTAACGTGTCTTACGGAACATACCTTCGGTGTCCGTGCTGTCGCATTCAGTCCAGACGCGCAATATCTCGCAACTCTCGGTACCGCTAACGACGGATTTCTCTATATCTGGAGCATCAATGGCCGGAATGGTCCCGCGAGCCTGTACGCAAGCAACAAGTGCACCAGTCATATCAACAGGATAGCATGGCTAGGGAGCAGCCTCGTTACGTAAGTTGAGCTGAACCACTTTCTGAGGGAACCCAAGAGTCGAAGTATGCGCCCTATTGAGATCTGTCGTTCGATTTGCAAAACTAGACTGTGTTCTTTAAACCATACTGATTTCTCATAGTGTCGGCGTCAGACATGTGAAAATCTGGCGAACGGATGGTTCCGATATTCGTTCACCGAGACGGCCGCGTCAAAGCGACGTGAGTTCTATATTCGCGGGCTCCGTACACAAGACTTTGCCGGGAAGAAACTGCGTTCTTGGGTCTCTCGTAGATGCCACATTCGTGTGCGTGGTCGCACTCGCGCCGGACAAAGCCATCATATCAACTGATCGAGGTGATCTGTGTCTCCTGGATGACAGCGCGGGCTTGCAGTCATTCACCAAGGTCGCATCGGCAGGCTTTAAAGTGACGGCAATGGCAGCAGACCCAAAGGGTCTTGTATATCTGGGAGGCGCTCAAGGAGAAGTTTTGATGCTGACTGTCAGCGACCTTCTCGCGATACGCACGCCTCCAGTCTCACCAATATCTCCTCTGAACACGGATGCAACTTCAGCAGCCCAGCGCCCAGCTCACATCGAGGCGTTGGGGTCTCTGCCGGATTGTGTTGTGATGATAGACTCTAATCACTCTATCCAGCTCTTGGGCCAAACTTCCGAAGAGGGGATACTTCGTAATAATGTCCTCCAGCAGTTGCCTGCTCATGGTGACGCCGTGTTAGGTGTTCGAGCACTCTCTTCACCGAATGTTTGTGGGGCTTCTTTCTTCACCTGGTCAGCTGACGGCACTGTTCTCTTCTGGGATCATGATGGTCTCTGCAAGGGCTATCTCCAGGTCGAGCTGGAACAGTTGGACGGCAACGTTGATGAAATTAACGAAATGAGAGTGGTCGGGGCATCACTTGGCGCGGAGTATTTGGTTTCTGGAGATAAATATGGTGTCTTACGGTATCGACTGATGCCCTTGATTCTCGCGGCTACACTAACGACAGTCCAGATTTATTGACACCGCGACCAAGCAGAGTTTCTTCGATTTCCGAGCTCACGCTGGCGAAATCACAGATATCGCTATTCACGAAGCAAAGGCTACCTACGTGGCATCTTCTGGTAGAGACCGAACAGTGCAGGTCTTCCAGCGACGGTCGGATTCTTGGGACTTGCTGCAGACTCTCGACGAACATGTAGGAGCAGTCACGGGCCTGCTCTTTACGCCAAGCGGAGACAAGCTGATATCGAGCTCCTCCGACCGAACACTGGTTGTCCGCGAGTTTTTTTCGAGAGAAGTCGATGGCCGGCAAGTTGCCGCTTACCTAATTCTTCGCACGATTACTTTGAAAGCGACGCCAACATCCATGGCGCTAGCCTTGGATCAGAACGATACTCTGTTCCTTTCGACAATCGATCGGCATGTACATCGGTACGATTTGGGGTCTGGTCAAGCAATCAGTAGCTTCAAGGCCTCCGACGCAGATGGCGGAGATGCAGTGGTTCTGTCATGTCTCGTTCATGTGCCCTCGCCTACGGGCGCCTCTCTTATTGCCGCAGTCTCAAGCACTGACAAATCGATTCGTCTCTACGATGAGAGTGGGTCACTGCACGGACGCGATTGGGGCCATACCGAAGGCATCTCCGACATCGCTCTTATAACATCTGTGGCGGAGGCGAACAGACCAGCCCAGAAGTACCTCGTTACGGTAGCTGTAGATGGCACGGTCTTCGTCTGGGACACGTCCCGAGCACCGGTTCGCCATGACATGTCCAGATCCGTGGACTTGACCAGTCTTACGCCGGCAAGCAAAAAGCTCCTGGTGAATGATCCTCCTCTCCGCCGCGTACTCTCACAATCGGAACTCGCCCGCTTTCAACGCTCAGCTACTGAAGAAGTATCAACACCTTCAGGGAGCCGCTCACCGATGCTCCGCAAAAGAATATCGAAGTTCTCGCTCGTGCAGCCACCGAAGCTGGATCCGTCACCCATGCCCAGCCCCCGAAACGGCACTTCTGCAGACGTAGCAAGCCGTAAGGCGAACAAGAACCGCTCGCCATCACCGCCAAGCCCTCGCAATCCCAGGACGTTCAAGCCTCAGCGGCCATCACTCGACGTCTCATCAAGAGCACGGAGTGCAGACAAAGTAAGTACGTTCGGAACTTTGACCAACTCGACCGAGCAGGTCTGTCGCACGCTACGAGCCTACCGGAAGAAGCTAGCCAGCAGCTCGGAAAACCTGAACCTCACAACGATGAGGGAGTTGGAGCGGGAGCTAGGCCTCACGGCTAGGGCTGTTGGCGAGAAAGCCACGCAAGCCCAGGGCCTCGACGATAGTGTCATGGTTAAGATGTTGGATCAGTATTCGGAGAGGCTTGTTGAGATGCTGGATGAGAAGATTGCAGCGAGCGTAGCGAAGCAGGTGAGGCAGGGGAGTGAAGCTTGCACACCGCGGCGGGCGAGCAGTGGACTTGTGAATGAAGACAGGGGCACTGAGGGGATTAGGGATGAGAATATTCCTAATGTAGGCGCTACTACGGCAGGCGCGCAAGAGAAGTAATGGTTATGGTACAATGGACATGAAGAGTACTACGGTTGCGGCATTGAGGGCTTTGGCTATTCAGTCGGTGTTCATTGGATTGGGTTTGATTGTTCTGGATGGCGGCACTCTTCCCGTCTTGCACATACCTGCAAGTCGTCGTTCTTCACTCTTAACTCATGTCTTGCTCGGCCATTGGTGGAGTCTACTGGAATGAAGCGGATATGCCAGCGCCATGGGTGGAGACTCCTTCGTTGCATGCTCCTGTACCTCACCTATAGCAATTCGCATGCAGTTATATACCCTTTCTCACGAAACTAGCAGCATTGTCGCGCGAGTGAGTGATCAGCGAAGACTAAGGGCTTGTGTTTACGAAGCATGTGCAATTATTGGATTATTGGCCTTACCAGGCTACAACCCCATATCTTTTACTCGAACTTCAATCGTCTGGACTTGAGGATGCCACACGAATCTCAACCCCTTCAATACTGCATAGCCCGATCTCACTCGAATTGTCATGAGAGACGTACCGTGGGATCCATGGGTGTCTCCGTCGGCAATAAGGAGCTCAGCATCCCGGAAACTTCGCCGGCCCTGCGTTTCGGGCCCGACAGCCATGGACAGACTGAGGCATGTGCTTGCTTGCCGCGTGCCTGCAGCCGGCTAAGGTCCCAGCCATTCGGTCCTCACGGTGTCAGAAGGAGACTCACAAAGGACCCTTTGCAAACCAAGCATTTACATACCGTAGGTAGTGGTTTCCGCAGAGAGCCTTGACCGAGCTCGGATGAGGTGCCGTGGGGCCGTCCTCAGCCCTCGACGCCAAAGCTCTTGTCATGACAAACTGCTGCCGGCCTGAAGCACCACTGGGCCAGTCCCAGGCGGTCGTCCACTAACTAGACCTCGGGAAGCTGTGAGGCACGCTGCAGCTCCCGGGGCAAAGGACCTGTCGGCCAAGCCCAGCGCGAGGAGCTGCAGAGCGGGGACGGACAAGATGACGCTCCAGAGTGGCATCAGAGCTCTCGAACGAAGCGTGGGGCTTCTGACCAAGCTCAAATAGCACCATTGCCCCAAGACCGATTCATTTAGCCCCCTTACCGTCCCAGCTGTGAACCTTCCTGCTCCGCTTGCTCCAGCACAGTCTGAGATTCATTGAAGAGCTACACGATCCCACGTATCTGTTCTCTGCTTCATCACAGCGCACTGCTTGTCAGATACGCTCACCGGCGGCAAGGCGATATACCCCAGCGGTTAGCCTTTCCTTCTCTCGTCTCTTCTTCTACCCCCGAACCACACGTCTCCGCCCGGCGGCGCGCTTCACCACCATGTCTGAAGGCGACACCAAACCCCCAAACCCTGTGGTGGCCGAAGCCCACCAGGTCAACACCTATGATGTGCCCAAGGCGTTCTTCGAGTGAGTCCCCCTTTCCACTCTACAGGACGTCATGCGAGCTCCCCTCTGCGCAAGGCGGGGTTACCCCGCCATTTCCGAGACCCCTCAGCACCGGCGATCTACCACAACCGCCGCAACGCGGAGGCTAACAAGCCCTGCAGCAAGCACCCCAAGAAGCCGCACATCGATGGCTTGGACCACTACAAGCAGATGTACAAGGAGTCCATTGAGCAGCCGGACAAATTCTGGGGGAACCAAGCCCGCGAGCTCTTGACCTGGGACCGAGACTTCCAGACGGTGCACAGCGGCACCCTGGCCAACGGCGACAACGCCTGGTTCGTAGAGGGCAGGCTCAACGCCTCGTACAACTGCGTTGACCGGCATGCATTCAAGAACCCAGACAAGCCGGCCATCATCTACGAAGGCGATGAGTCAGGCGGGGGCCGCACCATTACCTATGGAGAGCTCCTCCGCCAGGTCTCCCAGCTCGCCTTCGTGCTCAAGGAGATGGGCGTCAAGAAGGGTGACACCGTCGCGCTCTACCTGCCCATGATCCCCGAAGCAGTTGTCTCTTTCCTTGCTTGTTCTCGTATTGGTGCCGTCCACTCGGTGGTGTTCGCGGGTTTCTCATCGGACTCTCTCCGCGACCGCATAATCGACGCCGAATCCAAGGTCGTCATTACTACTGACGAGGGCAAGCGCGGCGGCAAAACCATCGGCACGAAGAAGATTGTAGACGACGCGCTCAAGCAATGCCCAGACGTCAAGGGCTGCCTCGTGTTCAAGCGAACAGGCTCAGACGTGCCGTGGACCAAGGGCCGAGACCTGTGGTGGCATGAGGAGGTCGAGAAGTGGCCTAACTACATCCCGCCAGAGCCTATGAGTTCGGAAGATCCCCTCTTCCTGCTCTACACCTCCGGCTCTACTGGCAAGCCGAAGGGTGTTATGCACACGACCGCTGGGTACCTTCTGGGCGCCGCATCTACCGGCAAGTACGTCTTCGACATCCACGACAGCGATGTCTTCTTCTGCGGCGGTGACGTTGGCTGGATCACCGGACATACTTACGTTGTCTACGCGCCTCTGGTGCTCGGTGTCACAAGTGTCGTCTTTGAGGGCACGCCCGCCTATCCCGACTTCTCCCGCTACTGGGAGGTGGTCGCACGGCATAAGGTCACCCAGTTCTACGTCGCCCCTACTGCGCTGCGTCTGCTTAAGCGCGCTGGCGATGAGCACGTCAAGCACGAGATGGAACACCTGAGAGTGCTAGGCTCGGTCGGCGAGCCGATCGCTGCTGAGGTTTGGAAGTGGTACTTTGAGATTGTCGGCAAGGAGACGGCACATGTTGTGGACGTACGAATCTGCTATCTCCATTGGACTGGGTACATGACGCTGACACAACTGCAGACATACTGGCAAACGGAGACGGGCTCCCATGTCATCACGCCGCTGGCTGGCGTGACGCCTACCAAGCCCGGCAGCGCCTCCCTGCCTTTCTTCGGCATTGAGCCCGCCATCATAGATCCCGTATCCGGTGAGGAGGTTCACGGCAACGACGTCGAGGGTGTGCTTGCGTTCAAGCAGGCATGGCCGAGCATGGCACGCACCGTCTGGGGCGCACACAAGAGGTACATGGATACTTACCTGAACGTGTATAAGGGATACTACGTAAGTGGCAGTGCAGCGTGGCGATTGATGTTGTCGGAGCTGACGTGACCAGTTCACCGGCGATGGAGCTGGCCGTGACCACGAGGGCTACTACTGGATTCGTGGCCGAGTAGATGATGTTGTCAACGTCTCGGGTCACAGACTGTCAACCGCTGAGATTGAGGCGGCCATCATCGAGCATCGTAAGCAGGGCATCTCAGACTCTGTGGAGTTCTCACTGACAGCCGTTAGACTCCGTCGCCGAGGCGGCCGTAGTTGGCATCAACGACGAGCTCACCGGCCAGGCTGTCAACGCCTTTGTGGCGCTCAAGGACAGCAGTGAGTCGACCGAGCAGATCAAGAAGGATCTCATCCAGCAAGTCCGGAAATCCATCGGTCCGTTCGCCGCGCCCAAGGCCATCTTCCCGGTTCCAGACCTGCCGAAGACACGGTCCGGCAAGATCATGCGCCGCATTCTGCGGAAGATTCTCGCTGGCGAGGAGGACCAGCTCGGCGACACATCGACGGTAAGCTGATTGAGCTGCGCCCGTGGCTGAAGATTCCGCTGACGATTTGGATTAGCTGTCGGATCCCTCGGTCGTCGACAAGATCATCGAGGTGGTGCAAGAGGCGCGGAAGCAGAAGAAGTAGATGGCGAAGCCAGCAATGCTCGGATCTGACGGTGGCCTGAGTGAGATCTTGTAAGGCTGAGGCTGGGGCCAAGGCGGCGGAGGAGGATTAGCCGCGGGGTGGCGTTGCAGCTCTGTTTTTCCTGTTGTCGTTGTCGAAGGCGTCCCAGTGCTGGACTGTGTGTGCTGCGTATATGAATGAAAACGGTTAATTGGACTGGACGAGAATGGCAGACTGCAATAGTATCATGCGGCGCGATATGCAGGAGATGCAGGAGATGCCCATGTCTTGAGTGAGTTTCGCACGCAGTCGTCCGCGCGTCGCCAAGGGCTCCCAAGACGTTGGAGCACAGCCTCCTTCGAACGGCTGCAGGCGCTGACACCACGACTTTCCGACTCCTGCCTCCCGCCTCCACCATATCCGTCTGCTCTCTCGTTCTGTGTCGATAATTGCATCACCCGTTTCTCTTTTTGAGCCTCTCCAAGTGTCTCTCCTTCTCCGCCGTACACGAGAGACACTCGCATCCTCAACGGGTGGCACAAACCAAGGCATGCACTTTCTATGGCCCCTCGTCGCCACGGTAATCGCGAGCGTCACCACACGACTGCCCTTTGCTTCAGCAGACTCGACGAGTCGGAACCCCATCACCAACCTCGCGGTTGTCAAGAGCCCTGACCTGCATACGCCCAATCACCGGGTCACCGCGCTCTCAACCTTCGACCTCTCTTTCGACGTCTTCGACCGGCGGATAAAGCTTGTTCTAGAGCCGAACCACGACATCATACAAGATGGCGCCACTGTCGAGTATCTTGGGCCGGACGGGCAGGTCAGGCACAGGGAGGTCATTGACCGGCTAGAGCACAAGGTGTACAAAGGCGCTGCCTGGGCGCGGAACGGGCAGAGAGAGTGGACACGGACAGGCTGGGCGAGGATAACAGTGAGGAGGGATGGCATATACCCGCTGTTCGAGGGCGCATTCACCATCGACCACATCCACCACCATGTGCAGATGAGCAGCAACTACATGCAGACACGACATGCGCTGGACCCGGAGCTTGTGCTGGACGCTGACGACTTCATGGTCGTATGGCGGGACTCTGACATCGCTGGGTTTGGGCAGGCGGAGCACTCGGAGCTCAAGCGCGATCTCGGCTTGGGAGGACTGGAAAGCCGCGATGCGTGCCAAAGCGACCGGCTAGACTTCAACATTCAGCCCGACCACCCCGTCCACAAGATGCTCCGCCGGGACGACAGCTACTGGAGTACGCCTGTTGAGTCTCTATTCAGCAAGCGTCAGAACGACGGCATCCCCGGCTCCGGCAACTCCGCAGGCGTCAACCTCGTCTCGACCATCGGCCAGACACTCGGCTGTCCCAGCACCCGCAAGGTCGCTCTCGTCGGCGTCGCCACCGATTGCACCTACACGTCCGCCTTCAACTCCACGGAGACGGCGCGCCAGAACGTCATCAACCAGATCAACTCCGCGTCAGATCTGTACGAGAGCACGTTCAACATCACGCTGGGGCTGCAGAACCTGACAGTTAGCGACGCGACGTGTCCTGGGAGTGCGTCGAGCTCGACGCCCTGGAACATACCGTGCTCGGGTAATACCAATATCCAGGACCGTTTGAACCTGTTCAGCCAGTGGAGAGGCGAGAGGCAGGACAGCAACTCGCACTGGACGCTGCTGACGACGTGCAACACGGGTTCCGCAGTGGGATTGGCCTGGCTGGGCCAGGCATGTATCCAGGGCGTCCAGAACTCGAGCTCAAGCGGATCACAGGAGTTCGTGAGCGGCGCCAATGTCGTCGTGCGCACGGCGTCAGAGTGGCAAGTCATTGCGTGAGTTCCCCTCTCCCACCTCCACCCACCGCCCACCCCAGCTAACCCCCGTCCACAGCCACGAAACCGGCCACACCTTCGGCGCCGTGCACGACTGCACCTCCTACACCTGCGGCTCCTCCAACACCGTCTCGGCGCAACAATGCTGTCCGCTCTCCGCCGGCACCTGCGACGCCGGCGCGCAGTACATCATGAACCCGTCGACGGCCGGCGGCATCGCGCGCTTCTCCCCATGCTCGATCGGCAACATCTGCAGCGCCTTCGGCCGCAACAGCGTCAAGAGCGACTGCTTCACCAACAACCGCGACGTCACGACTATCAGCGGGCAGATGTGCGGCAACGGCATCGTCGAGGAAGGCGAGGAGTGCGACTGCGGCGGCCCTGAAGGGTGCGGCGATAATGCGTGCTGCGAGCCTGCGACGTGTCAATTCCGTGCCGGGGCTGTGTGTGATGATGCGAATGAGGACTGCTGCCGCGGCTGCCAGCTTGCATCCGCAGAGACGGTGTGTAGACCTTCGACGGGGGTCTGCGATCCGCAGGAGACGTGCTCGGGGAGCTCGTCGTACTGTCCGGCGGATAACACGAATCCGGATGGCGAGAGCTGTGGCGATGGGCTTAGCTGCGCGAGCGGGCAATGCACGAGTCGGGATCTGCAGTGCAAGACTGTCATGGGGAGCTACACAAGAGGGAACGATACCTATGCCTGCGACAGCAGCAGCTGCATGCTGACCTGTGCAAGCCCGGAGTTTGGGCCGGGTATCTGCTATGGGCTACAGCAGAACTTTTTGGATGGGACTGATTGCGCGGGTGGGGGGAAATGCCAGAACGTAAGCTTGCCTCTCTTTTTCATCCCTCTTTCTTCTCTATAGCCCTTCTTTGCACAAAGCACGACAACCCGCAGCAATATGCATGTTCGAAGTACAGCCAGCTAACACCCCTCCCCGCAGGGCCAATGCCGCGGCGCCTCCTTTACCGGCGCAGTCGGTTCCTGGATCGACGACAACCTAAACGTCGTGATTGGTATCGCCGCCGGGGTGGGCGGTCTCATCGTCATCATCATCCTGTCCTGCCTCATTTCCTGCTTCCGGCGGCGCAGACGGCGCGGCAAGCGCGTGCAGCCGCCGCAGGGCTGGCAGGGGCAGCATAGGGGTCACAGTGGACGAAGCGTGCAGATGGGACAGATGCCACCGCCGCAGGGTGGGCAGCAGAGTGGGCAGTGGTATGGGCCGGCGCCGCCGCAGCCGGCTTATGCGCGGCAGAGTAGTGTGAGGTATGCATAGAGGGGTAGATACATATAAAGTGAGCATGTAGTTTCGGCGTTGGTGGGAGCGCTTTTTGGATATCTTCGTCACTGTAAGGCCGGGACGGGAGGATCTATTGTGCGTATTGGCATGTTACATATGCATTGGGACGGCTGTGCATGAGAAGATAGTTACGAGAGCAAGATTGATGGATTTATTCTTATGCTGGACTGTCCTGGATCTGGTTCCAGTAGCCTTTACAGAGCTTGTCCAGGGCGAATGGACGATCATGTCCTTGCATCTCCAGCCATCCATCTTTCGGATTCTAAAGACCACTAGAGGAGCCCTTCCTCCACCAGGACATATGGCTTCCATCCACAGCATCGCATACACACCCCTCACGCCACCTCCTCAACCATTCTCCCTACGGCCAGCGTTCCCTCTCCGCTAGTCGAAGCTCGTCCAGCCTGCTCACTTGCCCACGCGCCCAAAGCACTCGCAGCAAGCACCTCCTCAGGCACACCGATCCGCGCACCCTGTCGGCTCTGTACATAGCGGACGAAGACCGGGTGCGGCTTCTCGCGCTGGGCGTCGTCGCCGTCCGCCGCGGCGGCATCGGCAAGAATCTCAGCACGCGTGCGGCGCTTCGGGGCTTGTTTTTTCAGGAGGCGGTTTATCGTGTCTTGCTGTTTTGGGGATTGGTCGTTAGATGCGAAGAGGGTATGGCAGGAGAGGAGCGAGGTGGGAGGATGGTGTCAGGGGATCGGGTCTAGGGAAGAGGAAAAGGGGCAGAGTGCTTTTGGGTAGTTATGAATGCACATACCTTCTCCTCCTCGTTCCGCTTCTCGCTCAAATTCTTCCGCCGCCTTGCCATCTCCGCCCGCCGCATCGCGTGTTCCTCAGGCGTAAAGACTTTCTTCTTCTGTGCCTCGTTCGACAGCGCCATCAGGCCGCCCTCGTACTCCTCGAATGCAGCGCGCTGCCGTCGCGTCAGCTTGCTTAAGTCGGGCGTCGCACTTCTACTGATCCCCTCCTCATCCTCGCTGCCGTCCACATCCGCGTCCTCGTCGCCCATCTCCTCGTCCTCGCCTTCGGCATCTTCTTCGCCTTCGGCGTCCTCTTCGTCTTCTTCGTCTTGGGAGTCGAGCTCCGAGAGCGAGTCATCGGATCCGTCGTTTGCCATTGCGAATTCTTTTTCTTCTACGCTCCGTGCGGTTGTGTTGCCGTCTGCTGACGTGACCGTGACAGCAGGTGCGGCGGGTTTGGTGGTGCGCTGCGCAGCGGCAGCCCCTTGCGTCCTCGGTGGCGGATTAAAGGGCACCTCGACCCGTCCAACAACGGTGGGACGGGCAGCCGATTCTCGGTGAGGTTGTTGCACGGAGGGCCCCGCGTCCTCCATCTCCGCGTCTTCATCTCCCTCTGCGTCTTCATCTCCCTCTGCGTCTTCATCTCCCTCTGCGTCTTCATCGTCCACCTCCTCTTCATCTCCCTCCTCTTCTCCTTCCTCATCCTCATCGTCCTCTGCCTCCTCGCCCTCTCCATCCTCCTCATACTCTCCCTCCGCCTCTTCCTCTTCGTCTTCCTCCGAGCTCTCCTCAACAATCGCCCTCTTGTTCCTCGACCTCCGCGCCCCACTCAAAATCTCCCCGCCCTCGAACCGATCCCTCGAATTGACCGCAACAGGCTGCCTTGTCCTGTTCGCTGGAGCCTCCTCCGGCGCGGTGTGGCTGCTCGTCGCTTCGCGCAGCTTCGAGGGCGGCGCTTTGACGGTCAGCCGAATCGACTGGTGGTGTGTCTCGGGCGAGGGGTGCGAGAGGCGGGCGCTTGCGGGAGCGGCGGTGCCCCGGCGGGGGCGGTCGGTGGAGGGGCCTGAGGCGGCGGGCGCGCTGGTCGAGGTGCTGGATTTTGTTAGGGTGTCGGCACGGGTGCGGGAGCGGGGGGTGGGCATTGTAGAGGATTACGGGGATCGTGTGTTTTGTGGTGGTGACAGAAGGGTGTACAGCGGGAAAGTAGAGATAGGCAGATGTAGCAAAAGGTATTCGAGCGGAGCCATGAAGTTGTGCTGGTGATTTCCCCTCTAGGAAGGGAGGCTACCCACGGGAAAGTGAGGAGGCTCAAGTATTTGATTAAGCTCCAGCCACATACCTTTGTGCGCTTCCCTTGTTGGGCACAGGAATCCAGTCGTCGTTGCCCTCGCTATCATCGTAGTCGGTGCTCAGCCTGCGCAGCCGCTTTACCGGTCGTTCGGCCATGACCGGATTTGAGGGGGAGAACTATGTGCGGGAGGTAGTTGGCCTTCGCGTCTTTGCACGAGCTGCGCTTCTCGATGTCGTGGATCTGGGGTTTAACTACTCAGATGGCTTCGATGAAAGCGAATGGTCACAGCCAGAGTTGCTGGAGCTTCGCGGTAGATATTCTGTGATGCTTTGTACGCGGCCGTGCTGAGAAGTGCGCATGGCCTTCAATCCACCAGCCACATCGGAAAGCCGTGATAATGCTGGTATATCGCGTGTAGATGTTCAGGATCATGTGCTCTAGAGTAATCCGTACGATGGGAACCGTTCCCGGGTTCTGTCTCTATCGTGATGGGAGGCCGTGGTCCTCTAGCCTCGACAAACTGCAATCGCCCACACAGAACCTCTTCACCGGATAGTGTATCTGCACGACATGCTCTGGAATAGGTAGGTAGTTCAGGAACGGGACTACTGGAAAGTGCCTGCAGATGCAACAAGGGCTCTCCGCGTTTGAAGTCTTGGCTCTCCTATCCCATTCAGGAAGTTGGTGAAGAGCTTAGCGCTCGAAGCACTCCTAGCTCCCGTCCCTTCAATCTGGACGCATCTCGCCCATTGGACACCGATGTTCACTCCTACTAACTATTAACATTTCAAAACAGACAAATGGCAGGTCGTTATCGAGAACAAAGATGACTCCATCACGCGGGCGCTCATCTCGGCTCTATGTGTTGTTTGGGAAGCTGGAAAACTAACCTGCTCTGACAGGAGAGTGCTCGAGGGGACTATATAGGGACGATGCATTCCTCATCTCAGAAACAGACGTGCAGACGAACTCTAGCATACAGGTTCAGCTTCCACGAAAGGTCTAACCATCATGAAGTTTTCAGTCTTTCTCGCTGCAGCCGTGGCCTCGTCGGCATCAGCGCTCTCCATTGGGAAGAGGGATGGCCCAGAAACGTTTACAATTGAGCTCGCTCCGGGCGATGTCAGGACTGTTACTGAGGCTGAGAAGTGGGATCTGAGGAGAGTATGTTCAGCTCCTTATGTTTCACGGTGAAGGATTAAGAGATATGCGACCAATCGCTCCTGGTTTACTCACCACATTGTACAAACTTTCAAAACCTCTCTCGCCTCCTCTCAGCATGTGTCTGCATTCAACATAGAACCAAAGGACATTCCTCCTATAGCCGCCTCTTCCAGAAGCCATGTTTCCGCCGCTTACTGACGATGCTGTGTTCAGGAGGGAAAGAATTTTATGGACATCACCGACTACCCCGACCTCGCCGCCCACGCCCTCAAGGAGCGCGCCGCGGTCGTCTTTCCATCCAGAGTCTCGCAACAAGCAGCCGTCACGCCGCTGCTGCCAGCTCTAAGCAAAGCCAACATGCAGTCGAACCTGGTGACCTTCTCAAACTACTTCAACCGCTACTACCGCTCGACCTACGGCGTCCAGTCCTCGCAATGGCTCCAAGGTCGCGTCCAGGCTGTCATCACCGCCTCTGGCGCAGACAAGTACGGCGCCAAAGTCACCGCGTTCCAGCACTCCTGGGGCCAGTCAAGCATCATCGCAACCATCCCCGGGAAGAGCGCCAAGACCATCGTCATCGGCTCGCACCAGGACAGCGTCAATCTCAATAACCCGTCTGCGGGCCGTGCGCCGGGCGCAGACGACGATGGCAGCGGATGCGTGACGATCCTGGAGGCGATGCGCGTGCTTTTGACCAACCCGACTATCAGGCAAGCTCAGGGCGCCAATACCATTGAGTTCCACTGGTATGCCGCTGAAGAGGGGGGTCTGCTCGGTAGTGGGGCGATCTTCCAGTCCTATGCCGCCGCCGGGAGGGATGTAAAGGCTATGCTGCAGCAAGATATGACGGGCTACGTCCAAGGAACGCTGGCGGCGGGAAAGCCAGAGAGCGTGGGTGTGATTACGGATTTCGTCGATGTTGGCTTGTCGGAGTTTATCAAGAAGGTCATCACTGCTGTAAGTCTCGCCTTTTTCTTGGTGCGCGTGTCGCCCCACCTGCAGTGGATTCCAGGCTGATCACAGCGAGTGCAGTATTGCCGCATTCCCTACGTCTCCACCAAGTGCGGGTACGCCTGCTCGGACCACGCTTCTGCGTCCAAGGCCGGCTACCCGTCGGCTTTTGTCATCGAGGCTGCGATGGAGCACACGAGCAAGCTGATTCATACTACCCAGGATACCGTCTCGACGGTGAGCTACGACCACATGCTTGAGCACGCGAAGATGACGCTCGGATTTGCGGTGGAGCTGGCGTTTGCGACGTTGTAGTGGGCTGTAGTCTCGTATATAGATCGTACAGGCCTGATGAGGTAGTCATGATCTTTTCTGATATTGACGGTGTGAGCAAAATTTATTCTGAATTCTCCCACTGCGGTTGCGATCCGGGACCTCTCCTACCTGCCTTGCTGTCCTACTGCGTTGATGTTTCGGCTGGCTTCGTATGCAACCCGCGCATATTGGCTCCCGATGGTAATAGTTCTTGGTATACGCGGCCGATTCTTTACCCGCGGTTGATACGTGAGTGGAGTGTGAGAGTGGCTCATGCTCACCAGCCACACGCGGTGCGATGCCGAGGTTCGTCATGCGCTCAGAGAAACGTCGAACACTACCAGCACCAATGGACAACCAACACCCATCCTGCAACCACAATGGCCGAGCGAAGGATTCCAGCATGGCAGCGGGCGCAGGCGCCGTCAACTGTCGACAGCTCCTCCCTCAGCACCGAACAATCCACGCCTCCACCTCCACCTACCCCGGCAGAACCGCCAACGACCGCACAGCAAGCGCCTGGAGCGGAGGAGTCGACAACGAGTGGCAGCACGCAAGCGCAACCCCCGTTGATAGAGCAGGCCTCGAAATTCCTCCAAGACCCAAGCATAAGAGACGCGCCGCGAGAACGCAAAGTCGCCTTCCTCCAGTCGAAGGGACTGAGCAGTGACGAGATACAGACGCTGCTGGGTCCAGAGCAGGCCGCAGACATGCCCGAGGATGCCTCGAGGCTGTGGTCACAGGTCAGTGCCCCTTCTTGCTTACTCTCCTTATTCGAGAGGTCTACAGCTCATGCCATAGCAGAATCTCACCCCCTCCTCACCGCCCCGGCAACAACAACCACCCCGCGACGTCCCCCCAATAATCACCTACCCGGAGTTCCTCGCCAAACCCCAGAAGCCACCGCCCCTCATCACTATTCCCCGCCTCGTCAACGCCGCCTACACCATCGGCGGCCTCTACACTCTCGTCTACGGCGTCTCAAAATACCTTATTGCGCCCATGGAAGCCAGTCTAACGGACGCGCGGCACGACTTCGCCGTGCACACCCAGTCGCACCTGGACGCCCTGAACGAGCGTCTCAGCAGCATGGTCTCTACCATCCCTAAAGGCATGCCAAGCTCATCCGGCGCCACCAAAGACGACACCGACGACGCCTCATCCATCACCAGCGACCCCACCGAGCTCTTCCACCGCGACCACGGCACCCAGACCTCGCCCGCCCTCTCGCGGCGCCCCTCCACCACCTCCCTCTCCTCTGCGCCTCCGCGCGCCTCCGACCCCCTCACCTCCCACACAAACCGCCTCGCAATCCTAACATCCCACCTCTCCGAGCTCTCCTCCAGCGCCGCCGCCACGGACTCCTCCACCGCCGACCTCGGCACCAGCATCGAGGACCTGCGGTCCTACCTCACGGACCTGGCGTACGCGAGCCCGTATTACGGGGGCGGAGGGCTATATGGCGGGTACGGTGGGGAGGCTGGGAAGAAGGGAGATGCGGTTGAGGCGGTTAAGGGAGAGGTGAGGGCCGTGAAGGGGGTGTTGCTGAGTGCGAGGAATTTTCCGAGGGTGCAAGGGCGGGCGGGATGAGGGAGGGAGGGTTGGTGGGGTGAATGTAAAGAGTTCTATGGGCTCGGTGGCGGAGCGGGGCAAGGGGACTATCGGAAGCGGGCATGCTGAGGAAGGGACGGGGCCGAAAGCGGGGAGGATTCCTGAGACGAATTTGCAGGAAGTTGATGCGCTCGAGACGGCGCTCCCGGTTACTCTGCTCGCCGTGTAGAGGAAGCTGGATGGCTAAGAGGGCATCCCCTGTGTCTTCCACTGCTGCCTACGAAGAGTCTACGGCGGAGCTGCGGAGGCAGAGGACGAGAACGGCAGGCTATACAGGTGTTTCCAGGGTATAGGACCACACGTCTAGCTCAGGCGACCTCTCTCCAATTCGCTGCGTCTGAATGTAATGCGTTGTGAGATACGGCTGTGATTCTATAATGTGTCACCCATTGTCCGTCTCTACGCTCTATATAGTATTTACATTCTACAAACACCTCTTAGCCCACATCTTCAGTCTCATAGTACACCTCCCCCGGCGCATAAGGGAACTTCCTAACCACCGAATCCCCCTTATACCCCCACCACTCCGCCTGACAGCTACTTTCCGGCTGACCAAACGTCTCAACCTCGCCCACCGCGCCGGCCTCATACTCAATCTTGACCTGATGCACACTCTCCATGCTCGGATCGCCCTCCAGATAGTTCAATGGCATGACCTGCACGCCACTATGGCTCGTTGTAAAAACTGTGTTTGGCAAATCGCCCGTATGCGGCACATGGTGCATACCCAGATTAACCCACACGACCATATCCTCCTGCAGCAAACTCTCCCATCGAAAAACTGGGCGAAGTCTACAGGCGGGTCGAACACGTCCTGCGAATTATAGGGATGCGCGGCGCGGGGCTCTGAGTCCTTCTGTCGCGTGATATATATGTCGTGGGTCGCCCAGTTCGCGGCATTGACGATGTTGCTCGAGTCCTGCACGGTGAGGTGCGCGGTGCCGAGTGAGGGCAGGATGCGGTAGCCGCGGGGCTCGCCGTAGCTATTTGGCTGATCTGTGTTTACGACCGTGTACTGGGTTGCGCCGTTCGCGCCCCAGAGGAGGCGGCTGCTGTCCTCAGAGGCGATGGACTCGCGCACTAGCTTCATGGTGTTGCGCGGCTTGCCAGCGGACCAGGGGTAGGTTTCTGTAGGGGGTAGGTTTCTGTAGCAGGCACGAGGGTCGTTGCGATCATCGTGTTGGCGGTGCCGAGCACGTCGAAGTCTATCTTGTAGTTCAGCACGTGATCGTGCATCGAGCCGGAGAGCGCGTCGTGGATCTGGTGCCCGTAGTCGTGGTTGTTGGCGAAGTAGGCGGCTTGGATGTAGCCCGAGGCCCGCACGTTGACGTCGATGATGCCATCCATATAGAACTCGTACGAGAACATGTAGTCGTAGTTGCCGACGGTGTTGACTGTGCGCACCGTGAAATACACGTTTTTTGCGGCCGAGACGTAGCTTGCTGTGCTGTGGCGTTGCATTGGGTATGGGGCGTCCATCTCGAAGAGACAGATGCTATCGGTGTGTGTATGCGTCGTCTCGCGAACGTAGAAAGAGCTGTTCAGATACGTGGCGTGCGGGGGACAGTCATAGCCCTTGACAAGCTCGAAAGCATATGGTCCAAACCCGTAGAAGCTATCCAGGTAAGCTGTTCCGCTCTGCATGGGATCCTGGCCCGCGTAATGAGCGATTGCTTCTTGAAGGCTGAGCTCGTAGATGATCCTCTGGCCCTTGTACTTGATGTCGTGGAGTGAGAGTCCAATGTCGCGCGAGAACCCGAGATAGAACTCAAAGTCCATCCATTTCACGTATTGTTGTTGTTCGTCCACAAAGAACCGGGAGCCACTTGGCGCAACCATTGTTGGCGGGTACGCTGTGTCAAGCGGAGGCACAGGACCGCGTTGGCCTGTTTGGATCCACAAACCGTCCTCATCGGGCGGCAACTTGACGAAATCAGGCGAGAAGAACGCTGACCTGAGCTCCTCTGTTGTGCTGTAGAAGATGCCGTTGTAGAACCATCCTTCCACGCTCCAGCCGGCGGGATCCCTCCCAGTCACGTCAGCCTTGAAGTAGAGACCGAGCGGCAACAGAGTCTCAACGTCAAAGTCAGATGTTGGTAAGTTCCAGAACGCTGTCCAGCGGATGATGCGGCCGTCATCTTGCCATGGCGGATCAATGCCCCAGAGATCTAGTGAATCCTCATCTCCACCCGTGGCCATACCGCCCCAAAGTTCCTGCGTGATGTCTGCGATAGACGCGCTGATGTTGTAGAACCACGCCGACATGGTCTCCGAATCTGCGTCCAGGTTCCGCACGCGACCGCCGGCTGACTTGGTGTAGGGGTACGTCAAAGGCTCGTACCGGATAGTGCCGTTCTGGATAGGTAAAGGACCGACAAGCAGGTCTACGAGATACGGCTCGGTTGTCGCGCGATGATCCACGACAACGTGGGCATATCGAAGAGGTGCAGAGCCATTGGAATTGAGATAGCTCAATGCTTCAGCCTTTCCGGGAACCATAAGCTCAATCAGGGCCACGGTGTTGTCCCATTCTATTGCATTCTCCGAGACTGAGAGATTGAGCGCCGGCTGAGCAAAGAGCCACTCCGCGACTGATACGGTCTCAGCTTCTAAAGAACGGTTAGATGTACATTATCTAAGAACCGCCTGAGTCCTCTCGAGTACCTGTGACAGACATTGGGCTTCGGTGCTGTAATTCCTTGGGCAGGGTAAGGAGCGCAAGGAGGACCGTTAACCTGGCGCTTGACGCGCGTGGACCGCTTTTCTCTCCATCGTACGTTCTTTGCCCAGGCGGACTCTGGGCGGGGACGAGAAGCTGCTGGAGCAACGAACAAGAGGAAGGATGATACAGCCAGCCAAATGAGAACTGAGAAGGAAACGGTGCGCCGCAAGATTGAAAGACCGGCTACTCAGAACAGCAGAGGGATGAGAAGGCTACGAGTACCAGAGTTATCACCTACGGGCTTTCTACATTTTGCTTTTGATCACTGACAAATCTCAAGGCCTTATCCAGCGCCGCCCTGGGACTTTTATCTGGAAAGATCCATGCAGATTAAGGGTCCCGCATGGGATTGACGTGCGAATACTAAGCCGCTTCTTGGTCTACAGTAGTAGCGCGGTGATTTGTATACCAGACAGCTTACCCACATTGCTGGTAGATGAAGCGGAGGCGAGCCAGCAGTCAATTGAGAGTGCTATCGAGAAAGCTGTCCAATCCCAAATGGCAAGGCGGCCTGGTATGAGCAAAGAGCTTGAAATCCGAGGTACGCATCTTGGGCAGCTGTGTTCGTGGGATTTGCATTAAACGTGCTATCAACTCAGGAGAGGGAGGTAGCGTGGGGCAGCCTACACGACTGGTACGGCTTCGCATGATCGCCAAGGGACGACTGTGATGATTGTGTCCACTGCAAGCCAATCTGAGGCGACATGCGCCACGATGCGTATCTGCAGCTGGGAGATGCAGGTGGTGGGTCGGTGGAGAGCTAAGGTTGAGAGATCTGCCAGGGGAGCGATAAAGCTGGCTCATCCTCAGTTTCGCCCAAACAGGTAACTCTAGGCGAATTTCCTGGCCAGCCACGGGAGTTGGGCGAGCTTTTGCGACTTCACTCGTTTAACTAATAGCCTTTCGCTGCCCCGACACAACATCAGCGTCCGACATTCGTAGGTCATGCTCAGCGGTGAGTTGAGTCTCATGTCGGCTCTCAAACTGGAAGGCCAGGTCAATGCTGCTCCTCGTCGAAATGTTATTGCAGGACGAGAGGGAACTTTAAGAACACTACTGCTTCGGAACCTCTGAGAATACCGGAGCCGGGTTCTCCTTTATAAATGTTCGTCGTGGAGGCTCAGTAACGGGAGCTTCCGCAGGGTGCAAAGTGTCACGTAAGTGCGCAGCGTTATGGCCTTCCACAGCTCTTGTTCGCGAATGCAATCTCCTTTCGTACCAGTGTTATATTTTACATAAAAAGAGCTCCAGATCACTCGCGCTGCCATTCACAATCTATTGTGACTCAGGGATAACCGGTGTACCGGTAATTCCCTCCTCCGGTGTTTCTTGAACTTCTGACCTGCCACTACCCGCCTGCTGTTCCGATGATTGCTGCACTTGGACAGCCGGCTCGTGTTCCACATGCTCGTTTTCCGCCTGGTAGAGTTCCACCTGCTCATTTTGCGCCGGCTGGCCTCCTCCCTCTGATGAGCCGGGGAGTTGAACATCGTATTTCTCCCAGCCTGGCGTGTGTCGCACGTATTCCTCCCACCGGCCATCCTCTACGGCGCGCCGTCCCCCGAGAATAATCTGTGCCTCCTCGTACATCACATTGATACGGGCATGGATGTCGATCAGCCTCGCCATGGCTTCGACGGTCTTCTAGCGGTTTAGCATGCCCTTCGCTTTGGCTGCGTCCCCTGCCTCGGCTGCCTCTATGGCGGCGTGCTTCTCGTCGATATTCTTCTTTAGGAACAAGCACTTCTCCAGTTTCGCAGTCGTGCTCTTCAGCAGTTCCTCACGCCGAGCTTCGGCTGCCAAAACACGCCCTTTACTAGATTGCGCGTAACAATTTCGCCGCAGAGCGCCTTTCTCCAGCGTATGTCCAAGGAAGCCTCGCTACTCATCATCATCTCACAAGTCATACGCGCTATGAACGCTGATCCCAGTATGGCAGGTGGAGAACCCTATACCGGAGAACGTGTAGCAATGGGCGTAGTATGAGGTAAAGATCCCTGTGATAGCGGCCGTTTTGGAATCGAAGATGTAAAAGATCACATATTGGTTAGGGAAATATTTGCCAGGCAACAGAGACCCACGCCGAGGACTTTGCTCCCACCTCCCCGGTAGCTAATATACCTGTCCATTCAGGCAAGAGCTACAGGAAGCTGAAGAAAGACTTATGAGTGCAAGGCGCACCGGCCTTGGCATGAGCCTGCGGCAGACGCCGCCTAGACTTCAGGCTTGATCGTACATCGCGTGGCATAGACTCTCTTCTGTCTCCCCCGCAAGAAATCTGTGGCTCCTTTATGGATCTCAACTACCTATAGCGTTTCGTTTGTTCCATTTTACGTTTACTCTTGCTATAATGTGAGGAAATTATTCACCACATTCCTTGAATCTTCTAAGAATCTTTTAGGAAAATCGGATGGATTCTTCTGCTCAATTGAACGCTTAAGTTTCGTGAAACTCGGAGTGTAGGAAGTTTAAACAAATCGACTCGGTTTTTCAAATAAATCGACTCGGGTTTTCCTGCTAAGACGCTAAAAGCGGTGTGAGAATAAAACAAGCACACCTAGTATTGTATATTATAGCTAGTAGTAATTCGGACACTGCAAAAACTATAAAAAGTATCAATAGGAGAGGTATATAATATAAAGAGATAAGGATAAAGATTAGGAGAGGATAGACATTAGCTAAAGCAAATTCAGTTGATTTTAGGGGGGGAGGTTATATCAAAATTATTTACAACACTAAGCTAAGACTCGCAATACTACTGCCGCCCGCCCGGCGGGGCTACCTGCGCCATGTTCAGCCCTGCCCGCCCGCCCGAAGGCACCTCCTATCGATCGCCCGCCCGTCTGCTCCCTCCCGGCAGAGGCGGGCGGGCTTATGACCAAGCTGGGGGATATACGGGAGATGTCATTGAAGCTCTTGGCGGTCTTATTACTCCTCTGTAATACCCCTGACTTGCAGAAAGGCTGCGCAGAGTCGCTTCTATTTCCTGAGGGGACCTTTTGGATAGATGCCCGTAGGGTGATTGGAAGCCTGACAATGGTATATACGCGTGGGGTCGCGGGTCATGCCTAAGGTAAGCGAAAGCGAGACACTCCTGAACGGGATTCTGAGAGGACGAAGTCTGCGTTGCGTTGAGCGATGCCAGGGAGGAATCCTTGACCTGTTCTGACTTCGGGCTGCAGCATGAGCCGTGGTAATCGCTTGTAGCATCCAATCTACTAGCTACCCGTATGTCTGCTCTCAGTTCAGATGCGGTAGGTCGTGATTTTGGAACACGTTCAAGCATCTGGTGGATGATCGTAGTAAGTCCGTTATGTTTGGGGTCAATTCTGGGGTATGGACGAAGTTGATGGAACCACAAGTCCACGTTGGCAAGGTTAGCTTGGAATGAGCGATCCTGTGCAGGCCGAAACGATTTCAGAAGTCCAAGGCAACCACCAATGCATATGCAGAATAGCTCAAGATAGACGCATCCTAGAGAAAAGATGTCCGCCGATCGGCCGCTGATCTCGTATTCGGCAACCTCTGGAGCAAAGTATTTCGGGGTACCGCGCTCTCCATTGTTGGTCTTGCTGGTGGATAAGAGAGCGAAATCTGTTGCGGTCCCAAAGTCAGTGAGCCACACCCCATCTCTAGAGAGAAGCACATTGGCCGGTTTGAGGTCCTTATGACGAACATTTTGACTGTGAAGATACTCGATAGCATGGGCCAGGCAGCCAAAAAGTCGTGACAAGCGGCTTCGAACAATTAGCGGCTTTCCATCGTGCTCTAGATCGTCGAAGCCAAGTGCCGCCAACCGAGCAATAATGGCTTGTTTCTCTTCGTGCTTGCCATCAGAGATTCTGGGTGATATAACGCCTCCAGATCCTCCAACACAGTGGCAAGGTCACAAGTCGCGACTGGCCATAGAAGCAGACCCAAGAACTGTGCGTGAGAATAAGTGCCCACAAGCCTGACAATATGCTCATGCCTAAGCTTCTTGAGGAGTTCGATTTCCTTGCGCTCTTCGTGACTTATACCGTGACGGCAGTATATAGTTTTCCAAGCTACTGCTACACCCTTGCAGGATGTTTCGTATACGTCTCCGTTTATGCCTCGGCCAAGCCAGCGGCCTCGAACGAGCGGCACAGCCTCGTTATAGGTGTAGTCAACGTGGCTGCCTCTTCCAGACCAGTCACTGAGAAGCGAAAGCTGCTTGTCGAGAACTGAACACAAGGTATCTGCTGCCTTGGCGTATGAGGTAGAGCTAAGATGGAGGATAACATCCGAGCCGGGGTCGGTTGAGGGGATCTCGTTAGAAGCCAGTGAAGAGCGAATTTTGGCTGGCTTCTCAAGTTGATGTTTGAGGGCTTCTTCCCGTATGTGGCTATCGTGATTCGCGTGTGCGGATACGAGTAGCGGTAGTGGCGTCTTAGCCCCAGGCTCCTGAAGCGATTCAAAGGCTTCATGGAGAGTACGAGTGCCCGCCTGCAATCCAGCTTTTGTACGAGCCAGCTTCTCTTCCTCGATAGCCTTCAGTCGAGCGTCCTTGGCCTCTTCAGCTTCTTCCTCCCGACGCCGCAGGTATGCCCGCTCCGCTACCGACTCATCACGCAGCGAATATCCCTGTTCACGCTCCTCTTCCTCCAACTCGAGCAAATCCTCTTCTTCACGCCGCAGGCGCGCGTGCCCTTCGTCAGGAGGCTGAGCTCCACTTACATCTTGTAGAGCTTGCGGCGCCTCTTGGATGTCTAAGGCCTCGTCCTCAATCATGCTTACTCGGGCTTTTGAGCGCTTCTTCTGTCTCTTGGATTGCTTGAGAATGTGAATCAATTAGAGGTGGTATAGTGCAGGCTTCGTCACTCGTGGATTTGTGGTCTCGGGCTTGTGATGCAAGCCGCGGCGGACTCCGCAAGCATAGAGTAGGGCATATTCGCAGCGCGGCTTGGAGGGGTAATACGAGGTCGCGGCTTGGTGGTTTAGGTCTAGCGCGCTAATATTTGAGGCTTTAGTGGCGTTGAAGGATACTTTTAAGATACACCGCCGCTTAATTAAGTTGCGGCGTGTCTTGCAGGCTAAGCGCTATATCTAGTTAGCTAGTTAATAAATAATAACTCTAACTATAAGCCTATCTACTAGAATTTCATATAAAAAACGAAAAACCTATAAGCCTATATACTAGAATCTGATTCGGTTCCTAGAAATCCATTTTCCAAGGGTAAATTCCAAGGTTCTCATCTCTTAGAAAATGAATAGCACTTGGAAAATAGCTTATTCCCTTAGAAAATAGCCTATCTAAGAGGTATAGTAGGTGGATTACTAGTCCTAGATACTAACTAGACTATATTACTAAGTATAGTATAATAAACTAGTTCTAGAAGGTATTTCCGCTAGAAAAAACGTCTATTTAACCTTTAAAACTACTAAATTAATAATTATTAGTCTAAGAATATTTATCTAGATATATTAGCAGGCTTCTCTATTACTAATAGCTAGTAATAGAATACTCTAGAATCTTTACTAGCTAATCTATTTTCTATCCTAAATTTACAGGATTTAGAAAAAAGAAACTACTTGGAAAATAGCTTGGAAAATAGTCTATCTATTAGAAAATAGGCTATCTAAGGGGTATTATAGATAGATTAGTAATACTAGATAGTAATTAGACTATAACTCTATATTTAGTATAAGAGTACTAATTTTAGAAGATACTTTAACTATAAAAAGATCTTTTTAATCTAACAAACTTAAAATACTAATTCTTAGTCTTAAAACCTACTAACCGTGTCGATGGAATTTTGAGGGCTTACTAAGGATTCTATTTTCCATGCCGCTTTTCCAAGTCCTTAGAAAATAGAGCCTCTTGGAAAATCCCTTGGAAAATAAAGGTTTTCGTTGGAAAATAGAGTATTTAAGGGGTATTCTAGGCAGCTTAGTAATACTAGATAATAGCTAGACTAAAATAATAAGTATATCTAATTTACTAAATATTTTATTTTCTACCCCGAATTTCTAAGAGCTTAGAAAAACAAGCTACTTGGAAAATAGCTTGAAAAATAGTATATTTATTAGAAAATAGAGTATGTAAAGAGTATTCTAGGTGATTTGCTATTACTAGATAATAACTAGATTATTTTACTAATTATAATAGAAGAAAACTACTACTAGAAGGTTATTTAACTAGAAAAAAGACATTTAAATCTCTAAAACTACTATAAGTCTAATACTATATATATATACTCTAGTACTGCATGCCTAATTAGGATCTAGTACTACATGCTCTTTTCGTTCCAGCCCTTCTCCCAATTGTCTGACCCTCCCATTAGCTGCATTACCCTAACCCTACCCGCACCGAACTACTTTACACTAATACTAACTACCTGCCCTAGCAGAATAATACAATCCCCCGCCTCTAGAATCCTATACCGCTAGGCCTATCTATAGAAGCCTTCGTCCATCCACCCTTTCCCTTACATAGCCCTAACTAAATTATAGCCGCGCTAACGCGAATATAAATATAAATGCGTCTAGCGACTACTACGTGTCGCTAGGCCACCCTATACGTTCTTCTACCTCTATATATCCCATCTACCGCCCCTCGCCTATACCTTTCCCCCCTTTCTCTATACGCTTTAATATTCTATCCACGGTACTATAGATCTAGATCTATTCAACTACCTCCTAGACCTTAAGGTCCTTATCTACCAACTATATAAGCGCGCCATCGCTCTATCCTACATCCGGACCCACCTAAAGGACTACTATAAGAGCCATCCGTCTATATAGCCTCCCTCCACTATAGGCCTAGCCGTAGCCGCCCTTCTTAAGTAGTATCCGCTTACTAACCCTAAGGCGGACTCCTTTAAGCTCCCGGTCCCGTTCGCCCCCGCTATTCTAGACGTTCCAATCTTTAAGGACGGCCTACTATACCTATAATGCCCCTTTATAGGGCGGAAGCAAGAGACCCTATAGGGGCACCTCCGCATCTAGCATAAGGTAGGCTTTAGCCGTAGAGGCCGGCCTACTATCACGAACCGCGGTAGATGACGCGGAACAAAGGTGATCAGTGCCAAACGTCACGTAAGGGACTAATCACTCAGGATGCCAAGAGGTGCCTAATTAGTGTAATTAGTGTAATTAGGAACGGATTACTCTAATTAAGGGGATTATAGTGCGAGGCATTATAGTATATAGGCCGCACTATTCTCGTTTATTAGAATAGTGTGCTTAACTTAAATAAGAATCTAGTATTCTTTATAATATTAATCTAATCTCACTACGTGATATTAATCCTCACCTTATTAACTATATCTTAGCACTATTCCCTACCTCCTTAATTAGGACCCCAACCATTATAGTAACCTTTGTTATCTTATAATAGCACCTCGTTACACTTTAAGCACCACCTTTATAGAACACCCAAGATTAACACGTCGATATATCTACCATAGGATCGACTACCGGACCTATAAGGGGACAGGCACCGCCGCCACCCCCAGCACCGAAACTAATTAAGGTTAAGGTACCGGATAAGTATAGTAGAGAGCGTAATAAACTCGACTCATAGCTACTCTAATATAACCTATATATTTAGCATAACTAGGAACATTTCTAAAAAGAAAACGAAGTTATATTCGTTATTACCTATCTAAAGGGATAAGCATTTAAATAGATCTAGCCTCATCTTAAGGATTTCCTTAAGAATAATAAACGCAACTAGTCCTAGGAAACAACAGAACTATTTACTAATATACTCTCGTTTAAAGTAAAGATACGACGAGTATTCGGAGACATTAACGCGGCATATACTATAGAAAGAGAACTAATAAACTTAATCTAGAAGGGATTAGTAGTAAATTACGCTACCTAGTTCTAATTAGTAGCGTTAAATACCTTATAGGATGAGACAGCTTTAACCGCGCAGTACTACTAAGGATTAAAAGAAAACGTTAAGGACGACTTGATTAGAGGCGACTAACCGGATCATTTATAGAAAATGATTTCCACGTCAATTAGAATTGACAATCGACTATACGAATGAAGGTTAGAAAAGAAAGGCCATAACGCGCTAGTAGTAGTAGGACGGAAATAGAGCCACCCTACTTAGTATAACTAAGACCTATATAGGCTCAGGCCTATAGAACTTAACGTAATAGAAAGACATCCGGGACGTCTCCTAAAGAGAAGATCGCAGGGAGAACGCGGCACGCCCCCTAGAGGATAGGAATTATCCTCCGGACAAAGAAAGCCTTTTATAGGAAAGTGCTTCAACTGCGATCACATAGGACATATTACTAGAGATTATAGGCAGCTAAAGAAAACCTAATCACTAGTAAAAATAAATAGCCCGAAAAAGCAAGGCAGGCTAGCTACCACTACGACTCACTATAGAGCTATATCCTAGACTGCATGCTATAATAACGGGTGTTAAATACACCTAAGCGATAAGAACGGATCGGGATAGTTTCTAAAACCACCGCAATTAAAATAAGCACTACAAGTCACTAAGAAGGAACCGAGCTAGAGAACACTAACACGCAAAGAGGAACTATAACCTCTCTTAATTCGGGAAAGAGTTCAAGCAGAATCTAGTTACTAGGGTTTATAAGTAGAAGGCCCAGTCGCACCTCTCACGGTACTAAGTACCCTCTCCGAGGAAGAGGCCGTATCGTTAGAAGAAGAGTTATTAAAGAAGGAGTTCGGCTCTAATATCTCGAACCTAGTCCTAGACAAGGAACTAGAAGAAAGGGTACTAGAATAGAACCCTATTACGGGAGGATACCCACCTAAGGTATAGCATCAGGCCTACCACGACGTATACAATCTTATAGAAGAATAAGCGGGATAATTAGAGTTTAAAGAGAAACTCTAGAAGATTAAAGTCCGCCTAACTATATATAAAGTATAGTAGAGATCCGCTATTAGTTTTAGCGAGCTATATAGAGAAGTCTACAACCTTATCTTAGGACAACTAGTCGCAGTCACAGAACGTATACACTAGCTAGAGTAGATGTTAGGGTTAGGGTTAGGGTTAGGGTTAGGGTTAGGGTTAGGGTTAGGGTTAGGGTTAGGGTTAGGGTTAGGGTTAGGGTTAGGGT